TATATTATATAGCTATTATTTAATTTATAGGCTAATCTTTCTTAGGCTAAGAACTCCCCTTAAATAGCCTAGCTAGTTATTTAAGAGCTATAGAAGTAATAGTTAATCGCTATAATAACTACTCTATAGTTTCCTTTTTAAACTATTAAATATCCCGAATTCTAAGCCTTTTTTTAAATAACCTAATTATTATTATTTATCCCTAGTTTCCTTTCTTATCGAACTATATAGTATCGAATCTAGGGAATAACCTAAGATTAATAGAAAGATTTATTTTAGAAGCTTTTATCTAAAACTAAGCTCTCTATTAGTTTTAATTATTAGATATCGCTATTTTAATAAATATTTATAGTTATCTCTAGCTATTTTATTAATATAGACTAGAATTATCGAGAGGTTTTACTTAGCTTTAAACCTATTTCTAATATATACTTTAGGTAGAATCTTAGTATAATCCTCCTCGATATCCTCTAGAAATATTAGATCGAAGACTAAGTATTTATAATAATAATTAATAATATATTAAATAACTCTATCTTTATTTTAAGTATCTAAGATTCTATTTAATTATTAGATATTAACTCTAAGATAATAATTATTTAGATTCTATATATTATATATATAATTTAGTTAAGTTTAAAGTAACTATTTAGCTAAATAAAAATAAACCTTTAGAATAAGGTAACTAAGACTATTTAGTCCGAGGAATATACCTAATACGCCTATCGAAAAATATAAAAATAAGATATTACGATAACTCTTATAAAGATATATATCTATACTTCTTATATATTAATTAAAATACTAATCTACTTTATATTTTAGATTAGAAACCTTATAATCTTTATTAATATAAGCCCTTAATATCGGGAGTCCTTCTTTAGTCTCTAGCTTAACTACTCTCGATTAGTTCTAATTTAAGATATCCGAACTAGATAAAATTTAACCTTTTTAATACTCTAATATATAAAATAATTATAATTAGTCTTTAATCGATTTTACTCTAAATATAATTATCTTTATCTTAAAATCGATATAGATAAATAACGCTAGATTAACTATCTTCTTAATATTATCTAACTATTTTTCTAATTTACTATAATCCTCTTAAAAATAAAGGATATTACTATTTATACCGTCTTTACTATCTATAATAAACTATTTAATTATCTTAAGAGATTAATTAGATAGCTTAATAAAAAAAAGATTAGATAAAAATAATAGATATATTAAACTCTTAAATTAGCTAAAGGTAAACTCTATAAGTATTACTCTATAATAAATAATAAAAAGCTCGGTAATATCTATATAATTAGTACTATCTTAGCCCCTTAATATAAGATTAAATTTTTTTAAACTAAAGACTAAGATTACTTTTAGATAGATTATAATATCTAATACTAGCGAAATCTTAAGGATTAGCTTTTAAACTACTAAACTAGTAATATTCTAAGCTCTTAATCACTATCTAAAATAAAATAATCCTATTAAACTAATAAGCTTAATATATTTTTAATAGCTAATTCTTCTATCTTAAGCTTCTAGTCTAAGATAATATAGTATATTAAAAGAGGTAAGTTTCTATATATATCTCTATTAAAACCGGGGTTCTAAATAATTATTTAAAACCCTGGTTCTAATCTATTAAGTTTCTATCTTTCTACCCCTATTAGAACTAGGGTTTTAAGGCCTACCTTAGAACCCTAGTTTTAATAGAGATATCGGTTCTAATCTATCTAAATATTATACTAATTATTATAATCCGCCCTCTATCTAGGTACTATCCTAATCCTATTTTATTAATTCTAAAAGGATTATTAGTATAAATTTCTTATATTTATAAGCCTCGCCTATAATCTTCTCTCGATCCTAGCTACTAGCGTTAGCGTTAAGCGATTATTTAATTCTATATATAATATTTACTATTATCGATAAGAGGCGTTAAATATATCTACTATATAGGATCTAATAATATTTATATATATTACTAAATTCAAAATTAAGAAGAAGTAACTTATATTTATTTAAGAACTTTAGGAGTAGAATAAATTAGAAATTATATAGGAGGAAAAAGAGACCTAAAAGACTTATAAAGAGATTATACTAATTAGTAATAATAAGAAGGAGGATACTATAGATCTAATAATTATAGTCGATATACCTTATTAACTATAGCAAGAAAAGTTAAGGAGTAATTATAAAGATAATTATAGCCTCCCGCGGATTTTTAGTAAGGTTTATAAACGCCCACGAGTATTTAATAATTATAAGCTTTAAAATTAAAATTAATTAATATTTAAAATAATATTCTCTAGAATTACTTTTTAAGAATTATTCTCCTAATTACTATAAAAATTATTTAACTAAAATAAATATAATACCTAAAAATATAGCCAAGAACAATATAATTTATAAAAGTTATATAGTTAACAAAGTATCTACCTAAATAGGTTAAATAGGTTAACCTATTAACCCGCGGGATAGGTTAAAAAAATCTTGACCCACCTACGGGTCAAAAGGTCTGACCCACGACCCGCCTATAGGCTAACCCACGGGTCGACCTATATAGGTTATCCGCGGGTCTGTCTAGGTCTAAAACTAAATACTAAAACACTATTTTTGCTATTTTATCGATAAAAAATAGATTATATAGCTAAAATTACTTAAAAATATATAATTTATATATAATAATACCTTTAATATAATAATAAGAAAACCCCTAGTCTAGATCTTAATAAGTTATTCGCCTAATTTCTAACTATATATTAAGAATAATACGCTTTTAAAAAAGATCCTAATAATAGAAATATATACTAAAAAAACTATAAAAATTAAGGTAAGACTTAATAGAATAATAATAAAAAATAATATAAATATAAATAAAATACTATAATAAAACCTATAAAAAGATATTATTTAAATATAAAGACTTAGTTACTCTATTAATAAGAAACTTAAGATTAAAGATAATAAAAAAATTAATATCTAAATTTATTAGATCTCTCTAAATTCTTAAGAAGATCGGATTATAGATATATTAACTAGTTTTACTAAATTAATATAATTAGATTTATAATATATTCTATATATTACTTCTCGAACCCTAGAATTAGAGGGATAAAAAATAAAATAATAATAAGAATATATTAATACTAGAACTATAAAATAATAATAAATAGGAAATTAAAGAAATAAAAGACTATTAATATTTTAATAAGAGATCCTATTTTTTAACTAAATAGAAAGGCTGATTATTAGAGTATAATTAGTAGATCCTAGAAAAAGATATAATAAATATAAAAAAAGCTATTATAAAATATAAGAAATAAAGATAAAAAAGATAAGATATTACTTAAAAAGAAATCCTATAAACTAAATAAAAAGCTACTAAAACTCTATTAGAATAATACTATTATTATTACTATAAAATAGTAATATAAATATAGAACTCTATTTAAAATTTAGGAATAGGAATAAAAAAAATTCTTTTTTAACTATTTTAGGCGATATTTAGTATTAGGATTATTAATTAGATCGGAGATTACTAGATTAGGACTATATCCATTTTAGAATATTATCTATAGGGCTACTAAAAACCCTTATTTCGCCGTTACCTAATATATAAAACTATTATCTCCCGGAACTAAATAAAGAAAATACTAAAACTAAAACTTTTAGAGATATTTCCCTAAAAGATCCTTAGATAGAAAGATATAAATAACTATATTCTAGCGATAAATAATAATATATATTATATAAACCTTATATTAGGCCTATTAAAACGTTAGTAAAATTATACTAATACTAGCGATCTTATTTATTATAATTAATTTATAGATAGTAATAAAAAAGAACTAGTAATAATATATTAACTCTATTATATTAAAGATCTTCACAAGCTTTATTATAGCCTTTCCGGCTATAATTAATATATTATCTTTTTATTTATTCTTTTTTTTTTCTTCTCCTTTTTAAGAGTACCCTTAACTAAAGACTCTAGGAATTCTTTATTTAGCTAATTAAGGATTATTTATAGATTATAGATATCCCTAATTATATCCTCTATAATCTAAAGAATATTAGTATAAATTAAAATAAGATACCGCGGAATATACTATATTATATAATGCGTTATAGGTAGAATATTATTAATAGATAACTAAAGCCGCTATATATAGTTTATATTTAATAATAAAAGGCGATTTAGAGTTATATACCTTAATCTTAGTCTAAAAATACTTAGTATACTATAAAAAAATAAGTAAAATAATAATAGAACACGTTAGCTAGTATAATAACTAATCTAAATAATAATAAGGTATAATAATAATAATAGTAATAAAAAGAAAACAGAAAGTAATACTAATAGTAAGGAATAGATAATAAAACGTAATAAATATAATATAAGAGAGAAAAGAAAAAAAGAAAAAAGTTATTACTTAAAAATATAGATAAAAGGCTACCTAACCTTAAGAGGGGGGATAATTATAAAAGGTCTATTAAGATAATAAAGTATAAGGTTATTCCTAATTAATAGAAGGGGTAAATTAGGTAATATTATATAATCCTAAAGAAAGTTAGAACTCGTTACTTAATCTAAGCTATAGTAGAATAATCACGATATATAATAGAGACCTAGTCATTTATATTATCGATAATATATAGAGTTACAAAGATATTATATAATAAATTGATACTCTCGTATCTAGCTAGCAAGACAAAATTTAGTCTTAATAATAATAAAGATATACTATTTCTCCTACTACTTCCCCTTATTTCTTTACCTGATCGACAGGTCTTATACCCTGCCAAGTATATTCTTTATAATTATTTACAGACCCTTCCAATCATTATATTTTACCTATTAATTTCTATAACCCCTTCATATATAAGGACACTTTTATCTAGAGAGATGTATAGATACCTACTTAGTGATATATATAATAACTATTCTTTATATACCAAGGACCAAAATTAATTATAAAGGTAGTCCCTCCTTCCTACGCCCCTGCCACTAACCTAGGTAAGTAGATCCTCATGTTCTCATATACTAGAAAAGTCACCCAGGTACCTGGGAGCACCCTTAACAGATTCGGACCCAGTCCCTTGTAGAAACCTGCAAGGCCTTCTCGAGACCAGATCTGACTGATGGCATCGAAAGCACCGCGATATATCCGATGGGCCTCATAAGTCTGCAAACGCGACCTAATCACCTGATAAGGGTACGTGGCACAACCTGCAAAAATCTTGGACAAACTGGAGAGTGCAAGGAAGTCAGAGTTTCCTAGCATGCGTTCCGTGCTGATATTGGTACCTCCACCATCGGATTTCGTCGATCGTGATCGAAAGGCCTTCATCTGCTCATATGCCATAAATTGAAGGGCACCATGGCTGACACCAAAAAGCGCAGGTAGGAGGCCTCGGTAGAAACCAGAAAGCCCTTCCGCCACGTAGATTTGCCTTGCTCCGGAAGTAAACGAAGAATACGCTCCTGGGCTGCGAGAGCCGGTCGAGAGCATGCGAGTCTTGATCACCCAAATGGGGTTCGTGAGGATAGCTGTAAAAATTCCTGTGACAACCCATCTCACTGCTGGTCAGCAGATAGGAGAGAAGAACCGCAATTTGACAACTCCGCACGCGCACCTGCAATCCCCGAGGCGAGGAAGTAGTCGGACGACGTGAGCATCTGCCCCTGTTGCCGGCGATGCATTCGAATCGCATCCTTCAGGCTACTGTATCCCAAGAAATAGAGACCCCAGCTGGTCGAATTCCCAATAATATTTGGAGTCAGGCCTCGATAAAAGGCGGCGAGACCGCCCTCATGTTGGGAGATCTCGCGGATGATACGAATCGAACCACCGAGCTGGGATGACCCTCGATCAACTGGGAACGCACAGATCAATCATGGTAGTTACTCCAAGCCAGGAGGTATAACCTTACCTTGTAGCCGAGTCTTCAGCAGGTCCAGCGGGTGCAGGGAGAGAGTTGACACGATCCCTGCCGTTAATCCCGCTACGGTCTCCACAAAAGATGACGAAAAGCCATCCTGACCAGTCATGAACTTTGTTGTTCCGAGGAAAAGAGAGAAGATTCGAAAGAGAACGGCACAGAAAGAGATAGGCGGAGAGATAGAGAGGTCGGGGAATCTCAGGGGGGAGCAGGGTGTTCTGCAGATTCCGCCAAGCGATGAGTTGGAACGTGATCTCCCAAGGTCGGCTTGAGCTTGATGGGTTGCTGAACAGACCTTACCGACCGTCAAGTACATACACATTTAATACATCCAATTCATCCAATTCATCCAATTCATCCAGTTCATCCAATTCACACACATAGATAGATAGATAGATAGATAGATAGATACAATCTTTCTCTCTACGCTCAGAGCCCAAACTCAGGGTACCTTTCCCCAATGCCATCACAGGCAAGCTATTCGGAGAATCGATGGTACAAGAATTATACGCAAGTCGAAAGCCAAGGGTTTGGTTTAAAAATACATAATTGAGCCGGTTCAGAGTTCCAGGCTTCGCTCGACCAAACAAGCCCGACCATATAGAGCTTCAATCTTCGATAGAAGGCGACTCGACCACTGGATCCCGCTCCGGCTAGTGGACCAGGCCAACCCTCACTTCATCTCACTTCGATTTTGGCACATTCTCTAGGCAAGCGGCGAGAACAATCTGATAATAGGGTCAGCAAAGCGTGCTGGGAATACCGTACAGGAGGGGGTTCATCGGAAATACTTGAACAGGGATGGCTTGGGCTCGCTATATGTGTAGCCTGTTTTTTCTCGGTCAGCCATGGATTTCCTCAGAGACATGCCAATTCAGCAACAACCCCAGAATCATGTCATACCCAGATACACGATCAGAGGCAAGTAGCCACTGAGGAATCATTATGGGTCAGTTCGGGTTCCTTCGTATGAGTCTCCGTTTCTTGCGTCAAGCTCACTAGTGTATAGCGACTCTCGAAACATCGATGATCTTCGAGACCCGTTCCTGGAGAAGAAAAATGGGAGTGTGAGCCATTGAGCATTCGCAGAGAGGGGGGTGGATGACCAACCTTGGTTTCTTCAGAGAATTGAACCATCTTGATCAGAAGCAGGAAACTTTCTGTCCACAGATTGTTTTGGAAGAATAGGAAATCTCCCGAGTAACGAGGAGATGATCGGGTGGTTGCTGGAGAAGAGAGAGGGAGAGAGAGAGAGAGATCGTTGCGGATGCGGTGAAATTAGAAGTTTTCGGAAGTCGGGGGCAGAAGGGATCTTCAACGCGTTCTCCCAGAGTGTCCCTCATATCTCCCTCGTTGCTTTGCTTCTTTTCTGCTTATGTGAAACGGGCTTTCTTTTCATTTGATTTTCTTTCTTCCTGCTCCCTGTGTCTTTCTCAAGTCTCGCCTTTGATTTGTCGTCATGTCCAGCGCAAGGCATTGGTAATTAACCCGCTTCCCCAACCATTAAATGGACCCAGTGCGTTGCTAATACAGCCCAGGGAACAAGACAAGGAGGCTACGGTGTATATTGGCAACCTCGATGAACGGGCCTCGGATAGCCTGGTATGGGAACTGATGCTGCAGGCCGGGCGCATCGTCAATGTTCATTTGCCTAAAGATCGTGTCACCCAGCTACACCAGGGTTATGGGTTTGTGGAGTTTATCAGTGAGGAGGATGCCGAATATGCTTCGAGAATCATGAACAGTATCCGCCTCTATGGGAAACCCATTCGTGTGAACAAAGCCTCCGCCGACAAGCAGAAATCCGTGGAAATTGGCGCAGAGCTTTTCGTTGGAAATCTCGACCCCATGGTCACCGAGCAGGTGCTCTATGATACATTTAGTCGATTCGGGAATTTGGTCAATTTTCCTAAGGTCGGATCCCCCTCTGAGCTTCAACATATTCCACCCCGACGGTGGCTAACTGGATAGTAGATTGCCCGCGATGACAACAACCTCTCCAAGGGCTATGGCTTTGTGTCATTTGCTGATTTCGAGTCTTCAGACGGGGCTACAGCCAATATGAATGGCCAATACCTGATGAACAAACAGGTCTCGGTGCAGTACGCATACAAAAAAGATGGCAAAGGCGAAAGACACGGCGATGAGGCGGAGCGAATGCTGGCGGCACAGGCTCGCAAGCATAACGTTCGGCCACCAACCCAGCAGCTCCCGCCACCTCAGTTCCCGGGTAATGGCCCTGGTCTGTCGGCAACACCGACGGTGATGTCCAACGGTGATAGCTCTCGCCCAGTAAGCACTGGGCCACCACAAGCTCCTGATATTGGCATGAGCAGAGGCATGTCCGCCCCTATGGGCTATGTAAACATGCCTCCATCTCAAAATAATCGGACTGTTCCCCCCCCGCCCCGTCCCTCGCTACTCCGCCGCCTGGTCTTCCAGCTCGGCCCCCTCCGTCCCAAGCCGGCTATGGTGGCCCACAGTCCTTTCTACCGCCAGGGCTTAATAATGTTGGCCAGCAGCCATCTTTTGCGCCAGCTCCTCCGCCTGGGTTCGGAGCCCCAGGGTTCGGTCCTCCAGCAGGTGCCCCTCCGTTGCCACCGGGCTTTCAGCAGGCGAGCTATGGAAAATAGTCGTTGACCCTTGGTTTTTTTTTCTCTTTTGTTCTTATGTTTCTTGGGAGGCTGATAGCTTTCTGTGCCGTCTCGGATGATGACCATTTTTGCTCTTCGTCCTTTCTAATATGATGTGATGATTCAAGGGCCACTGTGCCCAGGGTTCTTGTCGAGCTGTTGTTACAACGTGGCTCCCTCAAAGCTCCTTGGATACTGACAGACTGTACTATATCTTCTTTTCTTTTCATTTTCTTTCCAGCAGCAACTGCTACAAGCACACTTTCTAACAGCAAGCCATGTCCATGTTAATTGACAGAGAAAGGAGATTGTACCAGCATAAGGACCAACCCTGCCTGAAGAGCTGGAGCTGAGCTCGACAAACCTCAGTGACAGGATGTGGAGTCCAAGAAGTCACAAGTACGGAAAATAAGGAAGAAAGAAGAGGAAATCAAAGTAGAAGTAGAAGCATAGGACATTGCAAGTGGCAGACTACTACGACGGGGTGTAAAAATAAGGAAATTGCACTAAAGCTGCCGACTCTGCGGATTGCCGGAGAGCAGTTTATGAGAACGAGACGAACTTTGGGTCCCGAGGTCTCCCGTCCGGTCCGATATTATTTTTCGCAAATCGCTGTTCTGTGTAGATCCGGCGGGCCTCATCAAAGTCGACCCGTCGACTTGTCATGATCTTTCTCACCTCCCGCTTTGCTCGTTGGTCCAGGCCCGCTCTCGTGTCCCCATCGGCCACATTGGCGGCTATATCGAACTGTGACGAACTCAGACCAGCTTCTGCATCGGCCGCAAAACTGGAGGGAAGACGTTGATAGATGTAGTCGGGAACTGGCAGCAGAGGTAACCACCTCGATCGAGTGATGTAAAGTGCTACAGATAAGTCAGGCTCATCGCTTCCACAACCCTGATCCCTTTATGTCTCTTCCCTCCAGAACCAACCTACCAGTTCCACCGAGAATGACGGAGAAAAGGAGAAAGTAGAAGAGATAGTAGGTCATGATTATTTGAGGCCAAGGCAGAGGAGTGACCGAATGGCTTGGCAATCTGGTGAAATCAAGGGTGAGGGGAGGGTAAGGGCGTTAGTGATCAGAGGGACCAGCTAGAGCACCAGAAAATGAATGGGCTGGACCAGCAGGAATGCTACCACTGGAGGAGGGAAAGAAGGAGAGGGACAGAACCAACAGGACAAGGGAGGTCAAGAAGACGTCGAGGAGTGGCCTGATGGCCTGACGGAACAGGCACCAAGATATTATCGGTCTATTCCCAAAGCGGCCTGCTTAGCGACTTCCGGGCTTGGCATGCAACACCCACAATCCCATGTCGAGGTGATCGCGACTTCGAGCCAATATCCCCTCGAATATCCATCCAGTCACCATGGCCGCCGAAAGAACAAACATCTCCAACGACCTGATCTGGCAGATCACCCGTATGTCTATCTGCTACAATCCTTTGGGATTTCGTACCACTCCGCCATACACCCGACTGATCGCAAATTCTTTGGAACAGGCAACCAGAATGCTTATCTGGTCAAGCGCAACAGCGGTGGTGGCTCTCAGTTTTCCCGGGATTCTCTGAACCTGCTGAACAAGCATTCCTTCAAGGTACGGAGCTTTGATGGATGGGATACCGCTTTTCTAAATTGCTGACAATTGTGTTTCGATGTTTAGTATGCCGGCTATGCTAACAACAAGGTATCTGACTTGCGACGTGACACTCGATACTCTGGGGGGGTATGTGAAATGCTAATTCAACTACAATAGGCCGTCGGTGTGCAGGCTACTGCCAACGGTGGTGTTGCCGTGACCTCCAAGAAGCCCGGCAACCCTCAGCAGCCCGCCAAGAACCAGGTCACCGTGAGCTTCGGTCCTAACACTGGCACCCGCAAGTAAGCAGAACAGAACCCTCTGGGTGGACCGAGTCGGTACTGATGGCGGTTTCGTTTGTTCAGGATCTACAAGGGTGTTGCCGATAAGACCGCCAAGAATGGCTACCGTGGCGACCTCCGCGAGGAGGCCGTTGCCCGTGTGAGTGCCATTCGTCGCTCGCAGAAGGCCAAGAAGGATACCCCCGCGCAGAAGCCCCGTGGCGCCCAGGCCCGCAAGGCCGCGGAGAAGGATTCGGAGTAAATGGACTCTGAAGTAACCAGCTCTAAATTGCGGATGGCAGGAGGACCCGGATGAAAGAAGAGCGGATCGGATAGGTGTCTACGACTGCGCCGTGCTGGATCAGGGTGAAGATGTCTATGTAATCTAGGGATCTTGCCCCGGACATTAGAAGTACCGAGGCCTTCCAAAGAAGCAAGCGGAAACGCAGGGTTTCTGGTCTTTTTGTCAAAAAGATCAAGGGGAAGAAAAACGCAAAATGAAACAAACTGAAAGATTTCTTGTCCAATGCCCCCAAGACTCGGATACGATCGGGGAGTATGTGAAAACAATTACCCATAATCCAAGGCACATGTAGAGAAGAGGCTCGGGCCGAGCATAGTCACATCGGGAGTAGATCTCGGGGGTAAATCAGAGAGAGAGAGAGAGCGCGCGAGCGAGAGATTGCTGGGCGTCCCGCCTTTTTCCGATGGAAAGGAAATTCACGGAACGATGGGACGGGAGGGTTCACCTGGGCAAGATTGTAAGGTTGTACCCTTGGAAGTACCTGAAGTGCTTCAGTACCTGCGCCCCCAGCCAAACATTAGTAGTAAACGAGGTACACTGGCACGGGCCATTCAAAGACGCCATGACTAACCCCCTCTGGACTGAGGTCCGGGGTTGCCCCTCATAAATGCCCCTCCACCTTTTATTAAGTCGCGCTTTCCTTCCCCTGATCATCCTCTTTCCACCCCCCCCCCCCCCATTCTCCATCAATACATTCTCCCTTTCCCTTTCTTCTTTCCACACACTCTCTCATCATGGTTAAAGCTGGTAGGTTTTGGTTTGGTCTTGTTTGATCTTGCTTCTTCTGCCCCACCCTGCTGGACACTGCTGACTTGTGCGGGGCTTAGTTGTTCTCGGGGCTTCTGGTGGCATTGGCCAGGTTGGTTTCGTTTAGATGTGGGAAATAGTCGTCAGCGTATCTGATGGTCTTGAATAGCCCCTGTCCCTCCTCTTGAAGGCTTGTCCTCTTGTCGACGAGCTCGCCCTGTACGATGTCGTCAATACCCCTGGCGTCGCTGCGGACCTTTCTCACATCTCCTCGGTTGCCGTAGGTTCCTCAGAACCCCCGGGAGTTAATAATGGACATACTGACTTGGAAGTAGAAAATCTCTGGTTACCTTCCCAAGGATGATGGATTGAAGCATGCCTTGACTGGCGCCGACGTGGTTGTTATCCCAGCCGGCATTCCCCGTCAGCCCACCTGTCTAGCCTGCTGTGTGTGTGCGCATGAGGTTCGCTAACATCCGGTGTAGGTAAACCTGGCATGACTCGTGACGATCTTTTCAAGGTCAATGCCTCGATCGTTCGTGACCTCGTCAAGGGCATTGCCGAATTTTCCCCCAAGGCTTTCACTCTCGTCATTTCTAACCCCGTCAACTCCACCGTCCCCATCGCAGCCGAAGTGCTCAAGGCCGCTGGAGTCTTCGACCCTAAGCGCCTGTTTGGTGTGACCACCCTGGATGTTGTTCGCGCCGAAACGTTCACGCAGGAGTTCTCTGGCCTCAAGGATGCCTCCAAGGCAACTGTTCCGGTCATCGGTGGTCACTCCGGCGAGACTATTGTGCCCCTGTTCAGCAAGGTTTCCCCGGGCTTCCAGATCCCTGCTGACCGCTACGATGCCCTTGTCAACCGTGCGTGATTTGTTTTTTTCTGGTGAAATCCCCTGTTACAAATACTAATAACGCACACAGGTGTTCAGTTTGGCGGCGATGAGGTTGTCAAGGCCAAGGATGGCGCTGGCTCCGCTACCTTATCCATGGCCTTTGCTGGCTTCAGGTCTGATCTCACCCTGTTCCCAAAGTGGAGCGAACATTGATATTGATTTATTCCAGATTCGCTGAGGCCGTGATCAAGGCCACCAAAGGCGAAAAGGGCATCGTGGAGCCTACTTTTGTTTACCTTCCCGGCGTAGCTGGTGGCGATGAAATTGTCAAGGCTACTGGGGTGGAGTTTTTCTCTACTCCTGTGGAGCTTGGTGTATGTTTGCTTTTCCTCTTGTGCATATTTGCTTGTTAAGAAGGCTAGCTGACATGATGGATATAGCCCAACGGCGCGGAGAAAGCTGTCAACATTATTGACGGCGTGACCGATCAAGAGAAGAAGCTTCTCGAGGCTTGCATCAGCGGACTCAAGGGCAACATCGAAAAGGGCGTCGAGTTCATCAAGAATCCCCCACCAAAGTAAACGCTTCCCCCGCCCATCATGATTCGCTGCGCAGGTGGAAATCCTCCTCGCGCTTGTTTCTGCCAACGGGTCTTTGTCTGTGGACAATTCTCCGTCGGTTGCAAATGGCAGAGCCTCGCTAATCATTTGTTATCCCGGAAAGATAGGCTCTAAGCGTGAGATCATGAGAATATGAACGACGAACGGACGTGCACGGGAGGCGGCCGTGGATCATATGAGAGGAGGGTGTTGGCAGGCAAGATAGCAACAGACATGCACGCCAAGAAATTAAGATTTCCGTTTCATACCTGCCCGTCGCCTGTATTTTGCTGTAGCCGGTATTCGGACAGCTTCTTCTCTAGGTGGCCTAGAGGGTGCTGTCACACCGATCGTATTTAATCACCGGTCAAGTCAGGGGCTTTCGGCGTGTGAAGATTCGAGGTCGGCTGCACGGCAGGGAAGCTCAGGCCCAGTTGGATATCCATGTCGCGCCTTCAGGGTCGGGGCTGAACGGTTTTGATTTGGAAAGTTGCCCCCGGGAGGTCAGATGTCTCCGCTTGCACCGTCGTGTTGATGCCCAGGTTTGCTAATGCACCGCGAATAATGCCGCAGGGAAACCACAAGTACTAGAGCCACTGTCAGCCCACCATCCTTCAAGTTCAGCGGAGGAAGTTGCCCGATCTCTTACTGCCTGGGCCATGGAAATTGCTTCGCTCCGTACGGCCATGCTCATTCTCGCAAATGGTCTAAACGCGCTGTCGGTCAAAACATATACCCCCTATCTCACGTTAGTGACGTGTATATCTTAAAAAGGCTGCTTGCCGAAAATTGCCGCCGTGCCGACATACTCGATGGTTTGTTTTCAAATTGTCCACTTGTTTTCTGAATAGAACCGTCCATAGATCCTTGCAGAGGAATTTGATGACATCGAGATTGTCGGTGAATCGAGGGCGATCTCGGGAGAACCTGTATCAGCCAGAGAACTGTCAGTCGGCCACACAGCATTATGGAAGATGAAAACCGAATCATCTGGGATGTCCATTTTGCTTTGGGAGTAACCAAGGAAAGCACAGGGTAAGGGGTGGGAGACCGAAGGATACAGTGTAGCTCACCTTTCCGCGAGGCCTTGTCCAACACGATAGCCCAAGGATTCGAGACGAAAGAAGGTCGTCTCCCTGATCTCTTCATCGTCCGGTTCGTTGTGCTCGGCCGATAACTCTTTCGCTAACCGCTCCGCCATAGGCACCAGCTCGATGAGCAGGAAATCGAAGCACGAGGAACTGAGAACACGGGCATTGGGATCAGAGACGTTTGACGGAGAAGTAATGTCGAATGACATGGTGGAAGAGGGCGAGTTGCAGTGATGATGGGTTGGGGGGGGGGGGGGCGGTTGAGTTGAGCTTCTGAGGTGGTACCCGTGGACCGGTCTACGTACGGGTCAGTCAGCATGGGGCTCCACCCCCGGCCGCTTTTTTGCTCTACGCGCAGCGTGTTTACAGCAGAAAAAAAGAAAGAAAGAAAAAACTTGGGGGGTCTGGGCTCTGGAGAGGTTATGCGAAAGAAGAGAAAATGCATTCAAAATCCGTTTTCCCGCCTGCCCCGGTCAACCAAATGCAACATCAAAGACACCCGTGCCCGGTAAACACCATAAAACACCGTGGGAATATGCACCGCAAAAACAGAAACGAGGGAGTGTCAAGCGAACCCCTCTAGTTCGACGACGAATGGGGCCCACCGTTAAAAGGGGCACTAGTGGATGTATGATGACTTGGTCGAGGCCAAGCGCGAACGGCCATGTCAAGTGCGGGTCGTTTAGGAGGAGGCGCGGGAGACTCGTCGCTTTCATCCCCACTACTAATGAGATCAATAACCTGTGTAGCAGGTCGCTTTTTGCTCGACATGCGAGCTGCAGATGATGGAGTTGACGTTTCCCTTGACTGCGCTGGTGTCCGCGCCAGAGAGACACTCAGGGGAACAGGCTCTTGCTTCACTGGAGCGATGCTGGGCTCAATGATCTCAATCAAGTCATCATCTCCCTCTGATGCGGGTGTACCGCCGGCCAGCTTGGCTGACCCTGCATCGTCGGGTGTTAACCATGTCCCATCGGGTTCAATAACGACTTGATCCATGTCGGACGATGTTGATTGGAGGATATCATCGACGTATCTGTTTTATCAGTCAAACAGGGCGCCTTCAGAATGGAAAAAGTGGGGTGTTCAAAACTCACTGGTCCATCTGCAGTGACTCGAAGCTAGTTGACTTGGAACATACAGGGCAGGTCCACGTGGGTGCCTGCTTTTGCAGTTCTAGAAATGAGGATGCATCGAAGCATTGGTTATGAGTGCAAATGACAGAACGACATGGGACCTGGATCCGAAGAGTGGACAGAGGGCACTTGAGAGACATGACGCTGGATGTAGCAACAATATCAGAGTCATTGGCACGATTTTTCACTAAGATAAAAGTTGTTAGGTGGCGCGATCTGCACAGAAACAATGGCTTCTTACTTTCGCGGATGACCTGCTCCTTCGAAATGAGTTTGCGCGACTGCAACTGCGCGACAAGCTCCTCTACTGGATGTCGCTGAACCAGGTTGGCGATCACAAAGAATTTCTGCAGAGCGGTTAGTCCAAGGCCAGGCATAGGACCAATTGCAGGGGAGACTAGATTTCTTGCCTTCTGGGTCAATGCATAAGTCATAACGATGTTGTTGGAATAATTCGGTTTTTTCCGTAAGTAAGGCGTGACATCTGCGGGTTGCGTGGTGCCAGGTCTATTCTTCAGCCCCCGAAGATTGGCTTTGACTTCATCGAGGTTCGCCTTGAGCTCAACCTGATGCGGAAACGCGATATCGGACTTGGTGTATTGCTTGAGGCCGGAGTCTGCCGCACAGTAAACCATCACCCGAAGGTTGGGATCCCTGTCCAGCCTCGAGATGATTGGGAGTGATAGCACAAGCTTGAGCTCTATACTATCTCTTGTCTGCTCTCGAACTAGTATCCGTTAGCTATGGAGGCTGCCCCGTGGTGAGTATAGCTAGAATCCAAAACTTACTTTTGCATTCTACCACAGAGGTGAGAGGTTCCAAGACGGTGTAAAATGGACTTTCTTTGAAAACCAAGGGACCTAGAACAGCAATATCAATGAGCCACATTCAATAAGAGGAAGAGCAGAACTCGGACCTGGATTGTACGAGTGGGACGGCATAAAGATTCCCAGAGCGGCAGAGCGGACCTGCGCCGGTGACGGCTGCGAGGGAGGTGGCTGATACTGATAGCCCGGGCTTGGGTGATATGCCCCAGAGCCAGGGATTGCTGTAGCGTGGATGCTTCTCTTCAGCGCATCGTAGCGGACGGTGTTCCCTTCCAAGCTGGAGAGGCGTTCGAGGTCTATTTCGTGAACAATATCAGTACAAATAAGAACTTTTGAAGAAAGAGGCTAGGGAAAGGATTGGGAGCGAAGTGGACGAACACTCAATAATGCGAAGTTGCAAGGCTGCCTTGACCCCCGACACTTGGAGACCCTGATTTCTCAACAGGTCCTTCAGTTGCGTGTTTGTTAGAGTTTTGATGAGACCGACGAAATAGGGTATCTCGGGCGACTGGGCGGAGGTAGCCATGGTCGTGAAAGGATATTAAGATAGATAGACTGGAGACTTCCCCGGCTTTCACGAGGTGAAATTCAATGCAGCCAGGCCCGGTATGCTGACTCTGCAGGAATACATTTCAACCTAGGCTCTGCTTGGGCACTGGGTTGTCTGGAGAAAGGGATCCTGCAACCAGTCGAATAGAACAATGGCAAAGGGGCTCTGGAGCGCAGTTGATGGCGTCGGGGGTGAAGTGCGCGCTCTGCGGTGGATGACATAAGACAGTGACTGGGGGGAAAAAAAGTTGGATGGCAGAAGACTCCAGTTGCACTCGTTGGATCGAGCAGTTCCTTTCTCTCTTTCTCCCTCCTTCCCCTTCGCCTAAATTCTTACTTGACGTCTATTGAACCATGGCCAAGAGCGTCCGTGCTAGTGTCTCCAAGCGCAACAGAGCCAATCTTCGGAAGAAGGTGTTTGGCCCGGTGGTTGATGCAAGAACTGAAAGACTGGCCGCCAAACTCCAGGACCTTGCATCGCAGCCCCGTCCAGAAGCTTCAGAGAAGTCTGAGATGGATTTGGGTGCAGATGGAGCCAGTATGTAGACTGGTGGATTCTCAATCAACTTGCAAACTAACCGCTTCCCACCCTCAATAGATGACCACAATGCCAATGATGCGGCGAAGTCTTCTCAGACCGGTGAAGGTTGGTCGCTCCTCGTTCCCTGGACATTTTGTATTTTCTTTGGATTGAACTTGGTTAACTTCTTCGGTTTGCCCTCAGAAATGGATCTCGATGCCCTCAAAACCAAGAGCCGATCCCAGAAATCAGGCCGTGTGCAAAAGCGCAATCGGAGGACGCGGCCATCTATCGTTTTCCAGTCGCATTCTTCCAAAGCCAAGAAGGGATCGAAGAGAAAGTGAAATGGAGACGAAATGAGACAAAACATGGCGTTGGGGGTCTATTTGAGAAGTATATGGGCGAGATATTTCTGTGATTTTTCTGCATTTGATACATAGTCACCATACAACCAAAGGTACCAAAACTCCACTGCTTTTCTAGATATTTGTACAATTCCTCCAGGTGATCGTAGGATGTTCTGAGTTGCTCAGGTCGTATATAATACTACCAAGAAGGGTAAAAAAAGGCCGAGGAGCATCTTCGAGCGCACGTCGGAGAGGGGTGATATGAAAGCCAGAAGGCGGTGTGAGAGGAATAAACGCGATTCTGCCCCTTGATCGGCCCTGCTTAGCTCCGTTACATCTACGCTGGTCTGTCTCTTGGGATCCCCCCCCCCCCGGGCTCTTATGGTGGCACTATGGCCATCTTTCGATCCAGCTGGGCGACCTTGGTTGCCAACTTGCTGGTGCCTGTGGGCATTCTCACCTTCTCCTCGGGGTTCTTCCCTTATAAGCCGTTACTCCCTGGGTTGGCTACATTCGAGAACGAGAATGGCACGCCCGCAGTATTCGACAAGGTCATCTTCATGGTGGTGGATGCCCTAAGGAGGTATGGTAGAGCCGGTCACTCTATCTTACCTTGAACCACTCAGCTAAAAGAACACTAGTGACTTTGTCTACGCGAATGGCTCCGGGTTCTTGTTCACGCAAAGGTGAGAATCACCTTGTGACTATACGTCCAACGAGAACAGGGAAGCTGACTGTGCTACAATAGCTTGATTCGTTCTGGCGCTGCCTTGCCATTTACTGCCCATGCGAGCTCGCCGACGGTCACAATGCCTCGGCTCAAAGCGATGACCACGGGGTCTGTTCCCTCCTTCTTGGACGTCATTCTAAATATTGCCGAGTCTGATACCTCGTCGACCCTCGCGTATCAAGATACATGGCTGGCGCAATTGAAAGCCCGAGGAGACCGGCTGGTCATGTACGGGGACGATACATGGCTCAAGCTCTTTCCGGGGATGTTTGACCGGGCCGATGGGACAACGAGCTTTTTCGTGTCGGTCAGTTGTACTTTAGTCGCTAGTGCACAAACACCCTTAGCATGCAAGCTAAGTCTCTCTCTCACAGGATTTTGTGGAAGTAGATCATAATGTCACCCGCCACGTCCCCGGTGAGCTTTCCAACAGCGACTGGTCGGCTCTCATCATGCATTACTTGGGATTGGATCATATTGGGCATAAAGCGGGCCCCAGAAGGTACAGGAGAATCCCTCGTGCTCATTGGGCTGTGGTACCTGACTGTCGACCAGTTCCTTTATGGCATCGAAACAGCACGAGATGGATATGGTGGTAGGCGAAATCTATAGTGCGATGCAACAGAAGCCGCATCTGCAGTCGACACTTTTTGTGTTGTGTGGAGACCATGGCATGAACGACGCAGGAAACCATGGCGGATCGTCCGCGGGGGAAACCTCGCCTGCTTTACTTTTCATCTCTCCCAAGCTGGAGGCCTTGGGGGAGCGGGCAGAAAGCCCTGTTGAACCATTTGCTGATCTTCAGTACTATCGAACGGTGGAACAAGCGGACATCACTCCGACATTGGCAGGACTCCTGGGCTTGCCGATACCTCTGAATAGCCTGGGGGTCTTCATTCCAGAGCTTCTGAATATGTGGGATCACGGTACCAAGCTCGCGCCCCTGTCACATTGATCATTTTGATATTGACTTGGTAATAGGATCACAGAAGCTCCATCTCTTGCATCGCAATGCGAGACAGCTATTGAACACAATCCAAGCAACTTTTCCCGGGTCTTCATTTGGTCTTGAGACTATTGCATCGAGTTGTGCCTCGGGACCAGACTCGGGGATCGAGGGCGCTCAGTGTGCATGGTCTCAAGTGCATCAGCTTCTTGCCGACGCCCCCGAGGCCGGTGACTCGTACACGCTCGCCGGACCCGCTTTGTTGCGGTTCTCAAAGATCGCGCAGGATGTGATGAGCAGCACTGCCAGCAATTACAATCTAGGAAGACTTTGTCTGGGTCTGCTGGTCACAGCTATTGCCGCTGTGCTCGTTTTCCCAACTACCTGTCATCAGTGCATGCAGTCCCGGTATGCCGGGGTGTTCTTGATGTTCATGATCATTGGATATGGGGCCATGATGTTCGCGAGCAGTTACGTAGAAGAGGAGCAGCAGTTCTGGTATTGGATTTGCTCCGGATGGATTGTCTATCTGCACGCCCGATCGCAATCATCTTCGAAACCGGGGTCATCACGGCTGAACAAAGCAGCCTCGCTGGGGCTCGCGGTCTCCCTGCGATTTTTGAGACGGTGGAACCAGACGGGGCAAAAGTTTGCTGCGGAGCCAGACATCGGTCGGACCTTCTTTCCACGCAATCCAAGCATCTTGTGGGGCTTGGTGGTCGTGGCCTATGCCGATGCGGGCGGCCAACTTCTCTCTAGTTTGCCGGATGCTATACTGTTGAAGCTGTGGGCCTTGACTCTGACCATCGGCGCCTTTGGTTTCAAATTGAACTTTGCAGCATCAGATGTCCCGGAACTCCTCGACGGAACCTTCATCTCCAAGACAGTGGGGATGTGGCCCAACGGCCCATCGCTGATTTTGCAGGCAAGGCTTGTTTTCGGGGGATTGATTTGCTTGGTCCTTCTCGCAATTTGCCGCCGGTATAGACTTAGAATCGCGCGAGGTTCGTTTTGGCCCAATTTTCCATTGACCCCGGACTGACCACCTCTAGCGGCACCCAACGCCCTTTTGCATGGTGCTCTTCATCTCTTTTTGATGACCCAGTCAAGGGTCACAAACATCCCACTGTTCCTGATCTTCCGAACCCAGGCGGTGATGCTATCCTCGATGAACCTGACCGGTATGGAGTTGACCATCACGGGCCTGGTCTTGCAGTACATGACATTCTTTGCCTTTGGGGGCTCGAATGCCATCTCGTCTGTCGATCTTTCCAATGCATACAATGGCGTGGGCTCTTATAGCGTGTTGCTGGTCGGCGTTCTCACCTTTGTGAGCAACTGGGCTGGACCTATCTGGTGGCTTTCTCAAAACCACCTGCTCCGAACCAGTCAAGTATCCACAGAGCACAATCCCGCGGCCCTGCTGACGTTCCATGTCGCAACTTCCGTGATCTCGGTCATGGCTGCCTGTACAGCTCTTCGCACGCATCTCTTCATCTGGACCGTGTTTTCCCCGAAATTCCTTTACACGATGGCATGGGCCACAGCCCATCATGTGGGGGTGAACCTCCTGGGCGAACTCGGCCTCTCCTCGCTTCGATCTAGATAATCATTGTATCGGAAATTTGACCATCGCAATTCGGTATATAATCCACACCCGTCGTAGGTGCTGCTTGGGCGATGCCGGAAGGGTAGATGGAAGAAAATCATAGCAAACCATTAAAGAGATCATCAATGGCATTTTTCTTCCGCTTTTTTGTTTTGGCCTTCTGTGTCTTCTTGGTTGACTGGCTGGAAGCTTCAGTGAGCTCGGCGATGTCCATCCTCGAATCCCCTGATCGAGAAACACGCTCTCCCAGATCCTCCTTCGCCGAAGCTACAGCGGGGGGGCCTTTCGGGAGGGGTTTCGCCCGGGGTTGCGATTTACGCTCATGCGCAATCCTGGTTGCCTTTGTCAAACGCGCCAAAGCAGCAAGTAAGACTACTCCCAGCGTAGAAAACTGATTATCGGCCACGACAGTGGAAAATGCCCTGGAGTTTGGAGAGGACCAAGGGGTTAGCATACATCCTGGGCAACTCACACCGGTGCCGATCGGGCATCTAGGGACCAGGCCAGAGGCGTTACGCACTGGAAACATCTTGGGATGAGGGAGGTAGCTAGATGTTGCTTGTAGGCGTGGGCGGCAGTAGCATCAAACGCGCGATCATCAAGGGCGTTGGCCAGTTTCAAGGTAATGCGCTTCAAGGCCGACAGCCATTTCCACCATTTGGTTCTTTGGTGCTGATTCTTGTTGCGGTGAAAAATCAAGTGGAGGGTGGAATGGACCGCCAGGATTTCTTTCGAGTCCATGACGGAGATGGTAGACGAGCAGAGAGTGGGAGAAAAGTCGGAAGGGGCGAGGTTCCCCTGCCCCACATCACCGATCGACAACTTGGGCGTTAGCGAAAGAAAACAATGAACGCAAAGCAAGAAAGAAAAACTTGTTGGATACCAAGATCGAGGCGCAGAGTGCAGGCGATATGGCCCACTCTCGAGGTCCACAACTCCCCAAGATTCAGCGGATCAAAGACCCGTCGACTCCCAGGCGCGCATCTCAGAAACTAGGTACAGGAATCACCCTCCCAGAAACCACAGGAACTCCGAGATTGAGAATATGATCACGAATTTATTGTTGTCACATCCAGTCCAGATCTTTTTTCCCCCATGTCGATCATCTACTTCTTGTGGGGACGGGGACGCGAACCCGAATTATTGACGAGACGGGACAGGAACAGCCCTAATTCTCCATCAGTTGACCGATCATCCATGGAGAACAAGACGACAGACCATTCTGGCGCGTGTTGTTGATGCTGCGCGTGAGTTTGGTGTTGTCATTGGCAGCAGGGAATTCACGCTCCATCCCGGCGTTGGGACCTCCCACATGGTAGATCTGATCGCGGTCAACATGAGCAACCCTGGCAAAGGGTGAAATCTTCCACTCACATGAGGGCGAACCTCATGGGGCATCAGCATGACCGAGCTGTTGCGGAAATGCTCGATCAACCCCGCCTGACCTTGGGTCGCTATTGTGTCCACATCCTATATTAGTCTCACCAAGAAAACAAAAGCGAAAGCAAAAGACAAGCGAGAGCGTTGTAACTGACTGGCGTAGCTGATCTCCCCGATCTTCTCCGACTGGTAGCCCGGCCTACAGAATTTCATTAGTATATCCACCTCAACTGCATGGGGTAGGGGTGAAAGTCTTGGTTCGGTCTTACCACGGCTGATTGTGGCGGGCGTGGAAGAGCTGTATGGAAGAAAAAAAAAAGTTAAATCCTCCTTATAGACATGGTTTCATTCCGGAACTTACCGGCAGGATGTCACCTGGCTAAAGACTGGTGAGCGACAACGAATATAGACGTAAGTAGAAGAAGGACTTGGACCTACCTCAGCGAAGTTCACAAAGGCATACCCCACGCTATAATCATGTCAATGCGTATGAAACACTCATCGATCACTGAAATCTTACTTGCACCCATGCGTAAAGTCTGGAAACTGTTAGAATACTCTGACCGCGAACACACAGTGAGCAGATCGCTTACCCATTCGCAGATAAATGAAGTCGTATCGACCAAAACTGGTCCGGTCGAGCAGATCCTTCAACTCCTTCTGTTTTAATTGATAAGAAATCCAAATTGTTCGATAAATGATTTTCTCATCACAGGTAATCATACCTGCGTGATCTTGTTGGGGATGTTGCGGATCATCACCTTCCCAAAAACATGTCAGACGACTACACCAAAAGGGAACGAGAGTGAGTACAGACCGTTGTCCGAACATCCAAGCCGTTGCGGATCTTGTCAGGGTTGGGCTGCAGGTTCTTGTCGGGAACCGACACAACCCTGGTGGACTTGGGAGTGGGTCGCCGGCGGTTCGAGCTCGGCGCCATGTTCTTTGGTCCCGTGGGAACCAGAGGCCGGGAGTCCGAAGTAGGGACGAAATGAGCCTTCTTCGTGGTCGACTGAAGGTTGTTGCTTCGATCAGCACTGGCAAGGATGGCAGCTGGGGTTTGCAGCTGCGAGTCGACATCAGGTTGGTGCAGGGTGACATCGAAAAGCAGAACCTGCAACATATCAACATCCATCATTCAAAAAGGAGGAACAGGAAAGCATACTCCACTCGGTGAAATTGGAAACGCCTTGGCGGCATTCAAAGCGTGGCGAATATCGAAAAACTCGACGCGGAATTCAAAGATGCCACGACCAAGGTTGCTTTCAACAAACTGGAAGTGACCAACAGGCCCCAGCATCAACCGCACCATGGCCTGTGCCTGGGAAAGGGTCATCTGGGGGGTAGCATCGGTACCAAGGGAAACATTCACCTGGCCCTCATAGTCAGATGGGCGAGATCGCACCGCGGAAAACCGGTCAAACTCCTTGCGAGTCAACGAAACAATTTCCCAGCCCGGTCGAAGATACTGGATTTTATCCTTGGCCGCGTCTGCGTCCGCGATGTTGGCGAAGCCAACAACAAAGCTGTTCTCGGTTGAAAGCCGGTTCAGCGAAGGCCCATCCAGAGTGGGGAATTCTTGAAACTGTCGCGGGTCAGTCTTGAGTCCCAGTCAACTGGTTTTTTTTTTTTTTTTTTCACATACATGGAAAAATTGCACAATGCGCTGGGGATCAGAATCACTGATCACATTGTTGACGAGGAAATGTCGACCACGTCGGTCTGCAGACAGACTGGTCGAGTTCACTGGCGCATTCATCTGACCCATGTTATTCCTGGATGGAGTCGGACGAAAAACCGGAAGGGTAGCTGTAACATAAGCAGAGGTGGAAGACGGAAAGCCACTGATTCCAGTGGGCATCGGGGTCACGTTCGATGTGCCCGAAGCGAACCCCCCGGTAGGTGGGAGAGCGGCAGGCAGAGCTGCCAAGGCAGATCCCTGACCATTTGCGCTAGAAGATCCGAAAGGAGGCTCAGCCTGCATAGGCAAATAACCTGAGTACAGGTTCGATGCGTTCGACTCAGGCGGAATTGGAGTACTGCGAAGATGGTCAGTACATGATGTTCAACAAGAAAGCAGACAAATGATCTAACAAGGGACGAATGGGATCCTCATCCGTTGAAGAGGAAGTGTCAAAGAAAGGTCCTGCATAACGAAGTGTATTCCCGTTACCAGACCAGGGATGATGACCATCAGCCAACGAAGGCATGGCCTGGCGCCGGTCACTCATGGCAGGCGGTGTCAGGTTTTGATGTGATGTTTGGAAAAAAGTCAAGGCGCACAAAGGAACAAAGCAGCAGGTAAAATGAGCCACGAGACAAAGGGAAAAGAGGATGGGAGGATAAGAAGAAAGGGACAAAAAAGATTGGGGAAAAAGGGAAAAAAAGAAAGAAAGAAAGAAAGAAAGCAGCAAGAAATGCCTCTACTTATACCCAGGCTACGACTCATACTTTGTTGTCGCGTTACCGTATCGCCGCGGCGACTCACTGATTTTACAGCTCATTGGCTAGGATCTCGACTCATACGCTGAAATCGCGGCTGGGACGGCTGGGATCGCGACTCATAGGGGTTTAACACAAGGAAAGTAAACAAGCCCAAGGCTAAGGAGATTTCCTGGAGAAAGTAATGGTTAGACGGATAAAAAAGCAGCTAATAATAGTATATAGAGTGCCCAATATGCATTGATGCCGCTCGCAGATCGCTTTAACACTAATTCATAGCCCTTCAGTAGACGTTCTCATAGTCCCATGCACTCGTATTGGAACATACTGTGGATTCCTTAGTGCCAGATTATTATCTCCTGACCGTAAATTGAACAGGAAAAATGCACCTGGGCTACTTGCATCACAGGCTCTTCTACACCTGATAAATAATTATATACGATGCGGATATCTCTATACAAAGTGACGTTCAGGAGATCGGACGCCTATTGGATAATTCTCTTCTAGACCCACTTAGTGTCGTAGTAGCGTAAGTTGGTCGAGGTCCGTGCGCAGCGTATTTGAACCTCATTGCTTTTAGGCCCTAGGACTCCTGCTTGGCCCTGCTTGCAATCATGCCATCCATGGCAACTTTACGGGAGCCTCATGTGCTCAATCAGGTAAAGACCCTTAAAGGAGATTGACTAGAGGATGGGCTGACCGCATATTTAGATCATCATCTCCCCCTCCGATACCGACTACCTAGACCAGCTTATCCCCTCCATTCGCGAATACAGTGTGGGCAACCGGACCCCACAGCTCCTCCATTCCCTTTCTCGGTTTGCCAGTGACAAAGAGGCTGAGATTGAGAGCATCTGCAATACCAACCACCAGGAGTTCGTCTCGTCCGTCAACTCACTGCTGGGTATTCGCGAAGGGACAGTGAGCCTGACCGCGGAGATCCTCGACCTCAACCAATCCATCCAGACCAGTACTGAGCGGCTTGCGGAACAAAAGAAGGCCCTTGTTGAATCACGTGGTCACCGCCAGAACATAGATGAAACCTCCCGTGCTATCCAGGACTGCTTGGAGGTCCTACGCCTGGCCAATCAAGTTCATGACCTGTTGGCGAAAAAGAATCACTATGCGGCACTTCGAGCATTAGAGGAGCTTCAGAATGTCCATCTCAAGGGGGTGACCCAATACAAAATTGCGGTCATGATCCAGCGCTCAGTGCCGGCGACACAGCGGGCCATCGCCGAAGCGGTCATGTCGGACTTGAATACGTGGCTCTACCGAATCCGGGAGATGTCCCAGTACCTTGGTGAAATTGCCCTCTTTCACACAGACCAGCGCAAATCGCGACAGAAACAACGAGCTGAGAGGATCCCGTACTTGGACCACTTCAACCTGAATTCCGCGATCGAGCTGGTTTCGGACGAGGACGAAGAGTATGACCTGCTACACAACGACGATCTTCAGGTTGACTTCACCCCTCTTTTCGAGTGCCTGCACATCCACCAGTCTCTAGGGCACATGGATAAGTTTCGCATTGAATACGCCAATACACGCCGACGACAAAAGGACCTCCTGCTTCCAGCGTCCATTACCTTGATTGATGAAGACGGCGCCAGTCTACACAATTTACTGGAGGAGATGGCAGGTTTTGCTATCGTGGAGCGGTCGACGATGAAACGAGTCCCCGATCTCAGATCGCCAGTAGATGTAAGTATCTCCTTCATTGTTCTTGGCATCCAGATATCTGACCTGCTCTTTGGTGCCATTTGACTAGATTGACGAGCTGTGGGATTCCATGTGTCAAACGGCCGTTGCTTTGATCTCCAAGGCACTTCCTGAAGTGGACAACGCAGAGAACATTCTCAAGATCAAGAACCTGATTGCCTTGTTTATGCAGACGATGAATGTCGGAGACCCCAGCTTTCATAAACTGCGGTCTGCATGGCTGACCTGTGACATAGACCTGGAATTTCCCCGTCAGGGTTTTCGATGACTTCTTGCTGAAACTCTTTGAAAAGTACGCGGAACTTCTCAAGAAAAGATTTAGTGACGATTTCCAGGAGGTATGGCTTCTTTCTGTGACGATTTGGTCGATTCGACTGACATGGCCAGATTGTGTCGACCGATGACTACATGCCCATGCCAATCCAGACCCCCGAAGAATACGACAAGGTACTCAATGTGAGCTGGTATAGCCCGGACAGGCCGCGCGAGGAGCAATCGTACGTTTGGGGATATTATCTTTCTTCCGTTTATATAGCCTTGACTGATGGCTGGAATCAGGTACCCATGCATATTGCCGTTCTCGCGAATGTATCCGCTGTGCTGCATCGACATCCGGAATTTTTTAAACCAGTTCTACTTTTTTGCCAACGATGACTTCTCGAACCCGATTGCAATTGACGAGACCTTGAAAGAGGTGAGTGCGGACCCTTCTTTCCCCTCAGAACATCAGAACTGACCGAAAAGTCGCTGGACGATCTCTTGTCACGGAAGGTCTGTGACACTCTGGTGGAGCGTCTCTCCTCACAATACCTGGGACAGATCGTCCAAATTCTTATCAACTTGGAGCATTTTGAGCTGGCTTGCCACGAGCTGGAACTCCTTCTGGCGGCAGCAAGGTCCCAGAATTCCACCGGCACTTCAATCATATTGAAAGCCACGGAGAAATTCCAAAATAACAAGAAAGCAGCTGAAAAACGCATTTTCGAGGTAGTCAACTCCAAACTCGACGATCTCATCGAAACCGCGGAATATGAGTGGATGGCACCCACGGCTCCCATTGAGCCCAGTAATTACATGCAGACCTTGACTCGGTTTCTGTCCAATATCATGAACTCTACTTTGCTCGGTCTGCCGACCGAGATCAAAGAGCTGATTTACTTTGACGCTCTGAGTCATGCCGCAAATATGATCTTGGTGAGCCCCCTTGTCGAGCTTTGAGATCTTGGCCCCGAATACTAACTGGCTCTGAAGGCACAACCACTCGCCCCCGAGGTGAAGAAAATCAACCCAAATGGAGTGATAGCATTGGCCATGGATGTCGAATATCTTGCGCAATTCGTGGATAGCTTGAATGTGCCCATTCTGCGTGAAAATCTTGACGAGTTGCAGCAGACAGTCCAACTGATGCAGGCTGAGAATGCGGATGAGTTTTATGATATCTCCACGCGAAACAAGAAATACGGGCGTGTTGACGCCATGCAAGGGCCCCTGCTGCTCGAGAAGTATGGCTTTGCAATCCAATTCACCCCGTGCATTTGCTAATCTGTTGATAGACTCACCCGTACTGTCCAAGCACCAACCAAGGTAGACAAGTTCGCGACCCTCTCATCGCGATTCAAGAAGACTTGATCAACCCCGCTGGACACCATTTGATGATACCCTAACTGTCTGCTACAATGAAAGGGAAAGCCTGGTCACAAGGTTATACAATTTTCTACCATAGAGCAGTCACAAACAATACGAAAACCTCGATCGAGGCTCTTGATAAAAACCCACAAAAAAATCAATAATAAAGACAGGAAAAAGTGCCAGTCTCTTCCCCTACTAAACCAGTGGTATCCATGTTGCCTTTGCCTTGCATAAAATCAAATAAAACACTGCGAAGAGAACGGACAAAAAAAAAGCAATAAGATCGAAGCATTTATCTCAAAACATGCACTATTCCTCAAGCTGCCGTGGAACAAGTTGCATAATATCCATTTACTTGATGACATTAGCCTTCATTCTCAAGATAGATCGGACACTTCGATGGTCACGTACCTGCTGGGGAGGCAGATGCGGGTACGCATACATTCCCTCAAACATTTGAGACTGGGGCTGCCCGTATGCCGTGGTTGGGTCAGACTGGACTGCTCCAGGGTACATCGCCGGCTGTGGGCGATACTCCTGGTCTTGCGGGAGACCATGTTGGCCCAGGGACCCATAATCCGCAGGCCCCATATGTTGGTGCGGCTGAACGCCATGCTGTGTCGGCGGCAATTGACCCGCTGAAGGTCCGGGTGCCGTACCAGCCTGGCTAGATCGCTTGGCATGCGAGGTCGCTTCTTCACGAGGGACAATATCGATAAGGAAATCAAACATGTCGGACTTGGAAAGAGCCGCAGCAATATCAGACCGCTGCAGTGTACGGCGCTTGTTGTCTTCGGCGTGGATCCAGGCGCGCATGGTCAATTCCGTAATGAAGATGTCGCAACCCTTGGCAAACAAGATCGGCGCCTCCGCGGAGATCATTTTGACCTCTGGATCCGCTTTCATCACCTTCTTGATGCGAGCCAGTGGCAGCTGATGAACCTTATAGTCGTGGCTCTCGTTTTCCAGATGGGAGATCACATGTTGCCAATAGGTCGTCAGGATATCGCGAGCTGTTCCTTGAAGGCCTTGGTTTACCTGGAAAAAATAAGTATTTGGGCTTGCGGGAGACGAGGCTAGAATTCCCTAGGAACTTACGTTGGCCCAAGTGCCGGTGTAGAGCTCGGCGACTGGTGCATAACCTTGCGCTGAAAGCTAATTAGGTTGAATGTTAGCTAGCTGTATCTTAGACTCATCGCCACGAGATCATCGCGACAAGGCTCTGGTCATGGTGGATGGCATTACCGCTGCACTGGCCCCTATAATCGCAATGTCAGCTTATGCACTTAACTGAGCTCGAGTTAGGAAGAGACAAGGCCAGCAATTTGCCTATAACCAGGTCCCGGCGCAGTTCTCGATCACGGTGTAGGGTGATGTTGGAATTGAATTACCATAATGTCCTCCATTCTGGGTATCATAAGAGGGCTGCTGTGGTCTGCCCTGCTGTGGGCCGGCACCCTGAGAGGCGGGATCCATGGGAAAATAGCGTGTTTGGAACCGTGTGTGGTGTCCGGGATCAGATGGAATTAAGCTGGTGTTGCGAGCTCACCAGGATGCTGGGAGAATGCGACGCGACTGGAGAACGGATGGGACGGGCCGCCGAGTCCGAGAGGAGGCGCGATGGAAGGAATTGCAAATAAACTAATCAAATTGATGGAATCCGACGAACTGATCTGCCCCGGGAGAACGTGTCAAGCCGAGGTGCAGGTGTGCGATGAGAAGCGCGTAGGAGCGTGCCAAGCACGGGCAGCGGTCTGACGTTTCCGGGTGTCCCCCTCCAAGCTCTTTCGTCCAGCAATTGGATTTCTTACGTCGTTCACCTTTTTCCTTAAGATCCTTATGGTATTTATATATTTGACATTTTACAAGAATAGTCTTATGTAGTCAGAATGGGGCAGGTTGATCAATCAGCATAATCATCTCCTGGTCTGATCGTGCGGGGTGGTCTACTAAAGCTGGTACTTGATGGAAAGTACCGGTACATATTATGCGCGCAGAAAATTCAAGCCATGTAGGTTCCAGTACATGGAACCTAAGTAAGGGCCTTATAAAGTCATGTGATCAATAAGGGAAAAAGAAAAAGATTTCTCATAAAAGTTTCTCCGGTTCCGACAAGCTAAAAGCTACCAGCCCAAAAAAAAACCAAGATTTACGTTCTCCCCCCCCCCCCCCCCCAGTGGACTGCTCTCACGATTTCTCTCATCCAAACCAGCAGGGATGGCAGATCTAGCTCGTGGGGAGGCCAATACTGTCTCTCCTCAGGACGAGGTGGATTTGACCGATGCCCAGATCCAACAGCTTCTTCTAGAAGCAGAAAATCGACTGCGAGGCCCCAACAATCAAGTCACACCCGCCGATGCCACATCATTAAGGTATGCTAGTGGGATTCATGGTTATACTTTCCTGGGAGACAAGGACTCATGTCACCTTAGAATTCCGAAATTGACAGGTTCCTCTATCGAGCCCTATGTTCGTCAGGGCGAGGAGAGTGCCACGGTGGATTCAGCCCACATCATTGATCCAAAGCAGAAGGAATTATCGAACTCTCTGCACCCAATTCATACCAAGAAATTAAACCAAGTGAGTCGAAGACCCTGTCTCCATCTTCCCCTTTCCATTGCTATGAGGAAATTTTATCCCAACGCATTAGCGCTTGATGCAGCGTAACCAGTCCGTCTTGGGCTGTGCTGTACCAATGAGAGTCTTTATTTCATAGTTACTCTGAGCATTCATCTCATGATGTCTTTTTTAACGTTTTTGCATGGCGTCTTCGCTCCTCTGCTGACTGCCGACAATCTTCAAGGACAAGCCTACTGCTGGGGCTGATTGGTTCAACCTCCCGAAGACGGAACTGACGCCCGAACTCAAGAGGGATTTCCAACTTCTTCGAATGCGCTCCGTGCTGGACCCAAAGAGACACTACAAAAAGGAAAGCGGCAAAGCAAAACTGCCCGAGTTCTCTCAGGTCGGAACCATTATCGAGGGCCCGACCGAGTTTTTCAGCGGCCGGATCACGAAGAAGGATCGCAAGAAGACATTTGTTGAAGAAACCATGGCTCTTGAAAGAGAGACGAGACGGTTTGAATCCAAGTACAAGGACATTCAAACCACAAAGCAGAGCGGGAAGAAGGCCTTTTACAAAAACCTCCAGGCAAAGAGGAGCCGGAAAAACAAATAATTTCTTCCTTGCCTTGCTGGTCTGGCGGTAAATCATCGTTGATTGGCTTGCTACATACATTCATCGAGATCTATACTCACTGGGCCTCTCATCAACCCTTGTGACTGCCCCGATGCACCAACATGTGAAACTTCGAGGGTGTTGACCACCATTTTTTAAGACTCGAAGACGTTCACCAGTGTTTGCACGACCAATGTCTGCCATTGGTGTTAATTATCGGCTACGGTTTGGTGGACACGAAGGGGCATCTTACCTGCATATCAAGCGCCGCGGTCCGGCCAGCTTCAAGAACCTCCTCGTGTCCCGCCTTGCCTTCCTCCAAAATGGCGCTCAGTTCGCCTGCTGCTTTGTTCTGGAAAATATCCTCGTCGCCTCGAGGGACTGGAGACAGCACAGCATTGTTGGTCACGAGGCTAAATGCTAGCACTCGAACACCGCAGTGCCTGGCTACGACGATCTCCGGGACTGTTGACATTCCCACCACATCGGCCCCCAACAATCGAAGCATTCGGCTTTCGGCTCTTGTCTCATACCTGGGTATTGTCAGTTGGAGGCTTTGTCAAGCGAGGCAATGTTCCCATGGCATGCTTACGTAGGACCTCCGACGAACGCATAGACACCTTCATGCAGCCTTCTTGTGCTTCCGGTGGGGATCACTGCTTTCCATGCCTGGTGCACCTGGCGACGAAGGTCGAGATCATATGCATCGGATAAAGGTGGGAAGCGAACTCCGAATTCTTCGGCATTTGGCCCTCTCAAAGGATGCACGCCTGCCAGGCCTGCCAGGAAGATATGCTGCCGGGGGGAGTTAGCAGTTCAAGCTCGGTGATTATTCGGGAGGGTGAGGCCTTGCATCATTCAGCACGACGATATCTCCCACAGAATATTCAGCATTCAGGCCTCCAGCCGCATTTGTCACTATACCATACATAGATCAGCTATAAATCGCGGTCTTTTTTGGCGCTAGACCTGAGGGGACCATGTAAAACTCACGCACGACAGTGTCAACCCCCAGCTGCTTGAACACGCGAATAGGGAAGGTAACTCGATCAATCGAGTGCCCCTCGTAGTAGCTACACCAGCATCAGCAAAGGCGCATCTCGGCGATTCTGTATTGAGACTCACTGCGTACGGCCCACCATCAACACTGCGGGGATCTTGTGGCCAAGCAACCCAAAAACCAACTTCCCAGCATGTCCCGCGACTAGGAACGATCAGTCATTTTGATCAACCACATTTTCAGTGACCAGACCATACCTGTTGGACGAGGAAAATGGGGGATGGATGCGTAGTCGTATTCTGCCCGCGGCTGGGCGTGAATGGTGTCTGCCAGTCCTCCTAGCCCGGAACCACAGACGATGGCCACTCGGGGATTTTGCAAACCCTCGGGCAAGCGACTCTCGAGGAACGATACCGCCTCATTGGCTTGCTGGAATGAGGAAAGGTCGGATTTGGTCATTTTGGCGCCTACACTGGTTCGTTGGAGAAAGAAAAGATGAGAGCGTGAGGTTGAAAAGATTGCCGAGTGCGTAGTCATCCCGGTGGTTCTATTGCGAGTTTCTACTTCAATTGCAAGACCGGCTTTTTCTTTCTTTCTTTCTTTCTGTCTCTATTTGATTCGCATTCGAGTTTGAACGGATGTTCTTTTTTATTTTGTTCTCTATATCTGTGTTCATTCCTATTGCTGCCCTCCCATGTCTCTCTCTCTCCTGTAACACCCCAACATCCATGACCAAAAGAGAACTCGAATTTCTAAGCCTGTAGACCTGTAAGTCGAAAAGAACCACCGCATGAACCCTACAAACCCCGAGTGTTCAGCGGTGATTCTAGTCCAAACCCGTTGGATCCAGTACTTCAGTCCATGGATGCACCGCGGGTGGTTGCAAGGCGGTCAGCCCCAGGCCAACCTGCAAAAAAAAAACCCCCCGTCCATCCATCTCCCCCCAATTGTACACTATCGACCATGTTTTCATATTCTACACGCTCCTTAATTGGAGTGGGCCGCCAACTACGGGTATTTTACTCTTGCTGTTTTCATTTACCATTGCAATCGCGCTGACTGCCTCGGGGAAGGTGCCCGGATCTATCCGCTCTCTATCAAGCCAACCGAATGTCTCATCGCCAGGGCAAGAGACAACGGTCCAAGTGGACCCCACGTCGAAATCTCCTTCTCCGTGAGATACAGCTTCTTCTCCAGTGTTCACTGTTGGGGTTCCTGGCTAATTGCGTTTGAGCTCAGGTCGACACCCCAGCAATCCCCCGAGCAACCCCCCGAACAACCCTCCGAGCCACGCGTGAAAGAATGGTTAGTCTCCAAGGCGCATGATCCAGAGCTGTTCCAAACCCACTGTTGCTCACTATTCTGTCAGGGCGGAACGGTTAGGAGCTCTTGGCGAGAACGCTCGACTGCCACGAAGCGTACAAGCGATATATTTACGACCGCTGCGCAGGAAGGCGGAATACGGTCTTCCAGTGTGTGATCTTCAGCTGCGATCCTACAGCGTTGATAACGTCGAGTTTTTTGCGGACTTCGCCATTCGCGCTGCGTACTACCTCAACCTCCCCGTGTCCGGCCCCGTGCCCCTGCCTCGCCTTGTTCAACGCTGGACCGTACTGCGAAGCAATTTCGTGCACAAGAAAAGCAAGGAAAATTTCGAGCGAATTACCCTTCGTCGGTTGATTCAAATCAAGGATGGCAATCCGCAGGTAGTGCAAACGTGGCTCGCCTTCCTTCGGAAGCACGCGTTCTACGGGGTCGGCATGAAGGCCAATGTCTGGGAACACGAAAGCCTCGGTACAGTTTACCCTTCCCTCGAAATTGCTTGGATAACCCAACTACTAACCACCGGTGATATGACAGATGTTGGCAAGGCCATGGATGAATCTTTGCCCGAGATCGAACAGTCTCTTCGCCCATACCTCGCCCAATTTGGACAACGGGAGAACAAGTCGGCAGAGAACGCCAAGTTCGATATCTTGGAAACTGGTCGGTTTGCCGAGCGCAACAATCAATAGACTGTGCATATCTTGGGGTTCACTGCCCCATAGTCTTGGGTATTTCGACTGGTTTTCTTACCCATTTGATGCAACCTCTCTCCGGGCTCCATGTATTTTATTGTTTCTCATACCTAACCCCAGCGGAGAATGGGCGTTAAATTCTTTATTTTCAGTTCTGGTTTTCTCTAGTCATTCGCATAAACATCAGTAGAACTACTCGGTACTTTCGGCTATCTGTTGATCCAGGTCACGTGGTCCCTCTGTGTGGTTGCGGCCGAGTGTCGAGAAAGCATCGCACGCAGACCCAATTTTCCCACCTTTGCGCTCCTTCATGATCCGATAGAGGATGTGTGCCGCCATTTGTCGTCATGGCAGCCTCATGGCATCACTGAGGGAAAATTCCCACCGTGCGCGCTGGGAAAAGCTCTCTAGTGTTGCGAGGACCTGGTATCGATGGAGCAGTACCAGCCCGCAAACACCAGTTCCAGAGCCTGTGATCTTCTCTGGGATTCAGCCCACCGGTGTCCCTCATTTGGGTAACTACCTGGGGGCTCTCCTTCCATGGGTGAAGCTGCAGCAAGATGCAAGCCCTGGGACCAAGCTGTTCTTCTCCATTGTCGACCTCCATGCATTGACAGTGCCGCAAAACGCCTCTCAATTGAAAAAGTGGAGAGCCGAGGCATTTGCAACTCTCCTTGCTGTGGGACTGGACCCGAATCGCTCCACGATCTTCTACCAGTCTGCTGTAGGTGCTATCGCCCCCAAAGTCCTTTGATGGGTAACATCTCGATAGTAATGACGGATACCAGGTGCCTGCACACGCGGAATTGATGTGGATCCTGAGCACCGTTGCTTCAATGGGGTATCTTTCGCGGATGACCCAGTGGAAGGTAAGTAGTCCCTGGATCACCAGGGACAAAAGAAGCCTGCGTGTATCAGCGACTAATTAGCCCGGGGCATCACCAGAGCAAACTACAATTGCCAGAAGACACAACACTGGAGCATTCGGAGGCACGGGCACAGCTGCGACTGGGACTTTTTTCTTATCCTGTGCTCCAAGCTGCCGACATTCTCGTCCATAGGTGCGGTGCTGATCTGTCTTTGGTGAGCTCTCGGTTCTTGCTAATAGGTTACTAGAGCTACTCATGTCCCGGTAGGCGAGGACCAACGACAGCACTTGGAGTTCTCCAGATACACGGCCAATAGCTTTAACCACCTCTTTGGGGATCTGTTTCCTATTCCCGAGGCGTTGATCTGTAAGACCTCGCGCTCTGACCACAAAACCACGGTGCAAATCGTTGACGAAAAGTAAACAGCTCCCGCCAAGCGAGTTATGTCGCTCAAAGAGCCAACCTCTAAAATGTCCAAGTCCCACGCCGATGAGCGATCGAGGGTTCTTCTTACCGATTCCCCGGCCAGCATTCACAAGAAGGTTAAAGTCGCCCTCACAGACTCAGAGCCCATGATCACATACGATCCGATCCATCGTCCTGGTGTTTCCAATTTGATTGAGATCCTCAGTCATTTTGAGGATATCCCATGCGATATTATTGCCTCGGAGTATCAAAACGCAAGCCTCCGATCGTTGAAGGAGCACGTGGCTGGGCGGATCGTCCATCATCTTCACGACATCCGCGAGCGGTACCAGCAAATCATGGCGGACCAGATTCAGCTGGAAGTGATTGCTCAGCAAGGAGCTGAAGCTGCTCAGGCGAACACGAACAGGACCATGAACCGAGTTCGGGACGCTCTGGGGCTGTGATGGCGTAGACAGAAACTTGTACAATAGATATGTATAGACTACCTAGGGATGACCCCACCATATGCCCTAATTTAACATCCATGTATAACCCTGTATATAGAACCGAACTAGAAACGAACCAATCAGGTCATTTTCGCATGATTAACAATCCAGTGCCGTGCAGTAAAAGAGCGTCATCCCTCCGCGTCATCGCCCACTACGTGTATACGGGTGTCTGCGTACGTAGAGAACTTTGGGGATTTTAGTTGATTTTTATTTTATTTCCAAAATCGCGGCAACAATCTCGCATTATTTATTATTATTATTATTATTATTATTATTATTATTATTACGATGATGATTTATTTTCTCGTGTTCTAACATTTCGCACCATCCGCACCCGGAAAACCTCAACCTCTCGGTAACCCGCGAAAAGATGACGACGACAAATCCGGTGGAGACTTGGACCAGCGCCTTACCCGTCAACGGATCCCTCGGCATTTTCGCAACGAAAACGAAGAGGTCCACCAAGCCACAATTCGACCAGGACCCAAATTTCCAGGTTCCCAACTCGAGTCATGACAGGTCTGGGGTGGCGAGCATACGACAGCTGTGGCACATTGTCCGGGAGATGATAATAGACTCGGTCCCAGCTATTCTTTTTCCTTTTCTTTTCTTTTTTTTTTTTTTTTTTTTGTGTTCTCAGGTTCTCTCGACATTTCCCATAAACCCATAAATTACCCTGGAAAATGAAGTCTGCGCTTCTACTGGCAACCCTCGCAATTCCCGCGGTGGGTCGCCTGAATCTTCAGAAGAGAGACATCCCAGCTGCGGTGGGCTTGGATATCCAGCGCAAAAATGTCCTGGACCCCGCGGCCCGGGATCGATTGAGGAAACGAGCCAAGACAGTCAGCCAAGATCTGGATAACGAGGTTTGCATTGAATATAGAACATGGATGAAATTGGACCTGGTGACTGACGATCTCCAGGAAACTCTTTACTTCAGCAATGTCACGCTGGGGACGCCAAAGCAAACCCTGCGGCTGGTTCTCGATACTGGAAGTAGCGATCTGTGGTGTAATGCACCCAATTCGTCGCTTTGTACTTCTAACGACGATCCTTGCAGCTCGTCCGGCACTTATGACTCCAGCGCCTCTTCGACGTATTCTTTTGTCTCGTCCGATTTTAATATCAGCTATGCGGACGGCTCCGGTGCGGTCGGCAATTATGTCACAGACACTCTCCGCATCGGCGATGCCACCATTAAGGACTTTCAGTTTGGGGTGGGCTACTCATCGGGCTCTTCGGGTATGTAGGAACCTTTCTTTCTGGTCTTCCATGCGTGCTCTTTGAAAAAAAAAAATAATAATAATAAATAAAAGCTAACCACACCCATTTCCAGAGGGCGTGTTGGGTATTGGGTATCCTTCCAACGAGGTCCAAGTCAGTCGGAGTGGAGATAAGACGTACGCCAATCTGCCCAAGGCTATGGTCGAGAAAGGCTTGATCAAGTCCAACGCCTACAGCCTCTGGCTCAACGACCTGGATGCCAGCACAGGCTCGATCCTATTCGGTGGGGTCAACACCAAGAAATATCACGGCTCACTCGAGACCTTGCCGATCCAAAAAGTCCATGGGCTCTACTCCCAGTTCATCATTGCCTTGACGGCGGTCACACTGACCACCACATCGACCGAGCATAACTATTCATCCAAGGCCCTGCCCGCGGGGGTACTTCTGGACTCGGGAAGTTCCCTCACCTATCTGCCGGACACCGTGGTCAAAGACATTTACGATGACCTGGATGTCGACTATGACTCGTCCAGTGGAGTCGGGTACGTTCCCTGTAGTTTGGCCGAGAAGGATGTCAAAGTCTCCTATACTTTTTCGTCGCCGACGATCACGGTGGGAGCCAACGAACTAGTCCTCGATGTGGGAGACCTGTATTTCCGCAACGGGGACCGAGCCTGTGTTTTTGGCATTGTCCCTGCCGGGAACAGCATGGCCGTCCTGGGGGATACCTTTCTGCGCAGTGCCTATGTGGTCTACGATCTCGCCAACAACGAGATCTCCTTGGCGAACACCAACTTCAACTCAACCGACGACGAAGTCTTGGAAATTGGAACTGGCGACGACTCTGTGCCCAGCGCCACCGCGGTTCCCAACCCCGTAACGACAGTGGCTGTAGCAGGCACGGGGGCTCGTATTGGGGGTCCCCAGGGGGGATCAGGCCTCTTCACCTCGATCCCAGCGTCGGGCAACATGGCTGCCCGGCCGACAAGCATGCCGAAGCACCTTGCGCTTGGTATTGCCGGTGCGGGTTATCTGCTGGCGCTTTAACGATTGATTTCATTTCGTCTAGAATGTCCCTTTGCATGGTTTAGCAGTGTATCGGAGTTAGGGAGGGGCAATTGATGTACATATTTTCCCTTAGAGCCGAATATTCATGCAGTATGAAATTGCGACTTTTTGTTCGAGAAACTATGGTGATGAGGATGAAGGCGTAGTGGAAGAGATTGGGCTTGGCATTTCGTGGATCTCCCACCGGGCTCACATGAGGCTTTCCCTCTGATCTCGCGTCAATGCCCCGACTCCCTTTCTCGCTGCTTCGCCAGGCGCATAGGGAAAACCCTCTGCTTGTCTTGCTTCTCCAAGAATGTCGCTCGATCGATTCTGCCCGCAATGAACTGCGTTGGCTACGTGAATGCGCGCTCCGCGATAGCCAGTCGCCATCCAGGCAAAATGCATGGGGACGAGGATGGAAGACCCGTCTGAAATCCATGTGCGAGAGGCGATCCAAAGGATTTCCACTCCAATATATCTTGGGCGACCAGCCCTTCGGCGATTTGGAGATCCTCTGCAAACGAGGCGTGTTAATCCCCAGGTCTGTGTCCGCGAAGACATCGGACCCGGCTCGATAGCTGATTTTTTTTTTTTTCATTCCTCTTTCAGACCCGATACCGAATCCTATACCTTTCACGCAGCCAAACTGGCTCGGCGACTTGCCGTGGCATGCAAGCAAGACGCAACCCTTCCGGGCAAGGCGAGACCCCTACGCGTTATCGATCTCTGTACCGGCACAGGGTGTATCGCACTTCTTCTCCACGCACTTTTGGCGCCGCATTTTGAACAACTGTCGGTTCGGGGGCTGGATATCAGTCCCACTGCTTTAGAACTGGCGCAGAAGAATCTCGCATATAATCTTCAACGGGGTTTATTAACCCGTCGGGCATCCACGGATGTCCACTTTAGTCTCGCCGATGTCCTCGGGCAAGGCGATGCCTCGGTCCCAGTGGTCGAAGAGGTACTGCGTAACTGCCTTTCTCGACCTAATATGTTTGAGGACCCATCTCCAGACCTTGGCTGTGATGTACTGATCTCGAATCCTCCATATATTTCTCCATCTGCTTTTCGCGACGGCACTACCGCGCGCAGTGTTCGGCGCTTTGAACCCAAATTGGCTCTAGTGCCTCCTTTGGTTGATAGCGTTGATAGCGAAGGACTGGCCGGTGGCAGGCCTGAGGACATCTTCTATCACCGCCTCATCACTCTGTCTTTTCGCCTACGGGCCAAGGTCACTGTGCTCGAGTGTGGCGATATTGCGCAGGCAAATCGAGTGGTTGCCATGCACCAAGCGATTGCTTCCGGACAAGCAGATGCCTCCAGCGCCGAGGTGTGGCCGATCACAGAGCAAGAGTTATTGGCTAATGGATTTCACCCGCATGATGGCTCTCGATGTGTTGTCATCCAAAGACAAAGCCACGAACGATAAGAATGTTGATGGCTCAATCCCATCTTCCACCAGGCAGGTGACAGATGGGGACATGGTGCCTGGAAGAACCTCGGACCGTTCAATGACAGATACATCAAGTCTCTATCCTTCATTAACGGGGCCATCTGGTCGCTGACTGGCGGAGCTTTACGAGAGGCGCGATATCATGATGGCATCAGAGATACGAGATAATAACAGTGCAGCGTCCAAGGACAGATGCGAGCAATGAGAAAATATTCAAAGGCAGCAAAAAAACACTGGTTCTTGCTCAACGGGAGACTCGCAAAGCTGTGCAGTATAAACAAGAGCCAGTCTTTGGCTATTAATTAGAAATGTCAAACTTCAGATCTCAATCGAGATCTCATTCCAGGGTAATCTGCGTGTGCCATGAAAATATGTACAGAACCAAGCAGACCGCCGGCGGGCCACAGGGGCCGGGGTCAGCTTTTTGAGTATTAAAACAGGTCTAAGATGCGCACAGGGCCAATTAAAGTTCTCGAATCAACAAGCCCGGTTGATGGAGGGAAAGAAAAAAAGGAAAGGAAAGGATGACAAGGGACCAAAGAGCCATGAACTCGTCACTCATGCCGGAAGCTCAAACCAGCAACTCGAGGGAAGGGAAGCCGGCAGAAATCCGTTTAGGAGGAAGAAACAACACTTGAAGATCACAAAGTTTTCTTCTGTTCCGGGACCAGGTAGCTGCGGTCGTCCTCTCCCTCGACGGTCTGGAGAATCGCTTCCATCTCCTTGGACTGCTTTTCCCACTCCTTTTTCCCCATCTTAGTCTCCCGTCGGAAGAGCTCTTCGTTGGGCTTGCGGTAGCTACCACCCATGCGGTCCCACAGCGTGGTAAATTGGCCATAGTTGTAGTTGAAGTACAGGTGGTGCATGGTGTGGCAGGCAGCTCCGTTCACGACGGGGCTGTTGGCCACATACTCGCCATCATGGATGAAGACAGTCCAGAGGTTGATGAAGCCAAACAGGAACACATAGGCGAGCTTCTGGAGCGGGAAGATGAATGGGAAGACGTGGTACGGGACACTCTGGGCCCAACCGTCAAGCGGGTGGAATGCGTGGGAGGCGTAGGGACTCGGCATAATCCACTTGTGGTGAGGCTTATGCAGGGTCTTGTAGACGAGCGGATGGTGCAGGCCACGGTGGATCCAGTAGATGAAGAAATCGGTGAAACAGATGAAGAACGGGAATTGCAGGAGGCTGTAGTACGAAAAAGGCTCATCGGAGACGGCGTCGTAGAGTTTGGCGTAGCCTCGAACCTCAAGCACAAAGAATGGAGCTGTCAATAGAGCCATGGGGGGCATGGCCCCCATGGCCTGCTTGATTTCCAAGGTGATCTGGTTCCGGAGGAATTTCGGATGCTTGACCGTAGTCTTGTCCCATATGAAGATGTAAGACAGCGTTGCAACCGTGAAATACACTAAGAGGCCAAAAATCCTATTCGGTCTGTCAGTGACCACATCCCATCCAAAGGCCTTGAGAGGGGAGAGGGGGGACTATACCAGGTGATCAGGAAAAAGCTGGTGAATTGTCGATAGACATTGTTCCTTGGCCATGCACTCAGGTACGCATATTTGGAGGGTTCCAAATGAATCAATTGGGTGGCGGGTTCGTAGACAAAGGGCTCGGCCGCACCGAAGAGGGACAGGGAACTGTTGGCCGCGTTCACAAAACCCGGGAAGGATACGGCGGAGGAAAGCGAGGTTGGGAGAATGGTCGAGTACAGGCGATCCCCAATAAAGGTGTCCCAGAGTTCGAGGATGATATCCATCTTCGAGACCAAAAGAGAGGGTGTTTTGAGGAGAGTGAAGTGGAAAGGCCCAGGGGAGAGATCGGCGAATAATAAATTCCTCCTGCAGTCACACCAGCGCGGAACCCACGCAGCCGGGGCAATGCCATTGGATGGGGTGGTGCTTAATCAGCGTTTGTACTTGACGATAACGTAATCCACAAGCGAGTGCCGCAGCATACCAAGTATATAGAATTCAAATCGATTTATATTCACCACAACGCCTTTATATACAAGGGAAAAAAACCTAATTAAGACGTTTTGGACATTGAAATCTTCAATACCCTCATTCGCGACAGTCGCTGCAGCGCGGTGGCGCTCGCTGAATTGGCTGCGAAGCTTGCTGATGAAGATCTGCCGAAGTAGCTGATGAGGCTTTAGAGGCTTAGTGCGTAGTCGATATTAGCTTACGAGCCTCTTGAACTGATAGGCCTTGATCTTGAGGTATCTGCCTATTGCTACGCATACCTACCTGGTCACTGTGAGTTGGTCCTTAAAGGTGATACTTCTCTTGTTAACTGTAAGCCTTAAGCCTATCCTCAATCCTGCTGATGCCACGCCCGGCCTTATATAGATGGATCCTATTGGGTACTTGCGAAGATATGCTAGTTAAGTATACGCCGAATAGGTTAGTACCGGAGTAGCTCCCCTACTCGTAGGATATTTATCACGAAGGTAAACTATAAATAAGACTAAAGGTGGTATCCAAGAAATAATATATAATTAATCACGAAGAACTAAATATAAACGCGAAGGAGTATCTTTATATATATCTAGTCTTTCTATTTCCCTAATCTATCTATACAGATCGCCTAGTCTATTAGAATAGATTCCCCGATCTATCCCACTAGATCACTCGCTCTATCGAGTTATATAATAAAGCGGTGCTAAAGGAAAGCTAATCTATATAGATATATATATAATGTATTTCCCCTTAAATATATATTTTGCCGTCAGTTTCCGCCGGCGTTTAGGCTTATACTTACTCTTGGTGGCCCATCGTCAAGTTGCGGGGTCCTCAGATAACTGGTGTCTGCAGGTTCCGTAACATGTAGGTTTTATTAAAGATAAAAATCTATGAGCTACACCCTAAGCTACTAGATATACCTAATAATAGTACTATACTAGAACGTTTAGTCGATGCAGCGCAAGAAGCATAGGATAAGATTGAACAGGGGGTTCTGTAAAATCAATCGAATTCGATACCAAATTGGGTGAAAGTAGTGATCGAAGCAGAGGGTTGGTTAGCGTTTAATAAAATTATGGACCTAATTCTACCTAATAGACTAAATAAAGGTAGATCTATATTTAGCTAATAGAATAGTAACTATTTCTCGTATAGTTATTAACCAAGGAATTATTTTATGTCGATCTATAGAGAGAATCTATTAGAGAATTGATTCTTCTTCGAATTAGGTCAATTTCTAGCAATTAACGCGTGAATTAGCTTAAAAGGATTAGCTAGACTTCAAATCTGCGCGCTACTTCGCGAATCGAAAGAATTTCTTGCTTCTAACTCGCCTCGATAGCTAATAAGATCCTACCCTCTTTCTCGATAGATTTTCTAGTATTTGAGAGCGATATGGTAGCATAGTAAGCAATTGAATTAGATAGATTCGCGAAGATGACGCGATTTTCGTATGGTGCAGCACTCGCTTGTGGATTACGTTACCTTAAATTCCTTTGTGAGCTACCGCAGACCCTATATACCTCTAAGTACCTTTTTAAGTAGAATAGTTCTAAGGTTACAAGATGATTGTTTATCTAGGATCTGGAAATAAAGAGGCAGGGTTTTATTTTATATATTTTAAATTCTATTTTGCCTCCCGATTTGATTGAGCTTCCATGCAAGTTTACAAGGTGGTACCTCTCTGCCTGATTCCCCAGGCCCCACTCCCCTGTACTGAGAAGTACCTCCAGTACCGGCAGTACTTGCTGTAGATCCAAGTACCACCGGGTATCTTCAGCCCGAAAGCTCTTCAGAGCATCTGGGCCCCCAAGAAAGAGCCGCGCAATTGATTCTTTCTTTCTGATCGGACGGCTGCAAACGGATTGCCGAGATTATTGGCTCGGTTCTCCTTTTCCTGGTGAGATCTGTTACTGTAAGACCCAGTGCGCTTCTAGCCTATTACCTCGCTTCTCGCGTCAACGGTAGCCGCCAATTCCATTCCCCCCCCCTCCCCAACCTTCCCGCTCGAACTGTCATCTCCAACCTTGCCCCCTCTCCCCCTCCTCTTCTCTCCAACTTCCATCCATTCTTCACTTTCTAATATCTCTCATTATCGCTGTGGCTAGCTGCATGGTGTCATCCACCAAGCAGCATTGACGCCCCAGTAATTGAACCTTCCCATTAAATCCCTTGTTCAATCCTTTCGGCATTGCGAAGCTATCGCTGATCCCGACCGACCACCAGAGCGACTATCCCATCTAGCGACTTGGTTCCTTCCCTCCTAGAGGTCGACCAATCGCGCCATGTACAACACTCATCGCGGGATGGTACCCGCTCCCAACTCCCGCTTGACGGAGTTGCTGGATCAACTGCGCCAGGAGTTTGAAAACCAGTCGCGGAGCACAGGCGAATTCGAGCACCAGTGTATGTATCCCACTTCCTTTCCCTGCCTATTCCCCCTCTATCCCACTCTATGGAATAGCAGTGTGGATTGTCCATCCCGTCACTTTATCACGTTATATTACCTGTCGTCCATTCCCCCGATGGCGACAGCTCATGGGTTGCGAAATTCGCTGAAACTGTTTCTCTAACTGACAGATCACGCAGTAACCGGACAGCTCCAAGAAATGGAGATGATCCGTTCGAAGGTGTATCAGCTGGAGCAAACCCAGATCAAGATGAAACAAGAGTTCGTTCTTTCCCTCCCCCTTTAAGCTCCTTTCTTGATGTGTCTTCCTTGATCGCTAACCTTGCACTTTCTCTGCGTTCCAGTTACGAGGCCGAAATTCGAATGTTGCGACACGAGCTTGAGTCGCGCGGCGTGCAAACTATTCCCTCTCATATTGGTCCTGCGCAGCACGCAGGTCCTTCCCAGGCGCCGCCGCCTGCATTGGGTCACGGCCCTAGCAACTTGTTCGGTGGTATCATGACCAACCAAGGAGGTAGTGGTCCCGGTCTTGCCCCTCCCCCTCCCCAGGATCAGCAGCCTCCCCAGCATACCCTTCAACAGCCTGCCCCGGCCGCCCAGCCAGGCGCGCCGCAGCCCCCGCAGAGCTCTTTTGGAGGATATCAACCTGGCGCTGCTGTGAACGGTATGTGTGGTTTGATTTGAGGTTCTCGCCGACTCGCTAACACATGTGTTTTCTCGTTTTAGGCTATGGACCGCCGCCCCCGACCGCATCCCCCGGGCCCGGTAAGGGCCGGGGTCGTGCTCCCCCAGGCCCAGCCACCCCTCAACAGACGCACATTGCCTATCCTGACCCTCGTGCGTCGCCACAAATCCCTCGCCCCACTCCGCCAAACCAGCCTCTTGTCCGCGCCGAGCGCCCGGGCAACATGCTGGCGAATTGGAACCCGGACGACATGCCCGCCTCGCAGAAGCGGGAGGGCCCCGATTGGTATGCAGTGTTCAACCCTGAAGTGCAGCGCGTGCTGGATGTGGAGCTGGTGCATCACCTCAACCATGACAGCGTTGTTTGCTGTGTTCGTTTCAGCCGCGACGGCAAGTACCTGGCGACGGGCTGCAACCGCTCGGCGCAGATCTTCGACGTGACCACCGGTCACGCCGTAGCCTCGCTGCAGGATGAGACCGTCGACAAAGACGGCGACCTCTACATTCGCAGTGTCTGCTTTAGCCCAGACGGCAAGTATCTCGCGACTGGCGCCGAGGACAAACAGATTCGGGTAAGTAGTCGATGGAACACATGAAGACGCGTGCAATTTTCTAACGATGGAATGCGATGGGACTCTAGGTTTGGGACATCGCCGCGCGCACCATCAAGCATATCTTCACCGGACACGAGCAAGATATCTACTCTCTGGATTTCGCCGGCAACGGCCGCTACATTGCCTCGGGCAGCGGCGACAAGACCGTGCGTCTGTGGGACATTCTCGATGGCAAGCTTGTTTACACGCTCAGCATCGAAGATGGGGTGACCACCGTGGCTATGTCTCCGGATGGCCACTACGTGGCGGCCGGTTCGCTGGACAAGAGTGTGCGCGTATGGGACACCACTACTGGATATCTGGTGGAGCGGTTGGAGAACCCCGACGGCCACAAGGACAGCGTGTACTCGGTCGCATTTGCACCCAACGGTCGCGACCTGGTCAGCGGCAGTCTGGACAAGACCATCAAGCTATGGGAGCTGACTGTCCCCCGTGGCATGCACCCCCACAGCGGCGTTAAGGGCGGCAAGTGCGTTCGCACATTCGAGGGCCACAAGGTGAGTTCCCATTTTCTCCATCAGCATCCTGCTCTTTTCCCATGCTGATTCTCTCTATCCCACTCTAGGACTTTGTGCTCAGTGTTTGCTTGACGCCCGACGGTCAGTGGGTAATGAGTGGCTCCAAGGACCGCGGGGTCCAGTTCTGGGATCCGATCACTGGCAATGCCCAGATGATGCTGCAGGGCCACAAGAACTCCGGTGAGTATGCTGCGACCCCAGTCCGAGACGATCTTCTTACCTGTGTGGACAGTCATTTCGGTTGCGCCCAGCCCCAGTGGCGGATTGTTCGCGACGGGCAGTGGAGACATGCGTGCACGAATTTGGAGGTAAGTGTTGAGATTGTGGTTTTACCTGGTCAATTTTGGCTAACCCGCCCTGGTAGATACTCGCAGCACAATCCAGTTACACGGTAAAAGGGATATGGGGAATGCCTTGGCGCAATGTGACGTTTTGCTTGGGTTCCTGTATCGCCGGTCTGGCTTGGGGTTCGTTTGATTTGAGTGATGCGAATGTGTGCTATTTCTTGTTTCTTTTTTCTCTTCTCCCCCTCCATCTTGTGCTTTCCAATATTCCAACGTGCTCTTTTTTTTTTATCTCAATTTCGAGGCGTCGGCCAGAAACCACACTTTTTCCCCTGTCCCATATCTCCCGTAGTTGAGTCCCGAGGAATCCGGAGTCGCACAAGGGGGGACCGCCATTGTGGATGGAGCTGGATCCCGAATCCCAACCAGTCGATCCCTGCTCGTCTGAATCATGAAAGAGCCTCTCTCGCATGACCGGGGGAATACAGCAGCGAAACCCCTCGAGGTTCGATATGATCCATCCTGTTTCACTTCACGCAGGTACTCTCGTGCAGAGTTGTCCGGGGGTTCCACGGCTGTCACTTTCTCCCGCCCAAAACACTAGGCTCCTCACGTTCAGGATCCACCAGGTGATCACGAGGGAATTTCCAGGGCCATGGGCGGCTAAGGATATTCGGGGAGTCTCACACTATTGGCGACTAGCGGGAGTGTGTTGGGTCCACACGATCGACAAAATCGACTTGTCGACTGCAGGTCGATCCCCGGTCCACTTGGGAATCCCGCGCGAGAAGGCCCGGCCCGATGCAAAAGCAAACAGGCTTTTCTTTCTGGGTTTTGACAGCTATTCAGGTGGATGAGATGGGGATGAGAAGAGTTCGAGTTGAAGGCCAAGTCGAAAGGAGGGAGAGAAAGGAGAGAAACAGAGGGTTGGGGAAGACAACAGTGGCGAGCTGAAGGCTCTCTCGCCAGTCGCGGCTGTGAGGATTTCTGTACGACTCACCGGTGGAAACTGACTTGTTCATTTAGTGCAAAAGTGATGCGTCGAACTCCAGTTCGTCCGGGGGTACCTGGAGATCCCCGAAATCAATGCCAACCTGCAACTCCCCTTTTCAAATCCCATCATGTCAATGATTGGAGTGCTCTCGTCCCTGACTGGCTCCACTGCATCTCGATCCAGAGGCGCCACGGGCGAGATGATCACCACTAGTCGTCAATCATCACTCGTGAACCCAGGGCTTATTACGTGCATATATTTGCTATTTCCTGACCCCGTCGCCCACTCCCTCGGTATATATCGCCATCCACTCCACCACCCGCGATTGTTGCTCTGCCTGGCCGAGTTGTCTATTTTCTTGCTTCTTCCTGCCCTAGCCAGGACCCAAATCCCATTCCCTCGGCTCTTCACTTGGTCCAGTCGTGTCCAGAGGAGATCCTTCCGGATCCGGGAGCTCGTGGCTTGCCTTTGATTCTTTGGCTCAAAGCCAAAAAGAAAACAAAAGACCCAAGAAAAGCAAAAAATGGAGACGGAGCCTGTGTCTTATGAGTTTCCCGGCCATGCCGTGGGGGCCTTTGCCCGACGCCCCATGGACTCGTCCCTGGACCAGAGCTTCCCCTTCTATTCGCATCCCACGGCACCGTATTCGCTGCCTTACCAAGCTCCCAGCTCCACAGCATACAACGTCAATCATTCTCTGGGTAGTCAACCTTCCCACCCCTATCACCCATATTATGTGGCCCAGCAGTCAATCAGCCCACAGCCATTGCGTCTGGCTTCGGATCAACAGGCGCTGCAGTCTCTCCCGGAGATTCGACCGGCGAAGAATGCCATCAACCAAGTGACAAAGTCTAGCACGGAACCTCGCTTGGGTCAGCCTCCCTCGACTTCATCTGTCGACAGGGCCGAGCAAAAGCCAGAGGCGCACGATGTCGATTTCTCAACTGGGGTTGACGTGCTGATGAAGGCCATTCAATCTAAAGCGGGCTCTCCCCCGGTCCAGCCATCACTGCCACCGCTCCAACATTTGGCTCCATCGGCCATGTCGAGCTATCCCGCGAGCTATCCACTGTCCTCGCCCTCGTCCCGATACTTGCTAACCAATGAGGGGCAATTGTCCCGATCTGGGAAGAAGCGCAAATACACTTGCACGCTGCCAGACTGTGGGAAGAGCTTTGCCCAAAAGACACATCTAGACATTCACATCCGAGCCCATACGGGAGACAAACCATTCGTGAGTATCACCTCGCTAACCCAAGGGTTGCTTTCCATCATAGTGCTAATCAAGTGGGACGAGTAGATCTGCAAGGAACCCTCATGCGGACAGCGGTTTTCGCAACTAGGAAACCTGAAGGTAAGTATACTCCTGGTGTGATTTTGCGACGCACGAGTCGGGAACTAACTTGCTTTCGCAGACCCATCAGCGGCGACATACCGGCGAAAAGCCCTACTCCTGTGACATCTGCCACAAGCGATTTGCGCAACGGGGCAATGTGCGCGCCCACCAAATCACCCACCAGCCCGCAAAGCCGTTTACCTGTCTCCTCGATAGCTGTGGCAAACAGTTTACCCAACTAGGAAACCTCAAGGTAATCACACTCCTCGGAATATCTTCATTAGAAGCTTTTCTTTGTTTTTAAGCTGACATATGAATCCGTTTTTTCAGTCTCACCAGAATAAGTTCCATGCCGCAACCCTCAACAATCTCACCGCGCGCTTCTCCCAGTTCGGAGACACCGGGCCTCCCAACCCTCGAGATCGAGAAATGTGGGAATACTTTGCGACATTATACAAGAACAGCAATAAGGGTATCAAGGGACGGGGAAAGGATCGCCGGATCTCGACAACCAAACGGTCCGGTCCCCACGCGGCCAGATCGGGTCTGGGCCCGTCGCTTGAATCCGATGAAGAGACGGCCCAAGCCCGCCGCGGCAGCTATGACCATCTTTCCATGTACACGGGGGTTTCCAGTAGTGACGGCGATGATCCTGGGCCATACTTGATGGACCGACGAGATCCTTGATGCCCCCAAGGCATACTGATATGTTTTGATATGCGTGACGGTTTTTCTTTTCTTTCGTTTCTTTACTCCTACGGGACGTCTATTTTCTTTGTGTGTGGTGGTTGGTTTCCGGCGAGGTGTATATGAAGCGATGAGGACCTGTGGGATATGTATTGTAGATTGGAGTTGGGGTTGATTCGGGCGACTCTAGATTGCGCTAGAAAATAGGAATTGAACTAAGGGGTTTCGGAGAGCAAGACTTTCGTGGATATTCAGGCAGGCTACTTGACTTGGGATGTATATCTTAGATCATCTGTTTTACATAGAGTCTCAGGTCGTTGGTAGAGACCAAGTATGTGTCTACTTCCTTTTTTTTTTTTTTTTTTTTTTTTTTTGAAATATATGCAGGGGCATGAATCTCCATTAGAGAAAGGAAAAAGTTAGGATGTATCAGCTCGACGTATTTTCCCCCCCTCTTCCTTATCTGGCTGAACTGTGCGTGGAAAGAACCAAGTGCACCTGGCGATAGTGTACATAGAGTAAATGAAAAATCAAATAGATGAAAAAAAAGAAAGAAACTATCGCATCATTCATCCAGCTAGATATCCCGAGTGACTCACCAAAGCATCTACTCAGCATCGGCAATGTCGAGATCCCCATCCGCAGCCGTCGAACTACCCGTTGGCGGAGCCACGGTACCAACGGGATTCGCATGCACGAGGGCGTCGGTAATGAAAGATTCCTCGACGGCAGCCTTTCTTCGGAAGACGCGCAACCAGCGACGGCCCCACTGGCGGATGATGGCGTCCTCGGGCAGGTCGCCGCTGCCGTCACCGCGTTCCATCAGCTCGTCATTGCTGCCGGTGGCGACAGAGATGATAGAATCCTCAATAAACTTGAAGAGAGCCTGCATGTCGGTACGTTCACGGGCCAGAGTCTCGCCGAGGACACTTAACTGGGGCTCGTACAGGCTGGGCTGGGTACGAGCAGCGACGATTTGACGCATGCGGTTGGTAACCTTGCCAACCGTTGCGGAGATCATTTCGAACACATGGGTCTTGGCCAGGGTGGTACCTGCGGCGATGGACTCGGACAGAGCCCACTCGAGGACCGAGAGTGGACTGAGGATAGTGTAGTTGAGCAGCTTGTCGATGATGTTGATGGCGACGCCGGGCTGATCTACCCAGTACTCCATAACGGAGGTTATGATCTGGCAGCGTGCACGCGGCGACTCTGTACCGATCGCCAGAAGCCGGTCCTTGTTCCGCTCGATGCACGACAGAACATGTGAAAGTGACTTGGATCCCACGAAGCAAATCGACGTTACCAGAGCGTCTGTGGAGGGAACCTTGGGATCTTCAACTCCCAGCCCCTTGGCCTGTTCTTCGATGGATGCAATGACCGGCTGGAGTTCGTCATCACTTGTCTTCTTGCGAATGAGTTGCATGAGCTCTTGTCCCTCCTTGGAGTAGGGGGCCACTATATCTCGAATTAGTAGCCGTACTCCCACACCTAAGATGAAATGATACTTACTCTCAGCCATATATTTGAACTCGGGCGTATCTTTCTCTTTGCCCTCTGTGATCAATGGCCTATAGGGATCGGGGAGCGTTCCCTTGATGCGTTGTGCAAAACTCAATCGAATCTCCTTGTCCAGCGCACCGATGATGAATGCCATCTTTGGGTGAACCACCGGGAGCTCGAGGTCATCGATCCTGACCCGTGTTAGATACCAGATGTTGCGTTTTCTTTTTCTTGAAGAGTATTATTGACTTACCACTCGCTCCACTTCCACGTGAAGCCGAAATTGCTCAGATGATGAGCAAACCAATCCAAGAAACGGTGGCTCAATTCCAAGTCCATGGTCTCGAGACTGTTGTACAAGAACCGGATGGCACGGCCCAAGCTGGGCGCAATAGCCGCAGGAGCAACCTTGCAGCATTCCGTCAATAGAGCGTGGAAGTACACCAGTTTGTGCTCTGGCGTTGGCAGCTGGAACAACTGCGAGAACACGGCATCGACAGCCACATCCTCCGGTTTCCAAGCCAAGTCCTGGCTTTCCAAATCGCGCATTCGATCAAAGGGTGTTGCGCGCTTCACAAAGGTGTGAGGAGTAAAGTAGCAGTCGACGTCAATCAGGAACTTGGCCGTTGCAACCCGGTTAAAGTCCAGGAGATTGATCGTATCGACCAGTACATCCCTCAAGAGCGATGACGCGATGTCTGATGTAGGGGGCACCGTTTCGACATCCTGCGAAGCAAAGACTGAGAGATAGACCTCAGGGAAGAGAGCACGTGTCCCATTTTGCACCGGACTGGGAACAGTGATTTGAGGGAAGGCAACCTTTGCCGCCACATAAAAGGACTTAGGTTCACCGGTCTCTCCGTCCCGCAAGTCATTCCACGGGCGAGGAAGACAGTTCAACTTCCAACCCCGGCTGGCCTCTTCTTGAAGCTGAGTCTGGAGCAAACTGATAACGCTTTGACCAGCAGCGGGCTTGTCCTCTTCGGGGCTGAATGTATTCACTAGATCCACGAGAGCGTGAGGAGTGGATGCAATAATATCCGTCTTTTCGAGAAGCGCAGAAGCCTGTGTTTCGAACCCAGTCGCAGGAGACGACATCACGTAGGGAATGGTAAATAAGATGATTTTCACGAGCTCAAGACCGAGCAACTGTCCCCATATATTAGAGAGGCTCCATTATCGACAAGAAATCGATCACTTACGTCTTCTGAAGACGCCGTCTGTAGGTCGACGGCACGAGCGAACAGTTCCTCCAGAAGCGGGAAGATCCCTTCTCCCTCGTAAACAGGTTGAAGAATACCAAGGAAGCGAAGTAGAAGCTTCACTTCACGCCACGCCCCGGTGTCAATGTACCTCTGCAACGCGTTGCCCGCCTTGTTCAGTACCTCCGCTCCAAGCTCGAGCTTTAGGCTGTGCGCAACCAAGACCGTCGCGGTAACAAAGGGGATCTTCATCGGCTGCTCCAAGACACTGTTTCGGAGAATTTTCGGTTAGTCGATTCTGGGCGTCGAAGCGTGGGGGGTCAGTCAGGCACCGTACAGATCAAGGACGATATTGATGAAGGTATCGCGCATTTCCTCATCCTCATAATTCTCCACCACGGACTTTGCGATGCCCTCAACGTCATCCTCCACTCTCCGAGCTGCCTAATTTGACGCGACAGGTGTTAGTGGCTGCGGTATCCATAGCCCCCAAGAAGCAAGGCGCGCGGGCAGAATCGAAGAGCTCATACCGATTCGGCGACTGTTAACAGCTGCCGACGGACCTGGACAACCGGCGGTTCCTCATATCTTCGTCTTTGAGGACGGCGATCATAGTCCTCATCATCTAATAAGATTGGATTGGATTGTCAGTGGTGTATACGGGAAGTTTGTCGAGATCACTCACCTCGGTAGCGCCGCTTGCGCCCACCGCGGTAGCCGTGGTTCCGACGGTCGTACTCGGCCATTGGGCGTTGTTGTTGATGCAATAGCTCACTGATACCACGAAAGACTCCTGGGAGAATCCTTGGGGAGTGGTAGGGGAAGAATCGAGGGTCATAGCTGGGGGGAGCTCGACAGGGAAATGCGATCTCGGAACGGGGGAATTTCCGCCCCGGTCCTACATGGCACTCACCATCAAAGTCACCATGTCTACGAACCTCTTTTTACACATACACAAAGAAACAAGAAATGCGAATAGAAATATGAATATGGAAATGAAAATGAAATCGTCTGCTTCAGAACTGGAATGGCATGGAGCTCATGGCGAGTCGGAGGGACCCGGGGATGAGGGGGGAAGGACCAGCCGAGCCCGATGAAGGTGGACAATGATATTGCAAACAATAAGACAGACAGCAAAGACACAAAGAGGGATGAACAAACAGGGATTCTAGCACGGCAAGTCGAAGAATCCCTCCGGAAGTCCATGTCTAAGAAATCCGCAGGATCTCAATGGAAAATGGGGTGGAACAAGACTTCCGGAAGAACGAAGCTCGGCTTGCTGCGTCTGTGTTTCCTCCCCTCGACCGATGAAACCATGCAGTCTTCAACCCCTCCCGAAGGCAGACTTGCACAGAAAGGGTATCACTTTTTCCTCCCAAGAGCTGTCTCAGACACCTCAAAATAAAAAAAACTCCTGGCCATGACCTCCCACCGTTGCGTGAAAAAGAAATCACCAGCCCTTGCCTCCCCTTCTCAAATCGAACAATCCAGTTTTCCGCTTGCAGGTCATTAACGGATAACATGTCTCCCCTTCCACCGATCAAGCTTTGCCGTGTCTGCAGGGTTGAGGCGAACAAACGATAGTTAAGCCTGGGGCACTCTTTACCCCAGACTCCATCCGAACACACGACGGAACCCGTCCGTGGCAGTTTCATCCCCAACCACAGTGCAGACAGCAACCATTTTGAACGGACGCACCCCTGGAAGAGGGTGCACCACGTCAAAAATAAACTCAGTCGAGGTGCGCCATCATTTCCTCCTTGGAAAGAGGTTTGAAGTTATCGAGATCGAGCCCCCGCGAAGCGAGAACCGGGCGGATGTGGGCTGGGACCAGTTGGTTGTTCAACTCGGGGGCAATTGAAAGTTCTAGATGCAGGGTGAGTCTGGGGTCCACCTAAACAAGTAAAAGATACATGGCGACGGTCTCCACTTACCATGCCGCGAGAAATCAAAGAGGTTGGGCAGCTCCCGAGCCGGGTTGTTGTGATGACGGGAATCCGGTAGTCGTGTGTTCGGGTCTCGCAGTTCATCGAAGAAGGGATGGCACATGGCTTCGATGGCCGATAGACGCTGCGTCGGGGTGTATTCCAGGAGAGCCGAGATAAGATCAATAGCCTCCGGGGGTGCCTTGCGGAAAACCTGGGGTCTGGTTAACATACGGTTGAAAATATTGGGAGAGACGAGGCGAAAGTACCTTGTTGAAGGGATGGGGCTTGATTTGAGGGAATTTATGCTCCATGTAGTTGGGGTTCATGGTGCGGATCTGTTCGCGAGTCGGGGTGCCGAGAACCTTGATGATCTCCACAAGCTGGTCAATGCCCGATTCACCAGGGAAGAGCGGTTGCCCCAGCATCAGCTCGGCCATCACACAACCGGTCGACCACACATCTAGGACGGATTAGTCAACATGTCACATCGCACGCCAGTTCTCCAGAAAACGTACCAATCTTAGTTGTGTAGTTGGTCGCACCAAAGATCAACTCGGGCGCCCGGTAGTAGCGAGAGCAAATGTAGGAGACGTTGGGTTCGTTCTCAATCAGGATCTTGGCCGACCCGAAATCGCAAAGTTTCAGGATGCCGGTGCTGACATCCAAGAGTAGGTTTTGAGGCTTGATGTCACGGTGGCAGATCCCCTGGGAGTGAATGTATGCCAGCGACCGGAACAACTGGTAGATATACAGTTTAACCTCTAGCATTGGCATCGTGGTCTTGAGCTTGTTGAAGTAACGGGAGGCGCGGTACACAGTCTCTGGAACGAATTCCAGGACGAGGTTCAGGTACACTTCATCTTTCTGGTCGAGGGGAACGAGAGAACACGGTCAGATCCCAAGGAACGAGAAGGAAAAAGAGCCAAGGAAGCAAGACACATACCCGGTCGCCGTTGGAGTAATAGAAAGCCTTGAGCTCGACGATATTTGGATGGCGCACGATCCGCATAATCTGCAGTTCACGGTTCTGTGGCGGGGTCAGCAAAGACTTGCTACATCAGAAGAGGTCCCATCCTACCTTGAATCGCTTATCCTGGAGGACTCTTTTGATGGCAGCATCTTCGCCGCTGGGGGCCATCTTGGTCTGAAACACCACACCGAAGGACCCATTGCCCACGATCTTGCACTGAGTATACGAGATCTCCTTGGCCTCGCCCGTCAGTCCATCTTGGACCTTCTCGCGGATGACCTCTGCAGAGAAGAAAAGAAAGAGAGTCAGTATGGGGGGAGTTTGGGGGAGGAAAGAAGAACCACAATTGATTCCAGAGGGGGAGGTTTTTCTCTTACCACCCATGCGCAAACTTGGGAACAACCCAGGGCGACTTTGTGACATGACGAAGGGGAGAGGGGAATCGAGTGATTTGAGAGGGTCGAGAAGTCAAGGTGTGGGAAGTTGAGAAAGTCCGTTTTGGGGGGGGGGGGTTGTAAATCGGTGGAGCCACTTGGAGGGGAGGGGCGGAAGGACCGAATTGGGGGGGGGGGCGCGTGCGATGAGAAGAAACGACACACCTCTTCGGCGAGAAGATGGAGGGGAAGAAGGGGAAAAATGGAAGAAAAAAAAAAAGAGAAGAAAAAGAAGAAAAAGAAAAGGGCCGTGCCAAGAACGCAAATCGGAAGAGATGAGAGGAATAGGAATGAAGAGGGAAACGGGGACAACCGTTGGTCGTAGAATGCTTAACCAATAACGGCGTAGAGTGGAAGGGAAATTGAGGTGGGTTCAGGGCCCGAGAAGAGTGACGTTGATATCAGGAAGAAGAAGAAGAGAGAAAGAGCAGCACTTTTCGAGGTGAAGAGGAAGAGGGGGAAGAAAAGAGAGGGGCGGGAGAGGAAGAGAGAGAGAGAGAGAGAGAGAGAGATGCCCTTCAGGTATTGTTTAGGAAAAAATTGGGTTGGAGCGACCTTTTTATACAAAATACACAAGATGCAGATAGAAGTATACATGAAATAGTAGCTAGGAGTGACTATTCCATTTTTCTATATAATTCTTGTTCTTCTCTCTCTTCATTTCTACTTCTTAGGGGGGACTTTCTTTTTTGCCTCAGGTTCACTGACGTTGTGTACAAATGGTCGAACTCATCGCAGAGGCAATACCGTACCGAACACAGATGACAGACGGTGACAATACATGACATCATAGATACAGGGTAATTAGGGTATTTACCAATACATGCCAGTGTACCGGTATGGAATTCGAGCAAGAGAGGGAGAGTTGGGGGAAATGCAAAACAGAGGAAATTACAGAAGAGGGAATTCAAAAATGAAAAGAAAAACAAGAGCAGCTTCATTATCTTTTCCCTTGTATAGTATGTATATCATCCAGGGGGATCAAAAAGTGTTTTCGTTGGGACTGGAAAAAAAAAAAAAAAAAAAAGAACGGGGCCGATCGAACGGGAATAATTCATCTCCACTTGGATGGACCACATCGACGGGATACCTTATTAGTACATTAGTACCAAGTGCCAGAGAGAGAACATCAAAAAAAGAGCTCCAAGCTATCCAAGCTCGAGGTCATCTCCGGCCATCCCGTGGCAGTCGGCTGACCCGGTGTGGTTTTCACTGGAACCGCGGTCATTGGCTGGTCACCTGAGGGGCCCTCGTGATCGTGATGACATCGGTCACGAGAACACGACACCTGAGGAATCATTCTGACCCAGCCTTCTTTTTTTCTTCTTTCTCTCTCTCTATTTCCCTCTATTTTCCTCCCTCTCTTTATAATTTTATAATTTAAGTATGTTAGTATTTTAGTATTTTAGTATTTTAGTATTCAGGCAAGGGTTTCCTTGGCATTTGTGTGGAAGTTCAATTAATTGGGATTTCACCCGAAAGAGGTCACGGTTGCCTCCAAGTTCAATGGAAACAAGAAACATTCTGGTTTTTTTCCTTTTTTCTTTTTCTTTTTCTTTCTTTTTTTCTTTTTTCTTTTTTCTTTTTTCTTTTATTATTTGATACAAGCCTTCTATCATAAAGAAAGCTGAAAATAAGAGAAGATAAAAGATATATAACAACTAAAAAAAAAATAAAAGGGGCTAAGGAATGTTCCTGGCGCCTTGCCCCTGATGGTTAAAAGTAGTCTCACAGACCGCAAGCACCCGGGTTTTTTTGGTCCAGGTACACACACACTTGAACTGAGGACCAGCTTAGTGTGTATAGATGGGGGGAGGCAATTCCCTCAAAAAATTAAATAAAAAACACCAACCGCAATATGGCCCTTGCGCTGCAGCTGGAAAGATGCAGCTGGCTCAAAAGGTCAACGTTGAGGAGCTCTCGAGCTTCCTCACTGGTGTAACCCAAGTCAGGGCTGCATCGGCTCCAAGTGCATCACTGGGGTCTTTTGTACGACGTAATACGTCTGACACTGTTTCCTGTAAATTACGAAAATTGACCTGTTTTCTTATTCATGTGTATTGTATGTATGTACGTACGTACGTATGTATGTATGTCCTCGAGAATCATTGGAAACGGTTCATTCCGAGACTGGATGGGTGCATGAATATACAGCCCAAACATACAATCACACGGTTTGCAACTAACAGCTCGGATCGACATCACCGGATCAGCCCCAATGTCATGCGATAGATCGGCTGTCAGCCATGTCGGGATTCCGAACAGCTTCATCATTCCCGGTCTCGGGTTGACATTTTTGATGGATCTGTGACAATGCACTAGTTCAGTGATCTTGACAGGGGGTGGAATGGGATATTGAGTGGAACCCTCACTCGGTACAGGAGATACACTTCCCACTCCGTGAGATGGCATGGGCATGAAGTTTCAAAATTGCATGCGTTCCCGTGTATCAATGCAGTTGTCGGCATGTTAGCACCGGATCGCATGGAAGCAAGGAACAGCATTCCCATCAGACACGTGGACGATTAAGCTCGCGTTGTCTCAAATCTATGACCTTCAACTGATCAGGATCTATTAATCCCAAGGTGATTATATGATAGGAATGAATGATTATAATTAGTACCCACATTCACCCTCAAAGTCTGCTGGAACAGCCACTCAGAAAACCACTCGAGTCCTGGAGATAATTACTCGTCCCGAGGTGTGGGAGATGATGTCACGGTGGATCCCTCGAGTGAATCCATAATTTATCAACTCCATACAATCTCCCCCCCAGAGGGTGATTATTGGGTGATAATTCGCATCATAGCGCATAGCTAAAGGTTTGCTAGATTTACTAGTAGTTCTTAGTGCTCCAGTGCAATAGACATACCAATTGCACAGTGGATACTAACCTCAGGGATCACGAAAATCAAGCACTCCTTTGCCGAGAAACTTGGACCAAGGGTTGGTTGGGTGGGGAGGGGGATACGTCGAACAGTGATTAGGTGTAGATGCATAAGGCCAGGTCCACCGTACTCCGGACTCTTTGGGCCCTTTGGCTCCATCTTCAACCGTGTCCACTTCAGGGACCCAGTTGCTTTCGTTCGGATGGATTATCATTTGCTCGTAGAAGCGAGGGCCAAGGCCACACTCCCGACACCGCCCGATAGAAAATACCGGCAGATTACTGACCGCTTTGTCATATCAGGTGACTCTGTTCGGGTTCAGAACTATACAGTCCATCAGACGTCAGTCCAGAGAGCATAAAAAAGAACTGTAAGAAAGAAACTTCTATATATATAGATACACCTGGTGACTAGGTATATGCTACTCAGAGATCAATTCAAAACGTGTTTTACATTGGCCCGTCTATGATGCGAAAAACATAACCAAGGCTCTCCACAGGTGTATCCCATACCTCAATCATGGGTTGGCCAGAAGTATGGCCATGGAAGGGAATAGAGTCACATAAACACGACCTCCCCAGGCCATCCAAACAGTCGGAGATGCGGCATCGAGTGATGGACAAGATGGCAATCGAAGAAACAGAGTGTGAATCTATACAGACAGAAATAAAAGAACAAATTGAAATCTCCATGGCGCCAAACAACTGCCGCCTGCACCCGCAACCCAGATTCAAGAGGATATACCGAGAGAAGTGACATGCCATGTCTGTCCAGACAGTGGAGAGCGAAGAACTACTAAAACAGGGGGGCGAAGGGTTATTAGCCGGAGAGAGGTGGGGGAAGAGAGACAGCTCGAGTCCATTGCACCAAGAAACGGGCTGGGATCCCAATGGAAGGTAACGGGAGCTTAGAATGGCGGAGGAACCATGTTCGTGACATCAGCCTTCTCCTGCTGCTCCATCAACTCTTCCCCAGCGATCTCCAGGGAAACGGCGAGACCGACTTTGGCCGTTTGCTATGAACGGAAAAAGGGAACCATTAGCGCTGGTGTATTTCACGGGAGGGGGGGAGCTCAAAGGGTGATGAAATTGCATACCTTGGCCTGGTCAATCTCTCCCGCAAAGGTCAACGAGATAGGCATGGCGATCCGCTTCTCGAGCAAGCAGCTGACTTTGCCGGCACTGTCGACCTGGGCGCGAAGGGAGGAGGCCCGGAAATCGTACTTGGCACCAATCGCGGTGGTGCCATCGCGGCTGGGACCACCCATCATCATAGCGGCCGCACTGGGGGCGAATTGCAGGTTCATGTCAACACCGGCCTCAACCCGCTCGGAGAGCTTCCGCCAGTAAGTAGCAGCAAATGTTCCCTGGGCCTGCAGCTGAGCCGTAGCAATCCAGTCATCTCCCTTATACTTGGCGCTGTAGGAAAGAGCAGTCTCCGGGCGAGTGTTGAGACCCTGTCGCTGCCAGATCGCCTCAAAACCAAGGGCCAGAGCGGGGGTAATGGACTGCAGGTAGCTTCCAACGAAAATGCCGGTCAGACCACCCTCGAGGAACGACGGGTTGAATGCCTTGAGAGATGCCGAGAAATCCGAGCCAGTGTAGTCGTTGTCGAGCTGGAGCAGACCCTGGGTGCCACCAGCCATAATCTGGGCGTTGGTCTTGGTGACCAGAGCCTGGTTCCAGCGGTAGTTGTAGACCCCAGCGAGCGTACCGTCACTTCCGAAGTTGCCTTGCATGAACACCTGTTATGAAAGCTTCGATCAGAGACATGCACCGAGGAGACACAGGGCAACAAGAGAAGCCATTCTTCTTATCAAGACATAGATGTAGATATCCTTACCTTGGGACTTCCGTACATGGCGGAGAAAGCGTACGGCGGCATATTTCCCGACGAGCCCATGGAGAACGCGTGCGACACTCGGAACAGGGGAGACATGCCGAACACCTTGGTCAGGTCTGCACGGAGACCCGAGAACATAAAGTTGGACAGCAGAACCTCCTTCTGCACCTCTCGTGCAAGGTTATCCACCGTGCCGGGGTTGGGCAGATTGAGCAATGCCCTTCGATCGGAAAACGACGTGTATGCATCCCTGATAGCTGCCACGGCGGGATTGTCCGTGACAAAGGAGAGCGATGATAGGATATCGGCCATATTGATGGTTTTTGACAATTATAGAAAGGTTAATGTCGTCACGCGAGGATGTTTTTCAATGGATGTTGTGTTTTTTTCTTTTCTCGAGAGCTTCGGGAAGAGGACAGACAACGTGGCAAAATAAAAAAGGGTGAGACCAGCCCGGGAAATCTGGGACGAATGAACGTCTCCGAGGATTGAAATTGTTTTGCAAGAAGGGCTCTGTCTAATCCGCTCAGGAGTCGGGTCGGAGAGGATCGAAGGCTTTCCAGTGAAAAATGCGAGTCACCTGCTCGGCGTCTTTGGTTGCTGTCGGCCCCCGGGATTGTCGATTATGTCAGCACCCCGTGCCCGGTGGAACGCCATGACGAAGTGGAATCCATGTCGACCGGGCCCTGGTTGTTTGGCTTGATTCCAAGCCTTCTTGCTTTTGTTTCTTCTTCTCTAGCCAACTGAGAGGTCTCTAATTGAAACCACCATTTTACCTGAGTGCTGTTCGCTCACCGGAGAGCATCGACTGGACAATTTGAGGTCTTGATCAGCCTATACCGCCTCCCCGTGCATCTTGGGTTTGTCTCTCTTCGACTTTCTCCCCACCTGTGTGGTTTCGTCTTTAGGGACTCGGTTTATTGCACTCGTGCTTGGAATTCATTGCAAGGAACTTGGACAGCTACTTGGTATTGAATATTTTCTCTTGTCTTGGTCGACTTGTCCACCCGACCATGGATACGTTACTGTAAGCTTGCTTCTCTCGATTGCCTAATATCTTCGTTTCCGGTGGAAATGCTATCTATGATCTTCCCAAACCCCATGAAGCATTTCGTTATGAGAGAGGCAGAGTCTAGAATACCAGACGCCCGTTGGACTCGAGCTGACGTCAAGTAGCACCGCTGAGATCGTGGCTAACTCACCACAATTTCGACGGAAATCCTCGATCTTTGTCGACGCCATTCATGACTTGCCTGAAAAAGCCGATCTAGCCCCGGCCCAACTCTACAGTACCGAATCTGGTCGGCTGTTTCATTCGGGCCGAATTGTAATCATCACTGTTGGTTTGCCCGCCAGAGGGAAGACGTAGGCTCATTCATCCTGGAACCACAGTTGCTCCTGAATACTAATATTTACCAGACATATCTCTGTGGCTCTCGCACGATATCTTCGCTGGTATGTCTTGTTCCCTATGAAAATAGATCCCAACGCATCCTGATACATGAGTTCACCAAAAAAAACATGCTGACGAGCTGTATAGGCTGGGTGTCAAAACCAGAATTTTCCACCTGGGTGACTACCGCCGGGCCACGATTCCATTTGGAGAGGACATGCCCGATGATTATTTTTACGTCAATGGTAGTCGCAACACTATTCTGTGGTTTTCCGAGATCCCTCGCTAACAGACTCTATGTCTAGCATCTGCATCGTCCGTTCTTCTCCGCCAAAAGATTGTGAGAAAATGCCGAGAAGACATTTACCACTTCTTGAACCATGAAAATGGGCAGATCGCGATTTATGATGCCGTCAATCCGCTCGCCTCAGGTCGGCGTTCGCTTGCGAAGGAGTTTGCGAAGCATGATATCGAGGTAACATGGATACCTGGAGTCCGTATATTGGCTTCATGGCACTGATTTAGTTTGAAAGACACTCTTCATCGAATCCTGGTGTGATGATGAACGCATCATTGAGGAAAACGTCCGCAGGGTTAAGATATCCTCCCCTGACGTGAGTCTGGTTCCCTTAGGTGGCACTGGAAGAAATTCACTCACGGAATGTATCAGTACGTTGGCTGGAGCCCGGAAGATGCCGTGAAGCATTATTTGACACGCATCTCCTCCCGGATCCCCCAATTTTCCACCATGGAGGAAAAGGACTTGAATTACATCAAGGTCCTTCCCACTTGAATTCTTTGAGGTTTGACATACTGACTAATTCCAGATGATCAATGCCGGTGAGCGACTCATTGTCAACAATCGAAGCTTTGGATATCTCTCCAACCGCATTGTGTTTTACCTCTTGAATCTCCATATCAAATCGAGACGCACCTACTTCGCTCGGGTAGGTGATTCTGCCACGTCTTGTGAGAGTCCAAGCAACTAACGATCAAACAGGCTGGCGTCTCGTTGGAAGCGGACTCTTACAAGGCCGATGCTTCTCTCTCTGAACAAGGAGAAGACTACGCCAAGAAAATGACTGATTGCTTGCTAGCCCATCGAGAAACGGAGAAGCAAGCGTTGTTTGACCGCGGAGAAACAGCATATGAGTTGAGACCTCTCAAAGTCTGGACATCCACTCGACGGAGAACCGTGGAGACTGCCAAATACCTGTATGATCGAGGCTACAAGGTTCGGCAGCGGTCTCAGATGAGTCAATTAAATCCCGGAGTCTGCGAGAAAATGGCAGAAAACCATATCAGAGCAGAATATGGCGATGAGGTCTCAAAGCATGAGCTGGACCCTTATCATCATCGGTACCCCCGTGCAGAGGTAATACTCGTCCTGGTGGGCACCCACGCAAATGGCTAACTACTTCGACAGTCATACCACGATCTCGCCGTCCGCCTCGAACCAATCATCCTTGAGCTGGAAAGAGAGCAGAATGATCTGCTCATCATTGCGCATGAGAGCGTATTGAGGGTTCTGTATGGGTATCTCATGGCCTGTAATGCCGCAGACATCCCATTCTTAGAGTTCCCCCGGGACGAGATCATCGAGGTAGAATGATTTCAATGCCTGGTTCATATCGACGCATGGCTAACCAACACCGTCCAGATTATCCCCGAAAGCTATCAAAACGAGGCACGAAGAATCCACATTCCTGACCTCCCCGAAGAAATCATTCCCGCTTCCCCCGAAGATTTGAAGATCCCGGTACCCCCAAGCGGAGTAGTATCTCCGATGCAAGGATTGGGCAGCCCGAAGGAAGGCCTCGCCACACCCCAGAGTGGGTTGCGAACTCCCAGTGGGCTTCGAACCCCTCGCGAGCCCGAGAGGATCACCCAACAGCATGTGGAAGATGTCGTCTAGACGCAATGGCCCAGGGCTCAAGCCTGCTCGTCCCGACATCCCGATATGCTCCCGCGGCATTGCTTCGATATAAAGGTGTTGGTGTGTTCCCGTTCTGACTCTAGATGTGCAACCCAATCATCATTATCCCCCATGTAGCGTTGACACAAAGACAATATTATCTCCCTGTTGAAGCTCGTATTTCTCTTCACCTTCGAGTTCCCAGTCAGTATCGTTGATCAAAACCAGGATGCCCGGTCGCCTGTCCCAAATGATCAGCACTGCTAGGATAGAGAAGTCCTGGTATTAACCTACACATTGTCTTCCATGATAAACAATGCTTTCCTCTGGTCTCTCATGACGTGCTCGACCAGGTGTTGAAGTAGGTACGTGATATTAGGTCGACTTCCATCATCTAAGCGAGGGGGTAGCACAATTGGGTGTTTGCGCTCATTGGAAAAGAGCATCTCGAGTCCGCCACTGGAGGCCTTCATTAGATTCGGTCCGAGGAAGATAAGAGAACTGACCATACGTGAACTCGACGGTAATTAGAATGGAGGCCTCGCCTCCGGCAGCTGAATCGGCCATTAAGTAAAATCAACGAGAGGCGAGAGAGGATTCTCGGGTGAAGAGGGGAGGGAGAGAGAGGGGCTTTTTGGGATGGCAGAAACCAACTCTTATCGATAAGCGCTATCTTTTCTTTGCGCTCTCTTTCCCAGGTCTTTTGCCCACAAAAATATTTGGAGCTCGCCAAAGCCTTCATGCCGACCATTACAACCGACTACATCAGTGTCGGAGGCAATCGGCACCCAGGCGCCGCCGACTGGGATGTGTCATCGGGCGTGCTGGCCTTCGGTGCCGACAACAACGTCGCTTTATGGGACCCTTCAGTAAGTCCATTGGAAGCCAAGGACCATTCCAGAACCTGACGATTTCTCCAGGAAACCACCCAGCGCGGTGTCTACGCTTTGCTCCCTGGCCATACCGACAAAGTCAGTGTGGTTAGATTTTACACATGCCCCTCCGGCACGAGATTCCTCCTGACCGGCTCTGTCGACCACACAATTCGAGTATGGCGCAGTGAAACCAGCGACCCGCGCCAATACACCCATGTCTCTACTCTTGAAGGCCATACGGGCTCGGTCAATGCGATATCGGTGGCCGACGGCACAAACATTGTTGCGTCCGGGGCAGCAGATGGCACGGTTCAGATTTGGAGGATCAATGCACAGGACCAACTGAAGTGCGACCTGGTTGAAACGATAACTATGAAACCTCGCTTCTTTCCATTGTCACTGTCCCTGCGAGTACTCCAGGGCGACACGACCAAGTCTCTGGTGTTGGCTGTTGCGGGCACTACGACTACAGTACAGATATATGTGGCCGATTCACGCACTGAAAAGCCGGGGTTTCAACGCTGCGCCATTCTTACGGGCCATGAAGCGTGGGTCAGGTCACTGTCCTTCACAAATGACAAGCAAAGCGGCACCGATGACCTCCTGCTTGCCTCTGCAAGCCAGGACAGATATATTCGGCTTTGGCGGCTCCGTCGGGGCGAAGCCAAAGTACCTGCCCCGATAGATGATGCCGACCCTCTGTTGGGTGGCATGGAACCAACCCTATCGAACAAGGCCCACGAATTTGAAGCAGCTGGGTCGAAATACTCCATCACTTTCGAGGCTCTTCTTTTTGGAAATGAGGACTGGATTTATACCGCTGCATGGAACCCTAATCCGAAGCGATTACAGCTCCTCTCTGCTTCTGCGGACAATACTGTCACGATCTGGGAACAAGACCCAGTATCGAGTGTATGGATGTCTACGGAGAGAATGGGGGAGATTAGTGTGCAAAAGGGATCGACCACAGCCACAGGCAGTGCAGGTGGCTTTTGGATTGGACTCTGGTCACCCGATGGACAAGTGGTGGTGAGCCTGGGTCGGACAGGCAGCTGGAGAGTCTGGCGATATGACTCTAATGCGGATGTCTGGGTCCAGAAATTTGGTATCTCGGGCCATGTTCGCCCGGTCAATGGTATAAAATGGGAGCCCACGGGCGGTTATCTGCTCTCAACCAGCGCAGATCAAACCACCCGGCTTCATGCTCAATGGGTACGCGAAAATGTATCGTCGTGGCATGAAATGTCTCGTCCACAAATCCATGGATACGACTTGAACTGCATCGACACGCTGGGGCCATCTCAGTTTGTGTCAGGTGCCGACGAGAAACTTTTGCGGGTGTTCAACGAGCCCAAACCGATTGCTCAGATGCTTGAAAATCTCACCGGCTTCCGACAATCCATCGAGGGTGATCTCCCAGACACAGCTGAAATTCCGGTTTTGGGTCTTTCGAATAAACCTCTTGGTGACGAGGCCCCAGTGGAAGAAGACGAGTCCAATGAGCTCGCAGCCGAAACACCGCCTACCGCGTCAGCTCTATCAGTTACCAAGACCCCGCCGCTGGAAGATCAATTAGCTCGGTATACACTGTGGCCCGAGCATGAGAAGCTCTATGGCCATGGCTATGAAATCTCAGCGGTGGCCGTGAGCCATGACCGAAGAATCATTGCCACTGCCTGCAAGGCCAGCTCCATCGATCATGCCGTGATTCGCTTGTATGACACATCGGACTGGCATGAGATTAAACCTTCTCTTACCGCACACTCGCTGACCATCACGGATCTTTCATTCTGTGTCGATGATCGCTACCTTCTTAGTGTTGGCCGGGATCGACAATGGGCTGTTTTCCAGCGAAGTGATCAGGACTCGACCACCTTTACCAATTGGGCTTCAAACCCCAAAGGTCATTCTCGAATGATCCTGGGGGCCGCCTGGGCCCCAGTAACTACAGAACATGTTTTCGCCACAGCAGGACGGGACAAGTCCGTGAAAATTTGGCACAAGACAGACGACTCATTCGAGTGCAAGTCCACAATAGCTGTGACATCTGCGGTCACGGCCATTGCTTTCTTGCCCACCACCTACCAGGGCTCATTTACTCTTGCGGTAGGAGAAGATAGTGGCATTGTGTCCATTCACCGGGTTTCTATTGAAAGTTTCGAAACGCAACACTTGGTGACCATTGACAAGTGGATAGCGCCCTCGAGGGCGGTCACGCAGTTATCCTGGCGGCCGGTATCGGCTAAGGACTGCCAGAGTAGGGTTGAACTGGCAGTGGCAAGTGAGGACACTTCTGCTCGCATATATGTCTTTCCAGACATGTTTTCATGATCTCTCTTCGCATGACCTGATAAAAACGAAAAGAAAACCAAGAGAAATGAGCCATGGCTGAAAAATATAAACTCCAAAAGTTGAATCGGTCCACGCTATAGAATCCCAATGCCCTGAAACCATAGAAACCCCACCCATGCCTTGTTGAATCCATTGTTGAACGGCATATTGTTAAAAGAATCTTCGTATCATTGCGCTAAGACAACCCCTCAAAGTTAGCTGGGTTTCTCCAGTCCATAGCCCCCGAGCCCTTCGAGGGATTCGTAGGTCTTGGCCTGGTTTTGTCGACCATTCCGCGGCCCTCGAGTCTGCAGGTCCTCCTTGAGCCATTTGAGAACCAACTCTCCGAGGCGACTATTCTCAGACGTCCACTGCGGCACCTCGGAATGGAAATCCTCCACCGGACCCCAAGCCTTGACCTTCCCCAGATGCATATGGACAAGGTGGGTCGGCCACTGCGCTAGGTTATCCAAGATATGCGTGGCATAGACGATAGTACAGGGCCTGGTCTCAGTCTCTCGCTTGAGAAAAGCCAAAAAGTTGCTCCGGGATAGCAGATCGAGATCCACGGTGATCTCGTCGAGAAGCAGGACCTGCCAGGGCCGCAGAAGACCCATGGCCAGCTGGACACGACGCCGCTCACCGTCGGAGACGGCATGCATGCGCCAGCGCAGATCAATGTCGAGAATTTCGACCAGCTCGTCGCGTCGCTCAGGATAGACGTTGCCACCCACCGAGGCCAGCAGCGTCGGCACGTCAATGTCGGTGCGGACGATGCTGTTCAGCACCCATTCCACACCCAAATATGTGACGCCCTCCAGCCCATGTTTGAAGGGGTCGGTGCCGCCCACAGCGATGGTGTCGGTGGGGGCAAGGCGCTTTCCTGAGACGAGCCGGAGGAGCGTGGTTTTCCCCGCGCCGTTCGCTGTCTGGGATTAGCCATGCTTCAAGCGATACGAGTATTCGTTGAAAGTGAATTACCGCCAATCAGCAGAGTCCGGCTCCCCGGTGGAAGAATCATCTGTACGTCCTCCAGACCCGACGAACCATCTTGGAATTTGTAGGAGAGACCCTGCACCTCAATCGACGGGGGTTGGTTTGCCATGAGAGATGGGGACACACCGAATAGTTCTGAACGAAGAAGAAGAAGAAGAAGAAGAAGAAGAAGAAGAAGAAGAGGAAGAATTTGCAACAGAATAGAGAAAGAGAAAGATGATCCACAAACGAAGATATCAACTCTTCAATCTAAACCGAGCTCATCCTAGCGTTTGAACCATGCGGATGAGGTAAGTCACTTCACCGATAACGCCCGCCATTTTTTTCTTCCCCTTCCACACCTCTTTCGCTACGACACAATGTCGGTATGCTCTCTGTCCGATCAATTTGGCCGGGTCGAAGAGCAATCATGGATCCCCTCATAGCTGTTGTTGGGGCCACGGGCACGGGTAAATCCAAGGTATGTGGGGGATCATGTATCGCGACATCACGGTGGCTGACGATTGCAGACAGCTCGCGGTAGACTTGGCCTCACGATTCAACGGTGAAATCATCAATGGCGATGCGATGCAGATGTACCGTGGCTTGCCTATCATCACCAACCAGATTCCCCCGGCCGAACAAAATGGCATCCCCCACCACTTGCTGAGCTGCATTGACCTTGAGGCCGTGGCATGGCGGATCGGCAAATTCAAGAACGAAACCCTTCGGCTCATCCACGATATCCGGTCGCGCGGAAAGCTGCCCATCTTAGTCGGGGGTACCCACTACTACACGCAAGCGGTGCTTTTCAAGGATCAACTGGTGGGGGAAGGCCCCAACGATGAAGACGGATTTGAACCGACGGAACTCGACTCGACCTCGGACAAATGGCCTATCCTCGATGCTCCGCCCGAGATTCTCTTACAGAAACTTCGCGAGGTGGACCCAGTCATGGCAGAGCGATGGCACCCGAAGGATACGCGGAAGATCCGGCGATCGTTGGAGATCTATCTGCAGAGAGGGCGACCAGCCTCGGAAATATACGCGGAACAAAGTCGCCTGAAGCGAGAGGCGGTTCAAAATAGTAACGGGCTGCTACGGTTCGAAAATACATTGATCTTTTGGGTGCATGCGGAGAAAGGGGTTCTGGATACGCGCTTGAATACGCGCGTCGACAACATGATCGATCAGGGCCTGATGTCGGAAGCACAGACAATGTCGGATTATATCCACAAGAAACAGTCGCAGGGCATCCAAGTCGATCACACCCGCGGCGTCTGGGTATCGATCGGCTTTAAAGAATTGGAGCCCTACTTCACGGCACTTCGGCAAGCCGACGTCAGCCAAGAGGAGCTTGAGGATCTGAGGCAGCCTTGTATCGAATCCATCAGGAGCGCTACACGGCAATACGCTGTGTCTCAGATTAAATGGATTCGAAATAAACTGTGGCGCGCGCTGTTGGAAGCCAACCGCACTGATCGTCTCTTTCTCCTCGACAGCAGCGACATCAACGACTGGAAGAAATGCATCGCGGAACCGTCTGAGAAGCTTGTGCAGTGTCTGCTCCACAATGAGCCTCTTCCCGACCCCAAATCGCTGTCAGAATTGGCAAGAGCGGTGTTAGGCGCTAGAGAAGACCAGGGGGACGATCAGCCATCCAAGTGCTACACTTGCGATGTCTGCCGTAAGACGATGGCGGGCGAGGCGCAATGGAAGATCCACTTGAACGGACATGGCCATAAACGAGCCCTCAAGTCTGCCGCCAAACGAGCTGAACGAGACGCTTATTTTCAACGACAGTCTCAAAAGGCTTGATTGATGTTCCATAGACGCGATAAAAACAATTCTTTGGCAATAATCCACTTGGGTTTACGATGTACTATCGCATGAATTCTTCCAACTCCCGCCTTGGCCCCCATCAACAATTCCGCCCCATCGGCCCCCAAGCTAAAGGATTTTGATTTTTTTTTACGACTTGAAATAATATTGATTGGGTGGATTTGGTCTATTGGTCTATATTTGGACTTTTGCGCGGATCGGCTTTATCTGGGTCGCTTCTCCTGGAATTTATCTACCTTTCCCTCTACACCCCCCAAACCCCCAATACTCAAGATGCGGTTTCTAGCATTGCTTGCTGCTGCTCTCCCTGCGGCTCTCGCTGCTGGCACGGTCGCTCAGAGCGACCTTGAGCCATTCCAAACGCCCGCCCCTCAAGCCAAGGATCCGGCCTATATTCTTCATGACGCGGAGCACAACTACTGCTACGTTCAGCTCAATTTTGGCGGCTGCACAACCTTGACGCCGTCCATGGCAGTTTGGCACCCCGAGAAGCAAAGATGCTTGCCCAGTGAGTCGAAGTCTTGATGTGGAATGAATATATCGCAGTTAGCTGACTTTTCTCTCAACAGACCCTGATATTGACAAGAACAACATCCCCCGCAATGCCACCGTTTGCCCGAAGACCGAGCACGCCGCAATGGTGTGGTTGTATCTCGAAGAGATCCCGGACACCAAGGAGGTGTATGTGAAGGCCCTGGACAAGAAGGTGCACGGAATGCCAGCGGGCACCCTCTTTTTCAAGAACAAGAAGAAGGGCACTGTTCATCGCTTCCATCTGGATTCTGGAAGCGATCCCAAGACTAGCACCTCCAGCGCCGACAACCAGCCCAACAACCCGGCTACAGGCCAGCCTGACAACCCAGCTACAGGCCAGCCCACTCCCAACATCAACCCAACCTAAGCGGTGATCCACGGCCTGATGGGCACCTTGTTCATGACCAGTTCTTCCCATAACGATGTATCCACATCCCGCGCAGTGTTGTCATCCGGTGTATGGGTCTTGTTAGAACACCCGAGGTGCTCCATCTTAGGCATCTGGTAGAATTTACATGAGGGAATGAGATATCTAATGTGACAGTTCAATACTCGTATATTATTGTTCATAGCAATACCCAACTAGAAAAGAAAGAAAAGATCAACCTGATCGCCAGCTCTTAAATGTCGATGAGAGAATATCGCCATGTCCCTGCTCCTCGGTCTGGAATACTTCAATGACCGGCGATTTCTCTCGTTTCCGGATCCTCCACGTCCCATCCTGTTGGATGGTCTGCTTCAGCCCTGGAAAAAGAAAGATAGAGAGCAGTGGTCAGCACAAGACGGAGCTCTATTGACACGGTAAAACTTACATTCGAGAAATGATGCGGCGAAATTGATACAGATGTTCCCATCCCAGGTCCCTTTGCCCAACTTCTTCACCTTGCCCGGGAGACTGGCAGTGTCCAGCTCCTCTAAGCGGTGTACAATGCCTTGCGGATCACGGAATCCCACGATGATTTTGGGCACGCCGAGGAGGAAAGACTGGGCCCAGAATTTCAGCAACTTGCGCTCATACTTCAGCATATCACGATCATTGCGGATCTCCGCGGATGTTTTGAGCTCGACCCAATGGACGGGGTCTTCTTTGCGTTCCGGCTTGCAGTCCCAAACTAAAAGAAGTAAAAACTAGTCAGTATTGTCATACAGATGTGTCCTGGGCCAACATACCGGCGTCAACCTCGCCGCCGAGGATCATGCGCACATTCCCAATTCCGGTGCGGGCAACCGAACAATACTGCGCGCCATTGTTGACGACCTCGTTTGGTCGGTTTTCAATCTCTTCGCGCGAGCTCGAATCCCAAGGCTCTCGCAGAACAGACAAGGTTTCAAACTTGTAGCCTGGAAGAATGGTCAGATATTATCGCGCATCGTATCCAGAAGATCTTCTTACCCCAATACATCATCATTTCCTGGGATGCCATGCCAGGCGGCATCCTCTGGTTACGCTGGAGCTCCTTCTGCTCGTTTTTGTAGACATTGTCCTCTTCGATAAATCTGAGGGTACATCAGCACTTGGGTTCTGTGGCAAACACCGAACTGGCCTTTCGTACATGGTATCCTAGTCATACATGTTGGTCAGATGAATTGTCAGAGGGTGAGCACAAAGGGGGCTTCTTCCTACCTGAAAACGGGTCGCGTTCATTTCAAAGCTAGAAATGGAATAGAAAGCATTAGGAATAGCTTTGTCGAGACAAGGACCAAGGTAGAGATTGATACACACCCATTCATCATGTCAAAAGGAGCAGTCAAGATCTGAAAGACAATGTTGGTCAGAGAAGTTCACTCGAAACTCATTGCCTCAAACACACCTTGGTCATCATTCCTCTCCAAGTGACGATATCAGCCTCGCATCTCTTTTGCGTGTCTTTCTCCAGGGCGATAATCGTCTCCAGCAGCGCATCCAAGTGCTCATCCGGGGCATCGTTCAGCTTTTGGAACGTATTATAGCCCAGATTCAAGTCTGCTGGCAGACTCGGCGGGTAGTAATACCGTAGGGATGACTCCCCCAGCGAGAAGCGGTGGTCATCATCATAAGAAAAGCACGCAATTTCCTACCACCGAAGGAGTGAAGGTCCACGGTTAGTGGCGATATGAAAGAATCGATTTCCCACTCACTCGTGGCCGCCGAATCGTGGTATTCGAACCGACGAAGCGGTTGACGGGCTGAATGTCAAAAGTCGACCGGTTCATAGCGGATTGCCTGTGCCTTTTTAGATCAAACTGGTCCCTTGATACCAGTGACCCAGACGGCCAATTGGTGGAGTCGGGTAGAGCCCCTGGATCGCATGTAGATTAGGAGAGAAGCTCTGGCACAGCGCAAGATATTCGAGGTACAAGAAGTTGAAGAAGGCACGAAGTACTGCAATTCGCGACAAAAAAAAAGTGAATGATGTACGATGTATGGTGGTCGCAGCGGAGCTACCGCGTCCCCACCGAACCGCAACTCGCCCCGCGAACTTCCTCCCCCATCGCTCGTGTTCGGGGCTTTGATTGCAGGACTCTGGTCACCTCTCTCCTTCTATTCTGTTTATTCTTTTTTCCGGACTGATCATGACTACCCGCATCGACAAAACCATTGCCCGTCAGCGGGAAAAGTAAGACACTGCCTGGACTCTCTCCCAGTGACCCGAAGAAATCCCGCACTAACGCTTTTGCTCTGCTACCAGAATCGCATCCGGTGCCTACTACGAAGCCCACCAGCAGCTGCGTGTCATTGCGGCTAGGTACATCAAACAGGCCAACTACGATGCGGCGGCAGAGCTCCTAGCCGGTGGAGCGACGGCTCTGTTGAGGGCAGGCGCCCAACAAGGAGCGTCCGCAAGTGGAGGAGATTTGGCCATAATGTTGGTGCTAGAGGTTTACAACAAAGCGGAGTGGGAGATCTCGGGGTCTGATGACGACGTGGAAGGTCGGACTCGGAAGAGTGAGTTGGCCTCTGGTTTCTGCGTGGCATAGATTTGGTTACTGCGGGAGTGCGGTCAATCAAATCGATTGCAACTGTCCGAGTGTGTCGAGAATATTTATCCTCTGACTATTATCCATCAGAGCGTCTCATTGAGCTTCTGCGCGAGTTCCCGTCAGACGAACCTACGAGGAAGCGGTATATCCAGGAGATAATTGGGTGGAGCGGGCGATACGGACCGCTTGAACGAGGAGATCCAGACCTGCACCATACTGCTGGCTCGGTCTACGCAGAAGGTTAGTTGCTTGTATTGGGCTGTGATCATTTGTACAATCTAACTGAACGCCCCAGATAACGAAGTATACGACGCCGAGAAACATCTCATCTTGGGAACATCCGAATCGGCGGAGACTCTGGCGAAACTTGAGTACGAGTGGTACACCAACGACGACCCACACACCGCGGCCCTTTATGCGTCGCGCGCAGTCTTCCCATACCTCTTGACTGGAAACATTGGAAGCGCAAACAAGGCTTTGCTCATCTTCACCTCACGGCTTTCAGCCTCCAATCCTTCGCTCGGCGTGCAGGATGTCAGCAGTGCTAGCTCCGACATCCGAGTGTATCCAGCGCTGCCCCTGCTTAACTTCATCAGTCTGCTTTTGCTCACAATCCAACGTGGAAGCACGGATCTGTTCCGGCAGCTTACCGCACACTATGCGGCACAAATCAAAGATGTTGGAATCTGGGACGACACCTTGGCCCAGATCGGTGAGATGTATTTTGCCATCAAGGTCCCGAAGCAAGGCAACCCACTGTTGGACATGATGGGCAGCATGTTTTTCGGAGGTGGCCAAGATAACAGTGGTGGGAGACGGGCTCCGCAATCCAGAAGCTCGGCGAAGACAGTCGAGGCTCCGCCATCCAACATGGAGCTTGATTAGCGGCAGCCCAAGGTTTAGCCCTGGCGACGCGGGACGCACCGCCTTGCAGTGAACATACCCAGTCGATAGTGTCATGAATTGAAGATGCATGTAGCGCGCATAGATCGGGTTGCCATTAGGAGTGCGTATCTTTTTCAGGCTCGAACATCCAATTGTCATCTTCCAACGAAGCTACTTGTCGCTGGAGGTTCTGGTGAACGATATTCAAGAGCTCTATAGAGGATCAGCGGGCCATGGCAACATGAAGGGGGAAGGGGTTCATGCGCGAAATGGAAGAGAACTCACCATCGGGTTCACCACTCGACTGTTTGTTCCGATTACGAAACATCATCTCCCCCAGAGCAGCATCGAACTCTAGAAATGAGCATTAGCAAACTGTGACATAGCCAAAACACCCATGTTGACGCGACATACTCTCTTTCTCGTGCACAGTAAGCTCCGAGTCGAGGATTCCACCGGCTCCCTCTTCATCCAGGTCACCAAGCTCCTCCCCATCTTCCCCGATTAGAGGCTGCAGCTCTTTGGTGGGGGCATCAAACTTGTAGCCACCGGCCCTCTCCCGCACGGCGATCTCCCTGCTTTCAACCAGCCTAGCATTTCTTGATGCTGCAATTGAGTCTGATGATGTCGGCTTCAGGCGGTGCGAAGGGCGATTCGAGAGGCTGCTGGTTCCAAGCGGCACGGTGCCATTGGATGGTCCTGCAGAGGCAGGCCGTCGGCTAAGGTTTTGGTGGAAGAGGTTTCGACGAACGGAAGTCGGTCCCATCACGAGAGAATGGTTTTTTTTTTTTTTTTTTTCCCAGGCTGGGCAAGGATTGGGATACAGTTGATTGACTGGAAATTTTGCGCGAGGTTTTCGGTTGAGGGTGAAGTGTTGAAGACAAGACACCCTGCCCCGGAGTAGGGATGGTATAAGGATGGATTGAGGGAATGGAAATATTTGGACAGCTGCAATCAGTTACGACGTCCGAGAGACAGAAGTCAGAGGCATGGAGACCCGAGGGATAAGAATAGACGTGTGGTTTGGGGAGTGGGGAGGAATGCGGAGCGCACGATGACCCGGCGATGCAGGTGACTTTTACAACACAATCGCAACAAAGAGGCCCAAGACGTCCCCGCCCAGCAACTCAACTCTCATCTACAGTGCACTTCTAATTGCCAATTTCCTGTGTTGACTATACCGAAGGTATTGAGCACAGGCCAGCTGATAAGCTATCGCGGATTTTCGGGACGCGTCCGCGTCTCCCTTGGCTTCCTCCAGACTCTACTGCTAGTCACTCACCATGGTGCAAGCCGAATCATCTTCAAGCGCCGCCGGCAATCGCCTCAAGTCTGTGGCCGCGGGGGCTCCTCAGGACTATGAACTGCCCTGGTCAGTATCTTGGTCGCGATGGTGGGATTTGATGGCTAACTTGTCTACGACAGGGTCGAAAAGTACCGCCCCGTGTTCCTCGATGATATTGTGGGCAACACCGAGACCGTGGAACGATTAAAAATCATTGCCAAAGATGGGAACATGCCCCACGTCATCATCTCCGGCATGCCGGGTATTGGAAAGACTACGTCGGTTCTGTGTCTGGCGAGACAATTGCTCGGAGACGCCTACAAGGAGGCGGTCCTCGAGTTGAACGCAAGTGATGAGAGAGGTGCGTCCGCGCGTCCTGTTTTTTCGCTAAGCCAAATGGTGCTTCGATACTAATAGGGAGAGCCAGGCATTGACGTGGTGAGGAATCGGATCAAGGGCTTTGCCCAGAAGAAAGTCACTCTACCCCAGGGCCGACACAAAATTGTCATTCTCGATGAAGCCGATAGGTGCGTACTGCTGCCCTGACCAATGTGTTGTGGCACGGAACTCATGAGTCTATGTAACAGCATGACCGCTGGTGCCCAGCAGGCCCTGCGACGTACGATGGAAATCTACTCGTCTACCACCCGATTCGCCTTTGCCTGCAACCAATCCAACAAGATCATCGAGCCCCTTCAATCGCGCTGTGCAATCCTACGTTATGCCCGGTTGACCGACGCCCAGGTGGTGAAGCGATTGATGCAAATCTGCGAGGAGGAAAAGGTCGAGCACTCTGAAGATGGAATTGCCGCCCTGGTTTTCAGTGCCGAGGGTGATATGCGGCAGGCTATCAACAACCTGCAGAGTACATGGTCCGGCTTCGGTTTCATCAGCGGCGACAATGTGTTTCGAGTTGTCGATAGCCCTCATCCAGTCAAGGTGCAGGCCATGATCAAAGCCTGTTGGGAGGGCAAGGTGGACGTGGCCCTGGAAACATTGAATGAATTATGGTACGTTCGTGTCTACTCGTCTAACTCGGCTCACATCCCGCTAATAAACCGGCTTTTGTGCAGGACGCTGGGGTATTCCTCTCACGATATCATCAGCACCATGTTCCGAGTCACCAAGACTATTCCCACGCTTTCAGAACACTCCAAGCTGGAATTTATCCGGGAGATTGGCTTCACCCATATGCGTATCTTGGACGGCGTGCAGTCGCTGCTCCAGCTCAGCGGCTGTGTAGCAAAGCTTTGCAAGATCAACATGAAGCCCGAGCTTTTCGAGCCACCCAAAGCTTGACGTGAAGAACAATGATATCCCTGTTGCATTTCCCCCACGGCGTTCAGAGGTGTCTGGCTTGGGTGACTCTGGAGGCCGAGATCGTGATGATTTATGTCTTTGTTGTTAAAAGTGTTTCAAAAAAGAGAGAAATATAGCGGACTCCAATGAATGTAATAGGTGATCAAGTGACTATGGGCAACGGATGCTATTATGAGACAGAAGGTCAACATTCATCCATCACGGCGCTTGACGTGGTCTCTCCAGATCTTCTCGACAATAGTTGCTGCGCCCAGAACCTTCTCTTCTTCAAGTTTCTTGCCGATAATCTGCAGATTCACCGGATAGCCCTCCAACTCCTTCGCATCATAGAGATTCCAATTCCATTCATCCAGGGCGTTTCTCGGAGTATAGGGCACTGTGGGCATGCTATCACGATCAGCCCTCACTCGGTCCACGGGGAATGTGACGGCCGGATAGTCGAGGAAATTCCAGATCTTGGTATACCCGACCCAGCGAATGTTCCGATGAGGAACAGTTGTATGCGGCAGAGTCGGACTCAAAAGAACATCAACGGGCCTGCCAGACGGGGACCGGGTCGCATTCCATTGATCAAGATATTTCTTCTGTACCGCGAATTTGCGCTTGTTCAACTGCCAGTATTCAAATACTGAGATAGCCTTGCCACGTTTGACCAGAGCTTCAACGTGAGGAATGAATGGCTCGCCCGCGACGCTCACGTCCCGGCGAATGTCCTCGCCCCCGTCGACGGTGTAGAAGAGGTCCATCAGTTTGATGCAGGCAGCGTGACCAGAGACATCCCAAATCAGAGTTTCGTGACCGTGTGCTTTCAAAGTTGTTGATAGTTCCTCTAAGGCTCGAGCGATGGGTGGATGGACCTTCACAACGCCGTCATCCACAATTAACCCGATGACCATTGGCCGTTCCTGGATCTCCTGAAAAGCCTGGTCGTTCCAGGGGGGGGGTGCGCATCGAGGGTCCAGGTTCCAGGGCCGGCTATTTGCCACAAGTCGGCTGAAATAGCAGATCGAAGAAAGGTCCCGGGCCATGGGTCCAATGGAAGATGGGACGTGCTCCTGACCTTCGGTGGACACCGCAACACCATGATAAGGAAACCGGCGACTCTATATCCCACATGAGTACGTTCATACAGACACTAAGGATAGACCTTTCGAGCAGGTACTCACGCTGGGTTTGAAGCCATATAGACCCATTGTGCTCTGCGGGATTCGGATGCTCCCTCCAATATCAGTTCCCAGCCCGAATAGCGAGCCATGCAATGCCAGCAAAGCGCCTTCGCCGCCACTCGAGCCCCCGGGAGAGAATTCTGGGTTCCGGGGATTGGTAGTAAGCCCCCAGAGGGGATTCTCGGTTTCCGCCCACTGGGATAGATGCGGTTAATTCCTGGGATTTCGCATGCGTGGGGTAGACAAACCATGATGCTCTGGGGAAGATTCGATTTGGCGATGACTACGGCGCCCATGTCCTTGATAATCTGAACTAGGACCGCGTCCTCGCTTGCCGGAGCAAAAGACCTGCCCACATACCCTAATGTGGTATCCACGCCCTTGACATTGAACTGATCTTTCAGTGTGATGGGAACCCCATGCAATGGGCCTTTGAACTGGCCGGTGTCCTTGAATGCAGCATCGAGATGTCTTGCTTGCTCCAAGGCGTCTTCAAAAACCACTTCGGTAAGACAGTTGGTCTGTTGATGTCAGCACTCACCAGCTTTGGGCCTCAGCCTGAATGAACGGAGCCATCACTGACGAGTTGATGTGCCACCACGGCCCTGAAATAAGGTCGGCGACATCAGTTTTTGGTGTGCGGGGCACGCGGTCCCTGACAATCTTACCGTTGGATATATGCCTTGGTGACCTGCTCCGCGTTGAACTCCCCCTTCTCGAGATGCTCAAGTAAAGCGGCAATGTTGTCAATATCTGTGATCTTCTGGATGATAGGATCCTGTTCCAACCGAGTGCGTTCCGCAACCTGGTGTACCCGAGGGACCCGTTGATCTATATCGTCGACCAAGTACGGGGCGAGGAGTTGATCTCTCGTCGACCGTTTTTGGGCCACGATACGCTCCCACGGTTGTTGCGCATTCATCGTGACCAAGCTTGGATTTCGAATTTTGGCTGGGGGGCCGGCACTTCTTTTGAAATACCTCGGAAGGATGACCGACTCTCTCTCATGGGATTTACCCGAATTCCCGTGTGGAGACGCCAAACAAAAAAAAAGCGGAGTGTGAAGGGGCCGATAACCCGGACTCCGTGAGATGGACCATGGGCTTTGGCGATTGTCGTTGCGAGATGAATCTCACCCTGGGACACTCTGGAGGGACTCTGGTGATGCGATCTCGAGCATCCATGGATTAAGCTCCCGGTGGCCCAGGCGGCGAATTCGCAAGTGGGTCATTCCCTCAACCTCTTTCCTTCAGACCTCCAGCGTGGATGGAGTGACAATTCCCCCGTCATGGATTCCAGCTCGAGTACTGGATCACCGACCGGGGCCAGCGCCACCGGCGCCATCCGTTCTCGCAACAAAACCGCCGGAGCCATCGCCAAGCGAGCCTGCGACCAGTGCAAGTTCCGCAAGATCAAGGTGAGTATTCGCACCCCCTTCGTCCCCTGCTGGGAATTTTAGGGCTGATTCGTCCGATAGTGCAGTTTATCGCAGCCATGCAAGGCCTGCCAGTCCATGGGGTTCGATTGTACATTCTTTCAGCCGCAGAAGAAACGCGGGCCCACCGGACAGTAAGTGATGATCGCGGCTCTGGCTCCGGCTCCGATGACGCTCTCTCTAACCTGGGTGCAGTCGCGTGTCGCAAATCCGACAGCAGCAAACCCCTGTTGTCGGGGGAAGTTCGCAAGAAAATCCCATTGCTAAACAAGATGGGTTTCAGTACCAGAACCCCCCCTCGTCCGTGGAAACGGGCCAAGCCGTATCCCTACCGGGAACGTCCTGGGCTTCCACTCATGGCGAAGTTGCCATGCCTGTAGAGAGTGCAGGAGGACTCCCGCCGTCAGGTACTCCAACCCAGGTCGCTGGCGCTTGGGGGGCAGACACCGCATCCCTGGGCTCTCACAGCAACAGCGGGATGGGCTGGGACGAGCGCAATGACGTTGAATACTGGCTTCCGGACAACCTGGACTCCCAGGTTCCCATGTTTGAGTTCTCAGGGAGCAATATCTACCTCAAACCGTCGCTCCCATCCATCATTCAGCCGGTACCGGATGCTTCGGCTTCGGCTATAAACATGGCCCCGCAGGATCCCCAAAACATGGCCTTCCCAGCGGCGGGGCAGATGCAATCCAATGGACAGGAGATTGATGCGGCATGGCCGTCCTCTATCAGCGAAGGAAACATGATTCCTTGGATCGACGTCTATTTTGACCGGCTACACCCGACTCTACCGGTGCTCAGTCGCTCGTCCTTGTTTACCCGGATGCTATATCAAGAGCATCGCAAAAACCCACAATTTGGATCAATGTTGCTGTCGCTGTGCGCATTTTCGCTGACACAGCCCATTGAGATCAACGAGCGACCAACCACTTCGTCTCGCGCTACTCAGGCACGGTCCATGATGAACGAAGCAACCAAAATGCGGAGCTGTTCCGACTTTGGGGAGAATCCCACGATTGAAGCAGTATTAACAAGTTTCTTCCTATTTGGATGTCTCTTTGGAAGTAATCAGCACAATGCGGCGTGGCTCCGGTTGCGGGAAGCCCTGGACCTTGCAGCCACCCTAGGGTTGAATGACCCTGACTCATATCATGATCTGTCCGAGGAAGAGAAAGGGCAGCGATTACGGACCTACCTTGTCCTGTCTATCACAGAACGGTAATTCTATTTGCTCCTGGCATGTTCATATTTTGCTGATCGTATAATCTAGAGCCTACGCTCTTCAACGGCGACACCCAATAACGTTTTGGGGGAAGCCAGGATTCAGCATGCGGTCCGTACATGATTTCATCCACAATGCTACCCATAGCGTCATTTCGGGAATCATCGTCCACAACGAAAAAGATGCCGAGGGAATGATGGGTCTGGCGCGGCTGATGGAGCTGTTTGATGCCATTGATGAGGATGTCATTGATTGCTGGAACCGGCGATGCGACATCAGCAATGGCTACTGTCAGAGGCTCACCGAAGCCAAGGCATTATCAATCCACCAGAACCTTGGCCGGATTAACCAGTCCGAACGGTATAGGGGTTACGACTGGTTCGAGCAAGCCAAGGGTGGACATGGTGAGACCAACAATGTTCTCCTCGCGATAGGCTTGCGGGAAACCCAGGCTGCAGATGTGTTTATCACTCAGAAATGGCTTCAGAACCGGGTTTGGCTGCTGTGCTCAACCCATGGGCTCTTGCGGACCCACTCCGAGCGACCCGAGCTGACCTTTGGGTATGCGGTTTCTATCGCCGAATCGACTCTTCAGTTGTGTCAGTCGCTTCGGCTGAGCTCGATGGAAGCACATGGAATAGGTTTGGTACGTACCACCGTCGCTGTCTTTTTTCCTCCTTCCCAGTGGCATTGTCTCTAGTTCTGATCCTTTACCAGACCGAAAAGTTGTACGATATTGCCTCATGCGCAACCGATGTGTTGTGCAATACCAATCCACCCTATGGAAGTGCCATCAACATGCCCGGAACCACGATGACGCCGTCCGGGAATTTCCCCGAACCAATTTCTGCTACTCCGACACCACAGGGCATGGCAGAAGATTTCTTATTGCTTTTAACCAGCTTTCGTGGAGGAAATCATCCGTATCTGGAGAAGTATAAGGCCAATCTTCGCTCCCTTCGAATTCCCGGCCAAAAAATCCCGGATTGGTCTCACCAATGATTGTCTTGTTTTCCCTTAGGGGTTCAAGTCATGAATTTCGTTGTATATAAAAATCTAAGCACCAATTACTTTATCCAGATATCTTTGCAGATGACCTCTTGTGAGACTTAGTAACATTCGGTGGATTGCGAGAGGCGATATTCCATGTCTTTCCCCTCTTATCAATGTGTTTATATGACAAGAAGCCACTTGAAGCGTGGGCATAATGCTTGTGGTTTCTCTAACCAGATATTGAGGGTACATCTATTGCAGGAGTGATATACATAACTCTATTGGAGGACATTATGAGGCAAGGAGCAGTTCTTTCAGTCCTCTCACTTACTTGGTTTCTCTGCTGATTCTGAGCTCGGCTCTCCCGTTCTCGCTTCCCTCGAAGTTTCGTATGACCGCCACCTCCACATGGGAATTCCGGCAGCATACATCTCATCGATCTCTGCGAACGTTCGAGCTCGTGTTTCGGGCATGAAGAAAAACACAAAAACAAGAATGGCGGCCATGCAGCCGGCGAATATAAGATATGTTTTCGCCCCAAGGTTTGCCGCATCCGCCGAAGTCAGCTGTGGGACGGCAAGCGTTGTGATGACAGCAGTGGTCTGCGCACACGCAATAGTGTAGGACATTGTGTGGTGCCGAAGTTTGGGGGTTGCTATCTCAGAGGGCATTAGAATGGATAGTGAGAAGAATGAGGATGCCCAGAAAAAATTGAAGACGAATGAAAGAATGGCTATGGCCATGGTGGATCGCGGATTCCCTCGATCGAATGCGAGACCGCCTGCGATACTGTCGATAACAAAAAGAATGCTCATACCAACAAGCGCTGTCGGGCGTCGACCTGCGCGGTCGATGACCAACGGAGCAGCAATGGTACCAGCCAGAGTGCAGCACGAGGCGATGACTGTTAGGGAGAAGGCATCGGCGATTCCCAATTCCGTGAGAAACACCGTGGTATATGTCGTCGACAAAATAATTCCCGAAACCTGATTGAGAGAGAAGAAGGACCCCGCAGTCAAGGTTCGTTTGAGATGCTCTCGATGGAATATGTGCCAAAACTTGGCATCTGCTTGCAGTTTGCGCTCCTTCTCTTCGCACAGTGCCATGAGTCGGAGCTCGTCTTCGAGTTGGTGGTCACTGAAGCCACGAAGTTTCCGCAGATTGTGTCGTGCACGCACTATGTTTCCTTTTCCAACGAACCATTGCGGGCTTTCGGGGAGAGGAAGAGTGAGAAAGAGAAGAATAACCGGCAAAACGCACTGCACGGCCAGTGGGACCTGGTAAGACAAGTGCCCCCCGAGCCTTTCGGTTCCGAAGACCACCACGGTGGCAACCACACCGGCTGTGAGATTTAGGATATTGACCGAACTGACACTTCGGCCTCTCATGGAAGCCGGGACGACCTGAGCGAGTATAGTTAGCATCGTCGGGGCCATGCTCAAGAGAAAAATGGCTAACCTCGGAAAGATATAAAGGGGCAGTGGCGTTGGCAATGCCCAACGCAACGCCATTCACTCCACGTCCGCCCACAAAGGCTCCCAAGTTCGGAGCAAAGACTTGAAGCAATGCCCCACCGATTGAGATGATATAGGCGACGACCAGGGGCCATTTCCGGCCAAAGTGGAAATTCAATGGGGACGCGATCAGACCACCGATCACGGAACCCACGAGAGGAAGAGAAAAGATCAGATTCTGATTGCGAGCTGTGAGGACATGTTTCCCGGCCACTGAATGAAGCCCTTGGTATTTGGCAACCTAACAAGAAATATCAGTTCCATTCCTTGTCCTCTGTTCGGACGATCCAGGAGAACTGACAAAGGGCGTCAATGCGGCGACGGGAGAAATGATTTTATCATCAAACCCGAACAAGAACGACGCGGCGCCAACCACTGTACAGACGATGACCAGGAACGCGTTCACTGCGCGCCCATGCTTGGGAGGACCCGAAAATCCTATGCGATGGGCTCCAAAGTCCATCACGTCCTTGTGATTCAATGCCAATGCCATGCGTGGGCTAGAGTACCAGGGCAGCAGTGCGATCACTCCAAGAGCTCTGGGCACCACAGCTTGGACTCGGGGTCCATGCGGGCTTCATGGAGGCACTGAAATCAATAGTTTGCCATGTTGCGAGAGGCCTGAACGTGCTTCCCCATGGAGAAGAAGATGGAGGCGCCTGTTTCCCCGGATTTTGCAGATTGCCCGGATTTACTTGTCGAATGGAGTTTGTCCGAACTCTCCCATTTCATCATCGACGCCCATCAAGAGTCCCCTTGATCGACTCAATACGCCGAAAAGAATGATCGACTAGACTGTTTTGATCTACTCTATTCGACAGATCAGCTTGTTCTGGGGGTGGATGCTCCAAGGGTTTCGCCGATGATTTCCCGTTTGGCTGCTGCATATCCCGACCTCATTTCCGATCATGTCCCGGCAGGATCGGGCAAATTATCCCTGAGACGGTCTGTGGTTACCACAATGGAATCACTGTCATGTGCAATGACACAATCTTTTTCTCCGAGGATTCCGCACCGTGGAGTTCTGTGAAGAAAAGAAGATAAACCAGCTCGTCCAATAGAAGTTATCTCGATTCTCGAGGGCTTTTTCAGCACTTGACTCTTAATCAACCTGAAAAAAGAACTCAGGATGTCTGTTCTCACAAGCGCACTGGATCTGAAAGCCCGTGTCTTCCAAGAAAGATCGCTGCCGTCCGCCCTAGAAAACCGTGCCGAAGCAGGTACAAGTACAACCCTTGGCCATCAGAAAGAATTCGCAGAGAACATTTCTCAGAGGAGACCATCTTTCCATGTGACTGCTCCCCATGGATGGATGAATGATCCCTGTGGCCTTGGGTATGACCCTGCTACGGGGATATATCATTTGTTCTTCCAATGGAACCCGCACGGTAACGTCTGGGGCAACATATCCTGGGGCCATGCTACTTCCACCGATCTCGTCTCATGGGAAGTACTGTCACAGCCGGCTTTGACGCCTTCGGCTGAATACGACCGCTGCGGTGTCTTCACGGGCTGTGTCCGACCCACGGATATCCACGGAAATCCTGGAGCTCTTACCGCCGTATACACATCAGTTGGACGACTCCCCATCCATTATACATTGCCGTATGTCCGTGGGAGTGAATCTCTCAGCATAGCCGTTTCGCAAGATGGGGGCATGAGGTGGGAGCGCCAGGATTGTAATCCAATCCTCAAAGGACCACCACAGCATGTCAAAGTGACCGGCTGGCGAGATCCTTGCATCACAGTATGGACGGGGGCACAACAAACTGCTCCAGAAACCTCACGATCTGGTCTTTGTGGATTTATATCTGGTGGCATTGCTGCTCAAACCCCGACGGTCTTCGTCTATTCCGTTAACCCAAAAAACCTGACGGAATGGCAATATATTGGCCCTTTGGTTGACATAGGCCTCAACTTCCGGCCCTCTCGCTGGTCTGGCGACTTTGGGGTCAACTGGGAAGTTTCCAACCTGATGACTTTGTGCGACTCCGGCGGAGTGTCTCGGGATTTCGTTATTATGGGGGCCGAAGGACGCCTGCCCTCTCAAAGCATAGGCGAAGTTGAATCCAGAGATGCACTCGACAAAAGAGCTGCTCGATCTCAGCTGTGGATGTCTGTAAAACCTTCTGGAGAAGGTAACGGCACCGACAAGGCCTTAGCAACACATGTTTTTTCCGGTATTTTTGACCATGGCTGCTATTATGCCGCCAATTCTTTCTGGGATCCCAAAGCCTCCCGGCAGATTGTTTATGGATGGATTACAGAGGAAGATCTGTCTGATGATCTTCGCCATCGCCAGGGCTGGAGCAGTTTGATCTCGCTCCCCCGACTAGTGCGATTGATGACTCTATACCATGTCAAGAAGGCACGAAACTCACCGTTAGATTCGATTACTTCGATTGAGGCAATTCCGGAATCACCGGAGGCAGTTGACTTTACCGTCCATACATTGGGGGTCAGCACAGACCCGCGGCTTGAGCATCTTCGACAAGGAGCTCAAACGGGCCACCTCGCAGATGCATTACTATCGTCCTCCCTGGCTGCAGCTTTTGGAAACTTCTTGCCATTGGCAACGTCTTGCTGGGAACTAGATGCCGAGTTTTTGGTCGGCCAATCATGCGCGCGTGTTGGCTTCGACATTGCACACACCTCCGGTAAGTCTTCACATACTTTTCGTGGAATTTGCTTTTCATGCGGCGTTGTTGACTCCCTTTTTATAGACTTCAAGCAATGTACCACGCTCTGTTGGGATTCGCGCGATGAAACATTCATCATTCATCGGCCGCACATTGATGATACTGCTATCAATCACGGGCGCGAGTCCGCTCCACATACACTGTTTACATTCGCAAACGAGCATGGCGAGGAAACGGAGGAGCCTCTGCGGATCCGTGCATTCTTTGACAAGAGTGTGTTAGAGGTGTTTGTTAATGACCGAACGGCCATCTCCACCCGAATTTATCATCCTGCAGACCGGTGCTTTGGACTGCAGTTTTGGGCAGAACCCTGCGAAAGTCGACTCAATGACCAAATCCCAAGCCCAGCTGCGGTACTTCTGCGGGCAGATACTTGGGATGGACTTAGGGTGTAATGGTCTTCTAATTCACCAATCCAACAAGCTTTTTAAAAGGTCACAAAGCATTGAAATCTACAAATAATCCCTGGCCACTACAAAGACATGTTGATATAACCACAAGTAGATATCCGCAGTCGCACCTTTTCCATTCTTCTAACCTTTTGATTGGTTCAGACCTCTACTACATTCAAGGATGAGCTTAGCTTTTGCTATATTTCTTGTCTTTCTCTATCAAACTCATTACAATCGGCAGCAGGCACCTGCTGATTTACCCCCTTCCCCAACCAAAGCACTTCTATTTCTCTCCTGAGTCGACACTGCCACATCCAGGCCAGGATTCCCCGTGAAGAAGTTGACGGGCTTAAGCCCCACCACCATCTTCTCCGAGGGCATGACGGGCCAGTCCTCAATTCGGGGGTTGTGAGTCGACCCAAATGTGTGCCAGATCACAATATCTTCATTTCGGACCGATGATGTGCTTTCAGGATCACTTTTGCGCCGCTGAATCGTGGACCGGATCCCCTCTCCCCCAAGAGACTGCATTGTGTGCCGACCTGCCGGGAAAAGCTCCTCGTCATCATAGCGGGTGACCCAAATGGCGTGATCAGCGAACTCGGATCGCTTGGAGTGGTAAGACCCCGGCTGGGCGAGTAACATTTGGCTATAAGAGGGGAGAAGCTTGAATCCTACTGGAGTCCCAGTCACCGGGTTGATCTTCTGCTCGTTGATGATCTTGAAGGAGCGATTCTTGGCAAAATCCAGGTCCAGTCCCGATTCTTCAGTGATGATGCTGGAATTCGTGGTATATCCGACTCCGAAAGGATTGTAAATCGACGGGTTATTTATGGGCATGGCATTGGATTCTTCAACCTGCAACGAATTGGCAGTCCCATCGATGGCGGGATCTATACGTATACAGAACAGATGCTGATGGTATGGAGCAAGAACGCCCGGAGCAACCACAGTTCCGTAGGGCACCTTGTCCTCGATATTGATGGGACACGTGGAGAGAATGCCAGTGGCGCGAATCTCATAGTGGATGGACGCATCTTGGCCAAAGTGGAACGCGAAGATATACTCGTAATTGCTGACTGTGATGATCGTTTGCAGGACCAGGATCCGCGAGCGAGTCACAACTGCATTCTGCGTTCGAAAGTTGGTATGCTTCCATAGGATGCCGTCGTCCTGCTCGTGGCAGCAGACCACGTTGGGGAGTTTGAGCGGTTCTCCCGACGAAGTGTTATGCCAGCCATCGAAGTACTTGATCAGGCCTAGACAATCACATCCGAGCTGCAGGTTGTTGGCGTTGATTCCGGCACCATCGTTGCCCAGATCAAAGGCTGCCTTCCGAGGATATGGAGCCCGCGGGTCACCGTAGGGAACGAACATCTCTGCCAGAGACAAGCGGTAGAAGACGCTACGACCGTCGTAGCGGACATCGTGAAGGGTTAGCCCTTCGCGGTAGTTGAAGCCCACCCGTATCGTCCATTTTTCCCAGGTCAGTAAGTTGCCCTCAGCTGAGAATGAGGGACCTTCTGGCTGCACGACGTGGTAGGGCTTTGTTGTCGTGCGTGGTGGAGGTCGTAGATCAGGGTGATATTCGCTGGCGGTGGTCGAATGAACCTTGCGCTGATCATACGGCTGGGCATTGGAACGGGTGCGCTCGTCCTTGGACGATGGCAAATGATAGATCTTGGTAACTTGAAGTTGTTCGGACACCTCAGCACAAAGATCGAGTGGATAGGCGTAGTAGTTGGCATCAGCGTGGTCCACCAACCGCATATAAAACCAGCACTGTATCTTGAGTTTAGTAACGGGAGATGCAGGTACCTTGGATATCACTCACCATTGTAGTCCTTTCGGACATTTCATTCATGCCATCAGTAGCGTAGGCCCAAGATTCGACAACGACCACGGCACCCAAGGGCAGCTTGAGCTTTTCGATTTCAGCTTGAACCCTGCTATCAGCCATACAAGACTTTTCAACCGCTTTCATGTACGCCGAGTCGATAAAGGAATGCTTCCCCGGGAGGTGCTCTTTTTTCGAGACGACACCCCGGTTCAAGTCCACCAAGAGCTCAATCAGCTCATTCGATGCCGAGTCACCGCGAATTACCACTTGAACGTGGGCAGTACGGGGAGGACGTGTCAAAGGTGGCTGCTTGAGATGCTCCCTCTCCAGAAAGGGGACCAGGTCGTACTTAGCGGGTTCCTTCAGGGTAATGAAACGGAAATTAGGGCTTTGGCCAGGGAATGCGGCGCGCACGATGCTGGCGGCCTAGGATGAGTGTTTGGCTCAGTTAGCATGTCCGGATGTGTTGATATCAAGAGTATCCCACCTGTGCGATCTCCCTGGGGGCTAGAGGGTCCAGAGGATGCATCTTCGTGGACATTATGGAGGGATTGAAAAACAAGTAGACACGGTATAGTCGGTAAAGAACTGATTTCTTGGAGCGTTCAGCCACCAACCGAGCAGAGGAATCCGGGCCATTTTAAACCTGGTCTTATCTTGAGAGACTCGAGAATTCTTGTGCCAACTTCTCCCCGCGTCTTCAACCGCCAAGGTGGGCCGGTGCGCGATATCCGCTAAAACACAAGAATACCCGGGGGAGAAGTGGATCAACCTGCGCGATATTCGCTAAGGTAAAGAACAGCCGATTGGATCTCGGATCCGCTCCAATTGATAAGCGTGCGGTGATCAGCTTTGATGGCAAACACGCTCTGATCAAAACATAACCCGAACTTTGGTTTCATGATTCTAGCGCTATACATCGCTCGCAAGAGACCGGCTGATCTTAACGGGGTAGTTGAAGATTCCCTACGAAATGTCTTATGTGAGTTGATCTGACGTCCAACTGACTGTCTCAGATAGATTGACTTGGAATTAGTACAGTGATATTCGAAATCAGTTTTACCACCACAGTCTTTCGAATTAATCCCCGAACCCTAACTTGAAACACGCCAATCTAATTTTAGCTCATCCCTAGTAATCCCTATCCGCTGGTAACGACAAATGGGTCATTGTTATAGTACTGTAATTCCCCGTAGAAGCTGATGGAATTTTTCATGTAAACAGACCAAAGAGTGGGGGGAATCCTCACAATTTGGCAAGATCCTTCTTCAATTCCCTTTCTTCTCGTCACACGCAGCCTTCGCCTACACTCGTTTGATATCTAATAGAAGGCTACAGCGGCTCCCTAGAGAACTAACCCTGGTAGGCAACATGCTTCTCTATTCCTATGGTTTCTTTTATATCCTGTGATTTTTATTTGTTACCAGAGTCTAGTGAAAACTGGTACTCCCGAGAAGCTGACATGGGCCTTTCAAGGACTGCTATCGTGTAAGAATAACGCAGAGCCTATATCACGTCGATTATATCTCTCAGCCCGAAGAGCCTGAACCATGGGAACTCAGCTCGCAGTACGCTCTAACCCCTGGGTATTTTGGTAGTTCGCGATCCAACTATAGTCCCTCTCCGCCTAGTGTGCACGAGAATGGACCTGAACCAGAGAGCCAATCACGACTAGATACTCTTCGACTGCTCTAGTTGTCCGAATGGGATAAAGGGAGAGCTTACAACCAGGATCCGCCGACCTGTATCCACTACCGTATAGAATAGCGAGTGACAGTCAACAATCGGGAGGTGTCAAAGGACATAGAGGAAGACCTCGTTTTGGCCCCCAGCGCCTTTTGGTAGCTCTTCTTGGAGAAGAAATTAGAGAAGGTTCTTCGACGAAAAATTCCCCGATACCGTCGGGTGAGAGCTGATGATACTGCAATTGTCGCTTCAGTAAATAATCGTATCTAGCGCAATCTGACTAAACGATTTGATGATACCGACATTATTTGGACCGCTATTGAGAAGCAGCTTCTGATGTGGTCAGGTCTGTTCTCTCGGGGTAAGGAACTCACGCTTAAGATCTGTTTCAACTACGTAGACGATCGTCACTCTTCTCTAACCGCCGGTCAGAAAGGGGAGAAAAGAGGAAAATCTTCTGTTACGAGAAGAATGCTCGATGAAAGAGACGCACAGCTTGATGCGGAGGAGGATGCTTCTGGACAAAAACCAATCTGGCGCAGCGTCTATAATCTGATGCGATGCGCTTTGTCGACATGCTCTTTTGGGCCCTATTGTTGGGTTGATCCATTAGGGAAAAAGCATTACCAACTGAAAACTCATCATCTGAGGCGCCTCGTCACCCACGTCGAGAAAGGCGGGGTTTTGGAAGGCCACAAGGATGTGCCAGAAACGGTACGCGAAGAATTATACATGGAAGAGCAACAGAGGCTAGAGAAGAAGAATCGCAAAGGTGGATATACCGTTGAAAATGGATTGCCGTATCCTCCTATCAACATCAACGTCCTGCCATCGCAGTCTTCCGCCACGGGGTTAGACATTCCGGCCGCCCAGGCGGCTGCCGACCCGAAGTCTCTAAGCCCGCTCGAGATACCTGGACCTAGGGACGAAGCGGTCAAGGAATATAGTGAATGGCAGGTGTCAAATGTTACTGATGACACCCTCAAGGCTGCATTTCGACAAGTCTGTGACGTGATGCTCGAGAATGGTCTTGACCTTGAGCAGGTCTACAAGGATCAAGACCCGGAATTCTTTATCGGTAAGGGCATAAAGATGGGCATTGCTCGACGTTTCGTAGAAGACATTCGGCGCTGGGTCGAGAATGTGAAGAAAGCAATCCCTATTTATGACATAATTTAGCAACAACCTGCTTTGGCGTTAGAGCGAGCATATGAGCGTTCAGGAGTCTTATTGGATCATATCGGCAATATTAGATAGTGAAGTTGACTGCGATTATAAATGAAATTTTGGTGATTTTTCGAGTGTCGATTCGTTTAACCGAATTGCGGTTCACTCATGGTATAATTGAAGCCCGAAGTAAAAAGAGCTTAACGCGTTTAAGATTGAGCTCATTATTTCCGCACATCAAATAGGTGTTTCTCGATTGACTTAGACTGAATCTCGACTATAGGAGGGGCTAAGTTGCACTAACGTTGAGGGGATTGACCATCAGATTACTGAGTGGCTTACTGTCTGAACAGCACATGTGAGGTGACACTGACTGTGCGTTCAGAAAAGCAGACACAATTGCATAGCAGTAAATGCTGAATTTCATTTTCATATTGAAAGAAGTTACAAACTTCCTGGAGCTATGTAGAGCTCATCTTCGGTCGTGTTGAACGTCGTTTGTTAGTTGAGGGGAATGAAGTTCTGGCGACTTGAGTTTTTAGTTCGGTTTGCGCTATATTCTCTCGCATTTCATCTTAGGCTATGTACAGTACAGTACAAAAGTCTCACGAAATAGGAGATCCAAAAATAAGCTACTCTTGATGTGGGCCCCTGGGCAGCGTTTCGATTCCTTCATAGACACTGTACTTCTCATACTAAATATAACGCGGCAACTAGTGTCCTAGCATCACTCGGGGCACTTCACTCATCCGACGGTTTGTTCTCTCTTTCCTGATACAAGACATGACCGGTATAGCGCCCCTGTTCATCATGGTAGATATGAGCCGTTTGAGCCTTGTTGTTTTTGAATTGTTCCTCAGTTGCAAACAGTGCTGTGGCGTGCGGCTTGAGGTCGGTATGACTCGTGTGCGATGGGTTTCTGCAATAGTAAGATTTCTGAAATATGGCAAGTCCAGTCACGTTTACATTGTGCTTACTTGAGGATGGCGACGGTGAAGTGCGCTAGGTCAGGCTAGCCCGTTTCATCTATTTTGGTCGTGCGCCACTGACCAACTATTTGCCGCTAAAGAGTATTAGGTGCTTATTCAGATCATGTGATTGGCTATCGTTTGCGAGTTGTTGACATGTCATCGATTCCTGGGCGCGAAGGACATCCGATCAAAATCTGGACTTATGATAATATTTGACACAATACGCACAGACAACTTCGATTTAATTTAATGGCAGTTGCCTGGAGACTATCGAGGCGTACTGTCCCCTTGAGGAGCATCTCACGGCTTTGCATTGTCTCCAAGCCCATGTCTACCAATCCAGACAAGAGTCAGATGGACCAGCCCCTTTATATTTCTCTAGTTGACGCGGAGCCACTTCATCGCTACCGACAAGGTGGTTACCACCCAGTCACCTTGGGAGAATACCTGAAAGCTGGAAGGTATAAGGTGTTGCATAAACTAGGATGGGGAGGTTACTCGACAGTTTGGGCGGCGAGAGATCAAAGGTTGTACAAAATTGTGTGACTCGCGGTAGTTCCAGCTAACCGAAAAGTTGTCTGTTTGCAGGGAAGAGGCTTATGTTGCTGTCAAAATTTCTGTTGCAGAAAGGGAATATAATGGGGAGACGCGAGAGCTCCAAACTATGAAGCAGCTGGCGTCTTGTCACCCTCGTCTGAAACATACCGTGCACCTGCTTGATTACTTCGATCTGAAGGGCCCGAATGGATCTCATAAATGCCTAGTTTATGAGCTTCTAGGGCCTAATATCCCGGATACAATTGATGCACACTTTCCCGACGGGAGACTCCCTGGAAAGCTCGCCAAAGCTATTGCAAAGCAAAGTCTTATCGGGCTTGATAGTTTGCACCAACAGAATATTGGACATGGAGGTAGGTCACTCTCTTAGGAATATTTTGAACTATTCTCACCGGATACAGATCTACATACCCGCAATTTGGCGTTCACTTTGCCTTGCATGGACAATGTAACCGAAGAGAAGTTTATTGAGATATTAGGAAAACCAGAAATTGGCCATATCCGAAGGCGCGATGGAAAAGACCTGGAGCCTGGCATACCCGAATATATCGTTAAGCCTACCTCATATCGGACGCATTCTTGGGATTCGACCCAAGCGATCAAAATAATCGATTTCGGAGAATCGTTTCTCCGCACTGCAGTTCCTCAAACACTACACACACCTTTACCTGTTCGGGCACCTGAAGTGATATTTCAAGATCGCATTGATTATCATGTTGACTTGTGGAGCATGGGCTGCATGGTGGGTGAAATCCCCAAGGCTAAACGCTATACAACAGTGAACTGATAGGCATGACAGCTCTTTGAACTTTTTGTGGGTCAGCCACCTTTTGATACCTTCTTTCTAACGCCCAAAATTCTCGTTGGCCAGATGCAAGAGATGGCAAGTGATGATCTACCTGAAAGATGGCAAGAGGCATGGGATACGATGAACGCAGGGGACGGCATAGCCACAGAAAGCACCGGGCCCAACTTGCAGGAATGGCTGGAAGAAGTATACTTTGATGGCCCGCAGAGTCCCGATCTCACAAGAGAGGATATAGTGAGGCTGGGGCAAATCATTGGAAGGTTATTGCAGTTTGAGCCGTGGACAAGAGCGTCAGCGAGACAAGTTCTAGATGACCCTTGGTTTAATGAGTAATTGCCCACGACAAATAGTCATTACGTTGTGAGGTGTGTGTGGGGGAACTCTTCCTCAACCGAGACTGTACCTAGCAACTTCCTGAGACTTCTTCGATCTTCAAGCCTGCGTGCCGAAAATGGCCTTGAGCACTCTTCTCTTTTGCACCAACCACATCAATACACCATGCGAGGAAGGCATCAAATCCTTGATCGGGATCTGCCTCATAGTAAATCCAGTTACGTTTAATGAAGCTTTTCAGCTCAGCAAAAAACTCCTCGATTGGATTCAAGTCCGGCGAGTAGGGCGGCAGATAAACCAATTTTACCCCCGCGTCCGCACACATCTGCGAAATCCGCTCTGAATGATGAAACGACGCATTATCCATAACCAGAACAGATTTAGGTTCAGGCCATCTTCCGCAGTGCTGAAGAAGCTGGGCTAAAAAGTCTTCGAACACAATAGCATCCGTTGAACCACGGAAGACACGCGAGAGAACGATCCCATCCTGGGAATACGCAGGTAGTATCTGATATCGCTGATCGCGATGGAACTGTGATACCTGCAAGGGGGCCACGCCAAGTGGTGACCAGCCTGTCCGCCTAAACCCAGCCCATTTATCACATCCAGATTCATCAACGTAAACTAGGTGATACGACTGCAAATCTGATCAATTATGCAAATAAAGTTCTCGCAAATCGGCATTTCGCTCCCTAGCATGCTGCCGAGCAGTGAGGGTTCAGGACTTATTTCGAAAGAGTGTGGTGGTAAAACTGATTTCGAATATTACTGTACATGCAATCGGAAGTTATTCAGTAGTGTCATAGCTAAATCGAATCCCAAGAGTCCCTGGAACTTGATCGCTTCTGGCTGGGTGTTTTATCGCTATACTTCCCAGTGCTGAGCGGGTATAGTATTGAGGTTGAGGTACAACCTTGCAAAGACAATACCCACAAGCATTCCGATGCCATCATCCACATCGTTCGTGCCAGGGGAAATAGGAGAGTTGTTATCATGGAAAACAAAACGAAAGAATACGAATCGCCTTCGGCAACGTGGGCGAGTGCTGTCAAAGAACTCGCCAAGTGTTTGCAACTAGTACGCGCTCAACCAACACCGGAGGCGGAGAAAGAGCAAGAAGAGCCTTTTTATGGCGCAGTCTGTGTTGGGCAATATGTGGGATTCTATCAACTTGTGGCCCAAGAAACAGTCTTGGAGGACTATCCCAGCTCAGATGCAGGAAGCCACTTGCAGCTTAAGGGTGATGAGGCGGAAATACACAAGATATTGACAGAAATTACTGCCAGGACTTCTAAATGAGTTTATTTGGCACCTGACAAAGATTAAAGTGTGAAATTAAGACTAAATTTTAATTATTTCTTCAACATCTTTTCCCTGGATCATCTATATCTACTTGAACCAAGAAGGATCGTCATGCGATACGAGCATCCCTACAATTTCCCAACCAACAAGTTCATGAATACGAGATTGAATCATCTGATGGGCGGCACTGCCATTGAAGGCGTACACAGCCTTCTTTTCCTCCGGACTTTCAACTGGGCATGTATAAATCTGGAAGACCCCATGATGTAGTCCACCGCTTTTGATCCGAGTTCCAATTATTTCCGTACCAATGAAGCTCCAGACTTTCGCACTTTCTGCTCTCGTTGGCCTCCTCCCTTTGTCTATGGCGACCCCCGCAGAACCTATCGAACAAGAGGGAGACGACAGCGACCTTGCGAAACGAGGCGCTCGTAGCTGCAAGATCGTCAACCTCAACCCCGGTGACAATGTCAACTGTCGCTACGGACCGCATCTCGGTGATGGGGAGATATTTGGGATCCCAGCTGGAGAGAAGAGGACGTTTGCCTGCTATGAGAACGGTGACTGTGTCAAGGGTGTCTGGTTCGTCGACCCATGTCTACTTCGCAGTAAAATGGAAATACTCAATCTCGAACAGCACCTGGGACCAGATCACAATTCTGGGCACCACCTGCTATGTGAATGGCTACTATACCGACTCGAATTGCTCTTCCAGTATGTTCTCGAACTGTGTGGGAGGATCTTATTCTAATGATTGTTTAGAAAAACTCCCCAAGTGCAAAGACTAGAGCAGGTGACGAGGTTTAAACTGCAAGTCCTTCGCTATGGTTATTATTTTGAGAGACTGCATTTTGAATATGTTTTGCTGTATGGTTGACTGTCAAATGCTCTGGGTGATGGTGGTGTGGATGTGAATCTCAACTAGGGAGAGGTTACTTACCCCAGTCAGCACGAGTCTCAATTGAGTCAGTAAATAGCATCCAGCATATACATTCAAGTAGTCAGGCGTCTTAAACCCTGGGAAGACTTTGATATAGGGAATTTGGGTTATATCCGATATTATTCCGGGAAGTATATTTTATCGGCGGTCTATAACTTTTTAAATAAGGATATAATAGTTAGCAGCTCGTTTCCCCTCTAGTATAGATAACAATAACCGCCGGAACTAAATAAATACCTTTACTAATTTGTTTACATTTCTCGTAGTATCTATAGTTTCGACTATAGTAGCCCTCTCTATCTATATAATTATCGATAAACTCCCGAAGATACCAAGTTAAAGTAGATATTAATAAGTCATAGGTCTGTTTCAAAGACCTAGGAACTATAGCCTCGCTTTCGTAAAGCTGCCGTGATCGTTGTACCTATTATTTTTATACACTCTCCAGCTCAGCGTATAGTTGATGGAGTAGGGCTTGATCCTCCTTTTGGGTACTTGCTGCCTTTCGAACAGTGCAGATCTTTATTTGTATGGTTTCCTCTTGTTAATTGGTTGCCCGAAAAGCAGTTTCAGCTGAAATGACATCGATAAAGATATTGATTCCGTATTTTAAGCCTTGGTATACCAGAAGGTGCCTGAACCCCCGTCCATAATCCTCTACCGGCTGAAAATGCTTTGAAAGAGCCATGAATCTTCCCCAGAAAAGAGTAGAAAAATTAGAAATTGAGAAACAAAGAAAGAAAAAAAGAATGTTTGTTTATAATGGCTATTCTATGATTCCTTCACTGATGGGTCGTCACCGAAAGGGGATTGCTACTTAGCCGTCTTCTATCCATGGATAGCTCTGGTATACCTGCCATGGACGCACTAAAAATGTTTTTTTTTTTTAAATCTTCTTAGTTTAGTCATGTCCAGTATTGACTTGGTAGCTTGGTATATTCCATCACGATCAAATCCCCAGCAGGGACTGGCGGAGGGACGAATCAATCAGCTTCGTCCGAGTCAAGCTGACCAAAAAGAGCTACGAGTAAAAAAAGCCCATGCATCGACCTCTTGGTTGCGTTATTTCTGACATGCAAGGGCGCGATGTTGTGTGCCATCGTGTCTGAGCTTTTGTCTCACCTCTTGTGTGGGGTGTTGAGAGATCTTCGCGGGGATCTAAGCTCGCCCCTTGCAAATTGCACATGTTGAGCATTCTCGCATAATGTAAGTCTTGCATGTAGGTCTCACTGATATAGCTTTAGAATTCTAAGAAATGACGTAGACTGCGAAGTGAAGGTCAAGGCAAGGGCTGGTCGTCTCTCATCATACATGAGCACAGAACAACATTATTGGCCATCGTCTGAATTCTTGAACTCTTGCAGCTGATTCAAGCAAGCTAGATAGAGACAAAAGAAACAAGAAGGCTGATCAATGTCGGTAAGCAATAGGCATAAGAAATCATCTTGGTAGGGAAAGAAGACAATATAAATACAGAGAGCTCTCCAGCAGCTGGAGTCAATCATTCAACCATCAGAAAAAGATCTTCTCAAACACTCAAAACTCTTCCCCCCAATCCACCAGACACAATGCTTTTCACCAAGACCCTCATGATGACCCTTAGCCTTTTGGCCACCGGTGCCATTGCCCAGGAGAATAGCGCCAACCAGGACTACCGCCAGTCTGGAAATGCCGGAAACGGCGTCCAGGGCAATGGGAATGGAGTTCAGGGTAATGGAGCCCAGGGAACCAATGTGTGGGTATGTTAACACTGCCAATGGCTATCCATGACTACTGGACAATGAAGGCTAAGACCAATATCCCACACAGATCAAGTTTGACATCAAGCACGGCCGCGACAAGAGCGCCAACTACCAGACCGGCAACTGCTACAACATCGGCGACAAGCAGTAAGTGCATTTCTCTCTCATGAAGAATATAACTTGCTAAACCCTTGAGCAGCACCATTCAGGGATACGAGATCAAGTCGGACCGCCGAGTTCACGTCACCACCTGGTCGTAAGTAGCCTCGTTTTCATAGTCCCGGGACATAACCCTAACCATCTGTGTTACTAGGCGCTTCTACTCCGAGGGTGCTGAGAACACCCCCAACTGGGACGGACCTACGGACGGCAAGCACAAGATCAACCCTACCCAGGAGGTTGCGTCCATCTGCATCGACCAAGCCTGATTTCATTTTCATGGCACTATCTCTCGCCAAGTGGTCGAGATATGACGACATGCTCCGATTAAACCCCTAAAGATTCATGATGCGAAACGATAAGTTCAAGAGACGTGGTCAAGGAGGATGTGTTTCGCTTGTTTTTATGTCAGAATGATTCAGTAAACTATTGCTTAAAACATCTTGAAGAAGCGTAGAGGATTCAGGAGCAGAAGCTACTATTTAATTTACAATGTAGCCAGCTCATTACTCTTATTCAATCTTTCGTTAGAATTTCCAGATGCCATAGTGCCCTCCTTGGACTTGTCAACAAGTATGAATTCGAATTGTCCATGTCTTGGTAGATTTAATACCTGCTATTATTCTATGTTCCAACTCAAATTCACGCTCTTGATACCCCATAAAGCAAGACAGGCAATCCCAGACATAGTCGCAGGCCTTGTTGCTATATCCTTCCTGGATTCATTTGAGTTGGAAGATAAAGACCACATGAATCGATCCCTACCAAAGCTTCTCACTCTTGTTTCCTCCCTGCTCTGTCTTCCGCAGGCTTTCTTCCCGCAAAGATCGACCGAGAAGCCCACGGAGCCGGCCAGGCAAATGACGCTTCGATATCCCCGTGGTCCTCGGCGGAGACAAGATGGTCTACGACCGCAATGAAAATGTAGGCACCAATTCCAGTAAAGATATGCCACCTGTAGCATCCCCAATATCAGTCTCAAGAAAGAGGGACAGAAGGCATCCGAATCATACCACCCGTGAAGCTCCAAGAGAAAAGCCAAGGGAAGACCTATTGTCGCTCTGGAACTTTGCAAGAACCCGCATGCCCATCTATCAAGTAGCCAGCACCAGTAGCCCACATTGAAGATGACTGGCATACAGAGTTAGTCGATATTGGAATTCTATCTAGAAAGAGATGTTCACTCACGAGCCCCAAACCGAACTATACCCCAAACCTGCTTTCGGGATACTGAATCTGCTGGCGTCTGGGTGCGAATGAGCTGCATAGTGCGGACTCCAATAACCGTTACCATGCCCACAAAGGACACGGAGTGCAAGATCAGCTCATCTGTTACCACGTGGTAAATCACAAGGCCAAAGAGGGCGGATCCTAACAGAAGCGCCATGCTCATTGATTTCCTGTGACTCGCGTTGACTGTCAACACACGGTGCAGCACCGGGGTGGTTGCGAACAGCATGGAAAGATCATCCACTGAAGAACAATGCCAAATGAGGGTAAGCTAGCTGGATATATAGATATCATAAGCAGAAGTAGAGACAGGACTGACACATCTGGGTGTGGTACTTGAGGCTCATGTGGAATGCGGCAGAGCATATTCCGACTGCCATCAAGCCCCAGTAGGGGAGCACACGGAAATTATCGACATTGGATTTCTGTCGCAGCTGGCGGATTCCATAGATCGCGTAACTGACTGGATTTGTCAGTTCATTTTTGGGCCCTCACACGAACGTTGAGGTTGCCTACTGTAGACGAGGTTGGTCAAACTGTTGATGAACTCGGCGACATATCTGGTCACCACATAGTCCTGTACCAAGACAACCCAAGAGGTGAGTTTCATGGGTAAAAGAGAGCTTATTTTGGTTGCCTGATTGGGGTAGCTACCTCTTCACAAAAGCTTTTGGGATGTTAGCTGGCTGACCATGAAACAATGTCCATGGCATACTGACTTGGCCTTTGCAGTTTGCAAACCCCAGAAGATATCATCGGTGTCTGCACTCATATTGGGATCAATTCGGTGTGAATCTGACTCGGAGAAGGGACAAGTCAGAGAAGCAAAACTGAGTGAGGCAGTGAGATTAGGCACGGACGATATAAGATGGGGGCGGCCCCATCAAATCCTACGATTTATATCATCTATGACATTCACTCAAGATGCCTTCTTCTAGGTGAATGTTTGAGACTGAAAGTATTCGAACAATCGCTGAAGACCGAGGGAATCGGAACTACCAAATGACTTTTATTGTCTTTGTGGCAGGTCTTGCCTGTAGGATGAGGTTATTATCAGCTTCTGAAGTCTGAATATACTTTCCATAGATACCATTTTTTTATCTCCTTGCTTTTCCATAACCATTTACATGGACTGTATTCTATGGATTGTATGGCTGGCCGACCTCACTTAGGTTGTTACCCTAATGAGAGATCCTATCGACTCTCTGATTTTTATGTCCATTCCAGTCCCTCCAGACGATCTTTCTCGGCTCAAACCTCACCAAAGCAGGGAAACTATGACTATCACCAAGATTATAATTAGTATGGTAACAGAACCGGCATGCACGCCAAGTAGTCAAATACTAAAACAGTCAAAAGAAGGAAACGAATGGGTCACGCCGAAATGCAAAAGCACGCCCAATAGCCACGGTCATCACGTTGTACGCCAACTTCCACAGCTTCCCATGGCATGCGGGACAAACACCCTCAAAAGCAAGCTTCACCATACACCCGGAGTTATATGCATGGGTATCAAATCATAAGACACGAGAGCAACAAATTCAGCAGACCAGGAAGCTATGCGGCACGTTTCCAGAACTTCCAGCCAGGGAATCCAGTCTGGCCATCCCGCTGGTGAATGCGCCAGTAGTAGATTGGGACACCCGTTGTGATAAACGCCACAACGATCAGGGTCTGCAGTGGCTCGGCAACCACGGCCCGGCTGAGCAGAAACAGACTGACGCAGCAGAAGATGATCGGGGTGGTAATCCAGGTGCGGTATGGACGTTCCAGGCGAGGCTCCCGGATGCGCAGGACAATCAGACCGAGTACAGTCAGGAAGTAAAAGGTATAGCCCGCGACACCGTAGAAAGTGACTAGGGTTTTAAACTCGCCCATGGCGACGTAGATGGCAGTCAGCACACCGTTCAAGGCCATGGCATTCATGGGAGTGTATCCGAAGTGGACGTCTTCTCCAAACAGTCGAGAAAGTGACTTGCTGGCCCAAGAACGGCGGCGGAGTCGTCCGCCCGGCGAAGGACCTGAGGAGGAAGAGTTGCGGAGGCCAATCTGGCCAAAGAGCGAGGGAAGGTAGCCTTCCTTGCCAGCCGCATAGACGAGCCGGCCACTGGTGAAGGTGGTTGCGTTCAAAGCGCCGAAGCAGCTGGCGGACACCACCAGTGCCAGAATCAGGGCTCCCACCGGACCGAACACCTTCCTGCCGAACTGAACGGCGACGGTGTTGCTCGCCTCGATGGTGGAGTGGGGCAGAACCAGGAAATATGAGATATTGGCGAGCAGATAGCTCAAGATGACCAGCGGCATGGCTGTGTGGATCACTCGTGGTAGGTCGCGGTTAGGGTTTTTGAACTCGCCCGTCACGTAGTTGGTCTGAAAATGTGAGTGAGTGTAAGCCACTAAGTCACAAGCGAGCACATACATTGTCCCAGCCATCGAATGCCCAGAGCCCCGCGTATAATGCCACGGCGAAATCAGAGATTTCTGTGTTGGTGCCCTCGAACCAGCCGGTCGTCTTCCATTCCTGACTGGCCTTACCTTTAGACGAAAGACCGGTCATCGCCACGACGACGCCAGTGACGGTGACACCGAGCAGAGCGACGAATTTGAAAAACATCAAAAGATCCCCAACGCGAGTGGCGATCTTGGTGGATATGCAATTGAACAATGTCACAGCCAATAGTCCTCCGAAGGCCACTCCCTTGTTGATCCAGGGACTGACATTTTCCACGTCGGCACCCACAAAAGCTCGCACGACGTACTCCCCAAAAATGATGGAGATGATCGCGGCAGACCCGGGCTTCAGGACCAACACGGCACACCATGTGAAGAGAAAGCCTGCCAACTCTCCAAAGATCTTGGACAGATAAATCTGAGACCCTCCATTGAGCGGAATAGCTCCTCCCAGTTCGGCATAACTAGCAGCTCCCGTCCAAGCCAATAAGCCCGCCACTACCCAAACAATGAGCGAGGCTCCAGGCGAGCCCGCGTTTGCATTGACTTGGCTCGGGGACGAGAAGATTCCGGACCCGATGGTCAACCCAATAACGAGCGAAAGACCGTTCAAATATGTCAATGTCTTGTTCCGTTCCAACGAGCCATCCCCAAGTTCTTGGCGGTCCAGTGCCGGGGTCCCAAGCGGAGCGTAACCACCTTGTGTTTGCGACAGCGGAAAGAGGTTCCGCCCAAAATCGAACGCTGAGGAGATGGAATAAGAACGTAATCCTCGCTGGCGGCTTGGTTCAGCATTGTCGTCATGGTCTGGAGCTCCTAGAGGATCCTCATCCTCGAGAGAGAGCTTGCGCGAGGACGAGATGCCGGGGGACGAGGACCGGGATGACCTGCCCACGGAGACAGGAGAGGAGGAAGCAAGGGAAGCGAGTTCTAGGGAGTCTCGAGGGGCAGCGGAATTCCCATTTCGGTTATCTTGAGAGAATGTAATACGCGACATTCTCTTTGTTTCTCGGGTCGTTTTCTTTTAGTGTGAGTTCGGTTCAGGAGAGGCGAGCTTGAATCGACAAGTATGCGTGGTCAAGCGAAGCCGACAAGAGTCTCCATTGCCAGCTGAGAAAAAAAAGAGCGGATTAAAAAAAAGGCTGCAGCAAGACCGAAGCGTAGCCCGCGAGGCCAGTGGGAAGAGAAGAGAAGAAAAAGCAGAAGCCCCAAGGGGTGATTTTCGTGATGCGCCCAATCGGGTTGAGTGGGCTCATCCCCCAAATCCCCGCGATTCATTTCTTTGTTTCCCGCGAATTTCACCATTTTTGCCCATGAAGCCGCCCACTCCGTTTTCACCCCGGCATAGCCTGATTCTCACTCGGCCTGTCCGATATGCATCGACCTCCACCTCCTCGCCGCCCGCTTCCCCTAAACCTCGTCGGTGGCTGGGCCTGGCCGTCGTGACCCTCGCAACCGCAGGCGCAGGCGCCTATGTGCGATCTCAGGACTCGACCTCGGCCACTCTGAACCCAGAAACCTTTACCAAATACAGTCTCGTATCCCGGGAACCGGTGTCAGCAACCAGCAGTTTGTTTACACTGCGGCCACGAAAACCTAGCGGCAGCAACTATGACGTCTACGAAGAGGCATGGCAGACTGGTATATGGAGCGTGATGTTCAAGCAGCCTCAGCTGCAGATTGGTCGAGATTATACCCCTTTACCGACGACGGCCGCTACATCGCTCAGCGTGGACGAGGAAAATGAAGGGTGTCTGCGGTTCTTCATTCGCAAGGACCCATTCGGCGAGGTGTCGCGGTATCTGCACAGCCTTGCTGTGGGTGCCGATGTTGAGATGCGAGGCCCGCAGATCGAATGCGCCATCCCGAAGGAAACCCAAATTATACTATTTATTGCCGGTGGAACGGGCATTGCTCCGGCTTTGCAGGCGGGATATTCTCTGTTGAACCGTACGAGCCAGGAAAATCGACCGAGAATACATATACTATGGGCCAATCGACGAACCGAGGATTGTGCTGGTGGTCAAAGTGATACACCCAAGATGCCGTCACCACGCCGGTCTTGGTTCTCGGGGTGGTTTGGCACGTCCAACAGCAGCACGACTCCACACAGTGAGGCAGCTGTGGCTGTCTTGCCAGAGAAGAGCACATCTCTCATTGTGCAGGAGCTAGAGGCGCTGAAATCTCAGTACCCGGGGCAAATCACAGTGGATTACTATCTGGACGAGGAGAACACGTTCATTGGGAAGAAGGCTATCTCAGACTTCATCGATTCGACCCCCTCCACAGATAGCTCTCGCAAGAGCAAGTTGATCCTGGTGTCTGGCCCCGAGGGCTTCATCGGCTATATGGCCGGCCCCAAGCTGTGGGCGCAGGGACGAGAGCTTCAGGGTCCACTGCAAGGAGTCATCAAAGATCTCGATCTGAAGGAATGGGCCGTGTGGAAGCTTTAAAAGCCCTTTTGCTTTGATTATTCTCTGTACCATCACCAGCCCCTTCTTTTTTGTAGCATATGTCATATACTGGGGAGTTATGTTGAATAAACAGTCGCAACTGTCCTGGACGCCTTTGCGTCCCATCGTTACTCATCACATATTTCTGGCCAGAAGCCCGAGGTTGAATGCGCTCTCCAGCACCAACAAAACTGCCTCCGGTGCAATCTACTGCCCCGTGGCGTAGTCTTCAAGGTACTTCACCAGCTTCTGCACATTTTCCAGCGGAACAGCATTGTAGTTGCTGGCTCGAATGCCGCCCACGCTGCGGTGTCCCTTAAGGCCTTGGAGGAGCTGCTTCTCTGCCCCCGACAGGAACTCCTTCTCCCTGGCATCGTCCCCACCGTGGACGCGAAAGCAGACATTCATGCGGCTGCGGACACTCTTGTCGGGCACAACCAGATACACCTGCGGGTACTTGTCCAGAGCACCGTAGATAAGCTCTGCCTTGTGGTTGGCGATGTTTTCCTGGCCGCTGACCTTCTGAGTACCGAATGCGGTCACCAGATCGGCCATGACCTGACCAGCAACCCAGAGGTTGAATATGGGGAGCGTGTTGTAAAGAGAGTTGTTTTTAGCGATAGTTGCGTAGTCGAGCACCACCGGTCCGGGAAGACCACCAATGTTCAGTCGGTGGAGGAGGGCCGGAGGCGGCGTCGTAGTCTGAGGAGGCAGGAGGTCCTTACGAACGATAGCAATGGTGATACCAGTGACACCAATGTTCTTCTGCGCACCGCCCTGTATATATCTGTTAGCTCCATGTATACGGAATGCAAATGGCAGCTGGAAACCCTACAAAGATGACGGCGTATTTGCTGACATCGACCTTGCGACTCAGGAAGTTGGAGCTCATGTCTGCCACGACAAGGCGTTCATCCTCTTCATCCTGGCCCTGAGGTTCCAGAGACTTGGGGAAACCCGGAAACTCCACAGCATCCACAGTCTCATTGTCGCAAAAGTAGACGAATGCAGATCCCTTGCCTCCCTCACGCTTAGTCGGGGTCAACGACCAGCTATCCTCAGCGGGGATCGTGCCGAACTTTCCATTATTGGCCTTCCGAGCATCCAGGGCGACATTGACGTATTTTGAGCCCACAAGTCGGCTGGCTTCCTGCGACGCCTTGAGCGACCAAGACCCCGTCACCAGATAGTCCAGCTTCAGCTCCTCGTCCACTTCCTTCTGAAGTCTCTGGAAGACCAATTCATCCACCTGTGCCTTCTCGGCCCCGGGGTTGGCCTTGAGCACGTCGGCCTCCGCTCGACGGCGTCGGCGCTCCACCCAGACAGAGACGAGATTTTGGACGACGGCGCTGAACTCGCCGCTGCCACCGGCTTGCATAAACAGGATCTCATAGTTGTCCGGGATATCGAGGAGGGTGGTCAGGTTGGCCTTTGCGTCGTCGAGGATCTTGTTGGCGGTAGGCGAGCGATGCGAGACCTCGCCGAGTCCGAGTCCGGAGTCGTTGTAGTTCACGAACGCTTTTGCGCCGGCTTCGACCACGCTGGTCGGCAGGGGCGCTGGGCCAGCCCCGAAATACGAAACTTCTTGTCGAGAGGGCATCTTGCGGGGGAATATTTATCGTGGGAGAGCAACGGAGGTATCTGGTGTAGTGCAGGAAAGAAAAGCGGGAGGAAAAAGATACAGTGGGGAACCGCGCTGTGGATCAACCTTGGGAGAACAGAAGTATACTTATGCACTTTGCTGACAAAAGATTTTGGGAGTGAGGCAACTCGAATTTCTGTTCTTTGGACTGCAGTCCAACTCAGTCACTGGATCGACAGTCGACGATACCTCTCTTGGGGGTGTTTTGTAGGCCGCTGAGGGCGGCTATGGCGGGGTATGAGTCAAAAGTTAACATGATCTATTCGAGGTGAAATTATGGAATGAGGAATTTCGATTAAAAAAAAAAAAAAACCCAAAATAGGAAATATCCAGTCTCATTGTAGCTACCTAGGCTGCTCGTTTTCTTGAACTATGACATGTCGGCCGTACTGGTGTCGTGGTTGTCTCTTCACTGGAGCTGCAGTACTACAGCAAAATGCAATGACTTTGTTTTGTTTATTTATGTAGAATGGTTTGAAGTATTCAGACCCAGTAGTAGTAGCTCCCATAGCTACTGTTCTGGCATAGAAAAGCAAAAGGTGGAGGTAAAAACAAAGAAAAGAAGATATCCATCCAGCGAATGTATAGCAATGGCAGGTGGAAAGAGCCCGTTACGTGCTCATCGATCCGGCATCGGCGAAATAGAAGAATCACGTGCCTCATAATGTGATGTGTTTGCACTGTTTGTGTCTATGTAGCTCCTCATAGTTAGTTGTTATCCAATCACCGCGAGGATGAGTCATTCCCGGCCGTTCATTTGCCGAGCGACAATTTTCCTCCTCGACCCGACTCTCAATCAGCAAGTCGGACTGTACGGCAGCATGACTGTAGGTCTTGTCACTGTTTAGGGCCCAATTGATTCGCAATGGTAAACTGACATTGGCCTTGTGCTCTCATGCAGTCCCGATTAATGTCCTCCGCCAGTTCTGGCCGGCGCTGGGTTTTGCTGCGCGGCCCTGTCCCCAGCACCCTACAGCGCCGGACCTTTGCTTCCTCTCCGGTGTTCTTCCAGCAAGCTTTCCACTCCCAGCTGGAGGACCCTACGTCTGCCGCTGTCTTTTCTTCTATGCAGGCCTCCAAGGCTGTGCCTCAGACCCTGACCGAGAAGATCGTGCAGCAGTACTCTGTCGGTCTCGCCAAAGAAAAGTTTGTTCAGTCCGGCGACTATGTCACCATCTCTCCGCACCGCTGCATGACCCACGACAACTCGTGGCCTGTGGCCTTGAAGTTCATGTCTATCGGAGCCTCCAAGCTGCACGACCCCCGGCAGATCGTGATGACCCTTGACCACGACGTGCAGAATAAGACCGACAAGAACCTGCAGAAGTACCAGCAGATTGAGAACTTTGCCAAGCTTCACCACGTTGAATTTTACCCCGCCGGCCGAGGTATTGGACACCAGATCATGGTTGAGGAAGGGTTTGCGTGGCCAGGCACCCTGGTGGTTGCCTCGGACAGCCACAGCAACATGTATGGTGGCGTGGGCTGCTTGGGTACTCCAATTGTGCGGACAGATGGTGCCAGTATTTGGGCAACGGGCAAAACCTGGTGGCAGATTCCCCCGGTGGCTAAGGTCACCTTGACGGGTGTTCTGCCCCCTGGTGTTACGGGCAAGGATGTGATTGTCGCCCTTTGCGGTTTGTTTGACAAAGATGACGTCTTGAACCACGCCATTGAGTTTACTGGCTCCGAGGAGACTATGCGGAGTTTGCCCGTGGATGACCGGTTGACAATTGCCAACATGACCACGGAATGGGGTGCCCTGTCAGGACTGTTCCCCATCGACAACGTGCTGAAGGGCTGGCTCAAGGCCAAGGCGACAACTGCCGCCATGGGTCTGGCCGATGGTCCCTACAAGACGCTGGCCCCGCAACGGTTCACCCACCCGATTCTGGAGCAGCTGTTTGCCAACCCGTTGACCGCGGACAAGGGAGCCAAGTACTCCAAGGAACTGTTCTTGGACCTCTCCTCGCTTTCTCCCTACGTTTCGGGACCGAACTCAGTCAAGGTGGCCACCCCTCTCAATGAGCTGGAGGCCGCTGATATCAAAGTGAACAAGGCTTACCTGGTGTCTTGCACGAATTCTCGTGCGTCTGATATTGCTGCTGCCGCTCGAGTTTTCAAGGAAGCTGCCGAGAAGAACGGCGGTCAAGTTCCTAAGATTGCCGACGGTGTGAAGTTTTACATTGCGGCTGCTTCGATCCCGGAGCAGATCGCTGCCGAAGGTGCTGGTGACTGGCAGATCTTGCTCGATGCGGGCGCCACAACTCTGCCCGCCGGCTGCGGTCCTTGCATTGGCCTCGGCACCGGTCTGCTTGAGCCCGGCGAGGTCGGCATCAGCGCATCCAACCGCAACTTCAAGGGTCGCATGGGTAGCACCGATGCCAAGGCGTACCTTGGCAGCCCAGAGGTCGTGGCCGCAAGCGCCCTCAGTGGCAAGCTCAGTGGCCCTGGTTGGTATCAAACTCCAGAGGGCTGGAATGGTGTGGTCCGTGGCGAGGGCGACGGAATCCGAGAGGAGGATCGTATGCTCACGGCCGAGCAGGCCCTGGAGAAGGTCATTGGTCAGCTCGATGATCTGGTCGCCGATGGTGAGAAGAAGTTCACTCCCGAACCGGCTACGGAGGAGGCTCCCTCGGATGACGCGTTGACGGAGCTGTACCCTGGATTCCCCGAGCGGGTCTCCGGTGAGATTGTGTTCTGCGACGGCGACAACATCAACACCGACGGTATTTACCCGGGCAAGTACACCTACCAGGACAACGTTCCCGTGCAGACCATGGCCGAGGTTTGCATGTCAAACTACGACACGGCCTTTTCCTCGATCGCCAAGCAAGGTGACATTCTGGTCACGGGCTTCAACTTTGGATGCGGAAGTTCGCGCGAACAGGCCGCGACCGCGATCCTGGCCAAGCAGATTCCGCTTGTGGTGTCCGGTAGCTTCGGCAACATCTTCTCTCGAAACAGTATCAACAATGCCCTGATGGGACTGGAGATCCCGCGCCTGATCAGCCGCCTGCGTGAGACTTTTGGCAACGCTGAGGATCAAGCCCTCACCCGTCGTACCGGCTGGACCCTGACTTGGGACGTTCGCCGGAGCCGCATTGAGGTGCAGGAGGGTGAGAATGGTCCCAAGTGGACACACAAGGTCGGCGAGTTGCCCCCGAACGTGCAAGAGATCATTGCCAAGGGAGGTCTCGAGAAGTGGGTGAAAAATGCGATTGGAGCCTAAGTTCTTTTTCTTTCCATCGGGTGTGTTCCCTTACTGGGACGGAATCTCTGGCGTTTTGACGTGATACCCGAGCTTTTTTTTCTTTTTATTTTATATATGTGCATGTAGAGAGGCATTTCTGTATAAAAAGCAAATACATTTCATTGAAGAGTATAGAGGATCATTAGTACTCATTGATATGATAGGTGCAACAGTACAATCACAGCAGGCAGTAGCATATCAAGTGGCAACAAAGTACAAGCATCAGCCGCTTCTCCACTCGATGTTATACACCTGAAGATTCCCCCTGCTGCGCCTCCTTGGGCGGCCCCGAGCCAAGCGAGGGTGGCTTGCGTGCATCGATTGATACAGATCTTGTTCTCTATAAACCAGACAGAAAATAAGAGACAAGAGCCCGGGGCCTGCATTAGCCCCCATGTGATCTTCGTTGCTATGAGTCCCAGTCTCGAGCTGACACCCCCCACCCATCCCCCTCCCCCCCCCTGATGCGCCATGGACCCCGTGTCGGCTTTTGGTGTCTTCTCAGGAGGAATTCAAGTGCTTCAGGCTATCGTGGCTACCGTGCATGGCTTGAATGAGCTGTACGGCAGATTCCGCGATGCCGATCTCACTATTCAGTCCCTTATCCAGGAGCTGAATTGCATTCAGACGGCTCTAACCAGCTTGCGAGAATGGGCCCGGGCCAGCGCTGCCAATGGCCCAAGTCCGGATGAATACCATGACAGCCTGGCGGTGGCCATGAATGGCTGCCGGGTGATCATGGAGGTGCTATCGCAGGATGTCGCAGCCTTGGTCCAGGGCGGCCAAGAGGAGAGGCTTGCGGGGTTTCGGGCAAGAGTGAGGGTTGTCTGGAATGATGAACTCATGAGAGGACACCAGGAGAAATTGCACGCGCAGGTGATGGCCCTGCAGCTACTGCTTCAGGTTTGCCAATGGTAAGAAGCGCGCACCGGGATCCAATCCAACTCCCAAGGGCAGAGGAGCGCTGACGGTTATAAGCCATTCGTCGGCGGAGCAGGTCCGCTTGCTCAGGAGGGCCACGACCCGTCAGATCATACGCCAGGTCGCCGACGACACACAGACACTTTTGTCCAGTCGCAGCCGGACTGCATCGCGCGCAGGGAGCATGTCGCAGAGTAGTGGCCCGGCCTTCAGCGAACGGGCCTTCGATTTTGACCGGGCGTTGGCCGGTACGTCGGTCTATCGCGCCCAGCAGCAACGGATTGTTCCAACCGTTCTCTCGCCAGAGAGCCACTCCATTGCCTCGAGTCATGCCCCGAGCTTATTCACAGATGTAGGCTACAACAGCAGCCGGACCGGAACCCTTAATCTGAACACCTCTTCCCTAGAGGTACCTGCCCAGCAACAGGGCTATCTGGCTCTGCCGAGCAGCCCCTCGGCGCCAGTGAATGCGGGACACAGCAGAAGCGTCTCTTTTAATCGCCCCCTCAGCCCCCTCAGCGGCCGGATGGAAGTACCGTCCGGCGATGGCATACAGAATCTGCAGCCTCGAGTCGAACCGCTCGCTCCTCACCATCGACAAGGGAGCGAATATCATCGTTTCTTGGGCGCATGAACAGCCGCAGCCGTTCGAATTTTCAGCCCAGCAGTCCAGCCGGGGGGCGTGGCAGGCGCAGGGACGAAGAAACAGACATCAACACCAGCATCGACCTCACCTCCACAGACGTCGCTTCTATTCCGCCCATTGTCAAGGCTGCCCAGGCTGGCTCCTCGGATGAGGTTGAACGGCTCATTGAGCGAGGTTGTGACCCAGAGGAACGCCATAAGCGGTCGAGTCGCAACGCCCTATTAGTGGCTGCGCATTGTGGAAGGGAGGAAGTTGTTGACCTGCTGATCCAGAGAAATGCCCGGCTCGCTGTAACAGACGGATCGGGCTGGACAGCCCTTCATCTGGCAGCCTCGCGCGGGCATTGTGGGGTTCTGGAAATGCTCCTGGCAGAGGGCAATTTGATTGAAGCCCCCAATTTTCAGGGCCGGACCGCACTCCGGGTTGCTGCGGACCGTGGTCAACTGGAAGCTCTGCAGGTGCTTCTAATGCATGACGCTAAGGCCAATGCTCGTGCCGAAAATCAAATGACTGCACTGCATGCAGTTGTCAAGACAGGAGACCAAGAGATTGTGCAGCTTCTCGTCTCTCACGGCGCGGATTTGGAGGCCAAGGATGGCACCATGATGACGGCGCTACACTACGCGTGCGAGGCAGGTCACCTTGGAGTCATTAGCGTTCTTTTGGATCACCGCGCAGATATTGAGACCCCGGGTCGTGATCGGAAGACGCCTCTAATCTGTGCAGCGGAGGCTGGCCAGCTCAAAGCTGTCGAATTGCTGTTGAAACGGAAGGCGTCTTCTCGTAGCACTGATGACACGGGGATGACTGCGCTTCATTGGGCCGCCTACAATGGGCATGAAGAGATTGTGGGGGTTCTCTGTCAAAAGAAAGGGTCTCTGAACATGGTAAACGCCATGGGCCGGGCGCCTCTCCACTTGGCCGTGATCCAATCCCAATTCGCAGTGGTCGAACTGCTGCTGCGCAAGGGGGCACCCCTGGATAAGCGGTGCAAGACAGGCCTTACGGCCCTTCATTATGCTTGCATGGCAGACGCCTCCGACATTGCGAGGCTATTGCTCTTGGCTGGCGCCGACATTGAAGCCCCGGAAGACCAGCATCAGCAAAGACCTCTTCATATTGTAGCGTCATGGGGTTCCATTCACCTTTTGGACCTGCTGTGCGAGAAGGGGGCCTCGCTCAATGGCCGAGATGGGATCGGAGACCGGCCACTCTGTGCCGCAAGTCGATATGGGCATGTTGCTGCAGTGCAGAAACTCCTCGATCGAGGGTCTCCGCTTTACGCCAAATTTGAAGACAGCATTCGAGAGGACTCACCTTTGTGTTTAGCCGCCATGGGAGGTCATTTGCATGTCGCTTCGCTGTTGCTGGACAAGGGTGCATCCTCGTTGAGGAAAGACGAGACCGGTTGGCAGCCGTTTCGCTACGCCGCGTACCATGGGCATCCCGACGTTCTCCAGCTACTTTTGTCCTGCAGCAACATTCCCGAACTGGACATTCCAGACATGATTCTCATGCCAGAGACTATTGGGTTTTCCCCGCATGCCCATATCTCAGATGAAAGGAAATGGCAGGTGCAGGGACTTCTCAATCAAGCCCTAGTACATCCTGAATCAATGGCCAAGGGGGCAAATTCGAGTGTGCCACGCACTGAGAGTGCACGCGATTCAAACAGCAGATCCTGTCCTCTGCCTTTGCAACTCACTCGCGAAGTCGGAACTTCCACCCGCCAGGAGCTACCCGGGAATCTCGAGCAGGGACTCCCTAGTAGTCGGTCGGCCACTCCAGAACGAGTGCACCGAGATTGTCGCACAGGACCCATCGACGCTGTTTCGCATCCAGACAGGCAGGAAGTGCCACAAATCAACGATCCACGTCTCTCGTTGGTGAGTGATCGGGTTGCAGCGTCGTTGAATGACGGTCGAGAGGTCTCCCCCCGGCCGTGGGGAACCAGAAGTCCGAGCCGCTCGCGAACCAGGGAAGAGTCACCGGGACTATCCGCGGTGTACATTCCTCGGCCCGTTCCCATTCGATGGTCCGCGCCATCCACTCAAGCACCCGGGATGTTCCCAGACCATGGCAGGCCCGGGGAATCCAGAATTTCATCTCAAGCCTCGCATTCCAATCAAGATGGGGCGGAACAGGTTCCCAGAACAGTCGATACGTCGCAGATCTCCGGGTCAGAGTTGCAGGCACAGAACCCACAAGCTGTCGAGAATCACTCAGACTCAGATTCTATTTCCATCTCTTCGGTGTATACAGCCTCAGAAGGAGAGCTTCATCCAGGTGTCACGGCAAGCTCGAATGTCCGAAGTGGTGTATATGAGCTGGAATAATTCCGTGATGCAAGACTAGGTGTTACCACCTTTTGATCTATATGATTCTTCTCCTTCTTGCTTGTCCCTGATAGCCTTTTGGCATTTTTCCAGTCAGCGGATTGCATCATCAAATATCAGAGCTATGACTTGGCAGTTTTGGAGATACCTTTATTCCCGAGATATCCTGGGCTCTTCTCATTGTTCGAGATTAGGTCATCTAGCAGCAACAAGAACGTGCCCTAATGCAGGCACCCGGTGAACAAGAACAATGGTCGTCTCGTCTATCCATCATGGGTCAAGAAAACAGCGTGGAAGAGACATGGTGATGATTACCGTCTTTGTTTCCAAGGTGATATACACCTTGGCTGTGGCCAAGCTATTAGGCTACACATCGCGTTGCCTCATGCTGTTTTCGTGTCGCGATGATGTCGTTGTACTGTCGCCGAGGGGTATTTTGGTCGTTGCCTTTTTTTATTTGTTTCTTTCACTTGCCCATCCCATCTTCCTGCCAACATCACGTGCTTCGCACTTGCCCTCATCGTCCCTCCTGCACCCCAGTCTGATATCCTCCGTTTTCTGTTTTCTGTTGTGAAAATGCAGTTAGCATTTGGCAATCACGTCCAGTACCATGAAGATGGGTTCTGGTGCACCCTGTGTCAGCGGTGGTTTTTGACGGCCGAAGCCATCCTCTCCCACTGTCGCACCACCACGCGCCATGAGTGGTGCGAGCGATGCCAGGAGGCCTTTGACTCGAAGCAATCCCTCGAGGTGCACCGTCAACTGTCCATGAGACACCACTTCTGCCAACATTGCAGCGACAGCCCTGACTTCAAGAGATACGCCCATCTCGAAAGGCACTACCTCGAGAGACACTTCTGGTGTGTTCAATGCGACAGATTCTTCAACTCGAAGGGAGATCTCAAGGCCCACAACAAGTTTCAGCACTTGACCTGCAACGTATGCTTGCGGGCTTTTGATAAAAAAGGCGACTTTATCAAAGTAAGTGGACTTCTTCTGTTGCTCTCTGGAAGGACTGGGCTGCTAACCTGACCATTAATTGGTTCTATATAGCACGAGAGAATCCACCAACCTCGGGTCTTCGAATGCTACATCTGTGACCGCTCTTTCGCTCAATTTTCCAACCTGCTCCTCCATCTGCAATGCAGTCCCTGTATGGATGGAAACAAGGTCGAGGAGATCGCTCTGGGACATTCCCAGAATGAGACGTTCGCGACCTGCCACCCAACCGACCGCTTCTGGTGCAGCTGCTGTGGTGCCTGCTTTCGCTCCCTCTCGTCTCTTTTCCAGCATGCCGAAGATAGCCCGGGTTGCAGTTACTTGCTGGATGAGTCTGAGTGTCTGGGAAACCTGCGAGCGTACATCGGCGACATGCTCTGAGTGGACAGAAGAAGCATCCAAATTCTCCTTGCGGGATCGAATGTGGTTCAACAAGGTTAGACACGGTGGATCTTTCCCGGGAATATGTGTTCATGATACAAAGCGAGTTCCGATTGAAGCTGTCTCGGCCGGGCTGGGCGACTTACGGGGGTGGGGTTCCTTGTTTGTTTTTCTTTCGTCTTTGCATCTTATTTTTTCCCCTTGCCTTAACATATGGGGGCATTATCCTTGAGCATGGTTGAGAGGGACTGGTTTCAAATTTCTGGGATGCATTGAAATCCACTGGCTTGTTTCCCACCGATACTGCAACTACTAAGAATAATAATAAGAATGGCGCAACATACCCGATGCGGGCCCCGAATAAGGCTGAAACGAGCTAATCATCCGAGAATCCCAGTCGGAATGCCGACAGTGTCAGACAAGAAGCCACATGGGCACAGGGATGTGTGCTATTCATAGCGGTTCAGCTGGGAATCTGCAATGGCACAACGTGAGCTTCTTATTTTATATTTTTGGAGATTGGCTGGGGGTGCCTGAAGACAGTGGAGATCTTCCCAGGGGAGTATATTTCTAATTTGATTTAGAATATTGTAGAATATTCGAGGTTGGTCGGTGGTTATAGTAGGGGGCAACCTATCTTAGTGGTTTATGTTTAGCACCGATCCACTCAACAGATCCATACTTGCAACTATCAATCTCGAGGATTCCTCGTCTTAGCCGGGCAAGTTGGCTCAGCTGAAAAAAAAAAAAAAAAATTCAGTCTTCTCACAAACCACCCATAACCTTGACTCAGACCTTCCATGCAACCTTCCAAGGTTCCATGCAGTCGAATGCTCAGGAACACGAAACCATCAGCCGTCAGACATCTCAGACAGACAAATCTCAATGAAACAACAAAGAAAACAAAACAGAAAACATTCAAACAAAAAGACATAATAAAACAATCATAATAAATGGCAAGAAAAACAGAGACAAGTCGAAAATTCTGGATGCCTGGGGTGATTCATATTGCCTGTTTAGGGGAACCAGGTAAGGCAGACGCGGTGTTTTAAGGATGCCATGAAACCTGGAATACCCCTGCCCATCTCTACTTTTCTCCTTTGCCTCTTTATTTCAGTTTATATTATCATCGAACTGGGGGTATTTATACATTGCATGCTCTGCTCGAACACGTCGGATTGGATCAGAGCGTTCCATAGTCATCGCAACACCAGCCCTAGAGATCTCCTTTCTCGCCAGCGCTCTATATCTCAACCTCCATCGCTTTCTTCTCGCCACTTTAAACAACTCTTTCAATGGGTCGTGGAGGGTACAATGGACCTGCCGGCAAGGCAGATGATGCGACGCCAGCTGCCGTGGGGAAGTAGGGCCTCCCAAGACGACCAGGTTCAGAAACCGATAAACAGATGACTCGCAAGCAACAAGAAGCAGCAAACTTCATCCCGACGGCAATAAACCATGTTAATCCTTCTCGTTCTGAGCGAGGACCCCCCCCCCCCAAAGTCAGGGATCGCCGTCAACCCAAAAGACCAACCCGCCGAGAACAACGGCTGCGCTTTTCGAAAGACCAATTACTTGCCGACGCAAAATCTGAAGAGACTGTCAGTTCACCATCCAGACTGGCAAAGCTACAAGGGAAAAAGCGAAAATAAAAGGCCTACTTCTCGAAGACCACTCCCAGCACATCCTCGACATCTCCGCTCTCGCCCTTGCCTGTGATTTTGGCCAGCGTGTCGGCAGCGAAGCGCAAATGTTCTGCAGCGGTGACGATATCGACTTCGGATTCAAGAGGGGCGAGGCCATTCTGGCTGGATGGATCAGGGTGACTGGGGGAGGTCTGAGACAGGAAATCATCCAGGTGGTCGAGGCATCGTTGTAAATTAGAGCTTTGGCGATGGGTGACTCCCAGGGAGTCCTCCCAGTACGAAATATCATATTGGCCACTTTCATCCCCGTCCACGCCCTCAGGCGACGCGATTTGCTCAAAGGTGGAGATCAACCCGCGCAGGAAGCCCTGGAGATTACCCGGGTCGGTCTGGGTTAGAGATAGCGAGTCTTGTTGTGCCTCTTCACAGGAAATGGCGAATATGCGATCCTCTGGCACGGACGGAAAGATGTCGTGGATAGTCCCGTTTAGAGACTGTGGCAGGCGGCTGCTCCGATCAGCTATTGGTAGTTTGTCGCACTTATTAATGGCCATGACCAGGCATTTCCCTGCGTCCACGCAGTCATTCACTGCATCCAGAACCTCGGGCTCCACGAACAGACGAACACCATCGACGGCCTCTTCCAGCGAGACAACCACAACCACTACGTCCGACTCCAGGGCGCGCGCCCTCGCTCGCCGGATACCTTCTTGTTCAATTGCGCCAATGACAACAGAGCCCCCGAGGTCAGCGCGAATGCCGGCCATGTCGCCGAGCTTGCAGTACCACCCGCCCAGGTCCACACCGACATCAACGATGTCACGAGTGGTACCCTCTTCGGTGCTGACAATAGCAGCCTCCTTCCCGACAACACGGTTAAGAAGCGAGCTCTTGCCGGCATTCGGGGCACCCAGGAGTGCGACCTTGATACCATTCCGGAGGAACTCACCCTTGGACGCATTCTGGATATGAAAACCAATCTGGGCGTGCAGCGCGCGAACCTGCGACGCAACCGACGAAACCAGCTCCTCGGTCGACTCGTCAAAATGCTGGTCCTCAGAGAAATCGATCAGGGCTTCCAGCTCGCCGCGCGCATGCAGCAACAGCTGGCGCCATCGCTCGTAGCGCGTCAGCAGCGCATCGCTGGCACCGCGCACTGCCAACCGTCGCTGCTGCTCCGTGTCTGCGGACAGAGTATCGCCGAGCGCCTCAATCTGTGGCAGACCGAGCCGGTCGTTCATGAAGGCGCGGCGCGTAAATTCGCCCGGTTCCGCGTAGCGCACCACCGCGTCGGACTGGGTGGTGCGTGCGATGGCCGCCAGCACGGCTTTGACAATAGCCGGGCCGCCGTGGATATGGAGCTCCAGCACATCTTCCCCAGTGACGGTCTTTGGGGCGGGGAAGTAGAGGACCAGGGCGCCGGCATCGAGTACGCTGTTGGCGGAGGGGTTTTGGGATGGGTCGTAGAGAGTGCGGAGCGCTGCAAGGCGTGGTTTCGGAAGTGGAGAATGTGGACAGAGTCCATTGTATATCTGATGATCAAATAAAATCAGCGATTAGTTTCCAGTAAGTTGCACCCCTATGCGAGCATGCGACATTATAACTCATTAAGCTGGGAATCCCATACCGAGACGCACGCCGGACCGGAGACTCGCACGACTGCAATGGCTGCTCTTCCCGGTGCAGTTGACAAAGCGTAAATAGTCGAGTCAGCATCTAGCATGAATCTAGCAGGGACGGCCGAAGAGAAACTGCGGTATTTCCCAATGACCTGCCGGACTGGTGCTTCGGAGATTGCGGCATAAGGTCGTAGACAAAAGTCATGTTGGCTTGCGGTCCATGGTCGATTCCATGATGGGCGGAAGGGAGAGGCCCAACGCAAGCTTCGGGGAAGAGGTGTTCGCATGCGCAAGAACTGGGGCAATGGAGGCCATAGGGTCAAAGACAACGCGGGTGCGTCGCAAGTTGACTTCATGGGCCTGTAGGTCACGTGATCGAATCTATACACAAACGATCAAGCGCCAATATTTTGCCTATCTGGGCCAGCTGAAGCGTTGTTGCGATGGGAATTGGATTCTATCTATATGTGGGTCGCAAAAATTTCACATCCTAGACACTAAGATTATATTGCACAGCGGAAATTTCGCTTCATCACGCCCGTGCTCAAAGTCCACATGGGAAACAGGTCAGAACTTCGAGCACCAGATGTAATTCAATGGGAGGAGCCAATCGACCTGGACATGACCAAAGGCGGTAGGCCATGAAGGGAAAAAAAGAAGACTATGTACAATGAGAGAGACCATGGGACAGTGAATGGTCAAGTAGGTTTGCGAATGCGCCCTCGACGGAGACACGAGACAGTAAAAAATTGCATATGAAGTGCAGAGAAGAAAAGAGAGGGAAGATGGTATCATGACACCATGTTTAGCTCATCAAGAAAAAAGAGAAAAGCAAGTGAGGGTAAGGGTATTATACAGTCGAGGGCGATGGTGGTGGTGATGATGATGCAAAAGGAGACAAAGATTCCGAGACGACATCACAAAGACTCTATCAAACATTAGATTAAAGCGGATTCAATCCGACAATTCAATGGGTTGGTTGGCAGAAGACCCTTCAGCCGGGGGTTCTTTGGATGACGCATCGTGTTGGTCTGAGATGACAATCTCAGGTGGCGGTGGTTGCGAGTCGTGAGGGCTTGGGAGCGACTGTTCCTCCGTGCCAATAGAATCTGTACGCGACGGCGAGGGTGGCTCCTGGACTGCCGGAAGGCCGGCCCCATCGGCGCCGTCTTTGCTCCCGGTTGCTCCAGTGCGCCGTCTCATGCGGCGGTTCCGGCGCTCTTCGTCGGCACTTTCTCTTCTGCGTCGTTGGCGCTCGCCGCTAGCGTCCGAGTTGCTTCTCAAACCGAGGAGCATGCTGGCAGCTCGATCGGCAACATCCTCGCCTTCAGAAACTTCTTTCCCGCCTTCTTCATCCTCGGCGATAGGAGGGCTGAGATGGCCATTCTCATCAACATTTTCGTCGCCGTCAGCGGGTTTGTTGCTTCCAGAGTCACCTTCTTCGGCCCCATCGGCGTCGGGGGCATGCTGACCCGAGGCGACGCGAAACTGGTGGCGCTCCTTGAGCCGAGCACGGCGGCGGCGATCGCGCTGATCCTTAGCCTGAGGAGCTGCGGCACGTAGCTTCTCCAGCAAGGAGTCCATTGCACCGCTGGTGGCAGGTGAATTCGGAATCTCAACTGGACCGCCACCGCCGTTGGCGAGGTTAACATTGATGCGCTTGCGAGCAAGAGAAGCTTCTGTGCGCTTTCTAGCCTCCTCTAAGGTCATGTTCTTCTCTCGTGATTTCTACCACATTGTTAGCTCTGCCAGTATTACAGTAAGCGTAGAAATGAACTTACCTTCCACTCGAGCAAGAACGCGGCCAACTTGGCGAAGAAGTCTCGTCGCGCATTTTCATCCGAGTTGTCCTCACCGTAGAAGACCATGATATCATCATACGATTTGACCATCTCATCCAGGTAAAGCTGCAGCTGTTCAGCCTTTCGCCGGGCGTCCTTCATGGTTCGCTGAACCACCTGGCTGACACGATCCTGCGGGTGGAATTTCTTCGGATCGCTCAGGTTGCCCGCATCCAGACTCGACTGCACGTTCTTGATATTGGAGATATACTTCTTGGCGTCGGTTCGAAGTTGATCAACACTGGTCTTCTGCAAACCAACCACGCCGCTGATCTCGTCGAGGAATTCTTCCCACTCGGGGTATTGGTTGCGAACGATCCGCTCAACCAAGTCGGCGAAGGTGGTCTCGTTCTTGTCATCCTTGACCATTCCCAACCGAGCGAGGGAGCTCAGCTTGAAACCCTGAGCTTGCTTGTTGGCATCGTTCATGAAGTTTCCAATATCCAGAATCAGGCCGAGCACGTTCATCAAGGAAACTGAATCCCGCAACGACTCGCTAACCTTCACCACCTCTTGCAGCTTCGTAGAGATGTACTCATACTCAGGCTCAAAGGAGCGCGTCAATGCCAGCGCTCTCATTCTGGCCTTCCAGTAGTGATTCAACTCGAAGGAGGTATAGAGGTACAACTGATCCTCGCGAGTGAGTTCGTTGGGATCCTGCTCGCGTTCAGAACTGACGGCATCGGGTCCGGTCCAGTCCATACTGTAGGGTGCCATCAGCTTGGCAACATTCTCCGGTATTGTGCACAGTTCATCTCTTTGCAGGAAGTCCATGACGACCATGTTATCCAGCATCTCCCGATCACAGTGAATGATCATCCGCACCACATCATTCACAGGGTACTGAGAGAACTTTGCCAGGGCAATCTGGAAATTCTTAGACAGGTCATTGGAGATGATCTGTTTCTTGTCCTTGCGCTGCTTCGCTGCTGTACTAGTTCCAAAGATCTTGTGTTCTTTGGCCATGAACAACCGCTCAACTTCATCCAGCACACCCTTCTTGGCGAGCTCCGTGTATTTCTCTTCTTTCTCTTGGGCTGTCGGTGCATGGCCAGCCCACACAGTCACCTGAGGAGTATCAACCTTCTCCCAGTGGAGAGCTTTGAGCTTCTTCTTAGGTCGGATAGATGGCATAAGCGCTGGGGACGAAACAGAATCGGGAACCATATAATTCGGCCGCCAGCCTGCACCCAAGGGTGCGCTGGGTGGTGGCGGTGGCGGTACCAAGCCTCTTGCAGCCCCAAGAGCCGGAGGAGGTGGTGGTGGTGGAAGTCCTGCAGCACCTCCTGGGGGAGGGGGAGGGGGAGGAAGCATCCCGGGTCTGGCACCGGGAGGGGGCGGTGGCGGCGGAGCTGGAACACCTTTGGCTCCGCCTGGAGGGGGCGGCGGTGGAACAGCACTTCCACCTGGAGGGGGAGGAGGGGGAACAATCTTTCCACCTGGGGGAGGGGGAGGCGGTACAACACTCCCACCAGGTGGAGGGGGCGGAGGGGGTATAGCCTTTTGAGTCGCCTCTTCTTTGTCTTCCGGGTTTTGATCCTGAGCCTCTTCGGCAACGCTGACTTCTTCGGGTGCTGGAGGTGTGGGCTCTTCTGCGGTACCAGCCGCCTCGGGGGTTTCATCATCATACTTGGGAACTTTAGAAGCAAGCTCGCCGAGCAGGCCTGTCGCCTGTGCAGGGTTCATGCGCGGTTGTTGCAGCTCTGCTTGACGAGTCCGGTCGTGCATATCCTCATCATTTTCGTCCAGAGAGGGCTGCGGTTCGTGATCCGGCGTTTGATCCATCTCTGGAATATGGCTTCGCTTCCGGTAAACAGACCCCAGGGCACTTGAATCCAGGGTACGACGGGTCTGCTCTGCAAACTCTTCATCTGACTCTCCTTCTCCATCCATCTTCTCACGCAGTTCGCGGAGACGATCAGATGGCCCGTGCTGACCCCAGACCTTGCCTTCAAGCTTGAATTGAGTCTTGGTTCTTTCAAGCTGGCGCTCCAAGCGTTCCATGAGTCTTTCCCGATCCATGATCCCGGGCATATGGGTCGCGTCTGCGACTCCGGTAGTTTTGTTCTTCCGAGCATTGGATGCGGCGATATCCTGGGCATCCCGCAGCATCAGGTAGAGCTCTCGGGTCTCCAGTTCATTTCGCTGCAGTTCCTGTGCACGTAGTCTCTGCACTTCTGCAACCTCGGCCTTGAAAGCTTCGTTTTGCCGTCCTTGGAGGTCGATGATGCCGGCCTGTTCATCAATCTGCTTCTGGAGCTTCTTGACAAGACCCTCGGCACCAAGCTCCACCTGCGCTTTCATTTCATCACGCTCGGCGATGGCAGCTTCAGCAATCTGGCGGGCCTCCAGGGACTCATCATAAACTCGCCTTGCTTCTGCATCCGTATGAAGCCGGTCCAAGAGACTCTGCACGGTGAACGTCAACCCTTGCCGCAGGTCAAGGTCGGGAAGCCTCCGGTCCATGGCCACGTAGCTGAGCATAGCATCCACGAGCTGGAACATCCGCAGACCCTCCTCGCCCGCATTCTCCCGGATGAGAAGCATATGCTGCATGGCCGACAGAAAATAGTCATGGGCCCGGCTTCCATTGATCTTGGACGCAATCGCATCTGTGATCTGCAGAGGATCGCTCATGTCCTTTACTTCGCCCTCAACGTTGTCTTTCATGCTGCTGCCCTCGCGCTGGAGTAGATCCTCATAGTCGATGGCCTCATTCTCCCGGAACCGCTCAATCTGCTTGTCGATAACCTCATACTGGAAGCCCTCCATCTTCGTCAAGAGACGCTTCACACCACATGAGATGAATTGAGCCCGGATATGACATCGCAGCTGCAAGTCATTCTCCGCTCCATCCACCAGCATGTTGATGAGAATCATGGTTGAAACAGCGTATTCCATCAGAAGATTCTCCATGCCAATCCCGCCGCTGCGGTACTCTTCACTGGCACCAACCAAGCTTCCCATCTTGCCACGGCCATCAACGGTCACCTCGACAATACGCATCCAGGCATCAAAGCGACCAGTCTCGTTGTGATCATGCTTGACCTTATCCATCGACTGGAGAACCTTCATGTGGCCTTGGCCATCGGCCCAGTGACAAAGAAAGGTAAGGACCTCGCTCACAAGCTTCCTGGTATTGAGACGAGGAGATGCCAGCGAGCTAACCAGGGCGACAAGGACCCCTTGGTGTTCGAGGGCATCGTCTGCGCCATACTTGTTGTTCATCAATCCTTTCAAACACTTGGCAATGTCGTATTCTCGATCCAGATCCTTATCGCCAGTGGGGGGAGCGGGGACAGGGCCAGATGCTTTTCTTCGGTTGATCTTCTGGAGAACATTGGTCAAGGCAACCTGACCCTGAGCTTCGACAAAGGCTTTCACCCAACTACCATGGTGGTCAATGTTGCGGGATACTGAATAACAGAGCATTGGGATCTTGAGGGACTTACCTGATAGGCTGAGTCCGTAAACTGACGCTCAAACTGGCGAGCTGCTTGGAAGTAATTGTGTCGTCCATCACCTTCTTCACGTACCACTCGGGGCTGCCTTCTTCATCGGCCCGCTCCAGTAGACCGGAAAGTCCATCGTGGCCATGAGTCTGTCGCGCATGTTGTCTTCTCTTCTGCTCTCCTTGCAATTCTGTTAACCGATCCTGATGTACCAAAGTCCACTTCTTAGAAGCGGGATATGACAGCATCTGCCGCTTGGCTTGCTCGGGAAGATTCTGCCAGCCACGTTTCTGCATTAATTCCAAGAATAAATGATCAACCATGCGATCGTCTCGAGGCCGCGTCAGGTAGTGATCTGGAGGGCGGGGCACGGCAGCCGGTACCGGCTGCGTCGCTTGCCAGGAAGATTGGGCGTTTGACAGGCGGCCACTGCTGCTGCTAGGGAAAATAGTGTTGCGGTCACCCGAATGTGAGGTGTTGAGGGTGCGGGATGAGCCGTCTGAGGAGAAGTAGGTCGAGCCTCGCGTGTTGGAAGAGACGGAGGAATAAAGGCTGGTTTGGTCGAGCGACGTTCGAGAGTTTGAAGACGAGTCCATCGAAGAATTATAGCCCATCCCATTATTTGCAGCCGAACTTCCTGGTCGCCCCCACTGTTGATATCTAGTACCACGGTCACCAGATGTACTGCTGGTCATGGTCATGTTCGATTGGGGGGTGGGCGAGGACCCGAGGGATGCGAGACATATCCATTTGGCGCAGACGTTGAAGTCCAAGTGGGATACTGATGGAAGTCCCCACCAGCCTTGCCGATAAGGTTGGGTGAAGCCTCATGGCGGGATGAATCAGGCCGTAACATGGAGTCGATCGGGATCGGCGTCTTAGTGTCGGAGGGAAGACTCTCGAAGGGAATAGATGTGATGACACCGGCGGTAGGCGCTATGCTACCGGGGTCCATATCATGGGTCATGTCGACGGACTGGATCGAAGAGCGTTTCGAGTAGCGGGACGAGCGCGAGCCAGCTGAACTGCCGGGCGGCGCGAGGCTATCGTGAGAGCCTCCATACCCATCATAGCGATCATCGGCAGACCGGTCCTTGTACAATTTCCTCCCAAAAAACGACTTTCCAGCCGAGGTCTGCCTAGATTTATCGGCTGGTGCGCTGGTGGGCATATTGGGCGTCACTGGGGACAGGCAGGGCGCAGCATAGGGGCCCCCGCAGTACTCTCAAAGACAGTCTGGGATTTCGAAATCTGTCCGCGAGCCGAAGCGGTATCGCTCTTGATCTGGTGTGCAGGGGTGATGACATTCAAAATGATCAAAGTGGTTTCTGTGTTGTCCCTCCCTGGGTAATAAGTATACCCGCTGCGCTGGTGACGGAGCCGCGCTGAAAGGGGCCAATAACAAAACACACAAAGCGCCGTACAGGACTCACCATACAAAGAAAGGAGAAAGGGAGAGAAGGTGGCATGAAAGATGTGGGAGCATACAAGTCCCAGCGAGTCCTGTCTCACACCAGGGTCGATCAAAGCACGGGCGTTTGGTCCCGTCGCCCTGATTAGGGGGCTCGGAGAAACTCCCCGGTTGTATCACGTGATGTAGACTGTCATGTGATAGTCTGGGGTCTAATGGCCTCAGTAAGCTTGCCTTGACACTTGGTGGCATGAGCTGAAGACATACTGCCAACTGTGTGTTTTTCTCGGGCTTTCTTTTTTTTTCCTTTAATTGCCTGTTCATCCCATTTTGTGGACTTTCGGACCGAAGCCACGACCTTTGATCCCGTGTATTGTCAACAACTCGGGGGTTCTTATCGACAGATACCTACTCCCCTAATGGCAAGTGAAACGGCCTTGCTACTCCTTTATATTGAATAACACCCATTTCTGGAATATCAACCTCCACAATGGGATCCTCATCAAGTTTTGCCAAGGTACGCGCATACCCCTATTCCCACCCGTCATTCCACAGTATCTCCCCGACTGGACAACTCGAGAACGGAAGCCACAGACCACAGAACTGACCCAAACCCTTCCTTATTTTTAGACCATTATAATCCCTGCTTCAATAGCATTGATCGTGTATCTTCTCTTCTCATTCCTGATCATCCCCTTCTTCCGCCGCTATCACCAACGCTACTCCCAATATCTCCCCCTCCACGCCATCTCTGCGCACACACTTTCCCTGCGCGATCGCATCGCCGACATAGTCATGCGCTTCTTTCTCCCCTCGTCCTGGCAGCCGGGCGCCCACCTAGCAGACCACGACAATATCAGCATCGACGAGGAGGAGGGCGAGCTCATGGTCGGGATGAACATGGACGAGGCGCGGAGGGAAGCACTTGAGCGTCGGCGCAGTACGGCCGCAGAGGCGGAGGACCGACTCAGTCGAGACTTGGAGGAGGGGTTTATGGATGATAGCGACGAGGAGGGAGACGGGCATCGGCATTGATTTCGCCTTCTTTCTGCGGTACTATACATTCAATCATTCGTCATGAGCTTGCGGTTTATGTTTTCCACGGTCATGGGGACGGCGTTGTTGGTGAGAACTTGTGTTTTGTTTTGTCGAACAAGTCTCTGCATTTTAGGCATCGCGGTCATGTTGTTTTGTCGCCATAGACTTACTACTCGCAGTCACATCATTCATACTATGATTCTTCCCGCGGAAGCACATATGACACAACTTGGGCTTCCCCTCGAAACCCTCTCAAGAATTATTCATCTTAGCTGTAATTGTTGATCGGAAGAATGTGAATGGTTCGGAGATCCACCAGGATAATTCGGGGCTGGTTTGGCTTTGAGATCGGTATCGGTCCCCCATCTGTCGCAGGTGCATCTGCAGTATGGATGTGGTCTTTTGCCAATATCGCGTGGAGAAGAATATAAAGGGGGAGAAATATCACAGATAATCATTTCATTGGTATCGTTATATGATGCTACCTTGTACATTTCCCCGCATAGTACCTGTCTCAGGCAAAACTGGCGGAAAGAGATAAAAAAAAAAACTCAAAAAGCATTAAGCATAAAAAAACATGGCAGATGCTGCATTGTCCTGCATCATCTTGCATCATGCAAGGTGCGCCCGTTCTTTTTTTTTTTTTTTACTTGCGCTGACCATAGGCCTTGGTGACGTAGTCACCCTTGTGGACAATCAGGTCCTCGGGGCGGTAGTCCTCGCGGCCGGAAAAGTAGCTGTCCAGAATGTTCTTGGTGCCCTGGGCATAGCGGACCTGGGCGTCGATCGAGGTGCCGGACATGTGGGGGACCATGGCGTTGCCGCCGCCCCAGGGGTGCTCGGCGTAGCGCAGCGGGTGGTCCTTGGGAGCGGGCTGGGGGAACCAGACGTCACCACCGTAGCCGCGGAGGTGGCCAGACTTGAGGGCCTCGGCGACATCTTCCTTGACGACGATAGCACCACGGGCGGTGTTCACGAGCCATGAGCCTGGGCAAAGGCATGTCAGTATATCAATGTTTTTTTGACTAATGTTCCGGTAAGCATCAAGAAAAAAGAAAAAAGACATACCCTTCTTCATCTTGGAGATCAGCTCCTTGTTGAACAGGCCGCGAGTCTTCTCGTGCAGTGGGCAGTTGATAGTGACAACGTCACACTGCGCGAGCATCTCCTCGAGGCTCTCCACGCGACGGCAGCCAATCTCCTGCTCGACCTCAGGCTTGAGGGGCTGGTAGTCGTAGTAGAGCAGCTCCTTGCAGTCGAAGGGCTTGAGACGACGGAGCACACGCTCGCCAATGCGGCCCACGGCAACGGTACCGACAACCTTGCCCTCCAGATCAAATTCATTTTTGGCAACCTCAGCAACGTCCCAGTCGCCGCGCTTGATCATCTCATGGGCAGGGACGAAGTTTCGGACCAGAGTCAGGATGGTCATCACCACGTGCTCGGCAACCGACACGACATTGCTGCCCGTGACTTCGGCAACGGTGATACCGCCGTTGGTCTTGTTGGCGGCGTTCAGGTCAACGTGGTCCGAGCCAATACCGGCAGTCACGGCAAGCTTCAGGTTCTTCGCCTTGGCGAGACGCTCCGCGCTCAGGTAGCCGGGGTGAAAGCTGTAGCGCCACGATTAGCAGTGATGTTTTTCAGAATTATTGAATGATGGTCACGAACGGAGTAGTGATGATGACTTCAGCATCGACAAGCTCCTTGTCAAAGGTCGAGTTCTCACCCTCCTTGTCAGAGGTCGTCACCAGGGTGTGGCCCTGGTCCTCGAGCCACTTTCGAATACCAAGCTCGTTTTCGGTAGTACCCAGCAGAGCGGGCTGCTGCTTGGAGTGCTCACCACCCTGCAACAAGAGACGAACCCGGTCAGCTCTATGGAACTCATCATCTGCTAGTAGAGCGAGCAACTCACATCGTAGAGAACCAGAAGAACCTTGCCCTGAAGGTTGGCAGTAGCAGTTAGCGGACGTGTTTTCGAAATAGAACCAGCCAGCGGAGAAGCCCGAGCAAAAGTGCTGGGAGCAACGGCGGGTTTCAGAGGGCTATTGGCAGAAGAGAGAAATTGAGCGGTAGGGCGTCGTAATTGACGGGAAAGGGAACGGATAAATACCATTTTGACGGATGATTTTTTTTTTCAAGTTTGAAAGAGTATTATTTCAGGAGTGAAGAGAGCTACCACTGGCGTTGGTGTCTCCCTTTTATAAGATGGCAGAGGTCTATGAAGTCAGTCAACCCAATGCGGTGTTGGAGAAATCCTGATAGGGCGACAGCGTCGCGCGGGGGAGAAGTGGGGAACACGCGACTGACACATTGGGCGAGATCGGAGAAAATGAAAGATCGCGATCGGCTTACCTAGCGTGGATAAAGTCGATGGGATGGATAGTGTGATGATTGTTGGATGGGAAAGGAAGAAAAAGGGAAAGCAGGAAACGAGTTCCAAGCTGATTTATATACCCTCCGAGCCCCTCTTTGGCGGCAACATGCCACCCATAAGGAAGAAAGGGAAAACATTTACTGAAAAAAAATTCCACCAAGTCCTGTACACCCCTCAGAGGGCACTAGTAAACGGGACGCAGCGAGACGGCACACGAGGACAAATGAGCACCCGGTCGGACGAGCTGGGATGGGAGAGCATCCACTCGCAAAGCGTGGTTTTTTCTCCGCACGAGGGGGAACGCGTTGCTCGTGTTCATGCGCCAGAACCGGGATCTTCGGATTTAGTACATCCTTGGATAACCTTAGCTATGGAAGTACCAGGGGCAATCGCATAGCTCTAGCGTTCCTTTAGTGTATAGATAGTAGGCCTTGAGTCATGAATGTGAGTGAAAATAAGATGCGGGGAAACAATATCTCGACATTATCTAGTTAAACTACTCCACCCTCGTGGTATAAGGGGTAGAACAGCGAGACCTGCTGAGTGTGGATTCAACTAGCTTAGGGCCTAGGTACTCTCACAACACACACATATCTGGTATACTTTCCCTTAGTCCAGCGTCTTGACGAGTCTCGCTGTGGGCTGCCATGTTCCCCGCAGCGGGGAAGCTGACATAATGAGGGGTAAGGCAGAGAAATGCAAGTTTGGGGAAACGAAAATACCAAGGGTTTCACGATGATGTCTTTGGTTCCTTGGGGATACTAAACCAGCTGTTGCTCCTTGTCAAGATTTCTCGTCTCTTTCCGAGGGATGTCCGCTTTTTGGCCGAATCTCGGCCAAATGGCTCCAAGAGTGGCCCGCCGAACTCGGGTGAGGAGGTGTATTGGAGATGCAGCACTCCACTCTGGAAGGACTCGGATACGCAGTCAGGTCATTGCAGCGCCACGGAATGAATAACCGGATTTAGACTCTCCTCTTCACCGGCAAGTGGGATTTTATTCGATCGTATTCGATGCTGGGATTTGGCACACGCGACAGGTTTCCAACTGTCCGATCGCGTCGAATTTGCCTGAGAAAGGATGTCGCCAAATTGCTGAGCATAAATCGAGTTTCGCTTTTGCGGGTACTGTGATTCATCCCTCCCCCGAGGCTCAGTTATTCGATCATGAATCTAATTCAGCGGCGGGCGTCTTCCCAAGAGCAAAAATCCTTGCGACAGGAATGGGTGTTTCATGACCTTCACAGCAAACAACACAATAGGGCAATCCCCGGTTATTTCCCTAACTCGGGAAAAGACATCGAAAGAAGCCCCGAACGAACAAGCCTTAGTTCCGTACTATGGTTCCAATAACAAAGCAGCAAAATGACTGATGTTTCATTGAGCAGAACTGGCAGAACACAGGAACTATGAGTCCGGCAACTCGACTTTGGATGGGCAACATGGAAATTGGTGAAGTCTACCAAGAAAGCCACCCATATGGACTTCGAAGTTTTCCACTCCTTGCGTCTTCTGGATATTACGATTGTTCCGAATGAGTCGAGTTGAATCGTTTCAGCGTGGTATGAGTTGCCTCACAGGTGGCAATTTCCATGCGTCTGCATCTACCAACTATATATCAATACATGAAGCGACCGGGCGACACGGGGATATATATCTGGAGGAGAAATTCAAGAAGCTTTGAGGAACCTGGAAGCCAGGCAGAATGCTGCAATAAATGATCCAGGTTCTGGGCCAACCTCCCCCGTTTGCCGATCCCAACCCCTGCGGGCCAGAAAATGACGCTGTGGCAAACTACCAACTATACGACTACCAGGTCGTGATCACTCAAATTATACCAAAAGAAGAGGATATATTCGTGATAATACTCCCATGCCAGACTTCGTATCATCCTCGAAAATATCCTTATGAAAGTAGTAACCCTCTACATGTCACGGTTGGTTTGTGGACCGAAGAGATCAGTGCAGTGTCAGAATTTGATCGGTCTGATTGTACATGTCGAAGGCTAAGGCTAAAACACGGCATTCCGAGATCGCATCCCGTGCTTCTGCCGTTCTCTGGACTCGGCATTCAGGCCAATGAAACCATCGGCCCAGTAGATGGAGTCAAGACAGCCAGGGCAGTGTTGCAGATAAGCAGAGAGATCGACCACCCAAAAAACGTTGACCTCTACAACACTTCCTTCTCCCATCTGCGTCAATTATTATTTAATATACGATCGACTCGACCTCCACGACCACCTCCACGTACACTCCCAGGGCCAGGATCAGGTCTAGAATGCAACAGAATCAGTATAATGCGCCATGGAGAAGTGGAGATGGTGTCTCATCTACAGACTCGGATCCGTGGATGGTCGAGTAACAGGTGAGTCGGGTGGAGAGTGTGGGTCAGGGTCTGTTAACTTAAATGTTCCTCAAGTCTCTTTGAAAAGATGATCCCAATCCCCAAATGTGTCGATATACTGTCATTGGCTCTGGCGCAGGTGGGTTCCTGACAGAATCCGTGTATCAGCCATGTGGAGACGGGTGGCGCACGATTTTGATAGACTTTTGGATGGTGACGACGCCTGAGATATTTCTCTCTTTTTCTTTCCTGTGGAATATTCGCCTATAAAAATGCTCTCGTCCGAGATTTGAACAAAACGTCTTGCCCAATAACCCACTCCTTCTTTTCTACCAACCCTAAACCCTCAGCCATCTCTGCTACATCAACCTCCCATCAAGATGAAGTTCGGTCTCGTCGCCCTGGCCCTCGTCGGCTCTGCTCTCGCTGTCCCCGTCCAGGACGGCAGCCACCGCGTTCCTACTCTCTCGACCGTTCGCCCGGCCTCTACGACTCACCACTCTACTACTCGTGTGCCGTCCCACACCTCGACCCGCAAGGCTTCTTCCACGGTCACCCCGACCACCATTCCTATCTGTGACGTCGAGCACGAGGGTGACAATGGCGAGCACCGAGGCTGGTGCAAGAAGGCCCAGCACTCGGGCACCTACAAGAATGGCAAGAGCGACTAAATACTCCTACACTTTTGGTGGGAATTCGTCAAGTCTTTATGGTCGATTTCAAGGGATTCATGGATATATGAGGTCTTCATGTTGCTCCCATGTACTCTTTTCTGAGCAGCGTGGGAGCTGCCATTCGCTTGTGTTTTTTGGGATGTACATATATGCCTTGTATGGGCAATTCTCTTGTGTGCTGGTGCACCCTGGAAATAGAATAGACTCACTTACCAGGACGATGTGTTTGTTTTCCCTTTGATTTTGTTCATTATTTGCTAGACAGATATATTTGCTCGTAGGCTGGCGTGTACTTGGTATACTTGGTATACGCCAAGAGCGGCGAATCAGCGAATTGCTAATCCCGAGCTCGGAGTTTGCGCGCGGAGATACTCGACGATTCTCTTCTTTTCTCTTCTCTCTGTTGTTTCCTTGGATTCCTTTTATTTGATATCTCTTTCATTTCTTCCTAGCACCGGCTCCCCGCGGTTCAATCACTGATGAGCCCGCGATCTGCCCTTGCGCGCTCGCTCCTACGCGACTGGAGCAGAGGCCATCAAGGCCCCAGATTCGCTCGTCTGTTGTCCACCACGCCATGCCGCCCCAGTCGACTGCGTGCGCGACTCGATATCCCGCCTCCGTTTCCCATCACAGATGCCTGTCCCGAGTCCACCTGCGATTGTCCGTCCACGCCAGCCATGCCGGAGGGGTTACCGATCGATCATGATCAAGCATTGAACGGGACCATGGCGGCGTATACCCAGCAACTTCTGGTCTGCACGGGACAGCGAGATTGGACGAGCCGGATCGAGAATGACGGCGAGAATCAAGGCTGGGGCAACCTGGTCCGGGGATTGAAGCGTCTGCTCGGTCGCGGGGGACCATACCTCGACGTATGCGCCTATTTTCTCTCAGGGCTGTTACATGGAGCTGTTTCTAACCAATTCTCTTGCTTCCGTCTAGCCCTTTAACAACATCCTAGTTACGAATTCATCCATTGTACCCGCTGCAAGATCTCCCTCCTCTACGGCCTCTGCGTTCCTTTTCCCCAGCTTCAAATACATCCCCTCAATACCGGTGGATATTGCATCATCATCAGACTCGACTGCAGACTTGACTGCCTTTGTGCGCGCTTTTCTGCTTCCCGAGAAACTCCATGAGATGCACTCTACTCTCCCCGAGGCCAAACGAGCGGACATGACCCGCTCCCCGGAATTATCCTCGAAGTTCACTGAAGTCGTGGACATCAAATACTCGCCCACGATTCTGATTTGTGGGCATGGGGGTCGCGACATGCGCTGCGGGATGATGGCGCCCGTTCTGGAAACCGAGTTTCAGCGCGTGCTGCAGTCGCGAGGCTTCGCTTCCACAGGCAGCGACGCCGTCACGGTGGACGGCCCCGATCATGCCAATGTGGGACTCATTAGCCACATCGGCGGCCACAAGTATGCCGGTAACGTCATTGTATATATCCCGCCCAAGATGACGGTGGGAGAGTCAGAGCCTCACCCGCTGGCGGGTAAGGGCATCTGGTATGGTCGAATAGAGCCCAAGCATGTGGAGGGCATTGTACAGAAGACGATCCTCACGGGCAGAGTGGTCAAGGACCATTTCCGTGGTGGGATTGATAAAACCGGTGACATTCTGAGACTCTAGAAATATCTACCTGGAAAGATCCGGAGATATTATGTGAGAGACAGTGTATGATAGAGCTGTGCTAGACATAGAGCAAAAAAAATAGTACATTATACCGAAGGATGTGCGTTGTGTTGTGTCAAAAGAGAGAAACACCTCGGATGATAATGCTGCGAGACGCTAGACCGCATCGGGTCCAAAAAGTGTCCCGAGCTCCGCGGAACTTTTGGCAACTTTTCGTGCGCGAACCACCCCAGTTGGAGCCACGCAGTTTGTCGGTGGACACGATGAGACTGCAATCATCATGCAGACTCTCTCACGCATCCGATTAAAGCCCATTGCACGCGGCTGGGCATGCGCGCGCCCAGCCGTACGGCCAGTACCTCTCACTTCGAACGCGTTCCTCCGCCTTGCGACAACGGCCTCCAATCCTCGCAGACTCGACCTCCCTGCCCTCGACAAGAAATGGCAAGCAAAATGGCAAACAGAAAACGCGACTACATCACGCTCACCACCGAACGAAGAAACCGAGTCCAAACCCACGTCCTATATCCTGTCCATGTTCCCTTACCCGTCCGGAACGCTGCACATGGGCCATCTTCGAGTCTATACAATCTCCGATGTCCTGGCGCGCTTCTATAAGATGCGCGGACATAATGTCTTGCATCCGATGGGGTGGGATGCGTTCGGACTGCCTGCGGAAAACGCTGCGATCGAACGAGGTGTCGACCCGGTGGACTGGACTAAGGAGAATATTGCAAAGATGAAGGAACAACTGCGGAGTATTTCTGCTTCATTTGACTGGGACCGAGTATGTTGATTGGACTGGCTTCCTGCCATGCGCCGGGGTTTGTTGAATGTCGCTAATGCATTTTAGGAATTGGCAACTTGTGCCCCGGAGTTCTACGAACATACGCAGCGCATCTTCCTGAAGTTGTATGAGAAGGGCTTGGCATATCAGGCGGAGGCACTGGTCAATTATGATCCTGTCGACAAGACCGTGTTGGCGAACGAACAAGTGGGTGTTTATTACCTATGACAAGTGGGAATGGACCTGACTCTTCAACAGGTTGATGCCAATGGATTCTCATGGCGGTCCGGGGCAAAGGTCGAACGGTTAAACCTGAAACAGTGGTTTTTCCGTATCACAAAGCTCAAAGAATTGCTCCTAAAAGACCTCGACTCCCTTGCGGGCGACTGGCCCGAGCGGGTCTTGTCGATGCAGCGGAATTGGCTTGGGAAATCCCAAGGTGCCAAGATCAGGTTTCCTCTGTCCATCGATGGACCGACAGGCGAGGAGGTCACGGTTGATGTCTTTACTACGCGGCCCGACACGTTGTATGGGGTTGAGTATATTGCCCTTTCGTTGAACCACCCGGTGGTGTTGAAAGCTGCCGAGAAAGACAGCGCACTACGACAATTTCTTGATGAGGCTTCATCGCTTCCATCGGACTCAAAGGCTGGCTACCGACTGACTGATATCAATGCATCCCATCCACTGCAAAAAGTTGACAAAGACTGCCCCCATCTGCCTCGAAAGCTTCCTGTCTTTGTGGCACCCTATGTCCTCGGTGATTATGGCGAGGGGGCCGTGATGGGCGTTCCCGGTCACGATACGAGAGACATGCTGTTCTACAAGGAGAATGTGAATCCTGAATCGATCTCCGTCGTAATTGCGTCCGAGCCGATGGAAAAGAGGGAAGATGGAACAACTAATAGCGTTGTCTCTGCCCACAACGCGAAAGCTTTTACCCAAGAGGGCTTTCTTACCTCGCGCTGCGGGAGATATCAAGGTCTGCACTCCAAGGCGGCCGCAAAGCAGATTGTCACCGACCTCCAACAGGTTGGGCAAGCCGAATCTGTCGAAAGCTGGCGTCTGCGAGACTGGTTGATCAGCCGGCAAAGGTACTGGGGTGCCCCCATCCCCATCATCCATTGCGCTGACTGTGGCCCTGTGCCAGTGCCGCCAGAGGACCTTCCGGTTAAGTTGCCGAAGATCGAGGGAGATTGGTTACGAGGGAAGAAGGGCAACCCTCTTGAATCGTCCGAAGAGTGGCTCCACACTAGCTGTCCCAGTTGCGGAGGATCTGCCAGGCGAGAAACAGACACCATGGATACCTTTGTGGACTCGTCGTGGTATTACCTACGATTTTTGGATGCTGCAAACCAAGCTGCCCCGTTCTCGCCGTCTCTGGCACGGCCCGTGGATATCTACATTGGCGGTGTCGAGCATGCTATCCTACATCTCCTCTACGCTCGGTTCATCTACAAGTTTCTTGCTCAGTCAGAACTGTTCCCGGCTCCTACAAACGCTGGGGATCACCCCGCGCCTGCGGAACCGTTCAAGACTCTTCTATCCCAGGGCATGGTCCATGGCAAAACATTCTCCGAGCCCTCGACGGGTCGGTTTTTGCACCCCTCGGAAGTGGACCTGTCGCGCCCCGATAAGCCTTTGATCAAGCGTACCCAGGTTGCACCCAATGTGTCTTTCGAGAAAATGTCAAAGAGCAAGCACAATGGCGTAGACCCTACTGCCTGCACCAGCAAGTACGGCGCGGACGCCACTCGCGCTCACATCTTATTCTCCGCGCCAGTCAGCGAAGTGCTAGAATGGGACGAAACCAAGATAGTTGGGATAGAGCGCTGGTTCGGACGGCTTTGGAAGGTTGTTTTGGATGCACAGCAAAAGCTGGTGCAGTCCTCTTTCACGGTATCAGAAGGCGATTTCGGCGCGTCCACGGGCCACGCGGCCTCTCTTGTGTCTTCGCTACAGGACCTGAGCGATTCAGATGCAGACGCTGTCTTGGCCACCCACAATACCATCTCCTCCGTCACCACCTGCATTGAGAACAATCCCTATGGTCTGAACACAGTCATCTCCGACCTAACCAAACTCACCAACACCCTATCTTCGACCCTCCCATCCTCGCCTCGCCCGCTCTACATGTCCGTCTCCGCTCTACTACGTCTTCTCGCTCCGATAGCTCCCGCACTAGCATCTGAATGCTGGGAGGTTCTCCACGAGCTCCTCATCACCAAGGCCGAATCCGCCACCGCTGTACCATCAGTCTTCTCCTCCCCCTGGCCCGCCACCCTTTTAACCCCCGACCAAGCCGAGGCGCTCTCCTCTCGCAGTGGCCAGACCGTCGCCGTGCAAATCAACGGCAAGCTGCGCTGTGCGGTTACTATCCCGCGTATGCCGTCTCCCACCCCGACGACCTCTTCTCAGGGGAAAAGTTCCGGCCCCTCGCAGGAGGAACAGGACTGGATTGTCAGCCGGGTCCTGGAAACGGCTGAGGGTGTGCTGTGGCTTCGCGAGAAGAATGACTGGGAGAAAAGGCGGCGGGTAATTGTGGTTAGGGGGGTAAGTTGGTGAATGTCGTTTTTTGATTCTGGGATTTGAATCAACAACCTACCTACCCTACTCCTGCTGGATAGACAAAATATGTACATTAGCAGCCTGTGGGGGTAAAAATCTATATCAAATTATTTTTTATCAAAATCTAAGTACAATTTCTCAATCTTGTACTGGGCATGTTGTGATGACTATGGTGGGATGGCGTAAGTCTTGCTCATTATATAAATTATACTCAAGTCCAGCCAAAAAATATATTTCAACGGTATCCATGTTAGATGTATGTTTACTAAGATATGTTTAGTGGAGACATAATATAATTAATAATATCAGATATTATCCATGGATATTTTATTGCAATCAGACAGCTCTTACTTGTAGGGACTACAGTCTCATGAAAGTGTTTATTTACTCGATGTACCGCACTCGTTATTCTGCCGGATTTTTGTAATTTGACCAACAAGATGCTGGTATTAGCAGGCGGTAAATCCACAACCAGAAGGCGGTATAGCAAGGTACACTGAATAGAGTAAATACTTTTATCTCGTAGACAACAGTCTGTTTATTCAAAGAATCGAAATATTCACAGCTCATGTATCTATATAAATGATTCGGGTCTAAGATGACACATATGAACACATGCCCGGAAAAAAAAGACAACTGAAAAGAATTCAGGAGAGCCACGCTGGCATGAAGCTTTCCCAATAGATACCAGCATGGAAAAAAAAAAAAAAAAAAAAAGATGAGATCGAACCGATCGAGTCCGACCAGAAGTTCGATCAAAATCATCACGGAGTTACTCGAACGGCACCGCCCCATGGTACGACTCGGTCAGAGGCCACAGTGCGAAAGAGAAACCAACGGCCCCAGCGACGAGAAGCGCATAGTAAGTGACCGACCAGCCGATACCCAGCTTGGCCGGGGCGTCAGCGGCGGAGGTGGTTTCGGGATCCTCCTTGCCACGAGCCGGTAGGGCATCCGCCGACTCGGTGGCATCGACACGGCCCCAGAACCGGGGCAGACCACACCAGTTGCAGAAGCTGTGAACGAGAATGACGGCGGGCAGCGACCCCGTGCGCAGGTAGAGGAAAGTCGCATACCAGCCGAACACGGTGGTGTAGGCGAACTGCAGGATCGAGCGCAGTAGGGCTGCCAGGATCGAAGTGTCCGGGTGGGTGAGCCGGAACTCGTAGAAGTGGTGGACGTGGGCGATGCCGAAGTACAGCGGCGCCACGAACACGACGCGGCCGGGGGACACGCGCGCCAGGAGATGCAGCGGTACGATGACCGAGCGAAAAATGACCTCCTCTGTGACGGGGCCCTGGGGGTGTCATCGGATTAGTATATTGTACATTGTACATTGTTAATATCAGAGGAAGATGATCGAACTTACGGCCACATAGTTTCTCCAGCCAATCCACCCCCCGAGGCTCTCGGCGAGTTTGCTGCCGCGGAACCACGTTCTCCATTCACCTTCGACAACTGCTCGCTCAAAGAGGGGCCCCACGAAGAGAATCATGGTCAGGAGCAGGCTTCGGGCAATATCGCCCAGGCCGATCGGCCACCAGCCCAGCAGTCGCAACGCCGCGGCCACCGAGGAGTGACCCTTGTCGACGATCACCCAGAGCACCAGCAGGGAACTGATGATACAGGACCCGGTGACGGATCGGATGCGCGCCCGAATCACGGACGGCGCATCACGACTGAGACTGGGCGACGGCCGAGTGTCGGGAGAAAGATAGAATGGGACCACATAAAGCAGAGTGAGCGCGACCTGAGTAGAGGTTAGATCTTATTTTATCTAATGTTCTTTTTTCGTCTTTCATCTTCTTCTAGTCTTCGCTTTCACATTGAGAGACAATTTACATACGGAGAAGATGATGAGGGTCTGCAACGATAGCGCGGGTTCATCTGACGAATATTAGCACGAACAACCTCAGGACCCAAAAAAGACATACCTTGATGCTTCATGTACAGACTCCTCAGACGAGCCAGTAGCCCAACGGGCGCCATGATTGATCTCTCGAAGAGGTGCAACTGGGAGCGGGGGGATATTTCACTCAGGAGGCTCGAGTCACTGGGGACGGTAACCGTTGCTGACCATACGCGCAGAGCCCATTATGAGGGGACACCGCAAACAGCGGGTAATTAACCGTCATGGACGGTACGGGGTGGTATTGAGTGCATTGAGTGCATTGTTCTCTATTCTTCTTCCTTTCGACATTGCAACTATCGAGGATCTCGTATGACGAGGAGAGAGATGGGATCCTTGACATCCCTCCCCCGAACATCCTGTCATCAACGTCGGTGCTACTGTCATTCCAAAAATATCCCAGTCACACCCGAACGGGTGGACCGGGCGTCACTCGTGTGCCAATGTGAGCTATCATCCCCCCTTGGGGGTTGTGTCTATCTTCATTTAAGCCATGCGAGGGGAATCGTGGACGAAATTCTCCGATCTTTCACGAGCAAAGGCAAAAATCAATTATTCGTCTTGTCTCGAGAGGGGGCAAAGACATGAGACACACAGCTTTCAATCCATGAGGATCCAGGGACAACGCATTGGGGTCCACTCTGACTGCAGGACCTGGATCCTCGGATTATAGCACATACACATACAGACACACACAACCCTGGGTCGATGTGGGAACGGGCTCGGGTGCAGGATGCTTGAATCCTTGAGATGACAGGTCTCTACGGGTTGCACGACACATCAGAGACGGAGAATACTGCAATGTTCAAGTGACTTTCGACGCGAACCAAGTCAGCGCGTCTCCCGTGGAGCCGAGTCAACGGGCTGCATAACCCCCTGGGTGATAGGCGCCCTGGCCTCACCTTGCTGGCGCTTCACCGCTGGGCAACAAAATTCCTCGCCCCCCCTTGGCTCCCTTTTTTCTTCTCTTTTCGTGTCTCATGTCTTTTTTTTGTGCTTCCAGTTGCGCTACCTTTCGTTTTTGAAACGCCTTAATGATTTGATTTCGCTTCTTCACGCTCCTTAATGTTTGAAACGACTTAATTCTGTGACGACTGGTCCGATTGACGCTCTTTTTTTTTAGTTTCCTGATGAAATTTGGTCTAATACACACCCTTGGGATCTCGATCGACTCCAGGGTGAGACACACATTCCTTACATGCTACCCTTCTAGGAAAACAAAAAACAGTCTTTAGGGATTAACGTCACTCTTTTGCTTTGTTTATGCCCCACGTTGAAAGTGTGCAGTGTTGATTTATTTGGTTTCATTCTTTCTTTTCTGGAGAGCGTTGTTTTTATTCGATTCCCTGTCGCTGGGCTATGCGGTAGTTGTTTTTTTTTTTTGGCTCGCCATGTCTTCTCAAGTTCGACCGTCTTCGCCGCGTACGCGGAGAGCATTGGGAGAGCGCAGCTCTGCCCACACAAATGAGAGGTCGCCCACTCGTTCGTTGCGCATGGTCCAGGAGCAGGAAGATGTTGATATGTATACCGCTACACCGTTCCCAACCAAACCGGAGCAGATCCTCCTGCCCATTCCCGGCAAAGGGCAGCAGAAGTACATCTCAGACACCGGTCTCAGCTACTCAGGCACACCGGGTCAGTCCACGTCGACCTGGTCCTCGCCGTCATTCAGCCATGGCGCGAGCGGCAGTGTGCTGGATCATTCCATTGGCGACAGCTGGGATGTTTCGTCCACTGTCGATACGGGTAATTCGCCCCCCGCAATGTGGGAAGATGACCCAGCGTCGAGCAAGTCCTCTCTGCCAGAGGTCCCATCGGCCAAGCCCGATGATGGACCCGAAAGTTCAGAGCCTGAGTATTCAGATGACGAGATGATTGTATTGCCTACAGCAACGCCCACCATTAAAGCTGTGGTATCCGAGCCGCCCACATCACCAAAGTCTGATGACCAGGAGGAGTCTGTCCTGGGCTATTCTAGTCCCAATGTCGAACCCATTGGCGTGCCATCAAGCCCCAATTTCGTGACATTGGACAACTCCAGTACACACTTCCACCGTCCTGGCACGTCTCATTCCGACTCGGACCCGCGGTCCAACTCGCTGTCATCTTACAACTCACGAGGGACCGTTGTCAGACATGCGGGTGCCGCCCCATGGATCCACACGGCTTCCTCTGAGCACTTGAGCTCTCGTTCGCAGTCTTTCCGGTCTACTCCCCCGTATCAGTCCACGGCCTCTTTCCGTTCAACGTCTAGACGTCCATCTGCAAGCCGATCCCGGTCTGCGACATCGTCCTCACGCAGTCTGCGCTCGGTACGGGACATTCAGACTGCCATTGATAGCGGTGTGCCTATTCAATTCCCGCGCATCCGTGCTCCCTCTTCGTCAAGCTCTCATGCAGACACGTCAATGTCCTATGACCGCGACTTCACTCCGGGCCCAGCTTCTGGCCGTTGGAATCCCCATTTGTCACGAGTATCATCTGTGTGGTCTGCCGACGAGCTTCCGGACGAATCTTCCCCGCAAGAAGAGCATTCAGATTCCGAGATGTCGAAACCAACTCGTCCATCGGCTGCCGTGCTAAACTCAAAGCCCACCTCCTCTGTATGGCTGGTGAACGACCATGACGATGAGCGCCTCGACAGTTTGACAAAACTCCCAATGCGCGGGTTCCCCCACAGCCTATCATCGGGATCAAAGCGAAGCGACAGTGCCCGAAGTCTCCAGCGCCCTAGCACCGGCTCGAGCGGCGTCTTCAATATCCTCCCAGCATGGGCCAAGCTCTACTACCAATGGGATCCCATGGGCCTCAACTCTGCTCTGTCCATGATTGATGCTAGTCGACCATCGTCCACGCGCCCGGGCACAAGCAACTCAAGTGTCTTCGGTCTCATGCCAACGCCTCTCAACATCCCGCGGCCACGTTCACCGGAGCGTCCGCGCTCTCCCGAGCGCCCCCAGTATGTTAAGCGACGTCTCGAGAGTGACCCGCGCGATCCGCGCGCCCACTGGGTCCCGGACCCAGAGCCAGAAGACGGAGACCGAGTCGGTACTCCTCGCAACCGCTTGCGCCATAGTTGGTCGCCGCATCTGTACCAGGACCGACGTGTCATCCAGTATTCTCCCAGTGGATGGGGTGCTCCTTCGTTGGATTCCAGGACCGAGCCAATCTTTGGGCGGCGGAACATCCAGGTGTACTCTTTCTGCTTGGGGTTCATTTTCCCTCTCAGTATGTGGACAATTTCCCTCCTTCACAGTTGAAGGTAGCAGACTACTGACATTTTTTCCCAGCCTGGTGTATTGCTGCTTTTCTTCCACTCCCGCCAAAACCCAAGATGGCGCCTGAGATGATGGAGTCAGAGGACGATATCGAAATGGCGTACGAGGCGCAGGTCCTGGATCTGCAGCAGCGGCGGTATGAGAACGCCCGCTGGTGGAGGAAACTCAATCAGTGGATGATCTCGCTGGGCGTGGTGATCATCGTCATCATCGTGAGTAGACCTGTCCTTGGAGTCGTGTGCTTTGTTCTAACGGTCTGCAGATCACCCTGGCTGTCATCGGCACAACAACTGGTTTTTAATTCTGTCTTCGGACCTGCTTCCTTCCTGCTCTGTCGATCCTTCAACCCAGCTCGCCCTCTTTTCAATTTTCTTACGCTCTTACGACTTGGCCCTCTCTTGCTTGCAGCTGAATTGCCTTCACCCTCTTGGAGATCATTCCTTTTTGACCACTCTTTCGGGACTTCTTGATTTCACCCCCTACTTGTCTAACCTTTCCTTCCTCTTCCCTCAACACTGCAGACCAGCATCTCCTTTCTGTGATCTTCTTCCTATTCTTTGTTCGAGGCCATCCCCTCGATACCACTTCTCTTGACTTTTCCTCTTCTTTTATTCCCCTTCGCTGAACATTTTCTCGATACGATTTGTATGGAACGACTGGACGCACTCACATAATTTCCCCCTTTCTTGCCTTTGCCTTCTTCACACCTTGACTCTTTTCTCTTTCTCTTCACTTCTTTCCCCCCCCCCCTCTTATGGAGAGTTGCATGAACGGCGATGGTGACCTCTTGCATTCGCGGCATACAATGCCCGTGTATTATGGATGGATATATGCTTTTTCTTCTCTTCTCGCACCTGGATGATACTTCGATTTCGATTTCGATTCTTGACTCTGATTCTCTTGTCTGATATACTCATGTGCTTTATCCATGTCCTTGACTCTTATCACTTTTATCATTTGACACCCACTTTCATTGATTTATAATACCCGACAGTCTTTCTCGAATAGTGCTCAACGCACCTATTGACCACAACTCTTGGGATCTACCCGAAACCTCTGTTGATTAAAAGTGCCATGATAACTAGGAATAGAGTATGCCTAGGCGAGGAAAAACAAGACAGCAAGGTTAATTCCCGAAAGCAACCAAGAGACCAGGTATAATAAAGTCGCATTTAAGCCAAGCCTCTTCCCTCTGATCTTTGACCCATCCAAACTCCCCCCCCCTTTTTTTTTTTACAGTCCAATCTGGAGAGCCCAAATAAACGCACTCTAAAGCTTCCTGCCGATTCGCTGCTCAACAGCAATCTTCAGCTCTTCACCAGTGGGCATGGTCACGGCACTGCCCCGCCTGCGGCGCGACTCAATTTCCGACATCATTTCCTGGACAGCCTCGTCGAAGTCGCGCTCCGGGTCGTTAGGCAGACCCAGCGTAGGAGGTCGCACGGACTCCTGGCTGACAGTGCGCGGGACGTGAGGGCGGTTGCGGCGCTTCAACTGGCTAATAAGGTAGGCTTTGGCCGGGGAGGCGAATACTGCCAGGGAGACGGCGGTGCCGACGATGCCGTAGAAGTAGACACGCGACCAGCCAGTTATGGAGTCGCCGAAGCTCAGTAGAATGAAGGGTAGCACGGTAAAGGAGAGGGTCAGCTGTGTGGCGAGCCAGCTGAGAATGTCGTAGTATCGCTTGTTGGGCATGGGGCGGGTGCCGTCTGGGGTCCGGAAGAAGGGGCGGACATAGCGGCGGAAGTCTGGTGGAAAAACAGGTCAGTCATGGTTGATATCAAGGTAGTGGGGAAGGATGGGACAAGAGCTCGATGTGTGATCGAGTAGAATCGACTCTCACAGAGACAGGGTTAACATACTCTTTGCAACAGTCTGAATGAATGATCCCAGCACAAAGGTCAAATAGTATCCCGGGTAAAACCCGTGCCAGAGTGCACTGGTGGCAAAGGTGGCCATGCTGGCGCGGAAACCGGGCTTCTTGCCCTTGGGCGTAACACGCAGATACACATAGTTGCGCAACCAGTGGTTGGTGTTCTTGTTCCAGCTCCCCAGGTATCCGTGGGAGTTCTGGGCGGTTTCCAGGCTCCAGGGGTCGACGTTCTCCAACCGGTTCCAGAAGACCTTACCAGACTTCGGATCGAAGCCATTATACCCCATGCCAGACAGAATACAGGCACCCTCGGTCAGGGACCACACGCCGTAATACTTGAGACGAGCTGCAAATCCGACCATGTGTGCGAACCATACACGGCGAAGGAACGAATATTTGAGGAAGGCATCCGAGAGTATAAAGTCTGCTGAGTACCTGCTGCCCAGCTGCAAAAAAGCAAAGATCCAACCCAGTCCAACAAACGCCTTGATTGCAGCCGGGGTGCCGCTGCGGGGGATCTTGCGCTTTTTGCGGGTCGGCGGCACTTTGGACGGGTCGGTGCCAGGGGGGATATCGAAGAGCGTGGTGTCGATCCAGCGGCGGTAGTCGACATACTCAAACGATGGACCCGCGAAGAGCGACGGGAAAAATAACACATAGCCTAGGAAATCTACTATCCCCGGAAATTCGGTGATAGCCGAGTACTTCTGCGCATCCGAGAGCTGCTCCGATGGAAGACGCCCGTCATGGATGTTCCAGCAGAAAGAAGAGAGCTTCATGACGAGGACCATCTGTGCACCGGTGATGTCCACCACCTGGGCATCGTCGAGGATTTGGCGGTAGATATGGCTAATCGACATGTGGCCCATGAGAAAGACGAATCCGAACCAGGGCATGAGCGATCCATCCAAATAGTAAGCGATCGCGTAGGTGCCCGCTGCGGCATACAATATCGTGCGTAGACCATCCCAGAGGTCGAACAGGCCGATTATGTAGAACAGCGACACACCGATAATGAAGGCATTCTTCTTCCACGGTTGAGCGTCGGGAATCCGTTTCAAGAGGGCGGCCAGTGGGTAGGAGAGCAAGAACGAGGCAATCAGCTTCACTGGAGGCGGTCGTTAGGACTCATGTGAATTGAGGAATCCAAGGGCATATGGCATACACTCATCAATAGATGCGCCAGTGAGCCGGGCTGGGTAGTCGAACACTGCGGGGAGATCAGTCCGGGGAGCTTTATGGTCCATTTCAGGTAGATACGCACCGAAGTCGATGTAAGGCAACATAATGGTCGACCCAAAGAGCGAGAGCAGCTCGAGGGGGGAAAAAGTGAAGTCGCAAAGAAGAAAAGAGCAAGGGAACGTCATGTGGGAGACGCACCCAACATTCAACAAGTCGCCGATCTCCACCTTCGCCCGTTCAACCACCTCCCCATCCCCCACGGGCTGCTCTCTCCTCAATTTCCCTTGTTCTTCTTTTGCCGCGCCCGGCGTCCTCTCCAGCATGGATGTCGTCGCGGCCGTCTCGGGCTACATCTCTAAGATGGTGACGGCCGGCGAGTCGGCCTCGGGGTCTTCGTCGACCAAGATGAAGATCTTGCTCCTCGACAGTGAGACAGTGGGACACGCGCTCTGACCATAGCTCCTCGGCACATGGCTAACTCTTTTGATGTTCAGGTGCCGATCGTCTCGACCGCCATCACCCAATCCGCGCTCCTCAACCATGAAGTCTACCTTATCGACCGTCTGGACAACGCTGCGCGCGAGAAGATGCGCCATCTGCGATGCCTGTGCTTTGTGCGCCCATCTCCAAGCTCCATCCAGCTGCTCATCGATGAGCTTCGAGAACCCAAGTACGGCGAATACTACATCTACCTGAGCAACATTATCCGCAAATCCTCCCTCGAGCGACTGGCCGAGGCAGACAGTCATGAGGTGGTCCATTCTGTGCAGGAACAATATGCCGACTTTATGGTGATCAACCCGGACCTGTGCTCTTTGAGCCTTGGGTTTCCCCTGCAACGGCTATGGGGCCACTCGCCGGACTTGTGGGACGGAGAAGCGCTACAACGAGCCACCGAAGGGGTCCTCGCTCTGCTGCTGTCGCTGAAGAAGAACCCGTTGATTCGCTATGAGAAGAACAGTCTGTTGACACGAAAGTTGGCAACGGAGGTGCGGTACCACCTCACGCAAGAAGAACAACTGTTCAATTTCCGCCGGATGGATACCCCGCCTATCCTGCTCATTCTGGATCGGCGCGACGACCCCATCACCCCGCTGCTCACCCAGTGGACCTACCAAGCCATGGTACATGAACTACTAGGTATCAACAATGGACGCGTGGACCTTAGTGAGGTCCCCGATATTCGACCGGAGCTCCAGGAGATCGTCTTGGCCCAGGATCAAGACCCTTTCTTTAAAAAGAACATGTACCAGAATTTTGGCGACCTGGGCCAGAATATCAAAGAGTACGTGGAGCAGTACCAAGTCAAAACCCAGAGCAACATGAATATCGAGTCTATCGCCGACATGAAGCGCTTTGTGGAGGATTACCCGGAGTTCCGCAAGCTCGCCGGCAACGTGAGCAAGCATGTTACCCTGGTGGGGGAGCTCAGCCGGCGTGTTGGTGAAGACACTCTACTCGATGTGAGCGAGCTGGAGCAGAGCTTGGCATGCAATGAAAATCACTCAAGTGATATCAGGGTTTGTTCACTTGTCAATCGACCTACTTGGCTTGATACTGATTCTTTTTATAGTCGCTGCAACGAATTATCCAACTACCCAACGTACCAGCCGACAACAAGTTACGCTTGGTTGCTCTCTATGCTCTTCGTTACGAGAAACAGCCCAATAATGCGCTGCCCACGCTTCTTGACCAGCTCGTCAGTGCGGGCAGTGTCCCTCCTCACCGAGTGAATCTCATTTCCAAGCTGCTCGCATATCATCACTCTCTCCAAGCCCCTCCCGTCGCAGGCGGATTCACCGATTTGTTCGAATCTACTTCGTTCTTCTCTGGCGCGAGAGATCGCTTCAAGGGACTGAAGGGCGTCGAGAATGTCTACACGCAGCACTCGCCGCGATTGGAAGTGACACTTCAGAATTTGATTAAAGGGCGCCTGAAGGAGCTCCAGTATCCATTCCTGGAAGGCAGTGGGCACACGAGGGACAAACCTCAGGACATCATCATTTTCATGGTCGGCGGCACCACGTATGAAGAGGCCAAGATGGTTGCGCAGGTCAACGCGAGCTCCCCAGGAGTGCGCGTTGTCTTAGGCGGCACTTCTGTCCATAACAGCACTACTTTTCTGGAGGAAGTTGACGATATCGTCGGTAGCTGGCCGGAGCCGGGCCCTTCGACAGCCGCGGGACGGCTGCGACGAGAGGTTGGACGATAAATCTTCCATGTTTGGGCATTGGCGTTTTCCTGGGTGCATGATCCTGTCTATAGGCGTAATTATAAATGCGTTGAGATGTCTCTTGTTGCTCGTAGAACAGTCAAGTCCGCTAAGAATGTGGGTCAACCTCCGCGGACAATGCGGAGACGGTTGAACTTCTTCTCAATTCCTCTGCACCTCCCACCCACGATGGAGCAGAATTCCCCTAGAGGCGCAGGGGCTTCTTCGCCTGCGGCTTCTCGCGAACCGCGATTGCATCTCCCGTCGACGACCGATCCGCCAGGTCCTCAAAACCCCCCTAAACCGTTCGTATGGCTGGTAAGGTGCTACCCCCACCAACGGAATGACCGGCCTACAATCGGCACTCCAGAAACAATACAGCTTATTCTGATACCACGACTTGCTTTCCTTAGATTTTCGGAGCTACGGGCCACATGGGTCGATCGCTAGTCAAGATCGCCCTATCGCGTAACGACGTCGTCGCCGCCGTGGGCCGCACGTACGAGAATAGCCCGGAAAGCATGAAAGAGCTGGAGGACGAGCACCCGAACTGCATGGGACTCCTCTGTGATGTGCGCGCACGGGAAACCGTCAAGCGAGTCATCGACCAGACCATCGCGCGATTCGGGCGCATTGACGTGATTGCCAACTGCTCTGGGTACGGGGTGATCGGGGCCTGCGAGGACCAGGACGAGTTCGACATACGGAACCAATTCGAAACCAACTTCACGGGCACGCTAAACATGATCCAGCTATCACTGCCGCACTTCCGGGAGCGGCGCGCTGGCCGCTATCTGATCTTTAGCTCGACGTCGGGGGCGCTCGGAGTGCCCGGGTTGGGCCCGTACTGCGCGTCTAAATATGCGGTGGAGGGCCTGATGGAGAGTATGTTGTATGAAGTGGATAGCTTCAACATCAAGGGCACGCTCGTCGAGCCGGGCCATATGCGCCGCGATGACATCGGGGACCTGGTGTCCCCCTCGGCCATGGCTGCCGATCCCTCCGAACATCATCTCTCATCTCCGCTGCCCCTCTACGGCCATTTCTTGGTCAAGCCCCCCAGTGCTCCGTATAACTCCCCCACGTCCCCTGCCGCGCATGCGCGACGCATGCTTATGTGGCTCGGCGACAAGCAGCCAGCCAGTGCCGTCAAGGCGGCGCATCTCGTCTGGCAGCTTGGTCACTGTGCTTACCCGCCGCTGCGTCTGATCCTTGGTACCTATGCTGTCGAGAGTATCCGGGACCGGCTGAAGTGTATCATCGAGGAGATTGAGGATTGGAAGCATCTCAGCTTTCCGTCGGGAGACATGCAACCTGGGCGGGACAGCTCGTCTCTGCCGACGGCAGGCAATGAAGATGCCAACTTGGCCGGGACAGGGTGATCAATTGGTCGTCGTACGCCGATCTTCCAAAACAATGGCACACTTTCGAATCGACAAGTGCACCAAGGAGATTCGATTTCTTTTCCCATTGTCTTATTCTTCAGGAAAGAGCGTTTCCCCCGCTGCTACCCGTGCATCATCATCTATCACGGCTAGAATCTTGATACCCTGCAAAGTCGTGCCCTCGCCCGTTACTGGCAATATACGGGTCTTGAAAAGATGCACATACAAGAACCGAAAAGCCAGAGCCACTCGCTGGCACCATCCTGGCATTGATTTCTTACATTATCTGGCTGGCCGTTATGCAGAGTTGGATGCCAATGATGAATTCGACGACCGAGCCGGCTGCCTCAAATGATGAGAAGCTAGTCTATGAGGCGTGGACTGAGATAGGCTATCTTTCACAATCCTGTCTATCTCTGGTCTTTATTGATGGTCTGCCTGATCTATCATGGCTGCCTTCTACGGCCAGTTAAGTCCCGCGTTGGTTTCTTACACCAACAAAAAACTCTATACACCGGAGAACCTCCTATATTCCTATATTCTTCCAGCACTCTCCCGAAAACAAGACAAGTTCATTCATCCATGGCTGTATATAATCCGGTAATATGTAGGAGAGCAAGTATACAAGATAACAGGGGAGCACGCTACACAGAAGACCGGGCATGAGCGGTAGAAAATGGAATTTATATCATGAGAACAACAGGCAAGTTCGTAGGCGGCATTGCTGGCCAAAGACACAGCCTTTAACTCCGAGCATGGATGATACATGTCTCCTTCGCATGCCAAATGCGGCGTCGTCTGACGACATCCGTACCAAAGGTATCCTGGATGCCGGCATCATCATGAAGACGAGCGGCAGGATCAGAACCACTCTGAAGCGAACTAGATGCCTGGTTACCGCTGAAAGGCCACAGAACCCTGGCTTCCTCGACACTAGCGCCGAACTCGTATTCACCGCGGCAAAGAACCGTCACGCCGAGAGAAGCCTGTGTGGACTCGCCACTCTGGAGAGTGGGGAGAGACTGTTGCAGCATGCCGGTCCAGGCGAGGCGGCGGGTGAGATCCAGGGCGACGTTGTTGGGCTGGTGGCGCAGGCTCGGCTGGAGGCGAAGCAGGGGGTGGATGGGACGGGAGGAGCGGTTGTGGACGGTGACAGTAAGAGTGAGGAGTTCGTCGGTCTGAGCGTGGAAGCGTGAACGGCCGGATTGGGAGACTGTGGTGGAGGATTCATTGGCTGAGGAGGACGCAGATTCAGAGGCGGCGAGGTTAAAGGTCATTTCAATGTCCTCAAGGCGCATGGCTTCCACCATGCGAGAGTTCAGGCGAACGTTTCGCAGGTCGATGGTTCCCTCGCGGCCTGTGGCGGGTTCTTTCCAGCCTCCGAGGACTCGTTTGAGGAGTTCTTCTCGGAACCAGAATGCCTCTCGGGAGGCGGCCTCGGCTTCGAACGACAGTTTGTTGGCACTCACAACGAACTGTCTCCGCGTGCCGGTGTTGACGACGGGAATCGAGGCATGGGGATTGTCCAAGTAAATGCGAGGAAGCACAAGGACGAACCGACATACTTGGCCGGGTTGCAGATTTCCACTGACAGAATATTTCCCATCAAGGTCGTCGTTCGGTGCCGTGGAAGGTGAAAGCGCCGGCATAGAGTGCTCGCTGACATGCAGCCAGACCGAGAGAGGGCTTGGCCACGCATTGCGGAGGTCAAGCAGGATGACACAGTGATCAGGTCCATACGTCCCATTACCGAGACGAGAAAGAACCTGCGAGAATGGATCTTTGTCAGTGGCAGACAAAGGCAAATTTGACGTCTCCTGCTCCGAGCCTGAGGGTGAATCCAGATGGTTTCGCCAGGCAAAATCGCCACTGAAGGGCAGAATATCGCAGCGAGCAACTTCCACGCTGGCATTAACGGTAACCGTCAGTGGCACAAATAGCTGCCGGGTATAAAATATGTCCGGCAGGCCACCATCACTCAAACCCACGCACGAGTAATCGATTTGTACGGTCGTGTCCTGCAACCCAGGTTTCCCCAGAACATCAACCGTGAACGTTGCCTGCTGTCCCGGCGGAATCGAGCAATCGTTAGAATCTTGACCCTCACGGAGCCACTGTAGGGCTGGCCGGGTTGCTAGTTTCAGCTCGAGCTCGTAGACCTCGACCGGCAGCAGATCCTTATTGCTGAGAGCGGATTGTAGCTGTCTGGTGGTTGAATCTTGAAAGGTAAACAAGACAAAATCAACGGGACATGACGAGACGTTTTGGAGAGTGATGGTGAAAGGCCTGACTTCGCCCTCCAAGACCATCATCGCCGATTGCGAGAGAGACATTGATTCAATCAGGAGTGATGGTTGTTTCCCAATCACTTTAACCGGGCACGTTTCCCCCTCGGGTCCTTTTTTCGCGGACACCTTTCCATCTTTTGACGTCGTCGAGCTCCAGGAAACTGGGCGCTCGTTGAGCGGCTTTTTCGCGGCCAACCCGGTTCGTTTGAATTTGATCTCAGGTTCAGGCTTCCAATAAGTCCTGAAGATGGGGAATCTTCGCATTCGGCAGTGCCGCACTTTCACAATGCATCCGGTAATGTCAAGGTTGCCCTCTTCGTGAGCGACACCCAGGACAGTGATATCCTGTAAAGAAAGAGCAGGAAGGGTGATGTTTTCAGCCACGGCCTCAAAGAACACTCCTTGGCTTTCAAGTTGCAAATGTTCGATTTCGATTTCGAATTCGTAGGGATTCTGAAGAGTCACTCGGAACGTAGCTTGCTCATCAGTCACCATAAGCATCTCCAGGGCCTTGCTGCTGGGCTTGGCAAAAGGATTATAAAGGAATGGATCTTTCTTCGATTTCTCAGAGCCCGTCGTAACTGCATCCAATTCGGTTTTGTATCGACGAACAGGCCGTCGGGGATCGGGGAGGGCCAGCAGTTGCACATCACGAACAAGGAAGTCATCCCAGTACTCAGCGGCCATGCTCGATGCACCAAGTCTGTTTGCAGCGCCAACGGTTCGTCTAATATTATTCAAAAGACGGCTTTGCTCATCTGGTGGCAGATAAGGTGGGAGTTTATGGGCTTCACTCAGCATCAGATCCCCTCTAATTGTCTGCAAGAGCTCGACTGTGAAGCGAAGAACGCCACCAAAGTCGGGGAGAGCCTCGCAGCAGTTGATGCATGCCTTGAGTACGTCAATCTTCAAGTTCAAATCACCGTATCTATCCAGAGCGAGGTGTCGAAATGCTCGTTCCGCAATTCCGGAGACTGAATCATATTCGGGACACTCCTGGGACCCACCGAGAGCAAAGGATTGGCTCTGTCTTTTCTCCCACTCGAAGAATGCTGATGGCTGAACCCCATATATCTCCCCTATCGTAGCGAGAAGTAGACGCACACTTGCTTCCATGTTCCCAGGGCCCACGTCGAGAGCATTGACGTCAAATGCGGTGTCGCTAAGAGACGCTAGCCCGGCAGCAGGGTGAATGCCAACCTCCGCCGCACCGATTTTCCGTGCCTGCACAAGACTTGGCACCATTACCGAGAGAAGCTCCCGCAAAATGAAAGCTTTCTTTCTGGGCAGATCAAGAGTGTTCAAGACGGATACAACCCCAACTATTATGGGCACGGCATCAGTGGCGGGCACATCCGAGCTAGGGGCAAGTGGCAATGCTCGAAATATTAAGTTTGCGATCTCAGACTTTCGCAGAAGAACTGTCCCCCGAGGCAGTTCCGGCTGATGCAGAGGGATGAGAGGCTCGTTCATCACGATGTGCTTCAGGGCATTATCGTCGAGAGCACCATCACGGATACGAGCTGATACCAGCAGTCTTGATAACCGAATAACTGTCTCTGAGAATACCAATTGAGGAAGTGGTTCATCTGTGATGTTGGCGGCACGGTTATAAAGATTCACAATGGTGTTGGAAAGGTCTGGCAACAGATTGGCCAGATTCTGGAGAGAGATGATGCGATTGCCAGTCGAAGATGGGGTGGGGTTGGAGTCACGGAGTGGTTTGGAAGATTTATCGGCCACAGGATACAGAACAGATGGGATCTGATAGGACAATTAGAGAGTTATAGTGTTGATGAGTGCCCACCTGCATACCTGAAAGTCCATTCCTGCCCATCCAAACATCAGGAGACAGAGAAGAAGAGATTCGAGCGCCTTGGCATGCCAAATATAGTCACTGCCCGCGCGGGCATTGTTTGCGGCTTCAATTAGTTCCTTAAGGGCATCCGGCCATCTTCCTGCCTGCAGGAAAAGAGTGCCAATGACAACCCCAGCACGGCCCTTGATACGATTCTTGGTTCTGTCTGTGGCGCTCAATCCGCTCACAGACATACGGTCACGACTTTGCTCCTTGGGCGATGCTATTGAGGGAGGCTTCCCGCCCGAATTTGTGCGACTGGTCAGGTGAATGGACCGCGTGATCTCATCAAATGTTGTAGGGGTTTCGTGGTCACTAGGGGCCGGTGAGCTGGCGTTCGAGCTCAATGGGGTCTCCGGTGTCCCATTGGGGTTGGGCGGCAGCTGCGTAGGCAAAGTCATCCGATTCAACAATCGATCCACAGGCCGCGGTCGTAGCTCTGGAGTTCGGTGTGGGCCCCAAGAAGAAGCTTTGGGCGATTCAATCGACGGGATATTTTGCATTGTTTTTGCAAAATCATCCAGTTCGGAGAGCAAGACCGAGGTGATATCACACAAAACTGTTTTCATCGTGGTGGCCTTCGATGCTTGAGGACGAGGCACCCAGAGGACATTCTCCGGCCCATTCGTTAGTTTATCTAGGCCCTCATAATCGAATACCAAAAGTTGGCTGACTAGAGCCCTCGGGCTCGCTTCTTTGGCTGCGCTGAGCTCTTCCAGTAGTTGATCAAGCCCCTCTGGTGTCGGAGGCTTCTCTTTTTCTACCCCCGAACTGTTGGGCAGCTCTGTTCCGTCGGCGATGGCAATTATGACAAGGGGTTCTCGGTAAATTTCAAAGGGGAACAGCTCGAGGTGCGAGGTTGGTGGGACCGAGAAGGAAAGGTCGTATAGAATCATTCCGGTGGGAAATGCGAGCGGCGAGAACATGTCTAGACAAAGAGAATGGAGTTAGTTTTCATTACAGCACTCTACCTGAAAGTCCCTTGTTATTTTGGGGGTATCGGGCCTCTGGCATACTTCGGTTTGGCCGAGCATCGGGACTGATGTCCCCTAATCGGACCACATTCTCGGCTTGAAGTCTGGCGGCGAAACTCAGGAAGCGCGAGCGCTTGATTTTTCCAATTGGAAGCAGAAGCGCTCTCAGGCGCACTGGCGCAATTGGTGATAGTGGGTCGACACCCATCTTGTCATTGGAGAGGAACCGGGGTATAGGTGGTCGGCGATGTCAAGCCCGCATCCACGACAGCCGGCAAGGTTCCTCAAATCATCCGAGAGGGGGTTGGCGGTGAGAGATATCCAGAGCAGTCGAGCTGCAGTATTCAAGACCTGGTACAATCAAAAAATCAACAAGAAGCCCCAACCGGGGGGAATTTCAGGAGAGTTGCCCGACATCTTCGCACTGTTCGACACCGACAACAATCGATAACCGGCTTAGGTAATATAATGCACATGTGGTCGGTATGGTCGCCCGTGCTGGCGGGGAGCTGCCCTGATTACATAACACCAAGATAAGCCTGATAACACATAAACTCCGCAGTCTCGGAGATTCCATTCGCCTTCTCCTGTCGCTTAAGTCTATGACTTCTCTTGCCTTGTTGTCTTTTCCTTCTATTTCTCGCCCAGTTTCTTAATCTGCTTTCAACGTGCTAGACTGTTTCCTCTCCAGCCTGCCAGTTCTCATTTCAATCTGTGTGCACAGTGCATCCCGAATCTCGAGTTTATTTTCGTTGCCTGGGCCGTCGAAGACTTGATCTTTTCTTCCTAGACATGTCATGTCTCATGAGATAAAATAGACGAGAATTTTACTTGAGACACCCTCCACTGTTTGGAATCGCCGGACCTGAATAAGACTCTTCGAGACCTCACAATGTCGATGAACGTGGACTTCAACGCCCTCAAGGCGCGGACCATGGGGTCCGGAGCCGATGAAGAGGCAGTAACAGTGGACACGAGAGGACTGATCTCAAAGGTTCTTGCTCGGTATTCAGGGAAATGGTAGGTTTCCAAGATGTCCACCGTTCTGGGCAGACTTAAGCTGACAGATCTCAATAGGACAGTTTTGCGAGAGATGATTCAGAACGCCGCCGATGCTTCTGCAACCAAGGTGACGATCAAGTTTGAGACCCTCCCATCTACAACAATTCCTTCACCGTCCTCAACCGATCCCACAGCTCTGCTCAAACATACGATCGCCAACCATACCCTCCGCCGTCTGTTGATTTCAAACAATGGCGCTCCATTTAGTGAAAAGGATTGGGCAAGATTAAAACGCATCGCAGATGGTAACCCTGACGAGACCAAGATTGGCGCGTTTGGCGTTGGCTTTTATAGTGTTTTCGATGATTGTGAAGAGCCATTTGTTTCATCCGGCCAACAAGCCATGGCCTTCTATTGGAAGGGCAATGCGCTGTTCACCCGTCGATTAGACCTTGGCGAAACCTCAAATCAGGACACCACCTTTGTTTTGGATTATCGCAATGACTCCTCGCCTATTCCATCGTTGCTGCAACTATGCCAGTTTTTGTCGAGCAGTTTGACATTCGTTGCCTTGGAGGAAATAGAACTCTGGCTGGATGACTGGAATCTTCTACGACTATCCAAAAAGACTGCACCCAGTGTCAGTGTTTCAATTCCCAGAGACATTGAAACCAAGACTGCAGGAGGCCTGATGAAGATTGCCGGTATCACTCGAGAAATCGCGCAGGTCGATGCTGCCTGGATGAAAATCGTGGAGTGGAACCCTCATGCGAGCTTGTTCCGACTTGATAACCTCCGAGATACAACCAGCTCTCTGCGAAGCTTTTTCTCGAAATTCACAGGACCCGGGCCAGAGAAACCATCGAACACTCAGCAACCAGAACGCATCGAGGAGCCGAGCAACATGGCCACTATGCTGACCGCTTCGGTCTTCTTGCACATCAATACTGCATCGATTTTACCGTCAATTGGACGTTCTTTAAGCAAGGAACTTGAACGAGCCACGCGGAAGCCGCCGCCCAAGAAAGCCACCATTGCCATCTTGACCCCTTCATATGATGCTAACATCGCGACTGAAGCATCCTCGTCTCAGTCGGATATTCTTGCGTCGATCCTGCCTTCCAAGGCTGGGAGAATCTTCATTGGATTCCCCACACAGCAGACCACGGGACTGAATGCTCATGTATCTGCGCCGTCGGTGATCCCCACCGTTGAGCGGGAGAGTATCGATCTCAACACCCGATATATCAGTTCATGGAATCTTGAAATGTTACGAGCGGTTGGCATTGTTTGTCGAATTGCTTGGTCTGCGGAAATGGCCACGATCAAATCCAAGTTGTCCTCTAAAGTCGGCTCATCACGCTCCGCGAAGATACGGAAGGAAGATGTTGTGGATGTACTACCTGAAGCTATCCACACCGCGAACCAGTTTGCCTTCCGAGAATCAACTCCATCTTCGGTTCTGGGACAAACTATTGAAGATGCGTTTTGGACGTGCAACCTGAACTCCTCCATCGAGGTTCTCTCTACTTGTGGTGTCATTCCTAGTGTCCAGACACGCATCGCACCCAAGGATCTCAGCTTCATGGACTCGATTCCAGCCTTGCCCGATGAATTCGTGAAAAAAGCTCAAAACTTTGTCAAGAAGTTGACAGATTTCGGGCTCGTCACAGAAATAACGGTGTCAGACATCAAGCGGGAATTGGAGTCCAGTACTCTGCGCTCGAACCAGATAGTCGAGTTTTTGACTTGGCTGGGCCATAAAACAGCTATTGGGCAACTTGACAGGCTTTCAGCCCAAAGCCTACTACGTGTTGCAGTTGCAAATGACGAGGACCAAGAAGGCCACCCAACCCGGTTGATCGTCTTTGCAGACATTACAAGTTTCCTGAATCCGCAGCGCATTCCGGCAGATTTGCCCATACCGCCAGCTGTAGTGCCATTCCGGTTCACCAAGTCTCTTGGCAAGCAGGAGTTAGAAGCGCTGGGATGGATTGAGCTGCAACTCGTCCCGTGGCTTAGCTGGCTCGTGGACAATGCTGGAAATCGAAATGTTCTTCCGGCAGACCAAGATATCACAAAAACTGCACCTTTTGCTGCCCAAGTCCTGCCAGTCTTTTCTAGGCAATGGGAGACCTTGAGTCAGTCTTCAAAGCAGACCGTTGTCACTACGTTGCAACCCAAAACTGTAATCCCCACCAAGCTTGGGATGAAGCAGCCTTCGCAGACATACTTTGCCTCCGTCCGTCTTTTCGATGACTTGCCGGTTGTACACGGTCTGAATGGTGTTAAAGAGAAGCTCTTGGTCGCTCTCGGGGTTCGGAAAACCGTGGAGCTTGGTGTGATCTTTGACCGTCTTATCAACAACCTTGCCTCCAGCGATGCGAAGGTACCTTCGTCGAGGAAATGGAACCATGTCGACCTCATACGATATCTCGCATCTGTGCGGGATGACATTCCTGCGAACGATATCCAGCGACTCAAAAACACGAGCATATGCACTGCCGAGAGTCGGAATGATACTCAGGCCAAGCAAGGAACGCGGTACAAGATCTCTGAACTATATGAGCCGAAGGACTCTCTTCGTGGTCTCGGACTGCCGGTGCTTGAATGGCCGGGTATTTATCATAATGGCAGCAACGAGGGTAGATTCCTCACGATGATGGGCTTGAAGAGCTACCCAGCTGCTTCTGATGTCGTATGGCTCATGACCGCCAGCAACACGGAGAGTGACAGTGGTCGACGAAGCAAAGCCCTGTCATATTTTCTCAGCGAGTACACCACAAACGGTTATGAAAAATACGATATCAGTGTAGTCACCGTCCCTTTTCTGCCAGTCGAGGGCTCCGAAAATCTCAGCGTGCCGAAGAAGTGCTTCACCGACGAGGGCGCGGCGTTGTTTGGTTTTCAGATCCTTCGAAGGAATCTCCATCCCCATGCCTCCAAATTGGGGGTTAAGGCTCATCCTTCCATGGCAGATTGCCTTCAGATTCTCATTCGTCGACCCCCTTCTACCCAAAGAGATGCTCGGGTGATCTTCAAATACCTAGCCGGTAGAGTATCGGATCTGGATTCAAAGGATATCAGTGTGGTTGGCAGCTCTCCAATCATCCCCATCGCGACTAATGACCCGGCCGGGAAGGGTTCAAAGACTCGCTTCGTAACACCCAGGCTCTGCTACCTGGGAGACGGAGAAGACTACAAAGACATCTTCGACTTTGTGGACTTTGGACAAGAAGCGAATCTCTTTCTTATGGCTCTTGGGTCAAAGAGAGAACCCACCAAGAACGAAATCGCACGGATGCTCGTGCGAGAGCCGGCCCGCATCTCCGCGGCGTTCCAGAGCTCCGAGAAATACCTCATGCTTCTCAGGACCTTGGCGGAGCACCTTCCAGTACTGAAGAAGGACAGGGATTTGTTCGGCGAGATGAAGAAAGCACCATTTCTTCTGGCTAGTCGGGACATTCCGACTGATGTACCAGGCCAGGGTGGCAAAGAGAACTCATCTGGAAAGGAGCCTTTTGATGAGGAGGATGATCTGGACATTCGAGAATGGAGCCTTACAGCTGCCAAAGACAGTGTGGTTGTGGATGATTTCCAGAGCTTCAACCTGTTCAAAGAGCACATCCTTGCAGCGCCGCAAGAGGAAGCCCTAGAGAACTTTTATGTTGCTCTCGGAGCAATCCCGTTGAGCAGCCTCGTTGAAGAACAGGCGCGCTTCGGTGGAGTGGCGGCCGATCAAACTCCAGGCGTCAAGTTGCACAAAGTGATTCTCGAACGCGCTCGGCTCTTTTTGCATGACCAGCCAGCAGATTCTGTCCTCCATGGACCCCGATGGCTGGAACAGTCCTTTGGTGTACGTGTGGTGAACTCGATCACCTTGACACGGTCTCTCAAGGGCCGGCGCGTGTCTCACACCCAGAAGCGAAACGCCATCGTTGCCAACCTCGGGAAGAACTTCGGCCTGTGCGTTTGCCCTGGGAAATATGACCTGTACGAGATCAGTCAATCTTTGGTCCATTTGATTTTGACGCGGCCTAAGCTCCACTCCACCCTCACACTGGAAATGCTGCTGAAAACAGACCTGCTTGAGTTGCGTGCACGAGGCTATAACGTGGAGCGCATTCTCAGGCAAAAGGCCCACGAGGCTCGAATGGCCGAGGATAAACGCCAGGCTCACCTGGAAGAAGAGAGGCGTGCCCTGCAGGAGAAGGAATCCGCCTGGGCAGCGGCTCAGGCTCAACATGCCGAAGAGCAATCGGAGACCAAGAGACAAGATTCGATGCCGGGCGTCTTCCCCGAATCGCCCAACAGCAAGGCCGTGGCAGCTGAAGCGCATGCTGAGCCCCCCGAGCCCATGCCAGCTCGGCCGAACCGTGGCTTGTTCGCCAATTTGACGAAACGGTTTGGTCTTGACAATGGACGCTCCGGTTCAAGCTCTGGCGAGTCTCGCTCTCTGCTTCCCGAGTCGTCCACCCCTCCGCCGCCATACTCTGCGGCAGATCCCCAGAAGCCGCGCCCGGAACAGTCTGTCTCGGTCAACTCTCCACACCAACTGCATAACCAGCTCCTCTCTGCCGTCCAGGCCTGTCGACCCCATGGGTCATCCGACGTTTACAGCCGACCAGAGACTAATCAGGTCACTGAAAGTAAGTCGTACTGCGACGAACGGCCTAGTCAGGACCTGGAATTTGTCGCAACGCTTCCGAACGGCGTCAATGTCTTGTTTGTCAAGTCGGTGCCCGAGCGATCTGCCTTTCTCGCCAGCAATCGGACCGGTATCAATCTGTTCGCTTCGATTTTGCTTGACTGTGCATCGATTTTCTCGATGCGTTCCGACAGTATCAGCGTCTTCTACGACCCAGGCGGCAAGACAATTGCGTTCAACCGGGCCGGCAGTATCTTTTGCAATTATTTCTACTTCCAACAACTGCAAGAGCAAGCACTGCTCCAGAGTACGAGCCCCGACCGCACGGATGCCATGATATACTGGTGGGTGATTCTGTGCCATGAACTGGCGCATAACTTGGTTGGAGATCATAGTTCGGCGCACAGCTACTACTCTGAAGGTTTTGTGGCCCAGTACTTCCCCAAGGTGGCGGCCAAAATTGCGACTCTCATGACCAGCCAGTCTTGATTTTTGTGATGAATTTGTGTCAAATACCCATTTTTGCTGTGATGTCCGCGTAGTGTTCTGCTTCTCCATAGTTCCAATAGATTTGGTCACGCTCGCCACCGGCTCCATCCGTTCCGTTGGTACCCGCTTTTTCTCATTATCTCAACTTAACTTCTTTTTCTTCTTTTTTTTCTCGACTTTTTTGCACAATGCTTTGTTAGGTGGCGCCTTGGGTTTGATTTTATGACCGGGGTCTGCACCCAAGCACGATGAAGGGCTCCCGCTGAAATTATCTTCGAGGACCCAAGAGCCAGCACTGCACATGTTGGTTGATCTCGCCACTCTCCACAACGGGAATTAGGAGATGCATGATTTCTGAGATTCTGGGGAAACAGATGATCACGCAGGAAATCCACGCTTGGCTTAGCTTCTTGCCATCTATTCAAGAGGCATATCGCGAGATCACCGTTTCCCTGTCAGCATTCAACGGTGACTCAGTCCCGTTATGGCACCAATGCTGGGGAGTTGGGATGGCACAGGCACCGCACAGCCACGATCAGGGTCCAACGCTGCCTCCTCCGCCCCAAAGCGCATCCTCTATGTGGATGCGTATGATTCATTTTCCTACAATGTGGTCGCCATACTCGAGGAGACCCTGAACGTCAAAGTCACGGTGATGACCATCGATTCGGAATGGCCCAATGGCAACATGAATGAATTTCTCCGGTTTTACGAGGCCGTCGTGCTGGGCCCAGGGCCAGGAGATCCTAACCTGTCAAAAGATGTCGGCGTCATGCGCGACATTTGGAATCTCCCTGACTCAGACTTGCTGCCAGTCTTCGGTATCTGCTTGGGGTTCCAGAGTCTTTGTCTTCATCACGGAGTCCCCATTGAGCGGCTCCCGTATCCACTGCATGGTCAGGTACGTCAGATATCGACGGCCTCGACAGACGTCTTCGAAGGTCTCTCGGCGGTGGAGGTTACCCTGTATCATTCTTTATACGCCAACGCCAGTGCGCCAGCTGAATCATCAGCATCAGACTGTTTAGACCTTTTAGCTTGGTTATCACTTGATGATGGCAGTGCCGCAAAATCGCAAATTCCTATGGCGGTTCGCCATCGGCAAAAGCCCTTTTGGGGTGTTCAATTCCACCCTGAATCATGCAAGTCCCAAAGGGACGCTTGTCGAACGTTGCTCAGGAATTGGTGGAGAATGGTTCTCGGATTCAACAAGATCGCCAATCGAGGAGGCTCTGGAAGTCTCCCGGATGCTACCATCAGTCCTCATGATCATACAAGCTCGTTCCCAGATGCTGCGTACGAAATGTTGAGGTGGAGTGCATCAACATCGGCCTTCTCGGCATTTCGATCACTCGAGAGATCCAGCCTGTCTGTTGAAACAATAAGTGAGGCGCTGAACCAGCCAGGTGCCCCCACGGTTGTGTTTCAATCCAATGGACGTCACAGCATCATCTCCGTCCCGAGTCCTGGCTCTTGGAGGCTGGAATACAGTGTGGAGCTGCAGAATTTGACATTATACCAACTGCATGAGAAAGGCCAAGTGGCTGAGGGTTGCCTTAGAGTGCCTCAGCTGTGGGACGCTCTGCGATATGTGATGGAAATGAAAAAGGTACATTCCGGTCATTCCCAGGTCCCCTTCTGGGGCGGATTCCTGGGCTACTTTTCCTACGAACTGAGTCTTGCATGTCTTCCTCATCCCAAAGGATCACCGCAATCATCCTATGAACATCCCACCACAAACCGCGCGCCACCAGATACTTCCGCTGAAGATCTACCGGATGTCAGTTTATTATGGTGTGAAAGAAGTATCATTGTGGACAACAGCACTGGCAACATTATCATCCAATCCACCGCTGAACCTGACCACCGCCCTGCCGGCTGGTTGGATGAGACATTACAGTTACTACAAAATCATTCGAACATCCCCAACGAAGAAGACTCTGATAGGTCGTTTTTGGACTCAATACTCCGCGAAGGGAAGATCAGTTACCCTGAGGAAGGGAATTATAAAGAACAAATCGACGCTTGCAAGGCGGAATTGGAGGCCGGGGAATCCTATGAGCTGTGTTTGAGTTGCGAAACCTCTATCAACTTACCAACCCCAACCACAAAAAATGACCGCGCCGTGTTTCCATGGAAGCTCTATAAGCGACTCAAGAAATATAATCCCGCTGCATTCAGTGCCTTCGCCACTTTGGGCAACGTCAAGATTCTCAGCAGCAGCCCGGAATCCTTCCTCAGTTGGGATCGTGAGTCGACTTTGGAGATGAAACCGATGAAAGGCACAGTCCGCAAATCACCCGACATGTCCATGGAGAAGGCCAAAGAGATTCTGGGTTCGACTAAGGAGATGGCCGAGAATCTAATGATCGCCGATCTCATCCGGCACGACCTGTACGGAATCTGCGGGCCTGGAGGGGTTCACGTCGAGAAACTGCTTGAAGTCGAGGACCACGGCCGAGTATTCTCGATGATCACCCATGTCAAGGGCGAGGTCAGACCCGATCGCCTTGGGGTCGCCGTGCGGCACATGCCCCAGCTAAAATCACCCAATATGGCCGTACACGGCCTCACGGCTCTTCAACGGTGCTTGCCTCCTGGCTCCATGACAGGTGCCCCCAAGGAGCGCTCCTGCGTGCATCTTAAACGGATTGAAGCTCGGAAGCGCGGCATCTACTCCGGAGTAATGGGCTTCCTGGACCTTGGTGGAGGTGGGAGCTTTTCGGTCATGATTCGGATGGCATTCAGCTGCAGCGTCGACAACCGCGATGAGAACTGCCGGCAGACCTGGCGGATCGGCGCCGGCGGTGCCATCACCACTCTCAGCACGACCGAGGGCGAGTGGGACGAGATGTTGACCAAACTGCGCACGGTCTGCACAGTCTTCACGCCAACGACCTAACCTGAGATTTTGTACCATTTTTGCATCTTCAACATCTGAAACCATCAGGTAGAAATGATCTGCCAGGGATTCGATTCAACATTCAGCGCAGGTTGGGGGGTTTTTATAGATCGTAGCCCATATGCAAACATGCTAAACATCTTTTTCTCCGCACTTTTGTCTCGCAAACACTCCCATGTACTCCTCTTCTTCCCTTCTTTGCCCATTCGGAAAGCCTGTCGCAATTGGGAGCGACTTGCATTCTTTCTGCTTGTGCCCCGGATGGCGGGCCAAGACGCCTCGATGGAGGAGATCCTCTGGCGGTCCCCGCCGCACGTCCAGATGATGGGCGGGTATCTTCACTCCAATAACAGTAAGCTACATAGCTCCCCTCATTGGGACCAGCGTTGGTTCTGACCTTTTCTTCTTCTTCTTAATTTACCTGCAGTCCTCTTTTACTTTGCCGAATCTCCCTTCTTTGACCCTACCTCGAACAATGCCTCACTCGCCATTCAAGCCAGCTACAACGACGCCTTTCGGCACTTCGTCGAGACGCGCGAAGCCTTCGAGGGTCGACTGAAGACTATGCAAGGTCTGGAGTTTGTGGTCGCATATGATCCCTTACAAGCAGCGGCGCAGTCCGACACTCGCTTCGCTCATGAACCGTCCAACGTCTGGGTGATTCGAAAACAGAACCGACGGACACGAAGCGGGCTGGACGACGAAGTAACAGTGATCTCGACCTACTTTGTGGTCGGTGATTGTATTTACATGGCACCGTCGGTCGCCAGTGTGGTGGGAAATCGAATTGTACGTCCTTTCCCGCGGCGTGCTTCGACTGCTATCTCCATATGTGTTCATAGCTAATGGGTTTCTTCACTGCCAGCTCTCGGCTGTCACCTCCTTGTCACGACTCATGAAAACTGCGTCGACATTACCTACCTTTACTCCGGCGTACGGACATACCTATATGCCACCGATGGCGCGCGCCGCAGACTCCAGTCAGCAGGCATCGCAGCAAAGCAAAGAGAACACACCCATGCCGGATGCCCCCGCGCCGGCCACCGAAACACCGGCCGGTAAAGCTGGCCTGGACGTCTCGACAACCAGCTCTAGCTACCAAGACACGCGCAGTCTGGCTGAAGCGTTCAGTCTATTCACCCACTACGGGGATGAGTTTATGGACGATAATCCATTGGTGGGCGAACCTGGTTCTTTTATCTTGTCGCGGACCGGCGGCGACCAAGACCGTTCGATTGGCGCCGCCGCCAAACCCGGGTCCAAGCTGGCGCCGAATGCGACGGCCGGGAATACACCTGCTGGGGCTCCCGGGCGGGCGTCCACGCCGCAGGTGCGAGTCGAGACACCCGGGAAAGTGTCAGATAAGAGCAGCTCGCCGCCGAGCTCGGGCGAGAACAAGGGGAAGAGGAAGAAGAGCCGGGTCGCAAGCTGATTTGCATTCATGATACCCTTGCATATGATTTTCCCGGGGGGGCGTTTTCTGCGGAGTACGAGCTATACATTTTGAGAGGTTCCTTAGTAAAAAGTATTTCCTGCTATTATTCCTTCAGATCGCAGGTGATCCTGTCTGACTCACTTTTCATCGTGGCCATCTGGAGCCTGTTCATTGGCCCTGCGTTGTGTAACCGCCTGTAACCGCCTGGCAGACTCGACTACGTGGGGATTATCTCTTATCGTCTCCGGTCAGCCCTGCTCTTCCTTCCAACATCCCAGTCTTTTTCACCTTTTTTCTTTTCTCCCAGCCAGTGTATACAAAGTCCGCTGAAGGGCTCTAAATTATAATACGCTCTATTATCGGAATCCAACATCATGCCGTCTGACGCCAAACCAGCCGTGGTCTGCGTCTTGTGAGTCACCCCTCCCCCACACCTCGACATTTCGAGTCTGGCGCAAGCCCCGGTCTCTAGTAACGAGCATCGGAATTGGACGCAGAAAGAGTAAAAAACGAAATATATTTCAAGCGACTCAAGCTAACACTCGAGTGATTTAGCTGCGGATCCACGGCAGGCAACAACCCAGTGCATATGGAAGCAGCGCGGACACTGGCCCACGAATTCCACAAGAACAACGTGCAACTAGTGTACGGCGGAGGCACAACCGGCCTAATGGGCGAGGTGGCACGCACACTGGTCGCGCTGTCGGGGCCAAAGGCCGTGCACGGAGTCATCCCGCAAGCGCTGGTGAAGATAGCCTCGAGCACGAATGGGCCCGACTCCCCGGAAGCGCACGCGCCAGCCGCGGCGGGTGGCAAGACAGCCGAACGGGTGGTGTCGTCGTCGGATGGAATCCCGGAGTCGGAGTACGGGGTGACGACAGTCGTGCCGGACATGCACACGCGCAAGCGGCTGATGGCGACGAAGGTGCTGGAGGGCGGGCCCGGGTCCGGGTTTGTGTCGCTGGCGGGCGGGTTCGGGACTATCGAGGAGGTTATGGAAATGACGACGTGGAACCAGCTGGGGATCCACCGGGTCGGGGTCGTGCTGCTGAATATCAATGGCTACTGGGATGGGTTGCTGGCGTGGGTGCGCAATGCGGTGCAAGATGGCTATATCAGTGCCGACAATGGGGGGATTTTGGCTGAGGCCCGTGATCCCACTGAGGTGTGGCCTACGCTGTTGGCGTATCGTGTCAGCAATGGTCGGATGCAGCTGAACTGGGGACAGGAGTGAAATTCCTTCCCTGCTTGTGGGTGCTGGCTTGTGAGGCTCGACGTCTGATACATATACATAGCTCGGTGGGTATGACAGCGAGTAGATATTTTATAGAAGGCAACTCTTACGAGTTAACGATTGACAATCTCCGAGTCCCATTAAGCGGATTCATGTCTATGCGCATCATTAGAACCCTCCCCATACATTAGGAGTCAACCTCCATCGACTCGCCCTCCCCTGCACCGGACGATTCAGACTGCTCCAAAGCTTCCAACAGCGGCACAGTCTCCTGGCCCTCATACAACTTGAAGCTTTCCATTCTGCCCTTGGCACCCGGGGGTGCGAGGCCGACCACTCCGACTGAAGTGTTGTCCACCGTAAGCTCCTTATCCTGCGACAGAGTCTCCTTAAGGGCGCGCAGGCCGTGCAAAATCAACTCGTCGCGGCTAGAGTCGGCGAACTTGTCGAGATTCCGCTCCAGGTACGTACGGGCCATCTGCGAGCGAGCCCCGATGGCACAGGCAGCCATCTCGTACGTAATGCCCGATGGCTGGAACTCAAACAGGTGCGGGCCGGCCTCATCCACCCCGGCCACTAACAAGCCCACACCATACGGCCGCTTCCCGTAGTGCTGGGTGTTGGTCTGCGCGCGGTCGCCGATCTGCGTGACGATGCGGTCCAGCGGGATTGGCCGCCCGTAGGTCATCTTGGAGCCCAGCGATTGCTGTTTCATGAAGTTCGAGAGGACACGGGCGTCCGAGGCGAGCCCGGCGATGGCAATCGCCATGTGCGAGTCAATCTCGATGATCTTCTTCTGGTACGACGACAATTCTTCTGCGTTGCGCTGGGGTGTACAATGTCGACATCAGCGTTTCAATTTCCCTCGTGCCCCGGTTCTCCGCGAAGTTGTTTCCATCTGGACGTTGGAGCATACCTTCAGCCCGACCAGCACGGTATGTGTCTTATTCACCAATCCCACCACCACAGACCCTTGCTTCACAGCTTCCTGTGCATATTCCACCTGGAAGATACGACCCTGTGGAGAGCTGTTCCCGGTTTCGAGTCAGCAAGGTGCTTCGGAGGGAGGTCAGGTGGAGATCTTACAAGGTGACGGCGTCGTTGTCGTAGTTATTCCTGAACATGATGGATCGGAGGAAAGGATCAAAGAATAGGAGAAGTGAGGATAATGAGGATGAGGATGAGGAGAAAAAGCAAAAGCACGAATCCGAGGGGAAGCTGGAGATGGAGATGGCAGGCAGTAAGGTGACGCGGTGTGAAGCATGAGCTCTGGCTGCCTGAGGCCCCCACACCCAGTGACCGTCAGGCGCCAACGTCACTCATTCTCCGCGCTCCTCCTCCGCCTCGACGTCGATGGGGTTGTCGCTGTTGCACTGAACTTGTGGTTTCTGATTTTCTCAAGCTACCGATTACTCTTCTTCCCTATCAATTTCATCGATCAAGGCCAGTGCTGGCGTCTCCGCAACCATGGCGGCTGGATTGAAGACCATCATCGCGCTTTCATTTGTACGTTGAACTGGCAGGACTCATTCCCGCGATTGACCAAAATTCCTTTTGCTAACATCTGCGCTAGGTTCTTGCGATTGGTTTCCTCCTTGTTATTCTCTCCTCGGCGCTCTGGCACAAGTACTGGCCTCTGTTGGTCGTCGCCATCTATGTCATTGCGCCCCTCCCCAACTGGATTTGCGGACGATGCGCAAATCCTGATGACTTCATGGACAGCTCCAGTAACTCAGCGATGGACTTCGGGCGATTTTTGACGGGATTTCTGGTCTTGACGGGCATTGGTGAGTCACTTGTCCTTGTTGGCCACGGTCCCTTTCGTGGGAACTTGATCTCCTTGCAACCATTAGGTTACAACACCGCCAAGGAGTTATATCTCTGCAGTATTTGTTTAGCTGCCTCTGTATCATCTTGCTGACCGACCTCTTCTCCCTAGCACTCCCTGCCGTCCTTGCGCACAGCGGTGCGATTGAGATCCCGGCTATGGTGATGTCGATTTTGGGAGGTCTGTTGATTTACGGAACGATCATCAGCTTTTCAGTGTTTTTCCAAGAGCAGGAAGAGTTCTGATTGTTGAAGGTTGGGCTAGGCGCGTGGGGTGCCAGGAGCTATTCCGGGCGGCCACACCTGGCCTCGGCGGGTAATCAGAAGGCTTCTATGACGATCTCGTTTTTGTGCTTGTTTTGATTCCGATGTATGCGCGATATGCTTTGTTTGAGCGATGTTGGGGTGGAAGGCCTCGTTTTCCTCGCTCGGCGGCTCTAGCGCCTCCTTGGCTTTGATACTCCCGGTGTACTATACCACGATGGATATAGAAAGTGCAACTGATGTTTTCACGACGACCGTACTATTTCAATCCAGCTGTCACTTTGTCTTAGTTTCCCTCGTCAACATCGATGTAGATATCACGTGATCACGCGCGAGTCCTGCGCGTCGAGGCATCACACGTCGAGCAGCTCAGACATGCAGCTTAGCTACAGCACCACCGACGCTGGAACCATGAATTAACATGCGAAGAGTTTCTAGTTGTTAGTTTTCAATATGAGTCTCTGGTCAGGGTCCATCGCCTTGGATCCGGATCGTCACTTGGAAGGTAAATCGTACGCTCCTCACGATCACATCACCGTTCTTGCTGACCCGCAATCAGGGATTGAACTAGTCGATCCAAACTCCCACTGGCAGTCCGATATTTCCAAAGAGGCGAACCTAAACCTTCGAAGTTTCGTGAACCCGGCCCTCATTCCTCTCCATGCGCGAGCCGGTCCCAATCTCGAGCTACACACGAATAGTGCGGGGACGGCGCAATGGTTCCAAACCAAAATGACCGGTACCATTTGGCTTGGTGAAGATGAGTTGGATCTCCACCAGTCACTTCAATGCCCGGTCGGTCTGCTGGTTAGTGTCGATGGCAGCACCACCAAGAAAACAGGAGCGGTCACATCGGATCTGTTGGTCTACGGCGTTATCTCGAACGCGACATCCTGTGCACGCCCACCTACGCCGCCACATTCGTCACCTTCCGAGGTCAACAACCAATCTAATATGCCACCGGGTAGTTCGCATGAGTTGAGGATATACGCGGCGCCGCTATCAACATCTCTCCTTACCCAGGCGCAGGCATTCCCATCACCGCCGCCCAGCTCCAACGAAGAGCACTCCGCCAACCATGCCCGCTGTGCCGAGTTTCTCCCGGACATCAGCTCGCCAAGTCCGAAGCGGAAGCGGGTGGCTACCCTGTTTGAAGTTGCGGCCCAGCACCACCGCCGGGTACGACAGAAGGGCGGCGAGGCCGTCTCGCAGCTGATGGCGCCCTCACGGCCGCTGTCCTCATCTCAGAACCTGCAGTCCCTCCGCATCAAGCGCGAACCCGAAGAAGAACAGCCTAGTCTTCCCACTCTTGACCGGCTTGTGTCGCACCGGTCACGGTCCGTATCGATCGGAGCCAATCTGCATCGTCCAGGCAGCACGCGCGGAACACGGGCAACCCCGGGACCTATTGCAGACCCGCAGAAGCATGCGCCGACGCCGAACTCATTCCTTGAACCCAGTGCTCGCCGAGAGCAGCTGACGCAACAGCAATCGTCTCTATCCTCGGAAGAGAAGGAGAAACCCTCTTCCACTCCCAGCTCACCGTCCAATAACACTGAGACCACTATTGCTGAAAACAAGAAACTCATTACTCGCACCATTCTGACTTGCATGCGGCTTTACGGCTTCCACCGCACAAACCCGCGGTCTGCGTCTAGTAAACCCTCCTTGGCAGGTCCAGCAGCCGATGCGGACCCGGACACGTCTACGGGGACTCCGGCAGCTGAGGGACTTCGCGCCGAGACGCCAGCCCCGGCGCTCCCAGCCGATGATGATGAGTTTAAAGCTATGTACCATGCAACCTACAAGGCAGCCGCCTTTGCACTGCGCAAGTTTCTGAAAGAGTCACCAGCTGCCCCGGGATCCACGCCGCCTTCATTGCAGAAAGAGAAAGCTATGGCTTATATCGATGAGTTTCTGCGGCTGTTTTGCGAGGAGCATTAAGACTGGAGGTATCACGACTTATTGACTGATGTATCTTTTTTGGGTGCGAATGTGCATGCATTTGTATTGTCGAGCGACTTTCTTTTTTTGGGTTTTATAACTAATCACTATGGGCGTTGTTGCAAGGGATGGTTCCCATGACAGGGCAATTTGATATGCGATTTTAATTAAGGCATATTACGAAATTCGATATTCTTACCGGAAAATCTCTCGAGGATGACCTCAATTTCTACAACAATAGGGGACTACCCTCGGTAGGTAAAATCGAGCAACCCAAATCGATTGATGCTAGAGCGCCAACTGAGACAAAATATAAAATCCATGCGTGTCGTTCCCGGAAGCAATGTCCATCATTTCAAAGGTGTAGAATACAGAAACAAGCCACACTCGACACCAGTCGCGTTCACAGCGCGAGGTTGTAGGTGTAGTCGTCCTCCATGTTCTGCGAGACCCAGAGAACCACAGAGCTAGAAGAATCAATTAGAACATGAGTCTTCTCCAGGGAGGGCAGCAAGCAATAGAACATACCTCAGCATAACCAAACTGTTCGCGACAACATTCGCAATGCCAAAGTACAGCGTTTGGATCGGGTAGTCTTTGATGAGATACTTGAGGACCATGACCGTCTGGAAGATAAATAGGTGAGATGGGCCCACAAAACCGACATCAATCATTAAAGATGATGGAAAAGAAAAGTAGAGGAAATGAGAAGGAAATAAATCAATAAACATACCACACTCCCCGCCAAACCGCCTGCCAGTAACGCAAAGCCCAGGAACAGCACGAACCGCGCCTTCCAGGCAACCCCGCTCCCGCTGTAGCTGAAGCTATCGGCCTGCAGTCGCGACTTTTCAATTGAGTTGATGACCAGCATACCCAGCGCCGAGCAAATACCCGGGATCCAGTCGATGAACTTGATGTGGACGTCGGAGCCGTTGCGCGGGCTGCGGGAGAATGCCGCGACGTCAATGAGGAAGAAGAAGCCTGCGGCGAACTAAAAAGACAGTTCATCAGCTGTATGCTCTGCAGTGTCATTTATATATGTCCTGGGGTTGCAATCATTGCTGACCCCGAAATCGCAGTCGCGGTGGGAGGTCACTCACCAGGGCACCGGCGGTGTAGACCCCGGAATTGCGGACGGCAGAGTTGTTGAGCCATTCAGGCTTGGACCAGCGGAAGAGACGGTTGTTGGAGACGTCCATGGAGGGTGGTGGTGCGATAAGCGCGATGAGGGAGCTCTCACTCAGTGGATGGGCAATGACGATGCCTACCGGAGAAACATCGGGCCGATCTTCTCTATGCTTTCCCATTTGGGAAGTACATTCCTCGTGGCTTGTTTTACTATGAACAGTCTTATTTTGAGGGAATCAACACTTGGATGTGATTTCATTTGTTTCTTGTTAAGGTGTTTCTTGGAAAAGAATAGCTCTTGACATAGACTTTCTTTGGATCTGAAATTCGCCACTGTCGATGAAAGAGAAACCTAATCCTCTACCTCGGTATATGCATTGATATTGGAAGGTTGAGCAATAACTACAGTTCTAAAACGATTAGCCATATATGCGTAAACAATCATCCCTAGCATATCAATCAAAGGTGGCAAGGCGAACAATGGACTATGACCCGTCGACACCGGATTTTACCGCGGACATGACTGGTGGCTGAACTCTACACTTCCAACTCCGCTCTTGGTACGGTTTTTCTTTTGAGGTGCATACCATTTTTAATTGGGAGATATATCTTAGCCCATCTGTCATATTTTCCTCTGTTTTGTCTCCCTGCAGAACAGCTTTCGAAGCTCTCGAACATGGTTCCTCCCATCAACCTCATTGCTCCTCGAACATGCCATTGCAAGATGTCGGGAACAGCTTCAAATTCAAGCCCTCACGTCCTGTTACCTACGTGGTAACTGCAACTCTTGCCATCGCTCTCTACAACACGATTGAATTGACCTTCCTTCTTTTCCTGACCTTCAAACGCCACAAGGGGCTCTATTTCTGGAGCTTCTTAGTCGCCACATGGGGGATATCCATCTACGCGATTGGTTTCATCCTCAAAGACTTCGTCCTGGCGAACAGCTACTTGTCCGTCACCCTGATCATCATCGGCTGGTGTGCGATGGTGACGGGCCAGTCGATGGTGCTTTATTCTCGACTCCATTTGATCGTGCAACAGCGGAATACCTTCCGGCTGGTTCTCGGGATGATTATTGTCAATGCGATCATCCTCCATATCCCAGTTATCATCCTATGCTATGGCGCCAACTCGACCCACTTCCGCGATTATGTCTTGCCGTACGCGATATATGAGAAAATCCAGGTCACGCTGTTTTTCATCCAGGAGTCCATCATCTCGGGCATCTACGTGTACGAGACATGCAAGATGCTGCGAGCGGGAGCGGGAATGTTCCTCGACGAGCTCCATCAGGAGGCGACCCGACGGCTGATGCTGCACTTGATCTACGTGATCATCATTGTCGCGTTGCTCGACATCAGCATCCTGGCGCTGGAGTATGCAGGTCGCTTTACCGCACAGACAGCAGTCAAGGCGCTGGTATACAGTGTGAAACTGAAGTTGGAGTTCGATATCTTGAACCGGTTGGCGGATCTGGTGCAACGGCCCGACGAGGTGCTGTTTGTGTCCGAGTCTGGACGCAACTATCCGGATGGCACAAGCCATCAAACTCGTGGAGTGGTTGTTCACCATCGTCGGTGCGGTTTCTGGGGCGTATGGGTCGACAGAGTGACGCATACCATTGCCAGGTCGGTATCGAAAGGGTTCATCCGACCTGCGCGAACGACCCACAAGGAGGTTGTGACCATCAGCGAGCAGAACCGAGTGTCTACTACAGTAGCGACGGAAAGAGTGGTGCAAATTGCACATCACCCGCTTGCTGATGGGAGGCAAGACTCGCTGGCTGGTAGTATGGTAGATCGGTCGGATGGAGGATCGATAGTTTAGATCTACAAGTATATATGCGCAGTCTTTAGTAGTGCTCTATGGCAGTGCGCCCAAATTTAGCACACCCACCCTCAAGGTTATATTCCTATACATTTTGATGCTTTGGGCTCATGGTCTTGCCGTAGTTTTAAAATGTATTTTCATTGAATTTTTTATTGTGCACGTCATTCTGCAGCGTAAGATCTCAATCATGGATGCGATTCCCACACCGTTATTTATTTCCCGGGATCTGATGTGTTTCCTCGGTGCTCATTCCCGAATTTTTGTCGATGAGCAGTTTCTAATAGTCCAGTATGCAACACACTCATGGCTAGTAAATTCCCTCGAATGATCTTATTTTCATCTTATTTTCCAGCGTCGATCACGGCAAGGCGCAGTCACAGCGATGATATCATCAATTGGGGGTTGAGGCTCATCGGGTTCTTAATCTTCCGAATCTTGGGGAATCTCCCCGTCTTCTCCCCTCCCCAACGTCTGTGCATATCACAGTGGACGGGTCCAAATGGCCAAAATAGACGAGGCAAAACGGATCAGGGCTAATCACCACAAGGTTCGTACAGGCTGTTTAACTTGCAAGTATGACCCCTGACCGCTAGCGTGCGGATCGGATCCGCAAATCGGTATTTTGGCGTAAGGCTGCTTTGCTCACAGCTGTGTAGGGCTCGTCGTAAGAAATGTGATGAAGCTCGCCCCTCTTGCCGCCGGTGTATTGATAGCGACCGGGTATGCGATGGATATGAATCTCCCGAGCCAAAGGCCCGATCTGCCAAAGGAGTACCCCAGAGGGCCGTCAGTCAGTCTCGTACCGGTGCCATTCAAGCCCAGACGGGGCATTCCTTCAAAATCCCCAATTGTTTTTTAGCTTCTCTCGTTGACGCGAGCCAAATTGACTTGACGCCGAGGGAGCGCTGGCATTTAAATGCTTTCCGTACCTATACCTCGGCGGAATGCGCTGGCTACGTGCACGACGAGTTTTGGCAGCGATTAGTCCATCAAGTCAGCGAAGAGCAGCCAGCAATTCGTCATGCGGCAATTGCGATCAGTGCGCTCCACAGGCGATTTGCACTCGACGCCGCCGGCCGTGAATTGGAACCTGAGTCCCAAGATGGCCGGGATAGTCTATTCTCGCTTCGACAAGGCAGCAAAGCTATCGCGCACCTTCGGCAAACCCTGACGAAACATCCTTATGCTCCCCGTGGCAGTACTGAGACGGCGTTAGTCGGCTGTGTCCTTTTGGTGTCGCTCGCCTCTCTCCAGCAGGACGAACGGACCGTCTGTCTCCACTTACGATCGGGCTACAAGCTACTGGAAGAGTGGCAGAAAGTCAACTTTAACGATAGCCCTGCTGGCCCAATTTTACTCCAAACATTTGCCCAGCTGCATTTAAACCAGTCGACCTTCACCGACCCTGTCAAATACATGACCAATGAGTCAACCTCGCTTGCCTCCCTCGTTACCAACAACCCCCAGATCTCCGGGACGATTGACAACACAGACCCAGGGAGCGACGCAATGGTGATTCTGGGGTGGATAGTCTCTCAAAACTGCCCACAGGGATTCGAGCTGGACATGAGCCCGGCCACGTCAGTTCAGACTCAACAACCTACGGTTTTCAGCAAGCTCCAATTCTGGCGCAGCCAATTAAGCAGCTTCGTGTTAAACCACTCGAGCGGATTATTACAACGAGACTACGATGCACTGAAGCTAGTCGAACTCTGGTGTGAGATCACCCATATCATGGTCGTCATGGCCAGCCAACCCGGTCAAACGGAGATGGGCTACGACGGCCTTTTGTCGCACTTTCAATGGGTCGTTTATTTGGCGGGATTTTTGATTGAATCCAGCTCGCCCCAGCCGGCCACGACTGGATTCTCTGCCAAAATTGGGGTTATCCCCGCTCTTTTCTTCTGTGGCCAGAAATGCCGCGATTGGCACCTGCGGCGCGAGGCATTGCGTTTATTGCGCAGCAAAAAACGCCAAGAAGGTATTTGGAGATCCTCTGATGCAGCATTGGTGCTGCAGAAGTTGATTGACGTTGAATCGGAGGGTGCTTGCCCCGAGATGGTGATTCCCGAGCCGGCTCGTCTCACCGCTATAGATATCAACATCTTTCCGGAGAGCTCCCAAGTCCTATTTTCATACCAACGACCGCGAGTCCCAGACCCCTGGGAGAAAGATGCTGGTCGATTCTGGGAGAATGTCTTGCTCTCACATTGAAATTGGCACAGGTCTCGCTGGTCGGTGGCTCTTAACTATGCATTATACGATTATACCCGAGCCTTGGCCAGTCTATCTGAATTCACATAGCGATCCGCCGACTCGATCGTCCAGTGGAGTCTAGCATGTTTTGTTGACCGAACATCACTTAACCTTTCTTTAGACACAGGTTGTGTCTCAAGGGAGATTATGGGGCTGTCTGCTACATCCCTGACAATAGCCAGATGGTCGTACATTTCTCATTTCTCTTGTTCATCGGTTTCAGTAACAAGTTAAAAACCATTGGCCCCAATCGCAAATCTGCTATTCAACGCTCTTCCCACCATCACCATCCGCATGGTCCCTTCCGCACTCTCCATCAAGAGCCGGTCCGCCTCGTCAATTGCCTCGGCCAAGGTTGACGGGCGCTGCAAGATAGATGCATACGCACTAATGCCAACGCCATAATATCCAGAGCCGTGGCGAGAATTTCCGTCTCCTGGGGCGTCACACCCTTCTGAGGTCCATAGACATGGGCAACATCGTACGGCCCACAGAGAGCATTCTGCCAGTTGCAGACGACCTCGATGCAAGTCCGTTTGAGACGGGGATCAAGACCCGAGACATCGATACCCGCCAGCGAGATCAAGCTCTGTCCGCCGCCAGCCTGCGGGATCTCCTTCCCATTGGAATCAATCAGCCGGGCTCCCAGAGCCTGCAGCATGCCCGCACCGCCATCGCTGGTCCCCGAGTTGCCGCATCCAACAATGATTGATCTTCTGGATTGTCTCCATTGCCGACGGCGTGGTCCAGCTCCTAGCCTTTTGCTTCCTGAGCGAGACCTACGCACCAACAACCTTGGCGAAGAAGAAACGAAAGTTGCAGAAAGAGACCGGAAAAGATCACCTGTACACAGAACATGACAACCCGGACCACACCCTCGGCCAGGAGCTGCGCAAGAATCTGGTTCGGCCGTTCAGGATGCTCCTCACACAAACAGCTACCCAGGTTCTTGCATTGTATCGCGGCTACCAATATGGTCTGATGTATCTTGTGAGAGTGGCGTGTCAATCTCGGAGAATTACATACCAGAGAAAGCTTATACTAAATTCAGCTTGGCATCTTTCCCCTTATTGTGGGAGGATGTCTATCGAGAAGACACGGGCACAGCCAGTTTGAACTATCTCTCTCTTGGGATCGGGTTTGTACTCGGGCTTCAATTCAGCGGCCGTGTGTTCGACCTAGTAAGTTCTTTCAAATCAACACGCAAAGGGCGAACTAATAACCATTCTCTTCCCAGGTATACATCCGGCTCAAAAAGTATTATAAACATGACGATCGACCCGAGTTCCGCGTCCCACTGATGGTACCAGGCGGGCTGTTAGTCCCAGCCGGTCTCTTCATCTACGGCTGGATAGCGCAGTTCAAACCCCATTGGATTATCCCCAACATCGGGGCTGCGATCTCTGCCTTTAGGCTCATTATCTCTTTCCAGTGTGCGCAGACCTATGTCGTGGATGCTTACTCGCGGTACGCAGCTAGTGCGACGGGCACGGCGGCTTTCGTGCGGACGATTGCTGGATTTGCATTTCCTCTTTTTGCAGACAGTCTATATAAAAGTCTGGGGTTGGGCTGGGGAAATAGCTTGTTGGCGTTTGTGAGCCTGGGTCTGGGGGACTGTAGCTCCGGTGTTGTGGTTTTATGGCGAGTGGTTGAGGTCCCAGAACACGTATTGTGCCGGCTAGGGCTGAGAGGTATAGGTATGCGATGTGTACTGTGATATACTACGAAGCCATGGCTCATGTATCTATTGACACTTTTCTTCACGAGTGAAAAGGATGCTTCTATGGATCTTGTCGCTTATAGATACATTCTTTGTAGGCTTTAGCTAAGGGTCTATACACAATGCACCCTAGTACTATTCAATTAAACCATTGATCTTCTTATGAGTTGCCAATAGAGAGTTTCGTATCCATCAATTCAATATTATATCTAGGGCCTGCCCCTCGTTCCGTCACTTTATCCACTCTACTACTCATGGGACTCCCGCTACATCTCCAATATCAATTATTTCAATTGACGTAAAACTGCCACCTAAGTACAACCCCTAAGTAGGCGTAAGCACATTATGGTACATGACCGCATAGTGTCCCTCGTTCTTAACATTGAGTTCCCCAGATTTACTCGTACAGAGCCAGCTCCCTCCACTGACAAAGTAAACATAGTGGCTATAGCCGTCGGTCTGTCTTTCCCATGCAAGAACGGCATCCGATTTGTTCGTGATTTCGTGGTCAGGCTTCATCACCACCCAGTGGCCCGACCGACACACAAACCGGCCGGCATCATTATGGAGATACATGCCAGCGTCAACGACTTGATCCTTGCTTCTTCCCCTCCCCTCCACTCCCATTTCTGTGGACCGGAGAAGATATCCAGGGCTCCATAGAGCTTTCGTTTGACCCCAGGGATTGTGGAGGACGGGGCCGAGGTTCGTCACATTTACAGTATGTGGTGGACAGGCCAATCTACTAAACGAAGCTCAACGACGCCGAATGACTCAGAAATGTCACGCAAGTGCATGTTCGAGGGTCATCACATCCTGGACCGTGTATCTCGAGAGACCCACTGATTTTCAGCTCGAAAGCTCGACATTCTGGCTCCAGAGGGTTTGTTGTGGAGTCAGTCATGGACATGACGCGAGGTCAGTGCATCCATGGCGGGCATCATAAACATTCCATACCCCGCTGTCAAATTTGTATAACCAAATGAGGTTCTCATTTTGTCTGCAAGCCTTTGGCTTTTGGCAGGCTCCCAAGAAATCCATAGTAACGTCATGGCAAATCATAAGCCTAGCCTCAACACAGGATCATATGGTACCATAGATATTTGCCAATGGCACACACAGGTGTGAGTACTGATGATACCGAGGATATTCCTGAGAGTAATGAGTATGTAGAAACCAAGGGCAAAAGATAACAGAAACATACTTCACACCAGAGCGTGGAATCCCGGATTGTGTTTTCGGGCTGGACAATGAAGGGGTCCGGGGCATGGAGCAAGGAACTTGCTCTGACATTCTTGTTCGGCATCGGCCATAGCGAAATAAGTTCTTCAAGAACGTTATCAAACTCTTTTAGATCACCGAAGAAGGTTATGATAGAGAAAAAAAAAATGACGCATATACGAACATGGAAGATGGACTCTGATGGAAGGTGGACGAGATGTTGATCGGGAGGTAAGCAGCGGAGATACCCCGTATCGTAGTTCAGTCGTGCAAGATACGCATCTTTTGGTGAGCTATACAGGTGACTTGAGTAGACGCCCTCGAGCCAAGAACTGTGTACATCAACAGTAGCAACGACAGTGACTCCAGAACTCTGTCAGGTAGGATGAAGCAAAGTGACATTGGCAGGGAGCTGGAAGGGACTGGGTGGCTGCATACGCCAAGTGTCAAGATGGTTCATGTCAACTTGGAAGCGAGGCTCAAAATTCTACATCGACTTCATGTCTTGTTTACGTGGTTCATAGGTTTTACTTGGATTTTTGTCGGAAATCCTTCTGCCTCTGTCAATCTCACCTGCACTCTGGAGACGTCATCCACTAGGCAGACCAAAAGAAAAAAACAAATCAGGCAGCAAAATCTACTCTACTTCCAGGATTTACAGAATCTAAAGATGCGGAACACGCGAGTTTCAAATATAACCATGTGGTCTTTGGGGTATCATCTCGCCTGGCAGAGCCTCGCTAGGCTGCAGGTGATGGCAGATTATCGGTACAGTAGTCCAAGTATGTACATATCAGGAAAAATCACTGATCCTGAATTGAATCAAGGCTGTCGCACAATTCTGAGAGGCAGCCGAGTATAACTGAAGCCTGGGAATCCTTCCGGGCGTGGCGCATCAAGGGATGGCATCAGCTTCAAGTGGCCATTGCGAGGCCTTGCGTCGGTCCTATCACGCAGGCGATTTCATCCAGGCACCAAATGCGCCAGTAACCTCTGCGTTGGCAGACACCAAGGCCGAGTCGAACCGGGAATGCGCGGCGTCAAACCGCTATTGTGTTGCCTCAATAGACACACTATTCTAGGAACTTGGTCCACTCATGATCCGGTTCAATCATGCGGAAGATTCAACCGGATGGGATCGCAGCTTGTCCATGACGGCGTCCACGGCGTCCATGTCGCCTGCATCGGTCTTTTCACTCGAGTAGCCCTCTGGGAGGTGCTTCGTCAATTCGTTCATGGTGGGCTGGTAGTTGCGCACCGCCGAAGAGAGGGCGTACACAGCCTTTTTGCGGGTGGCCGGGTTCAAATCCGTGGTAGCCACGGACACCAGGGTGGGAATGGCGTTCAACACAATAAGCTGCAAGCAAGATGTGTTAGCGTAGTCCTGGTGAGCACTCGGCATGCAATGCGCTTCACATACCTTATCCTGGGCCTTCTCGTTGTTCTGCACTGCAGTCCCCACACACCATGCCGCCATGCGTCGAATGTCGGCCTCCTCGTGCTGGAGCAGTTGGACAAGCGGCGTCCACAGTCCCAGCGGCTCCAGGTTGTTCGCGTTATCAATGCCCTCAACCAGTTGCTCAAAGTTGTCAAATGCGATCAACTTGTTCTCCAAGTCCGAATCGTCCGAGTGCAGCACTTCCATAGCCGCCTTCATCAGGTCGGCCTCGGAGGGGCCGCCGAAGAGAGTGTTGATCATGTCCGGGGTCAGGGTGCGCGCGGCTTCCGAGGCATTGGGAGCAGCATCCTCAGACTGCGACGCTTGCGAGTTCTGGACACTCCATTTGAGGAGCTTGTTCATTTGAGGGTCCATAGCCATGATGTTGGAGGGGATTGATGGCGGGGTAGTTGCGCTTGATGGGAGGCGTGATCAGCAAGGATTCAAGATGGATCTCGGTTGTGAGGAGAGTCGGTAGGAATATCAAGAGCACCGAGATTGGCTTGACTCTGGGGAATCGGTATCAATTGTTCTGCTGTGCCTGCGACAACACTTTCTCTTAAAGAAAAGTCCAGAAAGCGGGCACGATGACTCAGCGCATCGAGAGACCTCCAGAGACGTCCAGATGGTTCGGTCAGGTGACCCGCTCACCGCTCTCCAAGTGGCGGTAACCTGCTTGTTCAGCTTGCGTGTACTCCCTTGCAGAGATTTTTGGGATGGTGGCCAGGTGGGATCTTCGAACCCTCTGGTCCCTGCGTAGGCAAAATGCCTCAAAAGTGCCGTGGAATGTCGACCCCAGGCATCTCTGATCTATACTTAGGAGTTTCTGCCTCAGGCCACACTTCGCGGTGTACGCCACATGCGTCAAAACAACGTTGGGCATAGAAAATATTCAGGCAGAGCATTTATCCCATATAGCCATCCATGGATCATTGACAAGACATCTATCAGTGATTTCTTGGCCTTGCTTGCCCTCCTATTTTAGTACTTGACCCTCGCCGCTTTTCGCTGAGTAGAGCTGAGCACGCAAGACACTCTATCAACCCAAGGGTCCAAGGTTGGACTGAAATCTACTCGTCTCTGATCCTCATCAAAGCGGCAATGCACTCACTCTATGGAGTTGCCTACCCAAAGCAGTAGTTCTCAATATCGGAGCCTAGACTCTCCCGTGGGATATCCGGGTAGTTCGCCCCACGAAGGCGCGAGGGAAAAGAAAAAAGACAAAAAGTACATATATGAAGAAAAGAGTCTTGAGCAGCTGAATTGAATCGTTCTGCCTTAGAGAGTGTAAAAAAAGGCGATATAAAGAAAGCAAAAAACCAGCGGTCGAGGGGCGGCTAGTCGAGAGAGCCCGCACACACCAGGTGTCCCAACCACCCAAACCCTCCCCTCCTCTCCACTTCCCTTCTTCCTTCTTCCTCTTCCCCTGCTCATCTCTATACTCCCCCCATCCCATCTCTCTTTTCTTTTTTTCCCATTTTTCTTTTCTTTCTCCCAGGTCTCCTTTTCAATCCGTCACCATGGAAGGTAAGTTGTGTGGTTTTTTGTTTCGTTGTGGCCACCTCAGCGGGTTCCCAGCTGTCAACAGCTGCCCACCCCCCCAAAATATCCTTAATTTGCGAACTCTGGCTAATCTCCTTGGGTCACTACAGAGGAAGTTGCTGCTCTCGTCATCGACAATGGGTATGTCATGAATTGTTTCTCGACTCTGGCGCTGGTCCTTGTGTTTGGGTGTCGCCAACCTCCCGGTCGCGGTCCTCATTCCTCCGTCTCTCCCCCCTGATCTGTCCTGGCAATCGAGCCCAGCTCAATGCCCTCTCATGGCACATCCCAAACCCGATCCAAGCCGACCGTCGAGAAACAAAATCAATTTTACCATCCAAATTCCAATACTAATGAATTGCCTACAGTTCGGGTATGTGCAAGGCCGGTTTCGCCGGTGACGACGCACCGCGAGCTGTCTTCCGTAAGTCTCAACCCCACAAACTCCCCCCCCCTCCTGGCCCAAGTCATCATCCCACCAACCCTTGCATCGAGGGGCATCCCCCTCTTTTTTGATCTGATAATGGGTCTTGGTTTTGGAATAAAAATTACTAACTATTGAATAGCGTCCATTGTCGGTCGCCCCCGTCACCATGGGTAAATTCCCCTCTTCTTCTTCATGGGCTGGTGCTTGTGCACCGCCTATCCCACCACTAAGACTGACTGGAGTATAGTATTATGATTGGTATGGGCCAGAAGGACTCGTACGTCGGTGATGAGGCACAGTCGAAGCGTGGTATCCTCACGCTCCGATACCCCATTGAACACGGTGTTGTCACCAACTGGGATGACATGGAGAAGATCTGGCACCACACCTTCTACAACGAGCTCCGTGTTGCCCCCGAAGAGCACCCCATCCTCTTGACCGAAGCTCCCATCAACCCCAAGTCCAACCGTGAGAAGATGACCCAGATCGTGTTCGAGACCTTCAACGCGCCCGCCTTTTACGTCTCCATCCAGGCCGTTCTGTCCCTTTACGCTTCCGGTCGTACCACCGGTATCGTGCTCGACTCCGGTGACGGTGTCACTCACGTTGTCCCCATCTACGAGGGTTTCTCGCTGCCCCACGCTATCTCGCGTGTCGACATGGCCGGTCGTGACCTGACCGACTACCTGATGAAGATCCTGGCGGAGCGTGGCTACACCTTCTCCACCACCGCCGAGCGTGAAATCGTTCGTGACATCAAGGAGAAGCTTTGCTACGTCGCTCTCGACTTCGAGCAGGAGATCCAGACCGCCTCGCAGAGCTCCACCACCGAGAAGTCTTACGAGCTGCCTGACGGCCAGGTCATCACCATCGGTAACGAGCGCTTCCGTGCTCCTGAGGCTCTGTTCCAGCCCAACGTCCTGGGTCTTGAGAGCGGCGGTATCCACGTCACCACCTTCAACTCCATCATGAAGTGTGATGTTGATGTCCGTAAGGATCTGTACGGCAACATCGTCATGGTAAGTTCCTGTGTCTTGGTCTGATTTCCATTTTGCCTGAGACTTGACTAACATCAAATTCTAGTCTGGTGGTACTACCATGTACCCGGGTATCTCCGACCGTATGCAGAAGGAGATCACCGCCCTGGCGCCCTCGTCGATGAAGGTCAAGATCATCGCTCCCCCGGAGCGCAAGTACTCCGTGTGGATCGGTGGTTCCATCCTGGCCTCGCTGTCCACCTTCCAGCAGATGTGGATCTCCAAGCAGGAGTACGATGAGAGTGGTCCCTCGATCGTGCACCGCAAGTGCTTCTAAGCGCCTTACTCGTCTTCGCTCGTACTTTCCTGGTGTATCAAAAGGCAGGATGGAGGCACTGGTGGATTGCAAGCGTTGTTGGACTCGCATTATCAAGCGGATAGCCTGAAAATGGAACCTCGAAATTTTAGTGGAATAGAGTCGGTCGTTTCTTTTTTTTACCCTTCTGGAGAGAGCGACAGTCGTGGGCCTGTTTCTGTTCCCAACCCCCTCGATTTGTTCCTCTGGACGGCCGGTCCTACAGCAAACGGTGTACGTGAGGATGTGTACATGGAGTTGGCACAGGTCGCGTTCCTTTTTTTCTTTCTAGCCTTACCTGTTGAGTTGTATCTCCGACCAAATTGCCTTTTGTTTTGAATGTCTCCATTACCGAGGTAGTACTTAGGACTCAAGAGCAGAACTCGTGGGGCTTGCATAGAGATCATCGTCTAGGGAGAGACATGGTACCTATACTACAACCAGGTACTTTATTGGTCTCTACATAGGAACCCACTTCAAGGAGAGAGTATAGAGTCAATTCTCATCAATTGGTGTATCTCGTTTCATCCATCATACAGGATCCGCATCAGTCATTTCGGGGACTCGTATCCAACGCACAGATTGTTTTGTGAAAGTCAAAGAAAGCAAAAGGCATCGGAAAATATTGAAAAGATAGAAGAAAAAAATAGGCAAGGCAAGAAGATATATATCCAAACTATGCGTTCCACGACTCCAGGCCCGCCAGAACACAGCCTTCCTCGCCCTCGGCACGAGCTCGCAGCTCGCCGACGCGGTAGACAGTCTCACCTTGGGCCTCGAGGCTCTGGCGCACAGCGGCCTCGGAGGCTTGGTCAACGGCAAGGACCATGCCGACACCGCAGTTGAAAGCGCGGGCCATCTCGGTGGAGGAGACGTTGCCGGCGCGTTGCAGCCAGGCGAAGACCGGGGGCAGGGACCAGGCGCGGGCGTCGATGTGGGCGGTCAAGGTGGAGGGCAGCATGCGGGGGACATTCTCGACGAGCCCGCCGCCGGTAATGTGGGCCAAGCCGCGGATGGCGGAGGGGTGGGAGGCGAGGGCGTGCAGGACGGGCTTGACGTAGATGCGGGTCGGGGTGAGGAGGGCGCGGCCCAGGGAGATGGGCTCGGTGTGGCCCGGCATGGCGAAGGGTGCCGGGTCGGTGTAGCGCAGGCCGGCGCGGTCGACAATCTTGCGCACGAGCGAGTAGCCGTTGGAGTGCGGGCCGGATGAACCCAGTGCCAAGAGGACATCGCCGGCGCGCATCGAGTCCGTGTGTGGCAGAACCGGGCGGGCATTGTCGCCCGTCGTGTTGAGCGCGCCTACGGCCGCACCGACGGCATCGTAGGTGTTTTCCACGAAGAGGCCGGGCATCTCGGCGGTTTCGCCGCCGATCAGGGCGCAGCCGGCTTGAACACAGCCGTCAGCGACTCCGGTCACGAATGCAGTGGCCGTGGGAACATCCAGGTGTCCGCACGAGTAGCAGTCCAGGAAAAAGAGCGGCTCGGCGCCCTGGACGACCAGGTCATTGACGTTCATCGCGACCAAGTCCACGCCGACGGTGTCATGGATGCCCACGGCGTGCGCAATCTTGAGCTTGGTGCCGACGCCGTCAATCGCACCGATGAGGGTCGGCGAGTGCGGGTGGTACTCCGAGTTGGCGGCCGCCAGCGAGAAAAGACCGCCGAATCCGCCAATGACAGCGTCGGTGCCAGGTCGTTTGGTGCGCGCCACAGAGCTCTTAATTCGGTTGACCAGCTGGTTGCCGGCATCGATCGACACACCGGCTGCCGCGTAGGTGAGCGAGGTGTCTGCCGTCTGTCGGAACGCGCGGTGTGCAATATCCTTGCGGTAGAACATGCCGTCGAAGTGGATCGTCGCAATGCCCTCGTAACTCTTGGACACGGCCTCCTCGAGAGTGGACGCCGTCGCCGTTGCGGCAATCACACGGCCTCCAGAGGTCTGCAGCTCGTTACCAGACAGGGTTGTACCGGCGTGGAAGATAAGAGTGCCAGCCGGCTCAGCGTCCAAAGTAATCGGCTTACCCTTGGCGTAGGAGCCAGGGTAGCCACCAGCCACGGCGATAACAGTTGTCGAGAAGTTGGGCTCAACCTTGATCGAGACACCGTCGAGCCAGTGTTCTGCGCAAGCCACCATAATCTGCGCCAAGTCCGTGTCCTTGCTCAATAGCGGCAAGAGAGTCTGCGTCTCGGGGTCACCGCCGCGGACGTTGTACTCCAGAACCTTGGGTCCCTTTTTGGTCATCATGAGACCGGTGAACAGAATACCGATGAAGGGAAAGCCTGAAAGAAACACGATCAGTCTCGAGCTTAATTAGACAAACAACATTTAACGTACCGTCCTTTCTCATGCCGTCAATGGACGGCTGCACAATGGTTCGGTCAATCTCCTCCATCACCTCCTTGGGCGCAATGCGAGTGGGCGCATAGCACCCCATGCCACCCGTGTTGGGGCCTTGGTCGCCATCGTAGATCCGCTTGTGGTCCTGAGCTGGGGGCAGCGAACGAATCGTGTAGCCGTCACTGAAAGTGAGCACGCTGAGCTCATCTCCCTCCAGATATTCCTCAATCACGACCTCATTGCCCGCCTGGCCAAACTGGAGATCCACCATCATTTCCCGCAGAGCCTGGTGGGCCTCTTCCTTCGTTGTGGGGATGATGACACCCTTTCCACCGGCCAATCCGTCGGCCTTGATCACCACATTATGCGACACGGAATCGAGGTAGCGACGCGCGGACTCGTAGTCGGAGAAGTTTCCAAACTCGGCGGTAGGGATCTGGTGGCGCTGCATGAAGTCTTTGGAGAAAGTCTTGGAGCCCTCCATACGGGCAGCAGCCTTGGAAGGACCGAAGCATCGGATGCCAACTGGTTTATGGGGAATATCTTAGCGACGCAGAAGGGAAAAAACTAGCGGGGAGCAGGCATGAACTCACCGGCCTGAAAATAGCCCTGGATGCCATCCACCAAAGGAGCCTCCGGGCCCGGTACCACCAGATTCACATTATTCTTCTGTGCAAATGCCACAAGCCCTGGGTAATCATCGCCCTTGACATTGGCGTTGGCAATCTTGCTGGACGCACCTCGACCTGTGCCGCCATTACCGGGAGCAACATAGACAATGTCCACGAGGGGAGATTGGCTCAATTTCCAGGCCAGAGCATGTTCACGGCCACCGTTTCCGACGATAAGGGCGCGAACTTGGTCTTGTGCCATTGTGGGAGCAGTGTCTCGAGTGACTAGTGGCAGTTAGCATTTGTGGAAGCCCTCCGCGGGGTATGTATCAGTGCCCCTCCTCGAATCCGCCTGGGTGCGTCTAAGGAGGCGCGAGGAATGAAAAGTAACGGGGATTTAAATTGGAAAGAGCAGCATATCTCACACAAAAGAACTCACCTCACTGAACCAGAGAGACCGAAAGAGAGAGACTGGAGAAGCGGAGGTTGGAGATCTAAATTCGACTTTTTTTTTCTCCGGCATTTCTCCACCCTCAGAAACCCAATTGCACCGCGTTTAGTTGCCCTTGGGCCTCAATTCTATCCCAGCTTCTATTCCTTTGATTGCCTATTTTAAACTCCATTTTTGAACAATTTCTGAATGCAATACTAATCATTCCTCATTGTGCACAGAGGCAGACCAAAAAGTATCTGACCCTTAGGTATACTTGTTTACCGCTTTCCTGTTATAGCTACACCGCCCTATATTTACGATATCCTATTGGTCAAAAAGCTAGCTGCAGGCAGAATAGAGGTATATCGGGGCCTACGCCCACGATCGAGTCATCTAAATGATTCAACAGCCAATGTTTCTCAAGTAGAAATGTCACCATTCCCAGTGATTCCTCTACTATCTTTGTCAATCAGAAACTTGACGAGGTCAAGCTGTGGCAGCCAATTTATGTACCAGCTCGATTTCTTAATACCCTGGGCACCAATACGGTGAATCCTGGCAGAAAGAAAAAGAACCACCGCGAGATCTCAAGCGCAACGCGACACCATTGACATTGACCTTAAGCGCTTTCTATCGAGGCTCGTAGCGACTGGTCTCTTTGATTCTCACCCTATCAAAGTAGCCCGAATGTTTCGGGTCTCTCTTCGGTCTGTCGCAGGCCCTCATCGCCACCATGTTTGCTTCTCCTGTTTAGCTGGCCGAGCCGGCGCGCCGGCCAGACTGCGTCAATTCCACAGCGCCACTCCGCTCCCGGCTGAATCCCAAGGCGAGACGTCGGAAACGAAGTCCGAGAATACATCGATCCAACTCCAGGACTTTCACTCGGATCATGCGCCCAGCAAGGTACGTCGAACACCCATTTTTTGTCCCATGCTGTGGCCGATCATTGAGACATTAACGGACTTTGCTTCGCAGGATACGAAAAACCATGATAGAGCGCCCAAGCAACCACCCCAAAATGGCAAACCGCATAAGTTCGACAAGAAACGAAAAACCGACGGAGAAAAGAAAACACTACCGCCGAAATGGAAGGCTGAGGCAGGTTCTGAGGGCAAGACTCGCGAACCGGGCGACCAAAAGAAGACTACCAAAACTAGTACCCAGGATGGATCGAATCAAGAGCAGCAGACCGACAAGAAGCCTTTCAGTGCTAGGGTGGCCCGGCTGCTAGATGAAACTGCTCAGCCCAAGAAAAAGCCCAGTAAAAGGTCAGCTCGTTCAGATGCGGAGAGAAGAAAGGCAGCAGAGCTGGACGGGCCCTCAAGCCTTGTGAACAAAAAGGAAACCGGATCCATGAATTCGGCCGATCGGACTGTGTCCCGTAAGTGTTTCCCTTGTGTTGTGACCACATAGCGACTAACCATCTTCCCCAAGCATTGGATATCCCTACGCCACCGGTTCCGCGTCTTTCATTTGGCCTGGACCGAGTACTTTTCAAGTAAGCCATGTTATCTGTCTCCAAGTTAGATTGGTGTACTCATGTGGCGTGTAGCCCCGGTGTCTACCAGCTTCGTGATCCCCGATCTCGTGTGTACAACTTTGACCCCTACCTGGGCTCTATCATGCCCGTGACGGAATTCGACTTTGATGCCTTGAAGGAGTACATCACTTCTTCCAAGGACGAGACCCTCCGCAATATTGCAGTCCAGCAAAAAAAGAAATATGTCGGGTCTTCCTCGAGTATGACCTCTGTGCTCTCGCACTTCCACTACCTTTTGTCTGGTTGGAGAAGCATCGACACGCGGACGCTGTCCCAGGGGTTTACGGAACCGTATCGTTCCTTTACTCGCCTGAACCGATCGCCGGCTGCTATGTTCCTTCACTATCAGGATGGAACTTACGCGATTGACGCGGACAAGGAATTTGATTCAGCCAATATCCTCATGAATTTGGGCAAGTCGATGGAAAAGCTGCTCACACTGCCTAAGGACGAATTTGAGCGTTATCGCCGATCTAGCGACAACAAGATCTCACCCGAAGAGGAAAAAGCCATCCCTGAATCCTACCATTACTCCACCGCTGGCGATTTCATTATGCGGTCACAGCTTGACGCCTATGATCCTCGGCTGCCCGGCACCGGCATGTTTGACCTGAAAACACGAGCGGTGGTATCGATCCGCATGGACGCGAAGAATTTCGAGCATGGGTTAGGCTACGAGATCAAGAACCGCTACGGCAACTTAGAGTCCTACGAGCGAGAGTTCTTTGACATGATCCGCGCCGCATTTCTCAAGTACTCCTTGCAGGTTCGTGTTGGCCGCATGGACGGGATCTTTGTGGCGTTCCATAACGTCGAGCGCATCTTTGGATTCCAGTACATCAGTCTGCCGGAGATGGACCTGGCGCTGCACGGACAAACAGATACTACGTTGGGTGATGCCGAGTTTGGATTGAGTTTGGGGCTGTGGAATCAGATCTTAGATAAGGCAACCGCGAGGTTCCCAAGCAGTCCTTGCGCTTCCACTTCGAGACGCGCGACTCTGCCACTCCGTTCATGTACATCTTTGCCGAGCCAGTCACGCAAGAGGATATCCACGCCATCCAGACCAAGAACCAGGCAGAGATTGAAGCCTACCAGAAACGCATCTTGAACCCCACTCCGGATGATGCGGATGTTGATCTGGAATCCGAGTCCCCTGTGTCTTCCGAATCTGAAGACCAGACATCCGAGTCCTCCATCTCGTCCAGCTCTAACTCGCCCTCTCCCGCCGATGAGTATGTGGGTGCAGCCCCGGAGCAGTCAGGAGAAGAAGAAGCAAACAACCGGGAAATCCTCGCGATGGTCTTGTCAGTGAAGCACAAGGTCAATGACAACCCCGTGGAACGGCCCAAGGACTTGACCGCGTCCGACAAGTGGACGGTCGACTATGAGCTGAGCGAGCTGGGTCAGGCGCAGGGCTGGTCGCTGTACCGCATGTGCCAGGCACGTCGGGAGAAACAACTCGTGAGTCGTGGCGAGGATGAGTTCGGTGTCGCCGGCAACGCCTTCCTTCGAACGCTGCGAGCCCTCAGCAAGGCGGGCCGCGAACACCGCAAGCAGGAGAACCAAGTTGACCGGGACAACGGTGTGGTACAGTTCACCGACCCCGTTGATTAGATGGCATTGCCTTCTTCAAGTTGTATATTAATTGATGATCCTACACCCCCACATTCGAATAGATCATTTCCCGGGAATTGGTGAATGGCATTCGTGCTGGTGATTCCGTTCTATGTTGATCCTCGTTTCTTTCTGCTGTTGGTTGAGTACTCAAGTCCCTAGGGCTTCGTGAGGCTCAGGGGGATTTGCTTGAGATTTGCACAAGACGATGTATCATATGTACAATTATCTGATCATTTGCGCACTGTTTACTTCATCTGATCTACATTTTACGTGAAGTATGGAACCGACGTAAGTAGAATCGATGATAGACGTGTCACGTCTGATAAGGACTCCAAGCAATGGAAGTATCTGCACGATGCAGGGATCTAGATCTCTGGACCCCTGTAGCAACTCACTGCTTCGTCGCCTACCGTTGTGGAATTGAAATGAAGCCGAGAATGAAAATGGACTACATAGTGCATTTTAGCAATGTAATATATTGGTAATACCGGGAGAGAGAGAGTGGGTACGACAGGAAATAGCCGCACATCTATACCTCCTTTTCTCGTCTGATGGCCAGAATATAACAATCAAATCGATATCAAATTATAGAGCCAATAGGTTGAGATTCCCATATCAGCGCAATAATTAGTCGATTCCTGCCAGCTCAGTCCAGCTGACTAATTTTATCCTGAGTGTGCCCAGGTGGCTCCTTCCTGCCGTAGGCGAATCCTTCTGTCTTTTGAATCGAGAGAATGGCGACTGGCGACGGTTTCGCCGTGAACCCGGCGTGAATCAATCTTACCGACAATCAGCAACCCCAAGATCTCCTACCATAAAACTCTATATTAGAATCTGTCTTTCCTCGACTTCTTCATAAACACAGTGTTCAGGGGCGTCAATTGATATCACCCAGAATGTCATACGCATCAGCTCTCACAACCATAATTCACAACCCTCGGTTGCGCCTGCTCAATGCTCTTCGAGCCAAGTCGAAGCCTATCATGACTTTTTTAGGGCTGCCGTCTTTTCGAACAGCCCAAATTGTAGCTCAGACCGGCGTTGATGTCAGCTTTTTTTTTTTTTTTTTTTTTGCTCTATCCTTTTGGCCCCCTACTGATGGCTATAAAGGGCATTATCATCGATTGCGAACATGGCCATATCAGTGATGATTCCATGCACAACTCCACTGCTTCCAGCGCTGCTATGGGGGTTTCGCCGCTTGTTCGTCTTACAATGACTCACCCGGATTTGATTAAAAGAGCTTTGGATGCCGGTGCACAGTGAGTATATAACACAAAAGCCCTGCCAGTTCTATACTAACGTTGGAAACAACGTTATCAGCGGCATCGTTGTTCCTCAAATAAATACAGCTGAGGAAGCAAGAGCTATTGTCTCCTATGCCAAGTTCCCTCCACAAGGTGTTCGAGGGCAAGGCTCGCCGTTTCCCGGTATCGCCCATGGCATTGATCTTCCGACATACATGAAAACAGCCAATGAGACTCTTATTACGTGTCTTCAAATTGAATCGAAGGCGGGCGTCGATAATGTTGATGCGATCTGTGCTGTACCTGGTATTGGTGAGTAAATTGAATCTCCCATACTCGAACGATGTTTGACTTATTTCTTCGCTAATCTCTCCCAAGATATGGTTTTCATCGGGCCCAACGACCTTGCCCTATCGATTCTTGGGTATGTTCCTGCAAAAGGGGACGAGCCTGAGTTTGTCGATGCCATCGAAAAGATCGTGGCGGCTGCTCGAAAGCATGGCAAATGGGTCAGCCGATTATCAAACGACGGGGCCTCTTGCAGGGAGCATCTCAAGGTTTTTGATAGCGTGGCCATGAGCTATGATATTCGGGCGCTTCAAAACTGGTATACAGCTGAGTTGCAGGTTGCACGCTCGTGATATGTGAATAACCTAGAATCAAAGCATTTTGGCGTCGTTTAGCCCTAACCTTTAGGTAAATCATAGATAGATGTTTTCTCAATCACCATCTTATAAACAGACACGCTATATAATATATGACAATCTGAAGAGCTAATTATATATATACTCCTTTCTATCCTTTCCGCTGCAGTGTATAATAGCCCAAACACTCTCTCGCCTCGGCGATTGAGGCGCCGCCAGCAATCATTTTGCGGATGCCATCCTCATTTTCCCATTATTTCTTGCAACTTGAGCTACCTCTCGGGCTCGATCTCGCGGAACAATGACCACGCCGTTTGCATCGGCGACAACGATGTCGCGAGGCTGTACACGCACCTTGCCAATGCCGATCGGCTCATCGACTCCTCCAACTTGAACGCAATCTTTACCGGTCCGCATCCAACGTCCAGCCGTGAAGATCGAGTAGTAATCGTTGATCGCCCGAGTCACATCGCGGCACAGCCCATCGATAACGCATCCAGCGATATCCCGTAAGCCAGCGTACTGGGTCATGATGCTGCCCCAAACAGTACAATCAATACGGCCGCTATTGTCAAGGACGACAATATCGCCGATGGCAACATCGTCGATGAAATCACCCACATTTCCTGGTGGGTTGCTGGCGGGTACATAACGAACGGTGAAGGCAGGTCCAACAGTGATCTTGTTGTAATCAATGGCATGATATTGAATGCCTGTCCAGGAATGCCCAGTTTATCAAGTGCATCAGAGACCCCCGGAGTGTCTGAGTCGGCGAATGGCGCTACTAACTCTTGGTCCTCGGGACTGGCTTCCTTGGGGTTGCGGTTGGAGCATGGCGCCGCCGCCTGTGACACGCTATCCTGGTGGATAGCCTCGAACTGCGTGTCATGCATAACCTCAGAAACGGGTTTACCGCTTCGAATATCCTGGACCATAAGGGTCTGACGACGGTCGATCTGTTCTCCCAACACCACGACTTCCTCAATGCGCGGGGTGAGGATACGCGTTGTCGGAGCAGAATCGGTCTTCGGGCTCACTTTCACTGTGCTGGCGCGTCCAACAATCTTTGGGCAGTCCCAGAGTTGTAAGCCGTATGTGGGGATTGTCGGCGAAGTACTACTACGCCGATTCGACCGAACAACGTATACAACGTCGCCTAACATCAACCAAAGATCACAACGACAATATTTTCGAGCCCAGTCGATTCAGTCAATTAAGAGGGGTCCCAATAAATCGGTGAAATATTCCACCGATATCTAGTGTCCCCGGAAGCATTTTTTGGGGCGTTATGTGCCCGACCACATCCTGAGTCCTTCTGGGGATATCTCGGTGACTGATAACTAGGCCGTCCCTATGGCATGACACATATTTGGCCATCTTTCAATAGTCAGTCATTCAGCGTCAAACCGTGGGTTATTTGATGCCTCTGGAACTGGCCAATCCTTCTCCTCCCCTTGTCCCTCCAACCAAGGCAGAACAGCCTGATAGAGATCTCTAAACTCCCCATCGCCCAGGTTCAAAAACTTCTCATGAAGCTCCGTGTCAAAACGCTGTATAAACGCCAACGCAGTAGCCAGCAACAAATCCGCATACCCGGCATGCTCGCCCTCAAAGAAGGGGCCTTTCTTGCAGTCCCTGCCCTTCAACATCTTTAGCAACGGCACCGTCTCGCTCTCAACTAACTCCCACTTGCTTTCAATGGTCGCCTGGTCTGTCGGCCGCACCTGCGACAATGGCTTCCCAAGGGCAACAGCCCGCGTCTCATGGAAGTACTTCGAGCCTCGCGGATCCAGGTGGTCTGGGACCCGAGGGACAACGAAGGGCCGGAACCCAGGCTCCAGAAGAGTCAGGAATCGGCTCACGGCGACGAACAGCGCGTAGCTCGCGTCGCCGGATGGGAATAGCGGTGGCGAGGGGTACACCTTGTCGAGGTGGAGAGCTATCACCTGGGAGTCCATGGTAACACCACTGGAATGAAAAGTCACGGAGCTATGCTTGATTGCTGGGAGTGTATATGGTCTGCCTTGATCATTGGGTGGGACGCCGAAGCTGGAAATGAGGGGCTTGATGTCTGGATAAGAATGCCAGCTTTGGGTGTAGGGGATGCCCTTGAAGTTGAGCACGACTCTGGTTTTGAGAGTGTTGGGCGACCATGATTTCAAGGGACCTGTTGGACTAGTGAGTGATTCTTTCGCAATGTCCTCCATGGAGAGGTAGAGTTGCGCACCTGGTTGGTCCGAGTATAGGTCGAAGAAGTGAACAGGGGTCTCGCCAGCCATTTTACCTTTTTTGTTTTCTTTCTTTCTTTTTGTATGGGAATTGTGTGAAAGATGGAGGAGATCAAAAGTGGTGAGATGATAATCACACCGACACCGGAAGCAACCGAATGAGGGGTTGGTGAGTTTCTTAGTATTTACCTTATAAATCAAGCATTCATTAATATTCTATTTCCCTTCCTAATATATTTATAAAGTGTACGGGTGGAAGGATTTGGGTGTGCGACTATTGGTGGCCTTGACTTTATTTTTAATAGAATAGTAACCCATACGTATTACTACTAAGCCCAAAATTCTCACCTGGCAACCTGGCGACCTCATAATTCCAAATAAATGCCTAACTATAAATACTAGCTTTGTAGTCGCTATTTAGTGCTTATTCGAGCCCCTTATATTCCTTAAGTCTTCGATAGAAGTGGTAAGAGTCTGGCTGGATTCTACCTCTATAAAATAATCTAACCTCTAAAAATAGAAGAAAGCCCCGTAAAGAGGATTAACGGTCTATAAGGGGTACTATATACGAAACGACGGTTGGCTGGGATGAATCCGGACTCTAGTAGCCCTATATTAGCAATACTGCTACTTGTATAACTAATTCCTCCGACTCTATTAAGAAGGCTATAGAGAACTCTAGGGTTAATGGCTTCGTTTCTTCCTACGGATTCTCTTTCTATTTATTTAAGTATACCGCCTAGGTTGCGCTATAGCCACTGTAAAAAAAAAACCCGAATATTATCGAGAAGAGGATAAGTATAGCAATAGCACCCTCGGTGGTGAGGCCACAGAAGAGAAAAGTGAATAAGCTATAGGCGAGAGGTGGAATGACAGCTACCACCTGCACGGACAGCTTGATTCAGTTGTTGTCGCTGAGCCACCCGAAGAAAGAAGAAGCGATGATCCCGGGCGTATTAAAGACGGCTACTATTAATGTGCCTATCGTCTGGGATAGTATACCAACGTCTCGGCCGTAAGTACTCAAATAAGTCTGCGAGATTCCGTAGCCCGAGCTCGGGAAGATGATGGCCACGCTGTAAACGTAGATCGATCGGTGTCTGAGGAAGGTCCAGGGAATCTTTCGTGCTCGCGTTGTGCGGATTGACACTTTCGATGGATGGGTTGGTATCAAGAAAATGACGAAGAGACTTAAGTCCCCCACGATTCCAGTCCACGCCCCTTCAAAAACCATAGGCGTCGATAAGGCCTCGGATCAGACACGGACAGCTGGTACCAAAAATGTTCTTGCACGATAGAACGATTCCATACGCCAACGTGCGGTTGCTGCTAGTATACCATTCACCGAGGGAGAGTGTAGTCGGGCTGTAGACGAGAGCACAACCCAGGGCCGATGTAATACCTAGCGTCGCGAACAGGTGCCATACTGTCTTGTTGTAGGAGGAACAGAAGAAACTGAGGCGATCACGGTGCCACAGACAGCTGCGAGCTGGCGCCGGCGAGCCCATCGTCGCGTGAAGATTGCGGGGGAAAAAAAAAAAAAAAAAAAAAAAACGGCATGGATAGATATATCACGCTATTTACAGTCGTCCCGATAAGGCCGATGATAGTGTGGGGATCCGTCGAATGTCCAATTTTCGAAATAGTACTCTTGGAGCACACCGTAACTCATCGCAAAACCTAAGTGATTTTCCAGGAGTCAGCTAGGTTAGATCTCTACCTCTCTCTCTCCTTTTCATGCATACCCCAAATTGGCTGCTGGAGGATACCAGACCCGATCAAGACCCATAAACTTTTCTATTTTGCAACGTGCTGGCACCAATTATATATTTATTCTTGTGGCTACGCGGTGCCCAAGGGATATCTTTGCATCTACTATTGCCCTTCGGAGAAAAAGCGGGATCCTCATAAGGCTCAGCAGCTTTGATCACCATGCAAAGATCATAAGTCACACAACGAATCTGTCTCGCAGGAAGTCAAAAAGGCTACGGCAGCAGATCATCACAATTCTAAGGTCAATTAAACCTCTGGCTTATACCTACCGATAAGTTTAATTTCGAGATCGGATGATCTTTGTTAGTTTAAGGAATTATCCCTCCAAACAAACTTATTATGATTGGATATTGCCGAAAGACTGACATTTTGATCATGAGGGGGGGAGTTCGACAAAAGGCAAGTAGTCTTCATTTTCTTCGGCAATTCTTAGTTCTCGATAGCTAGCTCGTTTGTAATTTGGAGATTTTATAAGATATTCTGAGCAATACAGGGCACAATATGATCCAGAAAGCCTCTACAAAGACTCTTTGGCATAGTTTTCTGGATATACAATTTACCCAGTATCATAGGCTTACATTTTGGCCCCCCCGCGGTTTCTGTTGGCCCAAAAAGCTATTTTGGAAGAAGGCTTAAGCTTACGTATGCGCTAATGCAAATAATCAATGCCTTGGGATATCTAGAAAAGAATAGATCCTGGAGGATACAGGCAGATACAAAAATTCTATGAACATGGGAATATTGCATGGCAGTGTGTTTGACAGGAGAAAGGAAAATAATGGTCAAATATGGAGAACACCACAACAAGTCATTAAATAAGAACCTATTACTTATTATTTGCCTACCTAGGCGCCTCCTATATCTCTGGACCCCACGTTTCACCCCGAATTGTCCCACTTTGTGACGTAGCGAGGTCCATTGGTGGAGTAGAGTGTCAAATTAGGTGTACGTTAAGTGTACTCTATTTTGGATTGAGAAATGGCTATTTGGAAATGCAAAGTAGATATTTCTTAGGTCATGGACGATCATCAAAAGCATCTATTGACAGTATCTTGGATGCAATAGTTGCGCACGTTCAGTTATCGTGCAGAGTTTGGTGGACGACGCCAGTGAATTCATGGCAGTTCAGTGTCCCATCGTAGTTATTGATCAGGTCATCTAAGATCGTGTTAGCCATGTAGGTGGACCAGAGAAATCCGATATTAGAGGCGGCACATACTCAGCTTCACATCATCGTCGAGACAACCGCCAGTAAGAACCGGGCCATCATCGTCCTTGATTTTGACGCCGCAAGTCTGGATTCCGGCCCCGCTGTTGTTTTTCCAAGCAGTGGTTAGCTTCGTGACTTGAGGCAAGATACAGAAAGAAAGAAAAGAAATCACGTACTTTTCGCCGTCCTCCCCATCAAGTGTGTTGCCTTTCTGGACATAGCAGCGGTTCAAATCCAGGACGGAGACCTTTCTGACGTGGGGGTCGTTGCTGTGGCAGGTCGCCTTGAGGTTGGGCAATTCCTCATCGTAGTCGACATCGCAGCTGCTGGCGAAACCTCCGGCTGCTGCCAAAGAGGCGAAGCCCAGGCCCAAAACAAATTTGAGGAGAACCATTGTAGAAAAGATAAGATGTGAAGAAGAAGAAGAAGAAGGTGTCTCAGGTGATGTGTTTTTGAAACGCCTCAAGAGGGAGAGTATGGGGACCGATATTTATATGTTTGTGGATGTTCCGAGTGTTGGGATCCATAGATGTAAACTAAAAGAAGGGGGCCGACAGTTAGGGGCGATTCGGTTGCAGTGAGGGGCCAGATTCTCGCCCATCTTCTAATATTAGTAGGATATTTCATTTTCTTCATGAAATCATTAAGCCCTAGTCAACTTGAGGCTTAAGTAGGTGGGTCAGAATTTGGGGGCCCCCTCTTAGCATTTTTTGGGTTTCTGGGCTGCGTGCCCGGGGCAATTCTGCAGCATCGCAGGAAATAATAGCAGTCCTCACGAATACGTCGAAGTTGATTCTCTGGCTAACTAACTTCCGTCCGTAAGAACGTACGGACTGGTCACCTGATGCCTCTGTATGTACCCGTCATAGTAATCTAAAGTTATCTTCGTCACTGATCCATCATAGACCCCCTCCTCCTATATTAGGTAGACAGGATGCCCCTCTACGGATGACCGCGACTTCCCTTTTTATGAAGTTAATAAGTGTGGAAGGTACCTTTCGAACAAAACAGCCACACCTTAGGTATGGATTCTCCGACCCTATTTGCTTAACAGCCGGGTCCTGACTCTATCTCATTATGGCCAGGGCTAAAAGACGCCGATCCTTGTCCGGCGCTGCTGCTGCCGCGTCCGAAAAGAAACGCATTCGTCTCCTTGCTAGTCCCGTCAAAGAAGATATTGGGCCGACGCAAACCTCAGGAGAGTTACAGCACAGACGTGCTAGGCAGTAGGTAGCCGACATTCGTTTACAACCTCGAGAAATACTCACGGAATCCCACCTCTTAGATTAACGATGGATTCGCAAGTTAGCGTCACGCTACATCCACGAGAACTCCTCCGAGAAGTCGCCCTTTCGATGAATAGACGCTACGATAATCTTTCAGTCACGATCCCTATTCGCACTACATGGCGGGCGGCTATCCAAGCCGCCGAAGCTGCTCTTGGGGATATCGATGAGCCATTCCTAGCAATGCCTCCGGGAACCGGAAGCCGTCGACAACTTCGAGAGATGGCCCTCCAGTCAACGCCGTCGGATTCGCCTTTGGAACGTGGCCTTGGGCTACCGATCCGATCGAATGTTGATATACGAATGGTTCAACCTCATCCGCCTCCAACAGAATCAGCCCGTCAGCGTTTACGCGAGATGGCTCGCGAGGCCGCACAAGAGGACTTTCGACAGCCGTACATCTCACTTCGAGCGGGACTGATCGACGGACACATTCCCACAGTTCGTGGAATACTCGTCTTGCAGGGTGTTGACGGCCAACCCGATGACCCCAGCTACAAAGTCGAGACAGATATGATATTTGATACGGGAGCCCATCGGACCATTATCGCAGAAGACCTCCTGTCGGAAGAGTTCCGACAACATCTGAAAGAACCAGTTTATGATCCTTATCGATCGACGGGTGGGTTGGTCGTCCAGGTTGAAACCAGAATTGCTCTGTCGGACCACCCGGTTCTCAGTCAAGCTGTGGCGTGTGTCGTACCCACTTCGCAAATGCCGAACGAGCGGGTAGGCGTCCTATTTGGTCAATCTTCATGTATTGACAGGTTTAACTTGCGATTGATTCCCCGACGTATCCTAGAGGCCAAGGGTGAGGAGATCTCGGGAGGGGTTTGGGGTGATATTATGGTCAAAGAGTACCTGAACATGGACGATGAGGTCGTTACCCTCTGAGCCTCGTACGAGAGAAGACTCTGTTTCCGTATCTTCATTTTTAGCTTCATTTTTAGCAAAAGATGTTCCCCATTTCCACTCTATTCACCCCCACACGCCTAGAATCAGGGGATTGACGGCTCATCCGCAGAAATCGGAAGTATCCGACGTCACTCCGATCGGGGCTCCCTTATCTGTCTTGTTGTGAACTTTTCTGGGAAAATAAGTTTAGCGATGAGCCAGGCAGGAACCAAGTTGCCCAATTTAATTTCAAGATGGTTGATATTGTCAGTCTAGACATCAAGAATTTCACGTGACACTTTCAACCCTGAATCATGCCAGCCAGGACACCGAAGCTCGAGGACAAAATACATCTTCTGATCCTTAATGCCGTTAACAAAGGAGCTAGTAACATAAGTCATGCATTTCCAGAACGAACCCATTATCTCATTACCGATTACTCCATTCGCTCTCTCGACGTGAAATATCCAGTCACCATCAGAAACCACCAAGAATCCCATCATGCCCAGAGGACAGTAAACACAAGTCACAACCATCAATAATTGAAAAAAAAAAAGCACAACGCCGTCGCTACTAAATGCCAGAGACACCATATCACAGAAATCATCAATCACACTATACAGTGTGTCAGGGAATCCGCAAATCGCAAAAAAAAAAAAAGAAATGAAGCAGAATCAAGGAAGTGAATAACCCCTGTTCAACACTTGATAAACCATGATCGAACGCCCAAACATAATCAGAAAGAAACGCCAGGGTATCAAGGCCAGCTGGCTAGGTTTTAGCGAGCAGATAGTCAAGAGGTCATATGATGAGGATTCATAGGTGAGGTGAGGGATGCAAAGACGAGGGTGGGAGATGCACTCGATGCGGGAAGCGTATATATGTTTCCATAGAAAGGGCGGGCTTCAGAGGTAGGGAAGGTAAAGGAGTCATCGAGAGAGGTCTGTACAAGTAATATGTACATGTCAACACAGGGATTACTGCAGCTCCTGCAAATCCAGTTTCGGCGGCGACCAGTCCAGCTGGGGTGGCTTGTCGTTTGAAACACAAAGAGGCGATGGACGCACCGGGTCCATGCGTCGACGCTCCTTGAGCGCGGTGCCACTCAAGAATCCTCTCAAAGTGGATGAAGCCACGTCATATGTACTGCGTGCACTGCCGTTCCCAGTGGACACGGTACTCGAACTGCGAGCGCTGCGCACACTATTTGCCTTGGTGACAACCGCAGGCACAGCCGGGACAGGGAGAGGCAGGCGTGCAGATGAAGAACTGGACGAGTCATATTCAGATGGGAGGATCTGTGGTGCACGAGCGACGTGGGGACGCAGGTCAGGTACGCTCTTCATCCGGGTGGTGCTAGACTTGAATTTAGACTGGGGCGGGAGCTGGGGCTGCAGTTGCAGTTGCGACTGGTTGTCAGGAGGCGACGCTTTGGGGACTTGAATTGCCGTTGCAGTCTTCTCTGGTGGGGAGGCGCGGATTTCATCCGTCGAAACAGCCACATCAAACTTGAGATTGTCGAGCATCGTGCCGAGACTCGCTGCTGTGTCAGGTCGGCCATCACTAGCCGCATCATCCTCATCGTCCTCTGCAATCCCATGGAAGAGGTTGTAGTTGCGAAGAAGATAGCGCTGAAGTCGGGAAACCTCCATGTCCCATTTCTGGTTCAGGGACTGGAGAACCAACTCTACATTATGAGCAGTGAATGGCGAAGCTTCCAGAGACGATGCGGTGTTCGCCGGCGGAGCTTTACTCAGCCGGTGTCCAACTGTGTTGTGTCCAACGTTCATAGCAACATGCAAGGAGCGGCGGATGGAGTTTGCCGTGGAAGTTTGGGCATTCCCAGTCTCCGCTTTAACATTATCAACCTCTCGACGCACCTTATCAAGAGACTGGATCCGGTCCCGGTCCATGCAGGAGAGGCTGAGCAAAGTCCGGTTGGACTGGAGGCCATTGACCAAGACCGTGAGGGACTGCAGGTTGATGTCGTTGTTCTCACAGTGCACTTCGCGCAGCGAGTCATTTTCCTCTAGCACAGACGCCAATGTATTCGCGCCTTGGAGACCAAGCTTCTGGTGCTCGATCCTCAGCACTTTCAGAGACTTGTTCAACTTCAAGCCGGTCAACGCCAAATTGAGGCCGATTCCAAACCGGGCAACATCCAAGTGCGCATTTTCGCCACTGATATCCAAAGCCTCCAGCGTTTCGTTATCTTCAAACATCAACTGCAACGACCGGCAAGTCTCAGGGCCGGCGTCATACGGGAGCGAAGCCTTGGAAATGTCCAGGTATCGAAGAGTGCGGTTTTTGCGAAGCGCCTCCACCAGTTCGCGAAAGTGCTCTTCCTTTTTGAAATCAATCATCCGCATGGACAAATGCGAGGGGGCATGGTTTTTGGCGATAGCCTTGAAGATGAACGAGCAGCCATCGTCAAGTCGGTTTTCATTGACGTGGAGATGAAGGCCGCGTGGGGTGTCGGGTCCAATGGACATTGAGTGCATGAACATGGCCACATCTTCTCCAGTCAAGCCGCACTGGTCGAGCCGAAGAACGCGCAAGTTCTGGGAGCGATCACTGGCGAGGTAGGTGGCTATGGCATCCACAGTCTCACGATTGACAGCTGTCCGACTTAGAGCAAGCTCCTCGAGTCGCCAGTTGAACAGCATCTCTGCAGTGATGAGCGGCTCAGTGCCCGATGTTCGGGCAATACGAGACAAATTGATCCTCCGGATCTGGCCAAAATACCCAATGTACTGCTGCAGCACGTCGGGATTCAAGCGGCCCTGCACGCCCGAGATATTGATCGCTTCGAGCGTCGATTCTTGCGTGACAATAGTTGACAACAAGAGGTCCAAATCATGCACGGACAACCCGCAATCCCCAACCTCTAGAGCCCTCAAGTGACTCCGCTGCTGTGATGCCGCATCCACCAGGTAATCCAGATCGGAATCGCCCAGCTTGATTCCATTGAGCACCACCCAGTCCACGCTCGTCATCTCCCGACGACAAACAGGGAAGATAGCCTCTGGAATTCCACAACCAGGATCTCGGCTGCCTTTGTCCAAAGTCGGCGTGCGGGTAAGGCAGTAAGAAAAGTCAAGCCGACGCAGCCATTTGCTCTTCAGGGCCAAGGCACGCACCTCCTGCGAAAGGACAGACAGGATTTCCTGGCCTGGGATTTGCACCAAGCAGCCTCCTCGGTCGAGATGTACATCTACATCTACCCCTTGCACATCACGGATACCTTGCAACGCGTCAAGGTTGACGCCACGAAACGAGATCGACCGGAAAAATTCATTGTAACGAAGCGTGCGCATGACCGCAATGAGCTCCAGAGCACTGTACCGATGGTTTTTCGAAGAGGCTGGCCGTAATAGACGGAAGCACGGGGCATCCTCGCATGCCAAGTCGATGGTGTATCGAATGTTCGAGGTGTCGATATCGTAGCTAGCGGAGTAAGCGACCAACGTTCGGTCGAAGCAACCATAATCCTCATCCAAAGCGACAGGCGGGAAGTTGTCGTCGTTGTGCAGCTCGCGTGGAACAACAAAATCATAGGGCTGCCTAGTCCACAGTGGACGCAAAAATTCAGTGTGCTGTCGGATCCAGCAAGCGACTTCAACCGAATGAACCGAGGCCAGGAACACATTAAACGACTTCCGTAATGGCACGCTAGTGGCGGTTAGTAAGTTTGCTAAACCAAGTGGTCTAGGAACTGTCTCACCGGAAAGTCAGATGGAGGCTATCATCACCGTATTCCATAGATAGGCCAGTCAAGTTCATGAGACCGAAGGAAGCGGCGGTTTCCAAGTCGGAGAAAGACACCACTGATGATCGATTGGCGGCCTTTTGCATGGGAATCAGGTGAAGTTTATGTGATCCAATTGCAAGGTAACATCCCGTGGGCGATAACTTGGTGAGGTCGTCAGAGGAAGAACGGTTTGGCGACTTGCTGGATGCGATTTGGATAACCCGAAACATGCGGAATGCGTCTGGTTCGTAGTCTCGTTCATGTTCCAACATCCGCGTTACATACTCTACCGAAGATCGGTTGAATGGCAGCGGCTCATTTGACCGGGCAATCTGCGCGGCCTGGCGAATCCCCACCATCCAAAGGTTCAACTCCTGGAGGTCGGGAGTTTGCATCTGAACCAAAGCAGCTTTATGCGTGCGTTCATCCAGATAGGCTACCTCGACCGTGGGTGATAATCGACCGTCCTCTAGCATGTAGACCGCAATGATGCTATTCAATGGAATCCCCACAGACGCATCACCCAACGCGATCATCTGCACGTCCTGCAACGAACTGATGGAAGCCACGGATTGACGATTCGATGCGGTTGGGCGACTATAAGAAGACGGTATTGAGGGAAATGCATCGGCGGCTTTGGCCTGGTTCTTGAAGCGAATAAGGTGCGTGTCGGTGAGGACCAGGTACTGGCTCTTTTTCCTCCACATACCGCCAGTCATCTGAATTGCCCCATGATGGAGGATAGCGGCGGACCAGATCCCATTTCGGGGACTGGTCACGCTTTGGTCATCTCCTAGGGAGCCGACAGAGGCACTGAGTGGGTCGTCATCCTCCCAAGAATGCAGAGACTTCAAAGAGCCGAATACCGAGGTTCGTTTCTTCTGCAGGGACTTCCGGCGCGGGCGAGGGACAGCAAGCACAGGGGTTGATGCGGATGCCATAGACCGGGCAGCAGTATCCGAGCCGGCGGTGCTGGGGCGAAGAGCGGCATGAGGCCCGCTGGACCATCGGTTGGGGCTTTGGGACCGACCAAAGAAGCCTGAGTTGCGGCGACCTTTCTTATCTCGTGATAGCGCATCATCGGAGGGAGCGCGATCATGGAGGGTAGGTCGGACAAGAGGGGCGGAAGCCGCCGACGAGGGACTGAAGACGCTTAAACTCTTTCTTCGTTCTTTTGTCGAAGCAGGGTCGGCCATGGCGGCGTAATGCGAAGGGGAGCTAGGTACAAGATTCTCGAGTGATGAAAGATGGGCGGCGCGAGGGTGGTGAGAAAGGAGCGAATCTCATCAACGACCTCGACGTCGGTTGCACTAGACTCTGGTCAGTAGCAAGTCCACAGGCCATGATGGGTACGACAGATGTCGAATGAGGCCCTTTCTGGAGAGACCGGAGGCGGAGAGAAAGAAAAAGAGGGGAAAGGGTTGCACATACAGTAGACCCGTCACGGCGCCATGAGAAAGCAATTGGCATGCAATTGCGAAGACAGGAGGGATGCCCTGCACGAAAAGCGGGGACCAGCGACTATATCAGGGAGGCTATAATTCCCCCCCAGGCACAGTCTGGCAGCTGTCAACAATGTGGCGAAGCAGTCGAATGGTTGCAACGAAGCTCAAGGAGTGTATGTAGCCGGAAGGGGGAATCCCTGGGGAAGAGTACCACAACGCAGACAATCGGACCCAGAACGGCGAAACCCCAGAAGGAAGGGAGGTGATCAATCGGATTGATGGGACTCTTAAAGTGGCTCCTAGGGTTAATCCGAGCCAGAATGAGATCAGATCTGCCGATCAGCGCTGCTGGCGAGAAACCTGAGGGGAAGAGCGAGAGAATGGGGCGGGGGAGGTATGATTCCGAATGCCCGAAAGCAGAGGGAAAGAAAGACAAGAAAACAAGACGAGAACAGCAGACAAAAAGACGAGGCCGATCAGGGGATGAGTCCCTCGGGTTAAAAAAAAGAGAGAAAGTCGAGGGGGAAAAAGGAGGAGTTGAGGAATGGCCGGATGCAGGTAGCAGTTCGCCCCAACTGTGATTCTCCAGTCACACCCATGTTTCAGGCGCCGCTTATTTGCGTTTTTTATTTTTATTTTCTTTTGTTTTTCTAGATGGTTTTTCTTATTCTTCTTTTCGATTCTATGCTTTTTAATTTTTCTCAACGGCTATAGAGGCGAAAAAGAAAAGAAAAATAAGTATGTGTATAGGTTTGTATATTTACCCGACATCTACACTGGACCCAACGCCCACCGCATCTTTGAGACATGCGTTCGCGATATGTCGAATGGCTACCGCATTCGAATGATCGGAGCTGGCAGCCACGTAAGAGGCGCGCTCCACACCGACTGCGCGCATCAATTAGACTTCATAGCGCAGGCCACTATAGCAGAAGCCGGAGCGATAAACAAAAAGCCAAGTTCTTTAAATGCTTAAATATTTGATGCAAATGGAGTATGTGCAGTCAGACTATGGAGCGACTATCTACGCAATGGCGACTCCGGGTCAATAGGATTCATGGTGGGATCCACATCCATGGGGTGATCGACAACCCACGCACTCCACGCTCGCTCCAGTTGGATAGAACCAAATAATCCAGGGGTAACTGACGTCGTGAAGCCCACCAAGAAGAAGATCATGGATCAGGTCGAACCCGAAAAGGGCTGAGTTTCTGGCAATCATGCGAGGACAAGAGAAGAGGCATATGATCATCGTCATCCTTGGTGTATAAGGATGCACAGGATGCACGCCCGAACGGGTAGCCAGAGGAGACTGGGATTCGGGCTGACGCAATAGAATCCCGGGAGGTGAGACAGCTGTTGATCCCATCCAAATAATTGTAGAACTATGAAGTTCGGCGGGGACCATCGCAGGATTTCTTCATTTATGGACGAGAGCCCTGCGCCCTCTCCATCTGTACTCGTTCCGCCCGTTTGATCCGTCGGATCAATTCGATGTACTCCGTGACGCGCTTCTCGGCCCAGATACAGCCGCCCAGGGTCATGGCTGCGATCTGCAGAAAGACCTTGAACTGTGGCGTCAGGCCCCGGTAGATGCGCGCCGTAGGCGAGATCCACTCGGAGAAGCCCTCCAGTGGGCGGTAGAAGAGTCGAGAGCGGAGATACTCGCGGGAGAAGGGTGACGGGCGGGGACGGGGTTGCGATTCGGGGGTGACGGGCGGAGTAGGTGCGGAGAAGGTGAAGGGATGGGGGAGGACCATGATCATATGGGCTAATAGAGAGACGGAGCCGAACTATTACTGCATCAGTGGTGGGTGAGTGGTACCTGGGTTATAGTGCTGGGCTACACACGCGAAACACGCCGGTCATGAAGCCTTTGGCGGCTTCTGTGGTGATTTCTGGCGGGGGTTCAATATTGGCCCTTTGATCTGAAGGAGGCGGCATTGTCAAGAACAAAGCAATAAGCAATACAAGGTGTAATTCAATGGGTTCGAAGGTTCGAAGTCGAGATCTCGTGATGCCGGACTTATCGGTGAGCTGCGGGACGAGGGAGGGAGAGCACAATGAGTAATGCCGGGAGAGTGATGACAAGACGCAAGCGCAGTTGAAAAGGAATAATCAAACTCGCAATTGAATTCTCTGGACCAGCCAGCGGATGAAGTTGTTAAACAACACTCAGAGCAAGTTGGAGTTGATCAAGCGGATCAACGATTCTCCCGATAGCGACTCAGATAAAAAAGAAATCCGATGACCAACGTGCGTCTGGGAATATTTACTCCAACCGCGACAATTCGAATAATCTGAGCTCTAAACCATCAATTACCCTCGATAACATCATGGCCTTCGCCGCGCGCACCGCGTCGATCTCGCGGGCCACCAACGAGACCAAGATCCAGGTGTCGCTATCGCTGGATGGCGGGGTGCTCCCGCCCTACGAGCCCACCACGCACTTTGCTGCACCAACAGACCCCCAAGAAGCCGAGGCCGCCAAGAAGGGCATTGTGCCTCCCAAGAACGCGGGACATGCGACGCAGTTCACGCCGACACAGCAGGTGACGGTGAGCACGGGGATTGGGTTTTTGGACCACATGCTGCATGCGCTGGCGAAGCACTCGGGCTGGAGTTTGGCGGTGCGGGCGAAGGGAGATTTATACAGTGAGTTGCCCCCTCTTTCTCCCTTCTCTTGAACTATATACACTGTAAGAGCCCACTAACATAATATAGTCGACGACCACCACACAACGGAAGATACCTTGCTCGCCCTCGGCACAGCCTTTACCAAGGCCCTCGGCGCGCGCCAATCCCTCACGCGCTTCGGCCGCGGCGACGCCCCGCTCGACGAGGCCCTGTCATGGGCGGTGATCGACCTGTCGAGCCGACCCTGGGCCGTGATCAACCTCGGGTTCCGGCGCGAGAAGATCGGCGATCTGAGCACGGAGATGATCACGCACGGGCTGCAGAGCTTTGCGCAGGCGGCGGACGTGACCTTGCATGTCGGCTGCACGTACGGCGACAACGACCACCACCGGGCCGAGAGCGCGTTCAAGGCGTTGGCAGTTGCGATTCGGACGGCTTGTGCGCGGCGCGGAGCGGGGGAGGTTGGAGCGGGGGATGTGGTGAGCACCAAGGGTGTTTTGTAGATAAAAATGGTGAAGCCAAAGAAAAAAAAAAAAAGGGGGAAATATAGATAGCTACCCATTCTAGCATGAGACGAAGCTATGTGCGACGTGTTTGGACATACCCAATGACTTTGAATTCGACTTGTACCGGTACAATAGCAAGTAGATAGATTCATATTCAAGCATAAACATCACTCATAACGCGGAGCCCATCGAAACACCATCGAAGACCAGCTCTGAAAAACATAAATCATAAAATCAAACAACTCACTCAAAACAAACCATTCCTCACAATCAACACTCAAGAACTCACACCAAGCGCCTTAACAGCGCGCTCCCAATACTCCTTCCGCTCCTCCGTAACAGAAGTGCCGACACAGTCACTAATATACTTCTGCCAGCCCGTCTCGGACCCAGACTGCAGCGCCGAGCGCACATCCTTGGAGCACTGCGTCGTCAGAAACCAAGCGCCAGAGCCAAAGTCGTGGGCCGGGTTACTGCGCAGCAGATCCAGCAGGTCGGCCGGGTTGTTGGAGACCTTTGCGAGCTTGTCTTTGAGGGCGGGGAGGGAGGAGGCGTATTTTTTGTTGAAGGCGGGGGATTGCATGTTGCGAGCTGTAACAGATCAGCATGAATATATATGTATAGACATAAGGTGGTATAGCATGCAAATCCATAGATTTGTATAGATGCATGCTTATAGGAAGTATACGTACTGCCCTGCCCCGCTACACCAGGGTAATGATTCTTATTATACTTGAACTCATCACTCTCAAACGCCATCAGACTCAGCACCGCCGCCTGCTCGGCCTTGGACGTGACCTTGTAGGTGTCGAAGGACTGTGCCGTCGATTTGGCGGCTTGTTTGGCGGTGGCACATTCGCCCTTCGCTGGCGGATTGTCGCAGGACTTGGATTTGGGTGCGATGGCGGCGACTTGGGATTCGGTTAGGCCTGTGTCGCGGGTGGCCAGGGAGAAGGGGATGGGGATGGGTGTTGCGGTGGAGAAGAGGGAGAAGGTGAGGAGGGTTGTGGTGGTGAGGATGGTGGATCGCATTCTGGTGATCAAATAGAGAATGGGAGGTTCTTGAGTAAAAGGAGGAGAGTAGATAGACAAGTGGGAAGTAGAAGTAGTAGTGATAGTAGATCAAGAGGTGTATAGCAGCAGAAGATATTGTAGTCAACTATATCACAATAGCAAGGCAGAACAACCTGGGGCTATCCATCGAGTTCACGGGCTCCACCTCCCCCCATCTTTATAGCCTGGCCTCACATTTCTGAAGGTGGAAAAGTGGCGGGTCCGAAACAAGGGCGAGCAACATTGTCGTGTGCTGGGAAGGCCACAAAGGGGGTGGATGCGGAGAATGCAGCCTGGAGTATGTCAAAGAAACAAATCCCCAGCATCCAGCAACTCCAAAATCCAACTGAAACCTCTGGCGTGGGTGCTGGAAACCAATAAAACGTGGTTCCAGAGACATTGACTGAGTCAACGCAGATGTATCACACAATGCAAGGCACGGCACTGCGGTTGGAGGTTGCGGAGGGAATTAAAGAGTTAGGGTTAGGGTGAAACACTTCCCGAGTTGACGTATCAGTCGACCAATACCTCGGACTACATCTTATATGAAGAAAAGTGAGCAAAAGAGCCATGAATTCATCCTTCTCCCCTGGAGATCTCAGATCCATGAGCACACTGGGAATATCCCGCCCCTTTGATCCCGAGAATCGAAAAGTCTAGCTGGTTTACAAAATCGGTATGTCAAACAAAAAAAATATTAGACGAGAACATGAAGACCAAAGGTGGCAGAATAGCGCACCACCGCGTATATTCCCAGAAGCAAAAAGCAACCCAATTGGCTCCAGGTGAGCAGCAAACCCAGGGATCCCGCCACGGGATTGAGACACCATGCATACGCTCTCAAAAAAAAAAAGATGATCAAGGTTGTACAATAAATGCGCTGATGCAGAAATCGTGTCGACAGGCCGTATCGAGACACAAATACACAGAGATTTTTTTTTCTTTCTTTTGAATCTCTTAATCATCGCGACGGCCGAGTTCGTAGGAGGTCTCGGTGATCCCGCCGAGTTCTTCGTCTTCTTTGAAGCTCACCCGGCGCAGGAGAGTCGGTACGGTGAGTCGCGAGCGCCTTGTAGGCGAGGAGAGCCGCGACGGGCTGATGATGGCAGGCACCTTGGTGTAGCGGTAACGATATTGGGCGCCCAGAAGCATGACACGCCCGTAGGTCCACCAGAAACAAAATCCAACGATGCCAGCGAGGACAAAGCCGAGGAAGGTAAGGAACATCCAGTGTTGGCCCATCTAAAAAATATTAGTTTGGAATTTGAGTTTGAGAAATCCTTCGCGCAACTTACCCAGAAGATCAGACGGGCATCCTTCCCGTGCCAGCTGTTACCCGTGTGGTGGGTGAAAAAGCTCCACGAAAATTTGTTGTACTCATCCTGCATCAAGATCCGGACCCGACCACTCTCGATCGGCTTGTCCAACATGTACTCCTTCCAGATAACGGACAGGAACAATGGCCCAGTCGAGTACATGACCGTGATGTAGGGCAGCATCCAGTGGCGGTCATACAATTGCAACAGCTCGATCACGCGGAGGAAGAACGGATGTTGCGGGACAGAGCCCATGGCATCGTTCGAGATGCCAGTGGGGACAGTCCGGCGCACCCACGCGGGGTAGGCGAGCAATGGGTCCAGTCGACGGTTGCAACCCTAGACAATGGCGTCAGATCTGCACACAACTCACTCAAGAAAAAGAAAAAGAAAAAGACTTACATCGTCCAGATCGATATATGTTCCACCGTAGTGTGCCAGAACGAAATAGCGAATTGAGTCGGCTCGCTGGATGGGATATTTGTAGCCGTCGAAGGTGTCGAGGAACCAGGGGTATTCGGCGGCGATGAAGTCCCGCGACTTTTCGTTGGTCCAGAGCTGGAAGAAAGTTAGCATCCAGGGTCTCTTTGTGTTCTTCTTTTCCTTTGGAAATCCAAAAGGAACATACAATGTACTCGTAGTCCGGGTGCAAATCAATGCAGCTCCGTTGCGCCTCCCTCCACACCTCGGGGATGGTCTCGTTTTTGTAGGTCTGGTGAATGATCTTGGGGATAATCTGCGGCCTGTGTTCGATCAGGCTCGAGTTCGGGGAGGGCAACTCGGCGCGGTGGATCGCATCGGCGGCGGCATCCTCGATCAGGAGGGATAATAGAGTCGAGACGCTGCGGACGAGGAACGACAACAGGAGAAGGTTGACGACGAGGAAGATCAGGAGACCACGCCGCATGATGGGGGAAAAGGTCGAGAGAGGTGAGACAGAAAACCAGTGGTAGGCAATCACCAATTGCACCCAGCAGGTTTGAACAATTCGTGCGGAAGCGCGTCTCGCAGACCCCAAGGTCGCGAAGGATCCAACACGACCTTTTTTTTTCTTTTCTTCTTCTTTTCTTTCCTCCGTTTTGTTGAGAACCCAAGGCACTTCGAGATAAAAAAAAAAAAAGACTCAAGAACCCAGGATCATGGAAGGCGAAAATTCGCAGGAAATAGGGGACTAAAATCCAACGCGCGCGCAGGGAGAAATTGGGAGAGGATAATAAGGGGAGAAAGACGTGGTCTGAGCGCACAATAAGGAGCGACGGAAGTGGGGAGAGCTAGAGCGAAACGAGAAAAGATCAAGGAGTGGAAAAGGGCCGAAGAAAAAAAAAAAGGAAAAATGAGAGACTATCGAAAATATCGCGAGAGAAAGGGGGCAAAGTGTCAACAGTCGAGAGAAGGCTGAGCGGTGGCTGAGGGCCCCCCGACCCACTTAGGGGACAGAATAGAGGGATGTGATTGGCTGGAGTGGACCTTGGTTCCTTCTTTTTCTGCCTACTTGCCTTATTTTGTACTTGACTTGTACTTCGATGTACTCTCTACTATTTTTTAATATCTATAAATATATTATATCCTATGAGATATAGATATACAGACATACTATAACTAAATACTACATACTAAATACTATGCAATGAATAGACAGCACCCTAGGTTATCAAAGAGGGTCTGCCTCGTCATCGTCTGGTCAACCTAGGGTAGCGCTGTGGGGATCCCCACGACAACGAACTTAGTGAGAACTGGGAGACCCATCTGCAGTAACTAGTCTGACCATTGACCATTCTTACCAGCTGCAAAGTGTGACATAGAATATTAGAGTAGTCGAGTACATCCATATACTATATTTATCATCTTAGTATGTACCTCGCAGGTACTGTCCATCGTGGCGGTACTATGGCACTTGCGTAAGACTCCACGTCGCTCGATAAGATGATGAAATGGGTGTTAATATATATATTAACCTACTAAAATATTATATTCAAAAAAAAAAAGGATTCACTAGAAATGGGAATGCACCCCGATTCGCTAAGATAGCGCCACCAATATCCCCAAGGAACAGTTGAAGAATGCACTCGAAACTCGAGTCGTATCCGTGGACTTATACTTGGTACTTGGAGAAAAGGTCAAGGTCCACTTCCGCGTATCACACCCCCCCCTAATGAGGCAATTCATGATTGGAGTGGAATTGAAAGAGAAAAAGGAAAAAAAAAAAAAAAAAAGGCGTGGCGCTTGGCCCCCACGGGCCCCTAATAATCGCGAGCAGCTGGGCGCTGGTACGCTGAAACAGCGCCCCGACAAGCGCCTCCACTTGTAACAGCCAACAACCCACGGTTCGGCCGCATGAGAACACAGACTCATGCCCCTCTCTTTCTTACATACACACGCTGTCTCCCTGAGATTCTATGTATGCCCCTCTTTTCCTACGTATCTCTCCAGACTCTCCAGATGTTACGACTCGCGATCAGCGCGGGTGGCACCATGACGTGAGTGGGTTTCGTGGTAGCCTGCGTTGGCCCCTTAGTGAGAGTAGCAATGACGCCGATCGTCAACCCAGTCCACGGGCCATAGTCAGAAACAGCCGGCGATCAGTGTACGCCTTATTTATATACACTTTTTTGTCCCGTCCTGATGTCCCGTCTGGGATCTACAGTATGTATAGAGTTGCCCCAGTATGACACGTCCCTCTTCTACCCCTTTACACGGTGGACATCTCGAGTCAAGGATCGCAAGAAAAGATGACAAAATGTATGACAATGCGACCAGTAACCAAAACCCCTCAGGCATGGGCCTGTGCCTCGTGGGCAGCCTTGGCCGAGGTCAGAGGCTGGTCGATCGACATCCCCATTTTCCTGGTTTGATAGAATCGCTGGGTGTTTTGAGGCCAAGCACGTTTGGTGGGGGAAAATGCCAATGGCCGTAGATAAATTGCCCCAGGGTCCATCGCGAGGGCATATATCGATGTCAGTAGAGCTGGACAGTAAGAAAAGATCGCATACTCTCCGCCCCAACTCAGCCCCAAGCAGATCCAAGCAGACCCAAGAAAGAATGCGAATAATATTTCCACTTCGAGTAACTCTGTAACGACCATGGAATGGGAGTCAATTTCATGGTTGCCTGCTTTTACGCAGGGTTGGGGGCAACGTACCTCGGCAACGCCACCCGTGGGACTCGTTTTTCTTCTTCGTTTCCAGAAGAAACGCCAGTCAAACTCTCAGATAAAACCGGAATAGCTCCGCCTCACTGTGCCCACGTAAGTACTGCAAAGCCCGACCCCATTCGTCATTGACCCAGTCCTGGCACATTTGGACAGCGACCAGCGAGCGAAATGCGACTTACTCCATGAGGATTAAGGGGCATCCCACGGTATTTCTTTCGTCCATTTCGTAGCCGAAGATGTTCGGAATGGGTATGTTTGTCTCTTGGCTATTGCATAACAGAGACATGGTTGTACTAGAGCCAGGTCTTGATAGCTTTGGTACTTACCGCACATAGTCCATGGTTGCAAGCTCAGACTGCATATCCAAAAAAAAAAAAAAAAAAAATTCCTCTTTTTCTTCTCTCTTTCGACTGCATCGTTCGCATGCGCAACCTTGCGATCTATTCAACGCCGCCGCCGAACTGGATCTTGCGCACAAGATGGAAATCGCCCACGGAAAATTCGGCAGAAATGATACATGGCTGCTGTCAAGGAACCGATCGATGTGTTCGGAATACTCGCCTTCATACTCTTCCCCGCTTGTCCAGGCGGCACTTCCAACAGGGAGAGAATCTACCATGTTGACGAGATTGGTTAGGATGTTTAAGGTTGAATAGGGTTCAAGGAGAGAAAGAGGAACTAAGTATATGCAATAGTAGAATTCAAATGCTAGTATCGAGATCAATCGACTCATATCGGGTATCCTAGGCTATGTCCAAATGCAAACCACGCTCTATCAATGGCAAAACACTTTCTCCAATTCCGCCATAACAACTGTCCGATTCCATCATGGAAAATGTAGAGCCGAAATCGAGATCAAGATCCCTGATATACCACTCTTTAGGGAAGTGTGTTGACCTGTCTGACTGTTGGACAAGGGTCCGGTCGAATGAAGATGCTGCTTCTGCGTCTTCTCTGTCTTGGAGGGACGAATACTCCAACCAGGAAGATGGGGGCAGGTGGAATGTCCTGTATATCCACTGCGTTGCTTCGTGGATTCTCAACTTCAGCGTTGATCAATCGCGGCCGCGCTCCAATCAGGTCTAGAGAGAATTCAACCAAAATCAAGGGTTCTCAGACTGACTCAAGGATCCATGGACTCTCTATACTTCCACTCAAGAGTGGATTCCTTGCCAGATATATAGGAACTGGCAAAATGACACCGCATCAACCCAAACAAGTAACTCATCGGACCTCGGGCGCGGCAGCCGCCGCGAATTCACGGTTCACATTGGTCGCATCAGTTGTGCGCGTCTCATCGGCCTCCCGGGACTCAAACAGACGCCGCCACCACATGGGCGGGTCGAGCGGACGATGACCGCCATGCAGGGACGGGTAGACGTCATTGAAAAAGTACCAGATATGGCCGACGACGACACCACAGATCTCGTCCTTGGGCACGATCTTGTGCACGATCAAACTGAACGCCATCAACACCCAGGGCAGGTAGGGGGCCGTAAACACCAAGAGACCCAGGAAGCTCAGACGAGTCTCCGGGTTGCGGCGCGCCCAGATATAAACCAGGCTAGACGAGAGCGCAGTGCCCAGAAACGGCAGCGACAGAAACGGGGAGATGACCAGGAGCGAGGTCATGGCATAGAAGATCAGCCAGGCAAATTGCGCCGGTGAGCGGCCGGAGGATTCCTCCAGGAGACGTGAGTACCGCTGCAGGAAGAAGACATGGAATAATAGATCGAGGTTGAGTGGGCCGAAATATAGGAAAGTGGTAAACAGCCGCCAGTACTGCGACTTGGCGTAGACAGCGCGGAAGCTATAGAAGAGCTGGAACGGGGTCACGACGTGACACTGCACCAGCACCGAGGTGGCCACCGTGGCCACCGTCCACCATCGAGTTACGGGCGGCATTTCGTAGAACCATTGCTCGAGGGGAAACTGGCCCGCCTGCCCATTGTTCTCCCAGAGTGCGGCCATGGTTGATACAAGAATCAGGAGTTGCAGGACAAATGGACCGCCAGGTGTATATGGGGAGGGGAGATGATGATAAGGGGAGATGATCGGAGGCCCAAAGACCAAGTAGACCGTATCTTATCTCTATCGTCACGTGTCACGACGCGTCTTACGTAAGAAACACGGGGGGCTGGGGAACCCAATGGGGACATATGGGCGTTTCCAAGGTTCCCAGCCTCTCGAGTGATATTATTTGATCTCAGCATTGCACTCGTGCTTCAACAAGCTTGCTTTAGCCTCGAATTCTGCAAGGGCCATCTTGACGTGTGCGATCTGCAGGAAGCTTACTGCGCGCAACCATTTTCAATTGTTGTTTTTTTTTCCTCTGGCTCGCAAACACATCTTTTGTCCCTCGAGTCCACGATGCCACCCAAAACAGCCCACAAGACAGGGTCCTCTAGCACGCCGAAGAAAGGACGACCCGCACTGGCAGCAACCAGCAAAGACTCTCCAGCACGGCCAACGACATCGCGCAAGTCCACAGCCGGCCTGAGGGCAGGGAAGCAGCCCGCCGTCGCAAAGAAAACGAGCAATGTCCAACGTACGTTTCTCCCATGAGTGCCGCGCTCGTGTGGTCGGCCGCATCCCTTGATCCATCCCCCCTCCTAAAAAGAGAAAGAACAAGCCAAGTCGCAATGCTATTCGTACCGCTGTACTCTCGCAACCCGTATCTGACATTTTCACCCCATCTAGCTGGCGATCCCACACCACAAGGCCGCCGCCGCCGCTACAAGCCCGGCACAGTAGCACTGAAAGAAATCCGGCGCTACCAACGCTCGTTCGACCTCCTGATTCAAAAACTGCCGTTTGCGCGCCTAGTCCGCGAGGTCGCACTCGATCTGCTGCCCGCAGACGTCGGCGCCGAGCTGCGGTGGCAGTCGCACGCTATCCAGGCGCTGCAGGAGGCCGCCGAGGCCTTCCTGGTCCATTTGTTCGAGGATACCAATCTCTGCGCGCTACATGCCAAGCGCGTCACTATCATGCAAAAGGACATCCAGCTTGCGCGCAGAATCCGGGGCGTGTGGGGTGGACTCGGCTGATTTTTTTTTTTATTTTCTTTCATATTGCTGTTATTTCTTTGTTTGCGTGTGTTTTGCCTAATCTTAATTCTTGTGCAGTCGCTGATACCCAATTACTCGAGCGCCGGGTTTATCAGCCCCCAGACTGTGGGCGTACTAGGGGCATGGAGTCCAACTCGGAATGGGCGGTGTTTTTCTTTGTTTTGTTGATCGCCTGCTTGTGCTCTGTGGAGCCTCGTGCTGGCGTGTGGTCCAGACTATACCAGGGTGATTGTACGTTAGGTACGGATGTCGGGTGTTGTGTCTGTTGCCTTTCTATAATTGAAGCAATTGATGATCCCGAAGACGGGGTGTGGTTCACACGCCTCTCTTCTCTTCCCGAATGATCTTTCTTTATAGCATAGACTACCTAGCAGACACCTAGGTGTAAACTCATTTCGTCTTGTATCCAATGCTGCACAAAACCATACGCCATGCGCTCGTTCCTCTTAAGAAGCAAAAGAAAAAAAAAAAAAAAAAAAAAAAACAGAAACGCCCCCGCCCCCGGTGTAGCCATAAAATGGTATCGTAAACGAAGCGCCTCCCCAAGAAAAAAATCCTTAAAAAAGACAACCCACAAAAAAGCAAGAGAAAGAGCAATAGCTGGTGCATCGTGAAGCGCGGCAAATACCGATGGATCGCAGACAAACACGTCATGTTGAGCGTCTCAAACCGGGTGGAAGTCCCATGATCAGGCGCTGGCCTTCTTCTCGAACGCCCAGAGCCTCGTCACTTTTGCCCTGCCGCTCGAGGGTCTCGGCAAGCATGTCGTCCGTCACGCTGGCCCATAGGCGATCATTGGCTCTCTTGGCCATGGCACGACCGGCGCGCGAACTTTTCTCGGCTTGTTCGCCGACCACCCCGCGGAAATATCGCCAGCTCATGAAGGTGAGGGTCATGCATGTGATCTGGCTATTGCTGATGGTGGTGGCGGACTGGAGAGCCTGTTGCAGGTATTGTTTGGTCTGGATGGTGGAGTCGGTGTGTACAGTGGCGCACACCAGATAGTAGGCCGCTTGGATATATTTGTTTGGGCTGACCAGACAAAAGGAGTCGAGGATGGATAGTAAACCAGGAAGATGCGAGTGGGCTGGATGCGCCGGGTCACGGATGATTAGAACCGTGTTGAGAGCGGCAAGGATGCGCGTGTCACGACAGGGATCATTCCGCGTGGTTCGACTTGTTGAAGGAGGGAGTGACAGAAGCGGTGATTGAAAAATACTCAACGCGGCTTTGAGATCGCCGGTGGCTTGTGCAATGGTACCAGCGGCATATTTCATCAAGCATTCGATGATGTGCGGAAGATTTGAGCCAAGCTCCTGCGCAAACTGTCGCAGGTCATTGAGGGTCTGGCTGGCAAGATCCCAGTCGGTCCGAGCGCAGGCTAGGAAGACGCGTTGGAGAAGGAAGTTGCAGTAAAGAGACTGCCGCCATTCCACTCGTCGATTAGCATTCACCATTGATTCGGAGATTGCCTGCGGGGCCTTGAAATTTCCTGCAAGACAAAAACAATAATTAGCGGTAGCTCAGCAAATGCAACAAGTCACAACCCTCACTTACCTTGAATCATGCGAAGTCCCTCATCAAGATATTTCTCCGCCTTCCGGCCATCATAGGAGTTTTTGGCACTAAGGGTGATCGAGCTCAGAAAGTAGCAAAGCGCATAGAGATCATGCTGGGGAAGCCAGTTGAAGCTCAAGAGCAATGTCCCATTCTGAACCTGCAGGATATCTCCTGTGTCAATGGACGATGGACCAGCCGATCTCCCAGTCAGAGGAACAGAAAATGAACCATCGGCGCGCCAGTTGGCGTCGCCCAGAGTCTCATCCATCAGGGTCTGCATTATTTTCAACTTCTGCGAAGACTGGTTGACATCGTACTCCAAGAGACTGCAGCAGATATCAACCATCTGGATCAATGTTGTAAGCTGAGGGATATGACGGAGCTCATCGTTGAGCTGGTGACTTCGAGCCGTGGCCACTGCCCGTTGTGCCTGCTCGATGGAATCGGAATTGGTCCCTTGCTGTAAGTGTGCCAATGCTTCAATAACCGCCGACATGACTGAAACAGCTTTGTCTCCGTTGCGACTGGCCATAGCTGCAATCTTGTGCAGGTGGTGAACCGCTTGTATGGTATCTTGATGAGAGAAAGATGACATTGAAAGGGTCACCCGAAGGAATCGAAATGCATATTCCCAGGCCGCATGACGATACCTGTTTTTATCAGTATTTCCCACATTCAATGCAAGTCAGAAATTACATACGTTTCCACGTCCTGGATCATGCCATCGACGGCCTTGAGTGCAGCTTTGGGGTTGGTCTTGTAAAGCATCCTTGCCATGAGGTGCTGCATGCTATATTTCAAGTCCAGCATACGGTTCTGCTAAATGTCAATATACAGAAAGTTCCAAGGAGATGGAAAGTTTACTGACTCGCTCACAAAGATCGATCTGTCCAATAAATTAGCCTTGCCAAAATCATCGAGGGAATGAAGTGATGACATACTCCTTTGCTCAACGCCGTCTCTGCTTCCAGGTCATTATCGGTTTCTTCAAACAAGGTTCGTGCGTAGCGAAGTCGCACAAGAGCTTCTTTGCGAGGTTGGAGTCGCCAGTTCTAGTGTCAACTAGTTAGCATGAAACAGAAAAAAAAAGGGACTTTCTACCAACCTTCAAGACAGCCTCTAAACACCCAAGCCCGGTTGCCACAAGTTTGTAGTATTCCTCGATATCAGCCTCACGGGTCACCAGCGCTGTCGTTGTTCCATTAGAGTGGGCGGCATTAAGATATTCATCTGCCAGCGACAACAACAGAACCTGGTAATCGACAGAAGGTTTTGTGGGCTTCGGTGGCTTTGCCGATTTGTCGGCGGTTTGTTGGATGGGCTGTCGCTTCTGCTGTTGTTTTTTGGAATGTGGTTTTTGCATCTTCGCCTGGACTTCCGGAGAAGGGGCTGGTATCATCACCTGCGGGACGTGGTTCGTCATAGGCGATGGGGTTGGCTGGGGGCGCGGTACACTGGTCTGTGGGGTGGGTGGAGGTTTTTTCAGCTCTACCTTGGGAGAAGATTGAGGTTGAATTTGTGAGGCCTCGGCCTTGACGATGGGTTGCGGTTGCTGGGTATGCAGGCTTGACTGGCTTTGCTGAAGGTGGGCGTTTGGCTGAGGGCTGGGAGGAAGGGCAACATGAACTGTTGTTGCTTGTGACGGGGTTGAAGAAGCAACCGGGGCCATTGGAGGTGTACTAGCAGCCGGAGTCGAAATGGGAGATAGTTCGCCATATTGGGAGGGATGGATGTAGCGGGATCGCGGCGCAGTTGGCAGCGGCGGCTGGACAAACAACTGAGCTGGGTTGACAAACTGATGCTGCATCTCCTCCTGCGGAGGAACAGGTGGAGGTGGAAGCGGTGCAGGCGCGGGCGCGGGCGCGGGGGCAGGGGCCTGGCGCGGAGGCTGCGGAGTGGGTACTGGCTGCGATTGCGGTTGTAGTGGTGGCGGAAGATGCTGTTGAGGTTGCTGTTGTGGTGATGGCTGCGATGGCGGGTTATATTGTTGAGGATACGCGGGATAGGGCATCATGCCCGGCGGATACACCCCGGGCTTGCCATAGCCATTGTATGGCGCTGGCGATGGCGCGACATTGCTGTACAGCAACTGCGGGGGAATACCCTGGTACTGTGGTGGGGGTATATACTGCGGGTATTGACCAGAATGGGGTGGTGGGAAGCTCATCGCCCCGAGATGCAGACAAACATGGGGAGACCAAGTCGCCTGTGCCAACGCGCGAGATGGTGAGACTGGGGAGCGTCGGTTCGGAGAAACTCCCGGCGGTCAGCTGATACCGGTTGCCTATTCGGGAAAAAGCAAGTCCTAAGAGACAACAGTACCATAATCCTTTCCACTGTATTGGAGACTACTATACACTAAATAAATATGATAACGCCTCATTAACTCCGATTCCAAGCGCACCAACTCCACAAAATGATATATGGAACACGCTCCAGCGCCATTCTGCCAATTCCATCAAATCATGCGTAGAGACGAATATAGTTGAGTCATGGTTTGGTTATCCATAGCGGGATCAGTAATCTCTTGTCCCAAACTTGGCGGAAACTCGAGTGCAGGATGTTCCCGCACCGTCCATGGGCAGAGTTCATTGCAGTTTTCCACACTGATCGAGGGTTCAGCGGGATGGATTCGTTGCGCTGCCCAGGTCGCATCGGGTACAGCACCCGTCCCTCCAAGACATCGCTGGGTCCAGAATAAAAACTTGACTTTGCCTGACTTCTCGGATTGGATTGGCTGTTTTCGAGGACACTTCAGTGTCGTTTTGCATGCACTGCAAACCGAGATGCGCTGACAGGATGAACAAAACGAATCGAACAGGCGACAGATCGTGGTCTGATAGACTCCTGAGAGCCACAAATCGACGGATCGATGAGCGCACCCAAAGCGTGGTGTCATGCATTCCTCCTTGCCCACTTGTCCAGGTTCCGTTGTGAGCTGGTATTCGGTACGAATGACCAATCCATTTTCTGCATTGAGCTCTGGGAACAAGGATACGTGCAACTCGGTCGAGCCGTACTGTTCCTTGCACGAATGCCAACAATAACGATCCTCGACCATATTTCCAAACTCCGATTTCAAGGCATTCAGGGAGATCTGCCGCACTCGCAAGTGGTCTATGAGATCCATCTTATCCCGGAATGTCAACTTTTTGCACGGGCAGAGGTCAACGATGCCGGCGAGATCTCCCACATTGCATGTGCGTGCCTCTGGCTTGCGTCTCAACTCTCGGGCTGGAAATGCGGCTCGTGGATGGAGTTTCAGGCACTTGGAACAGGCACGCCAGCGGGTGTTCTCCAGCAAGTTGATGAATTGCCAGCGCGGTGTGACAAAATTGTGTCCATTGCGGTAGTGGTGAAATAAAGGCGCGAAATCACGAGCAAAGCGTAAGGATTTTGAGGTCAAGGTTTCTCCGGAGATGGCGAACATGCGCTTGCAGGTCAACGCAAAAGCGGCCTCCGGAAGTAGCGGGAGGTGTAAGGTGATCTCCAGGAGCAGCTCGGTGGGCAATTCCATAAGATAGCAGCGGCGCGGCTTTTCCTGCTCCTTCTTTTTCGAACGGGTTTGAGGCCACGACTTCATTTTCATCAGTATCTTCAGCTTCTCTGTAGCTCGATGCATGAGATCAGGCATGTTGGATGGGGATTCTCTGCTTAAAGCCATGGGGAGGCGTTGAAGGACTCGTGCGGAATGGGTGGTGGGCATGTATTTTTATGATCAGACCTCATGAGAGACGGACGGTTCAATGTGATGAGCTTCGACTCGACTGCTGAAATCTCATAGTTGTAGTAGAGATGGGGTGCATCGTGTGACAACCAGGCGCAAGCATTCTCAAAAGAACACCGACGAAGGGTGGATCTGTTGACCTTGAAGTACTCGTAAAGGGTGATAAAGTTGTACGAAAGCGGACCACGGGATTGGGTCACGGAAGATTGGTGCCTATGTTATCAGCATTACATATAGGGCTTGGAAGACGGATCGTCGCCGGTTCAGCCCGTTCTTGTCTGATGATCGCGAAGCAGATCCACAGACTCTCCTAGCGCGTCAACACTGTTTTTGTTTCCTTTGAAACATCCGTCGAGAAACATGTCCATTGTCCGAAAGCTGGGGTGATTCCGCCGGAAGCTATCTAGGGCTTTCCGCATGCGGATTCCCGATGGCCGCATCGAGCATCATCGCATCATCACTCTATTGTTAGCAATATCCCAGGGATTTCTTTCCCAATATCAACCGGGGCTTTTTCTGATGTCCAAAAAGGGCCCGAGTACTCGCGTGCCATGACACTGTCAACTGACAGAGAAGCCGTTGAGTCCCATGACGATGGCGCATGTTCTGAATAGATGACTAAGCACACCTTCTTGATGCCTGAGGCACAAGTTATGCATAGATGTAAATCACGTGGTGATAAAGAAAAGCTTAGTCACACCGGTCTGAATTGGAAACTGCCGAGGTCCCCCCTCTCATCGATCTATTTTTGCTTTTTCGCCTTGTTTTTCGCTGCTCTTTTCTCTTCATGAGGTTCTCGAATTGAGAACGCAAAACTTCCATTACAAAAAAGGCTTCTGTATATTTGGACAATAGACAGATATCCGGTCTCTTTTCTGTAGTCTACAGACGCCCATACCGGATCTCGCATCAACGTTGCTCTCGAATCCCGTATCAGTGCTCTTATCGGGATTATTGGCAATGAGCCTGCTCTCATGGACTCGTCCGAACGGGCGCATCTCGTTCTTTCATGCCAAAGACAACAAGCTCCTATTGACAAAGGTCTCTGACAAGCCCGGAGCCAAGGAGCAGACGACCCTGGTGGACGTCTGCCGTGCCGCAACACCGGACACATGCCATCTCAACCCATTCCTTTTCAACGGCCATCTCCAAACAGCCTGGACGGTCGTGAAATTTGACTCGGTCCCGATCTACTACAAGCGCAAAATGTTCGAGGCGGACAGCCCCATGTACACGGGCCAGTTCGCCATCGACTTTGTGGTGCGGCCATACGATATGCCCCCGGACGGGGAACTCACCGACCAAGCGAGGAAGTATACCATGCCGTCAGGTCTTCCGCCACGGACGTCTTTCTATTCTGAGGATGAGTTCTCTGCGGTACCGTCAAATGACACGAAACCTATGCTTGTGCTACTCCACGGTCTGAGCGGTGGTTCACATGAGTTGTATCTGCGGCACGTCCTTGCTCCTCTCATGGCTGACGGCTCTTGGGAAGCGTGTGTGGTGAACTCTAGAGGATGCGCGCAGACCAAAATTTCTAGCGGAGTTCTCTATAATGCTCGGGCTACGTGGGATGTTCGTCAGGCCGTGAAATGGCTCAGAAAAACATTTCCCAACCGGCCTCTTTTCGGAATTGGCTTCTCACTTGGTGCCAATATTCTTGCCAATGTATGTGTTGATGGATCACGTCTTCTCTTTTTCTAGACTAACAGTTGCTAGTATCTCGGCGAGGAAGGCGACGCGTGTCAATTGAGAGCAGCCGTGCTCTGCGCGAGTCCCTGGAACTTGGACGTCAGCTCGGCGAATCTGCAGCGGACATGGATTGGCCGGGAAGTCTACAGCAAGACGATGGGCTCCAGCATGAAGAACCTCTTCGAACAGTGAGTGGCCCTGTTTCTATTTTTCAAGAATGGTTGAACATCCATCTTACAAAATATCGCTAGGCATGCCGAGGAAGTTTCCAAGAACCCCCGTGTGGATGTTGAAGCAGTGAGAAACACTACTTACTTGCATGAATTTGATCGGTAAGTGGACTAAATTCTGTTTTGATGACACTTCCTGGTTTCTCATTGTGGGATACTTGGAACAGAGCCCTGCAATGTTCAACCTGGGGCTATCCCACCGAAGGCGCCTATTACCGTGACGCTGCCTCCACCGATTCGCTCCTCGCCATAAGAATTCCGTTTCTCAGCGTTCAGGCCGAAGATGATCCAGTAAGCCACATTCCCTCCGGGCCCTAAGTATCCCAACATGCCACTGATCTGCAATAGATTGCTTCACGCGACGCTCTACCATTTCAAGAAATTAGCCAGACTCCCTACGGAGTCATGCTGACTACGTCGTGGGGTGGTCATCTTGGTTGGTTTGAATTTGGAGGGTCAAGGTGGTTTGTCAAGCCGGTATGTATTCTCCAGGGCTGTGTTTGGCCTTCCATGGGACTTGCTGCTAATGCTCCTATTTTTCAGGTGACGAACTTCCTCAACAAGATGGCCAAGGAAATCGACACCCAGACGCCTGGCGTTGTTGAAAATCCCGAGAAATTGCCCGGACAAATTGCCAAGCACCCTGGCTTGGATAAAGATCCTGACCTGGCACCGAAGCCCGACTTCAACCCCATGCGCCGCAAGCTCGCTATGCATACGGTGCAGTGAATTGCCATGCCCTGTACCATCCCATTTCCCCGACAAGTGGCACTGTTATAGCCACAATGAATACTCTCCAGCGGCATTACTTCGACCTCTGACGAGAACCCTTGACATGACCAACAGCATCATTCACTTCACAGCGATGGTTTGGATCCGATAGATATAGAACAACAGGTGTAAACGCCGAACCCCGCGTCTTAAATACATAAACATTTTTACCCCTTCTGGGTGATGTTCAAGCAAATGAAACGCTTTTCCGCTTTTCTTTGGGTGGTTTTGACGTACCCTTTGCGGTTTTCGGGGCTGGTTCCGTAGGTTTGTCGTCACCACTCTTGCGCTTCTTCTTCTGCCGGATAGCATCCTTGGCGTCTTCCAGCTTGGACTTCTTCTTCGCATGCCGTGCCTCGGCCTCCTTTCGCTTGGCCTCGCGGATCTCCTCTAATTGGCGGGCCTTCATCATCTTCGACTCGATCTGGCCTTCCTTCTCTGCATTCACCATTGCGAGAATCGTCCTCATGCCCTCCTACACACATAAGAAGCTTGTTAGCAATGCATCCAAGTAAAACAATCCTGCGGAAGAACAAAAGGAAAAGGACCGTATCATACCTCATCATCGACAAAAGTCTTGCCCTTCTTCTTGCCCTTGGGCTTGACCACCCCAACCGGCGTGATAGCATTCAGCTTAGGCAGATCCAGCTCCGCCTCAGTATAGACCCTCTTCTTCGTCTTCTTCAGGTTTTCTGGGGCCGAGCGGGACTTGGCCTTGACTTCCTGCGGCGGTGGGCGTTTGACATCCTTCTTGCTCGATTTGCTCACGCGCGATGCAGACGAGGGGGGTTTCTTAGCGCCTCCTACAGACGAGGCGCCCTTGGACGACCCTTTGATGGGCGCCATTTGGTAGGGTCGAGACGTTCAAGCAGTTGGTTGACTTGGAGTTGCGGCACACTGCAGCACTGAGAGAGAAAGTACAGAAATAATCACCAGTACAGACTCGGCAGTACTATAATAACACCGAGACAGAATCACTGCAACAAGAAACAAAGAAAATAAGGAAAACTCATGTCAAGAAAACATGAAGCGAATCGTCGACTTGCGCCGAAACTGCGAAGAGAAATTTTTTGGATCGGGCAGGCGGTGAGGCTGCGCCCATTCCACCACCTCAAAGTGAAACCTCCACCCTCCCTCTCGCAGCTCAGCAAGCACCGCCCTTCCGCTCTCCCGCACCTCGTTTCCCTCCCAATTGAAACGCATTGGGTCGAGTGGATCACCGGATTCTCCATAATGACCATCAACCCTACATACCTCGCGCAGCGGACGCGCTCCTGTACGTCATTCCCAACCCCCGAGGTGTTCCGATTGGTGATGTCGTGGGATTACACTTGGAGGAAACGAGGAGTCTATTCGATTGGAGAGATTGAGCTAATCCTTTTATGCTGGGTTCTAGCTGTCAACTGGAACGATGCGAAATACCGGGTTCTGAAGTCGTACCGAGAATGGCTGCGAGCGGTCAGTTTGTCCTGAAATCCCTATGATGGTGTTGGAACCGATGCAATTGCTTGATGCGCTGCAGTTACTGTGGTGCTTGAGGTGTCTCTTGCGAATGCATGGAACTCTGTGGGATAGGGCTGCCGCTCTATCTGAACCCAATTGCGAGCATTGGACTAATCAGATATATTCGAGTACTGCAGTCCCCCGAGATCCAGACCATGTACTCTCTGGGCATGCCCGTGTCTGCCATCCGTACGAAGATCCGCCAGGAGTTTGAGAAGCACCGCTACGTGAGCCAATTGAGCGTGGTGGATGTGCTCCTGTTTCAAAGTCACGCCGAGTTCCAGGTCAGTCTACGTTTCCGTCAACTTTCATGCGGGCATAGACACTTGATATGGGACAATGGTTGGGCAGTTAACTCTGCCAATTGTTTTGTATTGTCTTGTCTACTATATTCCCTGCGCTGCGCTCTTGTCCAACTTAAGTATGACTTTTACTGACTCTCGATCCAGGAAACCCTCAACTACTGGAAGCAGCTCTCTCACGTCATGAAGTACTTCCGCCCAGAAGAAGACCCCGGTGCGCGGTTACCCCGCAACTTCGTCTCGGGCTTCTTGGAGGGCCGCAATTAAATTCTGTCTTTTGCCCTGTGTCCCACGATCCTTCTCTTTTTCGTCTTCCTCATAGCCGGTCCCGATGTGGCAGTCAGAGAAACTGCGCCATCTAGGGGCATGATGTGTATATATTGTCTGAGTAGCTCGCTCAATCATTTCTGTTCTTGTCTCACATCGAATGCATGTAAACATCGGACTTCCAATGTTATAGGATAGGGCCATCTTTTCTATGTCTTAGTATCTTCGAGACCAATATGAATAAACCGGGAGTAGATGCATAGGTCTGATTTATGCAAATTCAGAAATCCATTGCTAACAATGCACACAAGAACAGGTCTGATATAAACAGCGCTTTTGTCCTCTAGCCAAACGCCAATTAAAATAATACAAAAATTCTTTTTTTCTTTCGAGATAGCCTCCTCTTCAGGATTCCATGCGATTAGCCTTTTCGTCATTAAATTGGTCTCGTGCCGCGGTGAACTTCTCGGTCACCACATCGCATAGATCCATCAGGTCGTTGAAGCCTTTTTCGAGTGCTTCGGTGGCAGTGGTTGAGTCTAGGTGAGGTATATGGTCAGCAGGAATGCTTCAATTCCTCGTAATAGAGAGAACACAAGCCTACCAGTGGTCTGGATGCGGAAGTGCATCTTGGCATCGGAGGGGTGAGGGATGGTGTACCCGCAGAACTCGACAGCGGGACTATTTCAAGAGTTAGCCATGTGTAGAGGCCGAGTATCGCAATAAAATAGTAAATGAATTCCCAGCCATGACCGATCCTTCTCTCTCTCTCTCTCTCTCTTCTGTATCCTCGATAAACAGGAAGATATATGACTTACTTCTTCATAACCGCATATCGCAGCGCATTGCCCATTGTGTGACCTTCTCCCTCAAACTGAAACGACGCAGCCGTCTCCGTGGCACCGGGGAGCTAGAAAATGACCTCGGTATTAGTTCTCTCCTTTTTTTCTCAGGCACCCACCAAACGTACCACCACAATGTGCTTATCGTCCAAGGTGATCGGGTCGACCTCGGCCGCGACCTCGTCCGCCATGGGCTGGTCCTGATCTTGCGAGTGGACGGATTCGGGCATCGTGTGTGAAGTGAGGGGGGTGGTTGGTTGGGATGTGGTTGATATGTGGTTTTTCCACCAGGGAATTGCTAATTGCGTATTTGTTTAGCAGAATCCAAGCCAAGAGCGACAGGCAAAGAAATTCTGGCGGGGACTGCGAAAGGAAGATATCGAGAGAAAAAACGGTTATCGATAGTCGGACTCACCGCCTGCCATTTGCGGATATGTTCCTTGGGCCCAATGATCTTGGAATTCTTTGAACCTCATTCATCTCATTCATGTCATTCATATGTTTTGACATTCTCTTCATGGATTCTATGACCGTATCTACCGAGAGAGCAACCCAAGCTCTCTTTGTGGTTGAGTGGTCTTCCACCCCCTCAGTCCCACAGCAGCACAGTGCGCGAGTGACAACATGTCAGATTGGGGCCAAGAACAGCTCGAATAGCGACCCCAAAAGAGCAAGAGAGTTTGCTTCCAAAAAAAAAGACAGAGGGGTTCATGCGGTGGACTGATCGACGTCCTTGACCTCGAACTCCAGTGACGTGAGAAGCCTCGGACCCAATGAGACCCCCGATCAGTCAGGATGGCGCCAAGTCTGATTCAGATGGCAGGCCTGGGGCAGTCGGCAGCTGGTTCCGTGCATGAGTGACACCGTGAGAGCCTTACAGGAACGAGGTGCCTCTTGGGGAGGGACGAGCTAATGCGATCCTGAGGGGGGCTACATCCATGTTCTGATGCGGTGTGTGTGCGCCACACATCCTTCGCTATACCCCTTCGTGGTTGTTCATGTCGAATCCTTGTCGCTATAAGCGCCGATGGTCGATGTTTGACTTGACCACGCCATCTGAGTCGCTGCACGATGTGACCCCCGCGCCCGAGTTGGCATACAATTTTTCCCAGTTGGCTTTGTACAGTACGTGGGATCGGCTCGAAGGATCAAGGCCATGATATTTTTTTTTGTGGTCCACCGATGTTCAATGATCCACCAGAAACACAAAAATCTGGAGACTCTTTTTTTTTTAGTGTCTTCTATTTTCATATCCAGCAATCAGAATTGGTAGGCCTGACGAGTTGGGGGGGCCCTTGACTCGGATGAGTTCCATTCCTTGGAACCCCGACAGAACTATTGGGACGGCGTGCTAATAGTTCGCGGGTAGCAGGGGTCAGAATTCAAGGTCATGGACACTCCATAATTACAGGTATCAATTTGGGACGGCATGTCACAATGTGACGAGACTCGCCGATCGCCGCGGGCCCAAATGCATTTGACGTCCACGATGGATTTATGGATTGATCAATCCATGTATAGAATCAAATCAAACCAAATAAAATCGAGAATAATACATCCCAGACACACAGACAGTGGATCTATCAACTCACCCCCCCTTGGTGGACCCCGTAATTTGCCCATTCCCCAGACATGGAAAACACTGTCGCAGAGTCGTGAACAGAAACACATCGTGTCTCAGCTGGGGCCCATCCTGATACGCCCAGTGCCGCATGCTTTGGGACTCCTCAAACTTAGTATCGGGTACTTGGGTTGGTTCTGTATCCCCCTCTCCAGCCAAAGTCCCGAGTACAGCCCCCCTGGTCCAACCTTTGATTTCCCCCCTCCTTTTCTTTTTCTTTTAATTTCTGTGATTTTACCCTATTTCTTTTGATTTATTTCTTTTGATTCTGATTTGATATTCCGCTTTTTCTATTCTGCTTCGTTATTTTATTTTTATTGTTTTTCTTTGATCTCCCTTGGGCCCAGATCATCTCGTCCATTTCTCTCGCTTGTTGCTCCGGACTCTTTGATCTCTCTCGTCACACCTACCATCCCTCACCTCCATTGATCTCTTGTTCCCATACTCCTTTGTATATGTGGTGAGATCACTCTTACTCTCCGACCTCGATATCGACCGAGCTCCCTCTCTGCACGTTTTGTTCCGGGTCCCGGCAAACACCTACCACTCGGAATCCTCTCTCCGCACGGGACCATCACCCACGCCGATCGTGTGCAAGAAACGTGGAAGGTGTCTAATTTCTATCTCGATTGGTCTCGACCCTCTTTCAACTCCGGTCTCTTTGTTCCTTGTCGGCGATGTCGACTGCAGTTGCCTCCGCTACAGCGGCCCCGTTATCGTCGCCGCATCCCACCCGCGAAGCGAGCCCGAAGAACTGTCCGACCCTGGCTCCTCCAGCTCCGTCAAACCCCTCCCCTCCTCGAGCACCCACGACTTCACAAGATGGACCGGCTGCGAATGGCTCCCCATCCGGGAAGCAAGGCCCTACGTTGTCACCGTAAGTTGGCCAGTCTGGAAACGTTGGTGATGTGGATGCTGATATCTCCCACAGACCCCAAGCTGGCAGTGGGGGTCCTAATATTACAGTAAAGAAGGAACCGGGCTCATCGCCGCGAATGCAGAGTCGACCTCGCCCTCGTAAATTGGATCTCTCTACCAGCCTTCCGTCCTCGAGTGGATTGTCGGCCCGCCCCCCGGAGGACCCATGACCGCCCGTGATGGAGTTAGTATGCAAGAAGTTGGCCTGGCTTGCTTGTCCCCCGGCTTCCAAACGCACGATCCCATCATGCGCGAGCAATTACAACGGAGCCTTTCCGTGCGAGATCAGCAGCGGTCGATTATTGAATCACGGCTGCAGAGGTCGGCCAAGGATGACGGTCCCGACGGTATTAGGCCATCCGAAGCGGGTATGATGGGGATGCCAAAGACTGCTTCTTCCAAGCGAAGACCCCCCGGCTTGTCGATCGTTCCCCCGTCCGCTTCCCAGTTTGCAAATGAACGGGTGGTTCAGTCTGCCCCATTAAACCAGACTTTCACTGGCGGTCGGTATCAGCCCCAGCCGTTGACACGCCATGTCGTCAACCAGAGCCCGACATTGGGTTCGACCTCCCACCTGCATGTGCCGGCGAACCAGACGAACAACCGACTGCCTCCTCTCTCCGATGTGTTTGGATCGGATGCACTCGGTGCCCGTGATCGTGAACCCGGTCGCCCCAGTCTCTACCCCAACGCCTCGAGCACGAACTCGCAATCCAACCTGGCCCCGGTGCCCTCTCCCGGACTTCCAGGCATGTCTCAGACTCCCAGCCGCCCTCGTGAATACCATTCGGCCGAAGAAGCCGTTCAAGAGCTGTCTGGTGGACGGGAAGAGCTCCAGCCGCGGCTCGTGCACTATGGAGGTCACCAGCCCCCCACTCCGCCGTCCCCACAGAATGTTCATATGGGCCCTAAGACTGCCCCCCTCATGTCGGAATTTCCTCCGCCTCCAAGTGCGCCTACAGCTCCCACCTTTTTGCAGTCCACGGATGGCACTGCACGCCGCCGGCCCAGAAGCGAGTATGAGCAGGATAATGGTAGCCCACCCCTAGGCCATGGCCCGGATCCTCACTATCGGCCGAACCCCGCTGCGACGGCCGGGCCCAATACGACATTCCATGGGCCTTTTGGAGCTGGCAGGGACTCTCCAGAAACTCAGCGGAAAAAGAAGGAGGAATTCCTGGGTCTTTGTGCACGGGCCTGGGATCTTTTCCATTCCTGATGTGGTTTTACATGGGTGAAATCTCAAAACACAACACTCGCTCCTATGTCGAAGGAGTTCCAGAGCCGAGCCCGCCCAGCGAGTTCTCAAGACGATGAAACAATCTGTTTGGTGTGAGCCGTGCGAATGATCGGCTCTGAAGCAGGTATTCCTGCTCTTTGGCCAGATCGAGGACATAAGCCACCTCGTTTTGAGGCATCTGTGGACATAACACTGTGGTTTTCTTCGCATTGGGATGCAGCGTTCACTGCTCTCAGGTGTCACTTGGCTGGTGATTTCATTATACCAGGGCATCATCAATGCCTTGCATTATCTTCGACCCATATAGGGTCTGAATTCCGGGTCTTCCATACCCCGTTTATATGACATTGATGCTCTATATCTCCTTTGATGCTGTCTATACTTTGATCTGATTGGCGACTTTATATTTCTGATGTCTTGGGGAAACTATTCTACGTTGAGTCTTTCCGATTTGCATGTTCGCTCTGGCGTTTGGGGTCATTCGCAATATACCTTTTGTCACTTTCTGAGGTGTAGCACTGGTGTAAATGGATTAATATCAGGATGGTCAGTGAACTTGGGACCGAGGTAGCCGTACACATTTGCCATCATTACTTTATGCCCAATAAAAGTAGATTTATGACAAGGAAGTTGAGAAAAAGGAAAAGAGAAAAGAAAAGAAAGAAGAGATAGAATGCTCGTTCGGGGTATCGCAAATTCTACGCCAGTCGGCGACGCTTCCCTCCATTCTCTGCACCACCACCACCCTCCATCCCCCGACGCTCCATGGGCATATCCTTCCTCTCCTTAGAGGCAATCTTCTTGCGCCGACGCTCCAGCGCCTTCGCCCGATCCCTAGACCCCATCTCCTCATACTTCTTCTGCATAACCTGTTTCTTGAGATCCGACTTCTTGAGGTAGTACGGCGTACTCTTCTTGCCCTCACGCAGCAGCTCTTTCTCCTGCTTCTTGTGGTCCGCCATGACCTTGCGCTCGCGCTTCTGGTTCTCCATCGCCCGCATGCGGTCCGACGCAGACCGGATCTGCCGCTTCAGCGCCTCCTTCTGCTCTGCGTTCTTGGTCTTGCCCAGCTGCTCTTTCAGCTCCTTGAGTTCGGACGCCCGGTACTCGTCCAGGAACGCGTATGCCTTGCTCGTGCTCTCCGAGTGGTGTTTCCCTGCCCCGGTGTACCCCATGATCGCGGCGTCGAAGCGCGGGTCGCGCGCTTTGGGGGCGGCGGGGGGCTCGACGACGGTGCGTTTGCGGGTTACTGGGTGCTTGGAGGACTGGACCATTGGTGCATGCTTGGATGCACGGCTGGTCTTTTTGGTTTGGGGGTCCTTGGTGTCTTTTTGGGCTGCCTCTCGCTTTTGCTCTCGTGCTTCTCGGATCCGTGCGCGGATATCGTCTAGCGGGGAGGCGGTTGAGGTCGAGTTTTCTGGTTGTTTTGAGCTGTGCTTTTCTTTTCTCTTTTTGGGCCCGACTGATGACTGCGCTTTGGCGAGGGCCCCGAAGGAAATGTTGCTCAGTGAGGCTTGGATGTCGTCGTCGCCGTTGTCTTCGTCTGAGAGGTCCTCTTCGTCCACGTCCTGGTCATCTTCTTCCTCTTCTCCCATATCTTCGGAGTTGTCTGCGTCCTGGATTCAGGAATAAGAGTAATCAGTAAGCAATATTCCCAAAGAATTACTCGAATTGTTCTCATACATCAGGTAATTGCATCTCATCCTCTGATTCGCTATCGTCTTCATCCTGGGAGAGATGGTCGCGAGAGTCTGATGCCTCTGAATCCACATCGTCCTCCTCCGGGCGAGCTCGCACACGGCGATTCAGCATGTCAGAGATAGCCATGGTGTGTGATGCTCGACGTTGGGGTTGGACAGTGCCACTCCGCCGATCACGAAAAAAATATTGCCGGTCAGGGCGGTCGGGCCGATAACGGCTGATTAGATATTTTTCTTCGGCCAAACAACTTTTAGAACCCGCGCTGCATCTCTGATATTTCTTATGTCTCTTTGCCTCCGGTCTGGTAATCAATCGCGTGGCTTTATTGCAATTTCTATACCTAGTTCATCTTGCTGCGGGACAACCCCTGATGTATGCATTGATCCTGTCCCTTTCCCGCGACTCGAATCGCGTTCCAATTGATCACAATTGATCAATTTGATTAACCTTAAGTATATACAGATCTCTTCAGTATCCACAGCGACCTCGCTTCATTTCACCCGATTTTACTCCTCGGCGCGGTCCAGATCTGCCAAGCTGCCTCGCGCAAAGAAGAAGCAGAAGCGGGTGACTGATGGGGCAGGTTCCACGCCCCAGTCAAATACACGCCCTTCATATCCCGGTACATCCCAGAATGCGGTGACGATGGACTCTGGATTCATGAATGGCCAAGGCGGTGGTCAACCCTCGGGGGCGGCGGCCTTGTTTGGCGTTTCCTGGGACCCGAACGTGTCGCATAGTGCAAACCACGATGTAAATGGGGGAGGACTCCCGGCACAGAACCATTCATCATCATCATCGCCCTGGAAATATGGCCCCTGGACCAGCTCTTCGTCCTCTTCACATGCAAATCAACAGGGCAGCCAGGTTTCGCACTCGATTCCGCCCGGCCAAGCTCCATCTACTGCGTTCGGTTCATTCAATATGCCGTTATGGAAACTGGTAAACAACCAGCCCAATCTCCCGGCAATACCACCGGCTATGCCGCACTTGAACCCCAGCCTCTTTCCGCCAATGATGGGGAACACACCCAGTCCGTTCTCCATGCTACCTATGAACCCAATGTTCCCATTTCCACCCATTCATCACATGAGCACAATGGCCGGTGTCTCAGCACCTCCGCTCAATGCGCAGGACACCAGAACACGCAGGATGAAGTCGCGCTCCCCTGATCCGCTGGTCATTCCAAGCCCCACAGAGGCATATATGCAGCAGGCATTACAGACGCCGCAGCCATGCACATTCCCGCGTCCTCTATTGGTGATTCTGGATTTAAATGGCACACTCATCTACCGCAAACAACGCAAGTTCCCGCCAAAGTTTGCGCGGCGAACACATCTGGACTGGTTTTTGGATGTCTTGACCAACAAATACGCGGTCATGATCTGGTCCAGCTCCAAGCCGGAGACCGTGAACGCCGTCTGCCAGGAACTGTTTCCCGCCGAAAGGCAGAAGAGTGTGGTAGCGCTCTGGGGCAGAGACAAGTTCGGGCTGAGCCACGCCCAGTACAATAACAAGATCCAGGTGTACAAGGAGCTGCACAAGGTGTGGGCGAACACCAACATCCAAGCTACCTACCCGGGAAACGAGCACCTGAAAACCTCACCTGCGAAGGGGTCAGGCGGCAAGTTTCGGGCCCACAATAAGAAACGCCAGCAGACAAACTCGCTTTCGCCAGGCCAGCGATGGGATCAGACCAACACGATCCTGATCGACGACAGCAAGCTCAAAGCACTCAGCGAGCCGTTTAATATTCTCGAGATCCCGGAATTCACCAACGACCCGGCCATCGACGAGTCCACTCTCTTCGTTAATATTCTCCACCGCCTGGATGTGCTGGCGCACCACGACGATGTCAGCAAGCTTCTTCGAGTCTGGACGGACCGCGTCGACCAGGGCGAAGGCAGTATTTTGGACCTGGACATCGAAGTCAACGAGGAGAAGCTTGATGACGAAGACGGTGGCATCAACCTCCCTCAAAATACCATCAATTCTCCCCAGGACCAAAACATCATCGACCTGACCCTGGACCAACCCGCCACCTCTCAACAAACATCCCAAATGCCAGACGATCCTGCGGAGCGTCGAGCGGTGAGAAACCAGCGCCGCAAACTGCGCAAAAAGGAAAGGAAAACTGCGCAGTTGATGGGCAACGTAACCACTCCGCCGAAGACGCAACAAGAAGCAGCATCAGAGATTGATGCAACGAATGATGGCGAGCGTAACCCCGATAAACGGATACAAAACCAGAAAAGGAACCAAAAGAAGAATAAAAAGGCCAAGGCCAAGGCTGAGAACGCCCATCCGCCTCTTGTTCGTCAATACAATTTTCGCGCCAGACCTCTCAACCCTCCTGCCTCTGATGCTGAGGGTGATGTTGAGGGTGGTTTGGTCGATTCTGGGGTCAGTATTTCTGCCGCGGCTACTACATTAGCACCGGAACCAGCGCCGGCCCAAGTGCAAGCACAATCATCTCCGGGCTTGATTGGCACTACTACCGATGCTAGTGCCGATGCCGACATCGACACCACCTACGAGACTGACTCCAGACCTCAGCCGCGCAGATCTCCCTCGCCGGCTTCCTCGGCTGGGTCGGAGAATGCTCTGTTAGATCGGCTAGAGGAAGGACTTGGGTTTCGACGCTGATCCCTGGGAGGTGTTATTCTACTCTAGGTAGTAGAAGGTTGGGATGCCCATTGGAAAGAAAGGCTGAATCAAATCCATTCCTTGACTTGAACATAGACCCATGGCCACCCCATTATTGGCTTTTGTTGTTTTCTTTCTGTTGTCTTGATATATGTGTGAACAGTTTTATGGCATACGCCATGATATGATACCCCTTTCTTTCCATTTGTTCAAAAAGGTGTTTGATATACTCTGAGTGAAGTTGTGTGGCATTTTCTAAAGACTAATAATAAGCTTAGCTCTTCGGTGTACACTTGAAGCGGTACTCGATAATAATAACCAATCATATTGTATTGAATATTGACTAGATTCCCACACTGCATATTGTATTCAAGTTATCTTCATTGTTGAAGGATTTGGGCTAAGAATAGTACCATTGCACCAGACAACCATGTGTTTGTGTCTGAGGCAGGAGTATGCGAGCGAACAAATAACCGCGGCCTGGTCTCCTTTGGTCGAGACTCTGGCGGAAGTTTGTGGCTGAGTGTATACAACCTGCGCAAGACGGCGTTGATTCCGGATTTGGAGGAATAGCTGTGTCTATAGCTTTGTTGCTTGTTTTAGTTTAATGCCCCGCCCCTCATGAATGGCTTAGATAAACTGTCTATCTATGCAAATGCAAAGAACTGTATTTAGTGATTGATGTGGGTAGAAAATGGAAAGAGTAGCAAGTGGCAGTTAAGAGTTCCGTGTTTATGGGATCTTTGAGTTAAAAAAGGGAGATATATCCGTAGAATAGCCGGTGGCCAGAGGGATGTATTATAGCAACAGTATGAAAAGTAATGTAAGGTGTAGCCCCGCCAATAAATCCCAATATTACAGATAGCCTCTTCTTTCATGCACCAGTTGTCTTATTTCTTTCGAATTCAATCTGTACGAGACATCCAAGCTAATGTCTGTAAAAGGGCAGTTTTTACACAAAGCGTGATGGGACTGCGAGATTCGGGAATAGACACTTGGTGAAGAACAAGATGGAATATAAACCAGTCCCATGGTATATCCTGATCTCCATTGGACTCCACATCATGGCTTCCATAAGCAACCCAACTAGTCAACTCATTCGAGTAGACGTGGGTGGGGGCATTGCCAAAGGGTCGTAAGGGTTGTACAGTTCTAGAAACATCATGGATATAGAGGACTACATGTACATGCCAAGGTAGCGTACTTCTACAAGTACTTGGACATTTACAGCTTAAGAACCAATTGGGAGAGAAAACTCGTCTCCATTCGTGTGACCTTCATTGCTAGAAACTAGCAGCAATCGAGCGACCCAGCTAAGCCAGGCGCCCAGTCCATCATCATTCCGCATCGCAACATATCATAACCGTGAACGTAACCAGCATCGGCGCGTAAAATAAAAATAAGTGGAAGGATGCTCCATTCAAACCCCAGGCGGGAGGGGGGGGGGGAGCAGAGAAACCAACGAGGTACCTTTAGCGCTTTTTGAAATGGCACAACACATGGTTCCCCAAAGCGGGTATTTCTTTTGGAAGGTGGGAGAATGACTCAAAAGAGGGATAAGCAAAAAAAGCGCGCGGCGCTTATTTGAAGACGTGGCCATCAGCGAATTGCTGCTCCTTGCCACCGACGGTGACAGGGACGTCCCAGGCCCACATGTCGTCGACGTACTTGCGGTCCTCCTCCTTGGAGGGGTCCAGCTTGGTGAACTCGTAGCTTTCCCAGTCAGGGGCGACGTTGAAAGCGGGGACGTGGTCTTGGCCGCGGATCAAGAAGACACCGCGGATGACGCAGTCGTAGTTGGCACCGTAGACGGCCTGGGCACCGAAGATGTACTTGCGGGAGGCCTCCAGACGGGCGTGGAAACCGCCGATGAGGTTGTTGGCCATGAAGGTGAGCTTGAGCTCCTCGTTGTACTTGAAGTCCACGCGCCACAGCGAGTACTCCTCGGCCTTGAAGTTCTGCCAGAACCAGGGCAGAGCGTCCTCACGGGTCTCGTCGTTGGAGTACTTGCGCTTCCAGTCGTCGAGGATCAGAGTGGGCTTCTCCAGAGCCTCAAGCGGGTGCTTGGGCTTGGGCTTCTCAGCGGGCTTCTCCTCAGCAGCGGGAGCGGCCTTGGGCTTCTCCTCCTTCTTGGGAGGGGTGTACTTAATGGCCTCCTCGGCGAAGACGGGCTGGGCAACAACAGCCTTGAAAGCGGGCTGGTTGATGATGGTGTTGTACCAACGGACAACAGCCGGGCTAGAAGAGCGCCACTTAGCGTCCAGGACTGTAGCGAAGGCACGGGTGAGAAGGGCGGCGGTGAAAAAGTCAGCCAGGGTGATGCGCTCGCCAACCAGGTAGGTGTTGGCAGTGAGGTGAGTCTCGAGGACACCGACGCTCTTCAGAGCGACCTTGGAGGCCTCATCGACAGCCTTCTTGTTGTAGCCTTCCAGGCCCAGGAGGGGGCGGTACCAGGCACCGAAGCGGGGCAGAACCTCGGAGTTGGCAAAGGACAGCCAGCGGAGGATGGAAGCGTAGTCCTGCTTGGTCTTTCCCAAGAGGGTGGTCTTCTCGTTCTGGGAAGTCACTGAAACAACACGTTAGTTGATTGTCTTAACACCAGGTGGATCCATGAGGTTGGGCAATCAGAAAAACAAATTGCACAATGTGGCCCAAAAAAGGGGCAAGTGGGGTAGCCAAATTTTTTTTTTTCAGAGTTGGTGGGTTATCAACAGTGTAGTTCTGACAGGGATAACTAGAATTTGATGATATCTCATCATATAAAAAAGAGGCATGCGTGGAGGGGCAAGGTGGGGTTTTGTAAATTAAAAAAAAATAAAAAAATAAACATGACACGTACCGTAGACGGCGATGGCGATGGCCTCGGACAGAGTGAAGCCATTGGCACCCTCGAAGGCAGGGACCTTACCGAGGGGGCTGACCTTGCGGTACTCTGCGCCCGAGTTGAACGAGGCGTTGCCGTTGGCCTCGGTCTTGACCAGCTCCAGGTCCAGGTCGTTGCTCTTAGCAGCGACCAGGATGGAGACGGTGCGAGGGTTGTCCTGGTGGATGGGTTAGATAGAGATAAAGAGAGACTCAAGTTTCAAAAACATACAGGAAGACCGTAGAGCTTTCCGAAAGACATGGTGAAAGGGGTAGGGGAGGATGGGAAAGGAGAGAAAAAAAAAGGAGGGGCTGCAGCTAAGAAATTTTGTACTTTTCTCGGCGCCCGGAGGAACCATGACGCGGGCACGTGACTGACGGAAAAGGGCGATTTGACATTTGCGTGGATCGTCCTCTCACGATAGCATTGTTTTTCGGGGGAGGTAGCCGCCGCAATTGCCTCTCAATTCTCCCAGAATGGCCTGCCGCAGCCCCCCTAGCCTTATCCAGGCGATGCAATCGCTTCGCCTCGGACCCTCAGTCTCCTGTCTTGCCGCCCAACCCGCATACCTTTCCCGACCCCGGAGACAGGCGCGCAGCTATATGACCGATGCAGTCGATGGAACCGAAACGAGCGAAGCGGCAGATATGAGTGTGATGACAGATGTGAACCAAGTGAAAGCAGCGCCGCCGATCAAGCTGCAAGAGATCAACCCGGGAAACCCTAACGTACAGGGTCTGCGGATCGTGCCAGCCTCGCCGGCGTACTTCTCAGGCAACCCGCGATTCATCGACCAAATGCTGGAGCTGGAGACAATCCAAGCACGATACGCAGCGCTGCCGACAATCTTGGCAGACGATGCGCCGCGGATGGCGTGGCTCAAGATCGGGCAGCTTCGGGAACACTTGGGCGAGATCATCCCGGTGAAGAAGTACAAGGCCCTGCTGAAGATCCTGCAGCGGCTGAACCGGATCAAGCCGGAGATGCAGCCGGACGAGGTGCGCTCCACGATCGAGACGTTCGTGCGGCCGGGTAACCCGTTCGCTGTGCAGCATGTGCCGCGCCCCGTTGATGAGCATGGCCGGGCCCGCGGCAAGGGCAAGCGGAAGGAGTCGTCGGCCGTTGTTCAGTTGGTTGAGGGCGAGGGCGAGATTATCATCAATGGCAAATCGCTTGTTGACGTCTTCCACCGCGTCCATGACCGTGAGAGCGCCCTGTGGGCTCTGCGCTGCACCCAGCGCATCGATAAGTACAATGCCTGGATTACTGTTCGTGGCGGTGGTCTCACTGGCCAGGCGGAGGCCATTACATTGGCTATGGCGCGGGCCTTGTTGCTGCACGAGCCGGGCTTGAAACCCATTTTGAGGAAGGGTATGTTGATAGTTTCCTCTCCCGCTGCTACTCCCTCGTATTATACTTCTCTACTAACATTTTTCAGCTGGTGTTGTCACGGTCGATGCCCGTCGCGTGGAAAGGAAGAAGCCGGGCCGCGTCAAGGCTCGCAAGATGCCTACCTGGGTCAAGCGGTGAAACTTGGGGGAAGTGTCTCGAGCGGTTCTTTCTTATCTACTGTGTATTATTTTACTTGCGGCAGGCCAAGTCGCAACTATTGTTCTATATCCTGTACTCAATGCATCTGGGCGTTTCCGTCGCATGATTACTGTGGTCAGTGGGAGCTTATTCGTAGGGTGTAAAGGTGCTTCAAAGTCTTTTACTCTATGTTGCACTACATAGAGGTGGGATCGATTCAATTAGTGAGATAAAGGAAGAAAAACATTCCTCCAGTTGTGTTGTCTGGTTCAAGCTGGACCAGCTACCCTGAGATCGATCTGTATATTTGGTGTCTTTCCGGCCAGTAATTAAACCATTTGGTTTATGAACCCGCCGCAAATCGCGAGACAATCTTCCACAGCGAATCTATAACCTCGGCCAAGAATAATTCCAATTCCATAAAGCATAAATATACTTACACTCGCAAGTAGTACTTTGGTCATGTAGATCCAATTAGTTCAATATGGGTCCAAGGTCCGATAGATATCACACGGCAAGGAATATGAAATCATCCATGGAAACGATCCTCTATGAAACTTAATAGATTCCAAAATCTCTCAAAAAAAAGGAAAGAAAAAAGAGGATATATCAACTTGCGCCAGATTCCCGAGTCCCATCTTTTGTTGCCCCCACGCCTCAATCAATGCGCCCATCCTGGCTCCGAAGTCAACCAAAAACAAAACAAAATATCAAAGTAAAATCAAGATAATCAGGCTATATACAATTCGTCGGCTTCATTATAGCGCAAGGACGACAACAACACTCGTAACGCCGTATCGAAAATAAAACATGAAGGATGCGACATCCCGTCGGAGGGATGGATAGATAGATAGACTTGGGTCCAAACTGCGCGTAAGTACCGTAAGAGGAGATAGGAGGGAGAGAGATGAAGACGAAGGCAGCAGCTCCTTTCTCTTTCGTCACATAGACGAGGATTTTCACAAGAGCTGACAGGTAGAATTCTGGTCGACAGAAGGGTGATCGTCCTCGATCACGTCGGATGGGCGCGCTAGCAGGCAATAGCTTATTCCACGGTGGGCCCTGCTTACTGTCATTGTTTGCGCTTCCGAGAAAAAGATAGCTCGAGCGATCTGCCCCCCTCTCTTTATCGAAGCGAGGCGATTCCCGGATGGATCGGGGAGAAATAGTTTTCTCTTCCTTTCTTGGCTTTTGCTTTTTCTTTTTGGAGGGGGATCATGGTCGAGGTGCCGCGGCAGCAGGCTCGGGCACGGACGCCATGTGGAGAAGTTCAGGTCGACTCTCCATCAGATCGAGGCATTGGCCCAGGACTATATTGAATTCGGGGGAGAGATCAGAAGATGGATTTGGAAAAGCCAATGGATCGCCAGGGCCGAACTTACTGCAGAGAATCTCTTCCTCCCAAATGCCCATCTGGTAATCCACCAGCCCGTGCTGCTCGAGCTGATCGCAGAGTTGAATCAGGTCCTTGCCCATGGCGTCCATGCGATCCCGACTGAGTATGCTGTTCTGCGCTGGCTGTTGGCCGGTGGTAATTAGATCGTGCGTGAGATCCTTTTGTTTCTGGCAGACGGCTAGCCAGCACAGATTGAAGTTGTTCCAGAGCTTCAATCGATCGGAGTAGAGAAGACGGTCGTCGCGGAGGATTCCTGCGTGCCACAAAATATGGAATTAGCTCTCTGGCTTGTCGATCAGTGGTCGGATGATGTTTTGCATGACGCGTGCCTGCAGGTCCCTCCCTTCAACAGGGTCCAGTTCGGAGTGCGACTTGGTGCTACCGAGTCGCTAGTAAACTTTGCGTCGGGGTTGTACTTCCTCTGTATTCCACCCCCTCCCTTCCCCTCCCTTTGCTCCCCCGCTGACCAGAAAGCAAAAGAGACAAAAAAATGGAGAAATAAAGAGTAGGCGGACATACCAAGATCCCGGGCATTAGTCACAATCCACTCGGAAATTTCCAGCAACGACCGACTGGCCTCGGCCAATCGCCCGGCGCGCGTATGATCAAAGGTACTGCGAAGGGCATGCTGGTACTGAGTGTAGGCTTCATCGAGATTCGAGGGATCCGATGCCTGCGGTTGCGGCTCTGGTTGTTGTTGTTGTTGTTGTTTTTGATGCTGTTGCTGCGGCTGCTGCGACGGATCTAATCGACTGGCCGAAGCGGTCCCAATCTGGGTGAAATCAGACATGGTGGCGGGGAAGGGCTGGGAGGAGTTCGGGCGGGCCATGGAGCCAGGTTCGCCATTATAAGGCTGCAGCTGGGCATTGAGGTACGGCGAGAGCACCGAGACGCCTGAGCCGGAGGGTTCCTCCGGGGCAAAGTACTGTGGAACGGCAAACTGGTTCGACAGGGCGTCCATGGCTGCAGACTGCCGCGGCGGGTACTGTGGCACAACCTCGTAGGGACCCTGGGCGGCGCCCTGCCCGCCGAAGCCATACAGCATGGCCGAGTCGTAAGGTAGAAACTGCGCCGGGCCCTGGGGCTGCGCGCGTCGGCGCTGGAGGGAATGCGCTTGCGGATGTTGCGCGTGGCGCGCATATTCCGGCGCATATGTCTGGACCTCGTTTGGTTGTTGAAGCGCGCCGCTGTGAAAGGCGGGGCCGGTGTATCCGTAGTCGTAGGGCATCGGGACCCGGTCTGGCGCCTGCGACAGGCTTGTTGGGTCTCCGCGCGGGTGCATGGCCGGGTCGAAACGATGAGTACGGGCCGAGTGGGCGGCATTGCCTGATGGTGCCATCAACCGTTCATGCTGCTTCATGCGGTGGTCGCCATCCATTAGGCTGTCCCACACGGACCTGCTCAGATCAAGGTCGGTCCAATGTTTGGGGGACAGCGGAGGGCTCGCGTAGGAGGCCAGCTTGAATGGGGGTACAGAAGTGATGACTTCCCTCTCTTTCTGTGTTGTTTTTTTGGCACCTGAGTACCCAAGGCGAGTCACTAGAGGGTCGATCCTTGCTCTGATGGAATGGACATCAATCACGGCGTGCGAAGAGAGAGAGAAGAATAAGAAAACGAGAGTCCAGGAAGACGTCACCAGTCAAATATTGACCAGAGTACTAAGCCTGATCGAAAGGATTCGAAAGGGACTAGAGAAGGGCTGAGCATAGTACTTTTCCAAGGGAGTAAAGCAGATCTGTGAAGAGGAAAAGAAAGAAGTAACCCTATCGGGCGACTATACGGATCGTCACCGATCTGCGCCTAAAGCGATCCGGGTTCCCGGGGCGTCGGTTCCTGGTGGGTTCCCGCGAGACTGGGGTGTTCAGCCGTCGGGGTCATGTGTGATCTTTTGCTTTTTATTTTATTATTATTATTATTATTATTATTGTTTGATTTAATTTAACGATATTTGTATTATACTATACTCTTTATGTCATATTCCTTCTCTGATGTGTAACTGGAATCTGACAGGGTACTTCCAGTGGCTCCGTCCCTAGGTACCAAATGTACCAAAGACTCAGGTACCCAGTACCTCGGACCTCAATCAGACCGAGAAATCCCCTTGCGCCAAAGGAAGGAAGGAAAAAAAAAGCAAACCTGGAATAAACCTAGAAATAATCAAATCCTTAAATCATCAAATCAACGGGGCATTCCGGGGGATTGCCCGGACAGCTGCCTACCCCTTGGAGCCGGATCAATGCTCGAGGGCTTTAATTACTTGCTAATAGACCTAAATGATTAATTAGTAATTCAATAAAATATGCAAAAAAAAAAGCAAGTAGACTTGTTCACGGTGTTCATCCTATTATTCCATGGGCTGTAGAAAATTAATATAATTTAACAATAAACCCTACACCCAGGAGGCACGATGTCCTCGGATCCCTTGAAGGGGTGCCGATCAATAGTCGGACGGCCAGGTACAGACGTCAGTTCCCTTGGGCGGGATTGTCCCCGAGTCTTGGCCCCGTCGACCTTGCCTCAGGGTCTCCTGTCACTATTTGGCCCAGATCCGACGCGGTGGTTGGGTGAACACTTAGGGTTTGAGGTATGTATGTATACTTGAGGTTTGGATGATACACAGTAAACATGGACAACGCAATGAGCATAATAAACATGCCATTTTCAATCTCCGTACTTTGCATCTTACATCCAGCCCGAGATCACAAAATAATCAGCATCTGACGCCATCCGCCATGCGCGATGTGCAACCCCAATGGGAATAAATAGATCGGAGAACTCTCGCGCTGGATGTTGCACGTATCAGGCTCCAACGTCAGCACCCTTTTTCTTTTCTTCTTTTCCTATTTCCTATTTCCTATTTCCCTATACAATTATCTCATTTTACCTTGTACTCCCTTAGGCATATCGCCTGCAGCCCGACACGGTGGATGGCAAAAGTCGTACAGAACACGCGGCGAACGAGAACGGGGAGAGAACATGTTTGTCGCAGCTTTTTTTTTTTTTTTTTTTTTTTTTTTTTTTTTTTTAAAAAAAAAAAAAAAATTACTTGAGTACTTCAGATATGCAAAGGTTCCCAGTGACTCCGGGGAGGGCGTAGAGAATATGTCTCGGGGGAATATATTCCCCCATCTCCATCCACTGAGATGTTTCATCTGTTTCAGATATCCCGGGGGAGCAGGTCTTCAACCTCACCTACTTCCTACAGTAGATACTTACATGCTGCCTGCGCACTGCCCACCCATACACCGAGAAACCACTTGAAACACATCCATGACCAATGTCAGACTCACCCCAACACGATTGACAGCCCTCGGCCTGTACAACACCAGCCCATCGAATCCAGCGTCTCGGAATTCCGAAGCTGTCGTCGCACCACGCCCCATCCAGTCCTGTTGGCCAGAAGCACAGACTTGTTCTTTTTTTTTCTTGTTCTTCTTTTTTTACCCCCCTTCTTTGTTTTCCTTTCTATTTCTATTTCTGTGTTTGTTCCCGGTTCGTCCCCGACGAACCACCGGACAACGGACAAACACCCTCGCCGTTGGGCGCACCATGCGTGCCGAGTGACCAGGATCAGAATAGGACCGTGTGGCTGTACAGGATTCCCCCCGGTTTGAGTGGGTGGGATGGAGGGATGGGAATCACCTGGCCCACGAGTCTGCAGCCCGAATGGAAAGGCGAGGAACCAAGTAGGAGAGATGCCGAGGTTATGTTTCGAGGAGTTTGTCTCTGCGGCTGAATCAACTCCCCGACTGTACCGAGGTAGGTACCTCGATGTACCGGGGGTGTGGGTAGGTATATACAAGTCCAATACAAGGCATGTCTTGTCTTGCTTGGCGGAGTTTACTGACATCCATGGACAATTCACTAGGCAGTAAGTAGGCAGTGACGCACGTCAGTCCATAAAAACTCGCGGGAACTAAGCTACAGAAACACGCTGGTCATCGAGTCATGTCATGTTGAGTGAGAAGCCAAAGCATCAGCCATAAATCAAGGAACCAAAACATGAGGGAAAAGAAAAGAAAGGATATCGCCGGGCCTTTGCGCTTCATTTCCAGCCCATGCGACAGACCCCGAAACAGTGGGGTTAAAATAAAACATCATCTATATTTGATCTAGAGTGAAAGTCAGCACCAGCATCAAGATGCTAAACACCAAAGTCAGACGCAAGGGCACCTACTCAGTGTCATGCTCAAGTTCACATCCGTATGCTCCACCATATCCGTAAACTCCTCGAAGCTAATGCGCCCATCGTGGTCCTTGTCGGCCTCCATGATGGTCTTGTCCACGATCTGCTGCAGCTGTACGTCCTTCAGGTTGTTGCCCACCATCATCTTCAGCACGATGAATAGCTCGCCGTTGGAGATATAGCCGTCGCGGTCAATGTCGTAGACCTTGAATGCAAAGCGCAGTTTCTCTTCCTTGTTGCCCTTGGAGCTAAAGGCAGACAATCCCGTCACAAACTCTTGAAAGTCGACATCGCCGCCACCATCCTCATCGAAGATCGCGATCATCCTGTGATAATCATGCAAGTATTAGAGCTTGTTCGTATCCCTGTGCTTGTTTCTTTCCTGATTGTTTTTCTCTCCCATCCACCACTCAAACACCCAAGGAAGGATCGACGAACCGTGTGGCAAGCGGGTTGGACGACACCTGAGGCAGTGAAAGGAACTCTTCGCGGTCGATAGTCCCCGAGCTATCCTGGAGGGCTGTTAGTACGCCTTGCTTGATTCCCCACGTTGTACCACGACTACCGGACCTTATCGAGTTTCATAAATCGCTTCCGCAGTCGGTCCACTTCATCTCGGTCGACTGTAAATTCCCCTGTCAGCCCAGCACCCCCATCACATTTGATCCTACATGCGACCGTGTGAAACATACAGTTGGAGGTCGAGACAATGTTTTCGAACAGCTGGGAGGTCCCTACGGAGCCTCGGCGTCTGCGCGCATCGTAGATGGCGGCCGCGTTGGGTTCGGTCGGGTGGTCCATGGTCGGGGAAGTCGAGAAGAGTATCGAAGGAACGAGGAAAATATTTCGGAGGGGAGATACAGAAAGAAACGAGAAAGAGAACTGGACAGAACCAAGAGAGAGACAAGGCAAGATCGGCGTAGGAGAAGACGGAGAGGTTCGATGGGGAATTTGATAGAGCCCAGCCCCGCACTAACCGAAACGGGCCAGGCAAGCGAGCCCCTGAGGCCGTGCACCGGGCCACTCCAGGCCACCGCCGGGTCACATTGCAACGTCAACCCATCCGCCCGCCGTCAATCCCCCCGTCTACCGCCGTCGATATCTCCCGCCTTTCATCGGTTTTCATCACAAAAATACGACTACCAGATAGCGCATGATCTGCTCTTTCCTCTGATTCCCATTTTACACCCTCCCTGCCCATGGTCGTTGCCCTTTTGCGCGTCCCGACGCTATGACCCGGTACGGGGGCCTGGGGAGGACGCGCCCCAAAAAGCTCACCTCCAAGGCGTCCATCCCCATTGTCCACGAGCACGAGATCGATGCAATCGACGAGGAGATCCAGAGCTCTCTACAACAGATCGAAACCGGCGTCGAAAAGGCCGAGGAGTCGGTGAGTGCCCTCGCCACCCTAATTTTAGCCTCATCCCTGCATATGTCACGTGACACCATCACCACGGTGACGCGAAAATTTGGAGTTCTCCGCAATTATGAAGACTGACGTCGGCGCGTGCTCTAGGAATTCCACTTGCAAGTCGCGATCAATGCCACCGCCCGGGGCAAGGTCAACGAGGCGCATATCCCCACCCCCGAGACCATCCTCAGTAACCTGCAATATGACACACTCTACCCGCCTTTCTTCTCGCAACCTGCGACGTACATCCGCTTCTCCTCCACGGTGGAGGATTGTTGCGGATGTCCGTACAACATGACCGAGGAGGACGATGTCTTCCTCAACATCATGAACCAGGACCGCGACCAAGCAAGCCGGTGCTCCGAGGATGACTTCGAGGCGACCATGAACTTTTTTGAGGAGACCGCGCAATTGAAGCAGCCGTTCGCGACAGTCGACAGCCCGCCGGTGCTGGCATTTTCCGAAATGCAAGATGCGATGGATGCCGCCGTAGAGGAAAGCGTGAAGCGCTTTGCGCAGGACATCTTTGAGCACTGGAAGTCGCGCCGGGCCACCACGGGGAACCATCCCCTGCACTCGAGCCTCAAGGTATGTGTTCAACGTCCGTTCCCTTCCAGTAGTGCAACAAAGCTAACGCGCTTTTTTCTTTGCAGTTCGAAACCGGCCAGGACACCGATGATAGCGACCCCTTTGTCTGTTTCCGTAGGCGCGAGGTTCGCCAGATCCGTAAGACTCGTGGGAGAGATGCGCAGAGTGCAGAAAAACTCCGACGCCTTCGCAAAGAGTTGGAAGATGCGCGACAACTTGTTGCATTGGTGCGCCAGCGCGAGGTCGCTCGGAAGGAGATGCTTGTGATGGAGCGCCAGCTCTTCGTCAAGCGCGCAGATGTCAAGGAAATGAAGCGCAAGCTCGGCGTCAAGGACGACGACGAGGATCTCATCAATCAAAAGGTAAGCGATGGTACTCCGGTAGCTGTATGCACGCATACTAACATCCTTGCTCCACAGCCCAAAAAAAGCAGATGGAGATGCCGTCCCAACGTCCCAACGCTCCGCAGCTTCGCATGCCTCTCAAGGCTGGCGTGCAAGGTGCAGAGGATTTGCAGCTGCTGGAAGAAGTCCAGGCCGAGAAGGAGAACGATATCTTGCGCGATATCAAACAGAACATCACCAAGCATATCAAGTGGAACGAGGGTTATGTGGATCACACCCGAGCACCACTGTCTCCGTCTCCAGAACGGACATTCGATGCTGCAGCCTTCCGACCCGCATTCACTGCGCAACTACCTACGCCACCATCATCAGAATCCTCCGGTGACATGGACACTGCGTTGGATGTTGCTAGCCCACTCTTTTCTCGGGACAAGCTCGCGTCGCGCGCCATGGAGTTGCACGAGAAACCCAATCACATGCCCTCCTTCCGAAGACGAATCGGCCGAGGTGGGCGACTGATGATCGATCGTCGAAATCTGGCATCGCATTCCAAGGTCGAGATGGATCCCCTCAAGGCTGATCGGTTCAAGTACGACCAAGAAGATTCCGACGACGAGTCCGTTTATGACACCGACCAGTACAGCATCCAGATCATGCAGCACCGGGCCATCACCATGGCCAAGGCACGCGAACAAGCTGCAGTGGCTGCCCAGGCCCATGCGCAGGCGCAGGCGCAGGCAGTCCAAGCTCAGGCTCGACGATTGCAGACGGATCAGCCCGGTAATTCTCAGGGCCAGCCCGTGGGCTCGAATTCTGGACCAGGTGCCGAGACCTGAGCTCATCTGTTTCTTCGCTTTCCCCCCCCCTCTTCGGACAGCATTTGGCGGGCGTTCCTGTGTTTTCGTCCCTTCGCCCTCGCCTCTTTATTTTTTTTTTTTTCGCCGACCTATCTCCACTTGTAGTTTTAGTATCCCCTCATGTTCTGATGAAATCCGCGGGCGGCGAAGGGACGCGATCTGGAGGCTGATCTTTATTCCCCCCCCCCTTCTCTTTTTCTCCCTTCCTGACTTCTGCACTCTGCTTCCTCTCCTCTTCACCGCTTCACCCCTCGTTTGATATGACGCAGATGTTGCTGGCCGATTTTGCTGGTCTTCAATAGACAGCACGGCCTGGGAGACGTCTGCCTTTGATTAGTGTACATAGTTCTCTTTTTTCTTCTTGAACCTCGACGGGAGACAGGTGGGCCAGTCAAAAACGGCCCTTTTGTATGATGGATCCCCGATGATATGATGCAAGCGATGATGGGGAAAGGAAAAGAAGAAAAGGCCAAAAAAAGGTTCAAAAAATCTAACAGAAATTTAATCACTTGCAATCATGCACCACTTTGCTGGGAGTTTTCTTGGGTAGAAGCCTCTCCAACGTTTTTAAAAGAGGATCAATTTGTCGAGATGAGGGTGGAACAAATGACGATGTCAGTCAGACCTTCGGAGCCTTGGACTGTCTCGACTCGCTATCGTCACCATTGGCAGTCCGTTTCAGGGAACCACCAGCAACAAGGCGATCAAGCAGACCCAAAATAGCCTGCAAGATCTCCTTCTCGCCGATGCGGACCTTAATCGCCATCTGGTGCCGGCGCGCAGAACCCTCCAGCGAGGCGTGAGAGCCGGAGGAGTGCAGAATCTCGATGTCCTGGGCGAGAGAGGTAGCGTATTGACCCTGCTTGGACAGCAAGGCTCGCTGAAGGATACCTGCTTGACTGCCCTCCATGGCGGGCTTCGGTGGCTTGTTTCTGGAACGGCGCTGCTCGAACTCTTGCGGGGTCAGCGCGAGAGTGCTGAGAAGAATCACTAGCTCGGCGGGCAGTATGTCTTCGAATGCGTCTTCGGCGGATGGCCTGGGGATCACGTAGCCATCGTCGAGGATGTCGAGCTCATCAAGGAATTGTAGCTGATAAATAGGTTAGTCTGGGTCTGGCTTCCATGTGTATGAATTGGCAAAAGTTGCAAGCACGACCTGATTGTGGTGCATGAATAAGAATGTAGTTACCTTGGGCTGAGTTTCTACATCGGCGCTGTCGAGACCGGCCGCCTGGCAAATGTTTTCTAGCGAGAGCTCGACCACATCAAATGAGGCGTAATTGTCGGTCACATAGCCGTATCGGCGCAGGAGGTCCGCGCGCGGGATTTCCCCATAGTCATTGAAGATCTCATCGCCTTCTTGGATGGGCTTGATGGCCTTCATGACTAGGGATTCCTCTTCCTGGTACAGGCGGGCCTAGATAGAGTATCAGACCATGACCCATAGCACGTGGAGGAAGAAGAAGAAGAAGAAAAGAAAAGAAAACCCACGTTGTTGCGGTCTGCATCGGCATTGAGCAGATCCGCAAGCGGGACCATGCCCTTGGGCAGCTGCTCGTCCTCGTCATCGGTCAGATACCCATCATCGTCAGCGTCAGGCTCGTCATCGTCCTCAGCCTTTTCAATATCAAAGGCATAAGCCATGATCAAGGATCCCATAGTATGGGCGAGCTCAAGCAGAGCCGCCGCGCCCGCATCGCCCTCATACGACGCCAGTCCGCCGACAAGCGGGAAGAGTGCCGGGTTCGCACGCACGATGGGGGCGATAGACTCGAGAATTGACTCCTCTGCGCCCTGGCGGCCGATCTTCTCGACCACTGCACTAGCCTGCAGCTCCTGCAACTCAGCCGGCGACCAGAACATCAGGGTGTCGAACCGGGTCGGGAGGACCTTGAAGTATGGAGCCCATCGGGACCGTTCGCCTTGCAGGTATTCATAGAGCATCACTAGCATGAGTGACAGCCATGGGCCCAGGGCCTCGACATCTTGTGGGAGCAGGGTCTTCAGCTCGGAGTTCTGGACGGCAAGGATCAGGGTGCGCGGGATCGAGAAGAGCTCTTCGCCTTCAGGGATATGGGTTCGAGCCACTATATTCAAAGAGGATTACCTATCATTAGAGAGTTTATGGGAGACAAAAGATATTTTTTGGGGGGTGTTGAGGGGGTAAATCACACAACAGTGGAATTTTGTGTGGTGGGTGGGGGATTTGCTTACCGACGCCTCTTCCAGCACCACTCGATCTAAGATCTGCCAGACAGATTTTGTGGTTGACCTTGACCCCTGGGTTTGCTTCTAACCAGGAAATGAACTGGTTGGATTGCTCCTGGAAGCTTGGGGGGTCAGGGAAGTGGGTGGTAGAAGACATTGTGCCGAGCCCACTGCAGTGGGGGGAGGGAGAGAAGGGGGTGAATTAGGGTATGGATGTAGAATCAGGCAGACATCAGCGTAGCACAGATTCTGATGCAACAAGTATGCAAAAAGAAAAGAAAGTGGTGAAGCAACACTGAGTGAGGAAGAGAAGAAGAGGAAGACCAGACGAAGTATGTAGATGTTGATCCACGGAGAAACGGCGCCGCTTTTAGGGGCCTTCCCGATAACGATAAGAAAATCTTCCCAAGTTCTCTTTGCAGCTTCGAGTCCCCCTCGGTCCTTTGGCAGTGTCAATTCCATATTTGAAGAAATATCCTCGGGCTCACTCTCATCATGATCGGTATTGGCATGGAAGGCTCCGCCAACAAAATTGGCGTGGGCATCATGCTGCATCCCGAGGACGGCAGCACCCCGCAGGTCCTGGCCAATATCCGCCATACCTATGTCTCTCCGCCAGGCGAGGGCTTCCTGCCCAAGGATACGGCGCGGCACCACCGGGCATGGGTGGTGAAGCTGGTGAAGGAAGCACTTAAGGAGGCGCGGGTTTCGGTTGACCAGGTGGACTGTATCTGCTTCACCAAGGGTCCCGGTATGGGTGCCCCGCTGCAGAGCGTGGCGGTTGCGGCGCGGATGCTGAGTCTGCTCTGGGGCAAGGAATTGGTGGGGGTAAATCACTGTGTGGGACGTGAGTTTGATATCTGATCCTCATGATTGAAATAATCAACGCTGACCGTATGTCCATCTTCCACAGACATCGAAATGGGCCGCCTGATCACCGGCGCCACCAACCCCGTCGTATTGTATGTCTCTGGCGGGAATACCCAGGTGATCGCATACAGCTCGCAACGGTACCGTATCTTCGGCGAAACGCTCGACATTGCGGTGGGAAACTGTCTGGACCGGTTCGCGCGAACCCTACACATTCCCAACGACCCAGCACCGGGATATAACATTGAGCAGCTGGCCAAGCAAGGAAAGCAGCTGGTGGATCTGCCCTATGTTGTAAAAGGCATGGACTGTTCATTCTCAGGGATATTGGCCGCCATCGATGGATTGGCGGCATCATGGGGTCTGGGCGGCGAAGAGCGTGCACGAGAAGACGCACAGGCTCAGAATGCGGCCGCGGCGGCGGCCGACCAAAACCAAGACCAAGACAGCAAACCCACCCGCGCAGATCTCTGCTTTTCGCTCCAGGAGACCGTTTTCTCGATGCTAGTTGAGATCACTGAGCGCGCCATGGCTCATGTCGGATCCAAGCAAGTTCTCATTGTGGGCGGCGTCGGCTCCAACGAGCGATTGCAGGAGATGATGGGGATCATGGCACGCGATCGAGGCGGCAGTGTCTATGCCACCGACGAGCGTTTCTGTATCGACAATGGGATCATGATTGCACAGGCAGGAATGTTAGCCTATGGGACGGGCTTCCGTACCCCGCTGAAGGAGGCTACTTGTACGCAGCGATTCCGGACGGATGAAGTGTTTGTGCAATGGCGGGATTAAGGTCTGGTGTTTTGTTCTCTTGTCATGTGTTACGAAGCGTTCAAATCCCAGCATTTATAATATCAGAATATCTGACCGTGAGGCTGTTGCGCCAAAAACAAAACCACACGATGTGTCATTTCTCGAGTTTCTTAATGCCTACGTGAAATTATCTAGCAATTAGCTCAAGCAAATATCCTCTTTGGGTATTGCCTTAAAACTAGAAAGATGTTTAGGAAGATGCTTAGATATACTCGGAAAAAAAAATCGAAAGCTGTATATTAAGCAGATTACAAGGCTTTTCAAATCTAACTCCTACTTTCTACTATGCCTCCTAAAGCATTCCGAGCAAAGCGAGGGTCAGCGGCTGGTATCTTATGAAATCTAGCATTCAATTCAAGTCAATGCCTCAAGTACTTGCACTCGTATCCCAGCCCAAGCGCCCCTATGTATTGTCTGCAGACCACAACCCTAACTCCTCAACCAACACTTAAAGCAACGCCTTGGAAACCATACAATATGTGATACCCCTTCTTCTTCTTCTCTTGGCGCATGTTCAACATACAATCCTGTTAAGTATATGCCTGTGTGCATCCCCTCCCAAGCATTTGAAGGTCCCCGCAAAAGAGGCCATTGAATGACCATGGAAGTACGTACCAATGCCTGGCCAGAGCTTACTCTGTAATGTCGCCAGTGGGTTTGTACAAGATAGTCGTGACATACTATTGAAGGGTTTAGCGAGGAATTCCCAGATAAGGAATTAGGAACGAGATAGAATCACCTTTCGCTTGTATCGGGTGGTAACACTGGTGGCGAGGACACCGTTCTTTATGCTACTCGTGGCAAGGTGGTTGAGAACCGTGTGGTTCGGATAATTGAGAACGCTGCTATCGTCTTTCATGGGAGTGGTGCCATTGAGAATAGATTTACCCAGAAACAGCGGCAGACTGGGGGGAGTGGGTGTGTCACCGATGACATTGGCCGCCTGCGAATACGCCGGACTTTCTTCCTCTTTGTCCAGATCAGCGAGGAATTGCGGAATGGCACTACCGAAATCCCCGGGCGGCACCTCTTCCTCGGATTCATCTTTCCTCGGAGGATCGTCCTCGGCATCGCCTGACTGGTCATGTTTCGAATCCTCCGGCAACACTTGCGGGGGTGCACTCCCGGTGGAACCGCCGGGTGGGACGTTTTGTCATGTTCCCTCCGAGCATCATCGGCGCTGATTTCGATATAATTGACTAGGTGGTTGGTAAAATCCACGGCAGTCGGCAAGCTATCAGCCGCTCGCATCTCACCATCAACGATGAATTTCAGGTGATGCGTTCCCGGCCGGAGATTCAACCTCGCAGACATGACAGTCCCGTTCTCGCTGCCGAATATGTCAGCGCATTGTAGTGTTTAAAAGACAGCCATGATCAGTATCATACCTTCGGTGTAGACGGAACTTCTTCTCCCAGTTGACAAAGGTTCCCGTGACATAGACCTTCTGCCCTGGCCCCGTCCATTCAATTGTCGTGGGCACCGCCTTACCCACCCCACTGACCGTATATGGCTGGAGCTCATCTACTAGCTCATCCCCTTCCAGTGTCGTATTGCTCAGTGCAGAGGTATCCTGACCCATCTGTTCGTCCAGGACGCGGTCTGCCGGGAGGGACTGGATGTGCGAGTCTTCGGGGCCGATGATCGGCGACCCGGGCGTGGTGGTGGCATCGCCAATCGGCAATGGCATGCGCGGAGGCCGTTGCAAATGAGTCGGCGCATTATAGTACGAGTTGAGCGGCGGGGCCGAAGGTGCCACGGGATCGCGCCCCGCGACCTTGCGCGAAATCGGCACCTGCACCGGGTTGGAGGGGTCTGGGGAGGGAATATCCTTGCTCTGCGCAGGCTCAGCTCTTCTCGCATCTTGTTTCTCTGGCCTGCTGCTGGTTTTGGTCGGCGATTCTGGGGGGTTTCGGGATTGGAGCCGATGTTGGACAGATCCTTGGTATGTAGCCGAATATCCGGCGGCGTTCTCTCGAGATGCGGAGGGGTCGGCGGCGGTGGCCTTGGATGTCGATACTGTGTTGAGAGACGGTCGGCGAACGACCTTTCTCTCACCTGTTGAGCCGGCTGCATGGCCCGGCGGCGTGTCACCGGCCGGGCCTTTAGAAGGGGTGTTGCCCATCGAAGGTGGGGTGCAAGTTGTGAGGATTGGGTGGGCAGGTTATGACGAGGGGAGGGAGAGGACCAAGAGGGCAAGATAATTGAGACAGATCAATACAGCAGCATAAAGACACTGCACACCGATCAAAAGGAGGATGACGAGAGGGAAAGAGCGAAGCAAGGTCAACGGCGATGACGCCGAGCGACCCAATAGGGAAACATAGGGCTTAGGGTTTGCGGAGCTAGCTCGGCTTCCCCGGGTTTCCTCTCCATCGCGTCGAGCTGATCGGACATTTTGCGTCCACCAGGTATGCTGGAGATTGAAAATATCTCCAAGATATCTATCTGTACACCATTTTCTGGGCATAGTCTCCTATACATCAATTGCCCTTCCACGATGGACTGGGTGGCGGCCCTCACCTACGGCCCCGCATTTGTTCACAGCGCTTTGGCCCAACTGCTTTCCTCCCTGTTCTCTCTACTGCGGTTTACTGCAACTCCTCTAGTATACTTGGGTCATTGCATTTTGTATGTGGCTTTGATTCCGCTGCGAATTGTGGCGAAATTCGAGGTATGTGTTCCACAAGTTTCAGTTTTGGCTTTCTTCCATGGTTGTAAGCCGGGCGACTGATATCATTGACAGGCCTTTCTTTCCTTTGTGACTGGGGCAGTCCTGACCGGGGCTCTCGTGGGTCTGTGCCTGCATTTTACCGGCAGTGCCGTGTCGCAGTTACTGCGGATCAAGGATACCAGACCACGCGTCCAGGTCAACTCAGCAGACTCCACCGGAGATCCACCATTCGACTATTTAGAATCGAAGGTGGAGGATCGGAATCTTGTTTCGGATACCATTGTGGAAGAGGAAGAGACCAGCCAGGATTCAGGGTGATGTGCTCTGCCATGATCTTGATGCATTGGTAGAAACGAGTGTTGATAGTATCCGAGGCTCCTCATTTTAGACTCGTACGCATTCATGGCTTAATATCTAGAGACCATATCAGAGAAGAAACAAATCCAGGGCATGTAGAGTATGCGTAACCACAAACTCACCTTTGATCCATCCCATGGTCTGTGCGGCTAAGGGGGGGACTCGGTCTTTATCCAAAATATGTGCCTTGCATTGTCTTGTATTTTTAGGCTGCCCAGTTTCTCCTTGTCTTTCTTCCCCCTTTCCTCTCCTTCTCTTCGGACAACACTTCAACACTCGAGGGAATTTGAATGCGATGGTCCCTCTGTGAAATTGGGATTCCTATCCGCACGCACCCGATCCCGTCGGTCTCATTGGGTCGCCGATTGGAGGTTGACGTGGGCCCCGTGGGGTTCTACAGAAGTATAACAGAGGGCATTGCCGGCCTCACTCCAGGAACAACTCCTTCGCCATGGTGCTCCCACGGTCAGTTTTACGCCTGCGGACGCTACTGGTTGCCTTCGCTGTGGCTTCATTCCTCACCTGGAACATATCGCGACGCCCGCATTCCTATACGCCTCTTGAACTCTATGGCGCCAATATAACGATCAAGCCGACCCAGGACCTGACCTTCGACCACCAGAAATTCTGGCGCAAATTCCACACGCTCCTGGAGAGACATTCGCCCGGTACCAGCCCTGTTATCGAGAAAGAAAAAGCGCCGACGGAAGGCTTCAAGGACAAGGATGCGCCGCCGCGTCCGAATTACCTGACCATACCCGCCGAGGATGTCGCTAAAATGAAGGAGGCCCATACGGGGTTTGTGGACGCTATTACCCGTTCGCCGCTGCGGATCCCCTATGTCCCTGGGACAAAGGGCGTGGTCTCGACGGCGGGTGGAGCATATTTGCCCGTGCTGGTGATCTCGCTGCGCATGCTGCGGCAGACGGGATCCATGCTACCCGTGGAGGTGTTCCTGGCGGACGAGTCCGAGTACGAGGAGTATATCTGTGACGAGGTTCTGCCGGCGCTGCAAGCACGGTGTGTGGTGCTCTCACGCATTCTCAAGGCGGCGCCCGCGAAAATTCAGAAATACCAGTTCAAGCCATTTGCCATGCTGTTCTCGTCATTCGAACAGATCTTGTTTCTGGACGCCGACGCCTTCCCGCTCGAGAGGCCCGAGAAGCTGTTCCGCAACGAACCCTTCCGCTCGACGGAGATGGTAACCTGGCCCGACTTCTGGGCGTCGTCGGTCTCGCCGCTCTTCTACGAGATTGCCGGCCAGCCCGTCCCGCCCATGGACTTGCGGCAATCCACTGAATCTGGCGAGGTACTGATCTCGAAGAAAACCCACACCCGCACGCTGCTGCTCTGCACCTACTACAACTACTGGGGGCCATCGCACTACTACCCGTTGCTGTCGCAGGGCGCCGCCGGCGAAGGCGACAAGGAAACATTCGTAGCGGCCGCCACCGCCATGGCCGAGCCCTTCTACCAGGTCAGCGAGTCGATCTGCGCCCTTGGCCACCGCACGGCTGGCGGCCTAGCCGGCTCTGCCATGGCGCAGTTCAACCCGTCCCAGGACTGGGCGCTGACACGCCAGGGCAAGTGGCGCGTCAAGGGTGACAAAGCCCCGGCCCCGAGCGTGTTCTTCATTCACGCCAACTTCCCCAAGTTCAACCCGGCCACCATCTTCGAGAAGCACGACGTCAACCCGGCCTTTGAGGATGACGGCTCCTACACCCGTGCCTGGACGACTCCTGAGAAAGTGGTCGCCCAGTTCAGTGCCTCCATCGACGTCGAGAAGAGGTTTTGGCGCCAGATCCTTTGGACCGCCTGCGAGCTTGAGTCCAAGTTCGCTTCCTGGGCTGATTACTCGGATATCTGTTCTGGCGTGAAGGACTACTGGCGCCATGTTTTTGGGCGCGAGGACCCGGGCCTGTGAGTTTATTGCAATGAGCGAACTGTCTCGCAATCTACTCTGATGACTGTCCTTCGTCGGATATCTACCTCACAACCATCCTTCCCTTCTTTATCCCTTTTTTTTTTTTTTTTTTTTTTTTTTTGACACGGCAGGTTTGGCGGCATTTGGATCTACGATTCCAAGAAAAATCTTCTTTCCAGCTGGTCTGGAAGACAGAAGCCTCCTCTCACACAAAATTCCCTGTTCAATGACCAGCATTGATGGCGTCTTCTCTTTTTATGTACATATAGAATTTTTTTCATTTCTATGTTTCATTTCCCCTTTACCTCTTCCTTTCTTTCTTCTTTCTTCTTTCTTTCTTCTTTCTTCTTTCTTTCTTCTTTCTTCTTTCTTTCTTCTTTCTTCTTTCTTTCTTCTTTCTTCTTTCTTCTTCTTTCTTCTTTTCTTTTTTCTCCAACCCTTCTTTTCTTTCAAGACCTGTATTTATACATCTACTTCAACTTCATCTTGTTGCGACTAGAGTTATCTGTACCTTGCAAGATAAGTAGAAGAAAAGAAATAGAGAAGCGATCGAAATGAGAGGAAAGTCTTTTTCTTTTCTTTTCTTTTCTTTTCTTTTCTTTTTTGTGGCAGTTGATAGAAACCCCCACTGAACTATAGTATACATGTGTCTATACATTATTACATGGCCAGCCAAATCTATTGTTTCTGGTTCTGATCCACCAGCAACCCACTGTCCTCGGCCGACCGAGTAGCCGTCGCAAACAGATCCTTACACGGAACGCGACTGCCAAGGCGGGCACAGAGCAAGAAAGCGCCGCTGAGCTTGCGATGCAAGCTATACGTCTCCTCCGGGGGCGGGGCGAGCCTCTCACGGATCATGAGCGGGATGAGGTCGCGCACGCGGTCGGTGATGGTCTGGTCACGGAAGTCGTAAAGATCAGGCGAGGAGAGCATGAAGGGCTCGGCGATTGCGAGGATAGAGGAGACGTGGGCGTCGGCCATGGCAGTCGATTCGAGGCCCGTGAGGTAGCCGAGCTGGATGGAGAGGGTGTGGCAGGCGGCGCGGTCGTTGCGGGCGGCGGCGACGAGGGTGCGCACGTAGGTGGAAATGAACTTGGTTGGGTACTCGCGCGAGGCGCCGAAGTCGAGCAGCTCCAGTCGGTTGGTGCGCGCATTGTACAGGAAGTTGGTCCAGTTGGGGTCTGTCTGCATGTACCGGAACTCGGTGATCTCGCGTAGACACAGTCGCATGATCTGGGTGCCGATCCAGTCGCGCTGTTCCTGGCTAAAATCCTGGATCTTGGTGACTGCAATGCCCTCCAGCATTTCCATCGTCAGAACTTGCTTGCCGGATGCTTCGGTTATAATTTCCGGGACAACGAAGACTGGGTCGTCGCGCAGGAGCCCGCGGAATCGGGCTGCGCCTTCAGCTTCGCGCTTGTAGTCACATTCCCAGGCCAATTCGGTCCGCGCATTGGCGATCGTCTTGTCGAGGTACAGACCCCGGGGAAGCAGCCGGGATGCTGTGAGCAAAATCGACAGATTGTTCAGGTCTGAGTCAATTGAGTCGGCCACCCCCGGGTATTGCACCTTAACGGCGACTGGTTTCCCAGTTCGCTTGAGGACTGCGGCGTGAACTTGGCCAATCGATGCAGCCGCCATAGGGACTTCGTCAAACGAGGCAAAGAGGTCTCGCCAGTTCGGCCCGAGGTTTTCTGTCAAGACCTTGTCGCGCTGTGAAGCGGGCATGTAGTCGGCGCGGTCTTGAACACGTTGAAGCACTTGCTGGATGGGGTCGGGCAGCATTTTTGAGTCTAGAGAGATGAGAAGCTGAAAGATACAGAAGAGAGAAAACTGGGAACCCACCCTGGAAACTGAGCATCTGCCCCAGCTTGAGAGCTGCGCCTCGCATTTTGGACAGTTTAGACACAAGTCGTTCCATATTCCCGGCACTGAACATGAGAGACCCATTTTCTTGGCTGCCGGTAGCCCGTCGAACCGTCTCGCCGACAGCTCCGAAGGCCATCGAGGTCGCGAGGCCACCATACTGCCAGAGTCTCCCGAGTCGTGACGACGGCACACGAGACTCCATCATCTGGTAGACTTCATTCTTCTTTCCAGCTTCGAGCCCTTCGGCGCTTGGGGCCACATCCTCCGCGACGCTCGTCCCCAACTTCTCCATCTCCTCGGTTCCTGATTTCGCGACGGTCTCTGATGGGGTGGTTGACGGTGCGCTTTGGTCGCAAGGCGGTTGCTTGTCTACTGGCAGCCAATCTCTCTTTGGCGCCGGCTTCCCCGACAACATTCGAGAAACCCTCGGGCTGTGGAAAAGACCCTGCATCATCTCTTCTGGCAGTTCTTGCCGCTGATCCGGCGTGGACTGTTTAACGTCCGGGTCCACAGACGAGTGGAAAACATCTGCATTTAGTCCATCACTACTACCAACTTGAACATCCCCGGTCGCTTTGGGAAATTTGACTCGAGGCAGCGCGGAGAGATCCGGCGCAGACTGTTGCGAGGGCTCGTAGAATACATCCTGTTGTTGGCTGACATTTAATGCGTCGGGCTTCTCATCTCCCTTGTATTGCGCGGCAGAGGAAGGGACCTGGAACTCGGCCTGGCGTTGCAATTTCCGGGCTTCATCGGAAGGGGGCGTTGTGGTGGTCGAGGTAGTATTTGGGGCGTTGGCCGAGTCGGGCGAGGGCTCGGGGAGTCGGCCGTCGGCCGTGGGTTGGGCGGTGGCGAGGGTTCGTTGAAGCGGCGCGCCAGTGCGGCAGCGGCTTGTGCGGTCAAAATCAGCCCGTCGGTCTGGTCCTTGATCCCCTTGGTGAGGGACGACGTCCGAGTGTAGACATCGAGCTGGTGCTGGCGAATAGCCAAGTGCTTGACAGCTACTGACTTGGACACATTCAGAAGCTGAATGGCATCCAGCAGACGCTTGCCGGACATGGTTTTGGGGAAGGGAGGGAATGGACCAGCTATCGGAGCATGATCGGGCAAAGTAGGGCAGGAGATCGAGTAATAGGAATGAATAACCATGAATAATAACGATTGATAGGGAGCCATCGGGCGCCCCCGATTGCCCACTTTTTCTGCCGATCGTTGCCGCTCGGGCGAAAACTGGATGATCTATAAGACTCGTTCTTATCTCCCGCTTTTCTTTCTCCCCCAGATCCCCAGGTTTTTCTCTCTCCATACACGATGTTTCTGCAAAAGCCCCAATCGCAAGACCTGCAGGCTGAGGTAGCCCAGCTCGAGTCGCGGCTGCAAGATGTTCGGGCTCAACTAGCCGGCTCACTCTACCCGAGCCCTCCATCCTCGCATACTAATTCCAAGACGTCCTGGACGTCCGATGGTGAGCGCCGCATCCTCAACTAAATTCCTTGGTTTATTTCGCTAACGAGACTTGATGACCAGACGCCTATAATAATAAGAATAATAATCCCATTAAATTCCAAGCGGATGCGGTCCGCTCTTCCTCACTGCACGCGCTGCTGCTCCTCTCCGACTCCGCCCTACCACTGGGCTCATTTGCATACTCCAGCGGGCTGGAGTCTTACCTTGCGCATAATAAACCAGTTCGCTCAACACCAATCGCTTCATTTAATCGCTTCCTCCGACTCTCCATCGCTTCCATCGCAAGCACCTCGCTACCTTACGTTCTGGCAGGCTACCGAGAGCCCGAGATGCTAGAAACGCTCGATAATGACCTAGATGCATCGACACCATGTGTCGTCGCACAGCGGGCAAGTATTGCCCAGGGGAGAGCTTTGTTGGGAGTCTGGGAGCGCGCATTCCGGGCCAGCTTCGCCAGCCCGGAGCAAACGGCCGAGCCCGCGGCGACGCCATCGATGACTTCTCCGAGGCATTGAAGTCTTGCTTTGACGATGCAGACGAGTTGGGCCCCCGTGGTCACTTTGCGCCACTCTGGGGAGTGGTGTGTCGGGCTATGGGCTTGGATTTGCAGCAGACGGCGTATATCTTTGTTCTGAACCACGCCAAGGCTATTCTCAGCGCCGCCGTGCGAGCGTCGGTGATGGGGCCCTACCAGGCCCAGAATGTGTTGGCCAGCCAGAACTTACAGGATACGATCATGGCGCGCATCAAGCGCGAATGGAATACCGAGGTCGAACAGGCCGGGCAGGTCGTGCCGGCACTGGACCTGTGGGTCGGTAGACACGAGCTGCTTTATAGTAGAATCTTCAATTCATGACGGCGTTTCGAGAATGTCGCTGCATTGCATTCATCAGATCCTTTCTTTTCCATCCAACACGTACTCCTATATGACACAAAAATCTAACAAGCCATAGTCAAGGGAAATCAAAGTGCGCCATTTTTCCCTTCCGGTAAGTGGGTATTCAAGAGAGCACAGCCGTTCAGCGCCCTGATGCCCCAGAAATCCACCATAGCGTTCGGCGCCCCCGGGTAGAAAAAAGGTGCCCCAGGGGCAAGGACAGGGCATAACTCACCAAACGCCGACCCAACCCTAGCCTGCTAAACCAGCCAAACACCCCACCATGAACCTGTCCGAACGTAATCCACTAAAAAAGGGCAAGAATAAAAATAGAATAAGAAACACAAGAAGGGTCAAGAAAGGAACAAGAAAAGGGTTAATGTACATGAAAAGAAGTTCGAAGTCGGGTTGAATCAGAGGGTGATGTGCATGTAGTCGTTACTTCCGAAGGATCGGTTGCAGTTGGGACATTTGCGCGAACGGGAAGTGAGACGCTCTTCGACGCAGTCCTTGCACAAAACATGCCCACAGGTTTTAATGACGGTGTTCTTGAAGTTGCGGCGACACACGGTGCACAGCGCAAGTGTCTGAGAGAACATTAGTATGGAGATTGATCAGAGAAGTTTTGATGCCCAACTTACCCGCAACATTTCATATTCCGACGAGGAGTTGCCCAGACTCTTGCTCCTCCAGGTTTCAAGGTTCTTTTGGGAGTCTGCAAGCGACTGCTTCAGGCCCACAACTTCTGTTTCAGCTTGACGCAAAGCACTGGCGGTGTTTCCTAACGCGGTGTCCTTGGATACCGATAGCGCTTTGAGCTCGAAAGCCTGATTCTTCAGCCCATCTGCCATAATGTTGACCTCGGTAAGTTGTTGCTGGGTGTCGTGCTGCTTTTTGATGGCAATATTTAGAGCTTCCTTGTTCTCGTTCAATTGCTTTTCCATGTTAGACAACAGCGAGCGCGTGTTTGCTTCGGAATCCTTCAACTGCGACACAATTTCGGACGTCTTGGAATTTTGCACTCGAAGATTTCGAACTTCGGCGTCTCGTGATTCTTTGCTCTTCATCGCAGCAAAGAACTTTTGATCTGCCTTGGACTTCTCGGCCAGCAGGCGTGCGACCTTTTCTTCCAAAGCGCCAAAGTCTGTTACTTTCTGAGATGCCAAAGTCGAGAACTTCTTGTACGCGGTTTGCATGGATGTCAACTCGGTGTTGAGCATCGAGTACTGACGTTCGAGGCTAGTATATTTCGCCCGGAGCTCCTCAAGTGGCAATTCATCCACATTATCAGCCGCCTTCGAACCCTCGGCTTGTAACCGCAGTCGTTCAATTTCGGATTCCAAAGCCGTGATCCGCGCTTCTCGAGCAGCCGCCAACTCCTGCAACTTGACCCCAGTCGTCTTCTCTTGGTCTTGGGCAGCTTTTCTCATCTGGTGGTCGGCTAGGAGTTCATCGCGAGCATTTCGTATCCGTGCCAGATCGGTTTCCGCTCTCATCAATTGAGCTTCCTTTTCGGCGATCGTGCTTTGGGTTTCTTCCTCAATTTGAACCTTGTATGCAGTCCTTTCCGAGCGGTATTTCTGGACCTCCTCGCGGAGCTGTACGTTCGTCGCTTCCAAGTGGTTGATGCGCTTGACCACATCATCATGCTGTGATCGAAGTTGCTTGAAAAGATCCGTATGCGCGTAGTCATCGTCAGTAAGCCTTGAGGACTGCACCACCCATGTCAGCGATAATTCACGAAAATAACCTGGATAATATTACCTTGACCTTAAGTTCCGTAATTTGACCCAGCAAACTGGCATTTGCACTTTCCAGCTTTTGGACTTGTTCCTTGTGTTTCTCCGATACCGCAGTGAGCTTGCGGTTTTCCTCTTCCAACTCCGGGTTGCGATCCCCAACGGGTGTTCCGCCATTCGCAGGGGAAGAATGTTCGCGCTTTGCTTGTGTCCCCTCTGAGCTCGGCCGTGAAACACCCATCATATACTGCTTCTCCAATTTTGCTACCGTCACACTTCTCGCGCGGTCGACTTTCTTCTCGGCCACCATGTATCGCAGCGAGGCGGCCTCGAGGCTTTCCTCCAACTGTTGCTTTTCAGCCAGAGTCTTCTCTAACTCAGTGATGGTAGATTTTTCCTGTGCTAGTCTTTTGGCGAGCTGGCTCTGGAGATCGGAGACCTCGGGAGACATATCAGACTTGAGTTGGAGCTTGGAGATGATTTCGCGGATGGTTTCTGATCGGGTTTTCAAATGCGATTCAAACGCTTCAACGTCTTCGAACTGCAGCGAGCTTTTAAAGGAAGGTTCTGTCCAAAGTGTCAACCGATGCACATAATCAGACTAAAAGTAAAGAGAAATGCCAACCTTTGTCCGATTCTTGAGAAGAACCGAGGAGTATTTTAATTTCATCGATCAACTGTAGCCACATCAGCATCCCTTCTGCCAGACTGGTCTTGAAACCACGGGCGGAGTGATGAATTAGCCTACTTGATTGAACCACGCATCGATAATACGGAGGTGGTCATTGTGATGCGTGGCAGCTTTCGACATTTGGTTAAGGCGCGATTCCAACGAAGTCTTCTCCCGCTTATATTCCTGCATCTGGCGGAGTATCGCATCTTTTTGGTAGCGCTATCAGGGGAGGATTGTCAGCACCATGTCCACGAAATTTTCCACTAAAAGAAAGGCGTGCTTAATGCCACAAGCCATCTGGATCAATCCACTTACCTCCAAGTCGTCTTTCCATGGCATATCAGCATCCGGGTGAGGCTTGCTGCCGTTCAGAGCAGTGGCCTGTTTCTTGGGCGGCGGGGCCGAGTCATTGTCCACGGCAGGCCTTTTCCGGTCTTCCATCTTGACAAGACCGGATTCTGAAGACACAACGGGGAATTCGGCGGCCGGCATCAGTGGCTAGACAGGCATGAGAGGGGAAGATGTCACCCTCAATCAGCCAAATGCAGAACCCACGACCACACCCAGCAAAACGACAGGGAAAAAGGGGCCCAGGGCAACAACAGAAGTGACGGGAGTGACAGGGAACCAGCCAAGGGGTGGGATGCGATCGAGAAAGAGCGGAAGCCAGGAGGATTTTCGACCAAGTTTAGCGTCGCGCTAGCGCCCCTCACGTGACCACCCACTACCCCGGCTTGGGAACTTTTTTTTCGTCACTGCAACCCCGCCATCAGCCATGAAGTCGTTCTCGAGTTCGGTGATCAGTAGGTATTTGGAGGAAGTGGGCGCGGGTACGGTGACTGACAGCAAATCTTTCAGACAAATCGGGCAAAAAATTCGCCCCCAAGGCGCCCCCTCGCCGAGGCGGGCCTCCGCCTGCAAGACGGCCCAGTGCGACTCAACAGAACCAAGCGCAGGCTGCTCAGGCTTCCCAGCAAGAAAAGGCTCCGGCGACCTCTTTTCCTCCGCCTTACGCCTCTCCCGCTGAGCCAGAAGGGCCTGCAGTCGCGGAGGAAGGACCGGTTGCGGCGCCTGACGCGCAAAAACCCGCGACCCCAGCTCCTTCAAAGCCTACAGCCACAGCTATCCCGATACCTCTCCCGAAGCGCAAAGCGTCAATATCCCAACCTACAAAATCTACTTCGCAAGATGCGACTTTTGCGATTGCCCCTCCGACTCCATCTGCTCCATCCTTGCCTAGCGCACCACGCCCCGAACCCCAGCCCCGCCCGTCAATAGAGCACAAGCCAGCGCAGTCTGTACCTGAACCCACTAGTCTTGAGGCTACTCAGGATTCACAAAATGTCGAGATTCCGAGCGAAGGCCCTCTTCCGCCAGCACCCGCACCCGAACCTCAACCTCGAGATACTCCCTCAGCCCCAACTCCGATTCGCCCCACGAAACGGGCTTCGAAAGTATCAGAAAAGAATGCCAGTTCACGAGGAAAGGCTCCTGCGCTTGCAACCCCGCCATCTTCCCAGCCCCTAGTTCCCACGATTGAAGAGCCAAGTGGGATACCCAGTGCATCTGTGGCCCCCTCCACTCCAGAACCGAGCAAGACAGCCGCTAAAACAGCCGCAAAGACAAGAAAGCGAAAAGTTTCAAAGGCCGAGACATCCGAGGCGGAGGGTGGGGCCGAAAATGCGAAACGAAACCGCCGCAAGAAACGCGAGCCAACCCCAGACGGTGCAGAGACGGTGGAAATCCTGCCGAACGTTGTAAAGATGTCGGAGTTGTGCAAGGATCTCAAAACCGGGAGAAAGTCGAAGCGGGAGACTGAGCTGCAGAAGATAGACTTGGCCGAGCAAGAGCGGAAACAAAAGGCGCACGAGGAAGGCTCTAATGCCCCACCAACGCCAGTCAAGGAAAGCAAGGAGCCAGAATCGAGCCAGCAAGACCGGTTACCCGATGTGAAGACCCAGTCGGGTCCCGTGATGCGAATCGTCAACGGCGAGATTGTCCTCGATACTGCGTCTTTGCAAGTGGATCGTCATGCGGATGCCGCCCGGAGCGCGGGCGACCTAGAAGATGTGGTGGAAAGCTCGTTCACCCGCAAGGTCAACCAGGCCTCATATGGCAAACGGTCAAAGACTGAAAGCTGGGACGAGGATATGACGGATCTGTTTTACCGTGGGCTGCGGATGTTTGGCACTGATTTCATGGTGATCAGCAAGATGTTCCCGGGCCGGTCTCGGCGGCAGATCAAGCTTAAGTTCAACAATGAGGAGCGCCGGGATCCGCAGAAGATCAAGGACACACTTCTTGGTCCGCGTGAGACTATCGACATTGCGACTTATTCTGAGATGACCAACACGGTTTACGATGATCCCAAGGTCATCCAGCAAGAACTTGACGAGGAGAAGAGGGTCATTGAGGAGCAGCACAGCAAGGAAAAGCAGATGCAGGAGGAGCTGTTGCGCAATCCCACTGGCGCCACCGAAACGGATGGGGCCCCCGAGGCTGACAAGACCAACGGTGGCCCGGCCAAGAGCAAGTCGCGCAGCAAGAACCAGACAAAGAAGGCGGGCGGTGGAACTGAACAGGTTCTGGGGTCTATCGATGATATTCCCATGGTTGCTTAGAGTCATGGACTTCCCTCCGGGGCTAATCACGAATGAGTTTACGATGGCGTTTGGGGTTCGCGCAAAGCGACTGGGGCGCATGGCTGGGAGTTGAGGGCTCTGGTACGGTGTTTTGGCTTGCTTTTGAACATTCAGGGCGTCTATAAAGACGATTGTACAACACTAGCCCCCGGGTTGATTGAATTACAGTTTGTTCGATTACACTATATCTTTTGTCTGCTCACTATCGCAGCAAACCCTGTCGCATCAAAGTCACCGACGCCGTGTCGATCCGAACCCGGTGCTGGACGTCGTGGATGAAAATTGCGGTGCAGACCGCGAGCTACCTTCACCTGGGTCAGAACCATTGAATCCGCCGAAGGATGCGCCCCGTTGCGAAGAACCATTTCCACTGCCGGCACGTCTGCCGATCCCGTAGCCCGCCGCCGCACCACCAAGCGCCCCTGTCCAGAAACCCGGTCCCCAGCCTTGTCCGGATTGCCGACCTCCAAACGCAGGCTTATAGCTATCAGCGTACCTGCTGTACGGGGGTGGGGGGCCTGGATAGTCGTCGTCATCACCACCTCCCCAGAATCCTCCCGGTCGACGCCCCATGCCTCGGCGCCTCTGGCCTCTTCGCAGGCCGAAACAATCAGCAAGCATAGGCCACAAGACCAGGACGAAGACGACAGCCACGAACCCGAAGAAGATCAAGTCTCCCAGAATGGCCAGCACCTTTCGGTAGCCATCCCCAGACACTTTTCTGCCCAGGTTCCCTAAAGACCAGTCTGAGTTCCCGTAGGCTTTCCCAAATCTCTCCTCTCCCTTCTCCGTCAACAGCAGCCGATACTCCACCCCACAGCTGCCTTTGAGCACCCACTTATCATCTGCATTCCGATATCCTTCACACACGACGTCCGTGGCACCAAGCTTGAGCTCGGGTGGTAGCGATGCCGTGCAGGTCCACTGGACGTCTTCTTCGTCGTAGTCGTAGCCTTGATTCGTGCAGCGCATCGTTTCGATTGGGTATAGATCGCATACTTTCTTCGAGGGGCCAATGCACTTGAGCTGGGGAATTGGCGAGACGCGGCGCGAGCTGGTCATGCGGTTTCCGCGGAGAGTCAAGGTTTGTACCTTGGATAGAAGGATGGCATTTTCGCCTGGTGGCTTTTGCGACGAAGTGGTGCATGATACCGGCGAGAGGAAGAGGAGGGCCGCAAGGGCGACCACAGACAGACTGCGCATTTGTTGGAGCATTTTTGAGATAGCCCGATCAGCTGCCGAGGTATTGGAGATCAACGACACGAGGCCTGAAACCCGGTGTAGTGGGTTTGTTGAGGCCAGCTTATGGCCTTGTGTATAAGACCAGTTGTAATAGATCTTTGAATAGGCACCAGAGGGTCCTGTGGCGTCCAAATCACACGGTCCAGCGTGTCCTGAAGAATGACCGAGCCACCTCAGTAGCGATAAAGCGATAAGCAGTTCGGCCAAGAAAAGATCCACCGAGGCCGCACTTCAACTCTCTCCCGTGGGGATGGCACGATCCGACAGCTGCTGACGATGGCGCTCCAACAACGTGAGTCGGCGTCCTGTCTGATCCCTCGAATGCATATATTGACGAGATTTGCAGATGAGCCCGCGCCAGTTGCGGCGCAGTCTTCGTACGCTCTCTCTTCCCCTCCAGCGAGTGATCGCTAACACGGCCGCAGCCTATCTTTCACCCAGGGGCTCCTCCTCGGGCAGCTCTCCGTCGTGCTACTGATAGGTGCCTTCATCAAATTCTTCATCTTCGGCGAAGCGCCGCCACCCCCGTCCCGCGGCCTGTCTACCCGCACCTCCCACCGCCGCTACAGCTCCGTCTACAACGCGCCCCAAGAAAGCCAGAAGACACTGCGCGAAAAGCCCTCCAACTCCAATGTTCTCCGCCCCGTTCCCGCATCCTCCACCAACACCCGCTCGATTCTCCGCAAGACCTATTACAGCGCCGTGCCAACCAACCCGGCCAAACATGGCCGGCATCGCATGCTCCACTCGTCTCACCAGCCCGAGTCCATGGACTGGTTCAATGTGCTGATTGCGCAGACCATTGCTCAATACAGACAAACCGCGTATGTGCTCAAAGACTCGCCCACGTCCTCGATCCTCAGCTCCCTCACGGCGGCCATGAACAACCCCGAGAAGAAACCATCCTTCATAGACAAAATCACCGTAACCGACATCTCCCTCGGCGAGGAGTTCCCAATTTTTAGCAATTGCCGTATCATCGCAGTAGATGATCCCAACTCGGACGGTGGCCGGCTGCAAGCATTGCTGGATGTCGACCTCAGCGACGACAACCTTTCAATCGCCGTGGAAACATCATTAATCTTGAACTACCCCAAACCGTGCTCTGCCATCCTGCCGGTCGCACTATCGGTCTCGGTGGTACGCTTCTCGGGAACACTATGCATCTCACTGATCCCGGCATCGACACACCCACTGCAAACACCAACATCGCCCCCATCACCTCCGACCGCCGAGCAAGGGGAGCAAGCAGGCCCCAGCACAGGTGGTCCCACCGACACGGGCGTTGATTCCGACCAAAAGAGCAGCCCCAAAAGCAATGTTGCCTTTTCGTTTTTGCCGGATTACCGGCTGGACCTTTCAGTCCGGTCATTGATCGGGTCCCGCAGCCGTCTGCAGGATGTACCCAAGGTGGCCCAGCTTGTCGAAGCGCGGGTCCATGCCTGGTTCGAAGAACGTGTCGTCGAGCCCCGCGTGCAGGTCGTGGGTCTACCAGACCTGTGGCCACGAATGGGCCGAACGGGCGTGAGGACCGAGGATTCTGACGCCGGGTCCACGGCACCGCCGCGGAGTGCTGGCTCCGCCGATACAGGCGCACCGCTACGCTTCCCCGAGAACCCTGATCCGGAGGCGGAGGGTCTGCGGTTCCGCGGGGGACTCGATGCTCGACTTGGGCTCGGCGCCGGCTCGCGCTCCAGCAGTTTCAATGTTGATATGAGCGGTTTGCGAAGCTCGAGCATGACCCGGCAGGAAAGCAGTGGCGGTGTTAGCGACCAGTTCACTATGCCAGGGTCAATGCCAGATGGGATGCCTGCGACGTGAGATAGGACTGCACTGCTACGACTCTTTCTACGACCATGACCAACCATCCAGATCTAGTTTTGGCAGCATCTCAAGCCACTCATCTTTACCACTTGTACACTTACAATCCATCGCAATGAAAGTGATAAAAAGGACTATTCCCGAAACAAAAAAACAATTTCTATTCTCATCATTTGGTATATGCAAGAAACCCGGAAGTTCAAAAAGGGGGGTAGTGATCAGAATCGACTTGAAGTTATACTCAAGTCTTGGTTCCAAGCGTGGCATCAGTCAATTCAATTCATAAGCGCTTCTCAAATCCAAACACAGGACACAACCCTTTTTTTTAGTTCACAGCCGTAGCCGACTTCAAGACCGTGTCGACATAGGTCTTGCGGTGGGGGTTGACATCGACCTCAGCGTCACGGTTCAAAGGCGTCCATTTCGGCTCGTCCTGGAAGAGACGCATAGCCTTGACGTACTATAGCCAACCCATGTCAGCCAATTTGCCCATGCATCAGAGCCAATGCGGAGAGTGGGATGAAAACAGTCAACAAAATCAAAACATACATTCTTCGAATCCGTGGTAAAACGGTGGTAGATACCAGCAGGCAGAATGATCATGTCGTCCTTGCGCAGAGCGATACGGATCCACTCGTCCTGCTGACCGCGGACATCGAAATAGCCCTCGCCGTCGAGGATGTACCGGATCTCCTCGTCCTCGTGCAGGTGCTCGGAAAAGAAAGACTTGACCTTCTCCTCGTACACGGCGCCCATGGTCTCCGGCGAGACGCAGACCTGGTCACGGTTCTTGTAGCCGCGTTCATGCGCCAGGGCATCGACAGCTTCGAGGGTGGGAAGGTGCTTGTAGAGGACGCCGAGGGAGGCGAGCTTGTCCTCGGACACGATGTTGCCTGAGTCGTGCGGCTCGCGCTGGTCGCCCTGGTAGAAGCCAAGGAAATTAGTATATGGATGTCCCACTTGTTGATCGTCGATAATATATTCAAGAAAATTGAAGATTATGGGGGGGTTGGGACACACGTACCGGCAGATTGTCGTACCAGTATGCCCTCATGATGACGAGAAGTCAAGCGACTAGGGTCAATAGCTTGCAAATGTCTTTTGTCTCAGCGTCGAGAGCAGAAGAAAGTGAGAGCGCCCCTCGCAGCCGAAATGTATCAGCAGCCCCGCAATTGGCCGATGGCGCAAGATGGCTGAGTCAGCGGATGTCACATGCCTCACCGCCCTCGGGCTTAACGGCAATAAATGACACGTGACCTATATCGACGATTTTCTTATCGGCGGAAAATCAACTTGAAAAAGGTGCAGTGATTGAGTTTTTGTTATCAGCTCTCTCGCCAGACCCCGATTGTCTTTCGACATGGCTTTTCGACCACGGTCGGTGGCTCTGTTTCGCCAGGGTCGCGGTCTTCGCTCAATGCTGGGCCGGACTCGTGGCTTGGCGACTGTGTCGGACGGCACACAGTATGTGATTTCTCTTCGCCTTGGTCACTTCTGAGACTGGGCACGTGCTAATCAATGGTTGATATGGGCAGAACGTATGATGTCGTCGTGATTGGTGGTGGTCATGCTGGGTCGGAGGCATGCGCTGCCGCTGCGCGCTCCGGAGCGCGCACTGCTCTGGTAACGCCCTCGCTCGCGAACATTGGCGTGTGTTCGTGCAATCCCAGTTTCGGTGGGATTGGCAAGGGAACAATGATTCGAGAGGTCGATGCGATGGACGGTGTTGCGGGCCGCATCATTGACAAGGCCGGGATTATGTTTCGAATCCTGAACCGCTCCAAAGGACCGGCTGTCTGGGGCCCTCGCGCGCAGATCGACCGCGATCTGTACAAACAATATATGACGGAGGAGCTGGTTGATACAAAAGGGTTGAGCATTGTGGAAGGCAAGGTCGCCGACATCGTGGTCTCGAAGGAGGGTATGGAGAACACCCCCGGCACCCAGGGCAAGATTGTTGGTGTCCGATTGGAATCCGGCGAGGTCATTCGCACCGGACGTGTGGTTATAACGACAGGAACTTTCCTTGGTGGTGAGATTCACATTGGACTGGACATCTTTCCGTCTGGGCGCATGGGCGAGGCGCCGACTTACGGCCTGAGCAAGTCGTTACGCGACGCAGGCTTTCAACTAGGACGTTTGAAGACCGGGACGCCGCCTCGGTTGGATATGAAAACAATTGACTTCAAGGGTTTGGAGGTGCAACCTGGTGACTCGCCTCCTCAGCCTTTCTCATATCGCAATTCGACTGTCCAAGTCGGCGACGAGGGCCAGCTTACATGCTGGATGACCCACACGAACGAGTCTTCTCACGAGATCATCCGTGCCAACCTAGACAAATCTGTGCATATCAGGGAGATGGTGCGCGGACCGCGGTACTGTCCATCGCTGGAATCGAAGATCATTCGATTCACGGACAAGCCCCGGCACCAGATCTGGCTCGAGCCAGAAGGGTTTGCGCCCAACGACGTGGTCTATCCGAACGGCATTTCCATGACCGTTCCTGCAGACGCACAGTACGCCATGCTGCGAACAGTGCGCGGTCTCGAGAATGTGAAGATGCTGCAGCCAGGCTACGGAGTGGAATACGACTACATCGATCCCCGCAATCTGCAGCCCACTCTCGAAACCAAGCTGATCGGCGGGTTGTACCTAGCGGGCCAGCTCAACGGCACGACCGGGTATGAAGAGGCGGCCGGGCAGGGTATCATCGCCGGCACGAATGCCGGACTCGCGGCGCAAAACCGGGCCCCGCTAACTCTCACACGGTCCGATGGGTTCATCGGTATCATGATCGACGACCTCATCACGAAGGGAGTGTCGGAACCCTATCGGATGTTCACAACCCGAAGCGAGTACCGTATCTCGACTCGATCGGACAACGCAGACCTCCGACTCACACGCATGGCCCGAGACGCAGGCGTCGTTTCAGACGAGCGCTGGGACCATTTCACCGAGACAGAGGCCCAAATCCATGAGCTACAGTCTCTCCTCGCAAACACCAGGCTCTCGTCGACCGCATGGTCCCGCAAGGGCTTCAAGATCCGCGCCGACACCTCGATCCGCTCGGCGCTCGATATCCTGTGTCTCGACGGCACCGAGATCGATGCCTTGATCCCTCACATCGACGGTGCGCGCAGATCCGCATACACGGCGTCCTCGTTTGCACCGGATATCCGCGCGCGTGTCGCCATCGAGGGCCGCTACGCCCCTTATGTGAAGCGACAGGAGAAGATGGCGCAGCGGTTCCAGCAGGACGAGAACTTGGTTCTGCCTGCAGATCTCGACTACGGCGCGGTCCATGGCCTCAGCCACGAAGAGCGCCAGGCGCTCGAGCGCGTGCGGCCCGTCAGTGTTGGCATGGCGCGGCGCATCGAGGGCATGACGCCGGCGGGGGCGCTTCGCTTGTTGATGCATGTGCGGAAGGGCAGCGGGTTTGCTCCGGAGTTAAGCGTTGATGAGGACTCTGCTGTTGCAGGTGTTTTGCGGTCGTCGCCTTGACTCTCAACTCTTGGCTCTTGATTCTCGTTTCCTTTCTTGTCTCTTGCTATTGGCATTAGCGGTAAGCAACTCTGGCGTTTGGGATATTGTCTTCTCTTAGTGTACAATATACGATCTATGGCCTAGATATCGGGTCGTTGCCTTCTGTCATGTATTCTACTTCTCTTCTCTGGTCCTGATATTGACCTATACCGCGATCAATATACTGCGGCAAATAGATATCAAATTACTTAAACTGATAAAACCAGGCCCGCGAGTCATGTCCACACATCCATCTGCGAGAACAGCCTACTGTAGTAAGCAACACGTAGAAAGTACACCGATACCTAAGTAGTATGTAGCTAACTGCTTCTTGGTGTTCTTGGTAAATCGCCCAGCAGCTTTACTCTTTGGGTAGGTATGCCAATCCAGACATCACAACCTTGGCACCCACAATCCAGCAATCAGTAAAGCCCAGCAACCGGACCCATCACGCTGCATAGTGCAGTGCAGTAGCTCCGAGTTTAAAAAGAAAGAAAAGAGAATGTAAAAATGCAAAAGGACCCAAGACCCATCGCCCACGCATTCCAGACGCTCTTTTCCCCAGAAGTTGGGCACGCGAACGCATCCTTGTTCGATCATCCAGCCAGAGTGGTAAAGACGCAAGGGGTGAAAGATAGAGAGGGAGGGATGGAGACAAAAGGAGGGGTGTACATGTACATAGATGTTGTGGATGTGTATGTATGTGAGTGGTGTCGATCTCTGGCGGACAAGGGTGTGTATCTGCGAACACGTTGGGTAGTGAGATATTCCTGTCTTGGAGGTACATAATCTATGTAGGTTTTAATTCTATACTATCCATATATTCATAGATACGTTGTATCACTATATATATATATATATATAGTGGGAACTTGGACCTAAAGATATAGATAATCTCCTTTAGGTGCATAAGAGTCATCCTAAGACGAGATCGCACGATGATCTTTGGTAGCCTTTTAAGTCTAGATCTTTCCTAGGTCATGATCTCATCAACTCACTATATCTCCAGTAGTTCTCCAGCACGATGGGTAAATATGCAAAAAATCACCTGGCAAGGCAGTCCCAAAGGAAATCCGTTGGATCCATCAATCTCCAAACCCCAACACGTACCAAGTGAAAAACCATCTTGTGATGAATTAGCGGAATAGGAATGCAAGTCAGAGAAACTGGTTCGGACGGGCGTCCTTGCTGCGATCCTCATGCCTTCGGTAGTAGGGCGATGTATATTTTCTGCAAAGGGAGCTACCCAAGTGCATATACTTGGGTGTCTAGGTACAGTGGTTAGGATGATAACTATGAGACAAACATCAGATCGACCCAATAGGAACAAGCGATGCACCGAGATCTCAGGATATTTTGCACTGGGAAGAGAGAGAGAGAGAGAGAGAGAAAGAGAGAGTAGCATCATGATCGGATTGCAGTCTGATATCAAAACTGCGAGGACAACTCATGCATACCCTGTCCTCGTACCTAATCTATCTTGTACAAATAATGTAGGTGTAGAACCCGGTGCCCGGGAAAGAGAAACAAAGTAAACAATAATTAATAATTAATAAGTACGTTCCTGAAATATTGCAGTAGGATGTTCAATTTTACTTTCTACTGTATGTACTCGAGTACATCGCAACAACCAGCACCGTTGTCGGTCACAAAAGCCTGTGGAGGACACGAGCCCAGCAGCCTAGGGCCCTGGGAAAGAACAAGAAGTGATCGCCAGGAGTTTTGCTGGACCACATGGGCGTGGGGACGAGACTTTTAGGGTCTGGATACACAATCTTGCAACCTTTTAGCCTACCTTGGACACCCATGGATTGGTCCACCGCATGGGCGCCGGTGAACCCAAATCAGAGAACTAGGGAAGGTTGGGGGGGTGGATGGATGGATGGGTGTAGAGTATGTAGGTTGGGGATAGAGTTGGGATCGGCTGTTCGAAGTAAATCACTAAAATAAATACCACTAACCTTGGAGCTAAGTACGTGCGATTAGTTTTCGATGACATCTTGTCATGTCTATATCCATATTCGATCGAACAATCGAATAATATAACCATAATTCACTCCTGTAGGTACCACAGTCAGTCAAGTGTATCACCAGACCTCCCATGGTCATGTTTTAGGTCGTACAGGGCTCGGGGCGAAGGCGCACGGAACGCGCCAAGTCCCAGAAGGGAAGAAATAGACGATCGCGATGATCCTGATCTCGATTATATCATAGTGTTTAAGTAGGTATTATGGAATGGTTCATGAGACTATTTGATTAGGGATGGATATATGATCTACTATTCAAGGGTAATTAAATTATTTGCTCTAAATATTTGAATGTTTTCATTAGGATATCTGCTCAGCTCGAGTCCCAGCAATGGGTGAGACAAACACTAACATGCGCAGTCACAGTGCATATGCCCCGCCACTAAAGTAGATACCAGCCTAGGCAGGTCCTAATAGACCTGTACACACTTGCAGTTTAGTCCATACTAATGCCTACTAATAGATACATTAAGTATACGCAGAATCGGTGGTCAAACCGGATCTTCACTCCAAAAGGAGAGAATTCCAGAGAAAATTGGGCGCGTCTGCACCTGACATGGTTAGGCTGGTGACGATCGCTCTCAGCTTGAACTAGCAAGCGTCAGACCCTGGAGAGGTGCGGGATTTCTGCGAAAAGAAATCATGGAACGCCACTTGCACTAGTGGGGGTCTGTCCCCGGTAGCGTCTTGTCTGAATTATTTTTATTTTTATTTTTATTTTTATTTTTTCTATTATCATGCTTCTTTTTCGAAGAGTATTAGATGATATGAAATCTTTGATTCTTCTGCTTGATCTGTATTCTATCGAGAGTACACTATCAGCTTGGAAATACCCATAGAATCATAGACTTGGGAAGACCCCACACGTCAGGAAGAAAAAGAAAAAAAAAAGAAAAGCGTTCAGGCCCTCCTACATCCCCCACCTCCCCTTGTCTCATGCGTCTGTCGCACTGATGCCTAGCCCGAGTGTCTGGTACGGGTGGTGCACCATCCGTGGATGTGGATGTCCTTAGGAGCAAATTAGGGCAAAATGAGAAAGAAGAGAGAAAAGATCGACATGGGGCACGATAGGAGGGGAGGAGAAGAATGGGGTTGGCACATTGATTCGTCTGTGCGATCAGTAAATAAGTGGAGAAAGGAAAACTGAAGGTCATCGGGAGAATCTAATTCGATCACCAGAATTGAATATGCCGCCTCGAGGGACTTTAGGGAGTACGCAGTGCTCCGCCTCGTTGCGCGCTTAGGACAGAGCCTTGGCTGGTGAGACAATCATTTGTGGTCCAGACTTTTTTTTTTTCTTTTTTTTCTTTTTTTTCTTTTCTTTATATGATAATATTATAATTATCAAGATCGACTCATCCGTGCCAGAGAGAGGTCTGGGTCAAGTCGATCCTTTGTTCCCATGATGGATCTCTCGTATCTACCTACTCGAAGGAGATCAGTACTTCTGTTGTATTATCTTATCTTATATAGAAGTACCTTAGTTATGTCTATGCCTATACATGATCGAGTATATACTAATATACTAACAAGGTCGTCCGTCTGACATCTGTCACTCGCGTCAATTGAGTTTCAACAAGCGTTGCGCCAACTAGGATCGTCTCCTGTTCACCCATTCCTCTGGGACCTGCCAGAGTAGGGTGAAACACGGAGGACAGTCGTCCGTTTTGTCACAAAAGCCAAGCCCCTCTAATAGACTAGAAAAAAAAAAAGGCCTCAAGCCACTAGAAGAAAAGTCGATCATTCACCTGTTATAGAAAAAAAAGGAAAAAAAGAATGTGAGAATGTGGCAGTGACTGGATCTGCGGAGGATCTCCCGTGAAGGTTTGATCCAATGAGGCCGTGGAAGAGCAAAAAAGACTTCCCGAAAACTCTTTCTCCAGTTTCTTTATTTTTATTCTTTCTTTCTTCTTTATATGATCTCTTCTGTTCTGTGTCTTCGGTTCTATACTTCCGTCCATGCTGATTGGAATTCAAATATTCCTACATTAGGGGATCCATGGATTATCGCAATATTTGAACGGGACCCAGGGAATAATCGGAATCGCTGACGCTCAGTCCTCTCTCTCTTCGTGGTGCTTCCCTCCTTTGGAATTGGCAGACCGACACTCTTTCAACACGGACCAGTGGGACGGAAAGGAATACGGGAATATGATGGGGAAGCATCACCCGGGCTTCAGCGGTTGGTCTGACTGGTCTCTTGGGGATCTTCGTGGTGGAGTGGAGGCCGATTTTTTTTTCAATAGTTCCGCGGGATGGAGTGCACTGGCCACCCTGGGGGCCAAGTAATAATGTGAAAAAAAATAATTGTAATTATTATGATAATTATAATTAATCTCCTTTTTTATTATAATTTATTTCCACTAGCCTCCACCAATAGCCTCGCCCAAGCGCGACACCCGTTGGCGTCAGAGCGTCATCGACCCACCGGCCCGGGGTTCAGGCGCAGTGTCGTGATACGGGTATCAGCAGTGCCTACTCCTTGGATTCTGGCTTTATCCTCGATTGTATTAGATATCCTTTATAATTTATAAGTGAATAAGTGAATAAGTGAATAAGTGAATAAGAGAATAAGAGAATCGATTAATGTTAAGTATACATGTCATGGAGAATATTAAATATTGAATATAACGTGAGTGGTACGGGATCATCCATGGCACGGGGGACTCGATGACTCCATCACCGGCTTAGTCAAGTGTCAGATCCTTAATGCTGGTGAAACGGTGCCTTTAATAAAATAAAATAATAATTTACTGAAGACTTTGATTTGATTTGATTATTCAAATATTCAAATCCCATTTCTTTTCTTTTCTTTTTATTGGAATATCGAGGTGAAATCATCGGCTCCATCTGTCACTCCCGTTTTTCTCCGCTCCCCCGAGTCTCCTCGAACAGTGAATATAGAAGATGGGAAGATAGCAGATTACTTGGGTTACTTGATACTCAGTAGAGGAGAATCCCCACTTAACATTAACATTAACATTAACCATTAGCCTCCCGGTGACCATACCATACTCCGATCTCTGCAGTCCCTTTCTACTTCCCGAGGTATACAGGTATCCTTCTGGTATCCTGGTAAGTTACTTGTCCATTAGAATATACCTAGGTAATATTATTCTGTTAATGAAAATTATCAAATCATTAATATTAATTGATATTCTCGATCGAGTGGACCTTCCAGGGTCTCTCTCTCACCCTCTCTCCTTTTCGTCTCCACAGCTAATTGCCGCAGCATATCCGTGGAACCCGCCAGTCGATCCCATCTCCAGAGATCGGTGCAACCGGTTGACTCGCTGACTCTCTGACTTGAGGCCCGTGCATGCGTCGATCCTTGGGTGCGCAACAACTGAGGGGTTCAACTCAAAACCTCCTACTCTTCCTTCTCCAGACCCTGGTCGATCTCTTAGCTTAATCTTTCATTTCTTCTCTGGACTCGGGGTTTATTCGGGGTACCTGGGAGCCTCGTCGGCTTGTATTGATTATCTTCCCTTGCTTCCTTTTCCCTTTTTTTTTTTTGGTCCTTTTCTTTCCCTTTCCCTCCGCCCTTCACACTTGTGTGATTATCTTCCTCCGATCTCTCCAGACACCATGGTGAACGGCAACGCAGCGGTGTTGGAGCCCACTTTCACCGGCTATGTGGCGACGACGCAGGATGCGCTGATTCTCTTCGAGGCCTGCTTATCCGGGGTCTTGCACCATGTCCCTCGTCGACCCCACGACCGCGAACGCAGCCATCTCGTGCGCAGCGGCAGTGTCTTTATCTACGAAGAGAATGCATCGGGGATCAAGCGGTGGACTGACGGCGTGACCTGGAGTCCCAGTCGCATTCTGGGCAACTTCTTGGTCTATCGTGAACTCGACAAGCCTTTCCCTCCTGGCGAGAAGAAGCGCGCGATGAAGAAGGCCAACCGACGACCAGTCCCGTCCTCTCGGCCGGGTGAGCCATACCCACGACACGACAGTAATGGCCAGGGCTACTCCCCCACGTCACCCCCCGGGTCATTCGGGGACCGTCCCCATCAGTCGGAGGTCGAGCGGGCATTGGTCGGGTCGCTGGTCGATTCGTACGGGTTCAAGGACTCGGGCTTGGTCAAGAAGACGATGAGCGTGACGGTCACGGGGATCACACATCATCTCGTGTCATACTACAGCGTGGACGATGTGATGCGCGGAGCACTGAACCCACCCTCGATGGTGGACTCGCTGCGCTACATCCGGCCGCGCGCCGAACTCACCCAGAAACAGAGCTTCCGCGCCCCGATCGACGATCTCGAGTCGGGGACGATGGAGAACCCCCACGATCCCTCGCAGGCCCTCTATGGATACCGACCGCCGATGATGGCTGCTCCGGCTTATGGGATGCCCAACCCGTCTCCTGACTTTTACATGCATGCTCCCTACGCCGCCACCCAGCCGCCGCACACGGGCCCGATCGCAGGCTACTCGATGGCAGGGTCTATGCCCGGGCACCCCGCCCCGAACCCCTACCTGCCAGCTCCCGGGGCGATGCCACCCAAAGTCGAGGACTATCACGCCCTCCGCGCCGGGCCCTACGGCAGCAGCATTGATTCGATGAGCCACAGTGCCCTGTCCTCGTCGATTCCGGGCGCAATCAACACGGCAATCCCCAGCTCCCTCAGCGACCGCCACCGGTCCCACTCCGACCACAGCCCATCGGCGTACCGCAACTCATCTATCTCCTCGCGCAGTGTCGCCACCGACGCCACATCGCCCATGGACCCGGCCACGCCCGCCACTTACTCACGGGGCAGCTTCAGTCTGTCGGGTCAGCTGGACTCGAACCAGGCGCCCCTCGAGCCGCGCGGCATGGTCGATCCCAGTGTGTCCCGCCGCGAATCCAACCCTATCCACCCATCCTACTACCCGGGCCCTGACCGGTCTCAATACTATGTCGGAGCCACTGCTCCCGTCAACCACCCCCATTATGCTGCGGCGCAGCCTCTCTCCACGTGGACGACCACGGCCCCAGCTCAGCCGCAGATTTGATTATTATGTCGTTTTTTTTTTGGATTGCTATAACGTGTCTTTGGTGTTAGGGTTATGATGGAGTGTGGGAACTGGGACTGCGTACTTTTGATTCTTGTGTTTGCCCGAAGATAGACCCTTTTGTTTTGTTTTGTTTCTTCTTTTCTGTGTCTGGAACTTCGCTTGTCTCGCAACGGCCACTCGACTGGCGGTGTACTCATGTGTTCTTCTTTTTTTCCGTGTGATTTCCAGTTTCTCTCTGCTGTCTTTTGTCTATACCTATATGTGTTAGTCGGCTCTCTGCTATTCGGGTCTCGAACCGGGACGGGAACGGTGGCGTTCTTTGTGATACCTGACGATGTGATGCAACAATCCCCACAACCCAAAAGGTTTTTTTTCCCCTTTCTTTCTGCTACTGTGTGTTTTCAATTGCTCTTTGCTTTTACTCGGCGGCTGCCGCTCTGTATGTTTTTCTTTCTTGTGCTGGCTTTTGCCCATGCGCTTTATAATTGGCGTTGAATGGGTTTTTCTTTCTCGGGTTTGGGTCTGGTTGATTTCAGGTAGGCAACTGTGATTCTTCATTCTTTTCTCTGTGAAGGTCTTCTGTGAATTGTATAAACTGTAGTGTTATTAGGCTTTAGGGTTTCCCTTGGAGAGATCCATGAATACCCGTGATGAGATCAATATTCGAAAGTCCCAAGGGATCAAATTCTAAGATAATAGCCCTGAGGCTTTGGGGCTGTGTTAGTTGGCTTTGAAAAGATAACTTCTACCCTCTCTGTATTCCATGGTCCATGATCTATCTCTATTGCTATTATTGTTTAATTATTTGATCTGTGTCTTTTCTGGTTAGGTTGGTATTCCTGGACAAGCATGGCCAATGGATATCTCATCGATTGTCTCATTGCTATATTGATTATAATATTGTGAAGCAACAATCCTCGATAATTCAGAATTACTGGCATATCGCCGACATACATCCAGTCATCGGCCACTTCGGCAGTCGTCCAGACAAGAAATATAGGCGATTGGCTCCCAAAGTCTGAGGGTAACGGTAAGTATAAGTGAAGGTAATCAAGCCGAGATCAAATAGGGGCTTATGATCAGTGTGGTACAGGGTATCACATATCCCCCCTATTAAGAGTAGTAAGTAGTAAAGAAGGGTAATTGGTAATATACCTAGGTAAGAAATATCTGGAGGTGTAACCCTCCATGCTTGTTCTTACCTGGGGTGGATGGGGTTGTTTTTTTTTAAAAAAAGGCAGTGGTAGTCATATTGAGTCATATTGCTGGCTACGTGAAAGAAACGAAATTATTTAACTGATCTGATCCAGAAATTCAATCTGAGAAAGCTTGAATATCCATAATTGTCAAAATTCAACCTATTTTCATTGATATCGTCATCTCTTGAATGAATTAACCACTGAAATGGGCAGAAGATTGGTGGTTTCTATTCTGCTTTAGGGTAAGACTTCTCTTTTACTTCTTGAATGAATAGTATTCTTTTTTTATGGTCTTAATAGAAAGATAATATAGTGAAATACCGACCCCTTACTAAAAAAAGAAAAAACGATACTGATTTTAGTGTCCGTCCGGTAAAAAATGTTGCCACTTCTCTTGCATAGATCCATCAACAAATGTCCAAAACTATGGAGAATGCAAATTGGCTGTATAGCTAACTATTCCTTTTCTTTTCCTTCTTTTCCTTTCCCATATATATATTTATATATTTATATATCAATCTGTTTCCTCGTCTTCTTCTATCTCATCTCACTGATATACTTAGCACTATTTATATAATAGTGCAAATGATCAAAACCCCGGGCTGTTGTTCAGCAACCTGCAAAGATCTCAGCAACGACGCCGCCAACTGTGGAACTTGGGGACATGCTATGAGTCTAGCCCACCACTCATTCCTCCCTCTCCTTAACTATAAACCCCCTTCTAGTGTTCGATGCATGAGAATGGGCTATATTGTTAATTCCCATAATATCGAGAGAGTTGATAGTGCACAGGACATACCTCGACCTGTTGCTCGGGATCCTGCGTTGATTTGAATACCGATGCCAAAAACTGCGGATCCGGCGCGGCCTCATGCCCTACAACGACGCCAAACTGCTGTGCTGGAGTTTGTAAGGATCTAGCCACGAATCCGAATATCTGCGGCTCTTGCGGGAATACTGTAAGTGGGTTCAGATATTGGATGTTTATCATTTATCATCTATTGTCTCCCCTATCCCAAATCCTCTTCTTTCTCCCCCCCTCCCCCTAACCCCTGATACATATCTATATCCTCTCGATTCTCGATTCTCGATACTAATCCAATGAGTAGTGTCCCTCCGGCCACTACCTGAATAGAGTCTGCACCCGGTCCGAATGTGTAGGCTTCACCTGCCTAAGCTTTCCCGTTCTACAATACGAACTGCGGCTGCGTCGGGACGCCAGAGCGGTTCGGGGTGTGTGTGGAACCTATTTGTCCGCCTGTGCCTTGCAACGCCACCTCGGACTGTGCCCTGGGCACGGTGCGTGTTTTTGATGTGCCTTGCTGTAATGGGACCAAGACTTATAACCCAACTTGTTTACACCCTGACCGGGTTGAGAGTGTGGGCTCCTTTTGGAGTTGGGTTTGCGATGCAAATGTTACCTACTGGCGATTTTCTTGTCTAGTAAATGAACTATTGCTTTGGAGTAATTACTTAGACGTAAAGCATGAGCATGGCAGTTCTGAAGATTGATGGGTATCTCAACATAATAATACAGAGTAGAAGATACATGGAATCGGACATGTTGGAAATGGAGCACGAGTAGATCTTTTCAACCATAGATCAAGAAAAGACGAAAAGAAAAGAAACGAGAAAAATAATCAGTGCATCGCGCCATTCGGCTTGGTCATAGTCGCCAGCAAGGCAGCACTGATCGGCCGATTCGCCATCATCATGACCCGCTGATAGCCACCAGGAACCGGTGGGACATCATCCTCATTGTCCTTGATCTCGTGCAGCTTGCTAGACCGAGGACTGGCCCTTGGGTCGGTTTCTGAACCCACGCCATTCACCATACGTTCCCGAAGAAACTCGCGGGACCGCGTGCGGCGCAGTTGCTCCGAGCGGCGAACGGTGACAGGCGAATCGGCGCGAGGGCTCTTTGCGCGCAGCGTTGACAGGTACGAGGCGGCCGAGGTGTCAAGTAAAAGGCGGATGTTGAGGGTGTTGGAGCCGTCGGTGGCTTGCGCGGATGTTCCTACGGCTGTGGCAGAGGTGGACTGTGAAGAGGGCTGTGCGCGAGGCATGGGCTGGATCTGCTGGAGCTGGGTTTGCAGGAGGTTGTTTTGGAGTGAGAGGCTGTGGTTTTGCATCTGCTGCAACGGGTCGAGTGTGCCGTATTGGCCGGGGTAGCCTCGTCGGTAGGGCTCGTTGAGGTTGGAGGGCATTGGGTCTTCTGGAGGGAGCTGGATCTGTAGGAATCCATTAATTTGTGGTCTTTGAAGGTGAAGCACGCTGGTTGAATCCCTTCACACTTACCGAGCGCGAGTACTTCCGTCCCGGCATGGCAATGTAGTCGTCCAAGGAACTCTCCAAAGCAGCAAAATTAAATCCCCGCTTTTCATCGACAGGCCCAAAGCGCTGACCCATTTCCTGGCGGAAGTCAATGCCACGGCGCTCCGCAGGCTGGTACGACGGCAGAGATAGAAGCCAGCGTGGGTACGTGCCGAACCAGGCCGAGACAACAGGGTCGATGTCGAGCGACAGGGAGATCTTCGCAGTCGGCGAAGGCTTCTGGATGAGCATGACAAAGGTGAACTCGCGCGGCAGACCAGACTGTTGCAGGCTATTTTCCTCAAGCGACCAGACAACCTCGCCGGCCTCGACATCGAACTCGCGACCACGTGGGCTCTTGCGCGTACGAGCCGAGCCCTGGATGCGCATCATCTCGTAGCGGCGATACCGGCCATTCACACTACCCGACGGGATCACACTGGCACTGACGGGCATCTCTGAGATACCCAGCGACCCGGCCAGGCTGAAGGTCCATTCCATTGTCTCTGGAGAGACTGTGCCATAGATCAGATGCGGCGCGTGCATCAAAAACCGAGGGTTGCCGGGCGGGTAGCCCTGTGGGTAATGCGCCGAGGTCGACACCTCGCGGGTGCCGTGGACTGTAGCCCGGATAGTGGCAGCCTTGAAGCGATGAGTGAGCGTGTGCGGCGAGTGGAAGGTAAAGCCCAGAGCCAGGAAATCCACATGTTCAGCGTCCTTGTCACTGACGGCAGCGCTGGAGTAGAACCCGTGCTGAAGCCGCTGTACATGTACGGTAATATAGGCATCGCCGGGCAGTCGTCGCTCATAGATACAGGCACGGTTGACAAGGAGCCGCGGGTTGGCCATGTTGGGGTCAGGGGGCTTTTTGTCCTTGAGGGGAGGTGCACCTTTCTCGGGAGGTGGAAGAGAGGGAGAGTCTGAGGTGCCATGACTGGCAGGTGAAGGGGCCATCCTGAGTCCCCGTGGGACAACAACCGCTGTCCCCTAGTAAAGGCAGCCGTTTGCTCTCCATCTGGATCTAGGGCTCTGGTCGCTACCTAGACACTTTATGTTGTAGATCCTAGAGGAGCCTCAAGACATATATAAAAGATAAAATCAATACTATCAGTCTCTAAAGGCAGAGACATTCCTGTCTCTGAAATGATGTTAGCCATCAGGCGGGTTGTCAGTGTGAGTGCTGCAGTCAGGTGAACCCGGGGGCATGATGTGGGCCGGGTGATGGATCATCATCATGGGCAGTGCACAGGAACCTCAGTGTTTCAAACCCATGGCTTTAGGATATTTGGACCATTAATAGAGAGAATTGAGAAAAGTAGGTCGGAATATTAAGAAATCAAAGTAGGGCTGCGATGTCCCAAACGGGCCCAACGGGGACAGCTGTCCGGGGACGGAATTAGAGATAATCCGCTTTTCTGAATCTCGTCTCCTGCTTCTTGAATGTCCCGGACAGCCACGGGGCCATGCATTGAGGCCTATTGTCACATCAAGCACAGTGAGTTTTGTTTCTTGTGCTGTTTCGTATGGTCCCCTCGCAAGGGCCTTTGGACATCAGCTAACCATATATCAAGCCACACGATAGCATTGGATGTTGATTGGCCATTTCATGGACTATTTGATTGACCGATAGCTCCTGGGCCAGGTGCTAAAGAACTGCTCTTTGCATCTGCTGGTTTTGATTTTTTTCCCCTTGCTATATGCGCTTTGTCTTTAGACTTTCTGGCTTTCGTTGAACACGAGTGAAGGGGCATGTGTCCGGGGTCCGTTGACATCTCTCGTTTGCTTTTCTCGTGTTTGCTCCTACCGCGTTATCTTTGATTTTGTGTCACCATGAATGCTCTATGTGCTGCCCAACGGCTGGCCCTCCGAGCAAGCCGGCAGGGATCTCTACTGTGGGGAAGCCCGCATAGTTCTTTCCGGTCCCATGTGGGTAAAGTCCAGCTGCCAAAACATGGACTCCATTCGCATTGCATCCCTACTTTACGTCAATCCCTACCATTGAATTCGCTACCAACCAGGTATGGTGCTTCCCTAATCCATGAGTGCATTGATCTGACTGTTTATCTCAGAGAGTTGAGACTTGGGAGTCTTCTCTCTGCTCCGAGGATATCTTTCCGTCCTCAACACCAGAGGTGGTCTGCATCCAAAACACCGGAAGACCAGAAAAGTTCTCCCTCCGAAAAGTGAGTCTGTGGCATTTCCATTTCCTTGTCGAGTACTGGTGTTGACTAACCCCGGACAGGCCAAACACCCCCCAAAAACCAGGGGTTCTGTCACGCATTCCAAACGGGACCCATGAGAACATCTATACTATCCCTAACCTTCTCACGTTCTCTCGGCTGGTGGCTGCCCCGTTGGTCGGGTACCTGCTAGTCCATGACTACCATGGTGCAGCTCTATCGTTGTTTGCCTATGCCGGGATCACCGATCTCATCGATGGCTATATCGCCCGTCGATACCAACTGCAGACAGTAGTCGGCACTATTATCGACCCCATGGCCGATAAGCTACTGATGACCATCGGGGTGGCCTGTCTAGCGGTCAATGGGTCTCTTCCTGGTGAGTTTGAAGCTCCGAGACCTGATGGCATTGTTTTCGAGGCTTTGCTGATCTGAAACACTGCAGTCTGGCTCGCTGTGATTATCCTCGGTCGCGATGTTGGCCTGGCCATCTCTGCTATTTACTACCGCTGGATTACGCTTCCACCACCCAAGACAATGGCCCGGTACTGGGACTTTTCGCTCCCATCGGCCGAGGTCAAGCCAACGGAGATCTCGAAGATTAACACTGCCCTGCAGCTGGTGTTAGTTGGGAGCGCGATCGCGCTGCCGGTGGTGCCCGAGGCAATTGTCAGTGCCTGGCATCTAAACGAAGCCATGGGCGTATTCCAGTAAGTTTGTTTCTTCTTTCCTATTGTAACCTGGATCAAATTGGGCCTGGTTTGCTGACAGCCAAATAGATACGTGGTGGCTGCTACCACTGTCTGGTCTGGTCTTGGGTATCTCTTTTCCAAGGATGCAGTGAAGAAACTGTCAGCAGAAGAGTACCGGAATAGGAAGAAGCATTAGTCTTGAGGCTAGCTCTGACCACGGATCTACGAGTGCCTCTGCCTGAAGCTGTCGAAATATGATGTGGCATAAAAGCCAGTGGTTTTATTTGTATAGTACTGCATTGGGATTGGGACTATTGTTGAACTAGCATCGAACTTGCTTTTCATCGGACTTAACTATTCTCTGTAGCGCAGTGCCACCTGCCAATCACCAGATCAATCCACTGTCACAGTGGATACTGAAATCAAACTGCTAGTAGTCATCGCAGGTCTTTTCCATATCTTTGATAGAGGGTTTCGCGGACGGATTGATATATATTCTGTGGATTCTTCCACGCAACAGCAAAGAATCTATAACCAAGGAATTCGGCATAAGAGCGTAGGAAATAATTTATTCTCTATATAAGTTGGAATCAAAACATACCCTGCAAAAGTCGGAGATCAAATTCTCTCTCCAGGAATAGTACTCGACCGATTTCTCCGGAAGATTATGGGCAAGAATGAAATCAAGATAGCTGACTCCTTGCACCCGACTCATCACATAGACTGCGACAGGTTCTCTTCCTTGCAAATCATCTTCTCCTATCTGGCCGTGATGAGAGACAGATGACACCAAGGATCCATAGATCTTGCTGGCAAGCGTTGTAATTTCAGTTTTGAGTCTAAGAGACTGCAGTCGAAATTGAACAACAAACTCTTGGTTTGGTCCTGCGTAGACGGTGTAGCCGCACACGCCTTGCACTATGACTGGGGTTGCGGTCCCTCCTACAAGCTCCTGTGCTCGGGCATCGCAGGATGAGCGTATTGCGGAGGTCTTTCTGAAGAAAGAGGCCATCTCTTGCTCTACGGCGTATTCCTCGGCCTCGGTAGTCATGTTGCGAATTTTGTGGTAATCTTTATGGAGAGAATCAAATACAAGGTTAAATTTATGCTTTTTTTTTTGTAGTTCGAGATAGGAGGGGAAGGTTGTGGCTGAGGCTCGTCCCCGCAAACCAGACCGCTACATCGGCCATCTTGCTTTCTTCTTTCCTTTGTCTTGTCTTTGTGGTCAGAAACTTGTGCAAAATGCATCAAACTCTCGCGCTTTCTTCCCAATGATTGCATTTGGATACGCAGACAATGAGACAATAACTGAGGTCGAGGAATCATACCCCAGTTATCTCTTGAAGAAGCCTTTCGGCTTCTTCGAAGCCCTTGATCTCAGTGATGTATTCCGGTATTTGACCCTCCTGTACACCCGCCGAACCTAGCACTGCATTTTCCAGAAGCAGCCTGATAATCGGCTCTTCCGCATCCTGGGCGGCAATAAACAGAGGAGTAAACCTGGAGTGACAACGTGCGAGCACATCCGCGCCGTGCTCTAGAAGTAAGCGGACAGCAAGCTCGCTGCCATTGACGGCAAAGTGCAGGGGCGTGAAGCCATAAGTAGTATCCGACACGGTAACCTTAGCACCCCTTTTCAGGAGAAGACGGAGAATGGGCTCATAGCCGGGGTCAAGGGCATAATACATCACGGTCTGTCCATGCTCGGACCTTGCCTCTGGATCCGCGCCGTGGTCAAGGAGTAGCCGGACCATCACTTCATTTTGCGAAGAAACTGCGCAATGGAGGGGCGTCTCGATTCCGAGTGCCACTGCTGTTACGTCGGCTCCGCGCTCCAGCAGTAGTTTGGATGTTTTTTCCTGGCCCTTGCGTGCTGCAACGTGCAGTGCCGTCTCTTGCTTGGAATTTGTGGCTGCGATGTCTGCGCCTAGGTCGAGGAGTAGCTGGACGACTTTCGCATGGCCATTTTCTGCTGCAGCCTGTAAGGGTGTGCATGTGGATTCCCATCTCGGATCGATCGCTGGTGGTTCTTCGTATCCGTCTGAAAAGTCTCCGACATGGTCGCTGACCGGAGAGTTTTCCAGGTCATCCGCATCTTCCAAACCAACCTGAGCCGGTGGGTCTTTGTCGTCAGCCTCAGCCTTAACTGAAGGATGCTCCAAATTGTCTGGACCTGGCGAAGCCTCCTGACCCTCTGTGGAATGTTCCGGATCGTCCTTCGCCAAGGAATCGTCCTGATTGACCACTGGTAGATTTTCCAGATCAACAGCCGCAGACAGATCCGCCCCTCCAGACACCAGCAGTCCAATTAGGCCATCCCGACCAGCTTCAGCGGCGAGACACAGCGCTTTGTTCCTGTGATCCTGTGGGATGGGGGCCGCGTCGGGGTGGAGGAGCTTGCGGATGACGGGGGCCTGACCCCTTTTCGCGGCCCACCCGAGGACCACGTTTCCATCTACACAGACATAGCTGCGTGCACGGCGATAAAGAGGAGCATCTAGGAGAGTGGCCAGTCGGCGCGCCGTGCGTAGTAACGAGCCCACGTCTCGTGGGGCCAGGAGATCGGCGATCCCGAGGAGAGTCTCGTTGGGAAGGGCTGTCAGGGGGCATTGTCCTAGATTTTGGGTCATGGTAAATACCCGGGAAATGATAGGTGAGAAAAATAGGTTCAGAGAAGCAGCATGCTGTCAGGATTTTGTTTATTCGCAGCTGGAGTGTTGTTTTGTGGGTTGTGGGTGAATACGAGATCGAGTGTCGACGCCAATTACACTAGTCGAGGGGCCTGAGTTGCCATTCTAACATTCAATATACCTTACATAGTTGGTTGAAGGTATTCAACTATTGATTTTTAACTGATTCTTGATGAATGGTTGCACTGGCTATACAACGTTCCAAGCGGTCGCACGAATATGCGGGTTGACCACATGGGAGCATGCATTTCCACGTGGGGCTATCGATCGAGATATTCCAGGGATATAGTATATTATTTATACAAAGTCGCAGGCTGATGCTATATCATTTTTATTCTTGGTTATTTAGTCCTTGCTGCTATCAGCAGATAAACACCTCGCTGGTATGTTCCGGTCACCGGCAGTATGTCGGAGGAATCACTTAAATAGTATAAAAGGCAGTCAGATCTTATGCCAAGCTGATGTATCACAACGTACATAAACAAACGGTGAACGTGTCTAGACCGAGGACCCTGCAGCCCACCTGTGCCTGTGCCACTTAATAATCCCTATATAAAACACTGTCTGCGGGATCCGCCGTGTATACATACCGCATTCGGCAATCTCTGGAAAATACCGAACCCGGGATCGGGCAAAAGAAAAAAAAAGTCTTCGGTTGTCGGAGTTTGAATCAGCCCGGCGGGGCTTGGAGGCTGATCGGGCTGTTAGTCTGATTCAAGCCTTGGGATGATTAATGGCGGAATATGAATGCCGCAGATCCCCACTGGCTGTACATATGTAATCCCCCAAGGCGATAGGAATCAATATTCCGCCAGGATGTGACCAATACTTTGAATTATTCAGAATTACTAGTTCATATTTGAATGTCCATGATTGCTAATCCAACCGCCAAGCCAAATCTTACCTAGGGAGGGCAGTAGAACATAGAACGTGCCAAAATGAATCTCAACTTGGGCTGACAAACTAAACGCCGGCGCTATCTCCGAAAGAAAAAAAAAATGTGTGAATCAGTTTGACTCATACAATGCATTCTCCACCAGAGCTCCTCCGTGGATTACCCGATGCCGTTTTAGCGCCTGACAAATCCATCCGGAGTTAATGGCGTTTGCGTACTTAAGTACTTAAAAGTATCAGAAATTATCATCCTTCGCCCCCCATTCCTTTACCCTCTTTCCTCTTTCCTTCTTTTTTTCCTTGTTCTCGTCCTTCTTTACTAGTTGTATATACCCCAATTGGTTCAATACACCTGTCTCTTAAGTTCTACCTCCCTAATATCCCACCGGAGAGCATTTAGGTAGAACCCCCCCCCCGAGCAGTGGCGACATGGACGCCGACCACCGCGCCATGGAGCCCCAGTCCGAACGGTCTCCCAAGAGGGAGGAGATTAATCAGCAGACCGAAGCTCCGGTGAATCCGACATCGACCGCCTCTTCCACCTTGAGCTCGTCCCAGGATAGCCTCGATGGCGGCCGGTGGGGCGAGCAGGAACAGGGGGAGCCCGTTTCTCGCCGCGGGGCGATGGAGGATCTGGAGGAAATGCGCCGGGAATTGACCCGACTCAGCCAGACCCGATCGGCCACCAGCAAGACCGCCAGTCGGTTCAAGTCGCGCGCCAGCCAGCCTCGAGACGAGGAAAAGGGCGACGAGGCCTCGTCCAATACCGAGGTGGAAAGCGATTTTGATCTCGGCGAATTCCTGCTGGGCGGCCACCTGGAGCGCCGCACCACTGCTGGAGAGCCCGCGAAAAGGATCGGGGTGGTGTTCAAGAACCTGACCGTGCAGGGCGTGGAGACTGGTGCCTCGTTCGTGCGCACGCTGCCCCATGCCGTTGTGGGCACCTTCGGCCCGGATCTGTACAACATCGTGTGCCGATTTGTGCCGCAGCTTCGTTTTGGGAAGAAGCCGCCGATTCGGGATCTGATCCATGACTTCAGTGGCGCCGTGCGCGAGGGTGAAATGATGCTGGTGCTGGGCCGCCCTGGCGCCGGGTGTACGACTTTCCTCAAGGCGATCGCGAATAACCGCGATGCCTTTGCCGGGGTCAACGGTGAAGTCAGCTATGGTGGTCTCTCGGCTGAGGACCAGAACCGACACTTCCGTGGCGAAGTGAACTACAACCCGGAGGACGACCAGCACTTCCCGGCGCTCACGGTTTGGCAGACTCTGAAGTTCTCTCTTATCAACAAGACCCGCAAACATGACCGTGATAGTATTCCCATCATTATCGATGCCCTGCTGAAAATGTTCGGCATCGGCCACACCCGGAACACTTTTGTCGGTAACGAATACGTCCGCGGTGTGTCTGGTGGTGAGCGGAAGCGTGTCAGTATCGCCGAGACCCTGGCCACCAAGTCTTCGGTGGTTTGCTGGGATAACTCGACGCGTGGTCTCGACGCCAGCACCGCCCTGGACTACGCCAAATCGCTGCGCATCATGACCGATGTGAGCAAGCGCACTACGTTTGTTACCTTGTACCAGGCCGGGGAGAGCATTTATGAGCTCATGGATAAGGTGATGGTGATTGACAATGGCCGCATGCTCTACCAAGGCCCCGCGAACCAGGCGCGAGAGTACTTTGTCAACCTGGGATTCGACTGCCCCGAGCAGTCGACCACTGCTGATTTCTTGACTTCGCTCTGTGACCCCAATGCCCGCCAGTTCCAGCCCGGTCGCGAAGCATCTACTCCCAAGACCGCCGAGGAGCTTGAGGAAGTCTTCAGGAAGAGCAGTTCCTATGAGCACATCTGGGGCGACGTCTGCAGCTATGAGAAGCGCCTTCAAGACACTGAGCAGGAGGACACCCGCCGGTTCGAGACCACGGTTGCCCAGTCCAAGAGCAAAACGGTTTCCAAAAATTCCCCCTATACTGTCTCTCTGGTGCGCCAGGTCATGGCTTGCGTCCAGCGCGAGTTCTGGCTGCTCTGGGGTGACAAGACGTCTCTCTACACCAAGTACTTCATCATTATTTCCAATGGTCTGATTGTCGCCTCGCTGTTCTACGGAGAATCCATGGATACAAGCGGCGCCTTCTCGCGTGGCGGTGCCTTGTTCTTCTCGCTTTTGTTCCTGGGTTGGCTGCAGTTGACTGAACTGATGCCCGCGGTGTCTGGCCGTGGTATCGTCGCCCGGCACAAGGACTACGCCTTCTACCGCCCATCTGCTGTCTCGATCGCCCGTGTGGTGGTGGACTTTCCGGCCATTTTCTGCATGGTCGTACCATTCACCATCATTGTTTACTTCATGACAGGTCTGGATGTGACTGCTTCCAAGTTCTTCATCTACTTCCTGTTCGTGTACACGACCACCTTCTGTATCACCTCGCTGTACAGGATGTTCGCTGCACTTTCGCCCACCATCGATGATGCCGTCCGTTTCGCCGGTATTGCCCTGAACCTGCTCATTCTGTACGTCGGCTATGTCATTCCCAAGCAAACTTTGGTCCACGACTCGATTTGGTTTGGATGGCTTTTCTATGTCAACCCCATCTCGTACAGCTATGAGGCGGTCTTGGCCAACGAGTTCTCCGATCGTCTCATGCACTGTAACCCCTCGCAGCTGGTGCCCCAGGGCCCTGGCGTCGACCCGAAATACCAGGGCTGCGCTTTGACTGGATCTCAATTGGGCAGCACGTCTGTCCCTGGAGCGCAGTACCTGAAGGCCAACTTTGAATTGTGAGTGCCCTGTCCAACTTTTACTATCTCTTTGTACTTGAAACTAATTCTTTTGTAGCACCCGGGATCACTTGTGGCGGAACTTTGGTGTGATCATCGCCTTCACTGTGCTGTACATCCTGGTCACTGTCGTCGCGGCCGAGGTCCTCTCGTTCGTTGGTGGTGGCGGTGGTGCACTGGTCTTCAAGAAGTCCAACCGCAGCAAGAAGCTCGCCAGCCAGCCGAAAGAAACAAACGACGAAGAGAAGGTGGCCAAGCCAGATGACAATGCAGCTCTGGCCCGCGGGGATGGATCATCATCGGATAACGAGACAGCCTTCAACCGCCTTTCCTCCAGCGAACGGTGCTTCACCTGGTCGAACGTCGAGTACACGGTCCCCTACGGCAATGGAACACGGAAGCTCCTGAACGATGTTAACGGTTTTGCTAAACCCGGAGTCATGATTGCGCTGATGGGCGCATCGGGCGCCGGGAAGACGACGTTGCTCAACACCCTGGCACAGCGCCAGAAGATGGGTGTCGTCAGTGGAAGCATGCTCGTTGATGGTCACCCGCTGGGACCTGATTTCCAACGGGGAACTGGTTTCTGTGAGCAAATGGACCTGCACGACAACACTTCGACCATCCGGGAAGCCTTTGAGTTCTCGGCGATCCTCCGCCAGCCGCGTGAGGTTTCGCGCCAAGAGAAGATCGAGTATGTCGACCGGATCATTAACTTGTTGGAGCTTGAGGATATCCAGGACGCCATTATTGGCTCCCTCAACGTCGAGCAGAAGAAGCGAGTCACCATCGGTGTGGAGCTGGCGGCCAAGCCTAGTCTTCTTCTCTTCCTCGACGAGCCTACCAGTGGTCTTGACAGCCAAGCTGCCTTTTCCATCGTGCGATTCCTCAAGAAGCTGTCGCAGGCAGGCCAGGCCATCGTCTGCACGATCCACCAGCCGTCGTCGATGCTGATCCAGCAGTTCGACATGATCCTGGCGCTCAACCCGGGTGGCAACACCTTCTACTTCGGACCCGTCGGCAAGGACGGATCGGCGGTGACCAAGTACTTCGGAAAACGCGGATTCGAGTGCCCGCCGAGCAAAAACGTTGCCGAGTTCATTCTGGAAACGGCGGCCAAGGCCACGCACCGAGACGGCAAGCAGGTGGACTGGAACGAGGAGTGGCGCAACTCGGACGAGAACCGGGCAATGCTGGAGGAGATCGAGCGCATCAAGACGGAGCGCAGCAAAGTCCCCGTCGAAGAGGCGGGCGGCTCGCAGTACGAGTTCGCGGCGCCAACCTCGGTGCAGACCGAGTTGCTCATCAAGCGGCTGTTCCTCAACTACTGGCGCGACCCGTCGTACTACTACGGCAAGTTGTTCGTCAGCGTGATCATCGGTATCTTCAACGGCTTCACTTTCTGGATGTTGCCCACCACGGTGGCCAGCATGCAGGACCGCATGTTCTCGGTGTTCCTGATCATCCTGATCCCGCCCATTATCATGAACTCGATCGTGCCCAAGTTCTACATCAACCGCGCCCTCTGGGAAGCGCGCGAGTACCCCTCGCGCATCTACGGCTGGGTCGCCTTCTGCACGGCCAACATCGTCTGCGAGATCCCCGCCGCCATCGTCACAGCCCTGATCTACTGGGTGCTGTGGTACTACCCGGTAGGACTGCCGACGGACTCGTCAACAGCGGGCTACGTGTTCCTGATGTCGATGCTATTCTTCCTGTTCCAGGCCTCGTGGGGCCAGTGGATCTGCGCGTTCGCGCCCTCGTTCACGGTCATCTCCAACATGCTGCCCTTCTTCTTCGTCATGGTCAACCTGTTCAACGGCATCGTCCGCCCCTACGCCGCCTACCCGGTCTTCTGGAAGTACTGGATGTACTACGTCAACCCGGTGACCTGGTGGCTGCGCGGCGTGCTCTCTGCCATCCTCCCGCCCGTCCAGATCAAGTGCGCGCCCCAGGAAGCCACCCACTTCGACCCGCCCCCGGGCTACACCTGCAACGCCTACGCCGGCGACTTTGTTCGCAACTTCGCTCGCGCTGGATACCTCCACGACCCCGATGCCACCAAGGACTGCCAGTACTGTCCTTACTCTGATGGCTCCGAGTACATGCAGAACCTCAATGTCCATGCCGGTGATAAGTGGCGCTGCTTCGGCATCTTCCTTGCCTTTGTCATCATCAACTGGATGCTCGTCTACTTCTTCATTTACACCGTCCGTGTCCGTGGCTGGAGCTTCGGCATGGGCTATGTGTTTGGCTTGTTGGGTCTGTTGATCGAGGCTGTGAAGAGCCCGTTCAAGGGGAAGAAGAAGTCGAGTGATTAAAAAGTTTTATTTCCTTTCTACTTGCCTTTTTTTCCCCTTTCCCATTTCCTCTATCTATTTCTATTTCTTGTTATTCTCTTTTAATATGCATTTACATGGAGCGTGTGTGGCGGGTGCCCGTGCAGATTCGAGCGCGCACATTTCTGATGTTGACACTGACGAGTCTTGCTTCACCTTGGAGGAGGCAAGCATCGACGAAGAAAATAGAAAAGACAGATGAAAGAAAAAGACAGAACGCGAACACAAGTACATACAATCTACAACCGTACAGTTTAGTTGGATAATCGATTAATCTATGTTGATATTAATATTGTCCTCTCGGTCTAAGAGCCTACAACGACCGAATCCGAATCCAGTGCTCGTATTAGAAGATTACCCAAGAGACCAGATAAGAGTACCTGGGTGGAGTCCTCATACTCGATGACATTGTAGCTGAATCTTTCTTCGAAAAAAAAAAAAAAAGTTAATTGTATGTTGACTGTACACTCAAACAAGATGGTTGACATCAGTCAATCAGCCCATAAAGAACCACGGCTCACGACCATCCCTCAACTCGGCAGCTGGCAGATTCATCGGAACGGGGACTATATCCCTGAAGATTTCCGCGGGGAGATGTCCCGGCTTGGGTTCTCTCTGGGGCAGATCATGTGGTGCCTGGTCGTTTTTCAGCTCTTCGCTCTGTTGCTGCCTCTGCCGCTGAGCCTCGTTTGCAGAAGGGGTTGGGTTTGTGACGGGGACTATTACGCCGCATTCCCAGTTGCGGCAGTTCATCTTGGGCTGGCCGGTTGCTCGGTCTTTGACCAGACGGCCCCTGTTGGATCAAGATGATTCGTCAGTGAATAGTTTCATGGGTCGATAGTTGAAAAATGGTGGAGTAGAGAAATATATGACAGACGGAGAATACGCACCAGGCACTTTCTGAGAGATTTGCACTCCCGACATAGGCCCACCCCTTACACTGGGTGTCATTGGGCATCATGATGGGCTCAGAGGGCCAGACGAAAATGATCTGCTAGACATCAGCCGAGATACAAAACAGAGTCGAAAAAGAACAGGGAGAAGATAAAGACAAACAGGAGTGAAACTAACCTTGTTATGCATCAAGACCCCCCGCTCGCTTTCACAGTCTCTCATGACATGCCGCGGAAACTTCTCGCCCTCCCACCACTTCGACTGGAAACAAATCGTACCCGCCGTCAACTCGGGTCTGGTGTGGGAGGACCGCACGGTGCTGTCAGACGGGAAGTAGACGTGGAAACGGCTGCGCCATTCCTGGCTGATATTTAGCATCATTTCCTTCTGAGTTTCGGGCTGGTTTCTGGCGGCCGAGGCCCTGGTATTGCGCATGTTGTACTCGGTGAGTCCGTCGTCGCCTAGCACAGGTTAGAGGTACATTAAGAAGACCTATCAGACAGAGCGATGTTAGAGGCTACCTTTGCAGGCGAGGTAGATGGCTCGCAGAAACCCATCGTTCAGGGAACCAACGGATGAAGTCTGGGATATTGCATCAGTGATATTAACACTAGGTGCAGTTGGATGAGCAGCCACTTACTATGAAATCGATGTTAATTGGTGAAAACGAACGTAGACCCAAGCGAGTGACAGCCCGGCCAAGACCACTGTACCCCGTTCGTCTCCATGACTCTCCGGGGTTAGTGGCTCCGCCACTGCGCAATCATTAACATGTTTCTATTTCAAGGGGCCAAATCAACTTACATGGTGTGGACGAATGCGTAACGTGCAGTTTTGCTGAAATCGAAGTTGTCCAACTTGGCAATAACCCCTTCGTCAACCGTGGATGCTCTGAGAAAGTAGACCAGGTCTTCGTAGAAATCTGTCGAGTCATCCGGGCCGTCTTGGGTCTTCTTGGGAAGATCAATAAGAAACACGCTCTAAAAACAGTTACATTAGCATTTCGAATAAGAATATGTGGAAATATACTCACATTCTCCATGAGGTTGTTCTCCCCCAGTCGGTTGAAGTGAGATTGGCCGTAGGCACTGCGATTCGAAGATAACCAGGATGAAAAAGTAGCATCAGCTTTGAGTGCATGCAGTTTACTTGCCCGTCCATCGGTGGGAAGCAGAGCCGCAGGTTCGGCATATCGGCAGTCTCTTGCTTATATTGGTTTTTCTTCCACCTATCAGTTTCTGGCCAATACTTAAAGAGGGTTGGGGGGTGTCTCACCGTCAATTGATCCTTTGCCTGCATGACCAGCAGAAACCTGGTTTTTCGTGTTTCCAGTTTGGAAAAAAGCCACTCCATGTCCCACAAAAATGAGCTCAGAACAGCAAGCTCCAAGTCATGCCGTTGGAGCACTTCTTCGACGGTGATGTCATTGCCTTGTCGGGGGAATTTAGGAACAACAGTCTTCTTGACTGCTCCAAAAGGCCATTGAATGACCGGGATAGAAGTTGGACGAATGTTTGTTTGTGGGGAATTTGTTGCAGGGTGGTTGCAAACGTTTCCCAGAGGTCCCACTGTCTGGGATGAAGCGCCAAAGGAAGAATTTGAGGTGGCCGAGTGGGCTCGCTGAGGAAGGTCGAGCTTGGGTGCTTTTAAAGCTGGTTGGGATGGTGGGGGTGAGACACCATTCTCGGCTTTGCGTTTTGCAAGACGTGCAAGGCGCTCTTCTTCCATTTGTTTCCGGTTCAACCCAAAAATCCCAAGTGATGTGGATGGTTTAGATTTCCCCTGGAAGATAGAAGATGTAGTTGGAGATACTGCAGTAACAGGAGACACTTCAGAAACGTCATCTTTCTGTGTAATTCCCTCCATAGAGAGAGCGAGTGCGCGCTTGAGCTCTTCGTCTTCCCCTTCTTGCTCAGCTTCGTTATCGGTCTCTGAGCCAACAACGGACTTAGACTTGGGGAAGAGCTCTTGCACTTCTGAATCGTTGTCTGAATCTGCAGTCAGATCCACGAAACCACCACGGCCCTGGGGATTTCGAGACGAGAGGTCTCCACTGTTGGTGCGGATCTGCACGTCTTGGAGTGAGGCTTCGATAGCAGCCTTGAGCGCAGGATCATCCAAATCGTCTAGGTCCATCTTAGAAAAAGAGAAAAAGACCCAAGGTTACAAGAGATAAGAAGGATGATGGGAGAGTGGGAATGAAAGGTTCAAGAGAAGTGTTTGTTGGACGGCTCAAGTGGAAGTTGTTTGGAGTGAGATGCAAGCAAGGTGAGATTTGTCCACAAATAGCTTGCGGCACGATCCAGCAAGCGTGATCCACCACAATCAAGAGAGGCTGTCAATTTGATGATTCCATAGCGCCCTTCCAAGCACGCATTAGTTGATGGGTTGATGTTTCTTCCAGTCGCCCCTGTCTGTCAACACAACGGACTCACGTGACCCCTCAGATCTATAACATCGAGACTATTACTGTTTACTGAATTAAAGACTGACGCTATATATTTTGAAGGCTCTATTTTTTAAAGTGGACTCAAAGGGTTATATGTAGATTGCAAAAGATACCAAGGTAGGATTTAACATTACAGGCGAGCATTGAACATCCATAATCATTTCAAGCTTCCTGTCCTCATCTTGCATCATAGTTATAATCCGTGGCAGAAGCTGCTTCATTGCCAAAAAGTAAATGTAAATTGACCTCAACACAGAAAAAAATTCAAAAAAGTCTGTCGCAAATTTTAGTTATCCATGCTCAACACAGGGTCCCCATATACTCGGCAAGAAAACGCAGAGCCACGAAAACAAGGAAATAACATTCAAAACATACTCATAGATCGGATCCGATGGATAGATCCGAGGGTGCTAGCATTTCATTTTCACTGCACATATTGACATCGTTTTCTGGATTAAATTTTGACATACTTCACAAGATGCATTTGAAAGCATATATCAACCGCCCACACAAAGTTCACCCTTGCGCCGATTCTATCTCAGCCCTACGAAGCCAAATGGCGATCTGCCTGGTCGCCCCCAAATTCCCCTAGGGGCCACGCATTGCCAGGCGCGGTGCTTGAGTCAGGGTCGCTTGGTTTGAACAAAAGGGGGAAATTCAATCAAAAATCAAGTAACATACCATAAAACAGGAGTTAAAAAAAATCAAACGGGTGGGAAGAAGTCTCTGACGTGTCAAGGTACAGTATGAAGTTCTGGATATCTATGCGTTGGATATCTTTATATTCGACTTAGAGAGTAAAGACTCGAATACCCTGTGACGAGTCAATCTGGACCCATTGCGTCCTTCTGCAGTACACACAGATTTGTGACAACAGTGGACAGTCATTAGAGCGTTGATGCGTGCACTCCAGATCTCTTAGACCAGACAATTTCATCTGATCCACGGAGAAAAGATCCAAGCTACCCACCAGTTTAAGTATGGTCAACCTAATCAACAAAGTGGATGCCTCTTTTGTTCAGGGTTGTAGAGTGAGTGAACATGGGCTACCATAACAGATACAAGCCACCATCCAAGATCTATTCAGTTCTATATCCACTGGAGTTTGATAAAAAAAAGCATCATTGCTTATTTTGGATCATGGATATAATCAGTGCCATGACTCTGCAACTGTTTCCGGCTGCCTGAATGTAATTACATTTGATCCGAGAGTTTTACCTGCTTTCACGGAGCCGCACTGGAGTATTGTTGAAAAGAAGTCGCTAGGGCTGTTGAAAAGTTGCCGCCTGGGGGGGATGTAGTTGTTGAGAACGTGAGATGTCGCCTGTGGGGTGAAAGAAAAGTCGCACGGGTGTTGAAAACATTGTCGCTTTGGGAGTGTCATCCAAGTCGTTCCGAGTCGTTCAGGCGCAAGGGATCTTCTCTAGGATAAGCAGCACCGCTTTGTCGCCGTGGCCCTTTACATAGTCTATAAGCTCATCGGCGACCACAGCCACCAAGCGCTCCGCCCTCAACTTCTCCACCTCAGCCTTGAACCCGCCAGAAATCCAGATCTCCTCCAGGATCGTGGCAACAACAATGCCACCGGTCTTCGTGACGCGCACCAGTTCCCTCAGCGCCGGGTCCGGGCCCACATGGCCGAGTGTGAACGTGCCCACGCACACGACGACATCGTACGTGCCGGCCGGCTTGTCGATCGGCCGGTTCAGGTCTGCTTGCGCCAGCTCGCGGTACAGGCCTGTCTGCCGGGCAATGTCCAGCATCGCGGGTGACAGGTCCAGCCCGTCGATGGCTTTGGCGCCTCCGATGCCCAGCGCCTGGCCCACCAGCCCGGTCCCGCAGCCGGCATCGAGGATCACGCGGTTGGCGGGACCCGTCGGGGATTTGAAGTTGATGGCGGCTTGGGCGACGAGCACAGGTGCCACGTAGTTTTGGGCTTCGTTGCCTACTTCGTCGTTATAGGTGGCGGCCCATTTGTCATAGATGGTCATGCAATCTTGGACACTGGGGCTGGCGCGCGCTTGGCCCAGGTATAAGTTGTTAGCCGGGATTGGGGTCGACATGCTGATGGATTGTGAAAATAAATAACAGAGAAATGAAAAGAGAAATAAATAAATAAGAAAGGGAAATGGGAAGAGTTGCTGAATATCTTTGAGATGGTTAGGGCTTCAGGGTGGAGAGTGAATGTAGATCTGTTAATTTCCCCCCATTCCCACATCCCTTCTTATAGCAATTGGCAACTGAGAGCGACAAGACTAACAAGATCCCTGGATAACTTCAGAAGAATGGCGTGATGCGGGGTATAGGAGAATCCTTCCCGAAACGATTCCGCGTCGTCGATCAATGATGTCGGTGGCGAGCACACTGCTGATGATGCTGTGTGCATCGTGATGCTGAACCAGGTCTCTGGTAGGATCTCGATCGACCCTCGGACCCCCTTCCCTGGCACCGATGAAAGGATCAAAAAAGATCTGAGCGTCTAATTGTATGCATCTGTGTATTCTATCTATAGAAAACCAAAAGAAAACTCTCCAGGGCTCAACCGCGGGTTTTCATACTCAGAAACTCTCGCGATGATTTCCACACCCCTCTCGCCCCGGTTATGATTTCTCGGCGTCCGTCGTAGAGCGGGAAAATCACCACGGCGCCAAATGCTCCGAACTGCCAGATGATTGCCACGGTGGTCCACCCCGAGAAGAACGACTTGGTGAAGATATAATTCCGATAGAGTGGCAGCGGCCAGGCAACAAAGGTGACTAGCACCACGACGACAAACACAATCAAGGCGATCTTCAGCCACCAGTACAGCTCGCGCAGAGTGGTCTCGTCAAACGGGTGCTGGATGTCGTCAAGACTGAGCTGGGTGGACGAGGATGAGACGGGTGCAGGGGTGCTCGCTAGGGTCTTCTCGCCGACTCCACCCACGTGTTCTAGGTCTTTGGTATTGGTGCTTTCGGGGCGGGGGTTTTCGGGGACGGGCTTGACAGAGCTTGGGGCCATTTTCTGGTCGTCCTTTTGTTCTTCCTCGCTGCTTTCGTTGAGGGTCGATGTGTCGGACGCTGTGTGCAGGTGCGCGGAGTCTGCAATTTCGATGCGGAGGAACTCTCGCCAGTCGAATTTGTGCGGCTTGTATAGCGAAAGAATCACCGAGTAGAGAGCTGGGGTGAAGAATGATCCAATGGCTGCATACAGAGCCGGGTATTCGTTTGAGGTGGTCTCAATGCTGACAGCGCCGTACATGGACTTCGCTGTGGCTAGCCAAATAGCTAGACCGGTGAAGAAGCCAAGCACGGGTGACAAAATTGCCGCCAGTCTGGTTTGACGTGACCAGAATAATGTGAGGATTAAGGGAATAATCCCGGGGCAGGAGATCACCGGCCGCAAGTAGTTGATCCAAGTCATGTTGGCGCCTCCGTAGTTCATGGCAATGGAGATACCTGTAATGAACACACCGTGGATGACCACCGTCAGATGGCTAACGTGCACAAGCTTCTTGTCGGATACTTTGGGGTTCAAGTACGTCTTGTACAAGTCATAGGACAGAATGCTGCTGACGGCGATCATCGACGATGACACCGTGCTGGTCAGAGCCATGAACAGCAGGAAGAAAAATGCGATAATTCCGCCGTCACCAAGAAGTGCTTTAAGCGTGTATGGCATTACCATGCCCATGCTAACCTCAGCGTCGGTCAGGGAACCGGGGAATGTTGGGAAAATCGGGGTATTATGCAAAGCCCGAGCTGTCAGGCCAATGACGGTTCCCAGTCCCCAGGGAATACCAAACACAGCAATTGCAGCAATGTTATATCCGGGCACAGTTGCCTTGACTTCAGTTGCAAATGATTTCTGCCAGAATGCAGTATCCTGGTTGATGGCAGGTTAGCAAGAAAACCACAGTCTAGAGCAACACTGATACTCGATTTCGGTACTTACCATGACCACAAGGGCCAGATTACCAAATTTTAAAATCAATCCCCAAATAATAGCACCCTTGGATTTGAACGTGAGCAGAGAGCCCAGGTAGTTTCCAGGGACATAATTCTCGCCCGCCGTGGCCGCAACCTTGTCATAGAGACCACCCAGTCCCCCGACCGCCGAATGAGTCAGGACGGAAATGGTGAAGTAGATGATAAGGATCAAGGCAATAGCCGTGTGAAGAAAGTCCGTGAGGAAAGTGGCCTTGAGACCACCCACCGCAGTGTACAAGACCACTAGAGGGTTTAGTAAATAGTGGATACTCAGGGAGTATAAAAGCACTCACCTCCCAAAGGAATCAGAATTGTAGCCGCAACAAAGTTCATTCCCGAAACACCATATATCAGCTGCGAGCCCGTCATGATCATCGAGGCGCACCCAAAGACGTTATTGGTGAGGTTCAGCACAATAAAGACCAGATGCCCGATCTTGCCATATCGCATGCGGATGATCTCCAGCGACGTGTAGGCATAGGGGACTCTGATTTTGGCCATCACTCCCAGAGCGGCCATCAGTGCAATCTGGAAGCAGAGGCCTGATCCCCACCACTGAAAAGTCGTCAGTATTTCACTTCTTATAGTCCATCAATTGATCTAGTCGAGACCACATACCAGAGGAACTGCCAGTCCATAACGGTAGCACATGGCCGCGGCCAGCACCGTCTCATTGATCCACATCCACGATGAAAACACCGCCGATGCCGTTAACCCTGTTCCTACGGATCGATTGGCCACGAGGAACATCTCCGATTTGCCCGAATCTTCGGAGAGATAGGCCTTCTGGACGCGCACAGCAATCAGAATCACGCCGCAGAAGAGCACGCCCAGCCCAATGAGCAAGCCATAGGCTGATCCTTGGGGGATCAGAGCCAGCTTGGAGGTGTCTATCTGGTTAGACATGGTGGATGTGTCGAATTGCAAGCAGACGCTGGCTCTCTGGGTGGGCAGTTAGACGGCTTAAATGAAGACCGGGATATGAGCGGATATGAGCAGAGACTATCATATCTTAACTTTTTTTTTCTTGCTTAACGGCATTTTGGAGAATGTGGAGAGCTATCGGAGGGTTGTGCTTCAATCAGATTCGCCATGTGGTTATCGCGTCTCGCATCGTCTGTATCCGTAATTGCGTTATGCGGAATCAGGCCGAGAACGAGTGCCTGAGTGAATCAAATGCTGTGTGACACAGTAGGAAGCTATCGACAGCTGCGAAATGGTCGTTGCGCATTGGCGTGCGATGGGGAGATTCGCTGCGCGGATTGCGTGCCCTGCGCTGGCGATGGCGACGCATCCTCAGTGCAAAACGGCTAAACTCCACTGTGGTCTCTCGCCCGAGATGCCATGAAATTACCTTGATAAGTCGATGTCACCATACTCAGTGGAATCACAATTGTTTTCTTGTTCGGCAAGTGGATGGTGGAGGATGGGGACAAAATGGACTGCGGTCGCCGACGTGTCTTCAAGAACTCTTCTGCCGCATCGACACCCTCGAGTCTGGTCAGCTACCCCAAGGGAAAATAACCAAAATGGCAGAACCCCATCATTCATCTACTGGCAAAAATGGCAATGTCACCAAGGAGTTCATCCTAAATGCCTTCGTGATGAACACCCCTGGCCATTTGGCCCCAGGACTATGGAAGCATCCTCGCAACAAGACAGACCGGTATAAGAAGCTCTCTTTCTGGACAGATCTAGCCCAGTTGCTGGACAAAGCCAACTTCCATGCCATGTGCATCGCCGACACCTTGGGTCCGTACGATGTGTACAAGGGGCCGGCCAACATCGAGCCAGCCCTCGCATCCGGGCCTCAATTCCCGTAAATGACCTGCTCTATCTCGTGCCCGCCATGGCCGCAGTCACAAAGAATCTAGTGTTTGGAGTCACGGCCAGCCCCACCTACGAGAAACCCTATGCGCTCGCCCGCAGACTCTCGACTGTCGACCATCTAAGTGAAGGTCGGATCGCATGGAACATTGTCACCTCTTATTTGGATAGCGCGGCACGGAACCACGGTCTCAAAGAGCAGATCCCCAATGGCGAGCGATATGCTATCGCCCACGAATATATGGACGTGCTCTACAAGCTCTGGGGAGGCAGTTTCCGGGACGAATACCTAAGCCACGCAGACCAAGCGGGCGCGCTGGCGCTCTTTGGCGGCTGGACCGGAGTCAATCTGTCCGGGTACAACGATGATGAGGATTTCCGGTTCAGCGATTCGCCGCGAGTTCAATCCATCGTTCGGAGATGGTCAGTCACGGTGCCAGGCACGGACAACCTGCCGTGGACCAATCGCAGGATCGTCGAGTATTTGAGCGTGGGCGGGCTCCAGGCCATGCTAATCTTAGTACTCGGCCGATCTATATAATTTGCAGACCCCTGCAACATAATAGATCTGACATATTCTTTTCTATATTTTATAGATATAGATATAGACATATCATATTTTCATGGCCTCTTCTATTTTAATCATGTTCTCTAGACCCGTAGGTGTAGAATATCGCGAGTTGACCCTTCGGGGCTATTCCGCACAATTCTGGAGTGCTTTGGTCAGACACGACTAAGCCGGCCCCGGGGTTAATAATCCATTCCCAAGTTGATTCCCCCCGACTTCCGCTGACTACGCCAACACTCGGTGCCTGCCGAATGCTTTCTGATTGACAAGCATGAATCGTGTCGGGTGAACCACGAAGCCGTCGGGCTTAAACGCCTCAATTGCCGAGGACACAATTGCAGTGGGGGCGCCATTCTATTTTTTTTTTTTTTTTGCTATATAAACCCCTCCACCGGCAGTCCATTCAATTCAATTCCAATTCCAATTTCACAATCCTCCAAGTCCACAATCCGATTGACTTGAACACTCACCTCTCATAACCACCCCATCTTCACCCCAACCTCGTCAATCCATCATGGGCTCCACCGCCGAATTCAAGAACCCCGCCACCTCCACGCTCTTCGAGCTGGTCAAGTCCCGTCGCACCTACTACGGCCTCAAGGGCGAGAGCCCCATCTCCGACGATGCCATTGAGCGCATTGTCCAGGACTCGGTCCTGCACGTCCCCAGCTCTTTCAACACCCAGACCTCGCGGGTGGTTCTCTTGTTGAAGGAGGAGCACCAGAAGGTGTGGGATATTGCCATTAATGCCCTCGAGGGTCTGGTGACTGCTGGTCGCGTCCCGAGGGAGATGTTTGAGAACAGCACGAAGCCCAAGCTGAATGCTTTCCGTGCTGCTTATGGAACTGTGCGTGGTGCCTGTCTTTTCTGACTGTTTCCCGTTTACCGTGGGGCAAATATCCATGGGAGGATGATTCATGATGAATGCTGATTGTGTGTTTCTTTCAGGTTCTGTTCTTCGTCGACTACGACAGCCTTGCTCCCATCAAGGAGAAGTTTGCTATTTACGCCGACAAGTTCGATCCTTTTGCTCAGGAGTCGAATGCCATGTCGCAGTACCTTGGTATGTTCTTTTTCTCTTATTTTCTGTCTTCCGCTTTTTGGGGCTTTGAATCTGAAGCTAACTACCAACAGTCTGGGTCGCCCTGGAATCCGAAGGCTTCGGTGCCAACCTGCAGCACTACAGCCCCCTGGTGGATGAGCAGATCACCAAGACCTGGGACCTGCCTGCGTCCTGGAAGCTGGATGCCCAGCTGGTCTTTGGTCTGCCCGCTTCGGAGCCCGCGGATAAGTCGTTTGCGCCCATCGAGAACCGCTTCAAGGTTTTTGGTAAATAAGAGCCCAAATGGGGATTTCAGCAATATACCCGGGTTTTTAGACTATGATTATAATAGAGGGAACATATTTCCACGAATATTAATACCAGCATGACGCATTGCATACTGCTATATTCCAGGATATCTGGTAGACAGTTTCTCATTCCCAGCCATAGGGCCTTGCAGCGAACCTGGCTGCTCTTCGGTCCACCTCTGCTTTTGCCCATGCATTGAGCGCTCGTCTCGTGGTTCGGGAGTACCTGATCACAATGGCGTAAGGGCCTGTACCACCATAGAACATCAGCGATCCATTGCAGACTGTCGAGTCCGTGCAGTAGGCTGAGTTTTCGAAAGCCTGCTGAGAGACGCACCGGGTTCATCGATCTCATCAGCTTCCATCCTCTCTGCCATACCAAATGGAATGACACCGGTGCTGTTTTCAAGAAACGTGAAGATTGGGGTTCTCGGGTCACATTTCATTGCAATGTGCAACCACACAAGACAAATTGAATCGGCACCAGATGCTCTTCGCCAATTCAAAGATCAGCCAAGCAGAGGCGGGATATTTGCTTTGTTTTCTTTTCTTGCCGTCCAGATATGATCGCAGCTTTTCAGATACATTAGATGCACTGCAAAACGAGGTCGACCACAGCAAAAAACGCATCTCGATCTGTAGTTGCAGTGCCAAGACCCAACCCAACGACAAGCAATCGGTTTTCACCAGGCGTCTTGGTGGCAATGGCAGACCCGATTTGGCGGGCAAGCAGTTGGCCCACTGTATCCTGTCCAGGGGCATGGCCCCCAAGTAAAGATGTCGCCGTCAATCCACTGAGGGGCAAGAGACTATCATCGGCACCCTCGGAGATGGTGTGCAAGCCATCTGTCCCCGGATTGCGGTTCTCGAGCGGGACATGCAGCTGGAGATAGTTAGAAATAGGACATTACACATAAATTTGACCAGAACGAACCCAGTGTGCCAATCGCCCCCCTTGCGAAATGGTGACCATGATCTTATCGCTAAAGCTCATGACCAACACTTCTGTTTTGACGCCATTGACCAACCCCGCAACTTGTTTTGTTGGGACGGGAAATGGGAGAGCAAGAGATTCTTGCAGTGCATTGATGTCGAAAGACTCGACCATGGTTTCTTTTGTCTATCCACAGAGATTGGAGGAATGGGGGTCTCACCCCGCGATGCTTTGCTTTGGCTTCTTTTGAAGGCGGTCAGGGCGCGATTCCCCACTGTGGATCGGCAGTACTCCACCGCCTTTTCAATTGCCTCGATTTTTTCCCGGCGAGAGGATGCGCTGCTACTGCTGATTCTACTGTCACTTGTGCTTTTCTTATTTTTCTGGTCAGGGTGTCTGTGCTTGCACACGATGCCGAAATTCACACCCCGTCAACGAAAGCAAAAGCACCGGCAGAAGGAGCCTGCTGCCCCGGTGGACACCAATGTCCCAGAGCTTCAGCCCGTGTCCAAAGATGAGAAAGAGGCTCGGAGGCAGAAGTTGCGGGAGGAGCTGCGAGAGCCGCATTCCCATGTGTCCTCAAAAAAGCAGAAACGCCTGGACAAGTATATTGTACGTGCGAGAGCAACAACCGCCCAAAAAGAATACAAGACCTCTAATATCCTGTGCAGGAAAATAAACTGAAGAAAGAAGAGAACCTCGAGCTCCTCAAGAAACTGGCCAATTCCAGTGTCGATACTTCCGGCCTGCAGAGCTCCAAGGAATTGGGCAAGCGCAAGAGACACGACGACCACCACCAACCCACACCGAGTGCTATTCCCACGCCACAAGATGTCTCCGCGCCCGATCTCTCCGGAGATGAGACAGACGAATCTGACCTCAAGCTGAAAGCATCCGACCCCGCGACGGACCCGGAACCGGCGCCGAAGCCACAGCCCGATCAAGCATCCATGGGAAGCGGATTGAAACGACCGCTCGAAGTAGGGCCCGACGGATTTCCGTTAATAAAAAAACGCAAGCGTGCTGCGAAGCCGGCACCGCCACCTGTAAAAGAAGTTCCGTGGGAAGGTTTTGGGTCGGATGATGACGAGGCAAATGAGAGTGAACAAGACAATGAGTCGGATCAGTCAGAAAACGAGGCCAGTGAGGGTTCTGAAGGCGAAGGTTCAGAAGACTCCGACGACCAAACATCCGAAGATACATCAGAAGATACATCAGAAGATGAAGAGAACGATTCAGATGAGGAAGACGGTGATGAACCGTCTAAAATCAAGCCTCGTCAGTCGGCCTTCAAGTCTTGGGCAGTACAACAAATCAACGATGCTGTCGGCTTCAAGCCCACCTCCGGCCCAATTGTCACCGAGCAAGAGCAAGCATTTGTACCCCCTCCAAAGCCAGCAAAAAACACAGTCGCTGAAGAAGAGCCCCTGCCCCAAGAACTCCAAGTGACTCAGGGCGATCCCAACCGAAAAGCTTTCAGTGTTCCCGTCAGCCGCTCAGAGGAGATTCAGAGTGCCCGTATGGGGCTTCCAGTCGTTGGCGAAGAACAAAAGATCATGGAGGCAATTCACAACAACCCCACGGTGGTTATCTGGGGTGCTACGGGTAGCGGAAAGACAACTCAGCTGCCACAGTTCCTCTTTGAAGCTGGCTATGGTCACCCTGACAGCCCCAATCCGGGCCTGATCGGTGTCACACAGCCTCGCCGAGTTGCGGCTGTGAGTATGGCGAATCGCGTGTCTCAGGAGCTGGGTCAATATGCCGATCAGGTCTCGTATCAAATTCGGTTCGAGACGACCGTATCTAAGAAGACCGCCATCAAGTTCATGACCGATGGTATCCTGCTGCGAGAGATCGCAGATGACTTTGCTCTCCGCAAATACTCCATCCTGCTCATCGACGAAGCGCATGAGCGGAGCGTGAACACAGATATTCTGATTGGCATGGTCAGCCGTATCGTCGATCTGCGCAAGTTAATGAGCAAAGAAGACCCGTCCGTCACACCCCTGAAAGTCATTATTATGTCTGCCACTCTGCGCATTTCAGACTTTACACAAAACGCAAGTCTCTTTCGCCAGGGACCGCCTCCCTTGGTCCAGGCGGAAGGTCGCCAGTACCCCGTCAGCGTCCATTTCGCCCGTCGCACGCATCGTGACTACGTCGAGGACGCGTTCCGCAAGGTCTCGCGAGGTCATCGCAAACTTCCTCCCGGCGGAATGCTGGTGTTCTTGACTGGACAAAATGAGATCCGGCATCTCTCCAAGCGGCTGAAGCAGGCCTTTAAACCCACCCAGCGAGCCGACACCACTCAGGCGAAGGTGCAGATATCCGCCAACGATGCACCCCTGGAGGCAGAGGATCTGGAGTTTGGTGGCACAGAAATGAACAACACGGGTGCGGATGACGACTACGACGACAGCGATGTGGAAATCACCGGACTGGATGACGAGGAAGAGGACGAGGAGTTCGATATCGGCGAGGATGCCATGGACTCGTCGACACGGGTTCACGTCTTGCCTCTCTACTCGCAACTGCCCACCAAAGAACAGATGAAAGTGTTCGAACCGCCGCCAGAGAATTCGCGACTGATCATCCTCGCCACCAACGTCGCCGAGACATCACTGACAATTCCCGGCATCAAGTACGTCTTTGACTGCGGACGCGCCAAGGAGAAACAATTCGATTTGTTCACGGGCGTCCAGAGCTTCCAGGTTGGGTGGATTAGCAAGGCCAGTGCCAACCAACGAGCCGGTCGAGCCGGTCGAACAGGTCCTGGTCACTGCTATCGCCTGTACTCCTCGGCGGTGTATGAGGGCGAGTTGGCCGAGTATACCGATCCGGAGATCCTGCGCACCCCCATTGAGGGAGTCGTCTTGCAGATGAAGAGCATGGGTCTCCACAACGTGATCAACTTCCCGTTCCCCACGCCCCCAAGCCGACAAGGACTTGCCAAGGCAGAGAAGCTGCTGAAGAACCTCGGTGCGCTCTCGGGCGACGGCCAAGTGACACAGATTGGCCGCCGTCTTTCGACATACCCGCTCTCTCCCCGGTTCGGCAAAATGCTCTATATCGGCCACCAGCATGGCTGCATGCCGTATGTCATTGCCCTCGTGGCGGCCCTCGCCGTGGGAGATTTGTTCGTACCCGAGAACCAGGCCGATATCACCATCACGACTTCATCATCCAAAAACAAGGATGACGAGGACGACAGCGAGGACGAAAGGGTCTACACCAACGCGGACCGGCTCGAAGACACACAACGCGAGCAACGCTCCAAGGACCACGCCCGTGCACACCGACTCTTCAGCAAGCACGACGACACTTCAGACGCCCTGAAATACCTCTCCGCAATCTGCGCATACGCCTACGCCTCCGACGGCGACGCCTTCAGTGAGCAGATGTTCCTGCGCGCCAAGGCCTTCAAAGAAGCAACCCAGCTACGCAGCCAACTCACCGATATCGTGCGCTCCAACAACCCAGGCCTGGTCCCCGCCTACACAGCACGCCTACCCGAGCCCTCCGCAAAGCAGCTCAAGGCGCTGAAGCAGATCGTCACAGCCGGGTTCATCGACCACATCGCCATCCGCGCCGACCTGGCCCCCGTCCCGCCCGAGATCCCGCGCACCCCGCGCCGCGCCATCGACGTCCCCTACCTGACATTATTCCGCTCGCGCGACGGGCCCGTCCACGATCTGGTCGACCGCGCCGTCTTTGTGCACCCGTCTTCTGTGCTCGCCAAACTCTCGCCCAAGGAAATGCCCCCCTACATTGTCTACTCGCATCTGCAGCAGTCTGCTGCTTCCGTCGTTTCTGCGGATCACACCCCCAAGATCCGGATGTTCCCGCTCGGCGCCCCCAGTGCCCTGCAGCTCTCAGCTCTCGCTCATGATACCCCGCTTATCGAGTATGGGAAGCCGATTGGGAAGACGGAGCTTCTGGATGGAGTGCCGCCGCGTCGCTCTTGCTGGGTTGTGCCGGCGTTGGTGGGCGATGCGGGGGGTACGGGATGGCCGTTGCCTGCGAAGAAGGTTGTGCAGAAGAAGGATTCGAGGGAGGGCTGGGTGATTGAGAGGTTTGTTGCTTAGAACTGTTTTCTTTGTCTATAGATCATGTGTCTTTGTTGTCTTTTGTATAGATGAATCATGATATCCATATGCGTGACCACGTTTCCTTGTGTACAATAGAGCTTGGAAAGAAAGATGAAAAAAGAAAGTACAGTGCCATGTAGATGCAACCCAACAAGCCCAATCCGCAACGCCATACTGAAGTCACCGAGTCTAGTCATTTTGGAGCCATGAAGAGTGACCAAATGGAAGACACGAGACATGAACAGAAAAAGAAAGAGAAAAAAGAAGAGAAAAAGTTTAGTCCCGTCGATCAAAAGCCCTCCCACTCGAAATCTCCCCCGTCTCCCGATCCTCGCGAATCTTCAAAGCCTTGCGCAACCGCTCCGTCTCCTCGATCTTTGCCTCAGCCAACTCATGCACCTGATACGACTTAAGCTGCCTGCGATCCTTGGGCAACGGCTTCCTGCGGCTCCGGCCGCCCTCAGCACCACCGGCCTCAGCATCATCGGCCATATCAGCCTCGAGCTCGGCGACAAGTTTGCGGCGCAGCGCGTCGCACCGCTCGTCGATTTCCTCCTCGGACAGGACGTGCTGACTAGCATCTGCGTCTGCGTCTGCAGCTGCATCCGCATCCTTGGACTTAGAAGAAGACTTGGTATTCTTTTTGTTGTGGGCCTTCTGCTCCTCTTCAATCCGCTCATTCTCCTCCTCGAGTCTATCCCGCTCCTCCATAACCTGCACCTCGATCGCGCGCCGCCGGTCATGCTCGAGGATCTGCTTGTCGGGAAGCCGTTGCTTGAACGGGCGGTCGGCGGCGATGCTGGAATTTGCGCCGGAGACTGGTGGGTAGGGCGCGCCGTAGCCTGCGTTGCGCGGTTTGATGAAGGCTGTGTTGCGCTGGACGTAGCCGGAGGTGCCGCTTCCTCTTGGGGTGGAGAGGCCCACGTTTGAGGACATTGTAATATATTTGGGTTGTAGATTGTAGATTGTGGGTATTGTGGGTGGTATAAAGTGGGTGAACGGCGAGGTTGGGAGGGGTCTGGGTTGGAGGTTGTTGAAGGTGGTGCTGATGGTTGTGAAGAGTGGTGGCTCCGGGAGCTTGCTTTGCTTTTCTTTGTTGGGTTACTGGTGGCGATGCACTGATGGGATGGATGAGCTAGATATGGCAGGGATAATATAAGAATTGAGGAATGTATAACAGCTGCAGTTCCGCAAACGCTGTTGACTGCCTTTGATCAAAATGCAAGAAATGCGATATGCGGCGATGCGATAGAGGTCACCTGATAATCTACAGTCACCTGACACATGGGTTTCCACGTGATATAGATTACCGGACGATCCATCCATGGATGAATTAAAAGAGCTACGCGAATCTGTCTTGCACCAGCTAAACATAAAACACCCATAAATGCATTGGATAGTACATCACAGCGAAGAGAAAACATCTCTCCAGACCAGTCCAGGGGCACACACCAGCAACACTCTTCATGCGAAGGTAACTGTATACCCGAAGGGGAGAGAGATGCTACCACCCGCTAGCAGGACACTGGGCCCTGCAAGTGGTTTCTCTCCCAGTATTGCTTTTCCCCATTTGTGCCGAATTTCTCCCATGTCCTATGCTGAAGATCGTGAAGAGCGAATATCCTATTTCCCGCCCGGTGACCCCGTAAAACACAGACGCCGAATTCCACATAGAGAGATTGATCCTCGTACCACAGAAGCGAGAAGCATTGGCAGAGAAAAAGGGAAACAAACACAATCGTAAGAATAACAAAGAAAAAAAAATAAACAAAATAATAGTGGAAAAAAGAAGGAAAAAAAAGAGACAAAGATTCAACAGGTCCGAGATCAACACATGAAAATAAAGATAAAAGCATTCAAGGCCCCCTATTATTGCGCCATCAAGCCATGGTCAAGGGAAAAACAAACAAACACATAGACTCGGGTGACTCGTATAACCCGCCGGAGAGATCCCCTGTATGTATACGCCCTTATTAGATAGAAGACAAGAAAGACTCGACTCAGATCGGGGGATTAGAAGAATTATGTGGGCAGGCAAGGATGTGTGCAAGGAATTAGTGGGCACTGGTGACGTCGACCGGGACGGGAACACCGGCGTTACCCGTCTCGGGACTGGAAACCGAGGCCACAGTGCTTTTGGCAAGGCCCTTGGACTCGAGAGAGCTGTCGACTGTGCCCTGGTTGTCCGTCGGCGGAGGGGTGGGCGGGGCCGTGCCGACGAACGGGGCCCGAGGCTGCTCCATAGTGGGGATTGTGCGCTTGGAGGGCTGGGGAGAGGACTTATGCGAGTTCGGAGGGGTGGTCGAGGTGGTGTGAGGTAGAGGACCAGTAACCGGGGAGTTGGGGTCAAAGATGAGCTTCTCGATCGCTACAATCTGTTTGCCATAGCTGAACTTCTTCAGCTGGCTCAGCAGTGGCTTGATCTCCTCAATAAGAGCTTCCCGCTCGGTGCCCTTCAGCTGACCGAGGACCTTCTCTGTTGAACAATTAGCATGCCAACTCCGCAAGGCGAAGGGAAAATCGAGGGCATCTTACGAATTACATAGTTCCCATATTGGTCACGCATGAGACCAAGCAATGGACTCTCGCCGCGTTCGTTGGGAGAGGTCAGAGTCGAGATGATGTGGTGACGCTGACTTTCCTCGCCAAATTCAATGCTCTTCTCGACCACGTTGCTAGCGAACTTGTGCTTGGAATAGGCCAGAAGCTGAGACATGACAATGACAACCATGCGCAATCGGTCCTTTTCCTCGCCATTCTCGATGACGTGCTGGATCACGTAGTTGCCGAACTGGTCAGGGATGAGGTTGGACGTGCAAGCATGGAGCTCAGCCAGAATGGATTCACGGTCTATTTCCTCACAGTGCTCCAGCATTCTCTGAATGACACGGCAGCCGTACGGGTGTGCAGCAAGGCGGTTCACCTGGCCTCGGAAGGCATTGATGATGAATTGCACGTATTGCGAGGGGACTCGCTCGATGGCCTTTTGGATCACATGGTTACCGTTCTGGTCCCGTACACACTTGAGAACATGGTTCTCCAACTCCTTCACCATGGCAGCTTGCTGGTCGGTCAGAATGTGCTCGAGTGCCTGGGCAAGTCAGTACTGGGGTGCGATAGCAGAGGAGTAGAGAAACAAACTTTTTGGACCACGCGACATCCATACATCTGAGTCGACAGAGCCAGCACATGGCCCCGCATCTGGTTCGCCAGGATCTTCTTTTGTGTCTGGTTTCCGTGCTCGAACAGCTTCTGCACAACGTAGTTGCCAAAGACATCCGTCATCAGCTGCAGGCAGTTCGGCTGGATCTCTCGGAAGACCTGCTCCTTCTCGTCACTGTTGGCAGTCTCCAGCTTCTGCTGAATAAATCGCGAGCCGTGCTGATCACCGCTGAACTCAACAACGTGGTTGTAGATGTCCTATCATAGTTAGAAGAGCACAAAACAAACAAGATGTTGAAAGCTTACCTTTAGTTCGTAACGCTTGTTGCCCTTGCTGTTGGCCCGGAACTCTTCGAGGAGGGGGCTGCGAACAACTTGTGCTGGATCATTATCACGGTGCGCTCGAGAGACCAGAGCCGCGGCACTTAGTCCGCCCAGGTGAGCCATGGGGTAAAATCCAGAGAGAGCATTCAGCCGTGCCGTTTGGTAGCCGGAGTAGTCGTAAGATTGAGGGTATTGCATGCGAGGGAGACTGTTGTTCGGAGCTTGCGCCAGTTCTTGCTCCTGGAAGTTTCTCAATCTACGCTCAAAGGCTGCAGCCTGGGTTTCAGAAATAAGATTTCCAGATTGTCGGTACTGCGCTGGGGTATCCACGCCTGGGTAGAGCGGACTGTCCATGCGCGCGTAGTCTGATGGAGAGATAGAGCCGGTGTCAGCACCACGAGCCCGGGCATGATAAAGATGCATGTCGGGCGCACCCTCTGCCGCGTAGTTACCCAATGTCTGGTAGCTAGCATCATCGTTGTTCTGGTACTTGGTGCGAGGGAAAGATCCATCAAACGAGGCGTGCGGGATGTATGGGGGTCGCTGAGCTGCATTGCCGAAGCCGGCATCGTTGAGTTGAAGTTTGTTGAATCCCGCGCTGAGATCAATGGAGCCACTGCCGTATCGACCATCAATGCTGTGGTTGTCGGAATAGAAAGAAGGATGGGCAGAGTGGGTGGGTCGTTGAGGTGCAAAAGAAGCGGAATTGTGGGATACGTGAGAGAGCGAGCTCCGGGCTTGCGGCGGGGAGACGGTGTCGGGAATGCCCGAGGCGAAAGAGCCCATGCCCATTTGGTTGGCCATCTCATCCGATCGTGATCCTTCCAGAGGACCCGAAAATCCCTGCTTCATGGGGAATCCGGTGCCCACCGGACTGCCAGCCAGGCCAGAGTTTATCTGCCGTCGGTTGTCACCGTTGCGAAGGCCGTGGAATCCACCAAATGACATGCCGTCACCCGACGGAGAAACACCTTCGGAACTAGTGTTCAGATAGGGCCGGTGGCTCACGGTCCCAGCGGAGGTGCCAATCCCAGAGGTACGCGGCAAGGCAAAGTACGATGAACCATCGCCTGTCTCATTCATACCAGCAGCGGTACGGTCATTGCCGCGCGTTTGGATGGGCGAGGTTGCCATACCGCGGCTCTGCATTGACAACGAAGTCGGGTTTACGGTGCTCCATGGAAGGTTGGATCGTCCAGTCCAGCCATCAGACTCCGAAGAAGACAATAGGGAACCCGACCCTGACTTTCCTTCAAAGGCACTCTCGCCGATATGTGGGTCTAACATTCCCCGTCAGCCCTGATCCTCCTTCAAGACAAACTTCAAACGAAAACTTACCATCAAAGCCACCACTCAGGTTCGAGTCACCCCAGATGTTGCTGTTCCAGCTGGTCTTGCCAACGCCGAAACCCTTGCCCACATTGTGGTGAGATCCGCGCGTGCGGTCACTGTTCATCCCGGATGAACTCATGTTAGAAGCCCGGCTCGATCGTACCTAGTTTGACCATGTTAGTTCCATCTCCAGCTCCACCCGATCCGATCGAAGTATGGAACCCTCTCCACTCACGTTATGTACGCTGGTTGCATTTGCGGCCATGGTAGAAGCCATTCCAGGAAGCGTCCGATCGAAGCAGTGGTATTCAGGTTATGTACTCGAACTGCGAGTAATTATTTGCAGGTCGTCCGAGATGAAGTGTCTCTTGGGTACTAAATCACAAAGCCGAGACGATTGACCGATGGTGTTGTCGGCCAGTATTTGCAGCGGGCACCAGGCACCAGGAACGGCGTACACGAAGGAATATAAGACTGGCAATACACACATCCCTGGTTAGCAGGGTAATTCACCACATATGGGAAAAGTTGCAACAGGATGCCCCAGGGCAAGGCATACAGGGTCAACAGGGCATCGAGGAGACAACTCACCAAAGGAGGGGACAAGAAGGGATCACCGAACGGTAGGGGAAAAAAAAGAAGCAAAAGGACGAAAACCGACACTTTTTTCGTTTTTCTTCTTCTCAAAGCCCACGAACCCAGGACATGTACAGATTATACAGGATCGAGGCGAAGGGGGACGAAAGGGAGAGCAGCCACGAGCTCAAGACGAAGCGAGCAATGCTTGCTGATCGGGCGGAGAGAGGCTGGGGTTCAGTAACGCGGTACGAGATGCAAGGCGACAAGAAACGAAACGATAAAAAAAAAACTCCCCTTGGTGGGATTTTTCTGGGGGGAATGGAAGCAGGTTTGGCGGGAGGTCAGAATTGAGGAGGCGTCGCGACGTTACTCTGCTCCGTGCATGCTCCAGGAATCTCCCAAAGTGCCGATCGTCCTCATGTGCCTTGTGGAGAGAGACGATCCCCGAGAATTGAAATCAGAGCGTTGGGGGGGACCCTAGATGATTCGCGTCGGCAAGGGGTGATGATTGAAGGAGGGGGAGGATTCGAGTCGCGCCGATGGAGGGGGAAGAGAGGAGATAGTGGAATGCGCTTGTTGCGCAAAAGATGAGAATCCGACGGAGATTAGTGGGTCGATGGATGGGAATGTGGAAGAGAGACAAAGCACGGCATTAAAGTAGTCCAGCTGTCACACAGGCGCCAGCATGACAGCCCAAGCAATGGTTTTGTCTGGGGATGGGTTTGAAGGGGAGAAAAAGAGAGGGAGAGAAAATGGGAGCAACGAAAGGGAGGACAATAAGAGTCACACGAAAACTAGAAACGAGAGAAGGAAATAAAAAGGAAAAAAAAAAAAAGAGACAAAGGTGAAGATGGAAAATGATAGATAAGGTCGGAGAGTCGAAGAAAAATGATGATCAGCCGCGTACGGTAATTACGATGACGCCTTGAGCCCAGGCGATCAATGTGTGGTACTTGGGCCGTAGCCGACGCGACCGCACAAAGCCAGGTACCGCCCACCCTCGCAAGCCGGTGTTTTGGTATTGTCACCCTCAAATCTGGATCGCTTTTTAGACTCCCGGCGCTTCTTTTTAGGCTCAAAGAATGAAATGTTAACTCATTTTGCAACTTATCAAACTAGCACAATTTATATAGAAACAATATAAAAATACATGTAGAAGCAGAGGTTGCACTACCTCCAAAGCTGACCGCCAGATCTGCCATGGTCCAATGCATGAAAAAGATAATAAAAAAACCGGTCCCTGGGACGGCGCCATGTCGACGCGGGTCAACGAGAAAATCTGAAGTCACCTCGAGCCCTAAAAACTACTTCGGCCAAAAGTTCCTAGCGATCCACCCCCGCTAGGGAGAGTTGGGTTGACCATGGGAATAGTCAATATAAGGTCGAAGGATACCGTGGGAGAAAGAAAATCAAATCAAATAAAATCGAGTGATCAACTGTTCAAGCATCGGCAGCTTGCAACTAGGCTTGTTTTCTCTTCAGCCCGAGATTGGACTGTCCGATCGGCTCCACCGATCCTCCAGCCTTACTGGGAGTAAGGTGTGCCCAACATTCAATATATCTAATATTTATAGTATTTATAGTATGGAGCTCTACACTATTCTTCAATAGTCAATTCATCCTGGAGATGTCAAATCTTCTCTCTCCACCTGCCAGATCCTTTCCCAGGGAATATGGATTTTTCTGAGTCTTTTTGTCTCCCCCGGCCCAGGACGGAACATTCTTGGGACAAAAAAGAAAAGAAAGCCAGGGGCCGCCACCGTTCGAACTGTGGATTACCTGCCATTCCAAGACTAGTCAAAGGGTCTCGTTGGTTGAGGGCTTTCTCCTGGTCAGAAACTCAACAGCGGTGGCGAGGGATTTCATTGTATCTTTGTATGATCCTCCATAGATAGAATGCCAAATTAATTAATTAATTCCATCCTAAATGCCTCGGATGCCCTCTTCCCCTTGAGAGTCTCCAGAGAAACTGAACACACAGCAATAGTATAAACGGAGAGAGTAAACAACGCAACTTGGTCGATTTGCATCGGCTCAGCCCCCCTTGCTTCGGCGTCACATCAGTCTGACCCTTGGATCCTAATGATATGCATCCTGCTCATTGACCAAATCGTCATTGCCAGGTCCGCGAGTCATTATCCAGTAATCCTGTTCTTTTCTTTTCTGTTCTGTTCTCTGTTCTCTAATTTTTACTTTTTTGTTTTTACATGTTTTTTTCTTCCCCGGTGAGATTGCGAAAGAGCCCGAGACATCGACGAACAGAGCAGGTCATACAGGCGCAGTCCCCAGGATACTCGCGTTGGGATCCTTGCACAAAGGGGTTGCACAAGTTAGAGTGTCAACCCATTGGACTCGCAGAAACTTGTTCGATTTGTGTTTTCCCCCGGATCTCGGAGGGAGCAAAGCCCTGCCTTGCGTCTGATTGCCATAGACCCTAGTGGAGCCCTAACGCGATGACCGCTTGTTGGATGTGGCTGCTGGCTGGCTGAATAGTGGGCAAACGGTTAAATAGTGCGAATCATTCAGCCTCCTGTCCCGGTTTCCAGGAACTGGGTCGGGTATTTTCTTCTGTGTGCCCTGAGGTTATCGATCATCCCCACTAGGGGATCGTGATATGTTCACTAAACTAATGGTGCCCTCACCATAGTCACTGGAGGGTTTGTAGGAAACACTTCTAGGAGGATCTAGTAGAAAAATAAAGGCAGGGACACGCTGTTATAGCAGATTTCAATCCTGCCTTGATCTCTGGCTGCGTTAGCCATGAGCGCGTGTCATGGGCGAGGCGATCGGATGACAATAAAATTAGACCAATCTAGATGTTGGGTTGGGATATGAGAGCTGTCGCTGGAATATCCTGCAGTTAGGTGGAGACTACTTTGTTGAGGTCGATCGGTGTGAGGTAGAAAACCCCCGAAGTATATGTATCTACTTTGTCTTCAATATCGATTTCCACTCCGCCAACCAAAAAAAAAGCAATGACCTAGCCATGGTTTCTGGTTAAGGGACAATTTTTATTCAAGAGAAAAGCAGGTATATGGTATATGCTATGGTTGCTAGAAGCTGTGAATTATTACCAGGTTTGGTGTTGATGAACTGAGCACTGGACAAATATCTTGACATTCTCGAGCAGCTATATCTTTCAGATGTCCTAATTAAAGTTTTCTCAATATGAATATGTTCGATTAGGTATTGATGGTGGGGGTGGGGGTGGAAATATATATATTGTAATGGTCAGATGGCACCAAGGGTTGGTCTTCGGAGGAGGAATATATATGCAGTGCTGAGATATCGTTCGAAACAACCCCATAGTGGCAGATATATATATACTAACCCAAAGGAACATAAATCACCTTGATAGGCAGCGACCAACTTTGCTGGTATTTGCTTTTGCTTCCATCCAGAACACTACATAGGAGGCTTATTATGATCTGACGTTGTGTCGGATTATTCTATCGGGTCATTCATTCATAAATAATGCAAGTTACCGCCATATCCCGTATTTAGATCCAAGGTATCTTTGTGTGGATGTTTCTCTTATATTCCCTTAATATATCTCTGAAGATGCGCTGGTCCCTGCTTAAGTGTGATATTCTTAGGCCTCGACAAAGCCACACTCGGGCACCGTTACATCACACACAGGCTTGGGCCCAAATGACCCGCCTAAGCTGGCCATGCTCTTCCGAGTAATTTGTCTTTTTCCCATGAAAAAAAGAAGAAAACAAGATTGAATTGATGTTTTGTGCCACTAAATACCGAGGTCGAGTTATACAAGAGCACTGGGGGGGGAAGAGGTAAAAAAGGGAACATGGCATGCATTCAGGGGGGAAGAAAATAAACAGTGGAGCCCCCAGCGCCAGGCACCGACTTATGATTGGCCTCAGGCTGCACGAACCTCTCCATTGAGCGAACAGGCGACCCGCTAAGCCGCGAACGGTTTAGAGCCCAAAGGAAGGGAGTTCTGGCTGTTCTCTGGCTCACTTCTCTCCTTCTTCCCCTTTCTGTTTTCCCTTCATTCTCCATCTCCATTCTTTGCTCCCTTCCTAAAGCAGGTGTCGGCTTCACTCTTTCAGCTACACCTCGCTATCCATTCTTTCCTTTCTCGACTTTTACCTTTTGACGCGTTCTCGACCTCCAGTCCGTGACTCTTCGGTCCATTCAATCACTTGTGTTTTTATCCTACGGATATCCGTTCATTGGAATTTGAATTCAATCTTCGTCGATCTTTCAACTTCTACCTGATAGCCCATATCTTCGATTTCGCTATCAACACACTATCATCACTCCAAAGTCCACAACCACCTTCACCTGCACACTTTTTGAAACTTCACACACGCGACCGACAAAATGACGAATTTGCTCCCCAAGCTCGCTGCTCGTGATGATAAGGATGGTCTTTCTACTCCCATCATCGACCTCTTGATTGCGCTCCTGGTTCTTGTCCTGGTTGGTCTCGGTCTGGTTGGTGGCCTGCTTTTCCTTCGCCGCAAGCGTCAGGCCAAGAAACAACAATCGGTGCTCCCGATCCACAATGGTCAATGCTCGACCTCGACCCCGTCTCATCAACGCCGCTTAACCATCACAACAAACAAAACCGACTCCGTCTTGGTCTATGACGAAAAGCGAAATCTGATGGAAAACTCCTCCAGTCCACCGGCGAGTCCCGTGCCAGAGATTCGGATTACATTCCCTGAGGAGGAAGATGAGTCTGGCAAGCGCAAGTCCGGTCGTATGGTGGTGGTTCGCATCAGCGAGGCCGGCAGTGTCGGCCTGGAACCCTGTCATGAAGAACTCCCTCCATACCAATCCACCGACACCGGTCGGTTCCAATCCCTCGATATTGAGCGGATGGGTGGGTTGAAGGAGAAGGAAGATGTGAGAACCTACGCTTAAAGAGGGGGCCTTGATGATTGAACTGGCAACCCGTTGTCTGTTCGATATCGACCCTCTTTGCATCCACCCTCACCCTTCTTCGACGACCTCCCAAAAGCATGACGAGTACTCTGGCGAACATCTCTGAATTGTTTCCTCCTTTGTTTATTTTTCTCTCCATATACCTATTGCCCCTGGTTTGCTCCATGCGGCTTGCACATATTGCAGTTCGAGGATCCACTCGGCCACATCCACATGCGCCATGGGGCCCAACCCCCTGGCGCCGTTGCCGAGACACGATTGTTTATAGCGAGGAACTGCCGATTTGTTTTGTGTTTCCAGCTTGGTCTATGGCGTTTTGATCTTTTGTGTTATTTTTCATTTTTCCCCCATGTTTCTCCTAACCCTGCCACGTTCCTAGGGTGTGGAGGACATGCGATCTGTTGATTTCTTCTCTTCTCTTCTTCTACACCTCTTTCCGGGCGGTGTCTTTTTTTTCTTTTCGGTGCCACCCCGTACTTTTTTTTCCTCTTCTATTCGTGTGCCTTTTCGGTACCCGGCAGCTGGATAATGTATGTACTTAGTCCTCCTATCTTCATACTCGAATGAAATCCGCAATCCTCGTGTGTTTTTTTTTTGTAGTTTGTAGTGTGCCCTGCGCGGCCAATCAGAAACCCCGTTCCCGAGCTCTTCCCCGTTGTTTCCGTGCCGTCAGAAACTCGGCTTTTTCTCTTTGCTCACTCTTTTATTATCTCCCTTTTTCTTATTTTGATATTCTCTGGTTGCCATTTGGAGCCATGTGTATTCTCTAGTTCGCTCAATTTTCGGCAAGTCGCTCGACCGAGGAGCACAGACAGGGGCGCCGGCCTCGTTCGACTCGCTTTTCTCGCCGTTCCCCGGTCCAATTCTGTGGTTCTTTCCTACGAACTTTACTCGAGACGGGTCAATTGGGTCAAGGCGTTGTTGAACACGGCTTCTCTGTTGTTCTGAAGCCCCCAAACGCCCTGCCTACCGTTCACCGATTCTGTGCGCCCCGTCGGCCTTTCGCTCACAGCACTCGGCACCCGGGGCGCCAACCACAAACCTCGGCCACTTGGTGACAACTTCGCTCGCAGAAATGGTGTCAACACCGACCAAGCGTGTGGGGGATAGCGCAGGCCCCAATGGCCCTAGAGGCGTCTCCGCTGCTTCTACCGCCAGAGGTTCGGACCAGTCGCCTGGTGCGCAGTCCATGAAGAAGAGGAATGGGATACAAGATGACCTGGCACGTCGGCTGGAGCAGGATTTCAAGACAAAACACTTGGGTGTGTTGGGTGTACTGGCGTGGATCCTGTGAGTTTTAAACACCTGGGGATACCTCGTCTTTGGGGGAGGGATATTGTGGTTTAAGACACGGTGCCAGAATGATGGATGTGAGCAAGTACCCGGAGAGCTGACTTGGTATGGCAAATCTGCAGGCTTCTGCACGTTGCCGGCATCTACTTCTTCACAAAGGGATTTCTTCTCACGCGCATGGTCCTCGACAACGCATCTTCCTGCCAGGTGCTTCCCTTCGACGACGCCTCAACGCAATCACACTCGACACCGACGGCGCGCCACGGCGGGAATGGTTGCTGGCATGAGAAATCTTTCGACAAGGCTGTTGTAATCATAATAGACGCTCTCCGATACGACTTCACCGTGCCATTTACTCCGACGGAAGAGAGTGATTCAGCCCACCTCTTCCATGATAATATCCCCGTGCTATATGAGACCGCAGTCAACAGCCCTGCCAATGCTTTTCTTCTCCCTTTCATTGCCGACCCGCCGACCGCTACTCTGCAGCGATTGAAAGGGCTGACCACGGGGACCTTGCCCACCTTCATTGACGCGGGCTCAAACTTCGCAGGGACTGCCATTGACGAAGATAATCTGGTCGCCCAGTTACACAGCGCCGGGAAGAGGTTGGTTCACCTCGGTGACGACACCTGGCAGTCTCTGTTTCCGGGGTATTTCGATGCCAACCTCACTCACCCCTACGACTCGTTCAATGTTTGGGACCTGCACACCGTTGACAACGGCGTGAATGAACACCTCTTCCCGCTCCTTCGTCCGGAAAATCGCACTCAGTGGGACGTGATCTTTGGCCATTACCTTGGTGTGGATCATGCTGGTCATCGCTATGGACCTGACCATGCAGCCATGGCCGCGAAGCTTCAAGAGATGGACCGAGTCATCCGTGATGTGATAGCCGCGCTGGACGACGATACTCTCTTGGTCGTCATGGGTGATCACGGAATGGATAAAAAGGGCGACCACGGGGGCGAGTCGAGCGATGAGGTTGAAGCTGCCCTATGGATGTATTCCAAGCGAGGGGCGTTCGGTCGCTTGAATCAGCAGACTCTCCTGCCGCCCCAACACCCACGAGAACGCTCTGTTCCCCAGATTGATCTTGTCCCAACTCTGTCTCTGCTGCTTGGAATGCCAATTCCTTTCAACAACCTGGGTTCTCCCATCGAGGAAGCCTTTGTGGGACCAAAGGGGAACAACTGGGCAAATTTGGTGTCCGTCAATCGTCTCACCTCCGCTCAAATCAAGAGATATCAGCACCAATATGCAATTGCACGAGGCGCGGGTGACGACGACGAGTCTTTGTCGCTCTGGTCCGCGGCGGAAGAGGAATGGAAGATCGCATCGAAGAGCACAGCCAAGTCCACGACGGTCCGTGCCAGTTATGATCTTTACCGGAAATACCAGCGACACACACTTGATGTGTGCCGTGGGCTGTGGGCTCGGTTCGATGTGTCCAACATGATCGAAGGAGTCATCATTCTGTTTGCCGGTATTGCTGTATTGGTACTTTACGCTCGAGGTCTGAAGGCGGACCGAACCGAGCTCACGCCTCAGTTGCTTTCGTCTATCTGTGTGGGATCTGGGCTGGGTGCTGTGGCCGGTGCTGGGTTGGCCCTTTTTGGCCTCACGAACATGGCCTTGCTTGATATGTCAGTATTACTGGCTGCGCTGGGTGGCATCATTGGGGCCTCGCTCGCTCTGGTGAAGAAGCCTACAAATCTGACTCTGCCTCTCCCCAATGGCATGTGGGGATGGCTTTCTATCTTCTTTACCGTTTCTCAGTCCATCGGATTTGCCTCGAACTCGTACACGATTTGGGAAGATGAGATCCTGTTGTTTTTCCTCACCACCTTTGGCGTGTGTGCTGGTGTTTCGTCCATGCGGCAGAAACTCACCACGGATCGGGTGCTGGGTGTGTATCACTCCATTCTTTTCGTGATCCTGGGCCGTGTGGCCTCGTTTTCCCGTCTTTGCCGTGAGGAGCAGATGCCTTTCTGTCGTTCGACCTATTACGCATCTTCGACCTCCTCTGTCTCTGCTCCCTGGCAGCTTGCCATTCCCTTCTTGGTCATGATTATTCTTCCGGGTGTGGTGCGTGCCTTTTATGCTGGCTCCAAGTCCTACGAAGGCGCCGCCACCTTGTGGATTGGCTTTGCTTTCCGTTTCGGCCTTCTGGTCGCATCGCTGTTTTGGATGCTTGAAGGCGCGGATGACGGCGAGTGGTTTTCCTTGCGCAAAGAGAACCTCAAGTCCATCCGCGTATTCTTGGCCCAACTTGTGTTTGCCATCGCCTTTGGGGCTGGCACCGGTGCCTACCTCTACTCCAAGCCTTGTGTCAGCATCAGCGTGAACAAGCCCCAGCCAGACGACCCCAACAACCCCCCAGCTCCCATCATTGCTGGCCAACAGCAACAACCCCGGACTACGGTGACGATCCTGGGCTTCGGCAATGTGTATGGCACAAGGTTCTTTTTCCTGGTGGTGAACTTTGCACTTGCGATCATCCTTATGCAAAAGCCCATGGGCCAGGGCGCCATCGCGCTGCTCGTATGCCAGATTCTGTCGCTTCTCGAGATCCTCGATACCAACGCCCTAACCCTCACCAACTCGGCCATTGGGCCCGTGGTTCTCGGCGTCCTCGGCTCCTTCTACTTCTTCAAGACGGGTCACCAGGCTACTCCTAGCAGTATCCAGTGGGAAACAGCCTTCATCCCGCTGTCTACCATCAAGTACCCCTGGTCCCCGCTGCTAGTGGTCCTCAACACCTTCGGTGCCCAGATCCTGGCTGCCATCGCCGTGCCTCTCACCGTGCTCTGGAAACGCCCCCTGAAAACCCATGACCGAGACTCCCCTTCATCATCTTCTCCATCTTCCAAGCCTCACAACCCAGCCGCCAAGCTCCTTTCCGACGTCGTCCAGGCCGCCTGCACCCACCTCCTCTATTTGGCTACTATCAACCTCGCCACAACCATGTGGGCCGGCCACCTCCGGCGCCACCTCATGCTCTACCGCATCTTCAGCCCCCGTTTCATGATGGGCGCTGCTGTTCTGGCTATTGTCGACGTCATTCTTCTGCTGTTCGCTGTCACCGGCGTGCGCTGGAGCATTCTCAGCGTTGGCGAGATCTTCGGCTGGTGATTCCCCCCGAGGATGTTGACACTGAGGGATCCCTCAGGGGCTCTTGCTTTGGGATTCTCCCTTGATCGAGCTCCCATTGCTACCATCCCCCTCCTCCCACTTCCTTTTTTCCCTATCTGCCCGATCCGTTGGATTGATTAGTGTCACAGACTGTGTGAAATTGCTGTCTTGTATACATGTCTGGGAGTACAAAATCTCTAAGAGGGTTGTGTGCTGGCAGCTCTGTTCCCGTGTTTTGGGGATATAGGGCCCTGCTGAGCGTATCTAAAGTATATAATCGGACTAAAACATTCATGAAAAAGCCCTTTTTTGATCATATCCTTTCTTTTCTTTCTTGTCTATGCTCTTCGTACTTAAGACACGAGAACACGAGAACATTCTCACCAAGAATATAAAAATGAAGAATTAAGTCCTGTGGAGCACTACAATTCTTACATCCTTAGCCAGAGCCTATTTGACTTAGTGATAGGTGCATGAAGTAGATAAAATGAAACATGGTTTCCATTTGCAGGTTGTTTTCTTTTTCCTTATAAGCCCTGACTTCGCGCAAGATTCGTCGAAAGGGGAGTGGAGAACAAGAGAAGACATAAAAGATAAAGTGATAAAAGATAAGAAGGTAAAAGATAAAAAAGTGAAAAGTAAACAAGTAAAGATAATATGAAAAGGAAAACCAAACACAGAATAACTTTTGGGGCCGGAAGGGGGTATTCACAAATGCTGCGGCGCTGCATCATTAAAAAGCAAGGTGATGTACATGAAGTCGTTGCTGGAGGAGAGCATGTGTGTTGTGGATGTGGGAGGTTCGTTCATCGGAAAAGAGAAGAGAAACAATAATAATAAAGAAAAAGGGGTTTATCTGTCGGTTCGTTTTGAGTGTTTGAGCAAGGGGAAAAGGAAAGAAAGAAAAGAAAGGAAAGAAAGAAAGAGAGAGAAAGAGATAGATAGTGAGTATCCCGACTCTTTTTTGGACAGTCAGCGGCTCCACCGGGAGAAATCCAGGTTCTGGAGGACATTGGCATCGGAGGCTGCATTCCATTCGGCAGCAAAGTCCGTTCGCACGGGAGGAGCGCGCGAAGGCAGTTCCTCGGAGAAGATATTGGGCTTTGTGTTTCGGCGCTGGCCTGGGTAGGCACCCTCAGCGATTTCGGGGCCTTGAGCCTGCGCGGCCAGGGCACGTTCGCGGACCTTCTTGATCTCGCGGAGCCGGGTGCGCCAGGACGAAGTGTGTTCGCCGCCTTTGTTGTTCCACACAAGAGAAAACACGGAGGCGTTCAGCGCCAGGATACGGACAAAAGATGCCAAGTTCTTGCCTGAGATGACCTTGGGAGTTGCGGCTGGCGACACATCAGGGAAGCCGGGCTTGCTCATGACTCTCACATTGTAGTATAGCTTCTCTGGATCGGTCTCGCCCTTGGCAATGCCGGACTCGTCATAGGCGAGGCGGCTTGAGGGCGTGATGACGATGTTGATCGAGTTGAACTCGGACGGGATCGTGTCGAAGTTGAATGGAAGATTCGATCGGTTGAACACAATCGTGACGAAGTTGTTGCCGATGTTCCGTTTCTTGTTGATGCAGGCCGGGTCGTGGTCAAAGTCTGTAGGCATCATCGTGGCGACATGGTATACGATCTCAGTTACCCTGTCACGCCAGGCGTAAGTGGCTTCTCCATCGGTGTCTGCATACAGTCCCTGGGTATTGAACTGGGCATTCCGCAGCGAGACCTTGGTACCGAGCCCGGACAGGAAGTGTTCGTAGTCGGCAGATCCCACTGTATTAGACAGAATATCCGCCTCCTTCGTCTGACCATTATCGACGTACACAACTCCGATTCGATGTCCATCAACAATATCAGTCCGGTCAAAGTTCCCAATCGCTCTACGAGTGATGTCATCCTCAGGGACTGGAATTGGCTGCATCACCGTGGGCGTGGGGAACGCGGAAGCGGTCATCTGTAGCAGGACATGGCTGGGAAGAACCGCGGTGCGCATGGCATCTGAATGTAAATGAGCGTCAGGGCTCGGGGGCACTTGGTGCGGCAGCACAGGTGCCGTTCGCTGCTGATAAACGGCATAGGTCGTCCCTGATGCCTGTCGCTTTGCGATTTGGGTTAATCCCGACACCCCAGCAGTTTCGACAGTGACAATGCTCATTCCCACAACCCATGACTTTTTCACCACAGGCCCATTTTCAGGAGACGGAGGGAAGGTCTCGAACGGAATGGTATCCCCCAAATCCGAGAACGCAACCCGCTGCATCAAGTCAATGAAGACTTCGCTTTGTTCCTCAACCACTTCCTTCCCATGCTCATCGGGGAAAATGAGTCTGCTGGTGATCCAGTTGACGTGCTTGGGCCGGTCTTGGAGTTTCAGAGACAAGAACCAGAAGACCATGACATGGTAGGTCAGGTTCGAGATATACTTCGACATGCCGTCCTGCGAAGAAGACTCGGCTGCCTCGAGCTGATGTGAAGCTTGTTCTCGTGAGCCAAGACTAAGCCGCGACTGCAGTTGCTGAGGAGCTCGTGTGGTGGGGGACTCGGCGGCCTTGTATCGATGCTCTCTGGAAGTTTGCAGAAACCGAATGCAAATTCCAAACACAGTCCGAATCTCTTCCTCACGCAAGTTGACGTAGACGTCTGGCAGGCGCGCGAGAAGTGCCAAGAACTCCAGGATATGAACAGCAATATTCGACATGGTTATCACCTTGGACATCCTGTCCAGGATACTATTCAGCGACTTGGTCACCGACAATGGGATTTCATGGCAACAGAGTGAGAGAGCTTGAATGCAACCGCGAGACGTGCTGCCCCAAGACCCAATGATACCCAGCATGAAGGCCCGGACGAGATCATCTTCCTCACTCTTGGCGAAGTATTGGTGATAGCTGACCAACATGCAGAGGGAATCGAAGACGCAAGCAGCCACGTCGCTTTTTTTCAGCCCGGTAAGCCCAGGAGGCTCATGAAAGGTCTCGTTCTTGACTTGATCACACAGGATGCTGCGTAGGAGTTTGACTTGAGGAATGGCGTTGCTGAAAAAGTCCTTATTGCTCAGTTGAGGTCCAAGATGCGTCAGAACGTAGCTGTAAACATCCCAATCGGCCTCGCGTTGTAGCAATGAGATCACAATTTCAAGCCACATGTTCGTCTTCAATGTCCCGGATGGCGCCGTGTTTGAATCCACAGGAGTTGACGTCCCTGACTGTGAGCGCACAAAAACAAAAGGACTGGACTCGACGGATGGCTGTTCGGGAAGAACTTGCGGCAGAGCATACGTCCATACCGGAGGCGTCAGTTTTGATGCACGGGAAGAAATAGAGCCACGCCTGGGACCAGACTTGGAGAGACCAGCCGGTGCGGATTCTCTCACGGCGAGCTTTGTGCTCGGCGTAGCCGGCTGATGGTCATGCTGAGGAATTTCTCTAGGTGGGCTTTCACTGGGCGCCTGCATTTTTGGGCCCACGTCGACATTTCGACCCAGAACATTCATGAGGAAGTCACTTTCAGAGGTTGATATGACGGTGATAGACCCAGCTGAATCGCATCGAAGCCGAAACAATAACTTTAAAACCGTCAGTCGAGAGTCTGCCGGGCGATCAGGAGACTGCGCAATCCCTAAAAGTGCTTCAAAAACTACGACGGTCTTTGCCGCAGAGAGACGCAAGGCACGGAGCATCATTTTCACAAGACCGACTGCGCACACGTTTGCCAAACTCAGCTCCAGGACACTCGTGGAGGTTCGACGAGGAGGCGAGGCGTGACTCGGAGAAGGGTCACGCCGTTCATTTGGGCTCGGATCCTTCTTCATTGGTGCTCCAATGGTGTTCACCAACAGTTTGAATGTATCATCATCGCTGAATTGTATAGCCGGTTCAGTGAGAAAAGAAACCAGCGATTCCAGGAAGAGAAGATCATGCTCGGCTGGAAAGTCCTCGAGTAAACGGCCTAGGAGGCCATGTTCTTGTGAGAAAAGTGACGACTCATTGCCAGACAAAGCTTCCTTTAGTGTGTCCAAAGCCAAGATGCGAATATCCGAGGATTGTTTGCGAGGCTGAACGAAACGCTCAATCAGCTCCTGGCAATGTTGCACCCAAGGAGAATCCTCAGAGGGATGGCAAAGCTTGTCTTCTCTCATTAAATTAATGATCAACTCAGACTGAGATGGTTCAATGTGCCGGTAGCCTTTGACGAGGAACCTGAAGGCATGCCGCTTTTGGTCTTGATTGAGCTGTTCCCATAGGGATTCGAGAACGGATGCTATCCGAATTATGTTTGCGAGAATATTGGATTTCGTGTCGTCATATGTGCTTTTGACCTGAGGCTGGGGGTTTGGACTGGCTGGGGAGGCCGGGGACGACTCTGGTTCATCTGCAATCCTGCGAGAGCACAGTACAAGGAGGTTTGCAAAGGTTGTCCAATCCCACTCCAGCGCAACTCGAAAGAATTCTCCCTCCAAAATGTTGAGACACAGGTCTAATATGTCGGCATCCACCCGAGCATCTTCTTTCTGAGCAACAACCTGAAGGGAATCCATCAATTGGCCGAAGGGCAACTGAGGCATGCCGTCTTGGCCATAAGCACGAATGAGGTCCGAGAAAACATAAAGTGTGCCACGGACGACGTTCAAATTTCGGGTTTGTTCCGCAGCACATGACTCTCTCAGGAAGGTATGGAGAGTGTTCACCATTCCACCCTGTCTCCGGGATTTTGCTAAATTGCGTACCGCGCGAGATGTGGGGCCAGACAGGGACTTGACAGAGGCGTGAATGCTGCAGAGAACTTCCAGGAGAGTGACAAAGCTTGCATCAGGTACGTTGGCATACATGATCACAGCATCAAACACGGCCAGTGAGTTTTTGATGTCGGCGGCAACACTGGTCCTTTTACATATAGTGAAAGTCTCAGTGAGAAGCAGCTCGATCTCTTCCTGGCTCGGCGCCCTCCGCTGCAGAGTGATCAGATCCACTGCAAACTGGAAGAGATCTCCCAATACAGCTTCATCGTGACTGATCCCATTTGGTTTGACGACTCTCCCCTTCTTCGCTTTGGAGCGCGCTGTGGATATGACCCCATAGAGGGGGACAATCCAAGAGGAAATGATGTGTAGGATAGAAGAATTGGTGAAATCCAGTTTTCTGCCATGATCTGACAGCGAGATCAATGACTGTACTCGCGCTGCAATGACATCAGGTTCGGTTGGGCAGGCGATGGACTCAAATACCAAACGTCGAGCTGATGGCGATAAGTCTTGGCGGGCTGCAATCGCCTCAAGTAGCCGAGAAGCACTCCTTTGAGCATCTGCAGAGCTTTCGTGGTGCAGCAGGAACTCAGCCGCTTCCCAGAGGGCAACTGACTGTTCGGAACTGAACCATGGGAGGGCTTTTGACACCGACTCCGCTTCTTCAATTGCCTGGGACAAGTGTTGCTTTTGTGATAAATTGCGGAGGGAAGTATCGAAGTCTGGACCACTTGGGGCGTCCGAGGAGCTTGACACAACGCTGCCACGATGCATTGCTTCAAGCCCGAGCACAAGTCGATTTGTCCCTCGAGTCTCAGTGGTATGGGATATCGAGTCGCTGCTGCTTTCCTGAATCGATACCGGGGAGTGGGACTTCGGGCGACCGACACCTAGCGTCTTGAACACATCGGCGAAGCTGGATGAGGACGGTTTATGCTGGGGTGGTGGTGAAACATCGTCGGAAGACATCCGCCTGATGACGGTCGGTTGAGGTCAAAGTAGGCACGATATGGCAATACTTCTGTTATTTGTGGAGCCAAGTCAGCATGAATATTGCATCACTGAGCAATCCACTATCAATGGTAAAAACCATAAGCAGCTTCTAGGCAGCGGCTAGCACCTCTAGGACACTCTCACCTATTACCAATCGAACCCGAAGAGCGATTTACCACATAGGCAGCTTCCTTGAGACTAAACGGCACATTCAGAGATCGATAATGCACAGCGAACGATAGCAATGGTTTTTCTGATCGAGATCAGAGCACAGTGGGTTGGTCGTCGTTGGCAATAGTGGGATAGGGCTATACTGAAAGTCGCAGCATTAAATATAATAACAACAATAGCAACCCCTACCGGATGGACAACACGACAGAAAAGAGAGGAGATACAGGTAGAGGGGTTGAACCGGGCGGTTATCTTTGGCTCACGCACGGAAATGAGGTTATTCCAGCCTGAATCACCTGATCGACCGTTGGTAGTGGCTTACCGCCCGTAGAACATTATTGATTTAGCTGGCAGAAAAGTCGAAGTGGGGGGCGGTAGGTTGCGGATACTCCGAGCTACCTATATCCAAGGGTTTCTAGTAGGTATAAAGAATGGGAGAGATAGAAACTCAATGCTAAATTTCTTTTCTCATTATTTTAGAACTTTGAATTTCCTTGTTTTTTATATCCTGTAATAGAGCTGCTCAGATAAAACCATTAGAACAGGGATTCATAGTTATAGTCAGTTATAGAGCCTGAGGCCCAAATATACCAAATCGGGAGTAGCTCACCGCATCAAATACGCTAGCCTAATTAGGACTGGACTGTTGACGGTGGGCTGCGGCAATCAAGGCTCCTCACCATTTATTGTTGTTTCTGCCATCTGAGGTCTTGCTTTGTCGGACTTCTTCATTGTGATTTTCAGCATCCTTACATTTCTGTCATTCTCCAATCATCACCATATCTCATCTCCTGTGCCCATTGCCTTTTCTTCCACTCTGCGCTTTCACTTGCGATACATACCCCACGTACCAGTCAAAATGGCGGAGGGTCTTGGAGCTCTGTTGGAGGCAAGCTTGGATCCCAGAAGGAACAAGGAAGGTGAGTGACCCAAGTATGGCCTCTGAATGTGGATATCTCTCTAAGATATTTATTTTGCCCTGTAGCCGAGACTGCTCTTCGTCAAGAAGAACAGAAACCGGGCTTTTCGCTGCAGCTCCTTCACATCACGGCTTCGGAGTCTACCCCTTACAACACCCGCCTCGCTAGCGCCCTTTGCTTCAAGAACTTTATTAAGCGGAACTGGACAGACGAGGATGGAAACTACAAGCTGCAACTGGATGAGGTTACCACCATCAAGCGTGAGCTGATCAGCCTTATGCTCTCAGTTCCCGCAGGCATTCAAGCCCAGCTGGGTGAGGCTGTCAGCGCAATTGCAGACAGTGATTTCTGGGAGCGCTGGGACACGTTGGTGGATGTACGTTGCCATCCATTCTCAGCTGTGGTGGAAGTAAACTGATAAGGTTGTTTTCAGGACCTCGTTTCGAAGCTTTCGCCATCCAACCCTGCTATCAACATTGGTGTGCTCCAGGTGGCACATTCAATCTTCAAGCGATGGAGACCTTTGTTCCAGTCCAATGAGTTGTACACAGAGATCAACCATGTCCTGGGCAAGTTCGGGACCCCCTTCTTGGCCTTGTTTGAGGTAAGCAATGCTTTCTCTCCCGTTGAATAATGCATATGCTAGTGAGCACTGGGCTGACTATTTTTATAGGGACTGGATAGCTACATCGAACAAAATAAGACAAACAAGGAGAACCTTACGCAAGGATACACTCAGCTCAATCTGATGATCAAGCTGTTCTATGATCTCTCCTGCCATGATCTTCCTCCCATGTTTGAGGAGAATATCTCTGGAATTGCATCGATTCTTCTCAAGTATTTGACCTTCGATAGCCCATTACTGCACACAGATGATGAGACAGAGGCTGGTCCGCTGGAATATGTTCGCGCTGGCATTTTCGAGGCCTTGACACTGTACACGCAGAAGTACATGGATGCATTCCAGCCTCATGTTGGGCAGTTCATCGAGAGCTCATGGAACTTCTTGACGACCATCGGCCAAGAAACCAAATACGATATCCTGGTCAGCCGAGCGCTGCAGTTCCTGAGTTCTGTTGCAAGCATGCCAGAGCACGCCGTTGCCTTCCAGGCCGAGGGAACTTTGGGCCAAATTATTGAGAAGGTCATCCTGCCTAATGTCAGCTTGCGCGAGTCGGATGAGGAATTGTTCGAGGACGAGCCTATTGAATTTATCCGCCGAGACCTCGAAGGATCCGATAGCGAGACCCGACGACGCGCTGCGACGGATTTCCTGCGAAAACTGGCGGAGAAGTTTGAGCAATCGGTCACCAAGGTTGTCCTTCAGTACACTGACCACTATTTGGCCGAATATGCCAAGGACCCCGCGTCCAACTGGAAAGCGAAGGACACAGCGACTTACCTCTTCTCCGCGATCGCGGCCAAGGGCGTTGCGACCTCCACGCACGGTGTCACTGCCACGAACCCGCTGGTCAGCATCACCGACTTCTTCCAGCAGAACCTTGCTGCAGACCTGATCTCAGACGACGGAGTCCACCCGATCCCCAAGATCGACGCTATTAAGTATCTGTACACTTTCCGAAGCATTATCACGAAGGAACAGTGGCAGCAGGTGCTTCCGGTTTTGGTGAAGCACTTGGCTTCCTCGAACTACGTCGTTTACACGTATGCCGCAATCGCCGTGGAACGGGCCCTCTTCCTCAGTGATAGCCAAGGACAGCCGGTTATCCCACCTGCCGAGATCACTCCCCTGGCTAAGGACCTCCTGGAACACATATTCCAGTTGATCCAAAAGGATCCGGCCCCTCAAAAGATACAAGAAAACGAATTCTTGATGCGATGTGTGATGAGAGTCTTGGTTGTCATCCGGGAGGGTGTGGTGCCATTCACAGACACTGTGCTGGAACGGTTGATCTCGATCACACAGATCATCAGCACAAACCCAAGTAACCCCCGGTTTTACTACTTCCACTTCGAAGCCATGGGTGCTTTCATTCGGTATGATTTTCCCGCCATGTTTTGACCCTGCACAGGAGACTAATGCACTGTAGATTTGCCGCACCGGCGAACCCCGACAAGCTCGAGCAGGCTTTCTACGCACCCTTTGCGGGCGTCCTCCAGGGCGATGTGCAAGGTAAGCAAGCGAGGCCGTGTATCGCACGACATGTGTACTCACCTTCTCTTAGAATTCATGCCGTACATTTTCCAGCTCTTTGCGGCGCTTCTTGAGGCCAACCCCTCCGCAACGCTGCCGACTTACTACCAGGAGCTTACCGCACCCATCTTGATGCCGGTCATGTGGGAGTCGAAGGGAAACATCCCCGCGCTTGTTCGGCTGCTCTCTTCGATCATTCCGCGTGGCTCGCAGTACATCTTGGAGCACAACCAGGTTGAGCCCATCCTCGGTATTTTCCAGAAACTGGTCTCTACCAAGGCCAATGAAAGCTATGGCTTTGATCTCCTGGAGACTGTCGTTGCCAACTTCCCATCGTGCGTATTGAACAACACCTTTTTGCGTTTCCCATTGACTAACTCCTAGCCTTCAGCACCGGCCTGGAACAATACTTTGTTTCAATCATGCAAATTCTGCTCAGACGTCTGCAGGACTCCAAGACCGAAAACTTTGCTCTTCGCTTTGCCCGTTTCTTCCACTTTATTTGTGCGCATGATGACAAGGGCTATAGCGCCGACTTTGTGGTCCAGGTTACGGAGAAAGTGCAAGCTGAGTATGTTCCCTTGACTTCGTGATGTTGATCCATATGCTAATTGTTGCGCAGTGTTTTCGCCCCTGTCTACACCGGCATCATCCTTCCCGAAACCCAGAAGCAGGCGCGGCCCTTGGATCGCAAGACGGCTATCATCTCTCTCACCAAGACCCTCGCCAACTCGGAAGCCTTCGCCACCCGCTACAGCCAGAAGGGATGGGGTTATACATGCAATGCCTTGCTCAGTCTCCTCGAACTTCCCACGCTGCCTTCCGGCAAGGATGACATTATTGCCGAGGTGGACATCGAGGAGATGTCGTTCGGCGTTGGCTTCACTCCCTTGAACACCATTCGCAGCCAACCCAAGGACCCGTGGCCGGAGACTGGAGCTGATCTCAAGGTCTGGGTGGGTTCTTACTTGAAGGAAGCTGACAAGAAGCACAATGGCCGGGTGTCGCAATTTGCGCAGAGCCGTCTCCCTGACGACTCGAAGGCGGTGCTGGCCAGCTACATGGCTTAGGCCGATGCTGTGTTCCGAGACCGATCGGTCTTTCCTTTGAACTGAACAAGGAAAAGAGGAAAACAACCCGAAAAAAAAGTTGAAGTTTGCGCATTATTCCTTTTCCCAAAGCCCTTACCGCCCAACCCCCACCCCTGATACGCACACCGCGCATGTTATGATGAAGCCCTAGATCTAAGAACCGATTTGTTTATCCGTGGAAATGATCAATGCAATTGAATAATTCTGATTTATCAACCCCGAAACACCGATAGATAGACCAGATCGCCAAACGCAAAAGCAATAACAATTCCTCCCATGACAAGGGGAGATGTAAAAATGCACAAAGCAAACCCAGCACCGGGAGCAAACCTGGAGTTAAGAGGTCGACGAGCTTTTCTCTGCCGGCTTCTCCGGCTCCCCCGACTCTTCCAATTCTTCCGCCTCGTCCAATTGTTGCTGCGCCGCCCCCTCCTCACCATCTTCCAGCTTGCGATACTTCCGCCGAGCCTTCTTGGCCTTACTGGCTTTCTTCTTGTGCGCCGCCTCAGCCTTCATAGCCACGCGACTCTGGTCCCCCCTTTCCTGCTGTTCAATCCTATCCGCCAGTAATTGACGCGCGACCTTTTCATTCTGGGACCGTGACCGGGTCGCTTGGCATTTGACCACGATTCCGGTGGGTTTGTGGATGATTTGGACGGCGGAGTTGGTTTTGTTCTGTTCGATATGTATCAGTGAGGGTTTACAGAAGCAGCAAAGTATTTTTCCATAGACTGGATTCATGACAGAAGGGAGTGCATATGCGTACAATCTTCTGGCCTCCCGGGCCGGTGCCCTTGAGATAGGCTACGGTGATGTCGGCATCGTGGATGGTGATGCGTGGGGGTAGGGGTTTGGCGGGCAGGGGGAGGGATTGCGTGAAAGGTCGTATCGGGATTGATGACGAGGGGATCCGGACTCGATTCCACGGGCGTAGACGGAGCATTGTGGTGGACTTGTTAAAAAGAGGGAATGCATGACGATGCCACTTGACGAACGGATGCCGATAAGATAAGCGACACACCCCGGTCGAGATGATCTATACCGCGATAGGGCTATTGGCAGCGCAACCCAGTTTATACACTTTTCTTCTTTGTTTCTTATAATAATTATGTGATTACCCTCAAATATGACTAAAATATTCATTCGGCCTTCCATATACTAATTCCTCACCTCAATGGCAAATTCTAGTTCTTGGAATGGTAGCCGAAAAGCTGTGACTATAGAGCGTTCATTTGGTATGGTTATATACTGGTTTTTTCTCCAGTCTATCCCAATCAATAGACAATCAGTGCCGGTCCAATTCCCTCATAAGCTCAATGCAACATTCATCGCCAGCCTCGGCAAGCATTTCTCAAATACGGGATATCCATTTGTCTTCTTCGCCAGTCCAAGGCCACCGGCCAAGGATAAACCAGATACTGATGCGATAGCTTTGAACTCTATACAGTCTCTGTAGATATAGACACCCGGGACTCAGGTCTACGGTGCCAGTTTGTAAGCGCGCCGCATGCGATCCTTCTAGTAAGTCTTTCTCTTCAATGATTCTCAGTACTGTGGAGACATACGACTGCATTGCGACGCCCAGTGATTTTGCTGACTTCTATTCAGCATAATTCGTAGAGGCAAAGATCCTATTGGGCGAGGTTCAGGAACAAAATAGACATTCGGATTTCAGAACAAGAAGCAATGCAGTCTGCGTCATACAGCGTGCGTTGATATGTCAACTCCGGGGACCGCAAAGAGAATACTTCAGAGAAGACCAGATAATTCATTCAGCGTGAGAATAGCAGTGAATTGGTATGGAATTGGTTCAAAATATCATTTCCAAAAAGTGATACCGTCAAGCTGACAGCATTTCACCGAAAGGAGGTCTCCGTGTCAATTCTGCAACGCCAAGCAGTTGACGTACGCCAGTGGGCCGATTCAACAGGGACTCAGGGTATAGCGAATAGTGCCACGAACCCTTCATAGATAATACGATTAATCTGATCTGAAACAAAATCCCGGCAAGCGAAGACGCCGTCTTTGTAGGCAAAGTATTGGCGGTGGCGAAGGGAGAGAGAGAGCCTGGGGGGGGATTTTTTTTCCCTCACACTTTTTCCTCCTGACCTCCCCCATCTGATAGCGTCCGAGTATTCCTATCGTCCCTCCTTTCTCTTTTTTCTTTCACTTCTTTTCGTCCTAAGTTCCTAAGCCCTTAAGTACATCAATTGCGCCCTCCAGTCCCTCATCCCAAGCCCCTCTGCCGCTCTCCCCCACGGCAAACCCGCCCGAGTCCTGTCGATCACAGCCTAATCTTACGCCTTTTTCTCGAAAGTCTCTCAAACCATGACTGCTTAGAATCCATGTGCTTTGACACTTGAGTCTCCCCCCGACTCCGCACGACGGACTATTTCTGGTCCCTGTCAAACCCAGACAATCCTCGACGCTCGATCCAATTTCTGCTTATCGGCCCCCCCCCTTGGAGACCAGTTCGCCCGCTTCTCCAGTTGATCGCGCGTGTCCCTTCTTTTTGTGAAAAAAAAAAAGGAACCCAAGAGTGTTACACCGCCGAGGAGGTGACACGGGGTCCTCGTAACCCGGCCAATTCAACCGTTCGGCCGCAGACACCCCTCCCACCACTGGGATCAGAGCAAAATAAAGCTCTAGGAACAAGCCATTGTGCGAGATCCAGGTCGTTCGCAGCTATGACCGTCCTGCTGTGGATCGTGACCAACTTCATCCGATGGGTGCGGTTGAAGATCTACCAGTACGAGGTGACTTTCGCCATTTACATGCTCACCCCGACGGAAAAGTTCATCTTCAGTACGTATGCCTCCGAACCACCCAATTCCTTACACATACCATCACCTCTCCAATCCTCATAAATATGATCATTGCTTGCTGACTGCCTCTCTTCCTGTTCCAGACTCGCTGCTCCTCACTCTCATCACCATGATCGCTACCGGCATCTACATCTACCTCCCGGACCACCTCCGCTCCATCTACGGCCACATGTACTACTACTGGGCCGGCGAGCGGCCCTTCATCCCGAGCCGCTTGACATCCCTCAGCTCGGTCCTGGGGGAAAGCGCCACACAGGGTCTAGAGGTCGTCTACGAGACCGCAAAGAACACGGTCGCTGCCGCGGCCACGACCGAGCAGATTGTGGCCGATGAATTGTGAATAATAGGAGTTGGGTTACTTTGTTTTCATGTATCTGTGCATTGATCGCATCGACGGGATTTAAAAAAAAAAAGAGGAAGGGGATGTCTTCTCCCTCTTGTTTCCCTTGACCGGCGTATCCGAGGAGTTTGCTTTGGGGCGAGAGCTGGGGAGCATCCTACTTAAGCCAACTGGCATTATCACGGCATTCGCCCATTATTATGGCTTAATATTATCCGTACCGCTGGCTGGCTTCTTGATAGATATATTTCTCGAGCGCAGACTGAGTTGTATCAATTGATATTGTTCTGTATTATACTCAGTCTTCAATATGGTTATCCGTATATAAGCGTCCACTCTTTCATCTGAGGAACACATTTCGAATAGACTTCGAATATATCCATGGATATAGTGAGGTATGAACAATCCAGGACAAAAAGTGAAAAGTGCAGTCGAAGCCACACACCAATACCCCCAAACTCCTGTAATGCCCAGAGTAGAGTGTTATCCAAAAAGAACAATCCCCAGCACATGTGTAACTCCCATCGAAATGCCAATTTTGAAACCCGGAGTTCTGTCCCATCCGGCGTCGAAACCCTCAAAATGCCCCGGACGGCTTGTTGTATACAATCTCTTTGCACATTCTGTACGTAAAGAGAAGGGCACACAACAAATTCCATCATTGACACCCATATTTTGTTTTTCATTTTCGCCCAATCCCTCCCATCGCAATTATCTTCAACCCTATGGTTGACTCTGCGACGCGCTTTGAGCCTGCAGCTGGGCCTCGGCCTGCACCTGCGCCTGAGCCTCGAGAGCCTCGCGCTCCCTCCGCCGCTCGCGCCGCACCGCGTCGGCCATCCGCATGCGCGCCAGCTCTTGGTCGATCTCTTCCTTGTCCAGCGGGATCTTGTGCGATTGTTCGGCGGTGGGCCAGAAGCCCTTGACGGAGAAGCGGTCGTCGAGGTTCGTGCCGAAGTAGTACATCCAGCCGATGGGGAAGAGGACGTACATGCCGAACTATTTCGAGTGGTTGGTGCTGGTTAGCGCGTTTTGATTTTATTTTATACGCAAGAATGGATATGACCAAGGACGGAGTACCGTCGACTGGCGAGGGACTTACCTTGACGACTTCGAGATTGCCGCCTTGCAGCCTGCGCAAGAAGGACGACATGGTGGGTATGTCTTTTTTTTTTCTTTTTCTTTCTCGGGTTGATTCGAGGTGGAGGTTGCGGAGGGACGCTTCGTTTGTTTGTTCGACTTGCTGATCACAATTTCAGCCTACTGGGAATACCGGCGAAGATCAGGTTTCAAGCACCTCTGTGTGCAAGACCAGCCCGAGGGGAATAATCAATGGGAACGTAGCGATTCCGATATCCAGTGGCATCCACCAGTCAGCGGCGGATTATTCGAACAGACAAACAACGCAAACCTTTGATCACATGACTTCACCTGATCTGCCGCGGGCCTCGGCTTCCGAAGCTTCCCCCGCAAGCCGACTAATCTGTAGCTGAGCGTCAAGGGCTTACTGACTCGATTTCTGGGAGTACACCGTCGCCCATACTACTTCTGTGTGACAATTGAATGACTTGTCTTTACTGCTTCCGAAAAGAATACTTGTGGCTTCAAAATGTCTAACGAACAGCTTGTCACACTCACTTACCAGGACCGTATCGCGGTCGTGACGCTCAACCGGCCCGAGAAGCTGAATGCTCTCAACCAGGACCTCTACTGCCTACTGGGTGAGAGACTGCGAGAGATTGACCAACGCGACGACATCTCTATTACCGTTATCACCGGCACTGGCCGGTTCTTCTCCGCGTACGGTTGCAAATTATATAGCCCGGGCCAGTGATGTAAAAAAATCTACAGCAAGAAGCTGACATTGATTCTTGTGGATATATAGCGGCGCCGACGTAACAATTTCCCGGCCCAACGGCAACCTCAGCACCAGCGTGCGGCGCGACCTCGTGCGCAGCTTCGTCTCGAACAACGTCGACATAACCCGCACCTTCTACAACCACACCAAGATCCTGGTTTTTGCGCTGAACGGGCCCGCCGTCGGGCTCTCAGCTGCGCTAGCCGCCCACGCAGACTTCATTTACGCCGCCCCACACACCTTCCTTCTGACCCCGTTCTCGTCGCTGGGCCTCGTCGCCGAGGGCGGCGCCAGCCGCGCCTTCGTCGAGCGTCTGGGAATCGCCAAGGCGAACGAGGCGCTCATCATGAGTAAGCGCATCACCTGCGACGAGTTGGTGGCTGCCGGGTTCGTGAATAAGGTTATTCAGGCGCCCTCTGGCAAGTCGGATGATTCGGCTGGGTTTCTGAGTAAGGTTCTTGAGGAGGTTGAGGATCGGCTTGGCTCGCATCTTAACCAGTCCAGTCTGCTGAAGATTAAGGAGCTGGTGCGGCGGCCGGAGCGCGAGATCTTGGATCGCCAGAATGGGATTGAGGCGTTTATGGGTCTTGAGCGGTTCTTGCTCGGCGTGCCGCAGGAGGAGTTTCGGAAGTTGGCGTCGGGGGAGAAGAAGCATAAACTGTGAGAAGGGTGGGTTTGGATCCTGCTCCACTGCCCATGTATATAGCTTCAGAGGATCAAATGCTCTCCTTCGTTGTCATCGACTAGGTTACATACGAGACAAGTGGTCTTGCATGGGGATTGTTTTATTTATTGTTTCATCCATCATGGACTGCTATACACATGCAATGAAAGCATCATCGTCTTTACTATCGCTAAACGCCACAACCAAAGCAGATCCTTTAGTCCGAGTCACTGCCTGCTTCCTGATCTTCCTGCACTTGCTTCTGCAAGATCTCCTGCCACTTGCCCATGAACTCGCTCATGCCACCAGGCCCAGCGAGCGAGGCGTCGACCACCTCCTTCGGCACCTTATGAGCGGAGTATTGCGGAGAAGTGAAGGCATACGCCTCCGGATCATCCCGCTTGACCAAGCGGAATTCAGGAAGGAAAGGTGCATCATCCTTCTCCTCATCACTGGCCTCCTTTTCTGTTTCAGAGTCCGGCGAGTCAATGTCTTTTACGTCATTGCCGTTCGTGTCGGCAGACGTGATGATGCTGCCATCATGGAGCGAAAGCCTCACAAATTCCTCAGGCCCATTTTCTTCTTCCACACCCACCGGGTCCTTCATTCGCAGAATCTCCAGCCAGCTGAAGAGCAACGCGTCTGTTCGCTCGGCCCATGGATTCACATCAACCAGCCAGACCCGCTGGTGCGGGGAGGGACGTACACATCAAAGACAAAATTCGGGTCAGGGAATGTGTCTCGAAGCTTCTCATCGAAGAATGACTGGATTCGGGACCGAAGCATATCACGCATCGGGAAGAGGAAGTCGAAGTGGTTTTGATCCCGCTGACACATGCAAAGAAGTACACGGTTGCGCACGAAGCACCGAAACTCGAGAGAAGGGTTGAAGTTGACATATTGGCGCAGAATCAGATGGTAGGGAACTTCGGGGGTTGTTTGCGCGGGTGATTCGGTGCTGGAGGGGGCAGAAGTACCGTTCTCATTGGAATCGGGGACGCAGTCGTCGAAGGGATGCTCCAAATCATGTGTGATAAAGTCGCTGCTTTTGAGAAGGAGATAAATATCATTCGGTGTACGGCACTGGGTGTCATTCGTGGCATTCATGAATGTTGCGTCTTTAGGAGCACTCCAGTTCAGCTTCGGAGTCACTTTTCCATTGAGCTCCTTGATTATGTTCTTGACTTGTGTGTGTATTTCCGGCCATTCTGTAGACGGATCGGGCTCCTCATCGCCAGAGTCCGAGAAGTTGTCCAGGTCGTCATCGTCCGTCGGCGGTGCCATTTCCGGGGGCAACACAATGCCATCAGCGCGGAGATAGGAAACAAATGGCGCACTTAGAGGGATGGTCCGTGACTTAGGTGTAATTCCACGGTATCTAAAAGAAGGGTCAGACACTATAATCTGTGACTCATTCCATGCGCGAACACCTACCGCGGATGCCATTCATGATAGGAACAATTGAGGATGTGGGAATAGGTAACCGGTGGGAAGGGCAGGCGGTCTGGCATATCTGTCAAAGATTCCGCTGGGGCTTCACTTTCCATAAAGGGCATTTTGAGCAGTCAATCTAGCGAGAGTCGCTTGTATCTAAGGAGAGTGTTGGAGGGGAAAGCGCGGGGACATTTTTCTGCAATCACGTGGTGATAAGAACAATTTGCTAAGGTCAGCAAATTCTTGCCTCAGGCGCAAATATCTGAGGTCTACTTGTTCTTCCAGCCCGCTCGCCGGATTTGTTCACCCAGCAGTTCACCAGCATGGCCCCGGAGGCTCCGGACCCGCAGAGCCTGAAGTCATGGCACGATGCCTTCCAGTATCCAATTCCCACGGTCCGCCGTGTGGAACAGGAACTGCGACGCGATATCGCAAGCAATAAGGAGAAGCTCCGAGCTCTCGTGGGGTAGGCGATGCTCCTGGCAGATGCCAATGCATGCATGCTAACTCCAATTTCTTTTCATGTAGTACGAGATACCGAGAGCTGGTTGGAACTGCCGAGACAATTGTGGCCATGAACCAGGAGATACAGGACGCGGAATCCATTCTGAACGATGTTGGACGGCGTTGCAACCCTCGGCTGGTGGAAAAGAAGCATCTTCATGCTCGTCAGATCAAGAGCGATGCGGCGGAGAAATGTACGAGGGAAGACTCCCGAAGGAAAATTGAGCGATTGTTAACATAGCGTTACAGACGCAGAGAAGCATGCCTTTGGCGCGCAACTTGCTCTTCTTCATCGATGTACAACCGGCATCGCGAAGCTCCTGAGGCGACGCGCTTCCTTTTTACTGCTCGCCAAGATTCTCGTTGTTTCCCGGCTGCTCCACAAGACCCTCTCCCAGCATCAGTCGCCGCCTCCGTTCCTTGATGACTTGCGCAACCAACTCGCGTCACTTCGACAGACACTTCTGAAGCGCATTGACAAACGACTTGCCTCGGCAACTGCGGCGGAAAATACCATTATTGAGTCACTGGCTGCTTACTGTCTGGCAACGAGCTCCTCGTCCGACGATGCTATTCATCACTTCAACCAAGTGCGCCTGGGTGTCATTGTGAATCAGTTGGAGTTGTCGCGAGAGAATGTCCCGAAGGCTTTGAGACTCTTCACCCGGACATTGCAGATTTCCAAGGTCTTGCGATCACGACAATTTTCCGATGTTCTCTCCAAGCTTAAAGCCCAGCCCGTCCTCAGTGACCCAGAGATTCAGACGTTGGATGGGCTGGAGATTCAGGTGCTTGGGCGTTGGGTGGCCCCTGAAGTCAAAAATTTCACGCCATGGATCAAACTGAGCGAGCTATCCAGACCTCAAGGCGTGGAGGCGATTAAAGAGTGGTCCCTTCAAGCCTTCGATGTGTTCTCCGAAGGCTGTCAAAAGAGCCTCGCCCAGAGTACTGATGTCCCTGAGCTCCTCTCCCTGCGTCAAGAAACCCTGGAGCTATGGCTTTCCTCCTGGGGCTCGACAATAACCCACGGCTCTGCAGATATCTTTGAGCGCCTTCGAGGTATTTTCAACGACCAGCTAAAACGAGTCCTGACCTTGCAGGCACAGAAAGTCGACCGAGTTGGAGACCAGGTTTCATCTCTTGTCTCAGAATGGCAGAATACAACACACGCTTCGGTTGGATCACTCTGGGATGCCGACATCACGGCGGCAGAATATTCAAATGGTGCCTCGGCATTCAAACAGACGGTGGCTGACCGACTCCTTGGCCGCAATGATGATGTGACTACAGTACTCAAGAAGTATAAATCTTGGCTCGCATCGATCCAGGACGCTACTGCGTCTATTGAATCTCTGCGTCGTATCAAATGGTCGGATATTCTTGTCGGGAGTGAAGTGGGCGACGAGGATGTCGACCTCACGTCCCGACTCAACGAAGATGACCCTACACTTCTATCGAAAGCCCTCCACTCTGCTGCCCAGGAGGCCTTCCAGTCCCTGCAGACCTCATTTAACAGGGCGTTTAAGGCGTTTGGATCGACCCATGCCAGTGAGAAAGCCGTCTTCTTGCTCCGCCTGATTCGCCTCGTTCGTCGAGACATTCCTACCGGCTTCTTGAACGCAGACTTTAGCTTCTCAAGTACCATCGTCCCCGAACTGCAGAAGCTGTTGGCGACGGAAGTCGTCGCCCAGGCTGGCTCTTTGAAGTTTATTCCGTCTTCCAAGGTCCATCCACAAACGGGCAATCTCAAGATTGTGCCTGGCCGCTCACTCTGGGAAAGCGACCCCATCACTCCGGTGCAACCATCACCGTTAACTTTCAAATTCTTGCGTCGGCTGACGGCCACGATGGATCAATGTGGACTGGATCTGTGGGATCCTTCCACTGTTCAGGCTCTCAAAGGAGCGCTGAAAGAACAAGTGGAGGCTGCTATCGCTTCTGCACTGGAGGACCTGGAAGCTCCTCTTCCAAATAAGGACGCTGCAAGTTCCAAGTCCACCAAGAACCAGTCGGCCGAGAATGGTGCACAGGATGCGAAGACAGAGACAAGCCCTGATTCTGAGAAGCCCGAATCCACCAAGAATGGTGCATCGGACGCTGAGAAGGATAATGAGACCAATCCTGAAAACCAACAACAGGCCGAAGATGATTCATCTGATGCCCAGACGGAGACTGAAGCCGATCCCGAGAAGCCCAAACCTGCTGAGAACGACACCTCGGATGCCCAAGCGGAGAACAAGGCCGACCCTGAGAAGTCCGAGCCACCCAAGGGCAATGATTCATCGCAGGCGGAAGTCTTGCGCGACTGGAAGGTACAGCTGCTCTTCGACTCCGTCTACCTGGCGAAGATGCTGGGCCAACGACATGAGCTGCCTGGCGTTCAGCGCATCAAAACCAGTGCGAGCCCTAGCAAAGAGACTACCGAGGCAATAAACCGCATCGCTCTGGATTATTGGAAGCGCACGGAGTTGCTGTTTGGGCTTTTGGCGGAGCGTTAGTTTGTCGGCATAGCGTATATTCGACTGGGCGAATTGGACTACATTCTTGTACCCGAGCCTGTTACTTTAGTTTTGAGACCCAGACATCTGAACATAGATTCATACATTTCATGGTAAACATACAGACCATAACTCATAACACATCAACTCATAATCGTACACTCGTTCAATCGTCACAAGTCATCATAAATCATCGACACGTGCCCAGACAACCCTAAATCAGACAATTTTCTTTTTTTTCTCTCTCTTTTTCTTTTTTAACTCTTTCCGTCGCAATGCTCGTTGCTCACCAAGCGGTAGTACTGGAAATAGAGCCTTGGACCTTGGATCGAACAACTTCCACCTCCTGCTTGAGCGCCCAGAGGGTGCGCTGCGCATTGCGAGCCTTAAGGCCGAGCTCCTTCGCGCGGGTAGTCACGAAGGCCGACACAAGCCCATTCACAGACCAGATTTCAGTAAGAGGCTGGAACTTAGCCTCCAAGTGCGTGATGTGGCCATGAACAGTGTCAAGCTCCTCGAGATCGGAAGTATCCCAGGAGGTATCGAAGCGGGATCTCCACAGCTCCCGTAGGTGTCGGAGACTAGTCGACACCTTCTCCATATCGCCGAGGATGGCGACGCCATCGGTGAATATAATCTTGCGGCGGTGGATCCTCTCCAGAGAAGAAGTTGGCTTGACATGGGGCAGGAAGCTGGACGGTGCGGAGGAAGCCTTTTCCAGGGCCAGGATGATTTGGCCTTGGAGGGTGGCCTGCATCCTGCGACTGGCTTTTAATGCGTGCATCACGCGTCGCCAACGCCGTTGGAGGTTGATGATGCGAGTCAGGTCCTGCTTCGAGTACTCCTCTGTGGCGGAGGTCGTGTTTGCCGCTCGCGGGATCCCCTGGTGTCCTTCCATCGGGTAAAATTCCATGAGTTTATAGAGTGACAAAATCGGAATTTTAGTCTCCAAGAACACCCGCGCTTGCAAAGTGGGCTGCGGGTCGTTCCTAAGAACCACCACGCACAAATCGTCTCTGCCCTCGTAGCTCTTGTACGTGCGGATGCAATCATCCCGCAGTTTCTGGAGCCCTGCTGGAGTCAAGGGCATTTCCGATGTACCGGGCTCACAAAACATCTATTTTAAGCGACAGTTTAGTCTTTTTTTTCTCATGCTCTAATGAATAGACCGGTTTCTTCTTACCTGCTGCATTCTCCGCCACAATTCCCCGTACTCAGCGTACGCCGTTGGGGGATTGAGCCAGTAGCTCAGGTTCAGGAGAATGATGGCAAGGAAATCAAACGCTCGTTCCGTAATAAATTCGTTCGGTACATTTCGGTTCACGCACTTGAACCTGATCTCGTGGTTGTGGGCTGCGAGCTCCACCCTTTCGAGGGTTCTGCAGAATGCAAGGCCAATTGTCATCAAGCATCCAGCATGAGAACGCTTCTCGCTATCCGTCAGCTTGCAAGGATTTGCAAATGGTGTTTGCATAATCGGGGGCAAGTGGAACAGAGTCCATGACCACGGCAGCACGACGGCATCGCCTGGATTCGCAACGCAGAGCTTGATAACAAAGATTAGTCCAAATTCCACAGAAGAGAGGATGAGGTGACGTACAATGTATGTGGCTACAAACTCGAGGACAGAAAAGACTGCGTGGAATGACGAAAGCGACTTTGTAGAGGCCTTGTCAATACTTATCAGGAGATCACGGACTCCAGCAAACTAGAAAGTTGTCAGTAATTCAGAAGATTCAATGGCCGAGGTTGTGCATACAAAAACCTGCTGGCGGCGCTCAATTACTCCCCTGTGAATTGCATCGATTGAGACTAGCCCATCTAAGGCGCAATTGAGATCGGGGCTTTGAGAACGAGAAAGAACGTATCGCGTTTTTGAAATCACTCCCTTGGTATAGCGGAATGCGATTTGGGGTCCTGTGAATGGCGAAAGAAAAAGTAAGTACTAATCCCTGTCCACTATAAGAATCGAAAGTCTTACCAAGAAGATGAGCAAGTTGAACTTGCTCTAAGAGACCGCTGTAGCTGTTGATCTTGAACCAGTCTTTAACGTTACCGATGCAGTAAAAGAGACGATTCTCGAGACAGCCTGCAGATGCCTGAAACTCTGGATCTTTCTGGAGACAATTCCGCAGAAACCCTATCGTAGTTACGGACTGCTCGAAGGGTGAAACGAAGAGAAGTTCTTCAAAGAGTGACATTATCCACTTTTTCCCTTCAGAGTGTGTCAGATATGGGCATATCCGCAATGGTAATTCAGAAAACTTACTGTGACCCAGAAATTTCGAGCTGAAACCTTCATTCATCGACTTTTGGGCATACAGAGGAGTTATTCTTGCGAAAAGCTCATTGATGCTGCCAAGGTCCTAGAAATAACTTTTTAGCATCCACTCATTTAATTCACACTAATGGCAGATCGCGTCAACTCACTGTCACTCTCAACTGACACCAGGTTGGCTGAGGGGTCTCATGCAGATACGAGCACTCGTTTCTTCTTTGTCTGGGACACGACCCTGATTGACATTAGTAAGGTGCTTTGAAGACAGGAGAGGAAAAGTGGCCAAGACACTTACCTTGAGCGAGGAAATGTGCGCATCGAATGGGACTCTCATTTTTCCAGAAAAGAGAAGCACACTCAAAGAACTTCTCAAATGCTGCCGTGAACCTCGCTCGCACCCAGAGCTTAGCACGGTCAAGCAAGTCCATGAACGAGAGATCTTCGATTGATGTATCCTCAGTCTTGAGGGGAGACCAGTGGAGTACAACTGGCTTGCGGGATTGCTTTGAAGCGTTGAGAATCCCACAAAGAAGAAGCAAGCAGTCTATGGCATGCTTATCTTCAGCTCCAATGTCGTGAACCAACTTCGCAGCTCGAAACATGACAGCAATGGGTCTTTCTAGGACGTTGGAGCTGCTGAACAAGTGCAATTGAAAGGAAATCATCTATGCAGTGTTAGCCGATACTATGCAAATAAAACTCCACATGGGTAAGACAAACGAAAAGGCAGAGGAAGTCCAGTAAGATCTCATCCGTCAACTGAGCGAGGTTCATATCTTGGCTGTGATCTCTGAGAGATTCAACCAAGTCCAATGCCAGTTGACATTGAACAGCAATATTTTCCAGCGGAGTTGAAATTGAAGCTTTCAGTACCCTGGAATCTCGCTTGTACTTGTGATGGATCAGCCCAGCGCGAGAGAAAACCATCTCGCCAAGCCCATGCCGGAAAATGGCTTCCATGGAGTTTTGTTGGATCTGCCGGAACAGCTTGTGGAATACCAGCGTATCCATCGCCAGATAGAGATCTCCAGTTGAAACCGATAGCTCATAGTGATCTATCCACCGGTCTTTGGAAGCGTAAAAGAGGTGCAACTGATCAAACATCTCAAACTCCTTGAAGAAGGCCTCCTTATCGGAATCTGACCCGAGCATGTTGATAGTGATAGCCCTCAGATTGGACGAGATCCGGCCCTGCCTCAAGAGAATGTTACACAGTCGGGAGTATCGCAGAAGAGTATTGACCTGGAGGCTGGCTCGATTCCTTTGATATGTCAATAATCACGATCCGAGACCAACAAAAACGCTCAAACGTACTGGGCGATGTAGGTGATCAGTTCGTCGAACTGCTCTCCGCGACGCAGAACCTCGACCGCCTGCTCATGGTTTCCGCACACATGATGGCATTCTGCTGCATTGGCAAAGAATCCTCCTTTTTCGTAAAAGGATGATGCCTTTTGATACTCCCCTTGGTCCTTCCAAAGCTCTAGAATGCTTTTTAGTACCTCCCTGACGACGATAACCTCTGGAATGACACAAACCTGCAACTTTGTCGTATTGCCCAAGGGCTTCGAAGCAACCTGACGCTTCGGAAAGAAGGCCGATTTTGAGAAACAGCACAATGGCCTTCTTGAAGTATTCGGTAAACCCCTCGAAGTCTCTCGCGGCGCGGCAGGACCTTCCTTCCTGTTCGTACAAACAAGCTTGTGCATGAGCGATCCCTTGAGAATCGTTGGCTTTCTTGAAGCAAAAAAGAGCCTGCTGGATTTTAGTATGTGAAACACCCAATACTCTCTTGAAGGTCAGTGTTCTTACATCGGCGAAGTTCTTCTGGTGGAGAAGATAGGCTGCACGTTTTAGCCATCTCTCTGGGTCCACGGAACCCCCAGCTCGCAAGACCTTCACTTGTTCCGCGACCTAGAAAAGTTTGTAAGCTTAGACTCATATTCAATGACTCAGGATTTGGAACACATACGTCCTCATCTTTCTGCTTCACAAGCTCAGCAAGCCCGAGACGATCACCGGCTGCAAGTGATTGGACGATAGGCTCCACGGCGTTTTCATTGGTCTCCATAAACCAGAGCTGCTTGCGCGCTCTTGTCACTGCGACATAGAGGTGCTACCGTCATGTTAGCATAAACATCGAAACGATATGATAACGAATCATATTTACCTTTAGCTCTGAGCACAGGGCCTATTTATTTGATATGTTAGCAGATATTCTTAGCCTTCTTTAAGAGAGTTTGAATACCCACCGCGTGCTTTTGGGAATCAAAGAGACTTCGATCTCCCCGAGCAAGAAGGTACAGACATCGATAGCTGCTTCCAAAGCCACTGCTTCCGAAGAAGTCATAGACGAGAACATCGTCAAACTCCATGCCCTTGCTTTCCAGAATTGTTAGAACAAGAGCAATCTCGCCGATTTGCCCTTGAAGCTTTTCCTTGGCGGTGTCATCCCGAACAAGAATGACCTGCTCAGCACCAAAGTCGGCGACTTGGTCATTGAGCTTGACGAGACCGATCATCTTTGCGGAAAGAATCGAGGAGTCAAAACCGGCTATGCAAGTTAGAAATTATCCGACACGTCGCAATTCACAATGACCACATACCAAAGATGATTGGCTTCGGGCCTGCAGTCTGACCAACCTCAGGGGCCAGCTTGTCGATGGTCTCCGGAAACCCTAGGCAGGAGTAAGCTGACGATAACAGGGAAATAAGAGAAGCTATCTTTTCTTACCACTCCAGAGAAGGTCCATCACCCATGAAGCGAAGCTCAATATGCCCTGGTGTGAGCGGTAATTTTTGGACAGCGAGAACTGCACAGGCTTGGCCACTGAAGGCTGCTTCAATTCTTTGGCAACCTCATCGTAATAATCGTAGAACATGGCCTTGATCTCGGGGAATAGGAAAACCGAATCCTTGGAGATGCATTGTGCCGTGTCTCCCGCTAAATAAGACGTTAGAAAAGAAGCATGCGAAAATATGTCAAGGCATCATCGGCTTGACGCCAAACCCGAAAGTTCTTACCAAGATGGATACCACGAGCATCACAGAGGCAGCTCAAAAGCAGAACGATATCAAGACAGCGCAGATCTTGAATCTCTAGAGAAAATGTTAGAATTTCCAGGTTTGAAAGCAACAAATATCCAACTTACCGTCCACATAAATCTCCTCAAAGCAACAGCGGATCAGCTATGCCAACTCGGGGTTGTCTTTAAAAGATTTCAAGAGAGCGATGACGCGATCAAGCTCATCAATCTCTTTGCGCAGCTTCTTTTGCTTCTCAAAGCGCTCAAATGCCGCGTAAACCTTGACCCGCTCTGCCTCAGAAGCAAAGGCAGGAGAGGCTTTATGGTTTCTGCCAATGTATTCCCCCCTCGTCAGTGATCTCAAGGACTTTGCTGAAACATTGGAGCCTTTAATGACGCCCATTATCTCGGCGAAGAGCAGCTCCGGAGAACAGGCCGAGGGAACCATGCCAGACAGGGAACCCCAGTATTCAGTCTTGAAAATGTTGAAGTCGACAATCCTCGGCTTGGAAATTGCTGCTGAAGAGTCGATTTTTTTCGATTTACTGGGGCTGACATCACCAAGGAAGTCCTTTCGATCGGATCTCCTGTATGGCCATTAGTTTTTTTGCTGAGGAAGTTGTAAAAGCAACGCTCATACCTGATAGTGTCTTCGAGAACTCCTAGAAATTGCTCGTAAGTGCAAACGAATGGGAAATCACCACGCTTCAGAGCAAAAAAGGAGGTTGGCTTGCCGCTGTTGGATTTCTCAGTCAATGCGACTCCGGATTGAGTGTCGATTAGACTCTTTGCGTATGTCTCCAGTTTAGAAGCCAAGTAGGACGATCGAGTCAACAGCAGCTGCGTGTTGTCAGCCTTTGTAGTTATTCTCAACTCCATGGATATTGGGCATACCTGTCGGATACACTTTTCATCAGGAATTGACTCTCTTGCTCTCCATTTGGCGAGGATCTTGTACAGAAGACAGGTGGTTTTGCCAGTGCCACTTCTTCCCAAGATCAAGGATGATGTTGTAAAATGGCGAACAATATCCAACTCCTCCGGTGAAAGGTCAAACGGGACTTCTTCTCTGCCTGTTGTGCTCATGATGAATTTCAAGAAGGGCTCGGTGAGATTGTAAAACTTGTCTGTTCCGTAAAATCTTTGGTCAGTATGCTTGCCAAGTAATACTAGGAGAGTGTCACAATAGAGGTCCTCACTTGACATCTCGATGAGAGCCTGATCCGCTTTAGGGGCAGTGGTATATCCCTTCTGGCCAGAGCCAGTGGCCTTGACATTGCCATATTGCCGAGGCACGAATGTACCATCGGTTTCCTGCATTGGACGTTGCAAGCAATGCTCAATGAACTCAGGCTGATAGGACTGTTGAACAGCAAGGATCTGTTCCATGGTCGTCTCGAGCTAATAAAAATTAGCATTTCCCCCGGATATGTAAAGAAAAAGCCCACCTCTTCATCTGACGAGACAATTTGCCAGACTGCGAGTATTAGCATACGTCGGTGGCCACCAATGGTGGAATGGGGACCTGCCTTTCACAATCTGCTGCTGGACCCATGGAAGCTCATCATAAAACCCAACATCAATTTGCCAGAGGATGGACACCGTCCGGAATACTTTCACCTGGAGAACAGGAACCTGCATCTTCTGCTTTTGCTTTTTGAGATGGACACGTTGGGAAAGATCCTTTCCTTTCCATTTACCACTAGCGAGCTCTCGCAGCTTCTGCTCCACGCGGGCAAAATCACCTAGATTGGGGTCAATTGCTTGTCCTAAGATGGTAATCAGTGAAAGAGACAAGCACAACTAACCTGCACGAGCCAGCTTCTTTGCGCTTTTCATAGCATTGTCAGACAGCAAGACTTTCCACAAACCCACTCGCTTCCCGAAGATGTCGTATTTGGACTCCACCTCTGCAGGCTCACTGGTGTGTGGATCCAATGGGCTCAGAAACGCTTCCGAGTTTCCAGTCAATGCATCGAGACAGAAGCGGCAAGGAAAGCTTTCCAGAGCTACTTGCATACACGAAGGGATTACCCTGTTGTGGAGGTACTCAAGGGCGTGTGTCAAACCGCGACCTGTCTCGAGAATGGGGCAGTCGAGAAGACGTAACTTGTCGAGGATGTCGGCGGGAATGGTGAACCCCTTGCAATCATGCTGGGCTCGGTTTGATTTTTTGTCATCAAGCTGTAGCATTTTCATTTTCTCGAGGGGAGGGAGGTTTTCGGTTTGCCGGGATCGTTGGGTATTTTCGTTGTATGTATGGATTAGGGCCTGGAGTTCTCCCATCAAGTGGTTGACCATATTCCATTTCTCGAATGTGGTTGAGGTTCCATGGTCAGCTGAGCAATCGTTGCTCATTGCGAAGAGCTTCTCTGCAATCCGCGTAACCAGTGGCAGGTCGAGGTAATTTCTCTTGGACAGAAGCCAGGTTTTCATCATTGCAGTATATTTCTCGTCGGCAACCAGGTGGTGAAACAAGCCCTCGGTCGACAGCAGCACTTCTGCAACTTGTCGCAGGTAAGGGGAAGGGTGTTTGAGAAGCATGGGCAGGGCCGACCCAACAAGCTGAACTGATTGGGTGGAAGAAAGGAGGGTTTCCTTCGGGCGGATCAAGGGAACCACGACACCTTTGAAGATGCCCTCCGAGACGGGACGAGCCAGTTGCTTGGTCTTTAATATCTCAAAGGACCTTTTCAGACGTGAAAGAAACTGGGTCGGGTTCAACACAAGCTGGTCATGAATTCTATCATCTCCCATTGCAATATGGAGACGGGAATAGTATTTCTCGATACCAGCAAGGGCATGATGATACTCATGCAGTCCTGGATCAGACTCTTGCATAAGCAGAGCCGTGAGGGGGGTCTCTTGAGAGCCCATGGTGATGGGTGGATGGAGGATTCACAGCAATGTGCAGCAACGGAAAGAGGATGAGGTATTTAAAACAAGAAAAAAAAGTTGTTGGTTGAGGATATCGAAGAACCGCAGCACGTTAGACGCGTCAGACACGCCTTGAGGGCCAGAAAAGGCAAGAAAGAGTAGGAAAGTAGTGATATCGGATAAAGTAAATGTAGGAAACGAACGAGTGAGATAGAGAATTGATGGAACGAGGATTGAGTGAGCGAAGAGATGATAGAGCGAATAGTGTGGGTGGGTGAGAAGAGGACGAAGGATAAAAAGAAGAGGTGGTGGCATAGACGCGTCGTTATAGCGGATGTGACGAGGGCTAAAGAACCTGATCGGGCAACATAGATTTCCGAGGTTTGATCTGACTGCTAGGATTTAAAAGACTGTTAGACAATAGCTCTTATTTCTGGTGCCAATCCATGATTCTCAGCACCCACACATGGATTGGTACCTATTTAGGTACCCCACTGCCTGATACTTAGCCACGGGCGTAGAGGAATCCATCAATCAAGATAGGTTACATTAAAAATTTTTTTCTCAAGGCAGCTCTGTATCTACAGCGGAGAGGAAGGAAAAACATTACGGGCTATCCACTTATAGCACCACATTTCTATATAAAAACAAAAATATACAAACACAGGACACCATAGTAAATGGATATCGAATAGAGAAGTACTGCAGTGCAGCAATGTCAAACAGCCAAACCGCCAGAGAACTACATCCCAAATAGCCAATCAGCGACAAGATTAACATCGAACTTCCTAAACGGGAGGATTTAGGGTGCTGACATAATTTCCGCGGGGGATCAACGTCACTCGCTTCTTCCGCGGGAAACAATTCTGTTCTTTTCTCATTCCTCATCATGGCTACGCCCCGGCTCCCATTTCTTTATCCAAATTTGATGCGGGCTATTCGGTCGTGTGAACCGAGGACCTACCGCCCCGGCCGCATCCATGGCTTTCATTCCACCAGGGGGCGCAAGCAAGAAGTCTTCCAGCGACGCTACGGTCCGGCTGTCGAACCAAATATTCCTCCTCCTTCACGACCTAGGAAAGGCTTAGAGGGCCAGTCTGAAGATGTTGCTCCAACTGAAAAAGAAGTTGTGACCAATGCCGACCATGAAGACCCCCCAGAGCAACCGCAGTCGCAGGACCAGCAGTCGCAGTCACCGCCCCAAGATACCCAACAGGAGACTACCGACGCGTCCCATTCCTCGTCACCTAACCCAGAGGCTACCGAGGAGCCGGGCAGCAGAGATGTATCAGTTGAGTCGGAGCCGCACGACGAGCAAGTGGTGGAGAATATCGATGGTCTGAACAATGACTTTGCTGCTACCGCCCCGTATCCCACAGGGGGTGTAGGAGAAGAGCGGTCTCAGCCCTCGCCCTATGTGAACCAGGGAGCATTTGACGATGTGCTCCACATGCCGTCTCCGACAGCCTACCTGACTCCTACGGGGCCCTCATCTGACAAAAGACCACCCCACCTGACTCCGGGCCCATATGTGCACCATTTCGATACCTACTCGCTGGTCCGTGATCTCTCCAAAGGCGATTTTACTGACCCTCAATCAACCACGATCATGAAAGCCGTGCGGAGTATTCTTCAGAACAACCTTGACTTCGCCAAGCAGAGCCTGACTTCCAAGTCCGACGTTGAGAATGAATTGTACCTCTTCAAGGCGGCGTGCTCTGAGCTCCAATCGTCACTCCAGACTGCTCGAAATTCTGAGGTACAAAGACAACGGGCTTCGCGCACTCAGCTGCAACATGAGATTGATATCTTGTCTCAACGTTTGAATCAGGAGCTTGCAGGAATGAAGGATGACATCAAGGGCATGTTCAACGACCACAGCATGACCACGCGTGAGCAGCAACGAAGTATCGACACTTCCGTTCAAGAGCTAAATTACAAAATCACTGTGTCGCTCAATAGCGACGGGAAGAGCGAGATTGAAGGTCTCCGGTGGATTTTGACGAGACGGGCAGCCCTGACCGTTGCCACATGTGCCTGTAAGTTTTCTTCTGCCGAATTCCATATGGCAACAGCTCACAGGTGTTTCTAGTCATGATCATTGTCTTCCTCAAGTATGCCTCTGTTCGCAAGGTGCAGGATTCGCCCAAGAAGGTCACAGAGGTCGAAAAGCCAGTTACTAAGGAAGTGACCACGGAAACTCGTATCGTTCATGATGCCGGAGCCCAGGCAAACGTGCCCTCTATTCCCGAAGCACATCTCGGTGAATCTCTTGGTTGAAATGTTGTTATACACGTTGAGCCTTGCCCTTGATTCCCCTCCTTTGTGAGATTTTTCATAACGCCACGTACACCGATCATTTACTTTCTGTGTTAATTTCTTTTGTATCACTATCCCATAGACCAACCCTGTTACCCCTCATCGATACACGTTCACAGCGATGTTGCCTTTCAATAGATTTTTTTTGTATCATACTTGCAAGAAAAGAAAAGAGAAAAAGCCAAATTATAATCACCTGTCGTCCCGGTATTCAAGGCCAAGGCATCATTCATTGAGCCAGGGAACCTCGTGAGGAAGATACTTGTAAGCCCGGAAGATGGCATTGCTTTCGTACGAGAACCCGAGCTGCTCCATCTCCGCCAGCTCCTCTTTACCCATTATTTTTTTATAGTCGTCCAACTGCGGCACCACAAACTCCCAAACCACCTCCTCTCCCTCCGTGACCTCGATGACGCGACCAGCTGCCGCTTCGCAAAGCAAGACATTCCCATTTGGTAGCTTCTGCGCAGATCCCATAAACGGCGTAAAGAAGCCCAGTCCGCCCGTCGAGCCGTCCTTGTATTCCCACACGACCCGCTTGTCCCGCGACACGACGATCGCCCGCGAGAACGGAACCGAAATGCCCGGACGGAAGACCCCGTTATCGAAGATCAGGATATCACCCGCGGAATTGATTTCATGTGCACAGTGCTGCTGGCTTACCGTCGGAGCCGAGAGCTGCCAGAGCACCTCGCCCGTCTGGCGACTGATGATGAAGACTGCTGAGGCGTTGCGTGACGACGCGATGATGTTGCCCGCCGAGTCGAATGAGACGCTGTTGATCAGCGGCCAGTGCTCGCGCGGGTAATCTGCGTGGGCGGCAAACTTGGCTGGATCAAGGTAGTCGATGGCGCGCCATGACCACAATAGTTTGGCGCCGCCGTTACCGTCGCCGCTGCCGTCGAAGTCTGCTGATGAGGAAGTTTTGGATGAAGACCAGGGCGCTACGAGCTTGATGCAGTCACCGTACACCACGCCACCCGGCGCCTCGCTACCCGGGATCCCGCCCTGCACGCGGGCTGCCTCGGTAGCTGTGAGCGGCTCCAGCGTCGTATAGAGGATCGTGCCGTCGTCGAGATGGTTCTGGTCATGATGCGCAAGTGGATCAAAATACTGCCTCAGAACCTCGCCCTGTGCATTTACCTGCATCATGACGCCGCCACGGTACTTGGCCCACATGGGAAAGAGTCTCGGGGCATCAGGGTGCACGCCGTTATAGGCTAGAGCTCCGCCTGGGAGGATTCGTGCATGGCGGCCGGTCCGGTGAGGCAAAGTCCATCGATGCATTTCCTTGCCAGAAGTCGACACTAAATGCGCTGTGTTGGACGTGAGCGGCGAATAGAGGACGTAGCCGGGTGATACTCGGTCCTGGTCGATGCCTCGGAGACCCAGGCCACGGCGGCGGAATGTGTGTTGCTCCATTGGGGTTGTGAGAAAGAAACGCAAAGGCTGATAGCGATGCGCAGAGACTCAAAGGTTCTGCGACTGGGCGGCGCATTTATCTATTCCAAAATTTGGGGGGATGTTGGACTGACCGATGTGACTTAGGGCTTATCCGCCGGCATGCCGCGGCATGCCGGCGGCAAGATAAGTCGTCGCCAAGAACACGGTGATGGCGTCAGATATGCTCCATTTGTGCTTATCGGGATACCGCGGTGGCATCTAAATGGTTGCTTTTGAGGAATGAAAGATGGCAGGGGAAAGATGCTGGGTTGAGATAGAAAAGGGGAGGTGGCCCTTCAGCAATCGGCGCAGCATGCTCCTGAATCCTGATTTCCTTCGGACTTGAACTTCTGAGAATGACCATCTTCAAAGATCATCTTGCCAAACCTCAGCTTGACTCTGCGGACACGCAGCAAGCCCAGCCATGGATTCACGGCAGATTGTCTATCGAGGAGGGCGGGATCGAGCGAGTTACCGTTGAAGAGCGGCAACACAATCCCACTAAGTTTTGGAATGCCGCGACTTTTTGGTAAGACTGTGGACCGTTTATTGTACGAAATCTGCTGATAGCTCGTTGGAATATAGGTTCAGTGCAAATATGGCTGTGGCCACCCTCAACATCGGTTCCTTGGGCGGGACCCTTGGCCTGGCCTTCTGGGACTGCTTCATCGTGATTCTCGTTGTCAATATCATCAGTGATCTGCTCCCTGCATGGACTGCCACTGTAGGCCTTACAGGTTTACGCATGACTACATTTTCGTATGTTGGATGTTGAGCCAAACCTCCAGTCTGAGGATATATAGCTGACGTTTCGCAACGTATCCAGACGGTATTCCTTCGGGTACTGGGGAAATATGCTTGTCGTTATTTTTTCAATGATTGCAACGACAGGATGGAACGCGATTAACTCAATCTCGGGTGCCTCAGTGCTCAACGCCTTGTCGAATGGACAGTTCCCTACCTGGGCCGGAGCCATCGTCATCTGCACTTCAGTTTGGGTAATCTGTGCACTCGGCATTAGCTGGATCCACCGTCTAGACACATATATCTGGATTCCGCCATTGATAGTATGGTGCGTTGCTGCCGGTACTGGGGCATCTCAGCTCACTGGAGAAGAGAACCCTGAACCGCTCCAAGGTACTGACAAGGCGGCCGCGATCCTCACCTACATGGCGACCATCTTCTCCTTCTCTGTGTCGTGGGTCAACTGCGCGGCTGATTATAACGTGCGAATGCCGCCAAATACACCACGCTGGAAAATCTTCAGTGCTACTTATATCGGGATTTTCGTGCCCACCGTGTTGGTTCAGACACTCGGTGCCGCGTTGTATACCGGCACTGTGAGAAATACCGTTTGGAAAGATGCTTACCAGGAGTCTTCTATTGGAGGCTTGCTCAAGATGGCTCTCGAACCTGCTGGCGGTTTTGGGAAGTTCCTCATGGTTCTTGCGGCATTGAGTGCCATTCCAGTAAGTCTCATAGATCTATCCTTACATCCGTCGACGCCGGATGATACTGACATTGTCCGAAAAAAAGAACAATATCCCCAACAACTATTCCTTTGCTCTCCATACACAGAATCTAGGCCCATGGGCTATGCGCATTCCTCGGATGGTTTGGGTCACTTTTGGGTTTGTAGCTGCGATCATCATCGGCTGCTGTGCTGCCAAATATTTCCAAGACACTCTTCAAACTTTACTGAGTGTCATTGGATATTGGACAGTTATCCACATCACCTTGATAATGGAAGAGCATTTCATGTTCCGGCGTGGTTGGGCTGGGTATGACTTCGATTCTTGGAATAGTCCGGGTGGTCTGCCATTCGGATGGGCGGCAATCGGGGCCTTTGCGTTTGGATTTCTGGGGGCTGCCCTCGGCATGAAAGTGGCCTGGTATGCTGGGCCAATTTCTTCACTTATTGGTAAAAGCGGTGCGAATATTGGCCATGAGTTGACATTTGCATTTTCTGGGGTTGTATTTCCAGTGTTTCGTTGGGTGGAAAAACATTATGGAGGGCTGTGAACAGAACGGTCTACAAAGACGAGTGCTATTTAAGCGATGTTATTAGCACCTTGATCTCTAGATACCTTTTCCACTGCCAAATCGATTCTCTTCCCCTAGATTACCGGCCCACTCTGGGTATCTCCAAATTGTGAAAGCACATAAGCCACCCTAAATCATCACGTATGAACCTCGCACTCTTATTGGGGGTAGGGGTGTTCTTGCTCAGGAGGGACGCGCCAATCTCCGCAAGAATTTGAAGGTAGAGGCGCATGGTGCAGAGCCGCAATGAGACAATTTTACAGGGATCCTTCAAACATGGCGACTTTTAGTTAATTATCTGCGGCAGTCAGGAGGTCAAAGCGCTTTCCAAGTCTCGACTGTGTTTTTCGATGATAACTGTGAGCTCGACCTCTTCAATCGTCTTTAATGAGGAAAAGAATTAGAAATCTACATATTCTTGTCTGTTTGATAGCGAAGAGATAATTTTCAAGTAGTTCCATGGCGACAGTTCGCTTCCTCCTAGAGTCATTACGCGCTGTGTATCTGAGCGGGCACAGCGCTAAGGTGTGATCATTATTGAAGATCATATGCGCGTAGAAAAACCAAAAGTACGACCTGAGCTTTCTATTAAATGGTTCCGATCTTTCTTTACTCCCTCCTCCTTTTATATCACCCTCAAGAACCTTCGCTACTATGCAGCGAAAGAGAAACTCGGAAACCTTGCTCTTCTATCCTGCAGTTCAACATGCCTCTCAGGAAGCTCACAGTATCGACAGTGTCCACTAATTTCCTACGAAACAATCAAGCCCCGACCTATCCTAGCGAAGTAAGAATACATTCTTACCCGTTGGCTTTTACTTTGACCCCAGAATCCTCACAAGTATCCAGGTTTCTGATGGATTTTTAAATACATCATGTCCATTGAGCCTAATAAGTCTATATCCCAGTCAAACAGTTCCAGCCAACCCTTTGATGGAAAGTTCACCTTGTCTTGAGCTTGATTACGTTGGAACTAGAAGTCCAGCTCACGAGGCAACCAGCGAAACATTACCCATTGAACGCCAGGATTCTAATTCACTTCAAGCCGCTGGCCTGCTTAGTCTCATGAAGCCAGAAATGCCGCTCCTCCTCAAACTGGCTTTTCAGGGGAGGTGAGCTCAAGCATTAGCAAAAGCTCCCACCGGTGTACGCAATACCGGATCCGTCGAAAGAAGGTAACCATATAGATAGAGGAATGGAGCCGATTAATTCACATGTTAATTCGAAAATAGTGCGAATATTTGGCTCATCCTGATGATCCACGTTGCCTGCGGTGCTCCCAAATGAGACTTCCGATTTCTTTGTGCGCTCGGCAGACTATAACAGAGTATCAACCTTTCGAGAAATGTACTGGAAAAAAGACTGGGTTGTGCGATAGAATGTTCGTCGTGGTAACTTATTCATAACCAGGGAAGAATGAAGTCTACGAAACCCTTTTTACTGCCGTTCAAAGTCACGGAATGTCTGAATCAACTGCAGAATTCCGACACTACGCCAATGGGCCAACTCTGCAAGCCCTCTGCTGTCAATTCGAGCCAACCTACAGGCATCAAGTCCGCGCGTTGAAAAAAGATTCATCGGGTTGGCATTCGGTGATTACAACGCCATATTGCTTGAAAGACCGCAAAGTTGATATCGAATCATACATCAATGGATGCATTCCACATGTACTGGACGAGGTTTGTGGGAGCACAAGTCCAGTGTCGGTTTTCTTTCGCATAGCTCGGGTTCATGGAGAGGTAAGACTTACAATCCTCCGATTTAATATGTTACTGATTTTCTTAGCATCCTCTTATACGGGATTGTCTGGGTCTTTATACATGCCTACGTCTTCTTTTCATCGGTTGGCACTTAGACGGGTCTGAAACTCTCGGTATGGCTACGGTCCAGGATAGTCCATCGCCGTGGAATGGAATCACCCCCGTGCCCCGAATGATACAGAACCAGCTAGGGCATTTGCTCGAGTTGCAAATGATTGAATTTGACAAACGAATTCTTGATGCTCTCCACAAGACTCTTGGGAAAAGGAACAGATCGTTGTGGATCTTCACAACTCTAGCTTTCTTTATCCTGCTACACGTGCGTGAGCTTGATGCTGCGAGAAACATCTTCTGGAGGCGCTACAAGGACTCTGTATGATTTTCCAAGCATTCGGAAACCCATTACCAAGCTAACATCAGCTAGGGTGGCTTCTGGATTCATCCATCTAAGCCAAGTAGCCTTATAGAGGAAGAGATTACTTCTTGCAGTTCATTGTTGTCGTGGTATCATTCCGTCATCGGATCAACTCCAATCACCATGAACTGGGACCTCCAGAAATCGAAAGATCTTCTCGACAATAACGAACTGGCTGTCACGTCCATGAAGGTTTTGCAGTCATATGTACTAGCACTGAGTAAGTTATGTTACACCTTCGTCTTCGAGCTTCGGGCTTGGATATCTTACCAGCGAATAGGGAATGCCCAGATGATTGGCCGCAAAGCGTCTAATGTGTACGAGGTTGGAAATCCAGAGAGTGTGCAGTTAACGATAAGTTCTTTAATGTTTGAGACTTTGGGAAAAGGATGCGAAGTGAAGGATTTCTTTTAATCATTATGAAGTTGTTACATATTGAAAGATAGGCGCAATTTCTCTACTTCAAAAAATTGTCAAATCAAATCTCCTTTCATTATATATGGAACGAACAAGCTCTAACTATTTCATGGGTTTTCTTCACCATGTGCGTTAGCATGCGCGATAAGGTCCTTGACTGATTTAACGACAACTTCGCAAAGTTCCTCCTCAGACACCGTTCGCTGTTCGGTAGTAGAACCAATCAATTCAAAATAAGCGGCTGAGCTCTCCAGGTTTTTCTTGAAGTCGACAGCGGAAGATCTCCAAGTGTGCATTGCTCCATCCAAAGGTGGATTATCAGTGTAGGGAGTGCATTCCACGTAAAAGGCGAAATTCGAATTTTGAACCTGTGAATTCGCGTGAGTTACTATTTACACAAGGTAGCTTTTCAAGCACAGGTAAGTACCTTTTTTTCAAACTCTGCCAGCTGCTCTGTGTCATTCGGAAACCCAGAAATAATTGACCATGGCCGTCCATCCAAGGCCGTTATCTCATCTTCAAGTAGTCCAACCGGAAGACCCGCCGGCACATCAAACCCCTTATCCAGACAGTTCTGAATGATGGTATGGTGAGGATATTTGACATCTTTGGCCTTTTCACGAAGTATTTGGGTTACCGATATGTGTGGAAGGGAAAGCGCCGTCGAGGTATATCTAGCGATTTTTTCACTGGTATCGACATCGCCTAGCAACCATCAGCAAGGAAGAATATAAACGCTCAAGGTAATGCATACCCGTGATAAAAATGATTGGCAGTCGCTGTTTCCGCTTGGCAAGGTGATCTTTTCTTTCTCGAGACAAGGATTCTGCCCATCGGCCTGCCTCTTGAGAATGGACCTTTGCTGATAGCCCTTGAAATTCACTGAGGTCTTTTTGACCAAAGGTCCTCTGTTCATACTCGTGTGCTTGGACCAGACACTCAAACTTGTCCATCTCCCGCACCCATTTTGCTTCTGGAGTTTCACCCTTCTCATACTCCAGCCACAGCATGCTGATTTCCTTCGCTCTTTCTGGGTTGTAAACTTGGAGCAAGCTTTCCAAGTACTGGAATCCATTGTGTTCCATCTCGTATTTTTGTTCTTCTAGGAGTCAGCTTTAGTGTGTTAGAATGATATGCTCTTTGGGTACTTGCCTTTTGGTACCCCTGCGAAGGTCGGGATATCCCCTATGACTGACTCTGCCAAATCATGGATCAACGCCATTTGGATGCATTTTGCTCTATCCAAGTTCAAATTTTCCTAAAAACGAAAGTCAGCTTCTGCATGGTGGGACAAGCAAGTATACATACCGGAGCAAGCATAGCCAAGATAGCTACTCGAAAACTATGCGCCGCCACGCTCTCAGGATTCTGAACCGTTCTCAGCCATCCTGTCCGTGGCAAATGTTTCAGCGTCTCTATGGCATGTAGAAATGGCAAAGGTGTAGCTTCCATTTTCAAGAAGTGATATTCTCAGCCAGAGGCATGATCAGACTACTTATATCCATGGATCCTAGTAGACTAACCCCACTACTCTGCCCCGCCCGACCCCTCTTGAGGCCCCCAGAAACACACCAAAACAATCAATGTTCGATCTTGGGCAATGCTACTTTCTATGTAGTCCTTTTTTGATCGAACTTGCCATCAGTGTAGCGATTCTAGGTCAAATTGTCCGAAACAAGATCAGCAAAGGTATTACATGGTCTCATAATTCTTGTCTTCGGAAAGATGCCGGTAAGTGCCTATTCCTATAACTGCCTGTTGGTCTGACCGCGCACCAAAAGTCGCGCTTTTCGAAAGACCCCTGGCGGTACATTAGTGCTCCACGCTAAAAGTCGCACTTTCCACAATATCCTTGTCAATCTTATTCTCCACTTGAACCTATTGAGCAGTATGTCCGCTTTCAATACCCGTGGGATCATTGAGCCTTGTATAGAAATCTACCTACGGCCAGATAGTACGAGTCAACAGCGCCGTTATTTGGCATCTCGAGAAGAGAGAATCCACTATGATTTATTATTCATTCTTTTTGGCTAGGTATTACAGGTTATTCAAGAGCGCGATGAGGGGAAGTTCTCGTGCTCCACAATAGAGGAACTAGCGATCTGCCATCTAGTTATGGTTAGACAACCTATTACAGCCGCCTAGCCATACATACATGTAAAATGATCTCAACCATAACAGTATAGAGTTGTACACTAAATAGCGCGAATCATAATACACCCCTGTACAGAGACACGTGATAATCATACCATTTTCACGTTATATTTGCTCGTACTCATTCCCTTCTCTACTCAATTCACCCATAGCATTTTCTGCTCGTTTCATTCTCCTCTTTTACCATGGAAGTGATTGAGTGCCTTGGTGACTTCGGAGGCCCCAATGACCCAGTTGCCTTTCGCTTCTCTCGTATCATCTACCGCGAGAATGGCCAAGCCTACCAAGGGCTTTCTAACGTCCATTATCCTTCCAAGGAAGAAGTGAAGGTTGAGGATCTATACAACATAGCTTTGATTCCTACGGAGAATCTCCATCCAAATTTTGACAACTCTTTTACCAATGTGCAAGTCATCTCGCCGCTGTGGTATATTAAACGGTCCCGGTTGTCGAATTACGACCCCAATAATCCCAACCAATTCAAAGCTCAAGTGCTTAAGGAGGCCCAAATATGCGAGCAGCTCAGAAAAGCCCCTCATCCAAATATTGCTGTGTATCACGGCTGCGAGGTCAAGGGTGGCCGCATCACAGGCCTTTATTTTACGAAGTATAACGAAACCTTGATGGAGAGAATCAATCCGAAAAAGCTCAACAAAAGAGAGTGTGCATCGCATAGGAGTGGGAGACCATCTACAGAGACTACAAGCTGGCTTGAAGGCATCAAGAGTGGCTTGGAGCACCTCCATTCTCTAGGGATCGTTCATAACGACATCAATCCGGGAAATATCATGTTCGATGGGGCCACACCAGTCATTATTGATTTCGGTTCTTGTAGCCGGGAAGGAGATGATCTGAGCATGATTGGCCAAACCTTTGAATGGCATGATGAGAGTATCAGGCAAGCGAAGCCACAAAACGACCTGAATGCCTTGCAGGAGGTACGGTTTTGGCTAGATGGAAAGGTGGACGCATTTCAGTTTAGCCTTAGTTTAGCCTCTAGCAAATAATTGTGACCGATACCATCCTTCATTTTTTTTTTCTGTCTCCCTCTTTTCTTTTCATTATTTTACTTGATTTTGATATAGCAGGAGGCGTTAACGGTAATGTTTAACCATAGATTTCTAGCACTGAATGAATTCAAAGAGAGATAAATGCCTTTGATTCACCAACTTTCTTTATCTGGCGCCTTGACTGATTTGATTCATATGAATTAGCAAAAAAAAGGGGTAAACTACCAAAAAAAGGTAGGATGAGAAAGCATACCTTGATTTGTTAGCAGGGTAAAAGAAGATGAAGACAATGAAACGAGATGTTCCATTTATTTCGGTTTCACATAAGAGAAGGATAGCGCACAGGTTTTCGATTTGCAGTCACTTGTTTTGATGCGAGTCCCGTTAAGGGTTTGATATAAACACCAATTGACGGGCAAAGCGACATGACTCTCGGTGTAGGACATAGTGAACTATATCAAATAAGCATATAATAGGGATAATGTCTAAGGGGTCATCAGCGTACTCAATGGTTGTGGATTCTGATGAAATTGATTGCAAATTTGGTTAATAGATCTTTGTTGAAATAATGGTTGTCTCGCGTGTGGGCATTCATTTATTTATGTTTTGTATAGATCCAGTGATACTACTGTTACCAGCATCTCATGAACTAAAAGTCGCGATATGTAGTAAGCCTTTGTAATTCTAGATTCAAGCCTAAAAGTCGCGAACTACTATATATCCTCGACATTCATTGGCTTATCCGGCGACTACTAACTTTCCAAGGTTGGGTATATACGTCGCCCTTGTTACTATATCTCAATCACCTAGACCTCCAAGACTGGCTATCAAGAATTTTGACTCTCTTGCACTCGTATTCATGCCTGATTGGTTTACATCTCCCATTCATGACCAACTGTGCCTAATTTGTATATTTGTATCATCTTAATCCTCTCCACGTCCCCACTTCCATGATATCTTCTTTTTTTGGGGAGGGGGGTGCGGTGGAGATGGATAAAAAAGCCTTTCTCAGGCGGGCACGGCTTTCTTAAAAACCTTCATCAACGGGCCCAGAACTGCGAATCATTCTGTCTGTCCCCCGGCGATATTCAAAACTTCTGGATTCGAGCCTATCCAGTTGGAATCACACATGGCGGGACCCTGCAGTTCCACTCAAGCTTGTTTTCGGCCTTACCCCGAGAGAGTATTTGAGAAATACCTGCTTGATACGCCGCAATACCTTCCAGGGCTAACTCATTATCCAAATTTTGGTTCCATTTTGAAAAAGATCCTTGTGGATTATCCGAATATGAAAGAACCCCCTCGAGAATGCAAGTTTATGTTATGAGGAAGGAATGGACGTGTGCTGTCGACTGGGCGAGTTGCACATTCGTGCCAGAGAGGTAGAGGACCACATCGAACGACAGGTTTATGCTCGCCGAAAGGACGACCACTCTTGTGGACTCTACGAATTTGGATCCCTTTAGTTGCAGCGGTGAGTGAAGCATGTGGACTCTTTGAGATGGTCTCAATTGTTAGAGTGTTGACGATTGCCTAGGACGAAAGTAAAAAGAGGCGGTCCCTAGATGGCTGAGTGCGGTTTGTTGGAACCAAACTGGGAGATCAAAACTCTCCTAGAGGACCATAACGAGACCTCTCCTATGTAGTTATGTCAACCATTGCACACGTTCCCGCAAATTACGCAGACCAGAACCTTACTCCCCCTGAAGTGAGGGCTATCGTCAACGTGATGCTTGTTCGAAGATAGTATAGGCCGCTTTCATGCTATTCTATACATCCGGTAAGTAAGAGTACAACTGATTGTAGCCTAAGGCTTTCTAACACATGTCTCTGTATAGTTGCTGATTCTCTCTTAAATGGGCCAAAAGGACGGAAGGATCATTCAGGCGTCTTTTGATGGAGAGAATTTAGTTCTGCAATATTTGCGGAACTGTTCGTTCGATACAATATCGGCCAGCTAATCGGAATGGAGAGCCATCTTCCTGATGGTATATTACCTGAGGATCCTATGGCTTCAATGGATCTAGATGAGCTATTTGGCCTATAACGTCAATTTATATGAAGTTGAAGATGGTCTTCTTTTGCAAGCCATGCTATTCGATTTATCTACCACAAAACCTTTTTATTCAAGCCCTAGAACCAGATGAACCGTGGGGAAAGAAACCCATATTAGAGAGCAGATCCCAATCCCCATCCGCCGACATCCCCAGCCCCAGAAACTCGGGGAAATAGTAATTGCTGAAATCTCCGGGGATCTCATCCGGCTGCGCAATAGGCGCTACGGTATGCACATGAGGACGCAGTTTCTGATGCACTTTCCCAATTATATTTCCCAAGGTATGGGCAGCATGGCAAGGGAGGCCAATGCAGTACAGCCACTGCACGAGGCTGTGGATCAAGGCATCCAGCTCCTCGATGTTATGGGACGAGGCCAGTTGGCCTTCATAGCCATGCAGTAGTCGACAAATGACAATCGCCGCGAATGTGATCATGTGGTAGATGTGGTCGCTCAGGTGACGGGTGCGTTCGTCTACTGTGTCCATCGCTAAATGCACAATACCTGTCGAGTGGCGGATCATTTCGGATACCACAGTTTCTTGGGCTCGGGCGGATTTGGATTTCAGAGTATGCTCATATAAAAGCAGGTTGGAGAAATGGAATCCCATCATCAGGAATTGGGATCGCGGTTGTTCTACCAAAACAACAATGTCAGCATCAAGAAACCAACATATTCAATGGTTGAAAATCAACATAGGCAAAGTCATACCCAAAACGAACTCCCACTTCCCCCGCCAAGTTTGCAAGGCGGCCACCGACTTCAGAAGATCAATGGACTCCTCAATCAAGTGTCCATAGACAGTCCAATACAGATGTATTTCGGCTACCATGCGCACTTCGAAGTTGATAGCCCGATCAGAGTCGATGATGGCACGACACCGTTCAATCTGCCAGGCTTGCAGCATAGACCGGCGGCTGGTACCAACACAATAATGCAAATGCGCAAGGCACAGATGGTTCCATAGATAACAGCGGCTCAGGGCTGGCTCGTCGAGTCTGCTGGGTGGACAGGATTGGATGTTCACAACATTAAATAGGGGACTGGATTGAGAGTGTTGCAGAGCAAATCCACTCAGAAGCCAGCTGTCGATGCTCAAAGGCACCTGTCCCACGGTCGTCGACCACATGCAGAGGATCAGAGCCGCCTGAAAGAACTCGATGGATTGCGGCGCAACTAACAACACCGTTGACATTAGAGAGCGCGCATATTCATAAAGCTTGGGAGCAAGGCTTGTGGCTAGCTCTTCGGAGGTGTGCCGCACGGCGATCAAACAGCAAGCGCAAAATAGCAAAGGCGCCCTTTTTATTTGGCTGAGGACTGCATGGGGCTCACTTTGCGGGTCGAGGAGAACCCACCGCCCATAATGCTCGAGAAAACTGGAACAAAGTCACTAGGAAGTCGGCGATGATTGAACAAGTAATCCAAATTAAAAAAGACCGGCAGGGTATCGGCGTACATTTGGATGAGCGTAAGAGCAAGGCCAGGCGCAATGAGATCATCCAACAATGCTCCATGAGGTCTGGAATCAGAAGATGGTCTGACACCAGTGTCGGTTGCGAGATCACGAATGACCATCATAGGAGCAGCGGAAGAGTGCGCGTCCTTATACGTATCGCCAGCCTCCGATGTTGTCTGCGCGGTTGCATTCTCATTCGACTCATGATCGGTGGCTCTGGTTGGGCCTTCTCCAAGTCGATCGAGCAAAGCACCCACTGTTCTTTCAAGCCGTTCCAAGCTATTCCAAGTGTCAGTATCCACGGGCATCAATACATTGGAGAATAGGAGAAATCTCTGGGGTTGGTACCGGACATCTGTGTCCGATATGAGAACCACAGGCTCCTCTGACACATCGATCTCCACTAGTGAGCAATTTTGCCGAAGTCTGTCACATCGAAGACAGGCTCGTCCGGGAATACCTGGTTCATAGCATCGCGTCTTTTGCTTCCTACACGAGGCGCATGCTCGAGAGGCACGGCCTCGATCTGGGGGCATTGCGGCCCGGAGAAGGCAGAGACTAAATTGCGATGGATGGCTTAATTATCAATTTAATGATGGGGATGTTACAAAATCAAAAGACGGCATTTGCAAACGTCCGGGGTTATGGCGTCACCTGATGCAGGATAAGATAAGCAGACAATCGGGCTTCAAGATTTCACATTTATGAGTTCGTCTCTAGATCCTATATACTTCGTTTCTCTTCGAGCTGTAGTATGCATTGCAGCGTGCCCAGTTACATTTCAACGCAATATCCACAACACATACACACAGAGATGCGTCTCACTAGAAATCCATGCGCAGCGCAATACTCGGGGCGGCTTGTTGCGCCGTATCCACCTCATCAGTTCCGGTCCTTGCTGGACTAGCACCAACCCCGGCGCTCCGCAGTACTTCTTCCAACAAGGATTTCTGGTCCGGAGTCATATTGGCGACCAAGCTCCGGAACGTAAGCTGGTCGGCCTTGGCCAACTCGAGAAGATGGCCCGCAGATTCCTGGTGCACCGACTGGCCTTCGCGCTTGGCACGAGCCAGTAAAGCAGACATCACCAAGGAGATGGCGCTGGGCAATTCTGTGGGTGAAAAGGTGGCGTTGGTCACGCACGACACCAGCGTGCGAGCAACCACAGTGCGCGAGTTTTCGGGGTCGTTGGGGACTTCGCCGTTGTCGAGCGGACAGCCAACAAGGAATGCAATAAGCCGCGGGGTGAGGTACCGAGCGATCACTTGGTCGGTGGTGCTGCGGGGACTAGGCTTGACAAGAATTGAGCGGATGCAGCTGGCAGCGACATTGGCGAGCCCAAAGTCCTGAAGACAATCAAGAAGCTCGTGCAGAACCCGAACGATGACTGGGTCTTGGGGCGGGAGGACATGGCCACCGGTAGTCAGGAGGAAGGCAATAGCCAAAAGTGTGTTCTTGGCACAAGGGATAGAAGAATCCGATTCTCGGCGCTGCGCGATAGTGAGGATGGTCAAGAAACGGGTGAGGCATCCCCGCATCTGGAAAGCCACCACATCCCGATCCTCGGGCACTTCGGGGGCATGGGTGATGCTATGAACAAATTGCCTGAAGATCGGAAGGGCTTGAGGAACCACTTCTGTCTGGCATATGCCGGTTGCGAGGATGGTAGTGAAGATGTGTAGGATGCAGGCATGGAGGTCATTGCGAATGATGGACGGGAAGACCGATGCAACATCGACGAGCGAGCGCAGTGCCAGGCGGATGAGCGCCAGTGAATCATCCGACGACACATTGAAGCGTGCAAGGGGTGTCGATTCGCGGAGGTTGGGCAGCATACCTGCAAGGACTAGAATAATGCTCCTGGTAAGCTCGAATAGCTGCTCAATGTCGTCAGTGAGGTGATCACTGCGTTCCTGGCCGCCTTTTGCAGCCGGATGATCCATCGACAAATTTTGGGCGATTTCAACAATCACGGTCTGGATGGGTGTGTTCTCTGTCAAGACAAGTCGATCAAAAGAGTCCATTGTCTCTGAGAAGATCGCGTCTTGGTAAATTGCGTTCCCAGATATCATCGGTCTCAAGATTCTCTTAAGGGCTTGGAGAATCTGCAACCGCTGGGAGGGAAATGTAGCTTGATCCACAAGAGACTCGAAAGCCAGCCCAAATAAGACGAAGAAGAATGCCACTGGCTCTTCGCGATAGTTGATGTCGTGGCCCTTTCCTTGCAACTCGTCGCTGGGAGTCTTGTCTTTCTCCTCCTTCCCCGGGGTACTGGGCTCTTCCGGCTGTTGCAGCTTGCCGTCCAGAGCATCAAAGACGAAATCAATATCCCTTTCAACCAGGCCAGCAATGGCATCGACCAGGTATAACCAAGAATCTTGGTAGAACTAGAGAGCAGTCAATATCAGAAGATATTGGATGTGCAGAAAGTTGGCATTTACCTTCAATAACGTCTCACGGTTCAACGCAGCATACACCTCATCCAAGTCGTTACTGTGCGAGCTCGTGCCCAAGCTGCCAGAGATGTCCGGTTCAAAACGCAATCGGGCATACTCTTGAAGAGATGAGAGCCACAATGGCGTGAGCTTGGCAAGATAAGGCTGAACCACCCGATTCAAGTACTCCTGCTCGATGCTTGCAATCTGGAGCCTAGCCCATGCCGAAAATAAGGCAAGTTTGACCATCACGCGCGCATTCGAGTTCAACCCTTTGAGGTCACCGATTTCGGTAGTTTCCGAATTTTCTATCTACTGTTAGTTACCGATTATCGTTGTTTGATGACAGCATCACATACTGGCAAAGTTCTCAAGGCCCAGGACCAGGAGCTTCAGAATTCGTCCCATACGTTCAACATTCGTCACAATCCCAGTGGCAATAAAAGTGGCAGACACATTGATTGCCTCAGAAGCCAGCTCCGCCGACGAGTCAGCGGCAAAGGCCGGGGTGAGTGCCGATCCGATTTGGGCCTGGTACTGCTCGAGCAGAGAGGCCTCGGCAAAATCCGGATCGGGAGTTTTACCAAACATCTAGAAGAGTCAGCAAGAGCGCATATGCGAAACATTAAATAAAAACTTACAGTGAGAACTTGGTCGAGGATCTTCAATCCCCACACACGCAGCTCGATCACGTTGGCAGTAGATGCCGAGAACGCCATCCGGACAATATCACCGACCTTGGACTGGAGAGCCAGCTCCGCCGGAATGGTTTGGTCGGGCAGGATTGCCTCTTGTACAGTGGCCAAGAGCTCGGAGAGACAGCTCATGGCAAAATTGCGTGTCTGCCACTTCAACAACTCCTGGCCGGCCACGCCCTCATTCGCGGGGTCACCTTGTCCCTCGCCTGTGACTGCAGAGGCAAATCCAGCGACTTCGTCATCTGGAATATCCGCCGTAGCAGTTTGAACCGTGGTGGTTGGTGGAGGTTCAACCTTTTTGCGCGTCTTGGTCATGATATTGTGGCATCGTTGGATCCAGAGCTCAGTTTCCACGAGGGCAGTTTGCTGCAGCCAATCCTGAATCATTGCTCGCAGAGACCGGTTGTCTGGTGCATCGTCGAACGCAAGCCAAATGTCATCTTCAAGGGTCTGAGTTGCGGTCCCCACCACGGATGCCGCATCTCGTTTCATGAGATTGTTGAGGCCGCGGACCGCCACGTCTCGCATCAATGGATCGTTAGCACGAAGTTCGCCTTGCAATCGCTTCACGTATCCTGCAAAGTCCACGAAGTTGGAGGCATAGAGAGAGAAATGATCTAAGCACTTGGAGCTCTCCGTCACCAAAGCAGGGTTTTCCTCCAACTGAAATTGGCGGAGCAAGGTGAGAATAAGGTCTCGGGTTTTGGCGACGTCTTGCAAGTCGGGCCCGAGAACATTGATAAGGGAGTCCACACATCGACTAATGACCACAGGCGTCAAGAATGACACTTCAATGTTGGATGTTGCCAGTGCGGCTGCCTCCTCGTTGTGGGTGTCTGCATTGTAGAGCTGAGCGAGCATTCCTAAGGAGCTGGAGACATAAGGAGAGAAGGTCAACCCAGCAGAAGTGGCAACTCTCTCCAGTCCACCAAGGGCCCAAAAATGAACGACGGGGTGTGGGTCACTGCAAAGAGACATCAACACACCCACGATGGTCTTCAGGTGCAGGCCAGCTGCCATCCCGCCAATCTGGGAATGGATGCATCCCAAAGCAGCCGCACAGCCGGCTCGAGCATTCGGCTCCCGGTTCTCGACAATTGTATCAACCAGCCAGTTGACCTGGGTATTGGTGCACGCGTTGCCAGCACTGTCGCAAAGTCGTCCCAACGCTTCAACGCCAATCGTCCGAACGATGGGATCGGTGTCGATGACGAATTTCTAAAATCAAATGAGTCAGGCCCACCTTGAAACGAATGACATGAGAATGAAAGCCTACCTGAAGGAGTTCTTGCAGGATCTTGTCGGTAGCAGGGCTCAACTTGCCAGCAACAAAGTCTGTTTCCTTCACAGCAACTTTCAGGGCATGTAGAAGTGCGACAGAAATGTTGACAACCAGGGCCGCTTTTCTTCCTGGATTGCGTTGGAGACCAGGGGATGTGAGGAATGTGGCGATTTGCTCAACACTGCTTTCCTGGATTTTGGGCGAGTGAAGAGCAATAGCCACAGAAAACAGATCGATTGCCGAGTTGATGACTCCGGTCGTTGGCGGATCAACAGCAAGTGCATCTCCAGATCTCAAACTATACAAGAGCACCGAGTCGTGCTCGCTGGCTTGGCAAACAGGGAACGTCAACTATTCTCATTAATTTTCGGCTCCCCGTATGTTCAGGGGTTGAAAACCTACCGAATCATCGACAGCTTGATCTGCAGAGTCAATTGCAGACCAAGCAGGCCCATTGTCGTTGCCATGCGTTCCAGAAAGTGCAGCACGGATGTGCTCTCGGACCAGCCCCGTGACACCAAAGCCGTAATTGTCACATAGATCCCACAGACCGTCGAATTGTCCAGAGGACGTTGCAATTGAGCTTTCAAGTGGTCCCTTTTGCGCATCTGGGTCTGCAAACGACGAGATAGCAAGGCTGAGAAGGCTGGAATGGGAGATGATGTCTCCATGGCTGGGGTGATGAACGTGCACCAGCTTGGAAAAGCACTGCAAAACCCGTCTGCGCACCATGGTAATGAAGTCATGAAGTTGTAGAGAAGGATGCAGTCGTTGCGAAATATCTTCCATAGCCTTCGGCCGCGGCAAATCATCCAAGAATTCAACTGTATTCTGCAACATCGTCGCAATCCTCTTTGCACCATCTGCCGTAATCAACTTGCTGTTGAACTCCATGAAGACCAGCAACGAGCTCAAGGCACACTCTCGCACATGGGCAAGAAAGCTTGTCTCAAGGGTACCAGGCTGAGCGGAGTTCTCCTTACTGAGATGCTTTGGAAGTGCATTCTTCCAGAGCAACATCAGCTGAGACAGGTGGATCTTAACAAAGCTTTGTCCGAGAGGCATCAGGCCTCCGATGAGGATCCACGCAACCTGGATTTGCGTGCTTGCAACTCGAAGTTCAGACGTGCTACTGATCTTGAGCAGGTCGGTGGCCTGGGAGAAAACGCGCGCAAACACATCCACAGCACCATAGAGTGGCTGCAGACGGGAAGTGCTGAGCATCGCAGCTAATCCATTGGCATAACCAACACATCGCCGCGGTGACTGTCGCGGCGTAGCTAGCTGCCCAAGCTCCCTCGTTAAGCTGTTCATGCAAATTGTCACGCAAGACAGAAGCTGATGAGGGCAGGCAAGCACAAAGTTCCGCAGGCAATGCGCTGTGTGAATTTGCACCGTGTAGCTGGGGTGAGGAAGAACTTGAATCAAGGCGTCTCGGCAGCTATCAGCGTGGATGACGAAAGCTGAGCCAAGAGGGGAGATCAACGAGGACAGGGCGCTGATCGCGCTGGTCAAGGTGTACTTGCTGGGCTCACGACGTTCCTGGACGACCTGAGGATAATCCTTGAGAATGTCATTAATCAGCCATCTGGCGGCATTGAGCTGGCTATTCTCGCGGAGCAGCTCAGGGCTGATAGTGTCCTCCAGGATGTTTTTGACAAACTTCCGGGTCATCAGCAAACGAAACCGATTGTATGTCACTGTTGGGTGATTCAACAGTTCAAAAAGCAGATTGGACGCAATCTGCGCATAACGTTCTTCGATTATCTTGTCTCCCAAGTTACGGAGGACGTATTTGTAGCAGATACAGATACCAGCACGCGAGCGGTTGGAGGTCGTGCTTTTCAGGTATTGTGACGAAAGCTGGCGTAGCAGGTCCGGCAGCAGGAAGAACAAGCGCGATTCCGACTTTTTCGGAGCAGCAGAGGACTCTGACATCTCGGCTTCCTCCTCATCTCCCGGTCGTGCGGTGGGCTTCTTAGATTGCTTTTTCGATTTCTTCGACTTTGGATTCGGGGCCGCCATGACATGCGCTTCGGTTGCGTGCAGTTTGATCAGGGCCCTGCCAAGTACAGCAGCCGCAGCATGTCTGACTGGTGCAGCCGGGTTGTCGATAATCTTCCACATGATGGTTTTCAAGTTTTCAAAGTCATTAGGGTTGTCGAAAAAAGGCGAAATTTTAAGCAACTGTTCCAAGCAGCGACATGCATGGACTTGAACGAAGGTTGACTTATCGCTTGTCGCCGCATTTCGTGTCTGCTTCCAAATGTCCCGCGCCGTGGGTTCATCGAGTGGAACCCCGATCCCCACAACGATCTTGCGCAACACAACAAATATAGACCCTCGGAGACCGGTATGGTTGCTTGATGACTTGAGAAGCTTGAGCGTGCTCGAGATAGCGACATTGGACTGCATAAATGCGCTCTCGCCGGCCGTCGCAAAGACCTCCCCAAGACAATGTGCCGCAGCGAACTTGGTTTTGATTTCTGCATCACTTTTGCTAGCGTTCAATATACCGAGCAAGTCGGTGACGGTTTCGAACAGGATCCCGCGATCCCCTTTTCCGAGTATAGCCCCAAAACACCGTCCGAGGTTATTGCGGAGGACTCGAGTAATCGTCGGTGAGGGCAGGGTCAAGATCTTGAGCAATTCCTTCTTCAGGAACTTTTGCTGGGTCGAGACCTGCGCCGAGTCCAGGCCGGAGATATACTGCACTAAATCAGAGGTGAACGTGAGTAGGTAGAGGTCCTGCTGCTCGGAGGGCAGCGCATGGAGCTTGGTGACGTCCAGCTTCGGGACCGCATTTTCAGGGGAGGAGGCAGGAGCGGGATCGGAGGAAGACATTGGCTTGGAGATGAGGACAACAATATCCTCATCAGCGTGAAGAAAGCACACAAGGCGATCAACAAGAGCAACTATCTCCTTATCGAGTGGCCACACCGTCCCGCGGAGGTCGGAGAAACGGTCGGCCCGAGATCGGAATGTATAGAGACGCCGTCAATTTGCGTGTTCCACGCGAACGATGGCACTCAGGCTCAGCAGGCTGTTGCGACAGCCCCGGGCTGGCTGCGATGCATGCCGCAATTTCTGCGCTTCCCCTGGGGCATACTCCGGGCACAACAGATGGTCGACGATCAGGCACGATAAAGCCAGGAATGACAAGGTCAAGAGCAAGGAGCGCCAGCTAGTGGCCAAGGAGATCAGCAACGCTACACAGAGTATGGATCCATGAGTATAGTCAGTTTCTCAGCCAGTTATCGCGACTAACCGCCTTTCTCTAGTGTGGGGACCCGATCCGAAGTACAATCCCCGTCTGACCCTCGCGTTGTCGAATGCGAAACGAGCCTCAATTCCCAAAACCATCATTGAGGCGGCCATTTTGCGCGGACAAGGGCTTAGTGTTACGGGACAAGCATTAGAGTCAGTGACCCTCGAGGCAATGCTGCCTGGCTCCGTCGCAGCGGTGATCGAGTGCCAAACCGACCAGAAAGCTCGCGTGCTGCAAGACGTTCGATACTTAATCAAGGACGGCGGAGGGTCAGTGACGCCAACAACATACCTGTTCCAGAAGAAAGGCCGAGTGGTCATGGAGCAAAAGGATGGTCTAAATCCCGACGGCTACTTGGATCAGGCTATTGAGGCGGGTGCGGCAGACCTCACGGCCGACGAGCAGGGTCGTCTGGTCATCTTCGCTGATCCATCGGAAACGAAGAAGGTCGGCGAAGCATTCTCAAAGCTATCAGGGCTCAGCATTGAGGAACTGGGCATCTTTTGGGATCCCAACACAGATACTCTGGTCACAGTGAAGGACGAGTCGCAGACAAAAGCTCTCGATGATCTCTTGGCCAGCTTGCGCGAAGACCCCAGCGTTCAAGATATCTACTTGAACTCGATCGAGAAGTTTTGAAATAATCTTCCGGTCTCTGCTCGGACAATTTGAAACCGAACCCCTTGGGAGTTGTGTCACATCTCTACGGCAGGCCAATGTACAGTATGTGTATAAAAGTAGATACAGGCATATCAACGGCGTTTTTAGGAAGAATTGAAAAATTCGAACATTCATTGTAAATCCATCAAGCACTATGTCAGGGCTAATCTGGGTGTCCGATCTATATCCTTACGATCACTCCTTGCGCAAAGCCTTCATCGTGCTCCTCATCAAGTCGCTGGTGCCCCGGCTGCCTATGGCGTCCAACCAATTTAGCATATGCACGCGGTATTCCTGCCATGTAATCTTCGCGCCTCCATCCTTCTCGAGCGCCTGTAAGGCCTTCTGGGTGACCGGCTTGTTCAATTTCGGGCGGTCATTGGGAATCTGTTGGTCCTCCTCAAGATCCGCAAAGCAGGCGGCGGATAGGTTACCCAGTGCAGCGTGGTGGCTGAGAGAGAATATCGAAGCCAAGGTAGATTGGAAGGCAGAATCACGGTCATAGTGCCGAGCGGCTTCGTGCACCTCGCGGAGATAGTTTGTAAGAGCAGTGACACTTGGTGATGGCACGAGACAGCCCAATGCATTCGGGTCCTCTGCATTGAGGGCACGGTTGCGCCACAGAAGATTACACATATCCATGACATAGCCATTGAAGCGACTGACGAGGCTGGTTGGATACAGTGGCTCAGGAGGGTTCGGCGGTTGAAGCACTTCCGAGGTCAGTGAAGCCTCAAAGGATGACTTGTATCCTGCCAGAATCGAGCTCAGAATCGAGATGACTGAGACAGTTGGCGTGAAAGCCAGCGTATACACCGTTTGGGCCGAAGGGATCGTGAGGCGAATGCTGGAGTTCAGATTTGCATGAGAAAAGAGGCCTGCGAGGGTTTTGTAGAATTCAAGCACGGATAACATGGCCGGCTTAGAAATTCTCTGTTTATGATGGGCCTCCACGGAATCCATTTCAAGAGTCGAAGATGCCAAAAGCTCTGCGTGTAAAATAGCACGACTCAATGGCATTGACTCCTCGGAGATAGTGGGCTGTGATCTGAGTCTAGCACCCCACTGACTGATCAACGCAGAATAGAAGTCAAGCAATGCTGCTCTTGAAGCAAGCGAGCCATCTAACATGGCATCTTCCAACGGCTTTAACAGGTCGCTTTGCAAATGATCAAAGGACTCAATGGGTATGTACTGAAGGAGTCGAAGAACTTGTTTACGATTTTCGCGGCCGTTCCACACTTGGATATATCGATTCAGAAACGAAAGCACTGCAGCTGGAAGCTCCTATGGTTCCGTCAGCACCGCAAATTATGATAGCCAAATTGACAATCTTACCTTCGTGTACGAGGCATATCCCACCATAAAATCCAAAACATACGACAGTGTTTCCGGCTCGTCGTCATCATCTTCACGAATTTGTTCGAGCTTGTCTTCGAGGAAGCTCCGCAGCCATGCATCTAAACGGCGTAGAGCCAGTTCTGATTGAACCAGGTGTAGATACTTCTGTGCCATCGAGTCACCTAACGTCGAAATGATCTGGTTGGGTAACACAATGGTATCAAGCTTATCGACAAAGTGGTCGACATCACGAAGTTCTTCGAGCGATGTGTGCTTGGGCGATACCCGGGAGGTTTGCAAGGTCGGAATGACCACTTCAATCCTGCTCCTCTTTACTGTACCCCGGTGTACCACTTGAAAGGTGGATTGCTGGGCCGCCCGTACTCTCTCCATGTGCTGATCCTGGAGGAGCTTCACATGGCTCGACCATTCGGGGTCTGGATGTTTGAAGAAAATCGCATTCCTCCGCGACCCACCAGGATCTCCGACGATGATTTCGGGATAGTAGTTCTTGAAAATCCGGAGCAGGCTGATGAGCTCTTTCTCTTCTCCTCCAGCATTTTGAAGCAACTCCATCAAAGCTTGGATTCGAAACGGCTTGACATGTTTGCGTCGAGTGATCATAGACAGAAGATGGCACAAAGGCTTCCGTAGGCTAATCATATCTAAATGATTGAAAAGCACTGCATAGAGCTTGGCAAGATGCGTTCTGTCCTGAAACAGATCATAGGCGAGGATAAGCCAACGCAGGAGCAAGACTTGAGTTGCAGCGCTTGGTTTGTTCTTGCTGGGTCCAAGGCTGCACACGACTTGAGTAACATGCATCGAGGCAATCCTCTCCTGCGGATAGAGGTTCTTGACTAGGGTCGTGACGGTGCCCTGATCGAGATTGTTCTTCGCTGTTAGGATTTTTAGTAGACGGCCCAACTCGGCCTGCGGAATGCCGCTCTCGTACGCGTCCGAGGCAATTGTTTTGGCCAGCTGGCTGGCATCTGTGTATCTTTGATTGACCGGTACAAAAGCAACTAAAGGATTATTAGTCCATTGCTCTGCTGAGCCTTATATTTCTCGGCCATACCGGCTTCCAAGTGCTCGACAGCGTCCCTCAGTCGGCTTGGCTGCGGGCTATCGCTCTCTGGGAAAACATCAGTAGCTGAATCCGAGACAACCCAAATAATGGTGGGACTGCGTTACCTGTCTCAATTTCCATATTAAAAGATTCAATGCCGATTTGTCTCGGTGGCGCTGATTTTTCAATTCTCAGGAAGCAGTTTGCTTTATGCCATCAGCTTCGGCGCGCTCGCGGTCGATGACCAGGTGACGCGCTTCAAATCGATCTAAACGCGTGAAGTAGCCCTTCAAATGAGGAGTGCTTAAATTCTAATGAAGACACCAGAAACAACAGCAAAGCAGACAGGACTTGCCGGCTCACAAAGTCGATCGTTGCATAGAAAACAGAACGTGGGCGCGGAATGACGAGGTCGGCTTAAACCCAATTGGGCAACTAACAACAACCCCGTCGACGCTTGGTTATTTAGGAGCCAACCTTGGACATAATTTATGGAGAGTATTTGCTTACAGTAGAATTGGGAGGAATATAAAGGAGTCTTTCTGAGTGTGCAAAATATCTACGGGTCGACCATCTACTGGCTTCATGAATCCGGTGCAAACGTCTTTCTTGCAACATCGAAAATAGTAAAATCAGGCCATGAGATCAGTGCTTGCCAATGGTACCTCCAATACTAGGTAAAATAATCCAAGCTGGGTTCATGGATGTCAATGAATCCACTTTCCAGGCAATACACACCCATCCCATCACCTAAGGCATATCTAGACTTTTACTTCCTCTTCCGGGTGGTCGACTTGTTGTTGGCCTTGACGGAGGTCTGAACCGCGATCTCCTGCTGTCTCGCAGCATCAGCGGCAGGAACAGGCTCATCTTCGTCATCACTATCGCCGCCCTGGCCGAACTCGTTGACGCGCTTGTAGTCCACCTTGTACTTCCAGCCCTGGTAAAGCCAGACGAAGAATATAATGTCGTCACGGAAAGTAGCCAGCCGGTGCAGCCACGGCATCTTGACCGTGAAGGCAAACAGATCGTCGATGAAAGTGTTCAAGAACTTGTAAGTCAAAGCTTTGCCAGGCATGTGGGCAACGGACTGAATAGGCAGTGGGTCAGCACGTTATTTACGACAATGATCGGATGGATGGAATGACTGACCTTCAATCGGTAGTTAATGTAGAGGCTCGGAACCATCATGAGGAACCCATAGGCGTATACACTGCCCACGAGCGTTTCGATGATGTACGAGTACCACGACTTGTGAGTGTTGTAAATCAGGCTGTACGCGGCATAGGCAAGCAGGAGAGGCACAGCGAGGATGTACAGATAGCGGAAGGCAATCTCATCGTACTCCTTTGTCTTCTGCTCCGTCTCTGTGAGCTTGTGCTTGTCTTCGAAGACAATCACGTAGGGCAAGAATGAAAACCAAGAGTTAGCCGGCGGGGGACGCAGGCGAACATCGACGGTCTTGGTGATCTTCCAGAACTCCAGCAAGATCCCGAACCCTTGGCTGGCCAGAATCATCCAGGAAGTATTTTCGCTGTTGTCCATGAGATAGAGGAAGATAACAGCCTGCATGAAGACATTCGCAAGGATTGTCCGAACAGATGTACCAACGACGTCTTTCTTCTTCCGCCAGTGCGACTGGAGAGATTCATGTTAGCAATGCCCCACTAGAGATCAGGTCGAAGATCAAAATAAATAACTTACAATGTCGTTCTTGAAAGCCAGGGTTTCAAACAACATGTGCAAGATGGTGACCACACCCGTAGTGCCCAGGAGGTAGATGTTCGTATCCAGCAAGATTTCCTTGACCATTTCCCACTCGGTCCCATCACCGCCACCAGGGGCAGATCCACCATACGCAGCCTGGCGAGCGCTCTGTTTCGAACCTTCATCGATACTGGTGACGATGCTGAACTTCCAGTTCGCCATGTTGTTCAGAGTGATGCGCAGCGGCAGCGTCTCAACGGTGGAGTTCAATTCGGTCATGTGGGTCTTCAACTGCCAGAATGTGTTGAGGAAGACAATTGGATAGTACCATCCATTCTTTCCTGTGATATCTCGGGCGTCGGTTCGTTCCAGTTGCACATACTGGCGCGTCGCCGGATGCATCTGCGGGAATCTCTGGGATCCCGAGTCGGGGATCAGGGACACCGTGAAGTTGGGGTGGTAGTACGACACAGTCTGCACGTCTGGTGTGTTATCCTCCTCCTCGTTTTCTTCCGTTTCCTCTGAGTTGGCCAAGAGGTTCTTGAGCTTCTTCGCCTTCTTCTTGGGGAGGTACTGGTTCAGAGGGCGCAGGAAGTGCAGGGCTTTGGCGGAGCTGTAGTCCTTGGCTGTAGGATCGAGCTGAGCTCCAGTTTGCGCTACGAAGAAGTGCGCCCAGAGAGTTCCGTTCTGCTGCACCTCTTTCGGGACCTTGATGGTTGTGTCAATTTCCCGAGTGTCGCTGTAGTTGCCGAGAGTGAAGTTCTTCTCTTGCAGTACCAGTGCGCTCGCCGACGACTTAAAGGATGGAACCACTATCGAGGGTGACACATAGATACTGATATCGAGGGGACTGTCGGACGGCCAGATGGGGGAAATCAGATCCGGGATTGCGCTGGGGTTGGTGACTTCGCTGGGGTTGGGACGGTCCGCAAAGGCCGGCATGTTGCCCGAGCCTGAGTTGGAGTCTGCATTTTGCTTGTTGCCAAAGAATTGGCCCATAACAAACTGCATCAACAAAAAGATTCCGAGGCCCTGGAGGGCGCCCTTGAAGCCAGACTAGGTGATTGTCAGTCAACCGAGAGACATCCATCTCCAACTCAACACACGTACGCTGGCCTCTGGCTCCGCTCTGCGTTGCCTTTGTTCTGGCATGATGCGCTGATGAGAGATGAAAGAAGAAGAAAAAAAGAAAAGGGAAGAAGAGACCCGCGCGGGCAGGTGATTAGCACAGTGGACTAAGGCAACTTCCAAGGTCCGGGCCGGCCTTGGCATTCTAAGCGTTCCCCCTCCAACTCCGCAATGCGCCGCAGTCTTCCTGTCAATTCACTCCAGTGGTCGCTTCTAATCGCGCAATGGGCATCGCTTAAATGTCGGCGTTGACCCCATGGACAATCAGCCCTTCCCCGACGCCCGCGCGCAATTCCCGTCGCATAACGAGCCTCGGGTATGGCTAATCACGGCGGGGGATTCACCCATCGGCATCTCGGTCGCACGACAGGTCCTTGCGCACGGGGATTATGTGCTGCTCGGGCTAGCATACTCAGTTTTGGATCGCGACGAGCGTCGCCGCACTGGGTTTGATGCATTTCTCGCCGAGGTCGAGCAAAACCGCGAGGGATGGGAGCAGCGCATGAAGACGATCCCCTTGGACATTCGGTACGCGCATCCTTCTGCAGCTATTCTCGGGGCTGTTTAACCAGCATCATGGAATTCAATACGTGATGCCATTTATTTGCTAGAGGCTGATAGCTTCCTGCGATGCAGGATGATGGGAGAATGCCAAGCAATCGTCGCAGAGGCCGTCGCAACATTCGGAAGAATCGATATCCTCCTGTGCTGCACGAGTCAAGGTACAGTTATAGGAAACATACGTCTCTTGAGTTGGCGCAGTCATTGACCCTATACTAGCCCTCATCGGATCTGTCGAAGAGCTGGCGGCTTCGCAGCAAACCTTGAATCTCGTCCGCGATCAATTTGAAATCAATTATTTTGGTCCGCTCAACATCATCAAGGCTGCTCTACCCCATATGAGAAGGGAACGATCAGGGCATATCATGATCATCTCAGGAATCAGTATGTTTCCTAGTATCTAGCGATTGTGGAGTTACCATTGACAATATCCAGCGGCGCATATTGGCACACCAGGACTCGGCATGTACTGCGCAGCAGGCTGGGCTCTTGAAGGATTCTGCGATGTGAGTAGCTTTCCATGTCCGATTCAATCATTCGCATTGGCAGCGAGCTAATTCAATTCACTAGAGCCTGGCTTACGAAATCGCGCCGTTCAATGTCAAGCTCACCATCTTTCAATGCAGCATCGAGATCGGCATCCTAACCAATCTCGTCACCAGCGTGCCACCGATCTTCCCGGCCTATTCACCCGCTGGCAACAGCGCACCTCTCTTCCGCGGGATATTGAATCACCTTGTCCCGCGACTCCCTGATGCCTCCCCCAGCGGGACATCGCGTGACTCCATTGGATCTAGTCAATCCAACGACCAGCAGGATAACGCCCGTGTCAGTTCTGTTGAGTCGGGTCCGTTTTCCGTCCCAGAGATTGTCTCCATGCACCCGCCGTTGAGCTCCGCGCATCTCGAGGTCCTGGTTGCGGAGACCGTGTACGCCATTACATCGATCGGCGGGCATGAGAATCCACCGTCCCGCCACATCGTAGGACAAGAGGGTGTTGCGAGTGTCAAAGAAAAGCTCAAGACAGTTAGCGAGGAGCTGGAGGACTTCATCCAGGCTAGCTTCGCTGTAGATGTTGCGGCCGACTCGGACCCAACTCCTCCTGCAGCGGGAGGTGAATAACAGTTTGATCCAGCTGAATCATGTCATGATCAGATAGATCCGTTGGTCCATAGGTCACTCTACGTACCATGCACCGCTTTTATCAGCCCACTCGGAGTCAGCCTCACTAGTTGCTCACTGATTACAACGTATATACGTCGATTGAGCTCTGCGTCTTCACTCAGCCCATACCGGGGTAGGACCATGACAGAGGCCGCGCGAAGAGTGGCCGTAGGTCTTGTACTGTGTATTTGTCGACATTTTATGCTCAGGCCCAGGTGGTATTCTCATTCGTTAGATACATTACACCAGAAACTGTGCTGAAGGCAGAAAAAGAAAGAGAGAGAAAAGGAACAAGAGAAGAAGTTTCGTGTCCAGGTCAAGAGCAAAACAGCATCTATTTCTGCTTGAAGAACCAAGCTTGTCTCACATCCCAAAGGCTGCCCATATCCTGATTCTTCCTGTAGCAGCGAATTTCCTTCCAGGAATTGGGGTTGCGGCCATTCGGCATGCGGCCGTCGATCTGCAAAATCTTGTTGACGAGTGCTTGAGGGCTTGAGATGTTTGGAACTACAAGTTCACCTGGTGTGGCAGCGAGGAACGGTGAAGGTGTGGGAGCTGAGTCAGTCGGTGGTTCTGGAGGAGATGGAGGGGTATTTGTTTCAGTATGTTCGGTCTCTTCAGTGTTGGCCGGTGGTGGTGCCACGGCCTGAGCAGTGTTTTCAGCGCCGTCCGCATTTTCAGCAGTGTTATCGGCAGATGCTTCTGTTGGGACGGAGGATTCAACCGCGGGAGAACGATGGCTGTTGATTTCTACCGCGATTCTCACTGGGCTGGGCTGTGGGGTGACACTGTTCACTTCGTTTTTATCGTTCGTGTCCGGAGGGGCCTGTTTCGGCTTGTTTTTGTTCGAGGGAGGCAGGCCTCGTCGCCGTTTCGCCGGAGGCTGTGGTTCAGGCGGCGGAGTCGTGCGCTTGAATCCCTCGCCATTTGAAACCGAGTCCTCGTTCGGACTGACCATCAGGACCTGGTGGTTTGGCTGACCGGCAGGTTTTTGTTCCTCATCCGCATCTGTAGGGGCTGGGTCGGTCCCTACATCGGGGTCCTCTTTCGTCTCCTTTTGTTGCTCTGGGGCCTTGGAATCTTGACCCTGAGTTGGAAGACTGGAAAGAAAAACACGTTGACCCTCGGGAATCACGAAAGTCATATTCTTGCCGTGAATTTCGCTGATCTGTAAGAATTAGCATTCGAGGGACTATGAGTAAATCAGAGCATGCCGTACTCTGGCTTCCTTTTCGACCACTATCCTGTTGGGTGGTCTGCCGAACACATGGGTAAACTTCCAGACATCCCCGGGCAATATAACGCCTGCCTCGATGAGAGTCACCAACTTCACGCGCGAGCTTTCTCCAGCAAGCAAGCTATGGTCCATCTTCTGCTTTTGTCCCCAGAACTCCTCAAACTCCCGTTCTTTGAAGTTATCAAAGTCGCCTTCCTCCCGCTGTCTCCCCGCCTCCTCAGCCCGGCGCAACCATTCAGGGTCATAGCGGCCATTCTGGAGGTCGATTTGGAACTGCCGAATACTGTCACGCCAGTTGTTGGAGTATCGGAGGAAATGCTCAGGAAGGGGTGGTATCCCTGCATCAGGATTTTCTGGTGAGGGTTCTGGGTTTGGATGGGTATTGTCAGGGAGTAATGCAAGGATCTCTTGTTTCTCGTCTTCGTTAAGCAAGTTCCATGCCTCGGGTTTGGCCAGTAGTTTCTAAAATACTCCCAATCAGGATGATCAGCCTGAGCTTCCTCATGAAAGAAATACAAATAAACAGTCAAATACATACCGTCAGATCCAGATCAATGAGACGTGACTTAGCACTAGTCAAGAGCCGTTCCTCGCTCCACGGACCTCTGGCTGCGGCCTTTCTGGGAGTCTGTCTCTCTCGGGGAGTTCCTGGCCGGGATTTGGTGGGTGACATGGCAGGACCCAGTTGTTCTGCTGCATTAGCAGAACGTGAAATAACCCACCTATGTCATTATTATAGCGATCAGTGAAAGCACAGTCCAAAGTGGGAAGAAGGTAGCTCACCCCGAGCGGCGCGAAGTACTGCCGTTCGCCACCGCCTTGCGGCGGGCCATTCTGGCTGATTGACCAAACAAGCCAGTTCCCCTGGCACGTCACAGGTAAAGAAAGCTTCACAATGGTCAAGTCCACGCAGATTGCAAGGCTCGATGGTAAGAGTATCTCAGAGAGGTTTAGAGGGGACCGTGGCTGATGCGAAGCGACAAACAGGCCTTATGCTGGCTGCCTCGGTCGATGATGAGCAGGTAAGTTAACTGGCATCATGGAGGGGATGAAGGACTCACAGTTTCTACAGGCAGAGTCAGAGCTGTCTGAGATCAAGTCTCAGGCTAAGATGATTTTCCGGCGGTTGAATCGCAACTCTGCGCCCCAGGCGAGCATTGAATCAGGCCAACACAACCTCCAGTAAGCAGGCATAGACCCCCGATTGATTGAATGGAGTTGCTAACAACTCCATAGCTACCTGATCAAAGATGATATCTGCTTCCTTTGTATCTGCGACCAGTCCTACCCCCGCAAACTTGCCTTTACATATCTTGCGGATCTGGCCTCCGAATTTACGACCACCTACACCCCTTCGCAATACCTGGCTCCCGGTCTCCGTCCATATGCTTTCGTTGAGTTTGACACCTTCATTCAGCGCACCAAGAAATTGTACCAGGACAGCCGGGCATCTCAGAACCTCGATAAGCTGAACGATGAACTGCGCGATGTCACCAAGGTGATGACGAAGAACATCGAGGACCTCTTGTACCGTGGGGACAGCTTGGAGAAGATGGGTGAACTCTCTGGACGCTTGCGAGAAGACAGTAAGAAGTACAAGAAGGCAGCAGTGCGTATCAACTGGGAATTGCTGGTGAAGCAGGTAAGTGGAGGTTATGTTGCTAAGTGCCCACTCGACTTGATAGGCTGACCACGTCACAGTATGGACCCTTCGCCGGCGTTGGGTTTGTTATTCTTGTCCTGTTATTTTGGCGGTTCTTCTGAATTGCGACCCTCGATGCTTGTATGAATGTATGCATAGTTAATACCTCCTGGTGGGTGCGGGACACAATCCACTTAGACTCTCAATGCAGAAATGTATGCACAGCTGCATTTGAAGAAGACAGACTTCGTAGAATCCAGGAGATAAGACACTCAAGTTCAGCTAGATCTCATCCTCTTCTTCGTCAAAATCATCCTCCTCGCCCATGTCATATAGAATCCGCCCTCCTTCGCCTGGACCGTCTCCCTGCTGCGCATCAAAGTATGGCAGAACAACACCTTCTCTCTCGCGCCTCTGCCTCTCTGTGAGTCCCAATTCAAACGTCGATTGCGGGCTCTTCGTCGCCCGCATCACGATCCGGCTCCGTGGGAGGATTGTACAGCGGGTTATCGTCAAGGAGAGTCACAACCTCTTTCACTTGCTGGGGCGAATATCGCGATTCAGGCGGAAGCAGATACCATTCCAGGACGCCGCGCCCACTCTTCCGCCGGTGTTCCAGCTCAAGTACAATCCCCTCTGCTGTCCTGGTGCCAACCAATTTATCTGATCGGCCAAGAAGAACCCCATCCTGCTCTTCATCCAACCCAAAGACCGGGGCAGCCAGGCTGCGGTCACGGGCGGCCTTTTGAGCCAGGATATGGGCGAAGGAATGCAGAGTGATGATGCTTGTGGCGAGATATGTTAGGACAGAGAGTGGTGCTGGGGAGTAAGGATTTTGCGGAGGAGTTTCCGGTACATCTTGGTGGTATGTTACCACGAGCGATGCGCCAGCCTTCGGTGCTGATGGAGACGTCGGAGCTAGGAACGAGCTGAGAAATGAGGGGAGATGGAACCCCGGATCGGCTCTTTTGGAGTTCAATAGTGGGTTGATGGAATCAATTATAATGAGGTGCCCTGCAACAATCATTAATAAATAGGCTCATGACATCGAATATAGAGATCAGTTGGAACCTACTTCGTGACGGGTTGGTGGCTGCGGCAGGTTGGTAAGCCGCGCCCACCTCCTTGAAGATATCACCCGCGCTCTTCCGACGAGCCGATACAAAGGCATCTACCCCCTCGGGTTGCTTCAGGGTTTCAAAGGCAATAAGAGTGACGTGGGCTTTGGAGAGCTTTCGAGGTGAATTAGCATTTTCGAGCAATCTTCGCAATGCCATGAACGACTTTGTCTGATTCCTGTTCAACCAATTTCTTCGGATCGACTTACTTTCGCACGTCTAAGATATTCTTGAATCAGAGGTGTTGCCGGTTGCTCTAGCGAGTCCAAGAGGAGCGTGAGGGGCGACGCCGAGTCCCGCAGGCTCAGCAGTTTCGAGATCAAGAGCAGATTATGCGTCCGCCGGTGGGAAAGAGTAACGGGGGCCATGATGGAACTGGCCCTTTTTTTTATATCCTGATATCGGATCAAGTCGTGTTCAACGCAAGCTGAGGAAGCGCGCAGGAAGAGAACTGGCTGAGGTGGGGTTCCGCGCAAAAATTTCGCGGTGGAATTTAAGGTTGAGGCTCGACGGGCCGGGCCGCTGCATTTCTCTCGGTGGACGCTCGCTGCATGGAGAATTTCTTCAGTTGGGTCTTTGCGTGCTACTTTCTTTGATGTAAAACAGCCAGTGGTGTTAGATAGGAATATGCAACAGGAGTATTTCCGGCTGTTGATCGCCGTTTCCATCCCAAATCCGCTCATTGGTGTTTATCGTGCGCAACTCGGCGTCCTCGGTTGATGGGCAGCAATCTTCACCCTTTTAATGCTCAGACCATAGTAATAAATCAGATTTCCTAAAATTTACTATTAGATTATTAAATTTTAGCCTACGGAACAAAGACATCTACGATCTGCATACAGTAGGCTACCTCTGTCCATAAATGACTAGGTAGCATCCATCAGCTCTTTGTTGATGATAATTTTTACCTACTGTCCACTTCCTAAATAAGACTAACTTGATGTCAAGTTGCTTGGTTATTGTTACTTATCTAGTTGACCGCGTCTCTCTGAGATTGAGCACAACCTTCCATCGAACTGCCCTTTTGCAGAAAGTAAAATGGATAAAAGGGAAGGTGGTAATTTCGTATTATGGCTAATATCCATTGCCAGCTCAATAGTTTTAATTCTTTATCCAGCCCTAAGGAATAACGAGGTCTGCAAGCGCTGTATTTCTGTATGGTCCCATGGGCCTACAGTATATACGGGGCCGCACAAAAAAGAAAAGAAAAAGAAAGTCAGATGGTATCTTCTCAAAATTAAGCAGTAGCTTCAATCTGTCCAGCATATAATAGCAAAAAAAAATAATAAACTAAACTAAATAAATAAATTTGACATGCTAATACTAAGTTAACCCCATATATATATTGTCGTTGATAGTTTTTCCAAAAATTTAGACTTATTTATGCGGGTGACACTTAGAGACAACACCAAGGTACTAGGATTAAAAAGACTCGAATTGCTTCCAATTAAACCAATTTCAATTTGGTCGGTTTCTAGCAGCAAACGCCCTTCGGGGAGCGCGCCATGTCAGAGACTGCGCAACAGGTCCATCCCGACTCCCGGAATAAACTTCTCTTCGTCCCCCGAGCGGCGCTGGCAGAACCGTCAATTGCGACAACTTGATTATCCAGACGCTGCTCCTTTTCTGCATGAATATTTGAACTCGTTTAATCTTTCAACCTTCGAATTTCTGAACAAGCCCATTCGCTCTTGTCCAACCACCTACACCACACGACTAGACCGCACAGGGCAACGCCTGCGCCTCGAGTAGCCAACGATGGCGGAGCCTCCTGCAAAGCGTGCCCGACGGGTTGATAGCTCGACAATGTGGGACATGAATGATACACGAACTCGTTCCCCAGACCCAGAATCGGACCGCGTCCATCGCCATTCCCCGCCCCCTCGAGATGACCGACGCGATGGCACTCGGGAAGATCGCCGGTATCGCTCCCGCTCACGAGACCGAAAAGACAGAAAGCGAGAAAGGAGCTGGTCTCGAGATCGCAGAGACCGAGACCGAGATGGGCGCGGGGCTAGGGATCGGAAGAGGAGTGTGAGTCGCGAACGTGCCTATGAGAGGAGAGGTAAGCAAAGTCTTAATTTAGTGACAATATCGTCTTGCTAACAGGATGTGCCATAGGCTACGCACCCAAGGGCGATAGATTCCGCGAACGCTCGCGGTCTCCGGTTCGAAATGGCGCCAAGTCTCGCTCAAGGTCACCACCTCCTCGGGGATACAAAAGCGACCGTCGTGGCGACCGCAGAGATCCACGGTCGAGGGAGGATGGACGACATGCGAATGGCGTAGCTTCAGGCCCCGGTCGCTACAAGGAGGAAATGGATGTGGACTTCAATGAAGATGCGGACGAAGACGAGATGGAGGCTCTCATGCGAAAGAGCATGGGTTTCACACGGTTCCGGAGCACCAAAAACACCAAGATTCCTGGAAACGATATCTATGGAGTGCGGAAGGAGAAGAAGATCGAATACCGACAGTACATGAACCGCATAGGCGGATTCAACCGGCCGCTCAGTCCCTCGCGATGATTGCTTCTCTCCCACCATATGTTCTTGTGTATCTTACTCCAAGGAGCTCTGTTCGATTGTCATTCTTATTTCCAGCACCATTTGCATTCGCGGAGCATGGTTTCCTTGGCTTTGACGCTCTGAATACTGATCTTTCCAGTGGGCGATCTTGGCATATTAATTCGAAATGTCCATTACTACAACATGTATTGATCCTCAGATATTACAAAATCCAAGTAGTTGTAAAATCCTGGTTTGGGACTGGATGAACGGCGCGGCACATGACTGGGCATATCCCAACCGCAGTGACGTAGGTCTCTGGGGAGGTCACCAACATTCACTTGATTTCCTGCAACTTCCCCCAAGGTGGTGTCGCTACGAGCTCTATCTTCCAGAATTGCACCAAAAGCCAAGATGTCGGCCACAGGAGACCGTCGCGAGATTGTCGTTATCGGTGAGATAGATCTGCTTGCGCTTTCTGGTACCCCGCGCTCTTATCCTTGGAACACACTGACCAAGACATTCCCACATAGGCGGTGGTATCATTGGATGCTGCTCTGCATACTATCTTACTCGACATCCATCTTATGACCCTGCCTGCCACAAAATTACCCTTCTTGAGGCTTCTCAGATTGCAGGCGGCGCATCAGGAAAAGCCGGTGGACTTCTTGCGCAATGGGCATACCCGAGCAACATCGTGGATCTTAGTTACGACCTACACACGAAACTCGCCAAAGAACACGATGGCAAAAACCGGTGGGGGTACCGGGAAGTGAATTGTGGACAGTTGGTGGTGAGAGGCCGCGCGCTCACCGAGAAGAAAACGGAGAGTGGGAGCTCGGAGTCCCTGCAAAAACGTAGCACGGCTGCCATGTCCAAGCTCAAGTCTGCGCGGATTCCCCAGGACCTGGACTGGATTGAACCAGAGCTTCTGCGGGCCTACGAGTCCATGAGCGGGCCAGGCGAAACCGCTCAAGTCCACCCCTACCTCTTTACCACGTCGATGGCCAAACTGGCAGAGGAGAAGGGCGTGGATATCATTTTGGGACAGGTCAAGGATATCGCCCGCTCGGACGATTCCGTGGAATCGGTCACATACACTGACAATGCGTCGGGAGAATCGCGCACGATCCCCGCCACCGATGTAGTCGTTGCAGCCGGTCCTTGGACTAAGTCTGTCCTTCCAGAGGCTCCAATTTCCGCGACACGTGCTCACAGCGTTGTGATCCGCCCCACGAAACCGATCAGCGCATACTGTTTGTTTACCAACATCGAAATCCCCGCCAACTTCAACCCCTTGAAGAAGTCGCGGCCCACAGTGGCGGCGCCGGAGATCTACGCGCGCCCCGACGAGACTGTGTATGCCTGTGGTGACGGTGACCGCGACGTTCCGCTGCCGAGCACATCTGCAGAGGTCGAGGTGGACCCAGAGCGCTGCCAGGAAATCATTGATCAGGTGGGCAGCGTCTCGGATGGATTGCGGGATGGCGAGGTTCGCACGCGCCAGGCTTGCTACCTGCCCAACTGTGTTGGCACGGGAGGGCCGTTAGTTGGTCTGACTCAGGTTCGAGGGCTCTACCTTGCTGCCGGCCACACCTGCTGGGGAATCCAAAACGGCCCGGGGACAGGCAAGCTCATGAGCGAGTTTGTATTTGATGGCAAGGCCAAGAGTGCGAATATCGGATCATTGGATCCCCGCGAGTTTCTCTGATCCAATTAACCCAAGAAGATATTGTGTATACATGAATTGGAAAACAGTGAAAATATTGAACATAGGTAGACAATGGCAGACGTCTTTCCTGCACTGTAGGGAGCTCGGGCCACGTAATTGCGGAGAGAACAGCAGCTCCGCCCGTCGACGCCTGAACAACCTCCCAAGCCTCAATTGAGTGATGCGAGTGGCATAAATATGCATCATCTCGGCGTTTCTTTTCTATTGACGACGCTCCTCTATGCAATTGGCACCATTGCCAGCCAAGATCCCGGCGATGTGTCTGTTTTGATTAAAGAGGCCGCGCGCGCCAACAATCAGTCGCTGCTATGGGGTCCCTACAAACCCAACCTCTACTTCGGGGTGCGCCCTCGGATCGCCAAAAGTCTTTCGGCTGGATTGATGTGGGCGAAGGTGGACTACTTCGCTAATGCGCAAGATAGTATGCTCCCTAGTGTTGTCCTGACTGCTGTCACCCGTGGCTAACTCGAACTGTTTCTCAACACAGACTTTAGACATACTTGCGAGCAAAATGAAGGCATGGCTGGATATGGCTGGGATGAGTATGATATCCGCAAGGGTGGACGGCAGACCATCCACGACGCCGGCAATACCCTGGACCTGACCATTGACTTCATCAAGGTCCCTGGTGGCCAGCATGGCGGTAGCTGGGGCTTCCGAGTGAAGGGCGTGCCCCGGGATGATGGAAAGGCAGATCAACCAGTCACGATGATCTTCTACACTGCTTTGGAAGGGCTGGGCAACCTGGGTGTTAAGACCGACAGCGATAAAGTTTCGGGCTTTAAAGGTGACGTGAAGCTCCAGGGTTACTCTTCCGAGCTGGGTGATTTCTCTATCGATGTCACTGCTGGCCCCGAAAGTAACCAGCACCCCGAGTCTTACCACCCCGCCTACTTTGAGAAGCAATTGGACCGCACTTTTGTGCAAAGCCTGACCTTGCCGCAAGAACATCTGTGGCAGGCCAAGGGTACGTCCTCGTTAACTGTGCATGCGTATTTTTGACCACGAGTACTGACGGTTCATAGGGATCTTATTTAGCCAGATGAAGAGTGAGGTCGAGAGATATATCAAAGAATATGGGCAAGAGAACCCGCCGCCCCCGGCGCAGTTGTTCACCATCAAGGATGAACCTGGCGAGGGCAATGTTCACCTCGTCCAGAAGACCTTCCAAGGCCCATTCGAGGTACGAGCACTTCAAAATTTGTGTCCCAAAGTGAATACTGGCTGATCGTTTTTAGTTCGATGTTCTGTTCTCCTCTGGATCTGCCTCGGAGCCATTGACGTGTAAGCTGGCTTTCCCTCCAGGTTGACCAACGATCATAGAGAGCTAACAAAGTATTCAGCGGAGATTCTCACCAAGGAAGTTGAATCGAACTCGCTGTTGTTCTCTGAGACGTTCGATCGAGTTCTCCCCCCGCAGGCGCCGTTCAACTCGGAGAAGTATTCCAAGTTTTCCAAAGCGATGCTTTCTAACCTAATTGGTGGTATTGGGTTCTTCCACGGAGACGATGTCGTGGATCGCTCGGCCTCTCCAGCGTATGAAGAAGAGAGTGAAGGGTTCTGGGAAGAGACCGCCGAGGCCAGGGCGGCTGTCGAGCCTGTCCTTGGGGATGCCAAAGATCTTTTCACTTGCGTTCCTTCCCGGCCATTCTTCCCCCGAGGCTTCCTTTGGGATGAGGGTTTCCACCTGATGCCTGTGATCGAATATGACACTGACCTTGCGTACGTCCTCTTGCGAAGCTCTCTGACAGACGAATGCTGATGTGCTCTCAGACTGGAAATCATCAAGAGCTGGTTCCATTTGATGGATGAGGATGGCTGGATTGCCCGCGAGCAGATCTTGGGTGTCGAAGCTCGCAGCAAAGTGCCGCCTGAGTTTACCATTCAGTATCCCCACTATGCCAACCCGCCTACCCTGTTCATGGCACTTGAGAAGTTTATGGACAAGGTGAAGAGCAACAAGAGCGTCCCGTCCAAATCGCTAGACAATGACGATATGATCGAGAGCCTGCGTTCTGCCACTGTCCGACACCCAGAACTGTCCGAAGCTTACCTCCGGTCGTTCTACCCTCTGCTAAAGAGGCACTACTTCTGGTACAGAAACACCCAACGCGGAGACATCAAGTCGTATGACCGAGAGGCATTCTCGACCAAGGAGGCCTACCGCTGGCGCGGCCGCTCGGTGCAGCATATCCTCACTTCTGGCATCGACGACTACCCCCGAGCCCAGCCACCTCACCCGGGTGAGCTGCACGTGGATCTGATTAGCTGGATGGGCATGATGACCCGCACGCTTCGTCGCATTGCCGAGACTCTGGGTGAGAAAGATGACGTCGAGGAGTTTGCTTACTATGAAAACGCCATCACGCGCAACATTGACGACTTGCACTGGGATGACAAGGAGCAAACTTACTGCGACGCGACCATCGACGCCTTTGAAGAAGACGTCCATGTGTGCCACAAGGGTTATATCTCTATCTTCCCTTTCATCACTGGCATGCTGCCCCCCGACAGCCCTCGAATTAAACCCATTTTGGACTTGATCGGCGACCCCGAAGAGCTGTGGAGTGACTACGGCATCCGAAGCTTGAGCAAAAAAGACAAGTTCTATGGCACCGATGAGAACTACTGGAGAAGCCCTATTTGGATGAACATCAACTACCTGGTGTTGAAGAGCCTTTATGTAAGTGATGCCATTGCCCTCGAACTATTTGAAATCTCTCTTGTTTCTGACATTATCTTCTCAGGACACTGCGACGGTTTCTGGTTCTCACCAGGAGCAGGCCCGGGAGATGTACTCTCAGCTGCGGAAGAACTTGGTCGAGAATGTCTTCCGGGAGTGGAAGAAGACCGGGTTCGCGTGGGAGCAATACAACCCCGAGACCGGCAATGGCCAGCGGACGCAGCACTTTACCGGCTGGACCAGTATGGTGGTGAACATGATGTCCATGCCGGATCTGCCTGCTGCGAAGACAGCGCACGACGAGCTGTAGGCGAGTGCGTCGCAATAAGTAGGATTACCGTGGCATAGAATTAGATAGGAAAATGACTCCTAGCATGCGGATGCAATCATTGATTGGTCCTGTTCATTAAACCATCCCCTTTCTCTTGGTGTTCAATCGATAGATCCTGGTGTAGATATTAATGTCGACGGTCGTGATCGCCTCGGCCCCTTTCACGTTCGGGATGGTGTCGCCGCTCACCCGGAGAGTAGCTGCTGCGATCGACTCGTCGGCGTCTCTGGTGTTCATCGTCTTTTCTGCGGTATCGGTCTCGGGAGCGGGAGCGGGAGGGGGATCGGCGGCGGCGGTCTCTACCGCTCGAGCGTGACCTGTGCCGACGACTGCGATGGTGACGATCGCGGCCCTCATGTCTACGGTGTCGGCGCTCTCGATCATGACCCCTGTCTTCACTGCGGTCCCTCCTGTCGCGCCTCGGGCTGCGACTGCGACCATGTCTGTGGCTGTGCCTTGGGCGCGGATGTGCCTCTAGCTCCTTAGCATCGGATGGCTCCTCATCCGCCGCTCCCCTCCCCTTAATTCCCAGAGGAACCATATTGGCATTTGAGTCGGATTTTGGGGGTAGTGGCAGACCCAGAGCGACAGCCATGGCCTCTTCCTCGGCATCTTTGACGCGCTGGAGCTCCTCGCGCTCTTTTCGAGCTTGTTCTTCTTCATCGTCATCATCGCCCTTGGCATACCACTGCAGATCACGACCCTGCTGCCACCGCCCAACTGGGGCCATCAGCGAATGGCCCAGGTAATTCTCGCGATGGGCCGAGTCCTTGACATCGGACCATTTGAATTCATTGCGGCCTCCGCTAGAAGATCCAAGTCAATATGAATCCTGGGGGTTCTCAAGCAAAGCATATTAACAAAAAAACTTACCGGCTGCCTTCTTTTCGCACACCAGCAACCAGATCCATGGTGAAATGCAGAAGCAACTTGCAATCTGACGCTATTGGGGTCTCCTCAATATCGGGAAGGCGGTGAGGCCGAGCGGTGAGTGCAGTGTTTCATCATTTGTCCGCTTTACGTCCCCGCGGTGTCTTCACGACGATGGTGCCTGTCGTTTGATTATGTTCTGTCCATTTCTTGACTGCTGCTTTAATCCACTTCTGTCTTTCTACTCCCTGGAAATGACAACACCAGCATCATCTTTCTCATCGTCCCACTGCCCAGATTCGAGGAGTTCTTCCCATCTGCGCTTTATCATTGCACACGACCTACCGTAGCTGGAGCAAATGGAGGAGCCCTGGGGTAGCGATGACTTGCCCAGGCCACGGCTTGACCAGCCAGGAAGGCCTCGGATTGAGCCACTTGGTATCGAAGAAGGCATGAAACGAGTATGTTCCCTTCGCTTCTACAAACATCACGCGTGAGCTACAAACTGACCGGAATAGTTTCATCCGTAGGTGTCAAGAGATTCATTAGAGCTGCAGTGAATGAAACTGATTGATGTTGAAGACGTAGAGACATTGCCCGTCCTCCGGTGGCCGCGTGGAGATGCAATTTGGTGAGCCATCCTAGAGACTTTTGGAGCTGTTCCTTGGCTAACCTTGCCGAAAGACTGCTCTGTCCCAGCGCCGAAACCTGTTATTTGTGGCTCATGGATATGATATCTATGTCTGGAAACCAAAGGGACCGTTTCAGTTGCTGGGCTCTCAGCCTGAGATGATCATCCATCCGACGATGAGGGATCCCGATAGACGTGGCTACATTGATCCTTTGAGACCTCACGGTATCAACAATATCCACGTCGGAGATTTAGGCCGGGATGAGGTCTTGGTGCTAGCCACTGACTCGGGCAATGTCTGCGCATACCACGTCGAGGCCATCTTCTCAGCGGTGACCCAATCCGCAGAGAATGGACAAAAACGGCCATTTGATGGAGCTGAAGTAACACCCTTTCTTGCTGAGAATGTTGGGAGGAGTGCTTGGGGACTTGCCACCCATAAATTTGCCCGCCTGATCGCCGTCGGCTCCAACGCGGGGGAGATCACCGTTTTTGCCTTTGCCCTAGTGGATCCTCAATCCGAGGACACCAACGACGATGACTTCTTCAAAAAACTGAAGTCTGATGATTCAGGGCAGGGCTGGGTGTTGATAGAGTCTCGGACCACAATGCGGGAGCTAAAGAAGCTCATGCCCTACCGCCACCGGTCTCGCAACCTGCGTCTTGTCTACCATGGCCATTTTACAAACATTCCCAGTGTATCCTTCGCTGACTTTGATCTGGATGCCAACGGTCTGTGGATGGTTAGCACCGACATCGAAAACAAAGTGTTCATGTGGAGAGTCTGGGATGACCTATGGCCGGTTCACCAGTTTTATCCCGCTCATCCAGAAGTCGAAGGCCCAGAGACAAGCTGGTTCGTCCTTCCTCTGGACCCACGCACTTTCCAACGACATCAAGAGGTAATAGATGCTTGCGCCTGTCTGCCAACTCCCTGGACCTACGAAACAGTTTCCCCCCATTTGATATGGGATATCTCAATGGGTATCGGGAGCGTCCCGGATACGTCTCAAACCCTTAATCTGACTTCCCGCCCTCGACCCACACCCGGAGTTGCGCCCGTTGATCTTCTTCCCGATGATCTCCTATCATCCGACTGCTTCATTGACTCTGGAGTCAGACCAGGCTCTGCCTCTAGTTCACAGAATGAACACTCGCCTTCGCGACCTCTTGATCAGGTGTCGGTAAATGAAGACATCGAGCATAGTCGCGTTGAGGTCGACCTACCTAGCTCTGAGATCAGGGCTGAGCCAGAGAATGATGAATCCAGCTCTATTCGAGTGGAATTTGTGAATCAGCCTATCTCCAGCCTGTTTGAAGAAGACAATGAGCACTTGACAGTGCCCTCATGGATGAGTCCAAGTCTGTTTTCGGAGGCGGTTCATAATGAGACCGAATTCGAGGAACCAGTACCTACTTTGGAGTACATAAGTTTGCCTCAGCATGGTAAGAACACCCAACCCCCCCCTTCGAGTCACCTAGAAATTGGAGAGAGACCATTGGTGTGAGTACTAAATTGAACCTTTTCAGCGCTCCGGCCCAGTTGCTTTCCTATCATGCACTTCTCTCAACATCACATCACTCTCACGCCTTACCCAATTGACTGCAATTACCACATCCTTCACAAGTTTACTCTCAGCCAATTCCCCGCCTTCTCTTTCCCCGTCAACTCTGAATGTGACCGTATCAACATGGTCAAGTACATTCCCGAGCTCGGACTTGTCATTGCCGCCTCCCAGCGAGGTCGCGTTGGCATAATAACCCTCACTTGGCAGGAGAGGATTGGGTATGCGTTCCGGGTGGACTGGCTCGTGCCATTCAAAACTCAGGAATCCAAAGGGCAGCGTCCTATGGTCCCTCTCATTGGTATGGCAGCCAGCCCTATGCCTGGCTTTGAGATCCCGCCCGACGTCCCCTCCATCCCTTACGGGGTCGACCCGAATGACTGGCTGAAATTCAAATACTGCATCCTGAACCCGGATGAGCACGAGCACGAAGACTCAAACTCCTCGTCCCCGTCCCCGCCCCCGTCTACGCCCCCTCCACACTTATCTTCTGCCAACCCTACCGCTTCTTCCGCTCCCGCCGCCTCTTCTGAAGGTGAGGAGAAGAAGAGCGAGCATCCTTCTGAAAATGGTCCCAAATTCACCATCCCTGAAACACATGCCGAGGCATCGCGTATCTACCGGCCTCATGAGCCCTGGCATGGCTGGCACCCGTCCCGCCACTATCGGCTCTTACTTCACTACTGCGACTGTACTGTGATGAGTTACGAGTTCTGGCACGAGTGGAGGAGTTGATCGGAGCATGTCTGGTTTTACATGTGAGGCTGCTATGTTTCCACGACCCATCTCGATTCAAACGATTGTACGATTTCTCAGAGGCTGTAACTACGAATACATGTGATGAGTTTTGTTCGAACAGTGCATACTATTGTAGCAGCCCTGTACAGGTCCATGTAGTATGTCCTCGATCCATACTTAATTTGTCTCCACGCGTGAGGTAGTAGTTCTCCTGATGGCTATAGCGACAATCAAAGGTTCATGATTACATCATTTTCGTATCTCCTCTAGGGCTATCTATAAGATTCCCTCTCAAGCAAAAGAATAGCTCCGTCTCTCTCATACTTCTCTATATCTCCTTAGATTCAACGCCAAGAACCAAACACGAAAATGGATCCCATGGACACAGAGATCTCGGAGCCGGAAGAGAGTTGGAAGAGTGACCCGAAAGATGGCCCCGAACCCATCTGTTTACTCTGTGCGGTTGCAGTCCCCACCGTTGAACAACTCGTAGAAATCGGCAAAGGGGACCCTGAAACAGCAGTCTACGACGAGGATCAGTGGCAACACTATCGAGATACCCAGCAGGACTACGTGATGGTTCCATCTCAGGAGGTAGAAACAGCCTATTTCTATCAGCGACCCCGACTATGGTCAGCGTTTTGTCGAGCAAGTAAGTCCACAACATATATACACTTCCGAGGGATGTTTTTAACCACCAGGCTTGCAGTTAACCCAAAGAGCAGTTGTCGTCAAACCCAACTCAGCCCATCATCTCACCGGCATTACCACCTTCGCCAAACAACCCATCGCACACTATATTCCACGCGATCCCCACCTAGCCCATCTGAGCGGTCGATTGCATCCCAAAAGCCAACGGGACACGTTTTTTGGTCCTCACCGATATTGAGTACGGAGAAGCGGATCCGAACTGGGAAGCAGTTCGACGCATTGCATACCAGGTCCACGCCCACTGCTGGGCACTGTTCGACCGGGTTGTCGACGGAGGCATCTCACGAATCGAGTCCAATTATCTCGCCGAATTGGTCCAGGCAGCACGACGGCTCTGGGATGACGATATCTGCTTGTGGAATATCTCCGACTGGTGGGTCTTACTTGGTACATGCCCGAACTCGCTATCTTTTAGGGTGTACCCGCAAGATCTTTACCTGAACCCGCTTGTGCTGCCAGATACTCGGGAGGCCATCGACCGGAGTCAGAAATTGGCAATCATCCAGCAAGCAAAAAGAGAACATCTGGATTGGCAAACCCTTGGTATTGACTTGATAAGCATAATTGTCAATGAGTATTGGTATATTTCTAGTGGTCTCGCAAACCGCGAGAGGATTCTTGGGTTGATGAGAAAAATTAATTCAAATCTACTTGAATAACTATAATAACGAGACAATCTCTTTAGCGGCACCTCATAGAATTAGGGGTTCTCTACGGTTATATCAAGAGTAGTAAAAAGACAAACCAAAAAAGGCCATTCTAAAACATTAGAAAACGTACGATAAGCTCTTGCAGTTACAATAATTTCTATCTGTATCCAACTTGAATGTCTGCCAGTGTGTAACAATGGAGTTGTCATAAACATATCGAGTCAATTTCTACCCAGTCCTCTTCACCAAAGAAACAGGTAGATATACAATGAAATTTCAAAGTATGAGAAAAGCCCGCTTGTGCCATGCAAATAAGCCGCTGTTCAAAACCTCATACCCAGCGAGAACCGAAAGACCAATAAAAGAATCTCAAAAAATCCCAAAGTGGCAAGAAATCAGAGATAATCATAAAGCAAAGAAAATCGTTGATCATCAGCCTCCACCCAAAAGCTTTTTTATATGTTGCATCCCAGAAGGAATCGTCCTCTAATTGGGGTTTTCGTCAAAAGTCGTCCAATTCATCACTGTCCCATTCATCTTCACGGTCGTTTCGCACAAGAGCCAAAAATCGCTGCAGCCCAATTCGCCGGTCTCGCTCGCGGTCTACTTGAGCGCCTCGAGGGGCATCGGCTCCCTGCGCAGGACGTCCGGCATCCAGGCGGTTGCGCACCTCGGCTATGGCGCGCGCTTGAGCCTGACGCTCGGCGGCCGCACGAGCGGCGGCATCAAGTACAATTGGGTTCTGGCGCTGATCAAGTAGGCCGGCCCCGCGTGGGGGACCAGGGGCCTGTGGTGGGATGGGAGCCGGAGGGGGTGGGTGTCGTCGCTCGTGATCGTCGTCACTTTCGTCAAAGTCCCAGACAGGGCGGTCATCGCCATCCTCACTTCCGCTGTCGGCGTCTGGGGGGTCATCGTCAAAGACTAAAAGGGCCTCGGGGATGCGGTGAAGCTCTTCGGCGCCATCCGGATTGAGTCCGTCGCCACCCTCCATATCCCATAGACGGTTGTAACACTTGCTGCTCCGCTCATTGAAGTGGCGGTACGGGTTTTCCGTCGACAGCCAACTCGAGCACAGATAGCAGAAGTGGGTATCGCACTGGAAGCACCGCATATGGTTGCAGCCCATTCGTTTCTGGCAGGGCACATTGCATGTTGGGCATGGAGACGTGTACATCCGCAAGTACTCCTCGGTTGCTTTCTCTTCCTCGGTCTGTTCAGCCTGGCGGCGTGGGAAACAGCGCACCAATTCGCCGTGCCAACCCTTCTTACACACGCAGCAAAAGGCATAGTCACAGTCCTCGCAGATGGCCACCCGCTCCGCAACCGGGGGCAGCTGGGCTTCGTCTCCAAGAGGATCAAAAACAAACCCGTCTTCTTCATCGGAGGCGTCCAGGTCGTCCGCCATCGGATCCGCTGGCTTGGGATGGCGTTTAGATCTCGCAGCTCCCTGGCACCATTGTCGCGGGCAATAAACCGTAGTTTTGTCCGCCTCGATCTTCTTCTTGCGCTTGAGAAATATGTATCGTTGCACGGTCTCTGCAGCCAGTGGGATCTGGAGAAGCTCACTGGGTCCCAAGGTCCGATCACGCTTCTTACGCTTCGGTACCGGGCTTTCGCTGGTCAGCACAGCCGTGGGGCCTTGGTTGGTCGTGCAATCCGGCGCCATGCACTTCACGCTGTCGACATCTCCTTCAGTGATGCAACTATTGTAGAAATCTTGCAGGCAAGGAATGCAAAAGACGTGCGAGCATCGGAGGAGTCGATAGCAGTTGACGCCTTTCTTCGGTTCCAGGCACACTCCACATTCAAAGGTCTCTTGTTCAAACTTCTCCCGTTCGGCCTTGTTGTTGAAGTCCAACATTGCGACTTTCAAGTCCCGCGACAGACACACTTCCCCGTCCGGTCCGTCTTGAATCCCAAAGGCTGTTTCAGCGAGCTGCTGAAGATGATCGATGTAGGTATACACCACCAAGTCCTTTCCACATTCCTCCCATAGTCGCTGGCAGTCATCTGATAGTTTCGTCAGAACCGAGGATTGAAGCCACGGCGGGCAGGTGCCGAGGTGAACGATTGGAGGGTTCTCAGAGGGGTATCCGTCGGGCAACTCGATATTGAGACTGAGCGGAGGCAAGTGAGAGATGATGTGGGTATCTCTGATAGCGGGATGAGCCAGATCCGCCTTCGATCCATCCACAGAGGTCGGGGGTGTCAGCGCGGGAGAGAATCCGGTGTCGAGCTGCTGAAAGCAAATGTGGGCTGGCGATGACGGGGCGACTGGCAGATCTAGTGAGGCCTTGAATGGAGAGGAGGGATCGATCTGAATTTCCGGATAGATGGCAACGATGGATGACAACTCAACAGAGCGGTCATCCGACTCGAGTTCCGTCATCGCGGTCGATGAGGGTGGACTTGGAGGGAAAAACGACGATTACCCAAATGTTTGGGAAGACTCAGGGATTATATAAACCTCAAGTGGCAACCTTGAAGGTTTTCACGGTTAGGAACCATCCAGCACCATACAACCATGCGCAGCCTGGAAGGGTAGCGTACTTGGTTATATAACAGAAAAATGATCTACCACTAAAGTAGGCCGAAATGGCGATCGGGCAGAAATAGGAGTTCTGCAATGACAGCACTTTGGCCACCTAATACCCTGGTGTCGAAACCAACCGGGATCACGGTGCTGGCACGACTATTCGTGCTCGATGCAGGCGAGTCCACTGTTCGGCAGCGAGGAGAGAGGGGTCTATCAAATGATGTAACAAGGAATCGGGGGTATAGGGAGACAGGGACTGCGTCATGGTTTGAGCGAAACAAGAAGGTAAGAGATGGACACTGATGAAAGTGAAGCACAGAAAAGAAAAGAAAAAGAAGAAAAAGAAGAAAAAGAAGAGAAGAAGAAAAAAATAGAAAAAAAGGAAGTGGGATGTGTTTGTGCCTGAAGGAACAGTCCCTTCTGGCTGCTTTTCCGCCCGTATCTTATCGCCCCCTGCGTTAAAGCGGCTCCTCTGCACGGACATAATAGTCTTGTTTCTCTTGCCTTGTGCCTTGACTCTTCCAATCTCCAGGTCCACCATGGGTGACACTCCATTGGCGTCGTTGTCGCTTACGCACGTCCATTATGTGAGTCTTCTTACCTTGACTGTCGGAGCACAGCTTATAATTAATATTGTTCAGAACCCGGAAGACCCTTGGTCCTTTCTCTCGGCATGGCTTGCCCTCGTTCCGCAGGCCCTCTGTGTCTCGTACGCAACCCTAATTTGGGCCTCGAGGGAGGTCGAGGTGATCTTGATGTTTGTGGGTCAGATGGGCTGCGAGGCATTGAACTTTGTCCTGAAACGGGTTATCAAGGAAGAGCGACCGAAGGGTGAGTGTCACGAGATCTCTGTGTTTAGAAAGCATGGACAGTGTTGCTGATCAGTCCTGGTTCTTACTAGAAATGTTCGGTAAGGGCTACGGCATGCCATCATCCCATGCACAGTTCATCACCTTCTTCGCCGTCTACCTGACCTTGTTTATCCTCTTTCGACATACTCCGGCCTATGCAAGCCCCTATCCATACTGTGGTGTTTTGCTACGAGGTGCAGTGACTCTGGTACTGTGTGCTGGTGCTATCGCAGTGGCCAGTAGCCGGGTTTATCTGAACTACCACACACCGAGGCAAGTTCTTGCTGGCTGTGCTGCAGGCTTTGTGTGCGCCTGTGGCTGGTTTGTGGTGACGGGACTGCTCCGACGTTGGGGATGGGTTGACTGGGCAGTGGAATTGACAGTCTCCCGGCTTGTGCGGGCTCGTGATCTGGTGGTAACTGAGGACTTGGCCGAGGCCGGCTGGCAACGATGGGAATCTCGGAGATTGAAGTGGCGAGGCCATAGTGAAGCACCCAAGTCAGACTGAAGGTGGTTGGAGGCCAGGGGGAATTGTAAAGAACAGAGTGGATCTGCACATTTGGATTTGTACATAGCTCCATCCGCCCATCAATGATTCACAAGGGAACTCGTGTCGGACAATGCCGTTGTCAACGCGTAGTCACGTGCACCATCCCGTATCGAAATCACGGATCACCGCAACTCCCACCGTCCGTACTTACGCGGTTGAGCACGATGGTTCGGGCTGCGTGATGATCAGATTGCATGAATATTGTCTAGTCTGAAAATATTCAGCTTTGATCTCCACTCATTTCCCCTGATGTCTCTCATTTTGCAGTCGTGATACCCTTTTGCTGGAGATCAACAGTCTTGCTTTGTGTCCGAAACACCGATATCTTGTCAAGCCAAAGTGATGGAGGTGCCTCCAGAGGATGCTGATGCAAGTCTGCAAGAGCAGCACATTGTTAAGGCCGATGAGGTTGACCAGACTGGGACCGATATATCACCCGTCCCAGATGATCAACTGATGGAAGTGGTAGTTGAGGGTCTGCGACAAGAACAAGCCTCTCCAGCTGTGCCTGAGACCGAGTCAGCATCACAGCCTGCTAAGGCGGCCCGGCGACCTGAGTTGCGTCGAGATGGCTCGGCACCTCCCCCACCACTCCAACCGCCACCTCCAGCCCCAGTTCAACAAAATATAGGCCAAGCGACAGACTCACTTAGTCTGGCCCAGCTGCGGCGACTGGTGCACGAAATGCCCAAAGTTGAGCAACCAGCTTATGCATTTGAATATGCCGATGCCCAGCCTTTTCCCGATGAGATCGAGGAATGGTTCCAGTACAATGACTTCGACCGTGTAATGCTGATGGGCATGAAAACAACATTTAACCACGTGTGGCATACTTTCTACCAGCAACACACGTCTGACCCTCACCAGCTGTCGTGGCAAGATGCCCCCGAGGATTTACAGCGGTTCTTTGTGGTCCAGATGCTGAAGCGATCCGAGCAATTGGATGTGTCGACCCGCCTGGAGGGTTTGGAGAGCATTTGCTACCTCATGACTGGTGTGTGGGGTGTGACAGCGGGACGGGCTGCGCCAGATTACCCTCACGACGTGGATTCCAAGATGGCGGCAGAAACGCCCCAATCGAAGTCGCTGCAGATTGAGTGGATCGAGAAAAATGTCTCGCTAGTGCAGCAGTGCTCGGGAATTGAGGTTCTTATCGAGTGCCTTTGCCGCCTGTTTGACAAGAATCGCTCCTCCCTGGGACCGGATACAGATGGGATGGAATTCGAACGTCTCAACCCACGCGATATTGCAGCACCAGAGCGGGAGGCAAACCTTGTCCTCACCTCGTTGTATCTTGCGGTGGAAGTCGGTCGAAAACAGGAGGCCCGTGATCCCCAGTGTACCCTGATTCGCGACGCCTTGACTGCATCAAAGCCGAGTTTGCTGGTCACCATCGTCGAGATCATTGCTCGGCTACGATGGGACGAGTCGGCCAATATCCCCTTGACTAGGATTATCATTTTGCTCTGGAAATCGGTTCTTCTTGTATTTGGCGGTTCCGAGAACCTCAAGAGGGCGAAAGAAGTCTTGGAACCGTCTCCCAAGTCCGAGAAGGAATCTCCCAACCGCAGAACACCCTTTTTGACTGCATCTCCATTGGACTACCAGCTTTTCCGGCAAGAAATCACGTCAAAATACCCTGCCTACAACCCTCCGCCGCCTGTTGTTCCTCTTGACCTGGAAACCAATTCGATTCTCCCACCACTTCCGCAACATCCCAGCAGAACCAATCCATCAACTGGTCTCTTTTCTGGTGTCGGCCCGTCGATTTCTGGAGGCAATGGCTCCATTCTGCAGCAGTCCGTTCACATCGCAACTCCGGCGCCGTCTCCTCCACCATCACCTATTGGCCCAGGCGGAAAAACCGGAAAGAAGCAGAACTACCAGACCAACCAAAATTTCCCTTTCATGTACCCACCCTTGGATGATGATAGCAACCACATTGGCGGCAAAGGCACCACCGAACGCCAGGACACCTTGGTTGGCAGGCGATGGGAAGGTAGTGATGTGCCCGCATCGGTCATCGAGGCTGGGAAGCTTTTCTCGACACATATCAAGATGACCCGGGCAATGCGCCAGCTGTGGGATGAGCGAGAGAATTTCATGAAATACGACCGGGGGTGGAATTGCGAGGATTCTGCCCATTTCCCTGGCCCTGTCTCCGCGGACGATCTGACGGAAGAGTTGGACCGACTGGGTCTCTCTGAGGATCAGAAGAAGCCGACACCGCAACCAGCAGAGAAAGAAAAAGAGACAGACGATACAGACATCCAGCGACGTCTGGATGCAGTTGAGTCTTTCTACGTGCGTGTAATTCCATGATACGCTCAATCCGGCACCAATGGCTGATTTATTATGCAGACCCAAACCTTGGCTCATCTTCAGTCCATCACGATTGTTTTCTTGAAAATCACCTTGACGAATGTCAGTGCAGTGGTCAGCCAAGCTAGTGCTAAGAACTCGCAAAACTTGAGGTAAGACCACTAGTTGGTCAATGGTAAAGCGGTCATCTCTCTAATACTTGATACAGTAACGGCCATGGCGTCAACGGCCCCTCGAGCGAGCCCCTACCTGAGCCGTCTGTCGATGAGCTGGACGGTATTCGGTTGCGTGAAATCACAGGCAAAGCCGTTTCAGGTACCTTATTGCTTCTCTTGAAGTGGTTCAAGCGATCCCGTAGGGTTCACCTCCTTATAATTTACTTGGTGCATGTTGCTGACAACCGTAGATATCTTGAAATTCGAGTACATGACGCAGCTTCTGCTCGACTCGAACTATTTGCCTCTCATCCTCAAGATGTTTGCTCATCAGGATGTCGACCGAGTGGTGGCACAGAAAAACGATCGTGAAGAATTGGGGTAAGTTTTTCCTGCCAATTCTATAAAATTCCTCACGCTGACCAGTCCCAGCTTTTTCCGCTTCTGCCAGACGCATTCGGACCTCGCATCCGAGGGCGAGGCCTGTCCCGATACGGAGCCAGAAAGTGAAGATGAGGCTGCCCCGCCTCCCATCGCTCGGCATCGTCCCAATCCTGCGGCCGGCAGTACCTCGATGCGAGCATCGTCGCCCGACGAATTCGTTAGCGAGATTTTCGAGGACACGCGACCAGAAGTGGACGAACTTGGCTACCCCACGGCGCCTCTGCCCAAGGAACCGATCAAGATCTTCTCATTCCGCAACTTCTTCTCTGTCATCAATTACCTACACATCATGCAGAAGATCACGCGCAACAAGGCGCACCGCTGTCTACTTCTCGTGCAGTACAAATCCAGCACGATCCTCCGCAAGGGCTTGAAGATCCCGGACCCCGATCTCCGCTTCTACACGCTCAAGCTATTCAAGTCCCAAGTGCCTTATTGTGGACGTAAATGGCGCCAGAGCAACATGCGCGTTATCACCGCTATTTACCTGTACTGCCGCCCAGAGCTTCGAGACGATTGGCTGGCTGGATCCGATGTCGATGCCGAGGTGGAGGATGCATTGCCGCTAGAACAGGCCCTGCGCGGACTGACGCACTGGTGGCATCTGCGCCAATACCGGGATGTGATGGGCGGGCCGCCAGAAGGAACGTCGTTGATGGAGGAGGAGCGGGATTTCTTCGTGCGGGAGCTGGAGTCGATGGGATGGGGTTTCGCGGACGAGATTCTTAGTGGCGTGGGTGACGAGCCGGAGATGGGCCACGCCCTGATGAACGGGGCCGAATGGGAAGCTGGGCCGTTGCAGATGGAAGGATGGACGTGAGATGACCTGCAGATACCCTGACGACCATATGATTAGTTCGCTGTAGAGTGCTTGTGAAATGTACCTACGCTTTTGCTTTTGTCTTTATTTTACCTATTCTTTATTCTTTCTTTATACTGCTTTCTAGTTGTCGCTCATGTTTTTAGTCCGACTTCGACCACTGACATCGCTCCTATCGATAAGCGGTGCACGTGACTACATCCGCAACTTTTTTTTTTTCTTCGAACCCGTCAACAGCACGCAGCTTTAGGCCTGGCACCACTTCGCCTCGAGTCTTGCTCATCATGTCTGACGAGATTGTCTGGCAGGTGATTAACCAGCAATTCTGCTCTTACAAACTCAAGTGAGTGTTCGAACTGCCTGCAGATTCTTCTTCTGAGCATCACCCGCTCATGAGATTGCTGCATTGCAACCCCATCTCCCGACGGGGGAAAATGAAAAAGACTTGGGCAAATTCAATATTTGAATGATTGAGACTAACCACTTTTCCGTCCAATTTACAGAACCACCAAAGGCCAAAATTTCTGCCGCAATGAATACAACGTCAGCGGACTCTGCAACCGCCAGTCCTGCCCGCTGGCCAACTCGCGCTATGCGACAGTACGCTCGGACCCCGAGACCGGAGCCATGTACCTGTACATGAAGACCATTGAGCGCGCACACATGCCGAACAAGTGGTGGGAACGAGTGCGGCTGTCGTCCAACTACGCCAAGGCGCTGGAGCAGCTCGACGAGCGGCTGATCTACTGGCCGAAGTTCCTGATCCACAAGTGCAAGCAGCGTCTCACGCGTCTGACGCAGGTGAACATCCGCATGAAGAACATCGCCAAGGAGGACGACCGGCTCGGCGAGAAGATCGTGCCCAAGCTGGCGCCCAAGGTCCGTCGGCGAGAGGAGACCCGCGAGCGCAAGGCCGAGTCGGCTGCCAAGGTTGAGCGCGCTATCGAGCGTGAACTGATTGAGCGGCTGCGTAGCGGGGCCTATGGTGATCGCCCGCTCAATGTCGAGGAGGGCATCTGGAAGAAGGTTCTTCGTGGCTTGGAGCGTGCGGGTGAGGGTGAGCGCGATGAGGATATGGATGATGGCGAGGAGATTGAGGACGAGGAGGAAGAGGGTGTCGGTGAAGTCGAGTATGTCAGTGATCTGGACGAGGAGGAGGATCTCGAGGATATTGAGGACTGGCTGGGTGGCGAATCTGCCGATTCGAGCGACGAAGATGACGAAAATGAGGATGAGAGCGACGATGAGAGCGAGTCTGGCAGCGAGCCGCCCAGCGAAGAGGAGAAGAAGCCCAAGCCTGGCGCCAAGCGCAAGCATCCCGCCCCGCAGGCGAAGCCCCGGAAGAAGGGCCCTCGCATCGAAATCGAATACGAGACCGAAGGTGCTGGCAAGGAACATGCCATGGCGTAAAGAGCATCGTCATTGCAGGGTTGGGAAAAGTTTTGTTGCATGGCGTTCTTTGTGGCTGTTAAATATTTCTTGTCTTCTACTATGATCGGGCATCATACCCAGCTTTTGCATCTATGTTTTTTTTTTGTCTTAGACCCTGTTTTAATTCCTTTTCTCTTGTCACTCGTTGGCATGCATAGACCTCTTCCCCCCAAAATAGATATGGTCACGTGTCATGACATCGCCCGTTGCGCCCGCCTTGGGATGGCTAGATCCTCACCGCAACATAGAAGCCGGCTCTTCTGTCGACACTACGAATAATCCCGGATATCTCGATAATCCAGATTCTCAGGACTGATCTCTTCGATCCCAATCACCCTCTCCGCCAATTGAATTGGGTGCTCGCGCTTCTCCCCCTCTGCATCCACCCCTCCCCGCACTGAAGCTATCCTCATTTGCAGCCGGCGCATCGCGAGCAACACCAAAATGAGCTCCTACTTCTCGTCCTTCACCTCCTCACCGGCCATCTCCAATCTGGGGTCCCGGCTCACCAACCTCCGACGCGCCATCACACTAGGCGACGAGGGCGACGACCCGGACAACGAAGACTGCTCGCACATCTCCAACGCCCTACGCGCCTACTACACCGAAAAGGGACGTCCATTCCCAGCATGGCTCCCTCCCGACCCCAAGGGTCCCGCACCACCGCCTTCGCGCGTCGTCGCAACCACACAGATCCCCACACCGGGAGCATACGGGCAGGCACCAGCCGCAGCCCCATACGGCCGGGGCGGCGGCGGCGGGCTGGGCGATCTCTGGGGTGATTCCGGCGACGCAGCACCACCCCCAGTCTCACAGATAGGAAGTCTCCGGCGTGGCCGCGGCGGGTCGACGGCACCCCCGCTCATGTCTGCCCACAGCGCCCCGCCAGGCCCGTCGAACTCGTCGTCCTCGCTGCCGACGATGCACGCGCCGTCGCATTCTCCCGCCCCGCCTGGCTCTCTGCATCCCGCGGGCGCTCGTCCGCTGCCTAGCCAGCGTGTTGGCTCGCACCAGTCGGCGCAGACTACGCGCATGCCCTCGGAGCGAGCGGGAGGGTCGGCGCAAGAGCGGCTGCGTGCTCGCTTGCATGGTGGCCGGTCTCCGAGTCCAAATATTGATCCCAGTGTGCGCAAGCCTGTTGGTTTGCCTGGAAGGCCGCGGTGAGAAGAGGGAGTGGATCAGTGCATAGCATTCGTCGCATGGCCGTCAGCATGGTGTCGGGAGTTTATTTTTGATTCAGCTTGATTTACCGTACATACAATAGCAATAAGGTTTGAGTTTGATCTACAGTTATTTGTAGTGTCTGCACCCACTGTCTCTTACTCTTGTTATCGAGAGGTCCATATAAGTATGTAGTTTCGTCCTGTGGGTGATTAGTTTTGAAAGCCACACAGCTAAGTGAAGGTCCTGTGTCTAGGGAGTTATGTGTGGTCCTTGCTGGTCTATATAGCTGCTCTTGATTGACCCGAAATGCATTTCTCTGCTGGTCCCATTCTCGACATAGTGCAGGTCATAGAGATCCAACGGGCCCCGGGCGTGCACTTCAGCAAGTCCCACCATAAATCACGGGTATATATTTCGTGTTTTTACTTATTCATGATCTTGGAAAGTCCTAGGGAAGTGATCTATAATAAGCCTAAAGAATAACACAGTGGGATATCACATCGTCTATTGTTGATGGCGAATAGAAGTAAAAATGACCGGCCCGGTGGATGTCTCCGTACAAATCAACCCAGACCACCAACACCATTCCCTTCGTTAATAGAGATACCCTAACCCATTTTTACCCATATTTACCCATATTTCCTCATACTCCGCTCCTCAATTCGCTTGGCACCGGCCCCTCCCCAGCTGTCAGCAGCGAATGGCGCTCTCGGCTTGCCCCCGACAAAATCCCGCGTTTTTGTCTCCTGGGGGCCAAACCCGCAATGCCGTGTCTTTTCTACTTGACCGCCGATATCTCCCGAGTGGACTCGGAATCCCATTTCCAGGACCCGGAAGGATGGCGGCCATCCCGGTCCCGTCGGCTTCCCTGACTGGATGGCATTTTCCCCGAGATGTCGCCGACGCTTTTGCGTCTCTCCATGGGGAACCCCAAGCCCCAAGTCTGTGCCGTCTCTGGAGCTCGGATTCTGCCCGAGACGACTCATGGCACCTCCCACTATTTTTTTATTTTTTTTTTTTCTCACACGCCTTTTTTTGGTTCTTCGCTCTCGGGTTCATGATCTCGAGTTTTGTAATATCGGTAGTATATATAAATCGCACCCGGGAAGCCGCGAATTTTCCAGAAGTCCCCGTGCCATGTTTTCTCAAAAAGCACCTCCAATGCTGACGGCCGATGTGCACGGCTCCCATGGCCCCTCCTAGTAGTATAAGGTTTTCAAGGACGCCATTCGCCCAGGCTTCCGATCCGTTGCAATCTCCCTCTCCCCCGGCCTCCCCACACTCTGAGAGAATCCCTGTGATGCGGATGGATCACTTGGGGTAGACTGGTCCTGTTCTGACCACCGGTGAGGCCGCTTGTTTGTTCTTCCTCTTGCCTTCCCCTCATACACATGTCCAGTGGGTCCATTTTTTCTCCACATCATGCGATGCGACCAAGTACGGGGTACATACTCCAGATGAAATGAGCAAAACATGGGGCCGGTCCCCGGGATCTTCTATTTTTTGACTTTTTCATTTTTCATTTTTCCCTGGACCATCTCATCTCCACTTCGAGTGCCGGTTTCATGCCGCCAGAGCGTACTTCCGATCGGCCGTGGGGTGACTTTAAATAGCCCGCATTCCCCCCCCTTGACTCCCTAGGGGCCTTTTCTCTTTTTCTAATAACTATAATATATTTTCATACTCTGTCCTTCCACCATGGCCGACATCAAAGAAAAAGACGCCGAGGCACCCCAAGACGCACACCAAGAAGCCGTCGACGCCGAGATGGAGGACGCACAGGACCTCAAGGCCGACCGCGCGCTGAACGAAGCCGCCATGGACAGCGAGCTGCAGCAGCTGGAGGAGCAGCTGCAGGCACTGCCCAAGCCGCGGTTCGAGTTCACCCCGTCCAACCCGGCTCTCTTTACTTGGATCCTGGTGGGATTCGCCTCGCTGGGTGGTCTGCTCTCGGGTCTTGACCAGTCGCTCATCAGCGGCGCCAATCTTTCTCTCCCCAAGGCCCTGCACTTGGATGACTCGCAGCTGAGTCTGGTCAATGCCGGCATGCCGCTCGGCGCTGTGGCTGGTGCTCTGCTCCTCTCGCCGGCGAACGAGTATCTGGGTCGTCGTATGGCTATCATCGTGTCTTGTATCTTGTATACCGTCGGTGCGGCCCTGGAGGCTGGCGCGATCAGCTTCGGTATGATGTTTGCGGGCCGGTTCATTCTCGGCGCTGGTGTTGGTTTGGAGGGTGGTACCGTGCCGGTGTATGTGGCGGAGTGTGGTATGTTCCCAACCTCATGCAAATGTCTTGGCTATGTATATGCCTGCATCTCCATGGTGTACATGCTAACCGTATTGATGTTTTAGTCCCTAGCCGTATCCGCGGTAACCTCGTCTCACTATACCAGCTCAACATTGCCCTGGGCGAAGTACTCGGCTACGCCGTAGCAGCCATCTTCTTCGACGTCAAAGGAAACTGGCGCTACATCCTCGGCTCGTCGCTGGTCTTCTCCACGATCCTGCTGGTGGGCATGCTCTTCCTACCGGAGAGCCCGCGGTACCTGATGCACAAGGGCCACGAGGTCGCCGCGTACGGGGTGTGGAAGCGCATCCGCGGGTTCGGCGACTACGACGCCAAGGACGAATTCCTGGGCATGCGGCAGGCCGTGACGACCGAGAGCGAGGAGCAGGCGGCCACGAAGCGCTTCGCTTGGCTGGACTTCTTCACTGACGGCCGCGCGCGCCGCGCCATGATCTACGCCAACATCATGGTCTTCCTGGGCCAGTTCACCGGTGTCAACGCGGTGATGTACTACATGTCCGTGCTGATGTCCAACATCGGCTTCGACGACCGCACCTCGGTCTTTATGTCGCTCGTCGGCGGCGGATCACTGCTGATCGGCGCTATCCCTGCCGTGCTGTACATGGAGAAGTTCGGCCGCCGCTACTGGGCCAACGCTATGCTGCCGGGCTTCTTTATCGGGCTGGTCCTCGTCGGCGTCGGCTACACCATCGACTACAACGTGTACCCCGCCGCCGCCGAGGGCTTGTATCTGACAGGCATTATCTTGTATATGGGCTTCTTCGGCTCGTACGCGTGCCTGACCTGGGTGATCCCCGCCGAGGTGTTCCCGACGTACCTGCGATCGTACGGCATGACCACCGCCGACGCGAACCTCTTCCTGTGCTCGTTTATCGTCACTTACAACTTCACTCGCATGATGAACTCCATGACCCGCATCGGGCTGACTCTCGGCTTCTACGGCGGTATTGCCGTGCTGGGCTGGTTCTATCAGATCATTTTCATGCCGGAAACGAAGAACAAGTCGCTTGAGGAGATCGATGAGCTCTTCTCGCGCCCGACTTCTGTCATCGTTAAGCGCAATCTGAAGCAAACTGCGCAGGTGATCCGGGATTTGTCGCGTCTTCGTCTGAAGAGGGTGTTTTCGCCTGAGCCGTACAACTAAAGGTGATCAGCACCTGGAGGAAGAAACAAGCTTGAAAAACGGGTCCATATGTTGATTCTGGTTATATTCCATGATTCATGCCGGGATCATAGATCCCCTGTTTATGTTTTATGTAGTGACGAAGTGGCCTGTATCATGCGCTACAATATACCCCAAGTTCACTCAGACATGTCCTAGCTTTCCTCGACTCTTGATTGCTCTACGCCCGACATTTACTGTAGACATAGCAGCAAAGCCTTGAAAAGAAAATGAACGCTGAATTGGTTGATTCTACTCATTGATGAGAAGAGAGCCCTTGCGGTGCGCTATAGATCAAAGAAATTTCAAAAGACGAGAAACCACGCTCGACACCGGGTGTGCAGTTTAAGAAAACAACAAATGCTCCAAGGTGGATGGATATACAGCATTGACAGGAGGGTAGTCCTCACATCAAGAAATAGAACAGAAAGGTGAAGCAAAAAACAACGCAAATGCATTGAGAATCGAATACAAGATCAACCACGTACCTTCCGGTAACTCGGTGGGCTCCAGGATTGCTTGATCAGCTTTCCAGCCCAGACCGGAATCAACGAAACGGCTAATACGGCAATAACACGCCACAGCCACCCGAGAGTGATCACGTAGCGGAGCTCAAAGTAGTCTCCCAGGAACGGGATGCTGCCCCCGTACAGAAGGGCGGTGCCGACCAAACAGAAAATCATGATCGGATGCCAGGTCGTGATTGCAATAGCGACCATCCCCAGCTCGTTGAGTACAAGAGCCGTGAAAGACACGCTGATCAGCTGCGGGCCTGTGACTGTGTTCAACAAGATCTGGGACAACCCCTGGATGACTGCACCCTGATAGACCGAAATAAGCACCCAGGTAAAAAACGAGCGGTAGCTCAAACTCTTGCCTGTTTTCAGCTCCTTATATAATTCGGGGTAGAGATTCGCAAGTCGCTCGTCCACATCGCAGTCAAAGACGAGCGAGAAAACGGGTGCATTGGTGTAGACAGTCGCGTAGCCCACCAGGAGCCAGTTGATGAATAAGCCCTTGGGATCAAAGTGGCTGGCGATGCTGTACATCGTTTGACACGCACTGATGATCAAGCCACGATGCATGATAAATTGTGCCAGCTTGGCCGATCGCTTGTACGAGTTGCGACCGTGCCATACCAGGAGCTTGGTGAGGTGGTGGAACTGGGTGATGCTGAAGTCCGCGGCCAAGGATGCCTGCCGGCCTTCTTTGCCCACGATGCCAATTCCGACGTCCGCCGCCTGAATCATGGAAACGTCGTTTCCACCATCACCTATACTGCAAACGCGCTTTTTCGTGTGTTGGCGAATCAAATTCGCGACCTCGGCCTTTTGAGTTGGAGAGCATCGGCATGCAATCACAGCGGGTAGGAGAACGGCAACAGAGACGAACGCAGATCGAAATTGGCTCAGCATCAGCGCCAAGGACTCGCCATCGATCAGTAGACAGCAGTCGGTCTTATTGCGCAGAAAGTCTAGCGCCTCCTGGGCGGCGGACTTGTTTGTCACCTTGGAAACGGTGTGGATATACTGGCCTCGGGAGACGAGTTTCGCAGAAATGGCGACACAACGCGCAGTCTCGACTTTGTCTCCTGTTAGCATCCAAATTTTCACGCCCGCATTGCGCATCAGTTCGAGAGATGACTTGACATCTCGCTGCAGTCGGTCCTCCACACCTGTTACTCCTAGAAGTTCGAGGTCCCGTTCGAGATATTCCCCGACAACTTTGGCCATGCCGGCATCCCGCCCTTGGAGAGACAGATATACCTGTTTGTATTTGGCCGAGAACTCCTGATATTGTTGGACAGAAAGTCTTTTTCGTCCCACAACCAAAGTCCGCAGACCTTCGCGAGCCATATTCGCCGTCTCCTCGTCCAACCAGTCATTTGCTGCAACGATGGAGGACATAACTGTGTCTGCACCCTTTTGATAAAACCAAATCTCTCGGCCTTCTTTGCTCGACGAGTCAAGCATGTTTTCATCGTGCTGGAATTCAACAATGACACCCATTCGTTTGCTGTCGGACGTGAATGGAAAGATGTCGAGAATGCGAACCCGCACTACGACTTGCTTGGAGTCAGTCGATTCGAGAACCACGCTTTGTCGGTCGCGGTAAGACAACTTCAACCCAACCTCCTCGGTGTACCGAACGATGGCAATCTCGTCTGGAGATGATGCCTGGTAGGTTGTAACTTTCTGTCCATCTTTCTCCTCGGTGGTTGGTGTAACATTGTGACAAAGGGCAAGAGCCAAAAGGAGGTCTCGTACCCGGGAGCCAATTTCTCGCCTGGTCCGAGGTGCAGCAGCAGCACCGGCTTGAGTCCCAAAGATAGTCGACGGAGTGGTCAATGTGTTTCCGGCAAAGCCTTGACGAATGAATGACCCAACCTCATCCATCGCTTCGTTAGCGTAGGAGACTGTACCCACGTGGATCTTCTTCAATTCCATTTCTGCACATGAATTAACAATTGAATCATCGTAGGAGGCAGAGTCGACTACTTACCGTTCTGAGTCAGAGTCCCGGTTTTGTCTGAGAGAAGGTACTCAATTCTTCCCAGATCCTCCGGGATTGTGCTCGTCCGGACCACTGTGTCCGGGATGTCCTTGTCGCGTTCAATGAATCGGCCGTACACTGTCTTGGCCATATCCAAATTGACGCGCAGACTCATGGGAATGATGGTCGAGAAGAGAATGAGGTAGATCATAATGGCAATGTACCACTGTTTGTCATTCGTCGGCTGGAACCCCTCCAAGGCGACCAGCACAATCGACAAAGTGAGAGTCAAGACACACAAAATTTTCGTCAAATTGTTGATTTCGTATTCCAACAAGCCAACTTTAGACCGCGAGGGGGAAGTCGAAAGGGCAGCTCGGGTTTGTGATCCAGTGTAGATGATGGCGGCGTAGGTGACGGTGTTTGAAGCAAGGACGGTATTGGCCCAAGCAGTGTTGTCAATTGTCAATGGAGCCGAGCTGGCGGTTTGATTCTCGCCATCCAGGTTTCCCGCATCTTGCGACTGTGGGCCAGAAGCTTTGTCGACGTGTGTATCATAGAAGCCAGTAGGGGGACCTAGCTCGATCGCGCCCACAAAGTCGTTGACCCTATGATCGGGAGCACTTGCGTTGATCTTCAGTCGAGTAAAATCGCTTAAAGGCAGAGTTTGAGACAAAACGGAAGGTAAACGGAGTTTCCAATCCGTCTCGCCGTCCAACTGATCAGTCCGAATGAAGGTATCGCTGGCAGAGGAAGTACCCGCGGTATCCCCAGTACTGGTACCGGTAGCAGTAGCGGCAGCAGGTTCGGATGGCCCTTGATCTGATTCGAGCAGGTCGGTGGAGGACCCGGGGACACTTCCCCCGGGCACAGAGCTTTGGCGCGTAGAGCCGGAATCATTCGAGACAGTTTTCAAAATCACGACATCGGCCGGAAGACGCTGGTTTTTTCGGACTTTGAGGACGTCCCCCACTTTCAAATCCCTCGATCTTTTTGTGATTTCCATGAAGTTGGACCTCCCAACCGACAAAACACAATACTCCTCTGAATTTGCCTCTGCATCGCGTCGTCGTCGCGCAATGTCGTCGAGCGCCTCCTTCCCGAGGGAGATCGAGACCACGAAAGCCAAGGGTGCAATATATGAGGACATATAACCGATTCGCAGCACAGGGATAATCTGCGACAAAGCGACAAAAAGGAAATAAATGTTAAAAAAGAAGGAAAATTCGTTGTACAGGGTTCGAGGTAGGAAGCTCCAGGGGGTGTACTTGGCGTTCGAGACCACATTGGGCGGGTATTTGGTGGCCTGGTATTGCGCGACGAGTACCTCTCGGGGAGGCTTGTCTGAATCGTTGCTGCTATTATTTCCAAATCGAGCCGAAGCATCTTGCAGAAATCGAGGCCTCTTGAAGACGGGGAAACTGAACCGACTACCTTTCTGTGATTGTTCGTCGTCCGTAAACAGGCGGGTCGAAGCCCTGCGGTCGAGGAGCGGCGCATCGTCATTCGTCATGCGCCGTAAATTGTCATGCGATCTTCGTATTCCATCTTCATCTGGATCCTCCAGCAACGCATCCGTATCTTCTTCCCCCGACTCTCCTCGCCCGGACGCGCTGCGTCTCCACCGACTTCCCACACCGACACGTAGATTCCGCAGTGCGATCCCTGGTCCATAGCTTCTCTTCGGGCTGGTGTAGTCTCGGGATGTTCGGGAGGATAAAGGACGCGCCGTGTTGGGATCAAGCTCTTCTAAGTTCAAGTCGTCATCAGAGTCGGAGAACTCGCCAGGGACACCTGGTTGGTCCGAGGGGTGAAGATAGTCAGTCGAGGAAGGCATGGTTCAAATTCCTGGTGGAATTTCGGAAGGCCTTGATCATTAGCGGAGGGTGACTCGCTGATTCTAACACTCGCATCAAAGGAAGAATCATGTGCTGTGTGAACAGAGGTTCTGCTGTGGCATGGTGGTAAACGAGTGGGATGTATTCGCAGTGAAGGGGAAATAGAAGGAAAACAAGATGTCCAAGGACGGCAATCCCAATCACAACCTGCAGCAATGGTTAACCAAAAGTGATGTCTCGGTCGTGACTGCCTACTGCCACTGGATCACATGATGGGGAAATAAACCCGGAATTAAGCTAGTTATGTCATGTGGTTATGTCATCCGATCTGCATAAACGCAACGGTGTCCCTTGGTCGGAACAACATAACTCCGTGATCGGGCCTGTTTGGGGATGGCGCGGGCATCATCGTATCGGCTAAAATCACCTGGGGTGTCGCAGTCCAGCGCTCTCTTTTTATCTTTGCTGGCATCGCCCGATGCATTTATGGTTTCTTTCGTTCTGATATTTGCACTCGGTCATTTCCCTTTATGCACAATTTAATAGATCACTGATTCGACGCCTTCGATTCTTGTTTCGCGATTGTTGATCTCCTGAGCGTCACTTGGGAAGACGTGTCAGGTTGATCCCTCCCGGGTGTTCTTCTTCCCTGTGCACTTGATCTCTGAGGGTGACACCGACAATATGGCATCGGAAGCGACAGCCGCCGGTGCAGATTCATGGAATCCAGCGTTGAAACCCGAAGACAATAAAGAAGCAGTTGCGATTACCTCACCCGAGGGTGGTTTGTCGGATTTGATGGCGGCGGATGACTCTCCGGAAAAGCATGCTTTTGTTCCGACAGCACCACAAAGTGATGACTTGGCCGTGAATATGTCGCACGATACTTCCGCAGACCAAGCGCACGACGCGAATTTGAACTTGCGAGAGAACGGCCCGCCGCCCGCCGAGGACTCGGCTACCCACCAGGATACTGTTCCAAACAATAATCAGATGGATGAAGCGGACTCGCAAAATATCGACGCCTTGCAACCCGTTGAATCTGACGAGATCAACGCGGTACCGCCTCACCCAGAAGCTCAACCGGCGCCAATCCAGCCGCTTCCGACATCGCAAGCTCCCCCGGTCGAGGCCGAAAATCAAGGTCGCAATGAGCCAACCTTCGTTGAAACCCCAGCCCAAAATAATCACGCCGACCTCGTACCAACGAAAATGGAGGCAAACACGGATGGACCGGGATTTTGGGACAATGAAACGGGCGGGGACGTGGATTCGGATGCCGATGATTTCTTCAATCAACTCAAGACCCAGACGAAGCCTATATTTGCGCCACCAGAGGCAGATTCTCGGTTTGAGGAAGGGCTACCATTGTTGGATGAGTCTGCTCCAGGGTCACCGGAGCCGGAAGCGCAAGATGAGAAAGTCATCGATACTGTCTTCGCCGACGATGAAGACGAGGCGGACGGTTTCTTCAGTTCGGTTGCTAAGCTAGAGCCCAAGGCGGATCCTGGGCCATCCGGTATCACTCGTAAGAGCACAACTCAGGTGATAGAATCGGTTGGGTTCGACCTAGACTCGCCAGCCAGTGACATCTCGGCGGCCGCCCAGTTTGATGACGTCCTCAAGGCTGCGGCATCTGAGTCCAACCCAAAGAACGACCCGTCAGAGGAAGAGCTCGCCGCCCGTTGGCAGGCAGAGCTGGATGATTCCCCCGAGGATGATCTTGCTGCGCGCTGGGAGGCTGCGCTGGATGACGACGATTTGCTGTTGGAGGATGATGCCGCCCAGCCGGTCCCCGAGCAACCTGTCCCCCAAAGCCCAGCTCTACCAGTGACCAATGCGGGACCTCCGGCATTAGACAGTCCATTTGAAACGCCACAGAGTTATGCTCGGCCTCGACCCGTCCCCGGTGTTTACGCTCCCCATCAGCCATCTACGGCAGATTTGGTCCAAGGGGTACCTATGTCTGGAGCTCCACCAACAAACCCGGCGATTTCTTCGTATTTCCCGCAACAGCCATTAAACCCGGTGACCAAAAGAGCTGAGAGCTTTGCTGATCGGTCGAAGGAGGGATACAAATCTCCTTATGATCTCCCGGAGGATCTTTCCCGACCCCGGAGGCCTGTTGCTACCTACAAACCGGCCGCTCCTGTAGCAGCGGCAAACATGCCTCCACCACCTCGAGACAGTAGCATGATGCCCCCTCCACCTGTCCCTGCCATGTCGACCCCGGCAGTTGCGCCTCCTGCGCCTATGGCTGCTCCTCCCGCAGCTGCAGCAGCTCCTCCGCCAGCTCCCAAGAACTTTTACGAGGAACTTCCTCTACCTCCACCAAAGTCTCGGCCTTCCAGCTCAGGCCGGTATACCCCCCGGTTTGAATGCGGCGACGACTGGGCCATCGCCTCTTTCGCCTCCGAAGAGCCAGTATACTCCAGCTGCTCCGCCGCCCCCTCAAACAAGTGGTGCCCCAGTCCAGTCTCTGCTACAACCCCCCGAAACCTTGGATCCCTATGCCTCTAGCCTAGCCTCGAGTGCCCCAGCGGGCCCCAGTGCTGCCTCAAGATATTCTCCAAAACCACCTGGCCTGCAACCATCCACAAAGCCGCCTGCGTTGTCAAGATATTCGCCCGCACCACCTGGAGCAGCATCGCGCAATCGTTATGTTTCTCAACCTTTGAGTGTCCCGGGCCAAAATGCTTCCTTGCCGTTCCAGCCCCGCACTTCCAGCCCTCTCGCCTACCACGAGAAAGTCTCGTATCAACCCGAGGAACCGAAGCAACCGCCATCGTTGGAGCCTGCGGTTTCCTTTTCACCGCCGCGCGCACCAGAGTTGGCGACCGAGCAAGGATCATCTTATGCTCAGCAACAACCCAGTGGACAAGCCAATGTTCCCAGCCAAGAAAATGCAGCCGCACCCATTGATCAACATCAAATTCCCCCTAAAAATAGATATGCGCCTCCCGAGTATATCAACGAATTCGCGAAGCGTGTTGTTCCGCCCACCCCTTATGCCCCTGCTGCCCCAGCATCGGCAGTGCAAACTTCTCCACCACCCAGTGATCCCCAAATGGCACCGTTACGCAGATCCCAGACCCAATCTCCTGGCCAGGAGATGACGAGTCCCCGATTATCGGTTCCGAATATTGATCCTCTGCAGCGTCCAGCCTCGGTGCATGGCTCAGGATCCCCGACCAAAACTGTGAATCCGTACGCTCCTGCGCAAACTCCCTTGCGGAACCGTGCTGCTTCCCAGCATCTTGAATTCATTGCACCAAATGATGGGCAAGAGGGTGATCCGCTTGAGCGGTGGAAGGGCGCTCCAATCTTCAAATTCGGATTCGGCGGGACAATGTTCACTTGCTTCCCTAAACACATTCCTCGATACTCCGCAGGTCAAGTGGCGCCCCTGATAAGGCCTAGCCCCGGAGAGATCAAAACATCTCAGCTGAGTGCATGGCTACCGCCTGTCGACACCATCGTTCAGCATCCTGGACCTCTCAAAACCAAGTCCAAGAAGAAGGATCTGCTTGCCTGGCTCTCAAGCAAGATCGCCGCTTTTGAAAACGAAGGGCTTCCCGATTACGACCAACTCCAGCTTGATGCACAGAAGCGCCATGAGGAAAGAATTTTGCTCTGGAAGGTGACAAAGATCCTGGTTGAAAACGACGGTGTTTTGGAAGGCTCACCCAATATCCAAAAATCTCTCCGCCAGGCTATCTTTCCCAATCTTCCTATCTCCGAGGCCGATGGCCCGGTTGGAAATTCTCTGGGAATGTCTGGTGGTTTCAAGCCTTTGGATTTGACGTCTCAACCCGACGCTGTGGATTCGCGGTGGTCAGAAGAACTCCGGCATAATCTGCTTCTCGGTGACCGAGAAAAGGCAGTTTGGGGCGCAGTAGATCGCCGTCTCTGGGGACACGCGATGATTATTGCATCCACCATGGATAAGTCGATATGGAAACAGGTCACTCAGGAATTTGTCCGGCGCGAAGTCAGATCTACAACTGGGAACGCTGCGTCTCTCGCGTCTCTCTACCAAATCTTCGCTGGAAACATCGAGGAAAGCGTTGACGAACTCGTACCCCCATCTGCCCGAGCAGGCCTGCAATTGGTCAGCAAAGCCGATGGTCAGGGTGCTACTAGAAATGCGCTTGAAGGATTGGATAGTTGGAGAGATACTCTGGGCCTGGCTTTGAATAACCGCAGCTCCGAGGACCATCAAGCACTGTTGGCCCTGGGCCGTCTGCTAGCTTCTTATGGCCGAACGGAGGCTGCTCATATTTGCTTCATCTTCTCCCGAGCCGTCATATTTGGTGGTGCCGATGACCCGCAGGCCAACATTGTTCTTCTCGGCGCCGATCATCGGCTTTTCCCTTCCACGTTGCTGGACCAAGATGCTATTCTCTTGACGGAGGCTTTTGAATTTGCTACCGCTGTTCTTGGCAACTCACCAAATGCCAGCATACCGCACCTTCTGGCTTTCAAGCTCCTCAATGCAAGGTACCTTGCTGACCAGGGCCGCAATTCAGAAGCACAAAGCTACTGCGATGCGGTAGCAGTCGCCCTCAAAGCGACTACTCGACCGTCGCTGTACTACCATCAGCATTTGTTCATGGAAGTGGATGAGCTTTCTGCGCGCCTTCGCCAAACGACCAGTGACGATGGGAGCTCGTGGATATCGAAACCTAGCATGGAGAAGGTCTCGGGCTCCATGTGGGCCAGGTTCAACAGTTTCGTCGCTGGCGATGATAGTGACGCAGCCTCGACAGGCTCTGGCAAGGCCGCAGAAGCAGCAGACTTTGGGCCTTTTGCCAACGTTGCTGGGACGCCAACTGTCAGCCGCTCACCATCTATGTCTGACATCAATGGTTCTTACTTTGGGGCTGGTGCGCAGCCAATTCCAACGGGTGGCCCGTCACGGTACCTCCCTTCGAATCAGTACGCACCAAGTGCATCGCCCGAGCAGTTTCGCGGTCGGTCTTCGATGGATTCTCAGAGGTCCGCCTCGTTCGGTTTTCCATTGGGGCAGCGCAGAAGTTCTCAGGAGCCCTCGCCTCTGGTGGATTCCCACATCTACCAGGGAGGGTCATTGTCTGGTTCGCCAGGTATTCCTGGGTATCAATCAACACCACCTCAATCATCTTATGTACCTCTGGCTCCCGTGGAAGAGGATTTGACTACCCAATCACCAGACAAGGCAGCCCCGGTCAATGGTCTTTTTTACCAACCGCCAGGTCAGGATCCTGCTTCAGCCGGCCAGTCGCCGTACTATCAGGGACCTCCTGGAATGCCCCAAGCGAACCATTCTGCGTATTCGGCGCCAAGTGCAAGCAACCCATACGAGCCGCCTGGTGTCGGCGCGGGTATAACCCCCGACCCTCGGAATTCTGAAGAACCTTTCGTGGACGAGCAGCCGAAGAAAAAGGCATTCATGGACGACGACGATGATGATGACCTTGCTGCCCGTGCTGCAGCTATTCAGAAATCAGAGAATGATCGCAAAGCAGACGATGCTTTCAAGAAGGCTGCTGAAGAAGATGGTAAGGAAAATAGTTCCCAGCTTTTGTCTCTATCTGTTGCTAATTCGATTTATATTACAGCCAAGAGAGCCGCCCAGCAACCTGCGAAGAAGGGGTGGTTTGGCGGATGGTTCGGAGGTGGCAAGAAGGAGGCCGATAACTCTGGCGGCCCCATCAAAGCCAAGCTTGGTGAAGAGAGCTCATTCTACTATGATCAGGGGTTAAAGAAATGGGTCAACAAGAAGGACCCAGGCAGCAGCGCCCCTGTTCGCGCCACGCCCCCTCCTCCGCGAGTTTCTGCTCCTCCCAGCCGCGCTGCGAGCTACGGCAGCCTGCCTTCAGTTGGGGCTCCTCCAATGCCCGTGGGCTCGGGCAGTCGGCCTCCATCTTCATCCAGTGCCGCGCAGTCCATCTCTTCCAGCCCTGCGTTTTCTGGACTTGGTGCTCCACCGCCCATTGGAAGCTTGCCTCGATCGGTCTCCACTGGCGGAGCTGCTCCAACACCGCCTGGTAGCTCGGCAGGACCACCCCCATCGCGGCCGTCATCCTCTTTGACCCATGCCAGCTCGATTGATGATTTGCTGGGTGCTCCCCAAGCACGCAAGGGCAATTCAGTCCGAGGCAAAAAGAAGGGTCGCTATGTCGATGTCATGGCGCAGTGAGCACTGGGTTTCCCTCTGGGCCCTGGTGATCTTGTCTTGACCCGTCAGTGACTGATTCGAGTTTATTTCTTTTCTTCTTGTTCAATTTCTTTTGTCCGATCATGTTTTTTTCCCCCTGATGCCTTGTATTTTGCTATTGCCATGACTTTTGATCGCGACAAATTCCCCTTTTTGCTTGACAAAAGAGTTGTCATCTTCCCCCAGCATCTTGCATGTGTCTTGTCTCAGGACAGCCACGACAATTTCCCGGCGTTCTCGCACTTTTGAGGTTATTGTCCCAATGCCTTGCACTTGCACATAGCTTGCTTTTTGCTGTCTTTTGAGGTGAACTCCATTCGCGTGCTACGCGAGGAGATGACCCTTGCATCATGTATATCATCCCTCTTTGGCTTCTTGTTTCTGAGTGTTATTCCCTGGGCTCTGGAGGTTTCTTCTCGCAGGTTTCTCCCCGTGCGCTTGTCTTAATAATGATTTCTAATAGTCCAGGCCTTTGGGCTGTTTTCTCGGCATCTGGTGATAAACCCTATAGAATTCTCTTCAGATCCATGATAGTAACAACCGTCCACTGAAAACAACTCATGTTGCGAAGGAATTAATGTAATACTAGATAGAGGCAGCCATGTTAGCTTTTCATTGAGATCGATCTTGAAACGGCACTCGGCCATAGCATGGACTCACAGTAAGACAAGACTCCTCGCCGTTCCAGCTGCCTGGTAAATAAACGTAAAGAACGAGAGCCATTTCATTAATAAAGCCTGATCAATAGACAGATTAGATTTTGTCAGCTACCCCGGTTACTCAGACAAAAAGCACAACATGTTTCTTGGACATGGCCGTTCTGGAAGGGGTCAGATACTTACAGGCTACCACTTTGGGACTGAGTCTCCCCACGCTCAGCACGCGACTCCAGTCCCTGCCATCGATACGCACCTTGGCCCAGCCAGCTTCGTCATCGTTATTTGCCTCGCGCATTCGCGCACTCGGCAGGTCCGAGTATTGTTCCTGTGTCATCTGAGCAGGGTCTATTTCCGGATTCACGAGTCCGGACCAGACACTGACGATCCGCAGTTCGTCCGTGGCAATTGCCAGTCGCAACGAGCCATGCATGTTGGCAGACAGCTCCAGTTTCGGAGCCGAGTTGGCAGACAGCGCCGTGGCAGCAGCATTATTCGATCCCGCTCCGTGGAACGAGGTAGCATTCATCCCGGGCGCATCTGAAGCAAGAACACCGGGTTGCCGACTCTTCGTGTCCGAGGAGGCAAGTTTCGTGAATCGATCCGAAATGCTTTTCAGCTGTGCCAGGCCCGGCAGGATGATGTGGACGTCTGGGTCCGGGCAGTGCGGCTCGTGGAGATCTTCTACGACGGACTCGTGCAGGATTTTGATGGGGATCTCTTGCGTGATCCAAGTCTCGCGCTCGCGTGGGGCCCGGTCTCCGACTACGTCGTGTCCGGATTTCCGGGCTTGGTTGAGGTCTCGCTCTGCTGCGTCGTGCTCGGGGTCGTCGGTCGTGGCTAGGGCCATGTTCCCCTCTGTCCACTCTGTGGAGAGCACAGTTAGTGCGAGCAGTGGTGTCTTGTCCTTTTTGGTAAGACGGAGTTGTGCCGTAGTGGCACCGAACGCAGACCGCAGCGCGCGGTTCAAGACACTGATGTTGATTTCGACGTTGATGGCGCCGGAGTTGGACTCAATTGAGTAGGAGTCATCGGCAAAAATGGTCCCCTAAATGGTTGATCAGTCAAGAAATAGAGTAATGTCAAAAACTATATCTAGCACATACGACAGGGATATTGGCCCACACTTGGGTGCCTTGATCCGGGATGATGGTGAAGCGGACCACATCGTGCTCCAGGCGCATCCAGCATACCTTGCCCAGAGACGAGAGTGACGCGGTCAATTCTAGAAAGATTAGCTTGTATTATTCCTACAAAGAATTTTACTTACTGGAGAATGTCCGAGTGTTCCTTAATTGCGCTCGAAACCGCATGTTTACGACAGGTTGATGGATGCAAGAGGGAATAGAGAGAATGTGGAGAGAAGCAAGTTCTTATCGTTTTATCCCCGCCACATCTTGATCTTCACACTCAACACAGTCGAGTCTGTGCCTCAGGGACGGTTTATTGCTATTTCTGCTCTTAACAGGTCCCATCAGGACCACTTTCCTGCATCGCCAAAGTCGCCGCCAGAGCTGCTCCCACGCCCGAGCCATCCTCGGCGGCGTTAAGAGCGATCAAATCAAGTTCACCCTGCGGCCAGTCGAAGATCTCGCGTAGACCCTGCGCTGCGCGGCCCTTGAAGCCACTGTATTTGTTAAAAAGCGATCCATCCACACCGACGTGGCACCGGCGCAGATTTTTCTTCTTGCAGATAGCCGCAATCCCGCAGGCATGGAGACGCGCCGCACGCGTCGCAATCAGACCGATCAGATATCGGCAGACCTTCAGCTCGTGCAGGGTCGGGTCGAGGCTCAGATTGTCCTGGAACTGACTTCTCATGTCGACCAGAGATTCTGAAAGATCCAGCTCGGCAATCGACAAGAACGAGGCCTCGAGCGAGTTCTCCTGTTTCAGGCGCGTTACGTCCTGGCCCTTGAAGAGCTTCCCTTGCTCATGCAATGTAAGGAGCACGAGCCGAAGCATTTCCCCGATGTACAGGCCTGCCACCATCTTTTCATAAATCTGTGTGTGAGGCCGAACGGACTCCTGATCGATCTGGTGGTCGAAGGGTGTCAATGGCAGCACTTTGCGGTCCGAGTCAAATGCGCCGTATTCGGTGTTGATAATCACGGTCGCATCACTAGGCAGACCCGAGCCATGGAGCTTGGGAATATTGCGGCAGTCTTCCATGTATGCGGCATTGCAGCCCGTGCTGAAGATGCTACCGATTTTCACTTGCAGGTCACGATAGTGCGAGGCGATCAGCGTGCCCGTTGTGTCGTTGATTAAGGCGACCACCTTCACTGGGACTTTCTGGAGGACGCATTCAACAGACAATCTCCCGGCTGGCGTTTTGAGATGCTCACCTTTCTCTCAAGCGCGGCCTCCAGCTGGGGCACAACATCTTGGCCCTCCACCCCCGATACGTTGAAGTTCTTCGTCCAGCGTTGTAATATACCGCTCCGGATGGACTTTTGGTCTACTGGAAACGAGAATGTGAAGGCCAACGGCAGCGGATCCGATGTTTGCGCGCCACTGTGATGTTCTTGAATGAACGCTTGCAGACGCTCGGCAACAAAATCCCAAAGCTGCTCGGCCGTACCGGTTTTGATGGCCTCGGAGAGCTTATACTTCCTCTGGACCTGTTCGAATTCGCCTTTGCCCAAGGAAAGGCATATATCACACACGCGGAGGTTTGTACCCCCCATGTCGATGGTCAGGATCCTTCCTTGCTCATGGCCGTTTGGGTAGCCCATGACCCAGGTAACATTCATGGGCTGTACAGACCAGTTAGTACTCCGTTTAGCACATTTATCCATCCAGCCAAGAGATACTGACAATGGTGCTGCCCTCGACGGTGAGACCCCTGTCCAGCTCCTGGACAAAGTGATCGGTGACTCGCTTCAAGACATGTCCGTCGACTGTGAACCAGTCCTCATACTGCTTCAAATCCCGAGTGAGATAATCTGGAACGCCCTCCAAGATTTTTGGACGGTATCGAAATTTTTCCATCATGCGTTTGTTGGTTTTCAGCGTACCTGCTGCTTCTTGGTGACATTTTCAGTGATATCAGGTAGAGAAATTCAGCATGGATCAGTTCCGACGACGCCACGATGACCACATCATGACTGTTCATAGTGTTCCAAGGGTGCTGCTTGCGATTCAAGCAAGTCAAGCAATTCAAGGACCGGTTGCATCTGTTGCTGATGCATTCGCAGCTATGTGCATCTCGATGTCTCAGTATGTAGTACCGGCCAGTATACAAACCTCGACATCAAACTCCCACCCTTGACCACAACCACCATAAAAGAACAGAGTCATCCGTAATAAAAAGCCCAATAGAATAAAATAAACTCCAATCCAGCAATCCCGCAAAAGACACCCGCAAAGCAGACGCCGCGGATCAGCGCGTAGCTCCACTCCATCCGCGCCCCTTTTTGGCTCCACCAAGAACACGATCAACAAATCCCCGAACTTTTGGCATGACAATTCAAGCAGAAAGCTAGTCTTTGCTGCCTTTTCACCCCCTGCACTCATCTGCTCTGTATTTGAAGTGGACCTGTATCAATTTGTCCTTACCTCCATCTGCCGCTGATCCGGCCCTTTCCCGCGTTTTTTTTTTCTCGCGTTTGTAGGCCTCGTGTGGTGTTCGAGAAGAGAAAAAAAAAAGGAACACAAAGTTTCAGGCTCGTGCATTAAGATCGTGGAAAACGTGCCTCAGCATGCGGGCTCGACAGTCTTCTCTTCGTCTTCCACCTGCTGCCTCGTTCCGACCCCCGTCACTCCTATGCCAGCCCGTCGAGGCTCGTGTCTCTCTGTGAAGCTGATTTAGGCTGCTGAGACCCTTGCCAACTCGGTATGGCAGCCAGTCGAACCAGTCCCCTGCGCCCATCGATTCGCCTCTCCCCCGCGCACTCCCGAAATAACTCGTGTTCGACCTCCCCAGAACGACTTCCCACCTCGATATACCAGAAAGTCGACCCTCTCCTCAGCAACCTGTCCCCCGAGTCCACCCTGAACGCCCTCACATCGACCGAAGCGATTCCGTCAAATGAGAAGCTGGCTCATGATGTCCTTTCCCAGAGTATCTCCCAGGTCTCGCCGGCCGAACGCGCTCTCGGGATCCGAGCCGCTATCGCTGCCCAAAACTTGAACATTTGGTATAGAGAGGTCCAGTCATGGCGATGGCCGAACCAGAACGAGGCCAAGATTGGGAAAGGGTTTATACCGCCGACAGATTCCGGTGCTGGTGAAAAGCCCTCGACATCCAGCATACTATTACCCCCTGGCACCAGAGAGGTCGATCATTATGGATGTTTGCCAGCAGTCGTGGTCGAGGGGTATGAGAAGAGGGTCGAGGAAATACGCGATGGAATGGACAATCTAGATGTGGAGGAATTGAAGGAGCATGTTCTCAATGCCCACATTCCTTCCAGGTCTCGGCCCTCCTCTTCGACAAGCAGCGTGTCCGTGCCTCCGCCGCTCAGTTATGTGCAGCTCAGTGACTTCACGGCTGTCATCACCGCTACCATCCTCCGAGCCCTCCCCTTCCTGACCCGACTGAACAGACTTTTGACCACCTGGGATGTTCGCCTTCTCGTCCTGCGTCAAATCCCTGGCCTCTTGCGAGAGCTGGGACTGACCCGATCCGCCCTAGATACCTCACTCCACGCGTTACGGGCATCGAATCCTTCTGGAATTGATCAGACACCCTACTCCAGCGCATATCTACGCGCCGAACATGTCAAACTTGAGTCAGCAGTTGTCTCTGTGGGCAGGCGGGTGGATCGGATTCTCGATGCGTTGGAAGGTCGCCCGGACTCCCTGCCCGAGCGTTGGATTGATGAACTCGAAGGCATCGAGTCCGACTTTGCCGCATGGGTAGTGGAAGCCGAGAGATATACCGTTCACAATGAGTGCTTACGCGTGAACGATGAACCCCCAGTGCCCGAAACGCCTGAAGACCCCAATCCTACGCCTGAAGAGAAGCCGGAGGATATGGAACAGGAGACGAGACAAGACGCAGCTGAAGCCCAATCTACAAGACAAGAAACCGCCCGTCAGATGGACACAATCAAGGAGGGGCCTCGAAATGGCTCTGAAACTCCTACCCAGGAGAGCAACCAAGAGTCTTCTGAACGCCCAACGCAAGATTTTATGCTGCCATCGCCGAAGGACCATGCGCCATCGCCACCGGTTCCTGTGCCCGAGATTTCGGTCAATCCTGAAAGTCCTTCTCAAGAAATGTTTCATTCGACAGCGGACGTGGAAAAGAAAACCGAGGAGCTGTCCACTGTCGTCGTGGCAGGGGAGCTAGAAACTCCAACGCAGGCGAATTTCCCACCCGAGCAACCTGTCCAGACTGTCGAACAGTCTTCATCAGCGTCTGCGTCTCGGCCAGCCACTCCGGATATGGAGAATAAAGAAAACATTCCTCCGCCGGGTTTCAACCAACAGATCACGCCAACGTCTCCCCGAGTCTCTCAGGTGAAACCTGCTGCGTTGTCTGAACATACGGACCTGGTCGAAGACCCATTTGTTCAGTTTCCCCGAGTGCGTAATGAAGCTGGCACAAACAACGTGCCTGAGCTCACTGCTGCCACTGATGAATCGCCACGAGGAAAGATCGATATGCTGCCGGTTGCCGAAAAGCAGACAACCTTGCCTACGGTTGATTCCGGGAAAGAAGATGAAGCACAGGCGGTTGGGGATCTACTTCAACCAGACCATTCTCTACCAGAGACTCAACCCACGACGGATCGCCAATCTAACAACCCTGCCACTGACGTTGGATCTCAGCCTCAGGGCCAACCGGGCGCACCAACTGAACCTGGACCGAATCCCATACTGGCAGATACTCCCAACCGCATACCAAACACCCATGACTTGGACACCAAGCAGTCTGTGCATCTTCCGTCTCGTTCAATTGCTGCTGTTGAATCGTCTGACCCCGGTTCTAAATCTTCAAGCCCCAAGTCCCATTCCTCGAACGAACCAAAAGCGGCCGACAATTCAGGTCCCCGAAAGCCGCTACAGAGTCCAATTAAGCTCTCCAAGAAACCACGTGGTCATCGACCGTCCACCGGCTCCATGGATTCTCTTCTGTCGGACGGTTCTTCTCTTAGCTCCAGCGCCGATGCACCAGAGCCAAACACTGCTTCGTCGAATGAAAACCCCCTGATGGTACCTTCTCATAAAGAGAGACATACTCGTTCCGATCCTTCGCACGACCACACCCTGCGAGAAGACCGGCTTCTTCGCCTGGAACACTCAAAGGGTTCATCCCCCAAATCTCTCCAACAGACCCGTTCCGTGAGCCTGCCTCTTGAGCGGTTTATCAACGAAAGACTAGATTTAAATCTAGACGGCGAGTCGGTACCAGCCGTGCGTGGTCCCAAGCCAACCAAGCCCTCCGCTGGATCTGCGGACTTGCCTTCTGGTGTTCAAGTATGTGCCATTTATCTTACATCTTCACTCTATCATTTGATTAATATGCTGACTGATGGACTTGTAGAATCAGGACAGCTTATTTTCCAAGGATGTCTCCTTGACACCGACACCGCAGATGCCCCGCCCTTCTCGCCGCCGCCCTGCACTCTCTCGAGGCAAATCTTCGTTTGATTTGAGGGCGAGCAGGCAGGCGTCCATGATTCAAGAACAGAACCGGAAATCATTCGCCAAGAATGCAGCCCATCGGCCTATCGAACTTCAGGACCAGCCAAAGTCTTTCCGCCTGCGACAGCGTCTGACTGCCCACCCGAGTCTTGAGAGCCTCGGAGTCAAGCGACAGGAGCTGCCATATGTCGAGGAGGATGAATCGGAGCTGACGGATTTTGAATCTCGCTCGTCTTCGCCGAACAAGCGCTCCCGAAAGCCGAGGGATCAACTTGACGAGAAGATCAGTTCCATCCTTAACACGCTTCCCGGCCGTATTCATCTCGTCGATCCTAACAACGAGGCGGAAACATCATCGTCATCGTCCTCCTTGGACCGCAGATTACGCGACAGATATCGCTCCGAATCACCGCAGGGCCTGCCATCCCGCAGCGCCACTCCTGCCCCGTCTTTCATGTTGATGCCCGCTGCTCGAAGACGTTCCCATGCACACAAGATGGAGGACAGCTGCATTAAGCTCTATCATCTTCATCATGGTGGGCAGTCGACCCCCTCAAAGCTATTTGTTCGCACGGTTGGAGAAGAGGGACGGCGAGTCATGGTCCGTGTCGGTGGAGGATGGGCGGATTTGGGCGAATATCTCCGGGAATATGTCATCCACCACGGCCGTCGCAAAGTGTCAGAGACTCCCCGGGTTGAGGTTCAAGGCCTAGCGTCCCGTGCCTCTCCGTCTTACTCTTCCCCGGGCACCAATATCCCACAAGCTGCCCCATCCTACGCCCTGTCTGGCCGAGCCACTCCATCTCGACCACCGTCTGTGCTGAGTGCCCGACCATCTTCCTCGCTTACTGTTCGAAAAATGCGGCGAGGATCTAACGCTTCTGACGCCGTGGTTCCACGATCAGTGACTACGGGCAATATAAACTCTTTCACATCACCACCTGCGGTGATTGCCCCAACCCGCCGGCGGCTCTCTGCCTCGTCCAGTTATTCCTTCAGCGATACTCACTCCCCCGCCAATCCTGTTGCTGGCCCGTCAAATCAGGAATCGCGCTCCACCCCACTGGGTCTCGCCGGGCCCAAACCTCGTTCGCGGCATGTGTCCATGAGCCCAGAAGGCGAAGCCTGGGTCAAAGACGTTCTCCAGCAGACTCGCCGATCTAGTTCCTTGAATCCACCGCCCTTCCCGTTGAGCCAGGAAAGCGATGACGCTGAGGCGGCTGACTCTGCTGATACCGGCCTCGCTGTCCCTTCCTTGCCCAAGGTCCGCAGCGTCGGTGATATTGGTTTGACTGGGACCAGCCGGCGAGTCGTATTGAGGGGGCTCGGCAGCCGCAGGTCGTGACCTGGTTGGCTTGCTACTGCACCTGCACTCCCCTACGACTCATACTTCGCTTTCGCTTTGCCGTCTTTGGTATGGCTCTCCACTTACATCCTTCCCCAAACTCTCTACTCGAAGCACGCACCCATACCTGAAACCCCCCACTCATACCGATAATCCTGCTTTGGCTATTCTTTTATGGATGCGATTCCCTGGAGACCACTGGCTCTAGGTAATCCACCAGCCTTTTGTTTATTTCCACTTTCATTTCCCCCTTTATTCGTTGTTATAATTTTTTATCATTTGCATCAGCGCGGCGAATGTTTCTTTTGGATTTGCGAGTTACATTGATCTTTTGGGTTTGGTCTGCGATTTCTGCGAATTTTGCGATTTATCTTTTGCTGTATATAGTTGGTCGATACCCGTTGAGGCTTTAATTGCAATTCTTCCTGACATTTATCTTTTCTAGCATTGAGATGGTTTCCGTGAACTTGCTCCTAGCTACATAACTTGATAGACAGGCACTGGATATCTAAAAGAATAAACGTCTAAACAGCACTCTCAGGCCCCCGTCTCGCCGACTGTCTCTTCTCCGACCACGGGAAATGAACCACGGGCGGAACAAAAAAGCTATTACTGTTATCAGCAATGCCCGCAAAGGCATTATACCAAGCCAAGAACGCGCCCAGCAGCGCGAACAGGCCGCCCGCCTTGCGGAGGGCTTCGTTCGGCAGGCCCTGGGCGTTCGGGTAGAAGTAGGCCAGGCTGATGAGGAGCAGGGCGATGTCGACGAAGAAGAAGAGCGAGAAGAAGGCGACAGTGGATTTGACGGTGCAGAAGGTGATGAGGGTGGTGAAGATGAACCAGCCCTAACAATGAAGAGAGTTGGCTTGATATTTCCAAATAGAGGTAGGGGATATAAGGATGATCAGAGAGAGAAAATAGAATAGGGAATAAGAAATAGAACATACCATCAAGTACAGCGCAAACGCATTGTAGAACATGATCGGGGACCCGTTGTCCGCTTCTACTAGCGACTGCATGATATTGAATCCGCCCGGTATGAAGATCATAGCCGTGGACATCCAGAACCCGCCATAGGAAGAGAGAACCGTTGCGCCGAAGGTGTTTCCCACAGCCATTTCCCTGATGGATTTCTATGAGAAACAGCAACACCACCACCACCACCACCTCGGGGAGTGGAGTGAAAATAGAAGTAATAAAAAGATTGTACAACATACCACATCCCAGCAAGCAACTGCACAAGCCCCCCATAAGCCAAAGCCGGCCCAACAATCATATTCGGCTTCGAGATCCCCTTGACGCCCATCTCCAGACACCCCAGCACGAACGTCGTCAACGCGAACCCGCACAGCCCCAGCGGCGCCGGGTTGGCGACACGCCGGTTCTTGGGCGAGCGGTACAAACCCGGCTGGAACTCGCCGCCAAAGGCGGGCACGCGGCTTTCAGCGGTGTTGATGTGCGCGAGGGGGCCGTAGCGGCCTGGTTCGAGGTCTTCGGCGTGTGCGGTGGTTGTTTTGCTGAGCGGGCTGTTGTTGTTGGAGTCGGTGGACATGGTGGTAGGTAGATGTGTATACTCTGGTGAGTATAGTAGATCTTGATGTATAGTATTTTCACAGGGAAAGAATGTAAGACTTGGAATTTCTTCTCTGTAGGATCTTTGTCTTTATATAGTCTATTGCTATAGTTATTGCTCCTGAAATGAATTGAATTCATTCCGCTGGTCCGCACTTGCCCGGCAGTTCAGGACGGGATTGCGTCCGCGCATCAAAAATTGAGGCATGCACTGAGGAAAATTGAGCACAAGGGGCGTTAAGGTTATGATCTACGGGCGCAGCTCTCCCATTCGGATCCACAAACCATGGGGTAATGCGGGGATAGAGGCAAGCAATGGTCTTGGCGAGAGGGCTATATTGTGGGGAATGGAGCATCTATCGGCATTTCTCATTTATAGGGTCCGCTGCGCCGAGAAGCCAATTTATGGACATGAGTACAAGAGAGCAATGTATTGTATTTTCGTGAATGCTTCCATGAAGACGAGAAAAATGCCAGACAGAAACGCCAAGACCAGACCTCTTTCACTTCCAATGAGTTCCCTCATAGCCATGAATAAAAATAGGAAAGCAAAAAGAAAAAGTGAAAGAAGAGTGAAATCAAAACATGATATACAGCAAATTCATAAATCGTGAGCCGAACCCAATCAGGCCGTGCGATCGAGCCATGAGAATGGAGATTCTTTCAGTCTCCGCACAGTACCAGCCGTCATTCCATCTACAGATCATGACGTCTGCTGGCGTTTCCATGGGATATCCTTGCGGAGGAGCTCCCGCAACTCCGGGGAAATCACCTTGGGCTTATCGGCCGCTATGGCATTGTCAAGCGATGAAGATCCAGAAGCGCCCACATTGACACCGCTGCTGGATCCAACAGCGTTCCGCTGGGGTGATTTACCCTTGTCAGGGTTCGAAGCCGAGCCTTGGTCATTATTACCGACGGGTTTGCGCTGGTGTGCGGTGGGAGCAGCAGGAAAATTGTCCTTCTTATCGATAGCTTGAACAGCACGCTCGAATCGGTGGAAAAGCGATTCGGCACGAGTGAGGATGGGGACGAGGTCCATGGTATTAGAGAGCTCGTTAACTAAGAAAAATATGTTAGCAATTATCCTCGTGCACCAAAACAAATATTGGATATGCTAAGACACTCACTGTACTTCAGAACTTCGTCAAAGTGCTTCAAGTGATCCATAATCACATCCCGATGTTTCTCGAGAATGGCGAGTGCAATAAACAAATGGAAGCTACTGGAGAAGTAGTCGGTCCACAGCGTTTCCCAGAGACGCAAAACATCTGGCCAGTCAAACTCGCGCTTGTACCAAACCAGGAGCATGCGGAAGAAGAAGAAAAAGTTGGTGCTATCGGCAGACTGCAGATGCAAATATAGCTGCGGATCCATGAGCTGGACGAGATGATCCAGGGCCAGAAGCTGCGAGCGCATTCCAGATTGGTCACGGAGGAAGTTTTGCTCCTGTCATTTTATCAGCAAGTACGCTTTGAAATAGTGGTCTGAGAGAACTACCATTCGGTCCATGAACCCGACAAACCCCCAGAAAGCCACGGCATCGTCTTGCATGACTGCATAGATTGGAGCCAGGAGGTCGCTCATCCCTTGCACATAGCCCAGATCCGGGTTGTACTCGTTGTACGTCAAAAGCATGTCTTTCATTTGCTCCAGATGCACATTGGTGCCCGTATCGGCGAACGGAGAATCGGGGTCGGGGTGGGGGATATCCTCGCCGGCAAACAGCGGAATAGTGCGATCAGTGCGATGGACATCCTTTTCTGTAGCCGTAAGTTAGCAAATGCCATCTCCAAGTGTAGAATGCAATTCGTACCAATTCGGTTTCGCTGCTCTTTCCAATTATCATATTCCTCTGTTGTAGAGTTCCCTTCGACCATTCGCTCCCACCAGCCTGCCTTCAACCGAATGTACTCGTCGCGTTTGGAGTTCATGATCGCTTGTCGCTCTTCATGGCTGCTGTCCCACGGATAGACACCGAGAAGGAAGAGCCAGGCTTCTTTGCGGGCACCATCGTTGGGATCCAGTCCTCCATGGAATATCCGCTCTTTGACTTCTTCCACGGTGATGTGCAGTCTGCCCGACGTCGGGTCGAAGAACCCTTGCCACTCCTCCAGCGTGAGGATACGGCGTCGCTCCTGAAGGGATAGGTTTCCGGTTTCGAGCTCGAGGATTTCAAACTCGCCGACGGAGCTGTCTTCCATCTCCAACACATCCTGCGCCGTCCAAATACGCTGGTTCCGCTCGCGCTCGCTCTGCTCAGCGATATTCATGGCCCACCGCGCCAGGTAGAGGCGGGCGCTGTCAAACTCATCCTGCAGTGTCTGGATCTCAGGATTCTTCATCAAACGCCGCACCTGGGGCGGGATTCGTGGGTTGTCGGCGATCTCATTGGCGGTTCGCCGGGTAAAAGTCGTGATTTTGCTGAGCTGCTCGAGCACCTTCCACCGAGTTTCCTTGAGAGTCTTCATGAACGGGTCCATGCTGGCATCACGCTGTCCACTGGGGCCAGCAGCAGCCGCCTGCGGCTGCGCTTGGTCTGGAAGCGATCCATCCCCACTACTCACAGGCCGTCCAAACGACAGCTGATCCTCAGCAGATGGGTTGATTAAGTACACCTTCCGATCCATTGTAGAGCGCTGCACATCGACGTATCTCCGCAGCCAGCGTATCACCTCGTCGCCACCCCAGAAGAGGCTCCCGTCGCTGTCAAACGGGTCGAAGTTTTCCTTGGCTCTTTTCTTCTTCTGCAGGATGGTTGACTCGCACTCGGTGTCGTGGAAGAACAAAGCCGGGAAACTATCGCCCACCCGCGTGTTAATCACAAGACTCCCAAACCACCACCCGATGCTCGGGGGCCGCACGAGCACCGAGTATATTTCCGAGAGCGGAACCGCAAACGCATAGAGGCCGATGGGGTCATGGTGAGTAGTGGTTGTCGGAAGCGGCGGGACTAAATACTTCTGGCGCGGTGGAGATGAGCCTTCGGCCAGATCGACCTTCACATAGGTGCTATAGGCATCGCCCAAGGAGGATTCCGGGACCCAAGCGAGCAGGTAAGAGGAGGTATCGGATTGGCCGGGCGGGGCAGACGGGTTTGACGGGGGCTTCTGCTGAATGAGGGCGATGAAACCCGGGATATTATCTTTGGCAGAGGCCGTTGGATGGACATAGACCTGTTGGGTTCACATTTAGCTACGGCATTTGCCGGCGGAGAGGGAGTCCCACCTTGCTTTTGGAGAACAGCAGCTTCACGCCTCTCCCGGAGGCAGCGCGGGCGATGGTGTTGTAGTCGCCCTCATCGTCGCTCACATCGTAGAAAGAAGCGGTCGGCGAGGGCGATGAAGGCGGGGTGTATTTGACCATGATTCAGGGCCAAATGAGAGGAAGTTGAGGATGAAGTGGAGGGAGACGAGGAAGACGTAATGGCAGGCGATAAGATAAGGCCCCTCTCTGAGCGATCTGATGTCTCTTCTTCTCTCCTTCTCTTCCTTTTCTGTTCTTTCTGTCTTTTGATGCTCGTGTCTCTTTGCTTGGTGATCTTCCTCTTCTTCCCACGTTTCCACTTTCTGTCTTTCTGCGTGTTGCCTCTTGTGTGGCCATCTTCCGCCCCCCAGGCAGCAACCAATGGACGGCGGAACATCTCAGTAGCAATCCTGCTTTTTGTCAAAATTCCTGTTTATCGATGGATTCGGTACTATATAACACCTTATGGCTCTCAGTGTTGCTTCTGGGGTGGAAATTCATGGGCTATAGCATCAGCTGGGGAGATGGAAATATCTCCCGCACCTCGCCTTTTGGTAGTTTTCCCAACTCTCCCAGCATTCTCTGCGATCAAAAATTCCACAAGCCACACCAGCTACTCTCCAGCATATCTGCAATATGCCGTACTTCCGAGTGTCGAATCTCTCGCATTAGCGTGACATCAAGAGACGGGATTCGATAACTCGTTCGGGAAACAATATGCTGGCAACTCTTTTCCCGTACAGCTAGACACTTCTGACCACGATATAAAAATGCTCCTGAATGACTGACATAGTCACCAACTCCAACCATCGATATCGACGAACGCTATCATCATGACTGAACTCGCGCGTACTCTGCCAGCATCCTGGTACTGCAATGAGCCGCTCTATCAGATGGAGCGACGGGCAGTCTTTTTGAAAGTATTTTCCAATCTTTTTGTTTTATAAACAAATCGAAAGAAAATAAAATACTAATTTCCTTTCTAGTCTTGGTACCTTCTGGGCCCAGTGACCAGGTTTCAGGTCGTGGGCGAACACGTCAACTATGAAATAGGGCAGCAGCCCATCTCTGCCGTTCGCACTGGGGGCAATGCTCTGAATCCTGAGCCCGAGGAACTGAACGTGGTCTGTAGGAAGACAGTATGCAAGACCTGCGCGGAATATGGCTGTGCATCTCGCTGATGACATCCAGGGCAAAGAGTTACGCAGCCATGTCACTCCAACCGGCCTGCTCTTCTCGACCATCTCCAACGACGCCCCCAGTTTCCATGAATTCTTCCCAGAGCTCGAGGAGCTGTTGGCCAGGGTTGATTTTACCCAACTACCATACCGACGCAGCATTCAGTACGAAGGCCGATTCAACTGGAAGACCATGTAAGAAAACCAATGCTACCCCATCTTCAATCTTCTTACAAATACTCACCATTTCTTCAGGGTGGATGGATATCAAGAGTGTCTGCACTGCCAGTACACTCACCCATCCTTCTCGATTTATTATCCGCCAACCTTCTACACCGTGCGCAACAAGCACAACTTCTCCCAGCATATTGCCGACCCCAAGAAGCCCGACGACGGCCTGTTTTTATACTTCTTCCCCAATTGTACCCTGAATGTCTATGGCGGCGGCATGTCTTCTTTCCGTGTATGTCCCACCGCCGACCCGCATGTCACGCGCATGGAATTCGACTACTACCACCTGGCGTCTGGCGACAAATTCGAGGAGTACTTCAAGTTTGTGCGTCAGGTCGCCATGGAGGATTTTGAGCTATGCGAGAAAGCCCAGGATAACCTGGCCAAGGGGGTCTACCACGAGGGGATTTTGAATCCCGACAAGGAGAATGGTGTTTCGTGTAAGTGCTGCGTCTGGCTCTACGTCTTTCTATCGACATGGCTAGCTCACCTTTAGTATCCTCTAGACTACCAGAGACGGGTCTTCGACATGGTCTGCGAACAGCACGCCGTAGACCGAACTGCAAAGAATAGCGAGGAGCCTGGAGTGGAGAAACAAACCGCCCCGTCGCTAGTGCAGATGGCGGCATAGGAGGTAGATCGTTAGTCACGGAAATGTATAGCAAGTCACTCGTGTAGATCTGGGCCGTGTAATGGGACTTTTGCTGTTATGAGCATGGAGTCAAGTCAGACTTAGTAGTAGATGCATATCAACTGCGCAGGAAGATCGTTCCCTGGAGCCAGTCATTGAAAACCGATATCCAAGCATGCGTGGGACGAAGTGTAGCCCGCATGCCACCCATCGACAGGAAATTACAACTCGATCTGGTAATGCCTGGTGAAGTGTATAATGTGGAGAAGAGACACTTGGGCCTCTCGGCCTGCAGTATATCAGACTAAATGGTCCTGTCAATTTAGTGGGTGAGACTTGGGTTTGAATGAGCTTGACTTCTTGACTTTCTTTCTATTTGTTTATTTCTGTTTATTTACAATCTGCTATCCAATCATGGACTTTGTCGATGCTTATATCTTGGCGTCTCCAGGCTCGATGCTCGTGGCCTTGGTAACGGCCATCTTCTTCTTCCGTCATGCATGGCCCCATATCTCGAACAAGCAGCCATACAAACCAACATACCCGGCATTAACCAAGGAGGACTCAAACCCTAGCGTGGCAGTATCAAAGGAACCCGAAATCCCAAACGGATGGTGGACAGGCCACGAAGTCTTCGATCTAGAGCGACGCGCTCTCTTCAGTCAAGTAACAACGAAACCCATACCATGGAGACTATTTGATTTGCAAATATCCCTAACATCCATCACAGACTTGGATATACCTTGCCCACAGCGGCCAATTTTCCAAAGCTGGCGCCTACCAATCCTTCGACGTCGCCGGGTTCCCGATATTTCTGATCCGAGGCAAAGACGACCAAATCCGCGCATTCCACAATGTCTGCAGACATCGCGCATACACCATCACAAGAAAAGAGACTGGGACTTCCACGGTGCTCGGTTGTCGGTACCATGGCTGGAGCTATGATACCCGCGGGCAGCTTGTCAAGGCGCCCCAGTTTGACGGCGTGCCCGGGTTCGATAAAGCACAAAATGGACTGTTTGAGATCCATGCGCACATCACGGACCAGGGCTGGGTCTTTGTTAACCTGGTGGCTGGTGAGCCGACTCCTTTTGAGGGCTCGGTTGAGCTGGCCTTGGATGGGTTTGCACGCGTTGCAGATGTGGAATCGCATTCGGGATGGATTGCTGGACAAACGCTGCCTGGGGAGTTCAATTGGAAAATGTGGTGTCAGCAATCCCTCTTCATTTAAGTTGGTGTGATTTTGGTTATAGGGTGGCTGATATATTATTGTGTCAAAGTGGGCGCCCGTCGCTGCGAGCATCTCACTACACAGCTGGAGCATCGAGTCTTTGAAACATTGGTACCTTCTCTGACAACCAGGATTGCTCGAATATTCACGCAGGCAAGCGATCGAGCAGAATGCTCCTTGTTCCCAAGTACTCTATTGTACTCTTTTGACAACGCAGGACTATGGATGTCGTTCACCTTCCTTCCGGCATCCGAGACGCGGACTCACGTTCGATATGACCTATTCACAAGAACTCCTGGAGCCAATTCCAATAAAGAAACACTATCTCATCTCGTGGAAGAGGTGTTCAAAGAGCTGATTCGCAACCTCGAACTTGAATTTCAGGCAATTATGCAAAATCCGGGGTGAGATGGAATTCATCACTGGCAGTACTGCAAGTGCCTAACCCTTTGCTCCAAATATAGACCTCAGGCGACATCAGAGTTGGATTGGAGTACTCAAAGTACTTCGCATCAAATCTTGACCCGGCTCCAACAACACGCCAAATTGGAAAAGACTCAGGGCGCACAGGTGCGTCCGGCTATGCGCCAGCCTAAGGGAAGCTCTCTCTTCCAGCAGGCCGAGCAGTGTAAGTTCTCACTCTTTTTTCTTTTACTTTATCTATTGTTTCGCTGTTCTAGTATACTCATAGTGATATAGTATGCAAGGAGTTGGACTGTGCCAGTGGCTCAAATGGAAATGGGACTTCATCGACAGGACTCGAGTGGTAGATTGACCTGAATTAAACAGACGCACTTATTCTTCGAGCTTTCTTTCGTTGATACAAGCGCTCAACATATCCTAGTGATATGCACGTAGCCCAGATAAATGAAGCTATTCGGACTTAGTTTATTCTAAAGAACCCCGATTGATGACTGAGTCCAAGTTGTGGAACCGTTCAATATCCAAAATCAATGCTCATATCCAGAATTACATTAAAAATATGTGGATCTGTAGAGCTGCACAGGTTTCTTTGGTTCACTTTCTTTCGTAGTTTCTTCCACGAACGCCCTCAAGTCAAACGACATCTCTCCACTACTGGGCGATTTAGTTTGCGAGAGCAGATATCAAAGGCAAATGGGGGTTTCTTACAAGAGTTATCTCAGATGTGCAAAGCGAACATAGTGGATCAGCCGCGTAAGTCTCTTTTCTTCGTCGGTAAGATCCATGACCTTCTCCATCTCTTGCAAGAGTGGCGGCGTAAATAGTGCATCGTACGGAAACACAGGAAATCATCGCGAATTCTAAGAAGTGAGGATAGAGACCCGAAAAGGCCCAGTCCACAAGACAGAAAGAGGCATCGACATCCTTCAGGATGATATTTCGTCGACAAAGATCCAAGTGGCATCAGACGAGGGGTTGAGTCATTGTGTAGCTCGAGACGCTTGTTCATGTAGATATTCACGTCCTGAATTGAGTGAAACTCGGTATCTGCGCCATGGTCACCCCATATGTATCCCCGTGGCTCGCCACTACCCAGTAGACGCGTTCGTCCCTTAGGCATCCCCGTTCCAGCCTTATGCGGCCATCCTGGCCGTGCTGGTTGGGTGCACTACTGCACTCTTTAACGGGTCCTCGGTTTTCAAACTGTTTACCAGCGAGGACTTTGTTACCTCGTATTTCGGGCTGGCGTTCTGGGTCGTGATGTTTATGTTCTGAAAGGTGGTTCATCGCACGCGGCTTGTGGCGCCTGCTGAGGCGGATTTGTTTTCTGGGAAGGCGGAGATTGATGAGGAGTGTCGTGAGTGGGAGGAGATGTGGTGATTGCTTGTATATCTGCTCAATGCAATACGAAATATTTTTTTTGATCGGTTAATAGTTTGGTTAGCTCACGGCGATTCAATGGAAAGAGAACGGTCGATAGACATGTACTGGCATATGATCATATGCCACACTTCTATACTTCTCGACGCATCCAATCCTCGGGCAACTTGAACTTTTCGAGACTTGATTTCAACCGGCCACATGGCCTGTCTCAGTCCAGGTTTAGCCTTGCTCGTGCATTCAGGTGGGCTTATACTGTCATGACAGTTTATCCATGGATATTATATTCAGATGACTCAGTGGGTACAATCTCGGGGTATACAAGGTTTCATGGGTGTCCGGATTAGCCTGGTTTCATTTGTGTTACATCTAAATCTGCTTGAAGTTCCTGCTATGAACAACCACTTAAATGTTTAAGGCTGGAGAATAGGATATGCATTCGACTTCCCTTGTGGTCATCGACAAGGTCAAGATATTATATATATCTATATATATATTCCCACTATTATTGACACCGTCCTCTTCTCAAGTTTCATTCCACATAAGCAACGCAAGTAGTTAGTACTACTGCAAAGTAATCATTCTTCAGGAATCATCACACCATTCGCGATGTAGAATAGTTGGCTACTATCAATAGACATTCCACTAACCGAGCCACCACCGAACGTCCACGTCCCCACGATAAAGTCTACAGAAATAAAAAATAAACTAGAATCAGATAAAAATAAAACTCAAACTAAGACGGACAAGTATCCAACCAAACCAAGCCTCTCGTCCATTTAGTCCGTGCAGAGTATCCATTAGCCGCATTCTTGAGAACCCGTGAAGAAAAGGTGAAAATCTCCGTGTTTAGCACCTCAAAACGTGGGATACTATAATTAGCAACGCGATCGGCATGCGGCATAATATCGCATGGATGGGGTACATTCCCCTATTGTGGATTAGTCGGGCGGTGCACTGACTCTCTCGATGGGAGAAAAGGGGGGGAAACAAACTCTGCATTTCCGATCGAAAGAGCCCCAATAATAATCATAATCATAATACACGCTGTGTTACTACTGTATATCAGTGATACGGTAGTTAGCGTCCCAGTAAAAAAAAAGGGAGGGAAATCATTTAATTACAGGTAGGTTGTTCTGTTCTATTTATGGTCTGTCATTGTTGAATGGTTCGTGATGATCGGTTCGAGGCATGTTCTTCTTCTGCAGGGACTATTACAATGTGTTGATATTGATTCTGTATATGTGTATTTGTTTTGTCTGAGGCAGTATCCATCGATATCTATGGATGCCCACAGTGAAACATGGTATAAGATAGTATATGCACGATGAAATAATCCAATAATCCTCGAGGGCATCAAAGCATCGAGATAGCATGCAGTGATGTCAATGCTCCTGCACAAAAGGGGGGCGGCAGAAGGGGCGAGACACGATTGCCAGTGAGATCTGCATGAATGCCACGCGAGAAAAAAAAAAAAAAGTCTTGCAAAGCCCCATGGAAAACGCCAACCCGGGTCCCCGATCGACAAACGGGTCAATCCATGGGTTGCGAACAGGGCGATGGGGATCGGGGCGAGCCCCCAACTGACCTAGTTACAGTAATCATGGATACATAACAGACAAGATGTTATATAGATAATGTTAGAATGTTGTATAGTATAGAGTCTATCCTATTTGTTCTATTTTATATTCTACGTTCTTTGGTGTTGTTGATGTTAAAACTTGGGATAAGGGTTCACTATGTTATTGTTGAAGCAATTCGTCTCTGCGAGGCAGCCTGTTGGGGTTCTCCGGGGCTCTGACGACGGCGTGTGGATGCCCTGATCATAAGATTATAAATCCCACGAGGCATTATTTCCGAGTCAGAGGGTTACAGGAATTGCCCCGGAGTGGACAGGATCCAGCATGGCACATTATTCTACATCTATATGGATAAGCTTGGAAGGAATCCTCCGATCTCTAGACGTACAGTATGATTAGGGCTGTATGATGATCTGTACGATCGAGAACAATGATTGACCGGAAACGCGGGTGCTCGACACGGACCCAAACGGAACCGATCGAATAATCCATCCTAAGAAAGTACAATGATATTACATATATATATCTATGTATGTATAATAGAGTAAGGTCAGAGATTAAAGGAAGAAAGGAAGAAAAGCGTTACGTGTCGCAGCAATTCCGCCCCCAGATTGTTTTGGCCCTCTCCGCCCCCATCCTCTTAGCCCCGTTGGCGTACAGTTGGGCCCGAGATGCAGCTGGGCGTTGATTCAGGGTATTACATACTGTATGGAAAGAAGGAAAAAGGTAAAATTAGTGAGTTCTTGACTTTGTTGTATTTAGAAAGTGTATACAAATATCCAAAGTCGCACGAGTTGCCCCAAGGACAATATTCAACGCCGGCGTACATTATCACTTAATTATCGAGTGGAGACGAGTAACACCAAGTGATTTGATGACGGCTCCCCGAAACTATGGGATTTCCGCCTTACTAGCCATCCATCGGCTTCCTACTTTCCCTTGATTATGTGTGCTCTGACATCTTTCTGATGTGTATTATGGCACGGGCATGTTTATACCTCCGTTCCGAGCCTGACTCGAAATAAAATACCAATGCTCTGTCTGTCTCTTTCTGAAGCTTCGGCCTTGCCATGTGGCAATGGGTGGATTGTGCCCAGGTGGCCCCGGTTGGGGGCCGCTTGAATCATCTCACAAATAAACAAATAAAATAATAAAGCAAAAGCAACGATGAATGCATTATTGATGTTATGGAAGTTAATGCGGAATCTTCTTTTTCTTCTTCTTTCTTTCTTTCTTTTTTCTTTGATCGCCCTTTCTGGTGTTTTGCTCGCATGATACTCGAAGGATCGCAGGCTGGACCCGACGTGACAGCCTTGGTATGTATGCAGGACGCGGTATAGTTACATACTGTTGTCAATAGCACCTGGGCAGGGTTGGAGGGTCCACTTACCGCGTATATTTCCCCGCGATGCAGGTTGGGAAGGGCCGTACATTAACTAGACATGTAAAAAAAAAAAAAAAAAAAAGAGAGAGACAGGGCCAATCTGCATATACCCGGGTCCGATCAGGGTGAAGGCCTCGACGCCTCGAGGGTCTCGGCGCTTCTCCCGGGTAATATTCATTCAATATTATTATGTGATTCACTATATCACCCAGGGATATAACCCGGCAGTAACGAGGAATGTGAGTCGTTCCATGTTCCTTTGCATGGGGCGTTAGACCAGCATGATCACTGGCAGGGGTGGGAGCAAGGCTATTTTTCTTTCACTCCCTCGTGGCGCAGTGAAATCAATCATACTCGAAGGGGGGTGTGTATGGGGGTATGGGTTCGTGTTGAAGTAGATCCCTACCTGGCAGAGTAACTCCCCATGACGATCTCAGGGAAAAACAAAAAAAAAAGAAACAAAAATGTTCAGCACACTGCGCCTTTCCGAAGATCTACGAGGCAAACAGGACAAGGCAACAGAAGGCAACAAAAGAAAGCAAATAAAGATATAAACCTACCCCGATTATAACAAGTAAATATACGAGGACCACCAAATCCTCGCAGGATTGCGCGACTTACTCGATCAGGTATTTCGAGTGTTTTTGGCCCCAGTACTATCCTTGCGATATACTGTAAAACTGACCCACCGCTTCTCCCAGCTGCTTATTTTCGGGGGCCTGAAATCGCGATATCGAGCTTACCGTATTACCGCCCCTAAGACGAAAATAATTAATCCTGCGACGTCTTTCCCTCTTCTTCTTCCTTTCCCTCTTTCTTAGCTGCGTGTCCGTTGAGAAGTCGACAAGTTGAGAAGTCGAGAAGTGTCTTTGTTCTACAAAAGACGCTTGTGTGAAAGAACGCCGGCTTTGAATCGTCGGTACGTGTTGTTAGGCTCCCCGAGGGGCCTATCGGGGAGATCTCGGTCAGGGCCAACTGACGCAGACAAAGAAACCAGCACGAAAAGAAAGGGAAAAAGAAGCACAATGATCCGACGCTAGACGAGCCATCCGTGGATCTTAGATATGGTTTCGTCGCTCTCAATTCCGCATTTTCGAACTCGGAATTCCTCGAATCAAAAGAAAGAGTCGCATCGTCCAGCCCCGTTGAAGCTCAAAGAGAGCACGTTTAAACCCTCGAAAAAGAGCGAACCCGAAGTGACTGCCATCCGGGGAAGTATCTCGTGGCCTGTCGAGACAATGCCGAGCGAGTCCACCCCCCGGTCCTCACCCGCCGCCACGCCCGAACCCACCGAGACCCTAAGAGCAAAGGATATGTCAAAGACACGAACCCAACCCCGGCCCATGCACCCAAAGAACACCCTGGCTCCGACCGTGGAGCGGCGACCGGTCTCCCCGCAGGAGTCGCTGCGCACCATCATTCACCTGGACTCGCCCCCGGACTCGGACTCGGACGAGGATGGCGAGGGCGATGGCGATATCTCGCCTTTATCCGATGGTCGACCGCCTGTACGTTCAGGCAGTGCCCTGGCCCGCTTTTTTCCAGAACTCTCCTCGCAATTCCCCGTAGTGGCCCAGGGCAACGGCGATCAAAATATGAAGCCTGCAAGCCCCACGCCCTTTGAGTCCGAGCTCGAGGAGCGGGTCAATATTCTCTACAAGAACTCGGCGGATGCCGTCGAGGACTTGGAGGACGATGAGGGTGCCCTGCGTGGTGCCCTGCGAGGGGTCTTGGAGGGAGCGTTGGGTCAAAAGACGGGTTCTTCCTCAGGCTCCGATGAGGTCTTTGACTGTGCATCGTCCTGCTACAGCCGTCGCAGCTCGGTGACCAGCATTGGAACGGAGTTTGTGGGTGAAGGTCGTGCATACAAATCTGCTGATGCATATTCGATTGTGTCGCCCGTGGCCGCCGGCGTCTTCGATGATGCCGCATCCATCGCCCCGCGAGCCATGTCCGACGTGGGCTTGTCACCACACCCCTCCAGAGCCCTTGCGGATATGGGCCTGTCACCACATCCATCAAAACCCTCATCAGATGTGGGCTTGTCACCACGTCCTTCAATAGCTACTTCCGACGTGAGCTTGTCACCACGTCCCTCAATAGCTCCTTCCGACATGGGCTTGTCGCCGCCTTCGCTCAACGGAGCGTTCCCGCCCCGTGCGAACTCGGTTGCCTCGAAATTCTCCATGAATGACTTGAAAAACAAACCCTTGCCCTTGGAACCCCCCGCCGAGCCCAGTCCGTTAAGTGTTCGCCGCACCGACTCCCCACCGACGGGGGCGCTCTCAATACGATCTGGCTCATCACACTCCTTGGCCGTGCAGCGCCGGGGCTCCCAATATTCGGCAGTGAGCCGGAAAAACTCACAGTTCCTGTCACCAATGCATGGGAATGACTCGCAGACCTCGTTGCGGCCATCCCCGGCTGCAATCCAGCGAAGCCAGTCGGGCCTCTCGTCAAATACCCACCGATCGGACTCGGAGGCCCGCCAGCGTCGAGGCCGCCGCCCCGAGTGGTCGGACCATCTGCAAGCGGGAGGCCAGCGACTTCGCCACGTTCCGACGTTGTCTCAGGCCGCCGAGGAGTTGGAGGATGCTCTCGCGGGCTTGGCACAAGATGGAAGCGGCCCGCAACGAACTCTCCTCATCCTCGATGGCCCACTCCAGATCAGCCGAAACAACGGCGGCGATTTGGTCGCTACGCGCCCGGCGCCCATGCCCCCATCGACCAAGCCCCACTCCAGACCAGTCAACAACCCGACTCTGGAGGCCTCCAAGTCGATGGTGAAAAAGGACAAGGATCGCAAGCTCAGCAAGACGAAGCCACCCCAGGACGCGGCGAAAGACCGGCAGCTCAAGTCAACCAGCGAGACTCCGACCAAAGAGAAGAGCCGCAAAACGAGCAAGCCCAAGGAGGATGGGAAGGAAAAAGAGGCTAAGGACAAGTCTATCAAGGTTAAGGACACTTCCAAAGAAAAGACTCGACAGGCCAGCAAAGTGAAGGACGAGCCAAAAGACAAGGAGCGTCAAGCTTCCAAGGCCAAGGAGTCCAAAGCCAAGGAAGAGGCCAAAGAAAAGGAGGCCATGAAAGCCAAGGCAGCCGAAGAGAAAGCCCGAAAGGACGAGGAGAAGGCCAAAAAAGACGAGGAGAAGGCCAAGAGGGACGAGGAAAAGGCTCGGAAGGACAAGCAAAAGGCCAAGAAGTCGTTCATGCTGGCCATGCCCACGTTCAGTCGCAAGCCGAGCCAGCTGCCACCACAGGATATGCGTCGGGCCAGCGTGCTGAGCTCGCGTTCCGAGGCCTCGCTGGACCCACTCGTCGCCGAGCGCAAGGCATCCTCGCACATCGACCCGACCGACATCTCTCGACGTCTTTCGCACCACCAAACCCACTCCGACCCGAACCTCGAGTTGAACGCGCCCTTGTTTAACAAACGGGACGATCTGCTTCTGCAATTGCCCCGGCTGCAAACCCACGACTTGGGCTTCAGGAACCCGTTCGACAGCCGCCCAGCCTCAAGCCAGGGGGTCGTCCGCTCGAAGTCGGGCAGCCCCACGCACCCCACAAGGTCCGACTCAGAACGAAGCATCGATCCCGCGGACCTAGCTCCCGCCAGTCGCAGCCACACCCCCCCGGAGGATGAGAAGATTTTGGTTTCGGTGAACAAGATGCGACAAGATCACGCCTTGGTCTCCACAGCTCAGGCAAGCAGCGTCGAGCTCCCCGCCCAGATCTTTGAGCTGGCCGCCACGCCGCCATCGCCATCGGTGGTCCTGTCTGCGCGGCCGGTCGAGGTCCCGCGATCGGTAGGAAAGGCCTCGCGCCCATTCGTTTTCCCGGTCAAGATGCCGGAGCGAGTGGTTGTAGCAATGATGGAGAGCATTGACTCGCTCGACGATCTGTTCAACTTCGCTATTGTCAACAAACGTTTCTACACTGTCTTCAAGGCCCGCGAGCTGCCCATGATCAAGAACACACTCTTCAAGATGTCGCCGCCCGCCTGGGAGCTGCGCGAGATGAGTCCTCCCTGGACCACCGAATGGCAGCTTCTGTTGGACCCTGACTCCCAGGTTCCCGAGTACACACCGACCCTCTACCTCCGGAGATACGCCCAGGACATCTACACACTCGCCCAGCTCAAGTCGCTGGTTCTTGCCCGCTGTGCTCCCTTCTTGCGTCGGGACACCGTGCGTGGCCTGGCGGGAGTGGACAGCGTGCGTGCTGAGGAAGTCGATGACGCCTTCTGGCGTATCTGGACATTCTGCCGGATCTTCGGCAGCGGCAAGGGCCGCGAGACGGATATTGTGGGCCAGATGGACTGGCTGAAGGGCGGCGTGATGGCCAAGAGCCTCTATGGAGCGTCTTCGACTATGACGGAGCCTTTTGGCATGACCAATGTCTTGTTCGAGCCGCCCGAGGGATTCGGTCGCGGGAACACTGGCGGACTTTCTCAGAAGCAGATGTACGACATGACTGAGATCTGGACTTGTTTGGGAGTGTTGCTGCAGCCTCTGCACGGCAAGTGCATTGACGCTCGCAAGGTCGGCATCTTCGACGGCAAAGATGCTCCGGAGGGCGACACGGTTCGGGAGGAGACGGTGCTTGGTAAGAAAACATCCTCGCGATTGGAGAATAACCTGGAGAATGACCCTGCTAACGAATAATTCACTTCCAGAGGAATGGACTTCTTATGTCCTCACGCTTGGTCTCTCCGCCGTCTTGACTCTCAGCCCCTCTGCCCTGCCGACACTACCACCGCCACCTTCCACAAGGCCAAGTCGATTGGTCTCACCAAATGGGAGGCCACGGAAACCGAGACGAGCCGATCTTCGTTCCTGAAGGAGGCCGTTTCGCGTGCCTACGAACTTCAGGAGCGCACCCTGTCGCTCCAGTCCAACTCCCCTCTCGATCTGCTGCAGCGCGACATGGGCGTTCAGTCTCCCGACAATGAAGCTCTGCGTGAGAACCGTGAGCGCCAAGCGGCATTCGCTCTCGAGCTCCGTGTCCGTCGTATGCGGAACAACAACGGCGGCGACGGCGGCGACAGCGGCGACAGCCCTCAAGGGGGCCGCACTTTTGCCGAAGAACGTCCCATGTCCGAGTACAGCACTATCCTGCACAACCTCGATGGGACCGACCAGGAACCGCCCCCACCTGTCCCTCCGGTGCCCGCTCTTATGATCGACCGTTCCTCCAACTCCACCGCGAGCCCTGCTCCCCGAACCCCCAACCGCACCCCTACTCCCAACCGCACTCCTCCCCCTCCGCGCGCTGAATCCCCAATCACCATCCCACCTGCGCGAAGCCCGCCGCCTGCCATCGCCCCGCCGCCTCTGCAGCCCCAGGTGCTCGACCCCGTCGACCGCGCCATTGACATGATTGTCAATGAGCTCGGCTTCCACGAGGACGATGCCAAGTGGGCGCTCAAGATCACCGACACCGGCGAAGGCCTCGACGTCCCCGCCGCTGTGCATCTGCTCCAGCGTCAGCGCAAGAAGACCGACCGCAACCGCAACCCATTCGCTCCCCGGGGCAAGCGCAACAGCTTGCTTAGCTCGGTGATGAAGCGCCAGGGCTCGCAGGACTCGGGCTGGCGATGGGCGTAGGCCTGTCACACCCTGTCTCGAGTCATTTAATTATTTGAAAGTTTGTCTTGTCAGCGACCATGTTCATGTCTTCTTTCTTTTTCTTTTCGCTTGTTCTGTCTGGGTTTGGGTATCTCTGGTCATTTTATCGTCTCACACATCTCCTACTTTTGTCTCCTCACACGCTCGCCGTGTGGTATCTATATATACCCCCCACCCCTTCTTCTCATTTCTTGTACAGTTCTTGGGGTTGCCTGCGAAGACCCCGCCAGCGGGCTCGCGGCACCTCAAGACCTTTATTGTTGCATTCATTTGGCGGTTTGATGTCATTTCCATCCCCGGCGGGTGAGAGCAATACCGAGCTGAGCTCGGTGCTGTGATGATACAACGATCATTGCGCTGCCGGCGTGGCTGTGTTAGCATATCTAGGGAGAAATACTGCATTCTTTAATTCTATCTGCTTTTCCCAGAAACCTACCTACCATCCGAATCACTCTTAAGTATCTTTTAGAATTAGAAAGCCACCGCCACCGCCAACCCATCCAGCTCACGCTGGTAGTTCCGATGCTGCGCAATCTGATAGAAAAACATCCCGACAAAGTCCTTCGCCCCACGCACTATCGCAGCCGTCTCCCGGAAATTCTCCGGTTTCTGGATGCCCCCCGCCGTCACCACCCCATACCACTCGACCGGCTCCGCCGCTGCAACCTGCAGGGCCGGCGCAGCGCCCAACGCATCCTGCACCAACGCCCCAGCCTCCCCCGTCGCCCCGAGCGCCTTAAGATGCCCAAACGTCTCGGCAATCCAGTGCCGGATCTGGCCGTTCTGCGCTAGCGTCTTGACATGCGCGCCGCCAGGGATGAACGTCGCATCGAACAGCGTCGATCGCACGCCGTCGAGCTGGTGGTCGGGAACGATGCCACTGCCAGCCGCCGCAGACGCAGACGGTGTTTCGCCCTCAGCGTAGATCCGCGAGCGCCGCGTCCCAACGACAACCGGCAGAGCGCCTGCAGCCTTGACGGCAGCCCGGACCCCGGCAAAGGCGACGGGGTCGAATCCGTCGCCGATCAGAAGAGCCACGCGCCGGCTGGCGATCGTGCCGGTCGCGGGCATAAACTCCGTCTGCGAGAGGTGCGGCGCCCGCCGGCCCGCGTTCGCGCGCAGTGCCCGGTCCGGGACGGGCGCGCCTACGAGCCCGGCGACTGCCTGCGCCAGCGGCAGATCGATCTCGGCGAGACGGTGGCCGGCCACGCGCTCGTAGACAGCCGGGTCATCGCAGTGGTCGAGTTCGAAGCCCAACGCCTTGCGTACATGCAGCTGCTCGTGAGCGGACAGCGAGTTATAGAAGAGCTGAGCCTGGCTGAGATGGTCGCCGAATTTGGCGCTCAACGTCCTCTGCTTCGTGCCGCCGACTCTTGTCCCTGCTGCGGTTTGGAACCCACCGCCCTCGGATTCAAATGATGTCGGTGCGTTCGCTCCGAACCGGTTCGGCCAGTAGTTCACCGTCCCCTGTGTTATGCGGTGGCGCATACGCCCGTCGCGATTGTGGTTTAGGACCGGGCACACGGGCCGATTGATGGGCAGTTCCTCCCAGTTCACACCCAGCCGACTAATCTGCGTATCGAAGTACGAGAAATTGCGGCCCTGCAGCAGTGGGTCATCGGAGAAGTCGATGCCGGGCACGAGATGGCTCGTGCAAAACGCGACCTGTTCCGTTTGCGGGAAGAACTCGTCAACGTTGCGGTTGAGTTCCAGTTCGCCGATGACTCGCAGCGGGACTAGATCCTCAGGCCAGATCTTTGTTGCGTCGAGCACGTCGAACTCGAAACTGTCCTGCTGCTCTTCTGGGATGACTTGGATGGCGAAGTCCCATTTCGGGTAGATCTTGTTGTCGATGGCTTCCATTAGGTCTTTGCGATGGAAGTCTGGGTCTTGGCCTGCCAGCTTGAGGTTCTCGTCCCAGACGAGTGAGTGGACGCCCAGATGCGGGATCCAGTGGAATTTGACGAAATGTCGCTTGCCGGCCTTGTTTACTAGCACGAAGGCGTTGACGCCGAATCCCTGCATCATTCGGAATGAGCGTGGGATGGCGCGATCGGACATGGCCCACATGAACATGTGCGTTGCTTCGGGGTGTAGGTAGACGAAGTCCCAGAAGTTGTTGTGAGCCGTCTGGGCCTGGGGCACTTCGTTGTGCGGTTCTGGTTTGACGGCATGCACTATAGTAGATGGATGTGTTAGGGCAAGGTTGCCATGCGCAAATTGCATGTCAAAAAGGGAAGGGGTTGAACATACCAAAATCAGGAAACTTCACCGCATCCTGAATAAAAAACACCGGGATATTATTCCCCACCAAATCCCAGATCCCCTCGTCCGTATAGAACTTGACCGCGAAGCCGCGCACATCGCGCACCGTATCCGCGCTGCCTCGACTACCCTGCACCGTGGAAAAGCGCACAAAGACCGGCGTGTTCCTTGCAGTGTCAGTCAAGACACCCGCATACGTGAGATCATCAAGACTCTTGTGCAATTTGAAGTTCCCGAATGCGCCGGTTCCGCGGGCATGAACGACGCGTTCGGGGATGCGTTCGTGGTCGAAGCGGGTGATCTAGATTAGATTTGATTAGAGCTTGAGTATAAGCAAAAAAGGAACATCAATAGAAGAGATAATAGGGTTTTCCCTCCAAAGTAGGCAGTCTGTGTCCTACCTTCTCTCGAGCAATTTGATCCTCCAGAAGTGAAGGCCCCGTGTGCTTGTCATCCACGATTCGCAGCCATTGGTCTGTGTTCTCGACGCGCACGCCGTGGTCCGTGGTGAGAGGCTGCTTGGTGTGGATGTTGGCTGTGTCGCGCTCCAGGTCGACGACTTTCTTTTCTTTTGAGGTGGCTCGCTGGATGGCCTCTTGGACTTTGTGGAGGCCGCCTGCGATCACGGAGGCCATGTTGATTTGTCTATGAGTATGACGGAAGATGCTATGTTGGGGGGTCAATTATGAGATGAGGATATTGGAAATGGTGCTTCTCTGGTTGGTTTCTTTTATGTCTGGTTTTCTATTCCTGTTATTCAGTATTGGCATTGCTCTCCCGGATATCAACATGGGACGTCAATATGACGGGGTGGACGTCACGCTGACATGGTACGGCTTGCCCTAAATCATGATGCTACTAATTGAAATATATTGAATATAGGGCAGTCAGATGTAGGCAGACTGTCGATATTCAGTTCCCTCAACTCACATAGATTCTTCCTTCGAAGGGCTGCAATGTCTCCAAGACTGGTTCTTTGCAATTGCTGATCAGCATCTTCATATTGGCAACATTCTTCACTTGAGTAAATGGCTGGGATTCTCTCGTAAAGTTCAAAGCCACCAGTGCTCTGTTACCGTCCCTCGACTTGATAAAACAAAAAGTATCTTGGTTGCCGTAGTCCACCACTTCGAAAGCCCCGTGGATGAACAGCTCCCGGTATTCCTTTCTGAGACGTAGCACATCCTTCCAAAACGAGAGCACGCTCGTTGGGTGATTCTGCTGCTTCTGCACATTGATCTCCGGGTATAAGTCATGAGCGCGCATCCACGGCGTGCCCGTCGTGAACCCAGCATGCGGCGAGCCATTCCATTGCATGGGCAGCCGGGAATGGTCCCGCGCTAAGATACGAAGACCATCCATGAGACGGTCCTTGCGAGTAGTGTCCACGCCACTGGCACTCCGCCGCTCGGCCTCCCGGTAGTATCCTTGGCCCTCGATATCGCGGTACTCGTCAATAGGCCAGTTGTGGGGAGCATTGATCATACCAATCTCTTGGCCCTGGTAGAGGAACAGCGTCCCTGTCAGGGCGACCATCATGAGAGCCAGCATCTTGGCCGAACGTTCCCGGAACTCAGGCGCATCCGACGCAAACCGAGACACAGAGCGACCGTTATCGTGGTTTTCGCAAAACGCCGTTGTCCAGCCATCCGTCCCTTCAACGAAGGACTGCCATTTCTCCACGATGGATTTCATCTGCGTCAGCTTCCACGGATGAAAGATGTACTTGTCCTCCAGGCTCGGGCCCATGCCGATATGTCCAATATCCAGGTGGAAGACCATACTGAGCTCTTTGGCAGACGCGCCCACATACCCCAGTACCTGTTTTGGGTCTGGCGTGTTGGCCAGCTCGCCGACGGTCATGATATCTCCGTAGGGTGCTAGTGCCTGGTCGTACATCTCGCGCAAAAACTCGTGGATGCGCGGACCGTTACACCACATTTGGATGGCGGGTTTCATTTCGCTCTTTGGGTCTGTGATGGGCGCGTCGGGGAAATCGGTGTGCTTGCTGTACTTGTTGACGGTGTCGACGCGGAACCCGTCGACGCCCTTGTCAAGCCAGAAGCGCACCGCGCTGTTGTAGATGGCTTCGCGTGCGGGCTGATGGTCCCAGTTGAGGTCGGGCTGCTCTTTGGCATATAGATGCAGGTAGTATTCCTGGGTGTGTTCATCCCATGTCCCTGTCAGGCGATCTGCGCATTAGCTCTGACAAAATGAACGTCAACACTAAGGAAACACAAGACTCACAAGTACTTCCAGCAAAATAGCCCCGATAGTTGCTCGGAGGGATACGATTCCCGTCTTTGTCATAGCGTGGCGGCCGCCAGAAATACCAGTCTCGCTTGTCGCTGTCCTTGCTGCGCCGGCTCTCTTGGAACCAGTCATGCTGGTCGCTGGTGTGGTTGACGACCAGATCCAAGATGAGCTTCATGCCGCGCTGGTGACAGGCAGCGACTAATCTCTCGACATCCTGCACAGTTCCATAGGCTGGTAGCACGTTTTCATAGTCGGAGACATCATAACCCATGTCATGCATAGGCGAGTCATACATCGGAGACAGCCAGACGACGTCGACTCCCAGCGAATGTAAATAAGGGATTTTGGCGACAACGCCGGGAATATCGCCCCAGCCATCGCCGTTGGAGTCGTAGAAAGACGCCGGGTAAACCTGGTAGACGGTGGCTTCTTTCCACCAGTTGTTGGTGGCCATAGCGACGTGATTGTAAACATCTTCTGTATGCGACTTTTATGTTCATCTTATACGTTGCTCGTTCTCATGCAATATACGCCCTGGTCTCCGCCGAGCCCCCGACACCCGAGCCCTCCGGCTTGCCTCCGCGTTGCCTCCGACTTGTCACCGACGTCAACGGTGATTCGCCGTGCGTCTCTCCATACCTTGGCATGTTTTGGCTTCGAGCGTGGGGTTCCCCAGATCCGCAATGCAGGCACTCTGTCTCTCCGAATGCTGGGGGAGCAAGGATATAAATCGTGTTGCCCCGTCTCAATTGTGGCATGAGGTTTTCTCGCATTCTTCAGGACCACAGGTTCTGACAATATCTGAATCTCTGAATCTCTGAATCTGCAGCATATTTGCATTCTCTATTCACCATGACGCCTTCTATCGATCATGCCGACCCTCCTCAGGGCAAACCACCTCCCCTGGTGGAAGGCAAGCAGGGAGCCAAGAAGGAACACTCCATGACTCTGTGGCAGGCGTTGAAACTGTACCCGAAAGCCGTGGGTTGGTCTGTCTTATTGTCATCCACTCTCATCATGGAGGGATACGATCTGGCGCTGCTGAGCTCCATGTATGCCTCGCCGGCGTTCAACAAGAAATTCGGCGTCCAAACCTCCTCGAGCAAATGGGTGGTGCCAGCCTCCTGGCAGTCCGGTCTGTCCAACGGCGCACGCTGCGGTGAAATCCTTGGTCTACTGCTAAACGGTCTGATATCCGAGCGCCTGGGATACCGACGAACCATGATGGGGGCCCTGGTCACAATCACGGCAGTGATCTTCCTGTTCTTCTTCGCTGTGAATATTCAAATGTTACTGGCAGCCGAGATCCTTGCAGGCATCCCATGGGGCATCTTTCAAACCCTACCAGCCGCCTACGCCTCGGAGGTGTGTCCTGTCGTGCTGCGCCCTTATTTAACGACGTTCATCAATATGTGCTGGGTATTTGGCCAGTTTGTAGCCGTTGGCGTCAACCGAGGGTCCATTTCACGCGACGACGAATGGGCTTATCGTATTCCCTTTGGCGTGCAGTGGGCATGGCCTGTGCCTATCTTGATCGGGTGTGCCTTTGCACCTGAGTCGCCCTGGTGGCATGTCCGTCAGGGCAACCTGCAAGCAGCGCGCCGCGCTCTACAGCGACTCACCTCGTCCGACGACCCAAGCTTCAACCCGGACGAAACCCTCGCCATGATCCAGCACACCAATGAGCTCGAAAAGTCTCTCTCCAGCGGTACGAGCTACTGCGACTGTTTCCGAGGAACGAATCTTCGCCGAACTGAAGTCGTATGTGTTGTCTGGCTGGTACAGACTCTGTGCGGGCAGAACCTCATGGGGTATTTCGCCTACTTCTGCGTCCAGGCTGGCCTGCCCACGGTGGACTCTTTCAATATGTCCCTGGGGCAATATGGCCTCGGTATTGTGGGCACACTGGGGTCATGGTGATTGATGTCAATGGCAGGCCGTCGCACCATCCACGTTTGTGGCCTCGCCAGTCTCTTCGTGCTGTTGATCGTCACGGGTTCGTTATCCTTCGCACCGGGCGCCAACAGCGCTGCAAAATGGGCTATCGGCGTGATGTTGATTATCTTTACCTTTTGCTACGACATCACCGTCGGTCCGGTCACATACTCATTGGTCTCGGAGCTCTCTTCGACCCGGCTCAAAGCCAAGACCATTGTGCTTGCCCGCGCTCTGTACAATGTCAGCAACATTGTTGTTAACGTGCTGACCAACTACCAGCTGAGCTCCGTTGCGTGGAACTGGGGCGCCCGTAGTGCATTCTTCTGGGCTGGTACATGTCTTGTGAGTTTGATCTGGGCGTTTTTCCGTCTGCCCGAGCCCAAGGGGCGGACTTATGGGGAGCTTGATCTGCTGTTTGAGCGGGGTGTGTCAGCGCGCAAGTTTGCGACAACTTCGGTTGACCCGTATGAGGGCGAGGTGACGGAGGTGCGTGAGGACCATGTCGACAAGGACTGAGTGGGCAGCATAGGGCTCGGTGTTATTTTGTATGTTCTAGTGTGTATTCTCTAAGTAGCAATGAAGTAAATACAACATCAGCAAGCAAACGTCCAGTTGGACTAAGAGTAAAAGCCTTGCCTATGATCGAAATATAAATTCCAAGTGCCTGGTAGGTGATTAGACGGCCTTCGGGGCAATGTCGGCGAGGGCTTTGCGGGGTCTCCACACATCCTGGCTCCGTTCACCCGCATCCCCAGATCCTCTCTCCAATGCCCGAATCGCCCGTCAAACAGGCGTGCGATGCCTGTCGCCGGCGCAAGGTCAAATGCGGTGTGTCGATCAGCCAATGTGGCGTGTCGCTCGCTGTTGCAGCGACAGAAAAAGGGCCGCCAGGGCAAAACCGCCAACATCCTCCATGAATTGAGAGCCAAGGAAACACCGAATGAATGCATCCAGCCTCCAAATATCTCTGGAATTTCACCATCTAGCGACGCTCTGCAAGTTGCGAAATCTCCAGAGGCGGCTAGCTTCCCAGGAAGATGTCATTTCACTAGGGCGCCGGGTCTGGTGAACCCAGAGCTCATTCGCGCATGCTCCGAGTACTTTTTCGCGCGGATGCGAGGCACAGTACCCATCCTGCATACCGACAGCTTCAAGAAACAAGTCGAGCAGACCAATGACTCGCTGCATGCGTATTGCATAGTCGCCGCATTCTGCGCGTTTGTCATACGCCAAACTGGGTTCTGTGCGTCCGTGCATGGTGACCAGCCGGTCGAAAAGCAAGCGCTGGTCGAAGAAGCAACCGAGGCTCGAAGGCATCTTGATCCACTCACTGGTTCCGTCAGGGAAAGTATTATTGTTGCCTTTCTGATATATCGCTGCCACATTGGACTGGGAACCAGCGCCATGCCTATTATTTTTTGCGGGAGGCCACGACCCTGTACACAGCCAGTGTTCTGGATAGCGAATCCACGCCACAAACAGGCGAGGATCCTTCTCTAGCATGTAACTTGTTTTGGCTGCTTTTGGTTTCGGAAAGGTATGTATATTGCAAATGATTCGCATAGCGAGTCTATACACTAACAACGCTCAGAGCCCATGCGATCCGACGTCACAGACCGATTACACTACAAATCACACCCGAAAGCCCCCCATTAGACGATGGTCTCTCTACCGATGCAGCTACCCTCGGATTTCGCTGTCTGGTCGACCTCTACCGCCCCTTCGACGAGACCTTCCTAAGTCAATGGAACGGAACCATGCCTCGTGCTCAATGGAGGCACTGGTCCAGCTCGAGCAACGTATCCAAGCCGCCGTCCCACCAGATCTTGACCTTCCCGATGTACTCATGGCCGATCTGCGCGTGTCCCAGCAATGGCTCCGCATCATGATCTGGCAGCTCTCTACAACCGCGGGGTTCCTCTCAACTAAACCCACCCACGGATGCATGGACTTTCGCTATCCGCTCCTGATTACACAGGATCTCTGCCTCGCGACGTGGAAGCTATCCCGACAAAGTATGGAAACACATGGGATCGGCCTTGTATGCATTTCTTTTCCTAGTCTGCTGGAAAATGCACCCTCGCTAACAAAAACTCAGATTGAAAAGATCTTCGAGGTTACCTGTACATTGATTGATGTAATGGCTTGTCTATCTGCAGCGGGACTCCGGTCCTCGGGCTCTAAGCTTGGCCCCCAAGACTACCTGAAGCATTTCTTCACCCTCATCCACGACCTACCGGGTGGACGGCCGCGGTTCCTGCCGCTGTTATTGACAAAAATGAGCCAGACCCTTCCTTCGATGATGGAGTCCATTACGGTACATCTCAATCTGCAGCCCGGGCCCCTTGTTCCGGATTCTAGAAGGATGGATTCATCTACCTCGATGATGGCCGGCCCTGGATGTACTACTGAACCAGATCAGGCAAACATGAGTCCTGGAATTAGGCCAGATGACAGCGCATTGGGTAATTTCAACTATGCAGAAATGAGTCGTATTGGCGATAAGACGCCCGAGATCGACGAGGTGTTCCTTCAGTACTCCAGCTATTTCTCCTGATAACTTTTAGCCCGGATCTGACCCAGACCTCAGTCCAAGACCTTTCACGGAGCGAGCCTATATGCTCTGTTCTGTCCAGAGTTTCTCATCTTTTGGAGGCTTCCAACTCGATTATTAGACCAGCCGTCCTTGAAGCAAAGCTCGACCCCCTCCTCCTGACATATCTCTTCCACTGGCGCAAAGGCTTTGAAGATGTTAGCCTGGGTCGCTAGATCTATGATATGATATGATATGATAACAAGTTGATTTCCCCTCTTACCATTGACTGTCTCTCCGAACGCATTGAGCTCAATTCTTGTCAGAAAGGAAAAAAATTCTCTGCACCGCAAAAACATGTCACACAGGTTATCCACAGCAATCGAATAATCACTCTTCTCCATGTCCTGCAAAAGAAGATACTCAAGACTTCTGGGAAGAACCACGGTCAAGGAATCGGTGGGCAGGTCGCCAAGCCGAAAGTTCAAGAGGATACGCAAAGGCAGACACACTTCACGCAGCTGGTCGAATTCCACGGGATCCGAACCACAGATCCTGCATTTTTTTTTATTCCTGGTGCTCGTCGTCGTGCGCGGTGAATTTCGCGATGATGTCGTCAAACCCGTCATCACTCTTGCACTCCTCTTCTTCGTCGCACCACATGCTGTCGACGTACAGGTTGCAGATGGCGGGGCCAAACCGCGAGTTCTGATGGAGGGCGTGTGCCAGACTGGGTAGGTTCTCTCCTTCTATCCTCACCGTGAGGTCTGAGTTGTAAATCTCGGAGAAGAGTGTGTGCCAGCCCCGACATACCCGCAGGAGGATGCTTCGGTCTCGGAAATCAGGAATGTGTTTATATATTTGCAGGAGGATTTCATTGGGGAGGAAGGCCATATTGGCTTCGCTGTTGATTGGATGTTGATTCTCTGTTCTTTTGCTGTATCTTTTGCCGTTCCCATCTCTTTTTCTCTCTTTTGTTTTCTTTCTCTCTTCTCTCTTGTGGTGGCGCCGCCAATCCACCTCGACGATACCTTGCTGTCTGTGTTGACGTATTGATCAACACACATTTCGAAGAAACGGGCTTGTGCTATGGTTCTTATATGGACCTGAGTGACGCTGGCGGGGCGAGCTGGGCCCAGCAGTGGATCGACGGCACGGCTCATTGGGGCGATGCTATTTATGCTCAGTGAGTTAAAGTAAAGCTACAAGATAGACATAAGTACAGCTACGTATAGGCGGCTGAAGGAGCTTATATCTCCAACTCAATCGGGCTGATATCATTTTGAAACTACCAACTGGGCAGAGTGCCGGTACTATACCAATGGCCAGCGTGAATGGAGATCTATCTCGTTCAGATTTTAAGTATTCATACAAAAAAAAAAGCCACAGTGATTGTACAGAATCTTCTCTATGCATAGGAGCACGCAAGTGTGAATCAGAAGAGAGGGAAAACTACCACCCGAAATTGTGCTCTGTAGAAAACACGCCACCAGTCGGTCTCGAAGAAAAACCAGTGTATGAGTGAAAATGCAAGAAAAGAGGTTTAGGAAGGCTTAGGCTCAAAGCATGGAAGTCATCACATCATCATATCAGGAGTATAAACGGATCACGGGCTCATCAACTCGTCGTCATCCGACTTGTAGTTGGCGTCGTCGCTATCCTCGCCCCAGCCCTCGGCTTCGAGCGAGCGGTCGCGGATCCCGAAGCTCATAAGGAAGCCGACGAAAGAAACGGCGCCGAAGACACCAAACGCCAATGCTTCGCCCTTGGGCTGGACTTTCGACGTCAGGGAGAACAGGCCACCGGACAGAAATGGACCGACAGCTCGTCCGGCGGCAGACAGGGTCTGTGCAAGACCGTTGAGAGCGCCCAGGACGGCATGGTTTGGTGCGGAATTGGTGACCTGCAGAAAGAAAAATGAGCACTCTGGAACCAACTTCATGGCGGACAAGAAAATATAGAAATGGGAACATCACATACCAATAACAGGGCGCTGGTCAGGCCGCCCACAGAGGCAACGGTTTTGACCAGCAACACGAAGCACAGCTCCAGCGCCATGAGCGCGGATTTGCTGGTCAGCTTCTTGTCGACGACGCTCTTGTACCCAACGAACGGCATCAGAACAAACGAAACCACGAAGCCAAAGAGCCCCGCGCGGTATGACCAGCGATTGCCCATCTTGTCGCGCAGGCGGTTGAAGATGCAGATCTGGAAGATAATCGTCACGCCGCCGGCAAATCCCTGCGAGAGACCAATCTCGGAAGGGGTCAGCGCGCGCCCGATTGGGGGCTTCGCTTGCGCAAAGATAGGGAAGAGCGAATTGAATGACACATTGCATAGAGCAAAGATCAAATAGGTCAGGAGAAGCAGAACGGTGTCCCGCGTGAAGATCTCATCCCACGTGAGTTCCTCAGAGGGGTGGTCGACTTCGCCCGAGACCTCTGAAGCCGAGTCCAGATCGCTGTCGTGGTCGGCGGCCTCGGCAGTGTTACGGCGCATCGGGGGGCATGGGACTCCTTGCGGGACCTGAACATAGGTCGGGTGCCGAGAGGAGCTCGTGAATTGCCACAGCCACGTGAAAAGACTGCGGACCTTTTGACCGAACTTTGGAAGACTGTCGGCGTCTTCCAGGCTCTCTTCCAGAAAGAGTGATGTCAACGCGAAATCCACAAGGAGAATGATAGCCGAAAGAATGTTAGGCGCAAGGTAGGGAAACGGGTTCTCCTTGCCGGTGAACGGATTGCGGTCAAAGACTAACAGACCTCCCAGCAGAGGACCCGAGATACCTCCGATGCCATAAAGAACCGGGAGATACGTGAACGCCTGAGACTGATTGCTCCGGTCCGTGATCTCTCCAAGGCAGGTGGACACCAGGCCTTGGTTACCATTGACCACGCCCATTAACGCCTGCACCGTGATGGCTTGCCACAGTGTCCTGCAAAAGCCAAATGCAACAAAACACAGCGCCGTCAGAAGGGTGCCAAGAAGGATTACGGGCTTGCGCCCCACGCGGTCTGACAGCCACCCCCAGAAATAGTTGGTGACGAATTGCGCCAATGCGAATGCCGAGGCAATCGTTCCCACATAGACTCCCACCTCACTGGGCTCGACCTCGGGAAATGTTGATGCCATATCGGGGAGATAAGGACTGATCGAGTTCAGGGCGGTTTGCTCGGCCAGGGCGATCATTGCAAGCACTGCCATTTGCTTCTTGGGGAGCGGCGATTGTGTGCCGGGGTGGGCGGTAGGCTCATGGTGAGATTCGTGCGAGACATCGCCCGCGGACTCGGACTGACCCGAATTCGGTCTCCCACGCGACTTGGGTGGCGGGGTGTCGAATGTCTGGTAGTGCTGCGTGGAGGAGCGGCGATTCAGCGGAGACCGATCCGGCAGCGACATCGTGCGCAGCCTGGCGGTGGAATACAGAGTCTCCTGTGCAAGCCGACCATGCAATTGGGTATCGACGGGTTCGGTCGTAGCCGCGGTTCTAGGTCGTGTGGGAGCCGGTGCGCGCGGTTGCAGCCTCTTAAAGCAACTGAATAGACTGCCCCCAGGGTATTTGATGGTTCTTCCGACACAGAGATAAGGTTCTGGAGACGCAAATACTAGCAGATAGCTGTTGCTCCAGGAGGTTTACCATTGACAACGCAATTGGCAAAATAGAAGACCTCAGGCAAGATGATGATGTAAGCGGTCTGGGATGCTGAGTCATCGGGTCTGGCCAGCCGCAGTGGCGGCATTATTCATCCGCCCAGCCCTCTAGGGCTACCGACATACTAAGGAATTAAGCCATGGTCTATGGGGGAAGTAAAAAGAAAAGAGTCCGAAGAAAAGCCAGCCAGCATATAGAAGTAGCTGAAGTTGCATCATGGATTCCGTGGTTATTATTGTAGTTTGCTTGGTCTTGCTGCGCTATCTCTTCAGAGAGAGGTTTGAAGATTTGCCGTATTGCAATCATATAGCTAGCGATATTTAGCTCTTAAGATCATCTATTGCCATAGATAAGTTTACAAGATACGTATTGGGTCAGTCCTGGTGAGTCGTTGAGCCAACTTCAAGAATGGGGCCATCGCAATAAGAGAGCGCCTTCTACACGGAGATTATACTTCCGACATCAACTCCCAGCCATGGTCACATAGCCACCATTTCCTGCAGGATTTCACGTTCGGGTCGGGGCAATGCATGTTGTCTAGAAATTTAGAGCGGGATGGCTTGGCTTGGGGGCTGCTGGGATCTTGCTTAAAGGAAGTGGAGTCTTGAGGACGTCTTGAACCCATCTTAAACTATAGAATCCACTTTTGTAAGACGAAAGACAAGTGGAGTGTTACCGCTCCATACATTAGCCTAGGAAAAAGCAGGGGAAAGCAATGATGGATAAAGACAAGATGTCACATCGTCTTCTCTCAAACTACATTACACTCTGGCAAAATTCTCGATTCTCTTCGGGTTCCTTAGGCGACTCCTCAAGGAAATCCATTCCAGTCAATATCAATATGACTTTTGTTCATATGGGTAAGATTTCCATTCAACACCGCAGTAAATGGCTTATTAAAAACTCACTGGCTTCGTCAGTGCTGCTCAAATTCCGCCCTGAGGTCACCCAGGAGCACAAGACGGCCTTCGTCAAAGAGCTCAAGACACTCAAGAATCTGGCCTGTGTCAAAAACAACCGATTGCTCTTCGGTGGCCCATCAGTAACCAACCCCATTGAACGAAGCAAGGGGTTCGAGTTTGCCCTGGTGAGCTACCATGAGACTCGAGCGGCATTGGATGAGTACCAATACTGCAAAGAACATGCTCAGTGAGTTGCATTGCATCCAAGATAGTAAAAAATTGTCGCATGCCATGCTAATAGTCAACAGCATCTCAAGCACCTATCTCTATCCATCGTACCTGGAGGACATCTCCGTCTTCGACTTCCAAGTCGATGCAGAGGATGAATACATGTGTGATTTTGGGCCAACTGCGAAAATTTAAATAACTAAAGGAAGTGTATAAGAGATGAATGATCAATTAACCCTATTGCAAGAATTTCTAAAGCCTTGCCTTGACATGAACCCTTCGCTCCAACTGGTTTGGTGGGAATCCTCGGCCGACCATCACTCGGTGATTATGGCCGTACCATACTGGGCCCTTTTGACAATCAAGGCCTCGCTCCTCTCCCACCAGCCATTCACCACCCTTCTTGATAGAATAATGAGAATCCTCAGGCCAGTACTCGGCCTGGAGCCATGCATTTAGGCTCTCAATCTTGTTTATGAAGGTTTTCACTTTCTGCGTATCGATTTGACCATGTTCCTCACCCTGCAAACGAAAGTCCTTGTTCGTAATAAACCGAGCGATGGTAACATGTGCAGATGGAACGACGTAGCGGGATCGGATCGGGGTCCCCGTATCCACCGCGATCTGATGGATGTCACGCCGGAGATGATGGTATGTGTATTTATCGTCGTCGGCTGTGCGCGTGGAACGGGCAAGACCTTCACCGGCAGCCGGAAGAAAGCTCAGGGCCAGGCCAGACCGGTCATAGCTAATAAAAGGCTTCACTAGCCGAGTCCGGTGGTCGTAGGTGTAGTTCGCAATCTGTGAAAGGCCCTGATGCAGAGGCACAAAGAGCTCCTCAAGTTGATCTTTGGTCAGGGAATGGGCGATTTCAAGGGAGGTCATATGTAGGTTCTCCCGAGGCATCATCCAGAGGCCTGGGCAGATTCCATCTGTTAGTCCTGTCTAAGATAGGGTGGTAGAGCGACACATCATATCTCACTGGGTGCAACATTCTGAATATTCTTTTGGATTTTCTCAACCAGATCTTGTACTGGCTGAGGAGGTCGGGCCCAAACAATGGCATTTTGTCGCGGGTCTTTGTAGGTGGGATCTCGAGCAGGCCCCTCTAGCTTCATCAACACGGCATCCAAGCTCCACCCCGAAAAATTTGAATCGAGGATAAGTGTCTTTTGCTGAGAATTTCTCGTGCAGCGATGCTTGTGATAGAGGGCTTGTAGTTTGGTCTATAATGCGCGTCAATTAAACATTTATACATACCACGGGGCGAGCATCATACCAGATCGTTGTTGGTATCTCTTAGTGCCACATCAAATGGATTATCTCGAGCACGAGCCTGTACTGTAGACGACATTCTCGGTGCTGGGGGGTTGACCACAAGAACAACAATAATTCGAGAGCGCCTTCAGCTAGTGCATTAAAGATATCTCATGATGTATGGAAAATACAACCCTTTACCAATCTATACAAAAATGTCCCCCACGTCCCCACCTGCCAGGATTCTGCTGTCATAGGTCCCCTAAAGCTCAAATTTGTGGCATAAATATGGTTGGGACTAGAGGATTGAGAGAGCAAAGCATGGAACACTGTGGCCCATTTCATCATATCATTGCTCAGAGACCATGGACCTCTTCACGCATGAGTCATTTGAACAGAATAGTGCAGCCAAGCGGGTCTCCAGCCAGCCTTGCTTACATATGAGGTTAATCTGGTGTCACTCACCTGCTTGAACAGGTCAATTAAAAGGAAAGTAACCGGGCTACACCTAAGTACTATGTAGGTCAAGTCAACGGTATATGCACAACATACGAGCGTCGCAATTCAGCCCCTTGGCATGGGGCCCGTGTTGATCATTTGCCCTTTTGTGGTGTACACGTGAATACTTTATAGTGGATAGTGGGCATCATTATGCTCATCAAACCCCGTTAGAAACATAATATAGGTCCGGCAACTGAATTTCTTCTTATGGAATTTTGTAAAATGGGATAAGGGGACCTTGACCGCGGCTTATCGTGGTTGATTTGGCGGCGGGTGATTATTGAAATCAGATAGAGCTAGCATTTCTCCACTCTTTCTGGACGGATTGTTTCCGAGATCACCTCACAGAGCCTTGATCCTTGGGGGCCGGTCAAGCAATCGCTGTGCTAAAACCAGTGCTCTGCCAGATATCGAAGCCAAGGACTGAATATTTGGAGATATTCTTAAACTTTCAGTCTTACCCATCGCAAAATCCTTTGGGGGCTAACTAAATGCTTATGGTACATGCCTGGGTTGTTTCCAATAGTAGAACACCTTGGATATACCAAGACAGAGGTCACAGGAACTGAGAAATGCTCTAAGAAGGAGTTGACCGCAATGCCGTCCACAGAAAAAGAAGGTCAACCGAGATACTCGCAGCTTATCCTAAGAAGTAAGCTATAGTCCAAGAACGAAGGTACTGTAGATCGTCCAGATCAATGGGAATTTTTGCCGCCAGTTCATGCACCTCAGCCTGGGGTTCCTGATAATTCGAACTCATCATTCCGGCCCCTGGGTCGTTTATGCCGTGTTTATCTAACTCATTTCCCAATTCAGTAAAGATCGCATCTCACTGCTTCAAAAACACGAATCCTGCTCTAATTCAATGGATAGCCAAGCATGCGAAGACTTCAAGGTGGACAGCACCGATGGAGAGGCTCTAATGGAGACTATATATTTGGTCGTTCCTCGACATAAATTGATGACAGTTTAGTTATTTTGTCTTAGGATTTTGCGAGCTCTTCTCAATACCTCAGATTCTCTACAATGCCTCTAGTACCAGGCCGTGAAGCCATCCCACTAACGGGGGTGAACCAATTCGAGCCACTACCCAATGTGATGAATATTCTTGTGACGGGAGGTGCTGGATTTATGTAAATGACTTTCTTTTCTTTTGTTTGTCCCAATGTACCATGCTGATCAATTCCACAGAGGAAGCTGGTTGACCCGCCACCTGGTGACTCAATATCCCCATGCCTACAATGTGATCTGCCTGGACAAGCTCGACGCAGTCGCCTCGATCAACAACATCAAATGCCTCTTCTCGGCGCCAAACTTTCGCTTCGTCCAAGGAAATATCAACGACCTCCAGAGAGTCCAGTCGGTCCTGGAGACGTACAGGATCGACTGTGTGATCCACTTCGCAGCCAGTAGCCATGTCCAGAATTCCTTCGTCGAGCCCTTCACCTTCACTCATGACAATGTCGTGGGAACGCACCATGTGCTCGAGGCCGCTCGCCGCTACGGCAAAATCACCCGCTTCCTTCACGTCTCCACGGATGAGGTGTACGGGGAGACGAATAACCGCAAAGTGACCGAGATCAGCAACTTCGCCCCGACCAACCCGTACTCGGCCAGCAAGGCAGCTGCCGAGATGTATGTCATGGCGTATCGCCAAAGCTTCGGGCTTCCTGCAGTCATTGTGCGCAGCAACAACGTCTATGGACCATGCCAGTACCCCGAGAGTAAGCTACCCCTACGACATGTTTTCACGAAGGAATTCCACTGACAGCTTTATTCTTGATTACAGAGATTATTCCAGTCTTTACCAAACTGCTCATGAGAGGGGAGAAACTTACCATCCAAGGCGATGGAACCAATACCCGCTGCTATTTGCATGGCTCTGATGCCGCAGACGCATTCGACACGATTCTGCACAGGGGCAAGGTTGGGGAGATATACAACATCGAATCCGACTACGAGATTTCCAATCGCGAAGTAGCTGCCCGCATCCTGACCTTGTTTGGCCATGATCCTGTTCATGATTTCGATAGTCATGTGAAGTGGATTGCTGACCGTCCCTTTAACGATGGCAGCTACAATGTGGATGGCTCGAAGTTGAAACAGCTGGGGTGGAGGCAGCGCATAGATTTCTCTTCGGGGCTTGCACAGACCGTGCAATGGTACAAGCAGAACGTGGATTCGTGGTGGAAAAGCCCTGATAGTGAGCCGGCTATTTTCCCAGCTATTAACTCTAGACTTTGAGGCTGGATTTTGATTCTAGCGTCGCTGAACTATAGATAATGTACATTTTAATGAGATTCTGTTTTTTTAACTGTCTTGAAAGAATATCTTGAATCCCAAATGCCATCTTCAGGGATCTTCTTGCCAGTCGTCCACAGTATTTGTAGACTAGACATGACGTCCCCAAAGTGTTCAATATACTCCCTTGCGAGTGTCTGGATCGAGATGCTGCCAATGGCAACATCCATCTTTGTGAAAAAAAATTTTTTTTTTGCTAGTATCTTCATCTCTCCGCCCGACGTTAATCTCTATTATTGTTATCGGTAATTTCATAGGATCACCAGCATTGCCATGAGCACTAACCGCTTTTTCAGAAACACCCCTCGGGGTCATTCGCACAAGACCTGGACAAAAGGCAAGAACGCGAAAATTCTGGTCCCGAAGTTGGTTATGCATTTAGATCGTCATCATATTCAACGCAGTTTTGCTCATGCGATATTCATCCCACACCTCAGAGCTTTTCCCATTCTGTGGATCGGACGCAAGAACCAACGAGCCCAATGCGCTTGATATCATGGTAATTGGGCGGGGGTGCAATTGTTCTAGCTGTTGCATAGCCGATACCTGAACTGGCGCCTATATGGAGTGAGGACTGAGAGATTATCTGAGGCGACTGCAATCCTGCCAGTAATGACAATGGTTGACTGAAAAAAATTGTACTGTTAAAACAACAGAATCTGTGGAAATAACGAGGTCAATTTAAGGGTTTGAAGCCTGGGTTGTTTATTTTATGGCCCTGACATGGATAGAAGTAGAAATACTTCTACAAAAATGCCGAAGGTTTTATAATTGCATCGTATGATCTACATAGCCAAGTTTTTCGTTCAGCCCCATGAAGAATTATTGTGAGCGCGGAGATAACCGGGTCTTCATATTCGGGTTTAGTTCGGAGTCCGTGGGGCAGACAGCTATGCAAGCCAGAGCATACCCGATCTACGTACATTTCATGTCGGAAATAAAAGCAAATCCGAAAATAAATGTCTGCAGCAGGGCGCATACTAGACTCCCTGTCGATCTCCGGTCCCTCACTAATGTTTAAATTGTTGTGAATAAGATCCTTAATTTCTGTGCTTGCCATTTCACTATCCCCCCCCCATCAACAATCTTCTGAAACGCTATATTACAAGAACCCCGTCAAAAAGAAAATGTCCCGCACTATCAAGAATGTGGCTATTGCAGGGGTAAGAGTGGAACAAGATCACCACATTTGCCTAAATTAACAAGCGGTTAGGCCAGTGGGAATGTTGGAGCTCGGGTACTCGATGCATTGCTCGAGCTCAAGTTCAATGTCACGGTGCTAAGCCGCAGTCCCAAACCCTTCCCGGCCGCTGCTCGCGTGCAAGTTGTTGACTACACCTCGGTGGAGTCATTGTCTGCTGCTATGGCCGGTCAAGACGCAGTCATCGACACTACTTTCTCGCCCGAACTTGACACACCACTTCGACTGATTGACGCGGCGGCCAAGGCTGGGGTCCATCGCTTGTCCGTGAGCCCCTTAGACTGTATCCATCTATGGATAAAACAAAATTACCATTAGCTAATGTGGCGGTTTCCCACACGTTATCAGTATCACCAGCGACTTTGGACTCGATCCTGAAATACCAGGTGTTCATGATATGCCTGTTTTCGGACGGAAGAAGGCTTCTTACGAGGCTGTCAAAAAACAAGCGGCTGATAACCGCTTGACGTACACCGTGGTGGCCTGCGGTGCTTTTCTTGACTGGGGTCTCTCCACTGGGTTTGTCGGTCTGAACTTCGAAGAAAAGACAGCTTTCCTCTTTGGTGATGGCAACAATGTTGTTCCATGGACAACGCTAGATGATGTGGGCAAAGCAACTGCGAATGTGCTTTTGCATCCGCAAGAAACCCTGAACCGCCCAGTCTATGTTCACTCTGTGTTCATGTCGCAAACCCAACTCTTCGATGCAGCAAAAGAGATTTTGGGCAATGAGGGGTGGACGGCCTCGTATAACGATATGGAAGCTCTTTTGCAAAAGGCGCTGGCGGATCTCAAGAGCGGCAACATTACTGATTCCACTTTTGTGGTGCAGATCCAGTACTGCTTAGCAACCAAAGCGCTTGCACACCCCTGGGCACGAGATGATAATTCCCTGGTGGGATTGGAAGAATGGAACGGGAAGAGGGTGAAAGAGCTGATTCAGACGATTGCCCAGAAAGCAGCGTGAAGGAAGCCATTGTGGTCTTCTATGTTATCTCTCGATTGACGGATATTGAAAGGGGAGAGATTCCATATCATTCACAATTCAATTAATAAACTTTTGAGCCCATATCAACTCAACTGAACGGGCGAAGGCGACACTCTTCCCTCTGGCACTGATGGGCTTCCGAAGCCCTAATGCCTGGTGTTACCCGGTCCATTCAATCTCATTTCTCATTTAGCCTTCAATTCTTTTCTGTGCCGCAATGATATTCGCAGTTCTCTTTGATAGGGCCAATTACTGAATTCGGGGGAAGCCTGGAGGTGATTCTTAGTAATAATTATCTGCCTACGGCCAAGTGTAAAGATGTACTTCGAATTATGGCTGATCGTAGTTGCTGGGACTATAGTTGCTAAGCCTGCGAGGAGAGCGGGTTTGGATGTAAAAGGGTTTAGATTCTTATAGTAAAGGTAGCCGGAACTTCCTCACCGCCGCCAAGTGGCCGAGCAGTAACTCGGTTAACGCATCTTCCTTGGTCTAGTGGTGATGATTTCCGCTTGTCATCTTGTGATAAGCGCGGGAGACCGGGGTTCGATTCCCCGAGGGAGAGTCACTTTTTTTTTTATTGCAACTGTATTTTGCACTTGATTTTCTTGATTGCTTTTTACTGCCTATTTTCTGCGCATATTTACTTCGTTATTTTGTCTGTTTCTCTTATTTCGCCTTTTTTTTTACCATTAATTCCCAAATTCCATGGCGCACGAGTGAAAATAAGACAGTCAACCCTAATGACGTCATTATGTGGAGCCAAAAAAATGGTTTACCACTAGAGATAATTTTCGACCAGTTTTCTTACCAACTAGGCCGGCTGGCCCAATGGAAAGGCGCTTGACTACGACCCTAGGGAAATCCTCTCGGTTATCAAGAGATTGCAGGTTCGACCCCTGCGTCGGTCAGTATTTTTGCCCTTGAAAGTAGTAGTTTTTTGGTGCTGCTTTTGTCCGGGAACCCGTTGTCGAAAACTGAGTTCCAATGGAGACTGATTGCACGCGAAGAGAAGAGCGGGTTAGATCATGCCAATGACACAGCATGCCACCTCACTGACAAAGGTGCAAATGGATAAAGAAGAAAGAATCAATTAAATCACTCTAGTTTCTAATTCATGGAGAATGTCGAAGAATGTTCAAGGGATATCAAATCATCACTTCATCAGCAGGCTGACGGCCCAGGGCACACTGAGCCCGCGCAAATCCCCGTAATGCTGGCCAACACCCAAAAAGACAATGGGTATCCCCGTCGCATGAACCATGCTAACCAGTGTTCCAACCATATCGCCGACAGTGTCACACTTACTAATAATGAACCCGTCCAAATTCCTGCCAGTCCCAAAGGCCTGGTTGAAGTTGCGGGCCTGCATGACACTGTCTGTACCAACTAGAGCCTCGCCCACCATGAAAATCTTGTCCGGCTGGGCGAACTTAGCGAATTTCTCGAGCGACGACATGAGCCGCTGGTCGTTGTGGCGGCGGCCGGCAGTGTCGATCAGGACGACGTCGAACTGGTTTGCCGCGCCGTAGTCGACTGCATCTTTGGCCACGTTCGCCGCATCTTTGCCATAGCCCTTTTCGTACAGCTCGACCTCGCCGACGTTCTCGCGGGCACTAAGCTCCTTCAGGTTGCGGGCATGCACGCGGAGTTGTTCCACGGCACCAGAGCGGAAAGTATCGCAGGCTGCAATGAGCACTCGGTAGTTGTTCTGCAGGAGGAAGAAGCAGATCTTGCTCAGGTTGGTCGACTTGCCCACACCGTTAACACCCACAATCGACATGACATAGGGCCGAGGTGCATGCTGCTTGGTGGTAGGTGCCGTCACGGCGTTGATTTCCCGCAAGAGATCTAGAGAAGAGGTCGGCGTCAGGATCTTGCGCAAAGATGACTCCATCGCGATGTGCAATGCGGCATCAACACTTTGAAAGTTTCCAGTCTTCTTTCCGACCAACTCTCGCTCGACGCCCTCGCAGAGCCGGACCGCTGCTTCACGGGCGACGTTCTTCTTGAGAAGGTGGTCCTCCATCGCTTTAAGAGGCTTCTGCAAATCCGCCGCCGTCAAAACCTTGCCACCGACGATATTGCGGAAGAAACCGCCAATTACGTTGAAGCCGGAGCCAACAACACCAGAGGATGCGCTGTCTTTGGACTTTTGGGCATCGGCGTTGTCCAGGATGGAATGGACCTCCTCGCCCAGTTCCTTCAGGACGAATTGGCCTTTACCGGTCTTCCGGCCCCAGGTGTCTTGAGAGACGGCTTCCACCGCGGGCGCGGCAGTACTAGTATCATCTGCTGGGGCAGAGTAATCCAAAATCTCGCCGTCATCTTCGTCGGCATATCCGTCGGCATCCCACTTGCGCATCTTCTTCGTGCCGCCCTTGGCTGTTTTTCCTTTCCGGGTATGCTCGTCACCAGAGGAAACGTTGGCGCTTGCGTTGGCGGCCTTGCGCGCACGACGAGAGACCCGGCCACCGGGACCAGACTTTCCAGTAAGGATGTGGCCCGTGGGAGTTGAAGACCTAGAAATATCAGGAGTTGTCGGTGGCGTGGCCTCATCAGAGGTCGCCCCGGCTAGCGCAGCATGGTGCTGCGCTTTAAAATAATCAGTCTTGGTTAAAAGACTTCGGTAGGGTAATCAAAGTCAATCGCCTCCATACCTTTCACCAGGCCCGGAACCGGTGGCGGCGGAGGACCGCCATTGTCCGATGAGACAAGCGGGTCATTTTTCTCTCCCGTCTCGGCCACATGTGTCTCTGCGACACTACCAGTATTGTCCTCGAGCTCGCGCACTTGTTGCTCAAAGTAAGGGTCGAATCGATACGTGGTGATCCTGCTCCGGTTTCCCTTCAACTGATCCTTGTAGAGGTCGATAAAGATTGTCGAAATGTTTTCCAAGAGCTTGTCGATCCATCCCAGGTGAAGCAGCGACTGATAAACTGCCTATAGACTTGAGGTGAGCTTTTGCGACTCGGCGGGTTCGTTGGTCGCATGCGACAAGACATACCACGAAAATCAGATTAAAATCCTTGACCTTCTTCCACTTCAAGGTATATTTCTCCTTCTTGAATATTGGCGATGCGCCGCTGATAGCAGCATTCTGGGGAACGACTTTCTCCTCGATAAAAACGTCGTTGATCAGGCTGTTAATGACATGCGTCCCCACAGGAGCGTATGACTTGGACCACAGCACCACCCCAGACGTGGTCAAGATTTCAAAGGCTTCCAGCATGTCGATGGATCCTTTTGCTGTAATATAAAAAAAAAGAAGGAAAAGTGCTCCGGTCGGGTTGGGAGAAAAAAGGAGGGCGAGAAGCTGTGGTGGCGGAACGGGCACTGGCGAAGTTGGAGCTCGGAGAGCGGGTCTTCAGCCACGTATAAACTGTTCTTCTGTATCAACCTCCTCTCCTGCACCCCGACGTACCACCGACCTCCCCACATTACCCTGCAGTCGCTCCCTTCCTTTTTCTTTTTCTTTCTTTTCAATTCCCCTTGACTCGATCAGGTGCATTATGTATAGGGGCTCCTTCGCACCTCCGCCCGCGCAGTCACCGCCGCTTCACCACCCCGTCCCGCAACATGTCTCGACCGTCCCTATGATGCGCTCACCACCTCCCCCTGCTCCTCAGCAACCTCCCAGTGCTGGCTATGGGGGCAACCCATATCAGCCATCGCCTGCACAGGGTGCCAGTGGAGCCTATGGCCCTGGATTCGGCGGGATCATCACTGATCCCACCGCGCAGATGGGCTTCCAAGTCGGCAAGACTGCGATGGCAGCTGGACAGGAGTACATGGAACAAAACGTATGCACCCCCTGGATGATTTTCCATTAGGGGCATTGTATCTGACCATCATCCTCGGAACAGTTTAACCGCTATGTGTCCATACCCGCTCTTAAGCACTACTTCAACGTCTCCAACTCCTATGTCCTGAACAAACTCGTCCTTGTCCTTTTCCCTTGGCGACACAAGCCCTGGTCTCGCCAGCAGGCAAGACTGACATCCACCTCGACCGGACCAAATGGCCAGATTGCCCAGCAGCAGTATTCATCCATGTTTCTGCCCCCGCGGGATGACCTCAACTCGCCCGACATGTACATTCCAGTCATGGCTCTGGTCACATACATTCTGCTGTCGGTCCTGCTGGCTGGCTTTCGAGGGTATTTCCACCCCGAGCTGTTGGGGTCCATTACCACGACCGCCATTGCAGTGATTATCTTCGAAATCCTGTGCCTGAAGCTGGCCATGTACATTCTGAGCATCAGCAACGACTCCCAGCTGTTGGACCTGGTGGCGTACTCGGGCTACAAGTTCGTGGGGATTATCGTCACTCTGGTTGCCTCTGAGATCTTGACCCCCGGCCGAGGAACTGGGGGCTGGGTCGGCTGGACAGTCTTTGCGTACACGTTCTTGGCGAATGCATTCTTCTTGGTAAGTCCCATTACTCTACACTTGGGTCAGCGGCATTTGTTAATTTCCTGTCGATAGCTCCGCTCGCTGAAGTATGTCTTGCTGCCTGATTCGACTGACGCCTCGATGCACACTGGCTCGATGCACACTGTGGCTCGCGGCCAGCGCAACCGCCGTACCCAATTCTTGTTCGTCTACTCCTACGTGATTCAGTTCGTGTTCATGTGGGTGCTCAGCCGAGAGGGACCTGCGATGCTGCCGGCTGCAGGAGGCTCCGCCGCGTCATAGTTGAATTGCAGGGGGATGTATCCAGAGAATATTCGCATGCAAAAAGGACACAGATGGGGTTGGAGGGATAAGGTCGGCATCATGTGCGGACAGGACGGGGCAATCCGATGCATCGCCCCAGGGTCTTGGGAACCTGGATTTGGTCTCAAGTAACGATATAGCACGACTTATTGTAATCAGAATATGTTCAATTTCCAACACTTCCATATGTTTACTGCAAATAGAGAGCGATGATTTACGTGTCAGGTCTAGAAGAGAGATGTGGAAAAGAGATATTGAGAAAATATAGTTTATTGCTATCATCTATGAGCTCGCCGGGATTGCTGAGCCACCAGGAAGGTCGTTGACACAGAGATTCGAGATCTATCGACAAGGTTAGAGACTGATTTCAACACGCATTTCCATCATAGCATGCACGGTGTGAGAAAGGTCCTCAGAGATCTTGGTGTAAAAGGAAATATCATAGCCAAAGGCATCATTTACTATCTAGGCGTGATAAAGTGTGTAATCATCGGACCGGGGGAGCGTGATCAAGATAAAGTCACCATCAACGTACCTTTTGTGTCAAAGCCAGGCCAGGTGGTGTCGTGTCTACCTGGGGGTTGAGAGAAAAAAATTAAACGAAAACGAAGCTAGCGATCCTAGAATCTTCGGCCAGTTAGCATGGTTGGTCCATCCAGAGGCAATGGCAGCAGAGAGCGTGCAAGTAGACAGAATTTTCAGAATATGTAAGAAATTGAATATCATCCAGCAGCGCTGTATCGAAACCCCGGCGAGGGCTTCACAGACACTGGGTCAATCGCAAATTACCGCATCATGCAAAGAGATAGGAAAAGAAGGTTAAGTCAGAACGTACCATGAAGAAATGGATGAGGAAGTGAGAAGCTAGAATGTTAGTCGAGGAAATAGCAGAGCGATGAAGACAACATGACAATGAAGAACAGCAGTGGAAAACAAAGAAGCTGCGAAGAAAAAGAGAGGAAGATCTCGGGGCGGAGTAACCTTAGTCCGGGGACAACCCTAGACCGGCCGCAAGTGGCCGGCTAAGCGAGAGATGTGGGCACATCCGAAATTCGCAACTTGGACACTCCCGACTCTTTCGACAACAACCCTCCCGACTCATCCAACAGCCCCGTTGTCGACCGTGAGTGTGATCGCCTGATAAATTGGAAATTCGCGCTGAACCTCTTTTTCTCTTTTAACAGAAATTCGCCATGGCCGATATCGATGTCACGCTCGCTTCGTGGAAGCTGGTTGAGGTTGGCCGCCTGGTGCTGATCCGCCGCGGCCCCTTCGCTGGCAAGCTCGCTGCCATCGTCGAGATCGTGGACCACCGCCGCGTATGTTGAATCGCCCTGTTTTCCTCTCTCCTTTGTTGTGTGGATGTCCTGGAAATTTCGCAACCCCCCGAACAATGGGCGACCAGGCGGGAAATTTTTGTGGAGCTGGGTTGTGGAATGTATAATTGACTCGCGATCGTACAGGTCCTGGTCGACGGTCCCTCCGGCGAGGAGAAGAAGATCGTGCCCCGTCACGTTCTCCCTCTGGCCCACGCCACCCTCACCCCCTTCATCATCCCTCAGCTTCCCCGCGCTGCCGGTACCGGCCCCGTCAAGAAGCTCTGGGCTAAGAACGAGATCGATGGCAAGTGGGCCAAGAGCAACTTCGCCCAGAAGACCGACCGTGCCGAGCGGAGGAAGAACCTGACCGACTTCGAGCGCTTCAAGGTCCTGCGTCTCCGCAAGCAGGTACGTGAACCTCCACAAAGACCGGAGATGGTTCCGCGGTTGCCAACAACCTGCGCGCATCCCCTGGCCCATTAGATTCTTTCTAGTTGGAATTTCCGCTAACTCTCATCGCAGGCCCGCTACGAGGTCCAGAAGTCCTACGCCAAGGTCCGGGCTGCCGCGGCCAAGTCATAAATGATTACGAGGGTGCATAGGATGAAGGAGGTGTCCTGAGACGGGTTTCCATCGCTGGTATTGCCCCAGCAAAATCGCTGTATGCATTATCGGTCAACAGCAAAAATCATTTAAATCCTTGATATCCCGGCAAGGGCCTGTATCAGTGGTTTCTGCATCTGGGGAGTCCCACTGGTCCTTTTGATATCCAGGGAATATTCCTCTCTAGAAGAAGTCGGGAAAAAATTAAATCACGTAAAAAACCATTGTATTTTCTATTTATCTTTAGAGCTTTACAACTATTGTAAACCCGATAAACTATGGGGTGTTGCCCATCGTAGTTGTATAGGGCAATGTGTGGGAAGTCCGGGGTGGGCGCAACCGCTCGCTAACGATTTTCGGGACAGCCTGCGCACAGCTCACTGCACCTTCAACTTCCCGACCGACAAAATCCACCCCAACCCACCACAGCTTGATATCAGCGATCCAGGTGCGTTTGGCTATTCGGTCCCCTGTTATTTCGAATTTCGAACCTCAGAATGGCTGGTTTCCCGGGTGTTGTGCGGTTAATGGGGGGTCGTCTGTCCCTCCCACTCCCCGCCCACTTTCCCACTTGACAAGCCCTGCTGGACCGTGAACTTGTTGGCTGATCGTCGATTTTCTTTTTTTTCAACTTTTCTAGGCTCATCTACACTCGCACAAAATGGCTGACCCCCGTGTTGAAGAGATCCATGATGAGGACGTCCCCAAGACCACCGCCGAGGACGCTGGTAGCAGCTCCGAGTCCGAGGCCGGCGAGGAGCCCACCATCCCCGGCGGTGCCGCCGTCACCATCCACTCGCGCAACGAGAAGAAGGCCCGCAAAGCCATTGGCAAGCTGGGTCTGAAGCACGTCCCGGGCATCACCCGCGTTACTCTCCGCCGCCCCAAGAACGTATGTGTGCCCTCCATGCGATTGTGAGGAGGGGGTTATGCCACCAGTTGCTTCAATGACATGTTTGGCATTTGAAAAGAGGTTCCATATATTCTGTGTGTGTCGAAGCTAACGCTCTTATTTGGGTTGTATAGATTCTCTTCGTCGTTAACCAGCCCGACGTCTACCGCTCCCCCAACAGCAACACCTGGATGTATGTGGATCTTTTTTTTTCTATTAGTTCTGTATTTGGATCGCCGCTGACACTTGTCTAGCATCTTCGGTGAGGCCAAGATCGAGGATCTGAACTCCCAGGCCCAGGCCTCCGCCGCTCAGCAGCTGGCTGCCGCCGAGGCCGCTGGTGGTGAGCATGCCGGTCACGACCACGAGCACGACCTCGGCAAGGGCAAGGCCCCCGAGACTGAGGCTAAGAAGGACGAGGAGGAGGATGACGGTGAGGAGGTCGACGAGGGCGGCCTTGAGGGCAAGGACATCGAGCTGGTCATGGCACAAGCGAATGTGTCTCGCAAGAAGGCCGTCAAGGCCCTGCGGGAGAACGACAACGATATCGTGAACTCGATCATGGCTCTCAGCATATGATCAACGCACCGGTTTTGAGGGACATGGGTTATGCGACCGGATGGATATCTGACATGGCTTGCCCATAGTGTATACAATTCAGCCCCAAAAAAATCGAACCAGCCTTCTCAATGTATTTTTGCTCAGCTTCCCAGCTTGCTATAATCTATCTTATTATTTATATTCTTTTATTTCATTTAATTGAACGGCCTCTATGGTAGAAGTATACCCTGCACGAAATGTATCGGTGGACACTCGGGTACCGGGCGGTCACGTGGCATCCGCATCCAAACCTTTCCGAGTCAACCCTCGCCCGGAACCTCCCCTGCACTTTGACCGTCTCCCCTCCTTTCTCTACCCACCAAGACTCTATCCTCCCTCCCGTCACAATGGCAGCTGTATGTTCCGTCCTGTCCCCTGTTATATGCCGCATGACCTGTTCAGCGCCACTGCTCGGACCCGCTAACCCCCCTTATAGCGCAGCGCCGCTCTCAAGATCGACTGGGCTAAGGTGTCGACCTCGCTCGGCCTCCGCGGCCAGACCGCGACCTCGCTCCAGTCCTTCAAGAAGCGCAACGATGAAGCCCGCCGCAAGGTCCAGGTCCTGTCCGAGCAGCCTCAGGCCGTCGACTTCGCCCACTACCGCAGCGTCCTCAAGAACCAGGCCATCGTCGACGAGATCGAGAACCACTTCAAGAGCTTCAAGCCCGCCTCCTACGACGTCAGCCGCCAGCTGAAGGCCATCGACGCCTTCGAGGCCCAGGCCGTCCAGAACGCCGAGCAGACCAAGGGCAAGGTTGAGTCCGAGCTGCAGAACCTGCAGAAGACCCTAGACAACATCGAGACTGCCCGTCCCTTCGAGGACCTCACCGTGGTATGTGTTATATGTGTTATGTGTGGTTGCAAACCGCTGCGTGGATGGTCGCTTACCAATATCCCTTCGCTTTTGTTTAGGACGAGGTTGCCTCCGCCCAGCCCGAGATCGACGAGAAGACCGCCTCGCTGGTCTCCAAGGGCAAGTGGATGCCCCCTGGCTACAAGGTACGTTTAGACCCCGTCGCTTTGTCTGGTCACCAGGCCATACTCATCCGATTCGATGTTTGCAGGAGCGCTTCGGCGATCTGTCCGCCGTCTAAGCCCGGACGCCTTCTCTATTCCGTGTTATTATTCCCCGTGTCATCACACTGTCCAGTCCACTTTGTTTGGCGTCAAGAAATATGGCTATGGAGCCAGGATATGGTTGGATATCTTCCATCGATGGTGTGGTGGGGCGGCTGGGATGTGTATAGAAACAGTTCAATTGAGATAGTTTCTGCGTTTCATTTGTCTATTGGACTTTGCATATGCTATAGTAATCATAGCACGAGATCAGTAAGAGAGGCTAGGTCTGATCATATCCATGTAGATACTGGCCGTGGTGCGGTAAATGTTGGCTGCGGATATATATATCCGGTTTACATTCATGGGCGTCTCGGGACATCTCCACATTTGTTTCCTTTCAGAATACCTGCTTCTTGCCTTGATCCAGGGAATTGACGAAATTCAGTAAATAGCGATCGATTTCTGGGCAGCCATCGCATGCTGGCGGTTCTTCAGTCTTGACATCAACCAACTCCCCGCCATCCCCAAACAACCATCGCATCACGGGTATCCCAGGAACCTGCAATCCAGTGACAACCCCAAGTCAATCCATTACTCAAGCATCATACCGCTCCCTAAGCCACCAGCATCATCCTACTTGCGGATGCGGAGCATTGATGCAGTCTTGCCAAGACTATCATTTCATGTCCAACATACCCACTTCTTTCCCCTCCCTCTCTTCAGCGATGCGTTGGCCCCATCAATTCATTTGCAGAGTTTCAGCAGACATGATTATGCAGGGCGGTGCCTCAACTCCGGCATGAGTATTTTGCGCATCGATGCCCCCCCCCCCCCCCGGTGGACGTTGATTTCACTGAAATGACCAGCGACAACCCCCCGCCATTGGTTTCTTCCCCGCCTTCGAACAGGTTTGCAAAGTGCAGATCTCTTGTGCGTGATTCTAGCAAGAAGTGTCTTGTATGACTGAAAAGAAAAGAAAAAGCAAAAAGCAGAAGAGAACGAGAAAGAGAAAGGAAACAAGTTATTGTCCCGAGGGAGCGCTCACTACTTGCAAATGGGTCGACCCGACCCGCTGGTTGACTACCCGTCCTCGCGCATCGAATCCCTGCCCGTGGAAATTCTGCAGTTGATCTTCCTGTACAGCCTGGAAGTCAATTTCCCGCGCGCCTCACCACGCCTCGGCCATGCCCTGTCCAACCAACTGCTCTACACCTGGCTGGTTCGGCTCGTGTTCAGTAGCACCAACCCAGGCTCGCGCGAGGGCTTTTTCACCCCGGACTTCCTGCCCCCGCCGCTGGATTTCTGGGCGCTGGAGTGGCAGCAGCGCCAGCATCTGCAGACAACTTTACTGGCTTGCCGCTGGTGCACGCTGCCACTGCTCCGGCGCTGCCAGCGCGAGTACATCGCCCATGCCATCCGGCGCAAATGCGCCGGACTCGTATTTCACCCAGACGACCAGGCCGCGCTGGCCGATCTGAGGCCACACTTTAAGAACCTCAGCGAGTGTGACCGCGCCGCCGACGGCCACCGCGGAAAAGGCGACTTGATCATCCCCGCACGGCTGGACGAAGGTTGTCCACGGTCCTCCTCACGCAGCGTCGACCGCAAGTTAGCAATCTGGTTCCATTTCGGTGCCGTGCAAATCCGCGAGCCGCACGAGGTCTACTACGAAAACGACCTCTTCCGGCTCCCTTGCTCGGTGGTGATCGGCCCGGGCCGCATCCCAGACAAAGTCCTGCGCGCGCCCTGGTCGCCAGAGCAATTCGAGTTCCTGCAGCTGCTCGCTGCGGACTTCTACCTCGACGAGGATGAGGTCGCCGCCGACCGCTCCTCGGACATCACTCATCGCTTGATCCGCAAACGCGCTATCGAGCCATTCCGCCGTCTGCTGCGCATGCATTTCCGCGCTGCTAATTGCCGCGTCCCGGCGCGCTGGCCTTTGCGGTCTTCGCACTATAGCCTTGTCCGGCGTTGTGGGACGGGTGCGGGGGACCCGTTTGCTGCGGTGATTCTTGATGAGCGCTGGGATGATCTTTCGGCTGAGGCGAAGCAGGACTTGCTGCGGTATCTTGAGTCGACGTCGTCTTGTGCATAGCTGTGTCGAAGGTTCTATTTTCTCGGGACGGTACAGGATCGTGCGGCTTAGATGGTACGAATCTTCGTGTTTAATCGTGTTTAATGTTTCTTGGATATGGCGTTAACAATAGCGGAGCAATAAAGATTAGATCTAGCATCATGAAATCGAGACTGCCAGTCATCTACCTTATACTCTGAAGCAGGAATTCAATATGGCATCTCGATGAATATCCAATAGTTGTGATCATCCTCCAGTAAGAACCTGTACTCTGACAGGAAGGTATTCCATAGTTGACATGACTTGAGAACAAGAGAACATCTCGTATCCATAGGCAAATCCATTGTATTACGAAAAGCATTCGGGGTATGTAACCATCAAGAAATCAGCCCATCCAGCCAGAAAGGCAAGAAGAAAAAGAATAAGAATAAGAAACACAAAAGTCATTCCACCAGTCCACCCGCCCATTTATTTCCCATTGTATCCCATCACTCGTGACTCGTAGCCATACCGACGCATAGCTTCCTTCGGTAGTGATCGAATCTGGCTTCGTTACACCGTGGCCCTGGTTCGTCGCTTGCGTTTACCACAGTAGCCGCAGGTCAGACAGGCGATGATCACATCGATGACGGTGACAACGCCGTCGATGATGGCGCGCAGGACGGCTCCGATGGCGTTGACGATGGTCATCAGGCAGGAGCCGATAGCGTGGAGGACGCTTTGGATCTGTACATAAAGAAGAGAGTTAGTATATTCTTTCTGGGATCTGTTGATTGGGAGGGGGTGGAGTGACAACTTACGCATGAGACAACGGCGCCCATCTTGATAGATGTGGATTATCGTTTATTGTGTCTGTAGTAAGAGGTAGATGTATGTCCAGGTTGGATCAGGAATCTTGGACTGTGGAAGGCTTCGGAGTCGAGGGAATAGTCGGTCCCGAGCTGGAAGAGGCAGTTGCGTGGGTAGAAGTATCGCTGAAGGGACGCATGGTGGATAGAGGGGAACCACGAGGGGCACGGTTTAAATATCTTTCAGGATATGAGAGATGGGAGATATGATGAAGGTGGTGCAGCGACAAACAAGAATAGAAGAGATTTAAAAAAAATAAATAAAAAGTTGACTAGATATACGTAACGGCTGGGCTGAAACGGGTCAAAGATAGACAAGGGCGTGCGAGAATCAGCGATTCCAATAGGAGTGGATATGCAGTTGACGTAGAGCAGGATCAGAAGAAGGGGCAAGATGTATTTCTTAAAGGCAGATACAGTAGAGAGGGAAGAACAAACCCTGCATGTACACCCCCCACAACCTGCTCGTGGATTCCGTCATATCGACGCGGTGCGGGTCCATTTCCTTGATTTGTGTTGATCTCGGACGACAGATTTTGCTCTGTCCTTGCTTGGTGTCTTCTGGTAATTTATCTGCTGCTCTACATTCTTTCTGCCTGCTTTTATTTTATTTTATTTATTTATTTTCTTTCCTTCTCTTCGAATCTCCAAAGTTGGTCGTTCCTTGCTCTCGAGTCTTTGACGTCATTCGATATCACATGACACACGATTCCCAACATGGCAAGCGTGATCCATATCACATGACTTGTCTCTATCACCACGTGTTGATAACAACTGGGTCTGTCGGGTGGTCTCCCGCCAATAAGCATGTCCCCTGACGTCGGGGGCACAGCATTTGCGTTACATCGTTATCTGCAGGGCTCTTTATAGATAACCTGAGCTGTCAAGCTAGACGCTTAGGGAACAATTACCACCCGAGACGAGCCAGAGGGAAACGGATGGAGCGGGAGCAGTATCATGGCCTCTCGCAAGGGCAATGAGGTCCCCACGCGGACGAAGCTTGCTCCGGAGCAGACAGTACGCAGGACCTCAAAATCTGCACATGCTGTCTCCAAACCGAAGCGCCGACCAGGGCGACCATTCAAAATGTCCAGCCAAAGCAACTCGTCGCGCTCAACGTCCGGCCGGTCTACTCCTCGCCGAGAGCCTGTGTCTCGCCCGCGGACCCCGCCTCTGTCGCTGTCTATGCTCGAGACTCTGCCTGTCGAGGTCATCGAGCAGATCTTCCTGTACGCGCTGAACCTGAATCTTCCGCGCGCATCGCCTTCTCTGGCTGCTGCCCTCTCGGCCGAGCACATCTACCGCGTTCTGATCTTGCTCGCTTTCTGGGATGACCCGCCCAGTCACCCCGGTAGCAAGGCTATCAATCGCATGTTCGCGCCATGTGAATATGTCCCGCTCTCGCTCGCCGACCGGCGCCAGCTACAGGATTCCGTTTTCCGCTGTCGCTGGTGCACGGCAGACCGCGTGCGCGAGCAGATTCCTACGGTGATGATCCTTACCATCCACCGGCACTGGTTCAATGCCGGCATAGTCATGGAGCCGCAGGAGAAGGCCGCCCTGGACAGGTTCATAGCGCGCAAGGATGACTCGGTGCGCGTGTTCCACGGCAAGGGCCCACCATCCCAGCGCATAAGTGAGTTCCTCAGCGCGGCAACCGGCCCGGACTTCACTGACCTCGCCCCGAACGCAAACAACACCGGCCTGCACCAGTATGAGCTCCACATTACGCCAATGGTGCTGATTGAAGTGCGCTGTAAGGAGCTGCGCTCGATCACGACCTTCCCGGGGATCGACCTCGTCAGCTTCCCATCATATCTCCTCCGCGGCCCCAGCGGGGGCTATTCTGACGCGGACGTCGCATTCCTCGAGATGCTGCGCATAACCTCGTGCAACTACACCAGAGGCAGAGGAACCGTGATGCCCTCCACCACCACGCAGGTCAACCGCACGCTTCTCCACCAGGGCCTGCACAAGGCCCTGCTCCAGCAGAAATACAACGCCGTCATCTCCCTCCTCAAGATCGACGAGTACTGTTTCCGCTTCCAAGCCGCCAATCAGAACCGTCCCGTCTTCTTTGGGATTCCCTCCGAACACTTCCTCACTGTCACCCGCGTCGGCCGCGACAAACCTCACCTCAATGCTGCCTTCTTCGAGGCCCTCCTCCGCGCCAGCGCCGAGTCTCTTCCATTGAACTCGGAGGAAATCACCCAGTGGACCGTCGATAATATGCGCCGCGCGCAGCAGAACCCGTCTGCCTATAACCTCATGAATGGCCGGTTTGCGCGCTGGCTGTCGAATTTCCTGTTGCGGCTCCCCGACCAAATCGACTTCAGTCACGAAGACCCCACGGCCCAACTATTCTATTGCGGCCAGCTGGATCTTATGGATATGGAGGGTATCTCGTTCCTGGATCAGGTGCTCAGACCCTCTAACCGCGACCCGCTCGTCAATTGGTTGCCGCAGAGCTCGTTCCGGACTGAGGATCACTGGGTCAAGAAGTAGGTCTTCCTTTGCCTGTCGTGAGACTGGGCCCTTTCCTTTTCTTCTATAACGAACCTCACTTGGTTTCGTGTCATATACCCACTTGTTTTTATATCTAGATGTAGGACTACATACGCCATATTTAATGAATTTCATCTAAGTGAAATGATCCAATTTCTCCCCTTCACTCACACACTGTCTATCCATGGTCATCTCCCTCATTTGACTAATATACAAGTAAAGCCATCACATATTTCCTAGCAGTCGGATAATCCCTGCAATGCGTCCACCCAACGTCAACTGGTACCCCGTCTCCACGATACCCTTGCACATCTCCCACGCAGCAGGGCCATCCTTGCTACCAGCATCCCCATCAGTCTTCTGAATGGGGTAGTCCACGCGCGGCGGGATAGCAGTAGCAATCCAGCCCGGGAACTTATCCACACATACAGATTTGAGATTACAGAGACCACGCAGGCCCTCAACACCAGCAAAACGACCATACCCAGATCCACGCACACCACCAAACGGCAACTGCACGGCATAGTAGCTGCCGAAGTCGTTGACGGATACAACACCCGCATCGATACCCCGGACGCAGGCCTGTACCTCGGCGCGCCGGTAGCCGAACACGCTGGCGCCCAGAGCGAAGGGGGTTGAGTTGGAGATGGCGATGGCGTCGGGGACGGAGGCGGCGCGCATGACCAGGAAGACGGGCGCGAAGAGCTCGGTTTGGGCGATGCCCATGGCGGGCGTGACGTCGACCAGGAGAGTGGGCGAGAAGTAGTGGCCGTGCGGGTGGGCCGGGTGGTTGTGGCGCGTGCCGCCGCAGAGGAGGCGGGCACCTTGCTTGACGGCGTCGGCGATCATGGATTCGAGCTTGTCGAAGGACGCGGGAGAGATCGTTGCGCCCATATCCGGGGTTGTGGCGGTATCCAAAAGAATGGAGCCCAGCCGGAGAGCGTTGATGCGAGGGGCGACGAGCTCGATGAGTCGGTCATATACGTCTGGGAGAGCGATGACGCGCTCGATGCCGACGCAGTTCTGACCGGCGGACTGGAACACGCCGCGCATGAGGAGCGAGGCGATTGAGGGCAGGCCGCGTACTGTGCCCGGGTCGTCCAGGATGACGGCCGGGTCCTTGCCACCCAGCTCGACGGTGACGGGGATAAGCGCTTTAGCGGCAGATGCGCAGACCTTGTGGGCGACGGGTCGCGAGCCGATGAAAGTCAGCTGCGCGACGTCCGGGTGCGAGGTCAGCGCGTCGGCCACGGCGGGGAGACACACGATGGTTTGGACGAGGTCGCGCGAGTGGCCGCAGCTGGCGAGGGCGCCGCGCACGACATCCAGGAAGAATGCAGACGACCACGCCGTCTGCTCGGACGGCTTGACTACTACGGCGTTGCCGGTGAACAGCGCGCTGATCACGGGGCCGATGAAGTTGTGGAAAGGATAGTTCCAGGATACGCAGGCGGCCACCACCCCGAGCGGCTCGTAAAGAACCATATTCTTCTTGTACATCATCAGGAAGTTGGTTGGCCGCCGGTCCGGGAGCAGCGCTTTCTCGCCGTGGTCGATCGTCCACTTGAGTTTCTCCGCTGTGACAAGGATCTCGCCGAATGAGGCGTCCACTTTCGTTTTGCCCGAGTCGAGGCAGCACGCCGTCACGAGTTCATCTTGGTGCTCGAGGACGTATCTAGTGTTCAAGTCAGTGGGACGAGCCTTTTTGGGTGTATGTTGCACGTAGAGGGAGAGCGGGAAGCGAGAAAGGAATTGGCGTCCGCAACATACTTCAACATAGTCCGAAGAACCTTGCGGCGTTCCGCAAAGGTCGACTGAGCCCATTCCCGCTGTGCAGCCTGCGCTGCCCGCACCGCACCATTGACATCCTCGACCGTCGCGGGCTTGATCCCATTACCCAACACCCTGCCATCGGCGGGACAATAGCTCATGATCAACCGGTCATTCCATTTCTAGGGAAAACAAGAGGAGTCAGTTCACATCCTTGCAAAAAAGAAATAGCCTCCTCACTGGGATTCGCTCAGACTCACCCCCGAACCTGGTCCTGCAACACCTGCTTCTGCTGTCCCTGAACCTCTTCCCATTTCTTGCCTGTCGAGCTATTGCGCACTTCTGAGGGCACGGGGACATTGAACGCGACGGCAGCCTCTTTCTGGCATCGGATGTAGAGATACCCCGCGTAAACAGCAACCAGGGAGACCAACGCGACACCGATCCACGGGGCGTGCTCCGTGTACAGCGGCCCGCCGGCCTCCACGAGGGAGCGTAGCGACGGGGGAATGTGCGAGACCAGACAATCCATCCTTCTGGAAGGGATGGTGTAATTGAGCCCTGGGGTCTCTGGAGGCGAGTGTTGCGGTGGTGTGGATGGTGACTGCGATCTTTTTCCCCTGATAGGCGATAACCACACGGACCACATTTTCTCCAGATTTCTGCAGTCTGCAGTTATATCCAGGGCAATTAATTGGCATTGATCTATTTAATATTATTTATGTCAAATCGAATATCGTGGGATAAAATATTTAACTTGCAAATAGCATCTGGCAGATCTCGAACCTGGCAACGCTCGCTAAAAATATAGAGCTTATAGATATATATATATTAGCCGTGGTGAACACCAGCAAACAGAATCAGTCCTCGTGCCATTCAGTCTCCTCGCTCTCCATGGATTCACTGGCCTCGCTGGATTCGCTGTGCTCTGTTTTTCTCTTCTTTCGACCATGCTTCTTTCCTCCATTCTTCTGAGGCTTTTCAGTCGCAGCAGCACCCTTGCGCTTGCCCGTCCGCGTCACCAAATGATCAATAACACACCCCTCGTCCCATCCAGCACTGGACTCGCCAGTGATAGCTCGACAGCGTGGACAGGTCTTTCCGTGGCGGATGAGCAGCTGGTGCAGCGAGTACTTGAGGCGATCCGGGATCCGTACCTCCAGATGACTGAACGCGGTGACCTCGTTGGTGCGAGTGGGTGGTACCCAGCCCAGCCATTTGCAGATGCGGAAGATGTGCGTGTCGACAGCGAAACATGGTCGCTGGAAACAAAACAAGAGTACGCAGGCGGCAGTCTTGGGGCCGATCCCGGGGTACTTGACCAACTCTACCATGACTTCCTCCGAGGAGAGGTTGTGTAGGTGGTTAAGCGAGAGGAAGTTTTGGTCGGCACAGGCTATCTCATACTGCTTATCCTTCTCGACTTTGTTTGTTGGGGGCTGGTTGTCTTTGTCATTGTTCTTGTTGTGTGCTGGTCCAGTTTCTACCAAGAGATTCCGTCGTTGCTGGTTCTCCTGGTGCACCATGTCCAGGATCGCCTTGAGGTTCTTGCTCTTGATGTCTGCGAGTCCGCCGCTCTTGATTGCTTCGAAGACATCCTTCAGTGAGGCTTGTCGCACGGCATCCCAGTTGACACTCCCCTTGCCGATACCCTCAGTGAGGATGCCGAATCGCTGGACGAGTCCATTGAAAGCCATGGCAGAATTATTCCCCGTTGTGGCTCCACTGAGTAAAGTGCGAATCAAGGCATCAAGAACAGATGGGACCTCGCCACAGCCAGTGACCGTCAGAGAAGGTTCGGGAAGTGTCTTTGGTGCGATAATCTCTCCATGAATGCCAGACAACAATCGATTGACCTCTTCACACTCTTCGGTTGTAGGACGAACCCAGTCAGGGAAGGGAGTTTGTCCAGGGGTCAAGCCATATGGATGTCTCTTGGGCTTCTTCTGGCCTTTCTGGTCACTTTTCGTTAGTTTGTGCTCTGGGTCCTCCTTGACAACAACCTGTGTGGCATTGTCAACGGTTTGCTGGAGCTCTGTGGCGAGCTTCTCAACTATTTCTTCTTTGATTGTCTGGTTCTCTTTGTCAGTGCCATTGATTGACACTGCAGGATCTGCATCTGTGGATAACGAGACAGGTGCAGGTCCCAGGTTATGGGGGAGCTCATCAACTGCAGATGCAAGGACTGGCTTTGTCTGTTTCTTGCGTTGCTTCTTGGAGGCAGTTGCCTTTGGTCGTGTCTTCTTCTTAGGTGTTGGTACATCTGCCTTTGTGGTTCTTTTTCTTTTGGTGGTGGTGGGAGCGTTTGATGCTTCAGCTGGGGGATTGATGGGTTGGGTGTCTGTGAGCAACGCTGCTGCCGCCCGAGCTGCAGCGCGGGTCACACGAGGCACCATGGCTGTTTGGAGATGATGTAACAGATGGAATTTCAATCCTGAGGTTTTCAGCCGATGATTGAGATGATCATGTGCCTAGGTGGGCAGATGGTGGCATTGTCGGCAAGCAGAACGGTTCATGGCAAAGAAAACAATCAGAAGAAAGAGATAAAGAGAATACCATCCACGACCAGATCCAAGATGCAATTGATTCAGGGATACAGCGGGATGATGGAATGACAGATCTGATGTGGGCGATGCAGAGTGACCAACGACTTTCTACTGGCCGATCGGGATCTATAGTAGGACACGTGATCTACACACACTCAGAGGGAATCCGTTGGAATTGATTCTTGATTTTTCATGATTTTCGTGGTATCGATGGTTAATATTCGTGGAATGCAATTGCGCATCAGATAGAAACAGATCATCCACCCAAATGTGTCTAGTGTATGCCACCCACAACTCCCAGACTCCGGATGCAAACAGGAAACGAGGCATGTCATCATCATCATGGATGGTCAGCGATGTTGTGGATGCTGATGTCCATGCGGTCATCGACCTTGGGGTTCTCAGCACTGACTGGCCCTGGCGAGCCCAAGCTGGGTTGGGGAGCGTCCGAGGACCCGGAGGCCGGGATAATCTTGCCGTTGGTGTCCATGGTGACACCGTTGGCGGCGATCTCGAAATCAGTCACGCTGGCAAAGCCATGGGCCACAGCTTCCTTGGCCTTGTCAAGTGCTTTGATCTTACGGCCTTCACCGCGGATCTGCTCGAGGTGTTCAAAGTAGCCTTGTCGCACCGGGGTCACGTAGCTGCCGCAGAACACACCCACTTCGAAGTTCTGGGGTTCTTGCTGGCCGTTCTCGTGGGCAATCTCGGCACAGGCCCCCTTGAGATCATCCAGGGTCTGGAAGATGACGCGCTCCGCACCAATGTGCTGTGCGATGGTGTCTGGGTTTCGGTTGTGCGCAACAAGTTCGTGCGGCGAAGCAAGGTCAATACCGTAAATGTGGGCGTGGCTGCGAAAGTTAGTGCCGAATTTCCAATCAGGATAATTGCAAGGGATAAAACTTACGTGATCTCCGGTGCGCAACTGGCAAAGTAGACCTTCTTCGCACCGGCCTCCCGAGCCATGCTGACGATTTCACGACTTGTGGTGCCACGTACGATACTGTCATCCACCAACAACACATTACGGTCCTTGAATTCGGCCTTCATGGCGTTCAGCTTCCGACGAACACCCTTTTGCCGTGTCTTCTGCTCAGGCATAATGAAGGTACGGAAGACGTAGCGGTTCTTGACAAACCCATGGCAGTAGGGCTTATCCAAGTATTGTGCCACGTTGGTCGCCGACGTGGTAGCCGTCTCAGGAATGGGGATGACCACATCAATGTCCTTCACAATCTCAGGGCCGAGGACGTCAAGGACCCGCGCACCCAGGCGTTCACCCATACGTTGACGGCTGCGGTACACGCTGATGCCATCGATGACAGAGTCCGGCCTGGCAAAGTAGACATATTCAAAGATATCCGGAGCATAGTCCTTCTTGGGAGCCACCTGGCGGAAGACCGGCTCCCCACCCTTTTCGATGATGACCGCTTCTCCGGGCTGAATGTCACGAGTGTTGGTGAAGCCCAACTGGTCCAAGGCAACAGATTCTGATGCCATCATGTAGTCCATACCCGGCCCATCCAAGGAAGGACGGGACCCCAGAACCAACGGTCGGATACCATAGGAATCCCGGAAGCCCAGCAGACCGAAGCCTAAATGAGTTGGTCAGATGACAGGTCATTCAAATAAGGGGTTAAAAAAAAGAAGAGCGCTTACCAGCCAGCATAGCAGTGCAGGCCCATCCACCTTCACACCGGTTGTACATGCGGCTCAGGCTAGCAAACAGGTCTTCCTCGTTCACACGGGCCTTCTTGGTCTCACTCAGCTCATCCGCAAAGATGTTCAGCATCAACTCGCTGTCACTGTCGGTATTGATGTGGCGGTGGGCTTCAAGATCCAGGTATTTCTTCAATTCTAGGGCATTGATCAGGTTGCCATTGTGGGCAAAGCAGATGCCATAGGGACTGTTGACGTAAAAGGGCTGAGCCTCAGCACCGGCACTGCTGCCCGCCGTCGGGTATCGCAGGTGAGCAATCCCCATCGGTCCAGGCAGGTGAGCTACCTTGGCACCATCTTGGAAGACCTTGGCAGCCATGCCATTGGCCTTGAGCTGGTAAATCCGACCCCCATGTGCGCAGGTGGCGATACCGGCTGCATCCTGGCCACGATCTGCAAGGCCACATCCCCTTTAGTATAAGAAATTTCCAACTTGGTTGACCATTGAGCAGTGACTCACGTTGCAGAAGGTAGAGAGCCTCGTGAAGGTCTACCGCAGCAGCAGAGGAGGGGTTCGCCTGGATCAGAGCAATGATGCCACACATCCTGACGCGGGGTAGTTCCTAGTGAGAGTAGACCAGGTCAGCGTAGGGGCTCATCGACTCTGATCAAGTCACAGTGTAGAGTGCAAGTCTCTGAATCAGATCGGATGTTCTCCGCAAAGTGCTTAGGAAGTCTAACATCTATAAAAAAAAATTCCGAATTCATCATATAGACAGAGCTGGGTACAATCAAAAAAAACAAAGAAACACTTACCGATCACAGAGTAAAAGGGAGAAAGGGGACGAACGGTCAAGAGGGAAGTACCCCAGAACACCCAAGACGGAGGGGAAGGAAGAAAATCTCCATAGCGCCGTCCGTCCTGTGGTTGTGCCTGTTCTCCACCAAATTTTTTTTTTTCGCGGAGTCGTTGTGCCGGCTCCGGCTGAGTCAGGACTGAGTCAACGTGCCCTATCCTGCCAAGAATGGACATCTATGAATATTAAAAAATCTATACTGGCCTCAAGATTCTTTATGGATGCTGAATGTTTTTAGAATGAAAAGAATTTCTGAAAACTACTCAGGAAACAGGTCAGACAATGGAGCTATTCAATATTTCTACTAAATTACATTTCCTTTTACTTGTCTTCTTTGACGGTCTCTCACAAATTGCTTTGAAGTCACTACGGCTTCTTCTCTCACTAAGCCATTGATGAAGCCATATTCTTTCCATTTGCCTGCAGCTCAAAATCCTTTATTCAATTATCATTTGTCCACTTGAGCTCCCCTGACTTAATTCTTACCCCAGTATTGGTTCTTAGTTTTCCATCCTCTGCGCTATTCAGCCCGTCTTTGCTCTCAAGCTAGGTTGATAAACCCCTACTGCGAGGTGATTGTTTTCAAAAGCTAACCTTTGCTCCTCAATACTTGACAGCCTTCCCACCTTGGCCCTGTGTTCGTTTTTGCCATGGATCTTCATCACGACCTGGACTTTGCAAGCAGAAATATCTGTGCGCCAGCAGGGCTATCCGAGCCTCCCAGCCTCAGCAGTCTCCAGAAGGCAATAAGAAGAATGACCTCTTCAAGCCAAAGAGAATACATGACAGAAACTGAGGACTGGCCTGCGGCTGATGAACCGGGTGACATCTTTCCCTCTCGCTCAGAGACCCGTGATGCAGAATCCTCGACACCCAATCTCCACTATAAGGAGACTTTGGTTGAGGAGCAGATTGAAATTGTGGACCTGACTCTTGATGCGCCAGTCTTCAAGCTGGATCTGGATTGCATTGACCTCACTGGCCTCCCTTTGCACAGGCCCCAGAGCCCATCCTCGTCAGAGTCCGTCCCGCAAGTGGTGATTGAGAACAATGTCTACCGAGAGGGCATGTCTCTGCTACTTTGCGATAAATCATACCTTCGCATTGAGCACATCGTCCAAGGGAGTAACGGAATCTTCTTCCATGGCCGACGTCTCTTTGCGACAAGCGATCCCCGAATGGATCGATATCTTCCCAAGAAAGCTGGGGAGCTCATCTGGACCACGCATTACATGGAACCAGTCTCCTTTGCTCAGGTCAATCGGGCTTGTCGCGTCTTGTTCACCAATTTTCGCACCCTTCCACTGGGTCACACGGGTATGGTTTGCCGTCTGAAGCTCACGATCAGAACCCGCGAGGACAATCCTACCGATGACCGACAGTTTCTCAACGCTCAAGACTCTTCGATTGAATACCTCCATATCAACGAGGTCGACCAAGGGTTTGGACTGTCACCAACGGAGTTGCGAGACCGCTGGCGAGGCCGCGGCCAGACGGTGCCCTTTGGAGAGTCTCAGCTGTCACAAATTGTGATGGAGAACTCTCCAATGGACGTTGATCAACCGCGTCAGGTCATAGATCTGACCGCCCCGACTCGCACATACACATTTGGTGATGCCTTTTGTGGTGGAGGTGGAGTGTCGTGTGGCGCGAAGAAGGCAGGGTTGAATCTGCGATGGGCATTTGACAAAGATCGCCATGCCATCAATACATACCAGCGCAATTTCGACGGCGTGACCATTGAAAATGCGGAAATCTTTGATTTCCTGACAAACCACGCATCTTTCCTTCGAGTGGACGTCTGTCACTGCTCTCCCCCCTGCCAGACTTTTTCCCCGGCTCACACGGTGCACTGCGATCGGGACGAAGCCAATTCGGCTTGTATCTTCTCCGCCAACGATCTCATCAAACAGGCACACCCGCGCATTCTGACGATGGAGGAGACATCGGGACTGTTGGAACGTCATAAAGATTATTTCAATCGGATCATCTTGAACTTGCTGGATATTGGGTACTCGGTTCGCTGGGCCGTGTTGGACTGCGTCAACTATGGGGTGCCGCAATCTCGCAAGCGGCTAATCATCATTGCCTCTGGGTGCGTTGACATTGACAGTGTCGCACATTGGCGATTTTACTAACGAGGTTGATTCATAGTCCCGGAGAAGCCCTTCCCGAGATGCCCTTGCCTACCCATGGGCTCCCAGGCTCAGGTCTTGACCCCCTGAACACCATCCACGATAGTATCCATGACCTTCCGCCTGACGCGCCCGATCACGATGTCCAGACAACCCTGGAGCGTTACCGCACCCAGGGATGGCGAGATCCCTACAACGCGCACCAGCCCGCAAGAACTGTTACGTGCAGCGGTGGGGAGTTTAACTACCACCCGTCGGGCAAGCGCGGGTTCACGACTCGCGAATTTGCGTGCCTGCAGACATTCCCGCGCGATTTCGAGTTCTCCGAAAAGAACATTCGTCGACAGATTGGGAATGCTGTGCCGCCGATGTTTGCGGCTGCGATCTACCGCGAGATTGCCAAGTCGTTGCGGAAGACCGACGAGCAGGAGGAGGAAGAGATGAGGGCTGGCCTTATCAATCAATCGGATCTGCCGATCTACATGTGAAAAGCCGCGCAGGCCGAGGACGAAGGGAGGTTCGGGATCGGCATTGGGGTTTTCTTTCTTTTGCAGGCCTGGCTTCTGATGTTCTTCCGATCTTCGCTTTTTTTTTGTCTGTTTCTCGCTGTCCCCTTGTTTCGCCCTCGGCTGCATCGTCCGATATTCGGCGGCCCAACTCATTGAATTTTGGACTGCGAGACCAATTAGAATAATTGCAGTGATTCTCAAACAGCAGTAGTATCCAGGGCGCTAGCACACACTGTAAAGTAGTAAAGTAGTACAAGTGTCAAGGCGTGGACCCGACAGTAACCGACTGGCCTCGGCACGATGAAGTCAGCTTGAACTCACCTTCCCCAACCTCCGCATTCCTTTTCCTCCTTGCTCTTCCACCTTTGCTTTTGCTTCTTCTTTTTCTTCTTCTCTCTGCCTTTGGATCTCCATTGCGATCCTCATACTGTTCGCATTGCACCATGTCCCTTCCGGCACTGAGACGGCTGACCCACTCGTCTCCCCGCACTTTCGCCCGCATCTCCGTCTCCAGATTTCCCACTGTCTCTTCTCCCGTTCCCTCCACCCCGTCCATTCCTCGCACCCCTCGCTTTTCCACCATGGCCGCCCGTCAGTCTGCTGCCCCGGCAGTCCCTGCCGACAAGTCCTACGACCCCGAAATTCAGGACATGGCGAAGTACATCCACGAGTACAATGTGGATTCCGACCTGGCTGTAAGTTGTGTGATTGTGATCGGTCGCGGGCGTCGCTAATCATCGAGTCTATAATCGGTTAGTATGACACCGCCCGCCTGGTGTTCCTTGACACCCTCGGCTGTGGGCTGGAGGCCTTGAAGTTCAAGGAGTGCGCGAAGCTGCTCGGTCCCGTGGTCGAGGGCACCGTGGTTCCCAATGGTACCCGGGTGCCTGGCACGCCGTACCAGCTGGACCCGGTCAATGGCGCGTTTAATATCGGCGCCATGATCCGCTGGCTCGACTACAACGACTGTTGGCTGGCTGCCGAATGGGGTCACCCCTCCGACAATCTGGGTGGTATTCTCGCCGTGGCGGACTGGATCTCGCGCACCAACCGCGCGGGCGGCAACGTGGGCAATGGCAAGATCCTTAAGGTCCGTGACATTTTGGAGGCCATGATCAAGGCCCACGAGATCCAGGGTGTTCTGGCGCTGGAGAACTCATTCAACAAGGTTGGCCTCGACCACGTCGTCCTGGTCAAGGTGGCCACCACTGCTGTGGTCTCCAAGATGCTAGGTCTCAGCGAGAAGCAGACTGCCGATGCTATCACTCAGGCCTGGGTGGATGGCCAGAGTCTTCGTACCTACCGGCACTCGCCGAACACCATGTCGCGCAAGTCGTGGGCCGCTGGTGATGCGTGCCAGCGCGCTGTCAACCTCGTGCTGAAGGTGCAGAAGGGCGAGGGTGGTCTGCACACTGTGCTCTCCGCCCCTGGCTGGGGTTTCTATGATGTTCTGTTCAAGGGCAAGAAGTTCCAGTACCAGCGCCCGTACGGCACCTACGTCATGGAGAACGTGCTGTTCAAGGTGTCGTATCCGGGTAAGTGGAGTATGCTTCTTGTGATTCCGAATGGAGACTGATTTTGTGATACTTGTAACTTGTATGCAGCCGAATTCCACTCCCAGACTGCCATTGAAGCCGCTCAGGCCGTCAACAAGAAGCTGGCGGCCTTGGGCAAGAGCGCCAAGGACATCAAGGAGATCACCAACCGCACGCACGAGGCGTGCATCCGCATCATCGACAAGCAGTTCAAGGCAATGGACAACTTTGCCGATCGCGACCATTGTGTGCAGGTAAGCACTGCAAGGTGGAAATTGGGTTGGGAATTGGGCTGACTCTGGCGCAGTACATGGTGGCTACCATGCTCGCTTTCAACCGTCTCACGGCCAACGACTACGCCGATGGCTCCGAGGCCGCCACCTCGCCCTTGGTCGAGGATCTCCGCAAGCGCATTCACTGTGTTGAGGACCCGCAGTTCACAAAGGACTACCACGACCCGACCAAGCGCACCATCCCCAACGCGCTGACCGTCACCCTGAACGATGGCACCGTGCTCGACGAGATCTCTGTTGAGGCCCCGCTGGGCCACCGGCTGCGTCGTGAGGAGGCCAAGCCTGAGATCCTGGACAAGTACAAGCGTCATCTGCAGGCGCACTTTGACCAGGCGCGGATCGATGAGCTGCTGCAGGTGGGCTGGGACCGCCCGCAGCTGGAGAACTACGATGTCGACAAGTACGTTGACTTGTATGTGAAGGATAAGGCAGTTGCTTCTGCGTAAGCATGTTGGTGTGGTGTCAATTGAAAAGGCTTCGGTCAATTTAGACCGGAACTGACCCGTGTATGTTTGGTTGGATACATATTCTGGATAATATCTGCAAAATCGTATAGAGATACCATGACCAAGCGGCTTCTGTAGTGTCCGCTGGTTGCTTTATCCGATGTCTGGCTTGCGGCCACGTCATTGACACTGTCTATACCTGTAGTGTTATTGCATGGATACTGGTTCTACAGATCCATAGATATCCATGGGGTCTGGATGCTTATCTTGCTAGTTATGAAGACTTGAACCTGCTCGCGTGACGTTTCCACGAAATCTTGGTAGAAGGCCAAGAACACGCAGCCAAGAGACAGTAGACAGAAGTATCTCTTGCCTCTATCTGTCGATGGCTGGTTATTAGTTCCTCTCCAAAAACTGATCGGCTAGGGTATCATGCATAGACTCTCCGAACAGTCGAACAGACCCCTCCCTTATACCCTCGACTATATTTCATTTCAGTATTCCAATGTATACCGATCTAGAGAAAGATTATATGCATAAGACAACAAATCAATTACTTGCCCCGTCGAAGGGCAGGCAGATTGCCGGGCTGACTTGATCATCAAAGTATACTCGGACTCACAGTTAGCGGCTCGTTGATAGAATGAGTTGCCTATGGCATTCTGTACATTAACCTAAACCAAAAGTGATCACACAAATGTCTTGAAATTATCCCTGGCCATAGAATAATATCCAGGATGATTCCAAGATTATCCCAAGAGTGTAGAACAGTTTCCCTGTTCAGTGTCCAGCCCTAGTCGAACGACATCCTTCCATGTTCCTCAGAGTAATCATTAAATCATCATTAAACACCCCACTCCCAAGAAATAATCCAAGGACCAAATCACCAAGACAAGAAACGCCAACCCTCTGGCCCTAACCACACAATCCCGATCCCGACCATCTATCCCCGCCTCTGCTCCGCAGGCGAATACGAAGCTTGGCAAATTGGGCACCGGTACCGGCGATACTCGAACCACGCACTCAGACACGACAGGTGGAAGGCATGGTTGCAGCGGTTCAGCACGAGGATCGCGCTATCGTGGCTCGCGTCGAGCGGCCTGCAGGAGCCGGCGTCGAGCGGGGCCGGGGATGGATGGGGATACAGATGGCGATGGCTGCGGGGCAGGGATGGTTCGGGAGGGGGGAGGATGGAGGGGGGTGATGTGAGCGAGGAGAGACAGATGGGGCTTGAATGAAAGGGATTTGCGTTAGTATGAGTACCATAGTAAGTAATAGCAAGCACAGTTCTCTCTCTCCCAAGACTTCCATGGAATTCCACGGGAATCGATGTTTGGCAAAGCCGAGAGCCGCCACATATTAATTCCCTAAGTCAAGGCCAAGGACAAGAATAGCAGCGGTGTATGGGTCAGGCACGGTGACTCGCTAGAATCCCAAGATATTGGCATGGGTGGATGTCTCCGAATGCCCAGACACACACTGACCAGCGACGATCCCTGATAGGGCTGCCGCATGCTCCCCAGCCCTGGGCGTCCCCGCACGACATCATCGGCCAAGACGCCAAAACGGCAGGGGTCCGAGGCCAAGAGAGATGATAATAAAAGAAGAAACACGGCAAGTGGAAACGATAAGAACACGTATAAAAAGAGAAAGAAACATACCACATGTCTTGGGAGTATTGCTCGGCAAGCCCCGGGGCAGTCTGATCCTCAAGCCAGCGCTCCACCGAGACCTGCTCCATTGGCGAAGCCAGTGGGTGTGCCTCGGTAGCCGTTTGAGATACATGTCGTCGTCGTCGATGACACCACATGATCACACTCCAAAGAGGAAAAAAAAAAGACCAAAAGTCAGCACATTTCTGGCCGGGGACAAGACAAGGTTTCGCGATGCTTCGCGTGCATATGCGGGGGGGGGGGGCTGTAGCAATTCGCCAAGGAGAAAGAGACAAGAGAAAAAGCCCTTATTGTCTGTGCCGGGGTCCAGGCTCACATCGGAACAGCGCTGATCAGAAAGAAGAGCGCAATGGCGCCAATCACAACCCCGACAACCTCACCACGCGGGAAGGGTCGATCCATCGGGGGGCAAGCATGAGATGCCGGGGGATTCTCTCCAAGAGTGACAAGTAGGAATTCGAGGAAGGGTAAGATAGAGCCTTGTTACCCAATAAGAGGTTCCAAGAGAAATCAAGTGGAGGCGACGTTGGTCGGATCAGTCGGGAGGAATGGAGGTAAAAAAAAAAAAAAAAGGAAAGAGATAGTAACAAGAATAATGGAATAATCAAAATGCAGGGTCTCCAGGGCTAGCACAATCCCAGCTGGATGGTCATTCGTGAACCACGTTGGGAAATAGTCCGAACCGCGATAGATTGTTCTTTTGCCACCGAAGCAGCTGGCTTTCAAAACATAAAAACCACACCAGAGCACCCTGGGAAAACCGGGGCGATTTGAAGCCCACGCGGGCTCTCGGGCCTGAGGTGGGCGGGGCCCGCCAAGGCGATATCCCAGACGCTGCCAAGCGCTGGCGCTCTCTGGGCAACACGAAGGGGACGCGGAATGCCGCCCAGAACTCCCGCTCTTGGCGGTTCCGCGCACGCTGTGACCAATCGATGATGCCGGTATCCATGGATATCCTCCACATCGCATCCGAACCAAGGCCGAGCCCAAGTCGTGTGCGTCATGGCCGCTCATGGCCGTCTGGGCAGCCGCCAAGCTGGTCCGCCCCAACACCCGACGGCTGGTTATGTGCTCTCGTTGGCCGGTGGTAAATGACTTTCCCCAGACTTGCCATGGCGCATACGCTTCCTGCGAACCGGGATGAACGTCCCGATTGCGAGTTGGGTTTCGGAGTCGGAAGTATATATAGAGCCATGGATGCCTCCCGGGGAGAAAGAAAGAAAAAGGGAGGAAGAAAGAAAGGATAAGAAGAAAAGAACCAAAGTTGGAATTATCCGCGTGTACTTAACTCCCCCACAAACACAACTCACACACCTCCGACTCCCACACACACACACAGAGAGAGAGAGGGGTTACACAGTTCATCTCTTTCCAAGATCTTTGTGTCGGGTTATTTTCCCTCGGTGTATGGACTCTCACTCCCTTGAGGATACCATTTATATGGAACCCCCTTAAGAACCGTCCCATAGACAGTACACCTCTCTTTTCACCCTCATCCTCATTCTCCTACTCTTTCTCCCACACATCCATTCCAACCCGACTCAACAAAAGGATAGACTTTTTCCTTTTCACCATGTCCCAGGACCGAGCCGGCAAAGGCTCCCCGAGCCCTGAGGATACTCCTCAAATCCTGTCCCAGCCCGCGCATAGCCTGACCTTCGACGATGCCATCCGCGAGCTGGCCACCAACTCCGACGACGGCCTCTCCACCAGCGAGGTCAAGCGCCGCCTCGAGAAATATGGCGAGAACATGCTGGAGGGAGACGAAGCCGTTTCTTTTGCAAAAATTGTTATTCGACAGATTGCTAATGCCATGATGCTGGTAAGTGTACCCCCCCTTCTCCCTGCAGAAGAAGATCTATGAGTAATATCTAACATCCTGGGGGTGCTGTATAGGTTCTGATTATCGCTATGGCTGTCAGTTTCGGGATCCAGTCCTGGATCGAAGGTGGTTTCATTGCGGCTGTGATTCTTCTGAATATTGTTGTCGGAGTATACCAGGACTTTGCGGCTGAAAAGACGATGGATTCGCTGCGGTCTCTTAGCTCGCCTACTGGCGTGGTGTCTCGCGACGGCAAGACTACGACCATCCCGGCGAACGAGATTGTGCCCGGTGATATGGTTGAATTGAAAGTGGGCGATACAGTTCCTGCTGATCTACGGTATGTAATCTACATTCTATCTCCACTCTATAAACGACATCGTCAATGAACTAACTGGGTTATGCAGATTGGTTGAAGCCTTCAACTTCGAGACTGATGAGGCCCTCTTGACAGGCGAGTCCCTCCCCGTGCAAAAAGAGGCCGAGGCAGTCTTCGATGCCGACACTGGCCCGGGCGACCGCTTGAACATCGCATACAGCTCGTCGACAGTCACCCGAGGACGGGCCCGGGGTGTTGTAGTTGGCACGGGTATGCAGACCGAGATCGGTGCCATTGCTACAGCCCTACGCGGAGGCGACTCCAAGCGTCGCCCCGTCAAGCGCGGACCTGAAGGCGAGACGAAGAAACGCTGGTATATTCAAGCGTGGACGCTGACCACCACCGATGCGATTGGCCGATTTCTCGGCATCAATGTCGGCACACCCCTGCAACGCAAACTCTCTAAGCTGGCGTTGGCACTGTTCGGGATCGCCGTGGTCTTTGCCATCGTGGTCGCGGCTGCTAACAGTTTCCACGGAGACACCGAAGTGATTATCTATGCCGTCGCCACTGGCCTGGCTATGATCCCAGCTTGTTTGGTGGTTGTGCTGACCATCACCATGGCGGTGGGAACTAGGCAGATGGTGCAACGAAATGTGATTGTTCGCAAGCTGGACTCCCTCGAAGCCCTGGGTGCTGTTACGAACATTTGCTCTGACAAGACCGGTACGCTCACCCAGGGGCGCATGGTTGCAAAGAGGGCCTGGATCCCCTCCGTCGGAACCTACTCTGTCGGGTCATCGAGCGACCCCTTGAACCCCCAAGAGGGCGACCTGAGTTTGATGGCCGAGCGTCCGCTCCAGCTGGGAGCGGAAACAACCGGCGACCCAGCACAGCCAGAGGACCTGTTGAAAGACAACGAGAAGCTCGAGGCGTTCCTCAACGTCGCCGCCATGGCCAACCTGGCCCATCTCCACAAGAGCTCCACCGGCGAATGGCAGGCTCGTGGTGAGCCAACAGATATTGCCATCCAGGTGTTTGCGTCTCGCTTCAACTGGGGATTGGACCGATGGACCAAAGGCGAGAAGCCGATCTGGCAGCAAAAGGCCGAGTACCCATTCGACTCGAGCGTGAAGAAGATGTCAGTTATCTTCGCCAAGCGTGATGAAAGCTCCGAGAAGACTCCTCAAAGAATCTTTACCAAAGGCGCCGTCGAGCGAGTCCTCGAGGCATGCACGACGGTCAGCTGGAAACCCGATTCTGCCCCGGTCCCTCTGGATGATGACATCCGAGACGATATCCTGCAGAACATGGAGGCACTGGCCAAGGAGGGTCTGCGAGTACTTGCTCTGGCCGGCCGGGAGAACATTGGAACCAAAGAAGGCGAAGAGCCTTTGCCGCGTGAAGAAGTTGAGAAGGACCTGGTATTCTTCGGGCTGATCGGGCTGTACGACCCTCCCCGGCCCGAAACTGCAGGTGCGATCAGCCAGTGCTACAAGGCCGGCATCTCAGTCCACATGGTTACTGGCGACCACCCGGGGACTGCTCGGGCAATCGCAGCGCAAGTCGGGATCATCCCGTCCAACATGGACATGATTGCCAAGGACGTGGCAGACGCAATGGTCATGACAGCCGGGCAGTTCGACAAACTGACCGAAGACGAGATCGACAACCTGCCAACTCTGCCCCTGGTCATTGCCCGGTGTGCACCGAACACCAAGGTCCGCATGATCGAAGCCCTGCACCGCCGGGGCCGCTATGTCGCCATGACAGGCGACGGCGTCAACGACTCGCCTTCGCTGAAACATGCAGATGTCGGTATTGCCATGGGCCAGAACGGTTCCGATGTGGCCAAGGATGCGTCCGAGCTGGTGCTGACCGATGACAACTTTGCTTCCATCATCAACGGCATCGAGGAGGGCCGCCGCATCTTCGACAACATCCAGAAGTTTGTGCTGCATCTGCTGGCGGAGAACGTGGCGCTCGCTTTGACTCTGCTGATTGGGCTGGTGTTCAAGGACGAGAGTGACATGTCCGTGTTCCCCATTGCCCCGGTGGAGATCATCTGGATTATCATGATCACATCGGGTCTCCCTGATATGGGCCTGGGAATGGAGACTGCAGCCCCAGAAGTGATGGACCGGCCACCGCAAAGCGTATGTACTCCTTTCCGTCTGTTTTGATAAGTTCCTACTGATCACCATACTAACATTCACTTAGAAACAAGGTATTTTCACCTGGGAAATCATTATAGATACTCTGGTATACGGCGTGTGGATGGCAGCACTCTGCCTATCAGCCTTCGCCCTGGTCATGTTCCGCTGGGGCGACGGCAACCTGTCACGAGGCTGCAACACCGAATACAATAACCCATCCAACAGCTACAACTGCGATACGGTCTTCCGGGCGCGCGCCACAACCTTCACCTGCATGACCTGGTTCGCGCTCTTCCTCGCATGGGAGATGATCAACTTGCGCCGCAGCTTCTTCCGCATGCAGCCCGACTCCAAGCGCTACCTGACGCAGTGGATGCACGATGTGTGGAGCAACCGCTTCCTTTTCTGGGGCATCATGGCCGGTTTCATCCTCGCCTTCCCGATTTTGTATATCCCCGTCATCAACCAGAAGGTGTTCAAGCACACCAGCATCTCGTGGGAATGGGGCATTGTCTTTGTCGAGACAGTGCTCTTCTTCCTGGGTATTGAGGTGTGGAAGTGGTGCAAGCGCGTCTATTTCCGTCGTCAGGCTAGGAAGAATGCGGCCCGTGAGGGTGATCGTGGTGCCGAGCGCCGCGGTCTGAGGGATTTCAGTCGCTATACTACCATGGACCGGTCTGACACCCAGGCCAGTGATATGAAAGTAGAGCAGTCCATGGTTTGAAGGGGGGGGAGAGAGAAGCTGTAGATGATGATTTGCTTCTTTATGGGTTTCGCGTGCATGGGTGATGATATAACCCGGTGATTCTCGCTATAGATCTGAGTGTAGATTTGCGATTTGCATGAGTTCGTTACGAATCTTGCTGGAGTTTCCCAGTACCTTTCCAATGTTGCTCCAGAATTTTGCTTAGATAGATACCAACGATGTTGCATTTGAATTATGATTAGACACACATTAATAACCGATCACGAGCGGAAATATTGTAACAACGGACTATTATAGCGGAGCACATCGATGCACCTCTTTCCCCAATGTACACACGTCGATCAAGTTTCCTGGTATATGTGAACCCTTTCAAGGCGAGGTTTGACCATTGTCAGCCTCAGCCTCAGCGTCCCCATTGGCAACCCGCTTCTCCGGGTACTGCGTCTCCTCCCATTTCTCCCAGAAATGGGCACCCTTTCGCAGCGAGGTGACCGTCTCCCAGATCACGCAGAAGACGAACAGTGCCATGATTATAGACAGGATCTCAGTTGCGTCGAGGTGGTGGGCGAGAGGGAGGAGCACGATAATGATTGCAGTGATTGGGCGCATAGCCAGACGGAAGGGCTAGAAGGAGATAGTCAAGAGTTAGAGGGGCCTGGGAAGAAGAACAAGTCGTGATATTTGCATCCATACATACCTTGGGCAGAATTAGATTCTCACCATGGTCACTAGACCCATGCAACAGCGCAAAGATATACAGGCACATCATGCCGGCGCCCAAACCACCACAGAGAAGCCAGCGCTGCGGGTCCTCGAACTCTTCCTCCGCGACCGAAGCAGCGGCAACATGGCCACCAGCCAGCAGACTAGCAATGAGCGGCAGGTGAATAAGCGCCCACGAGAAAGCCGTGTAGACCGAGTTCCGCAGCGGATGGGTGCACTTCACCGCGCAGTCGGCATGGGTATACAACCAGTTCAAGCAGAACGCAATGATAAGAGTCCAGATGGCACGCATCAGCCGCAGATTCAGACCGATCGCCGCATTCGACCCGACGATGATCAGGTACAGGAACTCGCCGAGCGCGATAATATAGAACGCCGCGAACCGGTCGACCTCGTGGGGGATATCAACGGCCGTCGAGTACTTCGTGCGCAGCAGCTTCTTGGCTGCGGGCGAGTAGCAGAAAACCCACAGCATCTCCTCGACGGAAACGGCGACGGCCGCGGCGGCGATCTTGCCGCGCATCGAGACGGACTCGAAGTACAGTGGGATGTACAGGCACAGCGTGAGTGTTGACGCGCCTACCCACAGCCGTTGCTGCAGTCGGTGGTGGTAGCTTGCGAACGAGTATAGGAGATGCGCAAGGTTGCAGGAGACGCGCGCGACCATGTATGCTGCCACGGTTGATCGCATCGCGCCGATCTCTTCGTCTACTAGTGGTGCGTTGTTGCCGTAGACTACTAGCACGGCCATTACCCAGAGGATCAGTACGCGCTGCAGCAGGTCGTCGTTGTAGAAGGAGTTCATTAACTCCCGGAGATCGCTCCATACGTGCCATGACGGCGCGAGGATCAGCTGCACAGACGGACAGACAGATAATCAGTACAGTGACAAGTCACCTCGCACGGGCGCAACTTACAATGTACTTGGCGAGCTTGGCTCCCGAGATATCCTCGGTGAGGGTATCCGCAAAGTTCGAAAGAAGCGCCACATAGAGCAGATCGAGGAAGAGCTCAAAGCGACCTGCAATACTAGCAGTTAGCTTAAGATGTCTTGCGTGTGGTGTGTATTTTGTGATTCAGACCTGCTTGTCTCTCGCCCTCTTGGCGCTTCATCAACCGGCCGCCTTCAAACCATTGCAAGGCGCGCGGCTGGCGAAAGAGAAATCGATGCTCGGATTTCTGTTCCTCGCCCATTCTGTGTGCTTTTTTTCCCCGTGCAGAGCAATGCTGCAGACTCGTGCGCAAAGACGCGTTATGTGTGTGTCGCAAGGAATGCGCTCCCGCGAGATCTGCATCTGCGACTCGATCCAGGACCCACCGTTCACCCCCGCGACGGACGATCTGATTCGATGTGAAATTTTCGGTCTTTGCGGCAGCCGAGGGATGACCGATGCTGGAAGGGGAAGTCCCACTTTGAAGCCTATATCCTGGTGGAGACATTGAGATGGTTTAACTGGCGCAGTGCATCTATGGGGGATGTAGGGTACAAAATATTGTGGGTTTACTTTGTCATGCGAGTTGTGTTCATCGCCGTGCGGAAATTTTGTATTTCGCTAGATATAATATGTGGTAAGCTGGGAATAGTGGCAGCATGTAGATCACAGGGGCCACATGAATCTTGCCACTCCGGCCTAGCAACGCGAAAACCAAAATCTCGAAAACCGATCTTCAAAGCAAGTTGAGTCTAGTGCCGCTGCTGGAAGCGCTCTGGGAGAGTGCTTCCTCGACCCATGATTGCTCGAGTATTCTCCTGAAACCCGGACATGTCTTCGTCGCGGTTGTTGCTTTGCCGAACCAGCTCCTCGAAGCATTCCTCGAGGGTTTGCAGGTCAGACTGGAGGGCAGCCTGTTCGCTCTCCGGCAGGGAGGTATGGATATTGCGCGCCAATGCCTTTATAGCAAGGGTGGTCGCTGCCAAGGCGGTTTCCACGATGTGCTTGCTTTGATCCAGAGCTTCCATTTTCAGCTCAAGCGACTGTCGCTTCTCCCGGAACCAGAATTGGTCGTCCTGGCAATGCTGCATCCAGGCGCGAAGGGTTTTCCGTAAATCGGCGCTGCGTGGGGTGACGAGGGAAGATTGGTGTGGGCTGGAGCTGGGATAGAGATCGGGGGGCGGTAGAACGAGCAGTCACTATCCCTGCCACTGGCATGGCAGGGCCCTGTCGATGGTTGGTTGCTGGTTGCAGGAAGGATAGTCGGTGGCAACTGTCTGAGAGTCGTTGGTCTCGTCGTCACTATCAAGGCTATCAGCAGAGAGGCGAAGTCAATATATGAGACCCGGGGGCGGGGGGGGGGTATCTTACTGTTGCGACGACTGTGGCTGCGTGGATTCAAGCACTGCGAAGGCGTGAATCACGGCAAACTGAGAGCACGATGAGATAAGAGTGAAGAAGAAAGGTAAAAAGGTGAGATGGAAGAGAGTCTGAAGTGAGTTGGTTGGCCACCTAGAAAGGGTTGGCTGGAGAAGACTGTATATTAAGATGAGATAGCAGAGGAAAGAAAAACAGGATAGATAGTTCATAAGCTCCGTAGAGAGACAGGCTGCGAGGGTTATGCGTTAGTTGCAAAGAGATCTTGGATAGAAGTAAGATAGGGGAATTTAGAGGTGATGGCAGATCAAGAATGTAAAGAGGTAAAAGTAGGGAAAAGGTGAGAGAGACGCTTTTTATAGTGACTTTGAGTGTTATTTTTACGTTGACTAGTCTTGGTTTTCCTCATCCCCTAGTCTCTTTGGAGTGCCTGTGCCTCGAAGGTTTTCTATTCGCCGTGATCGAGCCGTATGATATTGCATTGATTCCACGCATGAGGTATCAATCGTACTTTTTTGTTGTAATTGTCGTAATAGTACAGGGTCATGAACACATTATAAATTGGCTACTCTTGTCGCTCGGTGCCGGTTCAGCCATAATTGAATCATTCGCACCAGGCCATCAATGTCCTCGGTGGTATTGCCAGCATGCAGACACACCCGAACTCGTTCCTTGCCGTCCGGAATCGTCGGCGGCATAATAGCGCGTACGACAAAGCCATGCTGCTGACAGAAACCCGCTAGCTGTCGGGGCAGTGATGTTCGCAAAGAGAAGATAGGAGATGTTGGGAAATGATCCACTTCGAAGAAGGTTGATGGTCCTGCCTGCAAGCCATCTAATTGGCGTCGGAGATGTTGGATGAGTTGTTGTAGCCGGCGTTGTAACTGCATACGGCTGTCAGTACCAGGCCAGAGCACGCTGGAAAAAATAATCAACTGCAGAAAAAGTCGCACGTACGGGTTCGGTGTCTCCTGAAGATAGAAGCTCGTATGAAGCGCGAATAGATGCCAGGAAAGGGAAGCCCAGCGCCGTAGTATAGATCAGACTCCGGGCGTAGTTGATCAAATAGTCTCTCGTTTCAGACCCACATAGAACCATGGCTATATTTAACCAAGGAGTTAACATTGAGTGGTTTGCATATCGATTGCAGCAGAATACATACCTCCGTGACTCGCCAATGCTTTGCCGAATGTATGCACTCGGATGAACATGCGATCCTGAATACCGAGTTCCTGCACAACACCAGCACCTCGGGGTCCGACCACACCAGTTGCGTGTGCTTCGTCGACAATGAAATATCCATTGCCACAAGGCAAGAGTTCGTCAACTGCCTTGACGAATGCTTTGATTGGAGCCACATCGCCATCCATGCTGTAGATCGACTCGACAACAATGAAAACATTGCGCGTGCCGTCTTTCACCCCCATATCCGCGGCAATCTGCGATGCGAGAACATCTCTCAAGCTCGATGGCGAGCTGTGTGCGAACATCTTTCGACTCCCGGCTCGAGACAGCCGCATGCCCTCATGGGCGCTGGCGTGGATGAGCTCATCGTAAAGAATCAAATCACCCGGCTGGGGAATACTGGAGAGGACCCCGACATTGGCATCGAAGCCAGAGTTAAACAAGAGAGCTGTGGGGGCACCGTGAAAGGCAGCCACGAACTTCTCCAATTCCTCCGCATAGACTGAATTGCCATCCAGCAGTCGGGAACCACCGCTGGCAAAAGGATATGATGCTGGCGCGTGGTTTAAATGAGCCAGGTACCGGTCTCGGTAGGCGGCAGATGTGGAGAGAGAAAGGAAGTCGTTGGAGGAGAAATCCACGGCCGTCTGGGGTAGCACCGTGAGCCGGCGACGGGCGGACTTGGTCTCTCGTCGCGCCAGAGCGTCCGTCAATGAGTCAATGAGTGTTGGCGGTCTGGTCGTAGACGACTTTGCGCGGGGGAATCGAGGATCCATGAGAATCAATTGAGGAGTAGTAGCCCGGTGGACAATTTTTCAGTTCTCCCCAGTAATGGACGGGTGTTCCTGGAGCATCAATGATCATCCCGATGGATTTTGTACCGTGGAACGTTGAAGAGACCAATCCGAGGATCAATTGAAGAAGTGCCGGGTATGCTCGGCTGTCATGTTGGGGGTTCTGCAGGATTCTGCGGAGGAAAAAAAAAGAGAAAAAGCAACGGAAAACATGGGGATAAATCGTTGGGCCTCAACCAGTAATTACCTCGGTGAAAGAAAAAGGATGAGGGAATGTGGAGTCGTGACATCAGCTTCTCCGACGGAGGGATCGACCCCAGAGATTTGACTCACTGCACTCTTCTTCCCTTCAATGGCTCCCGTCGGTGCTGCGCTGTGGCGCTCATTGCGCGCTCACCAGGTCTATGGTGCTAACACGGACGTGGGCAAGACGATTGTCTCCACGGTGTTGTGCAATGCCATCCAGCGCCAGAACCAGAAGGCGGCATTCCTAAAGCCCGTGTCGACGGGGGCATTGGACGATGCGGATGACCGGTAGGAAACATCAATCCATGCCAGAATATTGAACAGTCGCTGATTTCGGTAGGCATTTGCATCGCTATGCCGGGGGGACTCTGACCAAGTGCCTCTACCAATTCGATGAGCCGGTCAGCCCGCATATTGCGGCCAAGCAAAAAACTGTAGGAGTGCTCGTGTGCTACAATCTGAGACCCAAAGTTAACCGTGACAGATTCCTCGAGACGACGATCTGCTCGCGTCAATCCATAAGACACTTTCGGGCTGGGCACAGTCCAACATCGACTTTGCCCTGGTGGAAACCGCCGGGGGTGTTCACTCTCCAGGTCCCAATGGGAATTCCCAAGCAGACCTCTACCGTCCACTCCGACTGCCGATCGTCCTGGTGGCAGACTCTCGTTTGGGAGGCATTTCTTCATCTATCTCAGCATACGAGTCGCTGCTGCTCCGTGGATATGACATCCAATCGGTTCTTCTCTTCCGAGATGAGTATTATAAGAATCACGAGTATCTTCATGATTATTTCCGGAATAAAAGCATCCCACTGGTTGGGCTACCCGCGCCCCCTACCAGACCGGCAGAGCTGGACGCTAGTTCCCAATCTCGGGACGAGGAGGCTATGGCCACCTACTACGGAAAGGTCTCGCAGGAATCGGATATTTCGCGGCTTCTTGAAGAGATGTCGCTGAAAAACACCGAGCGGGTCCAACGCCTCGAAGAGATGGCTGACCGAGCCCGAGATGTGATTTGGTACCCCTTCACGCAACATCAAGGGATGCAAGCCAAGGATATCACCGTGATTGACTCGGCCCATGATGACTATTTCCAGACCTTCGGCACTGAGCGTTCTACCTCCAGCAGTCAGCTACAGCCTACTTTCGACGGGTCGGCATCCTGGTGGACCCAGGGCTTGGGCCATGGAAACCCGGAATTGTCTCTGTCGGCTGCCTACGCTGCCGGTCGCTATGGCCATGTTATGTTCGCAGGGGCCGTGCATGAGCCTGCGCTCTCGCTCGCGGATCGACTGTTGCAAACGATTGACAACCCTCGATTCACCAAGGTGTTTTACACTGATAATGGCAGCACGGGCATGGAAGTGGCCGTGAAGATGGGTCTTCGGGCAGCGTGCGCACGCTATGGCTGGGATGCCAGCCAAGAGCAAGTCAGCATCTTGGGACTCAAGGGTAGCTACCACGGCGACACGATCGGCGTGATGGACTGCTCGGAGCCGTCGACATTTAACCAAAAGGTCGAGTGGTACCGAGGCCGCGGCCACTGGTTCGATTTCCCTGTGGTCAAGATGACTGGTGGGACATGGAAGGTCGAGGTGCCCGAGGATCTCCAGACGGACTTGGGCCTGGCTCAGGAGTTTGCTTCCTTGGGGTCTGTGTTCGACCTTGACCAGCGGGTCGAGTCACCTACTGGACGACGCTACAAAGATTATATCAGGCGCACCATCGAAGATCTGGTGCACCGCCAGGGCATGAAGTTCGGCGCTCTGATTCTGGAACCTGTTATTCTGGGTGCGGGTGGAATGCTCTTCTGGTTAGTGACCGAATATCCCGACCTTCTTGTCCATTCCTGCAACAATCATACAAATACTGACAACTGCTCTGTGTAGTGACCCGCTCTTCCAGAGATGCCTGACAGACGTCGTGCGTGACCACCCAGAGTTATTCTCTGCCAAGGGCTCTTCCCCCAAACAATCACCATCGTGGTCAGGGCTGCCCATTGTTTTTGACGAAGTTTTCACGGGTCTCTACCGACTCGGTCGCCGAACCGCAGCATCTTTTCTGGGGGTGCATCCCGACATCGCTGTGAATGCTAAGCTTCTAACTGGTGGCCTGATCCCGCTCTGTACCACCGTCGCCAGCCAGGAGATCTTTGACTCCTTCTCCAGCCCCGAAAAGAGCGATGCTCTCCTCCACGGCCACAGCTACACTGCGCACGCAGTCGGGTGCACAGTGGCAGTTGACTCGCTACGGGCTATGGCCAAACTCGAAGGGGACGGGTCATGGGATGGATACCGCGCAGACTGGCGCGGTAGTAACCCCGTTAGAGGGGAGATGTCGGCCCCGGATGTGTGGAGTGTGTGGTCCCATGGTCTACTGCAGGATCTCTCCAGTGCACAAAGCGTGGAAAGTGTTTTTGCGCTTGGAACTGTGCTCAGTATTTCACTGCGCGATGCGCAGGGCGGTGGTATGTTCTCATCGCACCTATCTGAATATTTTCCCAATCTAATTTTGTATGTTACAGGATACACGTCTACTGCCGCTAAAGGGCTGCAGCAAAGACTCGCTGTCGGGGGCGACCAGTTCAATGTGCATTCTCGAGTCCTCGGCAATGTACTCTACCTCATGTCGAGCGTGACGTCGAAACCAGAGTCTCTGCGGGAGATGGAGGCCTTGTTGCGGTCTGCGCTACTGTAAATGGGACTCGATGCGGGATACATAAATCAAATAAAGATATTCCATGACTGCTAGTCCCCGGAAAAGAGTAGGAAGTAGTAGCGGACAAAGGTACCACCAATCTTCACCAACAATAAGTCCAAGAATACGATTTCCTAGAGAACAACTCTAGCAACACCCCATCTCTTCAACATCCACCAAATAGGCAACCAAAGACATGGTCTTATCCACCAGCGATGCACAATACAAGAAATATCTACTCATTCGACGGCGCAATCGACCTCATCGAGATAGGAATAAACTCCCCATCCTCATCATCCGTAATATTCCAATGCATGGAATAAGCACCATCATTACTGCCGGACTTCTTCGCATAGAATAGCGAGGTATATCCGCCATCGTCGGCTTCGACCAACAAGAAATGGCCGTACCAGACGAACTTGGTCGTCACCTGGCCCGTGGACGGGTTTTTGGTGAATCCCATCTTGTGGGATTTCGAGTTTGGGCCGGGGATGAAGAGTTGCTGATTTGAGAAGGGGGGGTTGTTGGTGCTGTTTGTGCTGCCGCTGCCGCTGCCACTGCCGCTGCTGGGACTGGCGCTGGCACTGTTGCTGGGGGAGGCGGGCGAGGTGCTGTTGGCGGGGTTTCCTTCTAAGGGGGGAGAGGATCCTCTAGTAACTGGGTGTTTTGGTGAGTTTCTCTGATCCTTTGGTTTCTAACAAACCTGGAGGGTGGGCTACTTACAGGCAACTTGTCCGACTGCTGTAGCATTGCTTGGTGTAGACTTGGAGATCACTGCATTGCCTTGGGTTTATGGTCAATGTATGTTCCAAGAGCCTTGAAGTGTATACCCTTCTTGGTACTCACCATCTGCGTAGTACATGGCTAACCCCCCAATATTGTCCCCGAAGGCATACAAACTGTACGTATCAGAGGACGAAGAGGATCGTGAGTTGATACTTGCCGCTAACCCGAAAGAACCAAGCAACAAGAAGGATAGACAGACAGCCTGAAACAGCATTTTTAGACTGATAATAGAGAGAAGATTGACGAGCAAGAAAGATGGTAAAGGAAAAGAGGGCTAGACAAGAATGCTCCAACAAAGGAAATTGATCATTTAACCCAAGAGATAAACTATCTAAGCCACGCGTATCCACAGCGATACATTTACCATATTATTTACACCTTTCATAAGGAAGATAGCAACCCGCTCATGCTTCCTCCTCTACCGGGAAATCCCCGGCGATAGACCCGCCAACTCAGCCTTGTCTGTACGGCCAACCAACGCGACAACGAAAAAAAGAAAAGCGAAAACACTCCTAGGCAGACAAGTATTGAGTCCGTGCTAAATTCCTCGCGTGGTTATTTCCGGTTCATCTACTCAATTCGTCCCCGGTGGCTTGCGTGGAGCTGACGTTGTGTGCAGGCTCTATACCCGAACCGGGTGTCAGATCTTGGACGTGGTGGATCCCGCTAGCCGTGCCGAATTGCGCATTCATGCTTAACCTTGCCCTAAATGAAGATTTCAGCCATCCGCTTGCTAGAATAATGTCTCTTTTAGAGTAACGCTCCAACTTTAACATATCTATGCATGGCGGTAAGAAGATTCTACTTGGATTCTACTTGGATTGCTTAGATTTTCTAGAAATAGTCAGTCTTATACTTAGACCAGGTGAACACGAGCCATAATTAGCGTGCATGATCTGCGGGTCCAGATAATGCTAACTTGGTCCCAATGTCTCGTCTCCCTGGCCCTATGTGCTTGTTAATGGGTACAATTTTCTTGGCTGTGGACTGAGATGGAGCCTGTAGGCCGCGTACCCCTGGACGGTCGTACTTCTAATCGACTCGAAAACAAGGATTAGAAGTCGCCTGAAAATAGGGCTGTGTTAGAGACTCGAAATACAATGAGGTTAATGCCCCGGTCCTTGTAAGGTCAGCTGGTGACAAACAGTACCCATAACTCTGAAGTATTTAGGCAATCCGTCCATGGCCCGATATTTCTTTTCTCTCATCATTTGACCTTCGTTTTGTTTCTTCCTTGGTACATATATTCAACTTTCTATTCTTTTTGTGGTCACCTACGCCCCAGAAGAGGACTGTAGGCAGTATGAGAGCTCGTCCGGCTTTCTCTCTTTTCCACGGCTTGATTGCTGTCGTATTCACGGCTAGTCTTCCCCAATCATCCGCGTCTATCCTCCCATCGGCATCTCTATATCCTTCTCTCCTTTCCTCATCTAGCAGCGCTTCTTTGAGTACATGTACTGGGAACACGGCAACAACTCGCCAGAAATGGTGTGAATACGACATCCACACCGACTACACTTCTATTGTCCCCAAAACTGGCGTGACTCGAGAATACTGGTTCAATCTTGAACATGTAACCGTTGCGCCCGACGGCCGCGCAAGATCAGCAGTCGCCATCAATGGCTCGATCCCCGGCCCAACCATCGAGGCCAACTGGGGCGATAATGTCGTCGTGCATTTGACCAACAGCCTGCCGGCCAAAATGCAAAACGGGACCAGTATCCATTTCCATGGAATCCGGCAATACTATACCAACCAGAACGATGGCGCGGTCTCGATCACTCAGTGCCCTGTCGCTCCCAACAACACAATCACCTACAAGTGGCGCGCTATGCAGTACGGCACGACCTGGTATCATTCTCACATTGGACTGCAGGCGTGGCAGGGCCTCTTCGGGGGTATTGTGATTCATGGACCTGCTAGTGCGAACTATGACGAGGACAAGGGTGTTGTTATCATGAATGACTGGGACATCAACACAGTCGATCAGTTGTTCATGACTGCTCAGAAAAACGGCCCGCCTACCTTTGACAATGCTTTGATCAATGGTACTAACGTCTTTGGGGCTGATGGTGCTCGCAACCAAACGGGGACTCGTTTCAACACCTCTTTTACCGCGGGGACATCCTACCGGCTTCGTCTGGTGAATGCGGCATGCGATACGCATTTCAAGTTTTCTATCGATAACCATACCCTGACGGTTATCGCTAATGATCTTGTGCCCATTGAGCCTTATAAAACTAACATCCTCAACATCGGAATGGGCAAGTATACTAATCTTCACCTTGGGTGTTTTGGGCATCCAAACTGACTGTTTATAGGCCAACGCTACGATATCATCGTCAATGCCAACCAGGCCTCGGTGGCAAAAAGCTTTTGGATGCGAGCCATTCCCCAAACAGCATGCTCAGAGAATGATTCAGCATCCAACATCAAGGGAATTGTATATTACGGAAGCTCACATTCAACCCCATCGACGAAGGGATACAGCTACACCGACAGTTGCGCCGACGAGGACATGTCCAACCTGACACCCATCGTGTCCGAGACCGTGTCGAGTCCATCATACAACAAATCAGAGCCGGTCTCTCTCGGCAAGAACCCCGCCAGCCTCTATCGATGGAAGCTCAACTCGACGTCGATGCACGTCGATTGGACAGTCCCGACACTATTGGAAGTCTACCGGGGACACCACTCATGGGCTAATACCAGCGGAGTCATCGAACTTCCCCACAAAAATGTTTGGACGTACGTCGTCGTCGAGACCAGCCTGTCGGTCCCACACCCGGTTCACCTGCACGGGCACGACTTCGTGGTAGTCGCGCAGGGCAGCGGAACCTACTCAGGGGCCGGGCCGACGCTCGCAAAGCCGCCAAAACGGGACACGGCCATGCTGCCGGAAAACGGATATTTGGTCCTTGCATTCAAGACCGACAATCCGGGCGTGTGGCTCATGCATTGCCATATTGGGTGGCACACCGAGGAAGGATTCGCGATTCAATTCGTGGAGCGGTATGGTGAGATCAAGGCGCAGCTTGATTACAGCGCCCTTCGGGGCAACTGTAGGAATTGGGAGGCATACCAGAACCGGAATAGGGTTGCAGAAGATGATTCAGGGATCTGAGCCCAATCCCTTTTGCGTATTTGTGTCCTCGGGATGTGGGTGGACTTGTGCACGAATATTGAGAATAATGAGGGGGCCAGTTATTATGAATCGAAATCATGCCTCTCGCGCAACACCCGACCCCAATGACATAAACCCCGGTCCACCGCGCATCACTGTCATCGTGCAGGTCGACCCCGGAGGCGTGGTGAACGGCCGGGGTCGTGGCCAGCATGTCAAATGAATAACATCTCCAAAACTTAATGCAGATGACTTGTTATGATTGGCCACCACAGCTATTAATATATGCGATGCTTGGCTTTTAGGCGACAAAGCTTAGCCCACATTTCTGTGCTTATTTTGACTAAATTTTTCTCGAGTGGCAACAATGCGCTTCAATCCGACGGGGGACTCCCAAGGCCTCAAGGCTGACAATGAATTGTACATTACTCGATGGAGCTCAGCAGGAAGTAATGTCGGCCTCGACAGAATTTTCCTTTTTTGTTCATCTCTCTTCTTTCCTTCTACATCCTTTATCTTGGACTTGCATCAGGATTCCATGGGGGCCATATGCAGCGGGCTGATCCTGGCTGGCGATTTATTCATGGTCACACGGTGCAAATTCTCATCGCTATGGCGGAGTACTATGGGCCAAGGTCGGCTACTCTCGGCCAGCCACAAGACACCGGCAATTCTTGTTATATAATGGCACACCGAACCGAGGCTGTGATTGGGTGGTCGGCGCCATAGGGCGGAGAACGAGCCCCACACTCGGCGCCCGGAAGTGGGCCGAAGACGCTTAATTCTTTGCTGATCGCAAGTTGGTAGCCGCATGCGAGCCTTTGTATCACAAACAGAAACTCGCTTGATGGACACAGAAGCCCATTTCTTTGGATAATGCAATTGTGCAATGAAAATTGCCCCGATAAGATCCCTGGTCTCTTTCTCTCCCCCATCCTTCCAGAAGTTCTGGGCCCCGCAATTCCTTGCCCCAACTTCCCCCTAGTAAAAAAAAAAAAAAAAAAGGGCGCGTGGGTGCGGGGAGTTCCGGTTGGGTAACGCGACGTTGAGCTCCACCCACGGTTGACTCGAGAATTTTCTGCGCCTACAAAGCTCTTGTCTCTTCTGTGTTTTTTACCTTTTCCAATCTTTACCCTGGCACTCCCAATCTCCTTCACCTTTTTACTCTGTGCCGGATCTATTACATCGCACTGAGAGCACAATGATCCTCGACGGAGTGACGCCGCAGCACGACACTGTCGACTCGGAGACAGGATATGGGGAAAAGTCGCTGGACGACGAGAAGCCCGTCGCCCCACGTTATGTCGACCCATTCGGCGACGAGGAGGGTGCCGAGGTCAAGTATAAGACTATGGAGTGGTGGTAAGTTTGACGACTATCATAGCTGTCAGCAGGCATGCGGAAGCAGATTAGCTGACTCTGGTGATTCTAGGCAATGCGGAATGTGTGAGTGTCTACGAGGGAATGCGCAGAATACCTCTCGCAAAAATATCTGACCGAGCTCTAGTCATGATTGCCGAGTCTGTCTCGCTGGGAGTTTTGTCTTTGCCAGCAACCCTCGCCCAGCTGGGTCTCGCCCCGTGAGTGTCGAAAGCCTGGAGAAAGCAATAATCGGGCCTCTATATTGACTGGCTACAGAGCCATTGTTCTAATTATCGGACTGGGACTTCTCGCCACATACACCGGATATGTCATCGCACAATTTCGCCAGCGATACCCGCACATCCAGAACTTGGCCGATGCAGGAGAGGTTCTGCTGGGAGCATTTGGACGGGAGCTGTTCGGGCTGGGCCAGCTGCTGTTCTCGATTTTCATTATGGGCAGTCACATCTTGACATTTAGCGTCATGATGAACACCGTGACTGAGCACGGCACTTGCACCATGGTCTTCACCACTGTCGGGTTTGTGATCTGCATGGTCTGTTCGCTGCCGCGAACCATGAAGAACATGACATACATCTCCTGCATGTCTTTCGCCAGTATCCTGACTGCTGTGATCATCACGATGATTGGCGTCGGAGTCCAGGGCAAGACCTCCACCATCAAGGCCACAATCGACACCGACCTATTCCACGCCTTCACTGCCGTGACGAACATCGTCTTCGCCTACTGTGCCCACGTCGCTTTCTTCGGTCTGCTGGCGGAGATGAAGGAGCCCAGGGACTTCCCCAAGGCTCTCCTTATGCTGCAGTCTTTCGAGATTGTCCTGTACACAGTTGCCGCCGTGGTGATCTACTACTATGCCGGCCAGTCTGTGGAATCTCCCGCTCTGGGATCCGCTGGCCCCGTGCTGAAGAAGGTTGCCTACGGCATTGCCATCCCAACTGTACGTGGTCCTACTGTGTCCTTTTTGTCACGAATCTTGTTTACTGACAATATCCTAGATTATTGGAGCTGGTGTCGTGAACGGCCATGTCGGCCTAAAATATATTTATGTTCGCCTTTTCCGTGGCTCGGACCGCATGCACAAGCGCGACCTGGTCTCCATTGGCTCGTGGGTGGCCATCGGCCTAACCTGCTGGATCATTGCCTGGATTATTGCCGATGCCATTCCTGTTTTCAGCGACCTGCTGAGTCTGATTGTAAGCTACACTGCCACTTCACTGTCACTTTTCTTTTCAAGTCTACATGCTAACCACAGTTCTTTTCTTTTTACAGAGCTCGCTCTTTGCCAGTTGGTTCAGTTGTATGTTTCTACTCTATCTCTATCTGATTATCCCCAAATCTATTGACTAACCCTTCGACAGACGGTCTCGGTGGCGTGTACTGGCTGCACCTCAACTGGGGCCAATACCTCTCCTCCCCACGCAAGATCTGCCTTACGATCGTCAACGTTCTGATCGTGGTTATTGGAGGCACTATGGTAAGTTGATATTCTTATACAAATTTCTCTTTTTGTCGACAGCCACTAACACAAGTTTTAATGCAGTGCGGTCTTGGTCTCTACGTCTCCGGAAAAGCGATTCACGATGATGCCTCCAGCAACAGCTTCTCTTGCGCCAGCAATGCGTAAGTCTAGCTCGAGTTGGTTGCACGTGGAAATGATTGATTTATATATATATATATGTAACGTGTGCTGTGATGTTTATACTTCATCGTTCTGTCTATATGTGGCATCGGCATGTTTTGTACAAGAGTTTAGCATTGATTGAACATAGAATTTGCGCGGCGCCTGATGATTATGGGCGTTGGGATCTGCAAAAATGTGTTTATCCGAGTAGACGGAGCGGCTTGGGTGGTAGCTTTAAATTGAACCTCTCCACTGATCCCGTAGCCTTTTGAATATCGGTTTACAGACGTAACGGGACACTGAATTTATGCTCGAACTGGCATAGAAAGTAGCCATAGGCTCCAACGAGCTTAGATGGAGGATAGTCAGCGAATGAGCTTTCGATTTATCGTCCCATGAAACAATAAACCACAAGGTTATTGGTTCCTAAACAGCAAGTCGGGTTGCATGTTGTGAACTACAAAATCACCCGGCTAGGTCCTTCTCATGTGCGTCGCCGAATAATTACACTGGAGCGATATTGGCCTAGAAAGCATGCGGCTCTGACGATAATTTTGCTGCGCCTATAGACCTTGTGCTGTGCCTCTAGGCAGAAGTCGGGGCTGGGCTGGGGATTGACTGAGATAACCAGTAATATCTTAACTTTCGTTTCGCGATACGAAAACTGCGAACATTATTCGCCTTTGAAGAGATTGGTCTTCATGCCATGATCGGAGATATCTTCCATTCCTGTTCTCGAACCCCCGTCTTCAACAGAAGCACAAGAATATCTTCTCAACTTGGCCCGACGCTATGATGCTTTCGATCAGTTGATTTGTGCTCTGGCTGCCACCTTGATATTACCAATGGATAATCGGTTCGGTGCTTTCATCACTTTGCCTAAACCCATTCGCGGCCATGGCTTGCTCCAGCACACCGAAGTAAATCTACTCAGACCAAATCCCCACATTTTCTGAGATTCCTCGGTACATGGCCCTCTCGGCCATATCGGGTCTGCTTCCCTCGTTTTTACTTGGGAGTTTCTGGGAGCCAGGTAGATCTTGTAATTTGGCTAGTGAATGGCTCAATCCTGCCTTGAAAGAAATCACATCGACGCTGTCTCAATTGAAATATTGGCGAGTTTTATTCGAAACTCGACATAAATTACTTTAAATACTTTATCAGACATTTGGTACCGGGATACCGAGGGGGAAAGATTTTCATCTTCATATTTAGAAAAATATCATCATATCGTCTCATAACTAACCCAAGGCCATACCAGGCATCCTTTCGTGATCTTCATCATGTCCCAATCTCATACCTGTGATCTCGGAGCATCAAAGAGAAACCAAACCAAAAGACATGTCAAAACAGAGGCATCGTCGCAGTATTGACATAGTCAACATTATCCGGCGCCGACTCAATCCGCTCATGGCAAGTCCCAAAGATCTGATCCCACAGCCGAGTCTGCTTCCCATAGTTATGACTCTTGCGCCAACCCTTGCGATGATGCAAATCATGATCCTCAATCACAATCTCCGCATCGAACATCTGCAACAACCAACTCAACGTCGACGGCACCGTCAAATGCAGCCTCAGCCCACTGTGTCCAAACACCTCGGCAAAGGCTACATATGCATGACACACCCACCACTCATAGAACCCCATCGGCAGACCCATCAGCTTCAGACTGAAGTACGTCATCATCGGCACGCCCACCATGTCAAAGAACTCCTGCTCGTGGTCTGCGTACGCGGCAAGCAATGGGTTCGGGTGTTTGGTGAGGTGGTGCGTGCGGTGGTATTTCCATAGGAAGCCCACGTCGTGCATCAGACGGTGGTACCAATAGAACCAGAAGTCGAGGACGATTCCGTATAATCCGATTTCCAGCGGTAGCCAGGCCCAGTTCATTTCCGAGGGTAATTGGCTCGCATTGTAGGACAGGTAGATTGACAGGATCAATCGCGAGCCCGTAGTTTTGTACAGCGATGTCACGACCTTGGCAACCCCGACGTCGGGGACACCATCACGCTCATGCTTATCGCCGTCGAGGAATCCATAGATATGGCCCAGCCGGCGCAGGATATGCACCTGGTAGATGACGGTGGCGTTAAAGGCCAGGAAATACAGGTTAAATGCGGCGATGGGACCCAGCGTGCGGCCCGTGTAGAGCATGTAGGTTTGGTGCGCGATCAGTGGCAGCGCAGAGTAGAAGAGTACCCAGCGCTGCAGAGACCACTGCGGCATGAACGGCACGCGCTCTTCTTTGGCGTGCACGGGCACCTCCTTGTCGAGGGCGATGGGGTGGGCGTTCAGTAGTTCCAGGAGCCAGTGGTTGTGGTTCCATTCTGAGCGGTTGGCGGTACGCCATGTGGATTTCATGGAGTCTTTTGAGGCGGGTTTGGTATCCATGGTGGATGGCAAGTGTCCAATTTTGATTGTAGGATACCGTCATGGTAGGCCAGGGCCTGGTTTATATCATGGCTCTATAGTGGTATGGGTATAGAGGTATACCCGGATATCTCCACCCCCGCTCCATGTGAAGGACATTTTGACGACACACTTATCCCTGTTGTGGATCAAGTCTTCCCCAACAAAAAAAAAGATCGGATCAAATATGGACAAGGTGGATTGAAGAGGCTCCATGCTGTGGATTGGGTCCCCATGTGAAATTCTCCGCACGAAAGATGCCGAGGGAGTCTCGGGTATCCACCCATCCTTATGAAGAGCGTATTGTGGGCTGTACTGAGATCATTGCATACGATGTCGCTTAGGGTTCGATGGATGTTGTTTCTGGGATGTCTTCATGGTATAGTGATGCAGATGATGTAGCCTTGTACAGCGCCAACTCCGCAAGTCAGCCTCGGTTGCCGGGTATCTGACAAGACTGTGACGCAGAATGGTTGACGCCTTGCTGATCGCCTCGCCTAATCCGGTATCCACTATGTTGGACTTGTTTTCTAGTATTGATTAGATCACGTCAGGGCCATCAGATGATGCCAGAGTGGGAACTACCCCGATGGTTCCCTCGGACGATGGGGCCAGAGTCCGGGGCGCAAAAGCTGGTCTGGACGGTGTCTTTCTTTTTCGAGGTCATCTATAAGGCTTGCAACTAGCCCTAGTAGTGGCTCTAGTAGTGATGAGAGACGAGCCCTATTTTTAGAGCCAGAGATGTGGTGCTAGTCGGAGGTTAGGATGAGCTTAAACAGGGACCCTGACTCAGGCTGCAGACCTTCCTTGCATGGGCTGATCGGTGGTTGTGATTTGCTGGTTTTCGTCTACAATGCACATTGACAATGTTCATCGTAGACAGAGATTGGACATGGTCATTTTCGTTTGATATCCTTGGAATAAATCCCAGGAGTCACTACGCCCAACAAGAGGGCAAAATGCCCTACCACCACGACTTGCAAGTATTCTCTTTTCTGGGATTCAATCCTGGATTATAGGAATACTTTATTTTCTACTAGCAACAGGCTTCTGCAACATGGACAGATAAGCAGCTCTACCATCCTAGGAGCTGGCTGCGACCGGCGCAGCAGAGGCATCGGATTGTGTGGGAGGCGGCGCAGTGGTCGTAGAGTCCGCTGCTGGGATCCGAGCTCGCTCAAAGCTCTTCATAGGGTAGTATCCCCAACGCTCAAACATAACCCGGTCCTCGTCCCAGCCGTTGCAGTCGGTGGTCAGCATCTTCTCACCGGTAAAGACAGCATTGGCACCAGCCTGGAAGCAAGCCACCTGCTGCTCCTCAGAAAGCGAGATGCGACCGGCGGCAAGACGGACGATAGTACCGGGCATGATAATACGAGCAGCGGCGATGGTGCGCAGGACCCGGTCGAAGGGGATCATCTTGCGGTCGCCGAGCGGGGTGCCGGGGATGGGGACCAGGGCGTTGACGGGGAACGATTCCGGGTGAGCGGGGAGACTAGAGACGGTGTGCAGCAGACCGACACGGTCGGCATCAGACTCGCCCAGACCCAGGATACCACCCGAGCAGACGTTGATGCCAGCGTCGCGCACGTGGTCCAGGGTGCGCAGGCGCTCGTCGTACGAGCGCGTGGTGATAATGGTCGGGTAGAACTCGCGCGACGTGTCGAGGTTGTGGTTGTAGGCCGTCAGACCGGCGTCTTTCAGTTCTTTGGCCTGGCTGTCGTCGATCATGCCCAGTGTCACACACACTTCCATGTCCATCTCGCGGATTCCTGACACCATCTGCTTGACGTTCTTCAGGCTGGTCTTGCGCCCGCGCATATCCCGCCACGCGGCACCCATGCAGAACCGTGTGCTACCATTGGCCTTGGCCGTTCGGGCCTTCGTCAGCACCTCGTCCACTGGGCTCATCTTGGTCGCCTTGAGGCCCGTGCTGTGCCGGGACGACTGGGCGCAGTACGAGCAGTCCTCGCTGCACCCACCCGTCTTGATGTTCATCAACGTGCACATCTGGATCGCTGCCGGGTCATGGAATCGGCGGTGTACGGCGGCCTGTATGTGGTCAGTTTCAATTCCACGATGTCGTCCCCGATCGTCGACTATGCGTGGGGTATGTCAACGTGACCAGGCATATCTCATGATTGCACTTACCGCCGCATATGTGAGTTCATTCAATGGGGTATTATAGATCTGGTTCACCTCTTCCTTGGTCCAGTTGGTGCGTGGGGTAGCAGCCGTGGTGGCCTCGGTCAGGACGCTGGGGATACGGTTGGCCAGCGACGTAGCGCTGGAGGGACCCTGAACAGTCCCGTAGGAACGGAAGACCGTCCGGGGTAACGACCGGGTCAATGGGAGAGACATGATGGATCGGTAAGGAGGTGAAGGAAGAAGAGAGAGAAACTACAAGATGAGTCGGGAGGGGCAGGGATTCACCGGCGCGACGGTTACGACAATCGTGTGGGGATAGGCAATTGCGGGCTTCATTATTGGACTCCCCCATGACTTAAATTCCTGCAGGCTCTTTCCCCTCAACTATCTAGCTATTTCACTATGTCAGACGCTTTACGTGCGAAAAATTAGATCCCCCGTCCCCGGTGTAGGGATGTTGAATTCCCCGTTGACCCCAACAAGCCCTGCTCTGCCCAGCGTTGATCTGCACCCCCTCTCTCTCTCCCACACTTTCCTTTCTCTTTCTCTGCCCCCCTCCCCTCGGATATCTTTCCCACTCCCTCCATCGATTCTCCGGCCATAACCGAGGGAGCGGGAACTATCTCCGGTTTGCATCCAAACACCCACCTACGGGGTTGTGCGCTCTCCTAAGTCGAATAGCCGCGCTTCTCTTGTGCGTCATTCCGGGGCCCACACGGGTCGACGCACCAATGTCTGGCTTCATATTAGCCAAGTGGCCTGTGCAGATCGACTCAAGAGAAACGCACCAAGAAATGGTTGATCCACGCAGGGGATCCAATGTTTGAAAACCGTCTATTCATGCGCCAAAGAACTCCGATACCATCCCATATCATACATATCATACACTCACTGCCAAATATATCGGCCCAGACGGTGTAGTCCCGCACAGCAGATCATCCCGCTGACTAGACAGCCATACCGCCATCCAAGCAACGTGATCGGCACGGAGGGAAACCAAATCCAGGCCAGCCAGAGGAATAACGGTGCGTGCTGCCTCAACACCCGTAGAGGCAAGGTCAGCACGACTGTGAATTGGAAAATGAAGGTCGAGTCCTCTGTGTCCAGGACCTTGCCCCAGAGAACCTGAAGCCGGGTGAATCCCCATTGCGTGAAAAAGCCAATTGCAACCGACAGCATCGTGATCACAAAGCCCCTCTGCGTATTGCCCTCGGTATTAATCGGGAGATCTTCTTCTGCAAGACGTGCCAATATGGTGGGGTCTGGTTCATGAATCGATCTCGAAGGTGTGGGATGAAGATAGCGTGAGTGATTCAAACTCATCGAGGCATCTTCTGATACGTTCATGTTGTCGCTGGTCCCCTCGGACCACGGACGTTGACGATATCGCTGGTGATTTGCTCGGGAAGGAATGTCGTCAGGCGCATTACTATGATACTGGTTGTTGATCTCTTCAGACCACAAATGTCGACGATGTCGTCGGCGACTTGATGTCGAAGAAATATCACCAGAGGAAATACTATGATGCTCGATTGTGGCCTCTTCGGACCACGAAATTCGACGATATTGTCGGCACGCCATCCAAGCAGAATATTGCGGTGCATGACCCCTAGCGTTCTGGCTTGCCTCTTCGGCCCATGGGAGCTGACGATATTGTGGACGAATCGATCTCGAGGGAATGTCATCGGATTCATCATCCGTTTCTTCGTTACTGGACACTTCGTCGGCCTGCAAAGGCGGAGGGGATTCATGACGGTCGGCCGCAGGAAACGAGTCCTCCATAAAGGGAAGTCTTGATGGTCCTTGGGAGCGACGAGAAATGCCTGAGGCTTGCCACTGGAAAGCAAGAGGCTCCTCGATGGATGCTGTTGGTGTCTCATCGTCCAAGGACAGCAAACGAGGCTGCTGCCTTGGTAGAAGATTGCCCTGACTGGCACTTTTGCCCCTCCGCAGGTGACGACGACGACACGCTTCAAATTTATCCGTCCAAGCTTTGATGGCGTCTTCTCTCTGGTTCTTATGGTGGCCATGGATGAGCAGAAAGCCCAACAGCTCGATGTCTGCGCAGGTTGTTTCTCCATCCTCCGTCGGAGAGAGTACGACTTGTTGAAGCATTCCATGGGCCTTGACCTGTTTGTCTCGGGCAATGAACGTACGGCATTCACGGCCTCCTCGACTCATGGTCCGGCCCATGCAACAGATTCTTTCTTCTTGCGGGGGAGGGACGTGGAGATCGAGGATCTCCCCAAGGGTTCGTGGGCGGGTGAGTGCCATGAGGAATGAAACTAATATGAAAAAAAAGAATGGTATTGATAAAAGAAAAGCAAGATCGTGTTGAATCCCCAAGAATTCGAGGCTAGCCCTCGAAGAGTGTTTTGGGCGTGATCTGAGAAAAAAGTATCTGCAGGGTAGACCCGTCTCCCGGCCCTGCTTTATACCCTGTCTGGAAGAGCCTCTTCCAGTACTTTTCTCCATCTCTTGAGCACGTCAGCCACACCAGGCAGCCACAGCCACCTAGGTCAAGCCCTAACCTGGAACACTCCGCCCCCTTGAAAGAGTCGAAATACCACTCTACCCCTGGTAATGAACAAGGGTTCTTGAGCTGATGGTGGTGAGCCGCCAATGGCGATTGGCGCATGAGGGCGGCTATTCCGTTGAGCACGAGAACTAACGAATTATTGATGATGCCGTGGCATTAAAGGGTTATCTTTGACCCGCTCTCTCTCTGCAGAGCCAGCCTCTGATTGATCGCTCTTTTATCTCATTACATACATTACATAGATCCCAGATTAGAATTGAGATCGCGTGGCCTGCGGGTAGGGCCGAGAGGGACACCACGTTTACTTACCCGCATTTTCTTCTGTATAACGCTCATGTTTGATCGCTGTTTACTCTGTAGCCCGAGAATGCAAATGATGCTTTTAAACAGGTCAGGGGGGATCGATTTACTCCACGCAATCATGTAATAGGCGTGGTGGTCAATGACAGTGTCGGGCAAGTATGCCGAAGTGTAAGTTGCATCACTGCAAAGAAGAGCGGCATACCTGCCATAGGTAGACCGCCATTCTATTAATGTCACTGCCATTTTGTCAATATTTTTTCAAGAAGAATGTCAGGGGCATGGGCTAGACCTATGATATCCTATCGGAATATGGAAACATAAATTGAGGCGTGTAAATCCACGCACTTGCCAGGAACCACAGCCCTCGAGCATTGTCTTCACAACCCTCTCAACCCTCTCAATCACAACATCCATAGAACCCAAATCCCGAGTCTCAAATCCCGAGAAAGGTCATGAGTGAAGTCCTCATCATCGGTACCGGCGTCTTCGGCATAAGCACCACCTACCACCTAGCGCAGCAGTCAACAACCCCATCCAGCATCACAGTGCCAGACCAAGCCCCGCTCCCATCCCCGCATGCCGCATCCATCGACGTGAACAAGATCGTTTGCGCGGACTACTCGAGCCCGCTCTACATGGACCTCGCCCTCGAGGCCATGGATGCATGGCCACAATAGCCCGCTCTTCAAGGATGCCGGTGTCTTATCACCAGACGGGGGTGGGTCATGCTGAACGAAGCAGGCAGCGATCTGGCCAAGCGCGTGCGCGAGAACTTTCGCGCTAGGGCTAGTAATAACAACAATAATAGTGATCGCCTGGGCCCCACACAGGATCTCACTGAAGAAAATGTTCGCTCCTAAATGGGGTGGGTTGTTGAAGGATGCGGATTACGGCGCGTTTGGGTCCTACTACTTTGACCCGTCTGCGGCGGGTGATGCTTTGCGCTTTATAGCTGAGGATACTATGCGGATGGGAGTTCGGTACTGCCTTGGTGAAGTGCGTCGCATTTTGCTGCGGGATGAAGGGGTCGCAGGGGTCAAAACCCCTGTCAGGGGATGTTTATGCGGCCCCCAAGGTTGTGTTCGCTACCGCCGCCTGAACTCGTCAGGTTCTTGCCCGGATGGAGGACGAGCTGGGCATTTTTGAGGGTGAGAGGATTCAGAGTCAGGTCACTGCTGCCGGTGTGTCTGTTGCACACTTGCAGTCATCTTGCTGAGGAACGGGAAGTATACAGCCAACTCCCGGTAGACGTCTATGGCGGCATAGGTATGTCTTTCCACCACCGAAGGAATACTCGAATCCAGCAATGAACAGAAGCTAATGATCATGATCAAAATTCAGGAGAGGTTATATATACCACCCAGTGCATCTGGGATGTGAAAATTCACCAACTCACTTTTGTGTTTCAAGAGTTCGAAACAGGCAGGCACACACAAGTGTTATTTGCAATATAATGTGATTAGGGTTTGCAAGGGCTTCTTTGTGTTTGCGACGTGGAAGACGATGTTGGGCGCTATTGTACTCCGCAAGGCTAGTTTGTAGGCTTGGTCCGCGTCTGTTGGGACTCGATCTTCAATGGCCAGCACCCGCTGATCGCGCAACACTCTCATCCACGGTTGCAGAATATTTACTTTACCGTCGGGAACTCATTTCACTGCTCGAAGTTTCTGTCCACTATTGGGAGATATGTGGTCAATGTGCTGAACAGGGTTAGTAATGGAGCTGTGTGCGATGAGGCGTGGAGATGGAAGAAAGATCGAGGAGGTAGGGGAGGACATCAGAGCTTGATACCCGACAGAGAACTGCGAAATGATCAGTGCGGAATGATGGATATTATTATTACGCTGAGTGGAATTGTATAGAAACGACATGGCAAAGGTCAGCCGAGGCTGAACCCAGCATACTATATTGCAGATTCCAGGTTCCCCGTATAACCAGCTTCTCTCGCCTAAATGGTCCCACCAGTCCCCTATTGGAGTCTTAAATAAATCCATTGGAGTAGACAAGTTGGTGCGGAGAGCCCCCAGTTGGGCCGAGGATGATTAGCGGGGGTGTCGGCAAGCGGCTATACATCTCTTCTTTTTATGCTGCCACCGTGAACTATTGAGCGAGTGTTTTTCACTTTATTCTATTCCTGATTCTTGATTTTTGAAAACAACGCACAGTAACACAAGAATTTTATCCTCCTATCGCCAGATTTCAGAGCGTGACCGGATATATATCGGTCTGTAACCCCCACTTGCCTCGGTTCGATTGTTTTGGCTTAGAGGGGGCTCAGTGGATAGGCACTCGAGGGCTTCAAGAAACATGGACTTGGGTATGAGTGCACAAACACAGTCACTGTGTGTATGGGAAATATCTAACGAACAACAGGCACTGTCGCAGCAGCGCTCGCTGGAGGAGCCACACTCACGGCCTACCTCAACGCCAAATTCCACATCAGTAAAGATGTGTCAAGTTTATTTTGGGTGAAAACGGGAGAGCGGGAATATTCTCGTGCGGGTTCGTTTGTGCAGTCATTCATCCATAGGTTCTCAGAAGCCATCGGCTGACCACTATAGTCGGCCGAGATCGCGGGAATGCGTGGTTTGTACTGCTGGAGACAGCCAAGCAATACCCAGACATGGTCTGTCTGTGGACACGAGAGAGGCCATACACCTACCGCGATGTCCAGGAGCAAGCCTGCCAGTACGCACACTTCTTTCTGGCGCAGGGCGTGAAGAAAGGTGATCTAGTGGCCTTCTACCTCCAAAACCGCGCCGAGTTCATCATCGCATGGATGGCACTCTGGAGCATTGGCTGCGCGCCTGCCGCTATCAACTATAACCTTACTGGTGACGCACTGATTCATTGCCTGAAGATCAGTGGTGCGAAGCTCGTCATGGTGGACGAGGAGCCAAGCTGTCACTCCCGGTTAGAAGAGTACCAGAATGCCATCACCGGCGACTTAGGTATGCAAACCGTCACCCTAGATGACACGCTGAGGGCGCATCTCCGCTCATTCCCAACTACTCTCCCCCCGAAGGAACTGGCGCTGCATATGAAGGGCGACTTCCCTGCCATCCTGCTCTATACCTCGGGAACAACGGGCATGCCCAAGGGCTGTGCGTACACCATGTCCCGGATGTATAGCACCCTCTTCGTCCGCCGTGGGTTGATTGGTGATAAGACTGGACCAGGCGGGGACCGGTGGTACAGCTGTATGCCACTCTATCACGGCACCGCAGCCATCAGCATGATCGCCTGTATGGTGATGGGGGTGAGCATCGCGATAGGCCCGAAATTCAGTGTACGCAACTTCTGGAAAGATGTCCGCGATTCTGAGTCAACCGTCTTCGTGTACGTCGGCGAGACTGCTCGCTACCTACTTGCGCCGCCGCCCTCGCCCCAAGATCGTAACCACAAGGTCCGCTGTATGTATGGGAATGGTCTTCGACCGGATGTCTGGGAGCAGTTCCGGGAGAGATTCGGGGTCCCCGAAGTGGGTGAGTTCTTCAACAGTACCGAGGGAATATTCGGTCTCTTCAATTACAACCGCGGCCCTTTTACTGCCGGCAGCGTCGGTCACCACGGCCTGCTGATGCGCGGCTTACTGCACAACGTCTTTGTCCCCGTCGCTATTGACCCGGAGACTGGAGATGTGCTGCGGGATCCCAAGACAGGGTTTGCTACCCGCGCATCCTATGAGCAAGGAGGCGAGATGCTCGTCAATATCCCGGGTGAAGAGGCCTTCCAAGGATACTGGCGTAACAGCGAAGCCACAAACAAGAAGTTCCTGCGCGATGTCTTCCGCAAGGGAGATCTGTACTACCGGTCTGGTGATGCTCTGCGCCGCCAAAGCGATGGACGCTGGTATTTCCTGGATCGTCTGGGCGATACGTTCCGGTGGAAGAGTGAGAATGTGTAAGTCTCGCGATACCCCGTGTTATTATCAGGAGAGAACACAGAATCAGCTAACGAGGCTTTTCGGGTGTGATAGCGCAACCGCAGAGGTGTCCGAGGTCCTGGGCCAGTTCCCTGGCATTCTCGAAGCGAACGTATACGGCGTGCGCGTCCCGAACCACGAAGGACGAGCGGGATGTGCAGCATTGCAGATCAGCCCAGACGCACTCCAGACCTTCGATTATGCGGCCCTGGCGCGCTTTGCCCGTGCCAGACTCCCTCGCTATGCCGTTCCGGTCTTCCTGCGTGTCGTCGATAATCCCACACATATCCACAACAACAAGCAGAACAAGGTGCCGCTGCGGGATGAGGGCGTTGATCCGGCACTCATTGGGACGAAGGTGGCAGACGGAAAAAGTAACCACTTCCTCTGGTTTGCACCGGGTGGTGAGAGCTATGTGCCCTTTGGAAAGGAGGAGTGGGATCGGTTGTCGGGTGGAAAAGCGCACTTATAGTAGTGCTGATTAGATGGCCTGTGCGCTGGCTATTCACTATTGCCTCATGCTTGAATCATCATCCGATGTTGTATAGATCGGTGCCGTCCTAATTAGGAAAGTGTTCTCTCATTTATATTTCTACGTAACTCCCCAAGCTTCCCCCTCTTGCCTAACTACGGCCTAATCGTCTGATCTCTAGATCAGGGGTCTCTTTTTCGGAGAGCAAACCTGGAAGTATCTCATAATGACCGTTGATCTGACTGACCGGGTAGTATCACCGTTACTTCGACTCGAGTCGGCGTAGATAAATGGTCTATTGGAATATCTTTCAACTCAACTTTCAAGACTGGTGGTCATTACTATGCCAGTCAACACGGAGAAAGCAGACAAAGGACAGACAATAAGAAAAAGTAAAAGAATATTTCGCTGGCATCGCTTTCATCGCTGAGGTCATTCTAGTCGACCAGGTAGCTGCAACCCGCTGTGTCGACATCTATTTTTTCAATAAGCCCTGCAGGTTGATGCTCTTAGGACGCTCGATAGGAAGTCCCAGAGCGCGGTCCCAGATGAGCTGGACGAGTGGGCCAAGGGCACGGCTGACCCCAAAAGTGACTGTGTAGTAAAGGGGCTTCTGGAAGCCATAGTGGTGGAACAGAACACCAGAGGCAGCGTCCACGTTAGGGTGGGGGTTCTTGGTCTAAAGAGGAAACCGTTAGCTCGACACATACCAACACAAAAATCATATAGTTTGCCTTACCTTGCCGTGTTCAGTCAAGACACCCGGAGCAATCTCCGAGTTCTTCTTGACAAGCTGGAACACCGGGTTGGCCAGGACGTCCGGGCGAGTGTCGGCAAAGTCCATCAGCGCCTCAAATCGGGGGTCCGGCTTGCGCAGCACACCGTGCCCGTATCCAGGGACCACGCGCCCAGACTTGAGGGTGTCCCAGAGGTAAGTACGGACATCCTCCTCAGTGAACTTAGTTCCAATCTTTTCTTGCATGGCCAAAATCCAGCGCAGGACTTCCTGAGCGGCCAAGCCGTGGAGAGGACCAGCCAGACCCAACAGGCCGGCACTGTAGCTGAGGAAGGGGTCGCTCAGAGCGCTGCCGACCAGGTGAGTGGCGTGCGCCGAGACATTGCCGCCCTCGTGGTCACCATGCAGAGCCAGGTACAGACGCAGCAGGTCGTGGAAGTCCTGGTTCTGCGAGCCGCCCTTGCCTAGCAGTTCGGCAAAGTTGTATGACCAGTCCTGGGCGCCGTCAAGCTTCTGGCTGCCGACAGCATCAATTTCTTTGGGACGGAAAACAAGCGCAGCAACACGGGGGATCTTTGCAAGCAGCGAGATGCTGTCGTCAAAGGTGGGCTCCCAGTACTCGGCCTTGTTGAGGCCCTTCTCGTAAGCCTGCGCGAACTTGGACTCGGTATTAAGCGCCGCCACGGCCACAGAGAGCTGGGTCATGGGGTGCATTGAGGCAGGGAAAGACTTGATCAGGTCCAGGATGTGTGAGGGCAGGTGGGACTTCTCGGCCAGCTCGCGGGAGAATGAGCGCACCTGCGCGGTGGAGGGCACCTGGCCCGTCAAGAGCAGCCAGAACATGGCCTCGGGCAACATCTCCGTGCCGGATGTGCCCTTGGGCAATTCCTTCTGGCAGTCTTTGATGGTCTTGCCGTGGAAGCGGATTCCCTCGTCGGGATCCAGGACCGAGCCCTCCCACAGCATCGCCTTGAGGCCGCGCATGCCGCCAATCACGTTGCCGATCTTGACTTCGCCGATCGTCTCATCGCCCTGAGCCTTGACCTGCTGCAGAAGTTCTCGCTTGGCGGGAATGACTTCTTTCAGTGTGGACTTCAGATCGGGCTCGGCGGTCGCATAGTGACGAGCCGAGAGGAACGGCCGTGCTGTCTGCTATTCGAGGTTAAATGAAAGGCAATCCCTTCCGACTATCCCAGGTATGGAATTCCGGGTCCATAACTACTTACCTGGGCCAGCCTCGTGGCATGGCGGGTGGTTCTCCAGCTCAGGGCCATTGTTAGTGTTGATGGGTCCGGGGTGGAATTGCGGGGGGGGCGGGAGCGACAATGCGGAGAGAAGCACTGGGTGTTTTCTTTCTACTGAAAACAGGAACAATCCAGGTAGAAGATGAGAGTGAAGAAGAAACCAAACAGAAACAGAACAAAAGAGAACTCCCGCCTGTGATCGACCTCAAGTAGCATCGGCCGGTTGGACGCGGGGCCCAGGGGTCGCTGTCTACCGAGGCCCGGCACGGCTGCATGCGGACGGCGAAATCGGGTCCCCTTGGTCTCTCGGGACTCGCGAGTTCAGTCTTGAACACCGAGAATCATGTCCTGATCTCTAGTATTGTATGAACTAAATGGACCTTGAAATTCAGTGCCCGTTCTCTGTCTATCGCAGAAGTATACATCTTCGCCGAGTATTCGAGATGGGCCTCGGACTCCGCGTTGGGGTGAAGAATCCTTTCGGGCAGATGGAGACCCCAAAAGAGGCTCGACTTGGCATAGTCTTTCGTTTAGTTCATTTAGAGCCCTTGTTCAACTGGCGCAAATCGGAGTCAGCACTCACATGTGTCGGCGATCTCAGTGATGACGTAGAACTGAGTCCTCGGGCATGGATCCAGCCTCAGGCAGAAACAGAAATGTGCTTTCTGCCTGAGGCCAGATAACTTAATGCCTGGGGCGGAGACTTTGGAATGGTCAGCAAACGCTAGCCCAACATGGTTAGTGCCAGCCCATGCTGGCGCGGGGCATCATGATTGGCTGAGTTATCGCCACCCAAACAAAAAAAAAATCGGTGGATAAGCGATGGGCCATGCGAATCCCGATTCTCTTCGCATCTGTGCCACACATTATTCTTATTGGGATTATTTTCTAATCCTCTGGTGCTCGAGTGCCTGTGTGGACTATCTGTTGGCTACTGCACATCCAGCGTTCCCCGAGATCGAGATCGGCATTGGGCGTGCGATCGATTCTTCTGATAAGGAGCCTTTGTCCTGATCTGGGAGTTGTTCCCCTCCCTTTTGCACGAGGGCTCCTGAGTCTGGTCTACTAAAGCCAGTCGTTTCGAGTATCAAGTATAGGACCATGCCACACACTGTGTCTCCGTCCGACTCGCCCGCCATGCCGACTGTTGTCGCCAAAACCCCTTCCGCGGTTCCCCCCACCTCTGAAGAGATTTCCTCCCTCCTACAGACCATCTTCTCCGCCGACACCTCGCAGCAGTCGCTCGATGCCTCCTATGCCTTGACCAACCTGCTGATCCAGAGCGTCGGCTGCGCTGGCCTCCTGGCCCACAATGTCCTCACCCAAGCCAAGAAGGCTGCCGCCGATAAGAAGGACGGCGCCAAGCGGGAGAGTGCTATGTTGATCATCGGTGCCCTGTTTGAGCGTTTCCCCCGCGAGTGGCCTTTGAGTGAGGTCAACTTCCTACTCCACGAAGGCGGTGTTCTCGATGTCGCACTGGAGGCCCTGGCTGATAAGGGTGCCGTTGTGCGCGATGCTGCCCAATACGCTCTGGACGCCCTGTTTGCGAATCTCAGTCCCGAGGCCATGGCCAATTCTTTGTTACCCGCCCTCGAGAAATATCTCAGCAAGGGTACTGGCAAGTGGCAAGGCTTCGTCGGCGCCTACTCGTTGCTCGAGAAGATGGCTGTCAAGGCGCAGGTGGGTACCGGCAGCAAAGAAGAGGAGCGCCAGAAAGATCTGCTCCGCGAGGCCATGGGCAAGACGCTGAAGGAGTTGATCCCCGTCGTTGAGTCTGGCATGCATGACCTGAAGAGCGAGGTCGCCAAACGAGCCACCAAGACCATGAACGCCCTTACTACCCTTCTCTCCAACGACGACGTCGCGCCGCGCATCCCCCTCCTCATCAAGACCATGGAGCAGCCTTCCGCCCAGACCCTCCAGAAGGCCATTCATGCCCTGTCTCAGACTACTTTCGTCGCCATCGTGACGTCTCCTGTGTTGGCCCTGTTGACCCCGCTGCTGGAACGGTCTCTCAACACTCCCACTACCCCGCAGGAAACTCTTCGCCAGACCGTGGTTGTGGTGGAGAACCTGACCAAGCTGGTCCACGATCCAGCCGAGGCGCGCACCTTCCTTCCCAAGCTTCAGCCTGGTGTGAAGAGCGTCAAGGATCGTGCCTCGCTGCCCGAGGTGCGTGAACTGGCGACGCGAGCCCTGAGCGTTATCGAGAAGGCTATGCAAGATGGCGATGTTGCTGTCGGTGCCATCTCCAAGACCACTTCGGAGGACGTCCTGGCAGTCCTGAACGCAAAGATCCAGGAGCAGGGTGGTCTGACTGGTTTTGGCGATGCCAAGTTCCAAGACTTGAGCAAAACCTACATTGCCAGCATGGTTCGCGAAGACGTCAACTGCCGTATGCACGACCGCATCCCCTCCTGCATCGGCTCCTACCTTCGCGGTTTGCTTTCGGATGAACAGCGGGACGCCGTTTCTACGGCTGTTCAGACCCACTTCATCGAAGAAGACCACAAGAAGTTCGGCAAGCCCGTCCAGGAAGATCCGAATGAGGTTGAGATTGTCAACGCGGACTTTTCCCTTGCCTACGGAGGTATGCTTCTGCTGTCACACACCAATCTCCGCCTCCTGAAGGGCCACCGATATGGCCTCTGTGGTCGGAACGGTGCCGGCAAATCGACATTGATGCGCAGTATTGCCAACGACAAGCTGGAGGGATTCCCGCCGCCAGACGCTGTGCGCACTTGCTTCGTGGAACACAACCAGGGTGAAGATGCCAATTTGAGCATCGCTGAGTATGTTTCCAAGGACCCTGAGATTGCCGCCCAAGGTAGCGACCACATCCGCGAGGTCCTGCTGGAGTTCGGCTTCACGGATGGACCTGAAGGCCGCCAGGCTCAACCGGTTGGCTCTCTGTCTGGTGGATGGAAGATGAAGCTGGCGCTGGCCCGTGCTATGCTCATGAAGGCGGACGTGCTGTTGCTGGACGAACCGACCAACCACCTTGACGTTGCCAACGTCAAATGGCTCCAGGAATACCTGAAGAAGCACACCGATATCACCAGTCTGATTGTCAGTCACGATTCTGGATTCTTGGACGAGGTCTGCACCGATATCTACCACTACGAGGGCAAGAAGCTTGTCTGCTACCCGGGCAACCTGGCTGCGTAAGTAGCACCGTATCCATACTACAAGGCGTATGCTAATCATATCACAGTTTTGTCAAGGTCAAGCCCGAGGGTAAAAGCTACTACACCCTGTCTGCATCTACCGTGCAGTTCAAGTTTCCTCCTCCGGGTATCCTGTCTGGCATTAAGTCCCAGACTCGCTCCATCCTTCGGATGAGCAACGTCTCGTTCACCTACCCGGGTGCTCCCCGACCCTCCCTGCATGATGCCTCCCTGTCTCTTTCGCTTTCATCCCGTGTCGCCATTATCGGTGGAAACGGAGCTGGCAAGTCGACTTTCATCAAAATTTTGACAGGCGAGACGATCCCACAAGGTGGCAAGGTTGAGAAGCACCCCAACCTCCGTATTGGATACATCAAGCAGCACGCCTTGGAGCATGTTGAGCTGCACTTGGAAAAGACACCAAGTCAATATCTGCAGTGGCGATACGCCAACGGCGATGACCGGGAGGTTTTCATGAAGCAGACCCGTATCCTGAGCGACGCCGACAAGGCCCAGCTGGAGACTCCTATTGATCTGGGAGATGGCCGTGGAGCTCGTCGCATCGAAACTCTGATCGGTCGCCAGAAGTGGAAGAAGACCTTCCAGTACGAAGTGTAAGTAAACACTGCTTCTTTTAAAGCATCTTCACATCGCTGACCATCACAGGAAATGGGTTGGTTTGCTTCCCAAACACAACACCATGATCTCGCGCGAGACTTTGTTGGAACGGGGCTTCTTCAAGATGGTCCAGGAGTTTGATGACCACGAGGCCTCGCGGGAAGGTCTGGGTTTCCGCGTCCTCGACCCGAAGACCATCTCCAAGCACTTCGAGGACATCGGTTTGGACCCTGAGATCGCCAACCACAACGAGATCTCGGGTCTGTCCGGTGGCCAGAAGGTCAAGGTTGTGCTGGCTGGTGCCATGTGGAACAACCCACATCTGCTAGTGCTGGATGAGCCGACTAATTTCTTGGACCGCGACTCGCTTGGTGGTTTGGCTGTGGCTATTCGCGACTTCAAAGGTGGTGTGGTGATGATTTCTCACAACGAGGAGTTTGTGGGTGCGCTCTGCCCAGAGCAGCTGCACATCGCCGACGGTCGTGTTGTCAGCCGCACTAACAACGCGGTCAGCTTGGACCGTTTTGAGGACAGTGCCACCAACACGCCGTCTGGAGCTGGTACCCCTGCCATCGCTTCGGCTAGTACTAGTGCCGCCCCGTCTGCTGTTAACTCGGGCGAGGAAGACGGTGGCGAATTGAAGTTCCGCGCCAAGAAGAAGAAGAAGATGACTCGGGCTCAACAGAAGGAGCGGGAGGTCCGCCGCCGCCTCCGCCACATTGAATGGGTATGTTTTTCCTCCGATGCAGCCTGAAGACTATCGCTAATCCCTTCTCAAGTTGAACTCCCCCAAGGGCACCCCGAAGCCCGCCGACACGGATGACGAAGCGTAATCGTGCTATACACGGTGTGATGATTCGTAATGCTTTGTACATGGCTGGTCCTGGTTGTTCCTCGTATTGAGGACACCATGGGCTTTCATTGTTGTTGATTTGCATGGGATTCGATAGACGGCGTTGGGTGTTTTGATTGTTGGTAGATATATCATATGTTTTGGATAGTATATGCGATCGGTGATGAACACCCGGTTGTATCTGCCATGGCAAATGAAAAGTGCTGTTTATATCAAACTGTTACGCGTCTTGAATGATTTTATTTGATGAGAGTTTTATAGATCCTTCGCCAATCAGGGTGGGTCAGGTGATTGTGTCCCCTGTTGAAGCTTTTGGCCATGACGTGCATGCGTCAGGTCATCAATTCCAATTCGCAACCTTTCGTCGACCCAATCTATCTCATTCGCCCATTGAAATCCTCGAAATCCAACAATGGGCGCCTTCCATCGCCCTCCCCGATGAATCGATGGCTTCCCCAGCTTCCCTGGCCGGCCCGTCGCGTCTGAACGCCGAACCGCCTATTCACAAGAAACCCCGAAACTCCAAAGCCCGTCGCAACGGTTATAGCTCGCTAGGAATTACAGAAGAATATGACACGCAAGGGTCAGTCGGTAGCAGCCACCGTGGCCAGCGCGCACAATTATCGAGTGATGACAGCGACGCGACGCCGTCCAGCGGAGACGAGTCTCTGGCCGAGAGCGAGGCGCATATGAAACTATTGCCGCTAAAAATGGATTCGAAATCACGCAGTGCTCAATACTCAGCCCATCAATCTACCCCTCGACATGACCCAAGCCCTGCCCCAAGTAACGGCTCGGCGGAACCGCGCGATGTGGGCAAGCGCATCGAGCAAGTCTTGCAAACGGAAGACGCTTTAGACATGGAAGAGGGCAACCCCCTCACTGCCGCATTCGATCTTAGTGATGATGACAGCGATGACTATGGCCTTCCATCAAGCAAGACCCATCAAGGAACGCGGAGGCACAGCGATGGGTTTACTTGTGGCTCGGGCTGGAGGCCGCCATTCCGCATGCAAAAATGGTGGCATGCTTTTCCTTTTGCCGTCATTGGACTGCTTGTTATGTGGCTCGCGGCCAAAGGCATAGGCTGGACCTTTGCTAAGACGACTGAAGTCGAATATGTATGGATTCCCCCCTCGACCTCACTTTCACAGTGCTTTTGTGGATGATTCCCTGTGTGATGGGTTATGCGCTGTTTTGAATGGAGTGCTAACCGATGCAGCGTTCTATGCCATGGTACCCTACTCCCCGCGGAGGGACGAGTGTTAAGTGGAATGAAAGCTATAGCAAAGCACAGGATCTTGTAAAGAGGATGTCTCTGACCGAGAAAGTCAACGTCACTACTGGCATTGGCTGGGAGATGGGCCCTTGTGTTGGGAATACTGGTAGGGATTTGATGATGACCTTCTATAGCTAATGTATTCCATACTAATGGCTTTGGAAATCCTTAGGTCCTGCCGAGCTGGTCGGGTTTCCTTCTCTTTGTCTGCAGGATGGACCGCTTGGGCTTCGATTTGCAGACAACATTACCGCGTTCCCCGCAGGTATTACCACCGGGGCTACATGGAATCGCGAGCTTATGCAAGCCCGAGGCGCTGCATTGGGACAGGAGGCACGACGGAAGGGCGTGAACGTCCTCGTCGGCCCATCAATGGGACCCCTTGGATTGATGCCCGCCGGTGGTCGTAACTGGGAAGCTTTTGGGTCGGACCCTGTCCTGCAAGGCATTGCCGCAGCGGAGACGATTCGCGGTATCCAGCGTCACGGTGTGATGGCGACTGCCAAGCACTATGTATTAAACGAGCAGGAGCACTTTCGCACACCGCAGGGGGAGTCCACGGCACTATCTTCGAACATTAACGACCGGGTGTTGCACGAGGTGTTCATTTGGCCATTCGCCGAGAGTGTGCGTGCCGATGTAGCAAGCATCATGTGTTCCTATCAGATGGTCAATAACAGCTACGCTTGTGAGAACAGCAAGCTATTAAACGGCATCCTCAAAGACGAGTTGGGCTTCCAGGGGTTCGTGCAGTCGGACTGGCTCGCCCAGCACTCTGGTGTCCACAGTGCATTGGGTGGACTGGACATGAGCATGCCAGGTGATGGCTTACGCTGGGCTGATGGAGACTCACTTTGGGGAAGTAGATTGACCCGCGCAGCACTGAACACATCCGTGCCTATGGAGCGACTGAATGATATGGTTACTCGTATCGTCGCTGCCTGGTACCATTTTCGCCAGGACTCGTGGGATCCACCCCCACCGGAGGGACATGGCGGCCCCAGTTTCTCTTCATGGACGAAGGAAAGGATAGGGCGTCTACATCCAGGGAGCCCAGATAATAAGGATGTTGGTGAGGTCAACAAGTTTGTCAATGCCGCAAAGAATGGCACGGAATCGCATTCTACAATCGCCCGCAAGGTCGCTGCTGAAGGCATTGTTCTTCTGAAGAATGTGAACAACACTCTTCCACTCTCTCGCGAGGTCTCGAGCGCCAATGGAAAATACAGGATTGGGGTTTACGGCGATGATGCTGGTCCTGGCCGAGGGCCAAATGCGTGTCCCGATCGAGGCTGCAACCAGGGTACTCTAGCTTCAGGCTGGGGCAGTGGTGCCGTCGAATTTCCCTATCTGATCAGTCCATGGGAGGCTCTTCAGTCTGCCTGGTCTGCAGATACGATTGACCTCCAAGGATATTTGACAAGTGATGTTACGCTGCAAGACCTTCAAGACCGGGATCTGTGCCTAGTATTTGCCAATTCAGATGGCGGCGAGGGTTATATTCAGAGTGAAGGAATCGCTGGAGACCGCAATGATCTTTTCTTGCAACATAACGGGGCCCAGTTGGTCGAGACCGTGGCTCAAAACTGCGGCGGGGGCCATGGCTCGACCGTCGTTATATTGCATTCCATCGGCCCTGTCATACTGGACCCCTGGATTGACTTACCCGGCGTCCAGGCAGTTGTTTACGCTAATTTGCCTGGTCAAGAGAGCGGGAACGGTTTAGTGGATGTGCTATTTGGTGACGTCGATGCCAGCGGACGGCTACCATACACCATCGGTCGGACGAGCGAGGACTACGGTCCAGGCGCACAGGTGGTGTATGAGAGCCATGATTCCACCCCGCAGGTCGATCTCAACCAAGGCCTGTACATTGACTACCGATATTTCGACCGCCACAACATCACCCCACGGTTCGAATTTGGGTTTGGCCTGTCATACACCTCCTTCAACCTGTCCGCCCTTCGCATTGAATCTCTGCAGAAGAAATCACGGCTGCCTTCCCCGCGCCCCAAGAACAAAGTCGAACCGCCCTCGTACGACAACCAGCGCAGCAACCCCTTGAGTACCTTGGTGCCGGCCGGATTCCGCATGTTCCGCAAATACATCTACCCTTACCTCGAGTCCTTATCCGGCACTGAACCCGGTCCATATCCGTACCCAGAGGGATACAGTGATGTTCAGCAGCCCTCCGCTGCCGGTGGTGGAATCGGCGGAAATCCTTCACTTTTCGAGCCCATGGTGAGCCTTTCTGTAGATGTCACCAACACAGGTTCCCGAACCGGACAAGAGGTGGTGCAAATCTACGTTTCGTTCCCGAAAGACATCGCAGAGCACCGTGGTCTGGGCTGGTCCCGCGAAACCATCGATTTTCCTGAGCGTGCGCTTCGGAATTTCTCCAAGGTATCTTTGCAACCTGGTGAGACTGCGATGGTCAATATGACTCTGTCGCGTAAGGACCTCAGCTACTGGAGCGTTCGCGCCCAGAACTGGCTGCTTCCCACCGAGGGCAAGTTTCGCATTTGGGCGGGCAGAAGCTCAAGGGACCTACCGCTTGTCGCGGAGTTTTAAATCAAGCCTCTAATGTAATTGCTATTTGCCGTGGCATGTACCTATTTTTCCATTCCCTTTTAGGAGATACTAGCATAGGCAAAAGTCGCCCTGTCCCGATTCTGTACAATAGCCCATGAATGGTTCTACCGAAGCAATGTAACTGACTTTGTACGAGTACGATTCGTACAATTTGTACTGTCCTTCGGTGGCAAAACGTGTGTGGCGGTGCCCATGAAGCAACGGCACACCAAGAAGAGTGTATATGATGCCGCGAAGAGGAACTCGGGACGTTACCCGATATCTATCCCGTGTTTTTGTATAAAATGATGTCGATTGCACCATCTTCCATCTGAGACTGAGACAAGAAGCGGATGATCCAAGAAGAGCCGGCCACTGAGACCCTCATCGCCAAAGACTGTTCTTAAGACATGCCGCTGACCTTCGCTTCGCTCAGGCAGCTTTGAAAGGTATTGTAGAGAATAAAAATTAGATCCAAAAGGCTTATTGACTGAATCATATCCTGTTTAAGAAGTTTTATTCTTTATTGAATATATAGATAGCTATTATACTACCATTACTATTATTTTATTAATACTTCTTTCTCCTAAATTTATTAACTAACTTTCTTTATTTTCTATGTCTTTTTTCTAATCCTTTTTCTACCATTATTTTAATTTATTTTTCTTTCTTTTTAAACAATTATTTACGACTGTAGAGCGTTAGAGGGTCGGGGGTCACGAATCCTAACCACTTTTCAACGACCCACTTCACATCTTATATTATTAAATAGCATCCAAGACCTTTTTTTCGCCGCCCCATCTCGCACCTTTGAACGCCGCGGGAAGCTACTTCTGGATCGGCGGCAAGGCGCAGACATACTGCCCGGAGGTGGTGAAGGGCTGCCGCCAGACAAACGACACTTTGATCTCCGGCCAGAACAGCCTGGTACATTCACAAAAAAACAAAACCAAGCCCCAAAAGGCCATTGTTGAGGGAATACTTCTGACATATCATACAGGACGTCGAGGTCCCTGGAGGCCAGCGCATCTACGTCGACCCAAAGGGTGCCCTGCGCTTCACCACGCCGCACTCGGCCTACGAGCCGGCCGGCTCCTCGGATGGTATTTTCAAGTATACCACCGGCAAGCAGTTCGGTCACTGGACCTACACAGGCCAGGGTGCCTCGGGCTTCAAGGCTTGCCTTGTTGCGGCTAAGAACACCACTCAGTCCGCTTGGGAATATGTTTGAGACAAGATGTGTTTTGGTATATATAGTCGCTTGGGACTGGATGTAAAGCGGTTACCTGACAAATGAAAAGGATGAAAGCAAAAACGAGTAGAAGGGCCATGATGCTTCTCGGTTCGTAACTTGATGAAGAGGAAATGGACTTTGACCAGGGAATGCTTCTCATTAAATAGAAATTTCTCTATGGAACTATTACCCAGTCCCAAATCCTTCCCCCTTATGAATCCTAGTAGTGGACCATGGTTACAAGGAGGATTGAAGTTTCGAAAAGACCCTCTGTAAGGATACAAGCTCAATCCTGAAAAACAATTAAATTGACAAAAAGTATTTCGATACAAGAGGGCCCGCTATAATACAGGACTCTATGTAGGTAGCTCCAAGCTGCTATACAGCAGATACCGCAGACATTAAGCCCTTGGTATGGCATCGTCTCCTATCTGGAGAGCCATAACGCATAAGTAGGTAGTCGCGTTGAGTGGTGACATCGTCAACTTTCTTTCTTTCTTTCTTTCTTTTTTTTTGCTTAACCGAAATCACAGAGATAGAATTCTTCAGTGCAATGGTCTTGATGAAACTTGACAGAGATCATAAGCTCGCCCCCGTTCCGGAGATCGACAAATAGTATTGTCTGCTTCAAGGTTGACCAAATAACTTGTAGTTGACACTCCTGCTGATACCATCGATCGAAGCCATTCCCCACATACAGCTGCTTGTATTCAGATCTAGGTTCTGTGACTATATCAAGAAACGAAATAAAAAAGCGTCGAACCACCGCGATAGATGATTCCGGCATCATGTAAACTTGCCACGGTCTCCAATAATTGCCGAGTAGCAGACATGCAAGAGGCCACGGGAGTCTTTCTTCAGGTGAGAGTGGAAATAGATAGCCCTTTCATAGGGTACATCAAGATACGGTGGCAAGTATCTGGCATTCAAGTGAGAAGTGCTATGCTTTGGCCCTTGTCAATGGCATTGGGATGGTGGATAGATGGTGATAGAAAAAAGAAAGTGATTTGTTAAGCGAAACTTCTTATATAGGAAAGGACTTACCGCACGCCACCTCTTCAGGTAACCCAGGAGTAGTTACAGCAGGAAGCGGCCGTCTTCCTATGGAAAGGGGTTTACTGGATCTTTGGTGGCTACCACTGGTTGTACACCTAAATCCTTCCATCTGACACCCAAATCCTTTAACTCGCATAGCTAAAAACGGCACCAGGAAGGCGATAAAAGAATCAATTTACCCCTTGTTTAAAAACTTCATCACATGTATTATTCATTTTTCGCGCGGATTTCTTATATACAGCACCTAAAGAATAGTCGAAGTATAGTTATGTCATTCTATCTGACCAGAATATTTATCTAAGCTTAATATTTTATAAAGGAAGGCGCTGTTAGTAAGAAAGGTTTGTGATATTCTTTTAGAAAAGAAAGTAATGATTAATATTTTTACTACCTTTTTTATACAGTTGTAAGGTATACGAGTTCAAGGACTATTTGGGGGTTAAAGGAAGGAGGATAGTGACTAAAGGGAGCCCGGACCCTTATTAGCTGATAGAAAACTAACTAGCTTTTACGTATATATCCTTTATGCCCACTTTTCTTCTTGTCAGCGTACTCCTAGTTTTAATTTTAGTATAGATTATTAGTGAGAAGGTAGAATCTAAGCAATAATCCATCTACATATAAGTTACCTAATATTGAGGCATGGAGTGATTTAACCGTAACCATCTGCCTCCGCATAAGTCCCTATTGTAATAATACTGATATAGCCGTCACAAACTATAGCAGAACTAGGTAGTAGGTCTAGGAGGATTAGGGATTAGAAATATTCATATTAAATTGAACGAAGTATGTAAATAGAGACAGGGTTCAAGAATCCTAGCTTATTTGCTCTATTCTAGGCCTATAACCACCGATTTGATTAATCCCTATTCGCATCCGTGCAGAACTAGAATTATCGAGCAAATAATCTTTGGTTATGAGACGTCCACGACACATAGCCTGTATAAAGCATCCACACTGCCCTTTGCGAAATTTACTCCTTTAGAGACAATCAGCGAAGTAGTGATATTGGTTCGACAAAATGAGTCATTTGGGGCTGTCTGGTCATTTTAAAAGATGCTTATGTACCCCGCCTTCTTGTAACTTCCACCTGGCCACAACTATGTCCGAGTATATTTTTAACATGAGCTCCAAACCAAAGGTTTCTCTGATTCCTTGGGATGCGGAGTCTGACGGCCATATAAAGGCCCTGACATCACAACGGGAGGAATGTCGTTGGCACCAAGAGAAGGTGGGCGTGGAATGGAAAGAGCAGCAACTCAAGGGTGAGAAGTGCATTTACTGGATTGTGAGTTTGATTGATTCTTCCCTGCCAGCATAAACGTCATATATACTTTGCTGCTATGTTATGAATTAAACGAATATTCAAGTGCTGGTACTGACAATCCATGCTAAGGTCATTCCGACCGATGACTCAGAGCAACGGGAAATCAAAGCACACCTCGACCCAGCAAAGGTATGAATATTATATATCGAAAGATCAAGAAGTACCCACTAATGAATCTTCTCATAGGGCAATGAAGAGCTCTCTGACACAGCAACATCCATCAATGGAGTCCCACGCAATGCGACACGGCAAACCTTCATCCCCGTGGGCCACATTTCCCTCGATCCAAAAAACTCCGATGCAGACAAGCTTGAGCTAAACCTTCCCCCTGCCAACGTCTTATGGATCAAATCCTTTTTTGTGTCGCATTCATTCCAAGGCCAAGGCATTGGTCGAGCCGCGATGGATGAAGTCGAGGACATGGCCACGCAGCCACCACTCTCTGCGAAAACATTGATGCTGGACACAGTACAGAAAGACGACCAAGTTAGTCTGGGATTTGCAGAAGAATTTTTCGGTGATACTTCAAAGGTAAGAAAACATACATTGATTGTGTTGACGATCCCCTACGGCCAGCTATATGACTCACTCTATATACAGGTTGTCAATGAGGCGTGGTATAGACGCCGCGGGTATGAATTGATAAAAACCGTGCAGAACTATTATCGCGTGGCGGATAAAACTGGGAAGGTCTGGGATGCTAAGACGGTTTTCATGAGGAAGGACATTTCATAGTGAGCGACAATCTTTCAATCTTCGTTCAATCTCGAATCAAGGAATTTCAGCTTTTCCACTGGGTAGGAACTTTTCTCATACACAGGCTACTGGCAGGTCTTATTATTAGCCATAAATAAGAGTGAAACTTGAGCAAATAACTAGATTGATAAGTTTAGTCTCGATTTGGGTAGTTTGGTGGACTATGAATTTCCAAACTCAGCCCTTAGTTAAACACACGCTATGCGATGGTCTGAGAGACAGCTTCCTGTAGGAGAGCTGAGGCGCTGAGGCACTTGTGGGACAAACCAGAGAATCTATATTTGACTAGAGCATGAACATAATTCAGTAAACCATGGCATCGCCCATAGGCCAAGGCACTACCTAACTAGTCTCAAGGAGGATCCGGAGTGGCCAAGAACTAACAATATGTCTTTCTCACTTGAAACAACATTTATCGTCTATTTACGTTGATCAGCGCCAAACCAGCGTCAAAAGCCTTGGTGCAATTAGCATCTATTGCCCATGTCTGCTCTGTACTCAAATTATTGCATTCTTGAGTCAATGAGCCCGGCGTGACCCAAGAAGCTGGCGGCTAATGCAGATTCATGATTTGCGAAAAGATGGCGCTCACCCTTCTAACCATAGCCCTTGGAATGTAGCCTGGGTACTTCAACATATGTGATATAAAGGCATTGTGGTAATGCATAGGACATGAAGCAGCACAGTATTCTTCGATCAATTCGTTCAAGCCGTTCTCAGCGTCAATAGGGATGAAAGCATCCGCCCCTTTCTGCCTTGGTCAGTCCAACTGGCAGCTTTCAACCTCGATGGCTAGCCTCGTTTCGGCCACCGCAAAACACCTCATCCGTTATGCTAGCAAGGTCAAACTGGGACATATCAAAGATCCAATTCGCCGCAGCAGTGTGAACAACTACTGCGAAACTCTCGAGAAGCAGCTAAACTGATTGATAAGCTCAAACATGTTCCTCTGACCCAAACTCACCGACCACAACGCATAGGATCCAACGATCAGGAAGGCAGAAATCAAGTGGGTTGCAGCGACTTATCAAACTGGTATCATTCAACTCATTTGTGTCTTTTGACTTATTTAGGGGTTCTTACCCGCACAAATCCCACGACGATCCCACTGATCCCGAAGACGTCATATCGGTTCCGGGGACAAACGAGTGGCCTCTGCTCATATCTACAAAGGGGGAAGCGGAAAGGTGATTCGCTGGTGATTGCATGCTTCGTGTCTCGGGCATGAAGCATGCAGATCAAGAATCGAGTACTGCTAATGTATCCGAAGGGGGTCTACATAAACCAACGATGTAGTTCGAGACTGAATCCACCCTAATTTACTATCTTGACATACGTCAAAGATACTGAAAGAACATTATTTCATATCTCTATTTCATTGTAAAATCTATTCATGAAATCTGCTGAAACGATAATATGTTGCACTGTTATACGTATATTTCTTCAACTGACCTGGCTATTCTTCATGCTAAGCTTGGGCGGCCACAGCTTGCGGTGTGAGAAAGGGGGTGGCTGGAAGGGATGTGTGTTGGCTTATCGCTAGCGTCAGTGACAGTGCGTAGGCGCCCAAGCAAAGCACTCCAGTAAAGAGAGTGGGAAGTACAATGAGGAAGTTAGAATAGGCGCCCTGAAACTTGGACTTTGCGCGGTAACTTCGAGAGCTCTGGACACAGGAGAGGCACGCTATACCCAAATAGACAAGCGAAGTACATGATATTGACCTTGTCTTGGAATTCGGACCGAATTTACGTCTGTTGACATTCTGATAAGATATTCACTAGGGATTTACTCCATAGTCTCAGCAAAGCCAAGGCAGATTCAAAAACAAGAGCGATATTGTTATACAACGATGCAAACTCCTCAAAACAAAAGAATGTAGTCATATCTCAGGAACAGGGTATTCATCATCATCAAGGGGTTCAGCGCACAGCGCTCACAGCTTCGCCGCGGTACCAGCCGACGAGATCTCATTGTACAACAAGCTCGTCAGGAAATCCGCATAGTCCTCGCCAGTAACCTGACCGGCAAAGTAGCGCGCCGCCAGCTGGAATTTGTTGCCCTTGGGCCCCTTGGAGGCGAGGTTGTCGGCCTGCTCCTGCAGCAGACGCAGCGCGTAGCCCTTGTCGACGCGCTTGCCTTCGGAGGTGGACACGTTGTGGCGGGTCCACTGCCACAGCTGGCTGCGGGATACTTCGGCGGTGGCGGCGTCCTCCTATATTTATACAATTAGTGCTTGTACTTTATATTACTTATAAGAGTGAAATGGTGGATTGTACGCACCATCAGGAAGTTGATTGGCACGCAGCCAATCCCGCGCAGCCACCCCTCCATATAGCTCAGCCCGATGTTCAGGTTCTTGCGGATGCCGTCCTCGGTAATCTTGCCGGGCACGTTGGTGTTGAGAAGATCGTTGGCCGTGATGTAGACATCCTCACGGCGCACGAAGAGCTGGTTCGGCGTCGGCATATGCTTGTTGAAGATCTCCGAGGCAATGGCGGCCAGCGCCGGGTGTGCCACCCAGGTGCCGTCGTGGCCTGCTCGCACTTCGCGCAGCTTGTCGGCCCGCACGCTCTCCATTGCCCGGTCGTTGGCAGCCGGGTCGTTCTTGACGGGGATCTGGGCAGCCATGCCACCCTACAGAATCAATCAGTATCTTTTCAATCGCCCAAAAGAGGGAATACGCTGGACTTACCATTGCATGTACGCCACGTCGGTGACACGTCTTGATCAGCAGCTTCACGTAGGCGTCCATGAATGGCACGGTCATGGTCACGTCGGAGCGGTCGGGCAGGACGAAGTTGGGGTGCTGGCGGAACTTCTTGATGAACGAGAAGATGTAGTCCCAGCGGCCGCAGTTGAGGCCAGAGCTATGGTCGCGGAGCTCGTAGATGATCTGTGCATTACCTCAGTTAATAACAGCCCCTTTGCTTGGTTTTGATTCACACTCACCTCGTCCATCTCAAACGCCGCAGTGATAGTCTCGATCAAGACCGTGCCGCGGATCGTGCCCCGCGGGACACCCACATAGTCCTGGGCGAGGTTGAAAGCGTCGTTCCACAGACGAGCCTCGAGGTGCGACTCCATTTTGGGCAGATAGAAGTACGGGCCAGCGCCACGAGCAACAAGCTCCTTGGCATTGTGGAAGAAATAGAGTCCGAAGTCAAACAATCCACCCGAGATAGGCTCGCCATCAACGGTAAAGTGCTTCTCATCCAGGTGCCAGCCACGGGCACGAGCAATCAACGTGGGCAAAGTGCGATCGGTCCGCAGCTTATACTCTTTGCCGCCCTGCTGGAAATCGACCTGGCGCCGGATCGCATCATACAGATTGACCTGGCCGTGGATCATGTTATCCCAGGTCGGGGCGCTCGAGTCCTCGAAATCGGCCATGTACGTCCAGACATCCGAGTTGAGCGCGTTCACCACCATCTTGCGGTCGGTCGGGCCGGTGATCTCGACGCGGCGGTCGACCAGGCCAGGGGCCGGCGGTGCGCCCTTCCAGGCATCGTTCTCGCGGATGTGTCGCGTCTCCGGCAAGAAGTCGGGCAGGTGGCCCTTGTCGATCTCGGCCTGGCGGTCGATGCGGCGTTGCAGGAGCGCCTTGCGCGTCGGGTTGAAGGTGCGGTGCAGAATTGCCAGGAAGGCGCATGCTTCCTTGGTGAGGATTTTGCGGGCTTCGTTAGGGATGGCGCCCAGGATGGCGACATCCTTGAGCTGTGCGTCGACGAAAGTCATGTTGAAGAGTGATGGGCGGTGATGTACAATGGTTACACCCAATTCATAAAACAATGCAAAGTGATTTTTTTTTCAACTATAGGATAAAAGAGAAAAAAATGAGAAGGATTCTCATTTACCCCTCCAGTCATATATATAACGCGTCGGTTGTCTACAGGGTTACCGTCCGCCCGAGATAGCATACGTCAGAACCCCCAGAGCCGCGGTTGTGCCCACCCGATTTCGGCTCCAACGAGGGAGCTTATCGCTGCAGCTTGACCTGCTGTTTCCCGCGGGAAACTGTCCTCCTCTCGGCCGACTTTGCCCGGCTGCTTCGGGGTGCGCCGCCCACCGAGTCTAATGAGGGTTACTTGGTATGAAGCAAAGTGTCAGTTTCTCGTCCGGGAGAGGCGACGATTATATATCTTCCCCCTTTTTTATTTATGCTTATTTTCTTATGCTATTCTCGTAAATATCAAACTCTCGAGTCTGCCAATGCTTCTGAACCTTGTCTTCGTCCGAACTCTCCCGAGGGCGTTTGTTGCAGGCCGCGGCACCGGTTGCTGCCTCAGGCTGCCAATCCGACATCTCCCGCTGCAGGACATGTGAAGCCGCATGTGACGGTATATAGCCATCTATAGCGTCTGTAGCAACTCGGATTCAGATGTTTCTATATGGGAAAGTCACCGAGAATCATATGTCTATAAACCCTGGCTGCTTCAGTGGTATCATCCTATTTACGTGTAGTGCAAGCCCGCTCACACCGTCTCGATATATCGCTTCACCTCCCTGCAAGCATGTCAGCCATTTTCAAAAATGTATCGGAGACAATAGGACGAGTACACGGGAAAACACTTACCAGTCTGTGACAGCCTCCTCCCATAAGCGCACTTCGTGCTCTCGAGTTCCTCCGAAATGTTCCACAAAGGCATCGCCAAAGACTTCTCGTGCTACGCTTTCCGGCCGCATAAACGTCGCAATTGCCTCTTTCAATGACTTGGCCAGTCGCGCACCCTTGTCACTCGCACCACCCATGTCTTCGCCCCGGGACAATGGCGGCACGGGAATCTCGAGCCTTTTCTCAACACCGCGCCATCCTAGCGCCAGGATAGCCGCCAGGACAAAATGCGGGTTGGCGTCGGCACCGGGTACGCGGACTTCGAACCGGGTGGCCTTCGGGCTGGCGGTGGGGGGAGTAATAAGACGAATAGATGCCGCACGATGCTCCAAGCCCCACGACACGGTAACTGGCGCCCAGAAGTTTTCTACTAGCCGCTTGTAAGAGTTGATTGTCGGAGCCAAGAGTGGCATGATATCCGGCAAGCCGACTAGAAGACCAGCCAGGAAATGCCGACCCAGATCGGAGAGGTGAGCAACATCAGGGTAGGGCGGGGACGGATCGGCGGTATCGCGGATGAAGGCGTTCTTGCCGTCGGCGGTCACCAGGGAAATGTGCATATGCCCGCTATTGCCTGGAAGACCGTGGCGTGGTTTAGCCATGAAACATGGTGTGATGCCGTGCTTGATGCCGAATGCCTTGACAACATATCTGGTTCAAAACGACTGGTTAGCCACCCGCACCTGAAAACCCTTGAAGCTCTGGTAAGCCTACTTGAATAGACCCGCCTTGTCGGCCATTGACTTTGCCTCTCCGAATTGTAATGCCTGTCATAGCGCGAGTTGATTAGCCCCCGCACCAATAGAACGAGTCGCTGTACTCACAGCCTCATAAACACCCGGTCCACTCTCCGTATGCCACCCTTCAATGTCGCACCGGAATTCTTCGCACGCATCGTAGATGCCATAGAAATAGTCCTGATTGTGCAGAGGCCGCGTGATCGAGTATCCAAACATGCCCTCGGTTAACGGCGGCAACGCATCGACGGGGTTCGTCTGCAGGAAGATGGCGGTTGAAGACGCGGCGCGTTCGGGGGTGGAGTGGTTTCCTGGCGCCCGAAACTGATAGAACTCATACTCGGCTGGGTGACGTCAGTTTCAAGAGCTTAAAGACATTGTAATCCAGCTCCGGTGCTAATATACCTCCGGCCATGGCACGGTACCCAGCCGCCTCGGCTTTGGCCGCAGCACTCTTCAACAACCCGCGTGGACATGCACACACCGGCTGTCGGGTATCCGGGTCCAGGAAGCTGACAAGAAAAAAGGGCACATTGCCCTCCCATGGAATGCGTCGGAAACTGCGCAGATCGGGCATAGCTACCAGGTCGCGATAGCCGTTTTCCTTGTTGCTGACGGACAGCTCTTTGTAATAAGTCGCATCGTGCTGGTCCCAGCCAAAGATGACCGAGCAGAACCCGAAGCCATCATCGAGAATTGACAGGAACTTCTCCTTCTTCATGAGCTTGCCGCGCAGCATGCCGTCGACGTCTATCCCGGCCACCTTGACCTTGCGGTCGTTCTGGAGGATCTGCGCGACATTTTCGACGGTGACTTCGGGGTCTGTGGACATGATGACGGGCTTAGGATTGAGAGAGAGAGAGAGAGAAACAGCAAAGAAAGCGGGTTTGTCCCGAAGCAGGGGCCGAGAGGGGACAGCGCACCGACAGCTTATCAGTCGGTGGTCGGAGTGGGACCCGATAACTAGAGCTGCGTCACTGCTGAGTCAGGACTGCCCCGCGGACGTCGGCCTCGGGTTGTGTGGACTGTCAACACTCACACTTGATTGTTTTCTTTGAATCTCGTGAGATGCCCCTGAAGTCCTTAATTTTCTACAGTAACAGCTGCAGGAGAAGCGTGGATCGTGTTTGGCTAACCGAATAGTCGCATAGCCCTTGCAAATCGCTTATCATGGCTGCTACATCTCCCCGCGGTCGTCTTCAGGGCAAGAATGCCATCGTCACCGGTGCTGGCGGGTAGGTAATCCTTCTACCTTGATGTTTCCCATTGATTATGCTAACTTTATTCGGTTGGGTAGTGGCATCGGCCTCGAAACCAGTATCTTGTTCGCTCGTGAAGGCGCCAATGTCCTGATGGCCGACGTCTCGGCTCCCGCCCTCGAGAAAGCACTCGCCAAGGTGAAGGAAGTGGTTCCTACTGCCCCGCGTGTGGAGACCATCCAATGCGATGTGTCCAAAGAGGCCCAGGTCCAGGCGATGGTCGAGGCACAGGATGGCTGGGGCGGCACTGATGTGATCTTCAACAACGCGGGGATCATGCACGCAGACGACGACGATGCCGTCGGCACCCCTGAAAAGATCTGGGATCTCACACAGAACATCAACGTCAAGGGCGTCTGGTTTGGATCCAAGCACGCCGTGCTCAGCTTGCGCCGTCACAAAAAGACCCGCGGGAGCATCATCAATACAGCCAGTGTTGTGGCTCTGGTTGGCAGTGCTACTCCCCAGCTGGCATACACTGCCAGCAAGGGTGCCGTTCTGGCACTGACACGCGAGCTGTCCATTGTCCACGCTCGTGAGGGTTTCCGTTTCAATGCCTTGTGCCCCGCTCCTCTCAAGTAAGTGTTGCCGACTGCTTTTTTATCTCTTCATCATTAACCTGGTTTCGACAGCACCCCTCTTCTTCAAGACTGGCTGGGTGACGACCAGCCCAAGCGATTCCGTCGTGAAGTGCACTTCCCTACCGGACGCTTTGGGGAGGCCATTGAACAGGCACATGCTGTGGTTTTCCTGGCCAGTGACGAGAGCAGCTTCGTCAATGGAGCAGACTTTGTGGTCGACGGCGGAATGAGCAAGGTATGTGTGATTGTGGATTTACTTTTTGCCGTACTAACATATTTCAGGCCTATGTGACCCCAGAGGGACCCCCGACCGCTGCTCCGCAGAACCTGGGCCGTTAAGATAGAGGTTATAGCGTTGAACATGAGCAATAATAGTATTTATTGAGAAGAACTTTGAAATTGAATAGATGTGTTTAGACGGTGTTCTACAGAACATTGTAATTGTACATGGATAGTCCGAGTTAAAGCGGCAAATGCTATTGCCAGAACAGGGATTGCCGAGGTAAACCCGGACCCCCTAAGCATCCCGAGTATGGAGATATTCAGACTGATTTCACGCCATGATCACATTGTGTGTCAGAATACAATTGAATATGGCATGATAATATCATTAAAAGTAAATCAGATCATATAATACATTCAATCGTAGCAACACCACTGCATGGTCTGATCGAAACATGGCATGACCGGGGCGTAGGCCAACGTCATCCCCCCGCATTCCACTTAAACCCGGGGTCTCCGCTGGGCCGACTGGGACACGCGCCACCTTCAACTTTACTCTCTTCCTCACCCCGAAAACCCCCTATCCAAACCGCCTGAAGATCATTTACAATATTTTCGCTTACATTCCCTGCAACTTAAAAACCATGTCCCACTTCGCCGTCCCAAGTGCAAACAAACCCTACCGAAACCACCCGACCGGCCCCAGCCTGAGGCCTCGGAATGGGCGGTGGTACGTCAGATCCTCGCACCCCCTGATTTGCGTTCTGACCACAAAGGTGTTGGCTAACCTGGTCTCTTCTTCTAATTACAGGTATATTCCACTCGTGGCTGCCATTGGTCTCGGTATGTTTTGTTTTGATTTCCAGCGTTATTTACATTTGCAACTGCATCTCTAACCATGTACTCGCGAGGAATAGGGTTCGGAGCGTACAATTACTACGTCGAGGCTATGTCGCGACGGAATCTTATGGCCATCGAAGAAGAGAAGCGGGTAGCTCGCAACCAGCAACTCATGGATGCATATGGCGACAAAAATAGTCTGGATAATGTCCAGCATGCCCTGGAGACATACAAGGGCCAGTAAAAGGGGGGCCAAGGTTCCGGGAGGTCATGCCGTACTCCGTGGCGCTGGCGGTCATGAAGGAGTAAGGATAGATTCCCAGGTGGTATCTTGATGATTGATGACAATTCTTGAGTTTGGTGGTTTTTCTCATGGCGTTTCGAGCTGTTTTATGCATTTCTCTTATTTCCAATCTTGGCCTCGACATTCTGTCGTGGCTTGCTTGTATTAGCAGAAATTTTCATGGCGCAGATTATTTTCATTCATCTAAATTAACATACTCATCGAAATTCTTCGAGTATTTATACTTGCAATTCGCCATCTGTTTGAGAAGATGGCCTCTACGGCAACAGGAAAAGGTTGCCGCCCGCATAAACCTTAGCCACTCTGTCTATACTCCTCCAAGGTTGATATATGAATGACGAGGTGGTCTGAGGGATTTTGAAAACGAGGAAATGAAAAATAGTGACAGTAGTTTTATCATAGAAATCTTATCAACTCACTGACTTGACCGAGATCGAGTGCTGCCGCACAGTACAGCCCCAACTACTGACCACAACAGAGGATGAAAGAGTTTAATAAGGATTTAAAGTGAATATACCAAAGAGACTAGACCCTTTCCCAAAAACTAGTGGACGTATAAGACCGATCACTTACTCCAAAGAAACCAATCAAGTATTTCGCGAAACACACCCGAGGCACTTGGTTTTGTATTGTTTCGGCGCGATGCCAGCGTAACGATATTCGGAAAGTCCACGCGACGCGATAAGAAGCTTCACACAAACAGCTCCTTCTTGAGCTATAGCGGCGGGGGCAACTCGATAAGACCAAGGCCAGCCGGGCGATCAATACTATGATTTGATAAGCCCGCTGATATGGCCCCAGCCCTAATTGCTTCCCCGCATGCGAGCAGATTGCAGCCCCGTCGGTGCCATCCGCAAAGCGCCAAATGGGCAATGCTTTCCTGTGAGCGAAATGGACATGATACTGATCTTTTATCCCTTGCAAATATCCCTTGGATTGATCTTTATCTTTCTACCCAAACTACCTCTCTCAAACCAGGAATATATTGCATACAGATACTATCATCACTGACCCCACTATGAAAGAAGGTGATCTGCACGGTGACGATGCCCAGTTGGCTTCCTTGGGTCATCGGCCCGAGCTCCAACGCAACTTTTCTACCTGGTGAGACTGCGATCAGAGAAACATTCGCAATAGCTCTAATATTGAGCAGGTCAATGCTGGGACTCGCTTTTGCTGTGTTGAATGTTAGTACCTCTCCTTCTGAATATGAATTGCAAAGCATGATAAAGCTAACCTTGGAACACGGTCACTAGTCATGGACTGCACTTTCGGCCAGCTTATCAATCAGTCTCACCTCTGGGGGTAGCACGAGTGTTGTATGGGGTAGGTCAATCTAGAATACAATCCATTGAAACCGACATTGACACCCATCAGGTCTCGTCACGGCCGGCTTTTGCAATTTTTGCATCGCAGCCTCCCTAGCGGAATTCCTCTCCGCATATCCCACGTATGGTTGATCACGGTGATTCAAAAAGGAGTCCTTATTGACATTGTATAGAGCAGGTGGGCAGTACCATTGGGTTGCAGGTAAATTTCTGTTGAACATTCCTCGAATTCTTTGGCTAATTTTGATCTCAGTTAGTATGTTTATTCTGATGTTTTTTTCTCCGCGCAAATACTGAAACAATCCAGTCTCATGGCCAAAGTGGGTCCCAATCTTGTCCTGGATTACGGGCTGGATTAATGTAGCCGGCTGGGTATGCATTCCTTCAATCGCATCAGATTTCAAGCTTACTTTGATATGTCAGGTTGCTCTCGTCGCTACAAATTCGCTCCTGTCCAGCCAGCTTATTGTTGGGATCATTTCCTCGTTGCACAAGGTAAGGACAAGAAATATCGACGCTTCTTGATCTATCTAACCGGAAGCTAGGACTACGAGCCACAACGATGGCACCAATTTCTCATTTACATTGGGTTAACACTGGCCGCATTTATCATCAACGCCTTTATGAATTCAATTCTTCCGGTCATCTACCGCGGTGCCTGTATGGTATACACCTCCCCTATTTCTGATATTTTCTCATGACAATCAGTTATGTGGTCCATCGGAGGATTTGTAGTCGTATCCATCACTGTCCTTGCATGCGCGTCTCCTGACTACAACTCCGCATAGTAAGTTGTCTTGCCCCTGAAACTTTAGTGCAGGCTGCTGACATCTGCAGTTTCGTCTTTTGCGACTTCGTCAACACAACAGGGTGTAAGATATTTCGTGCCCTCTCGATAACACTGATGCTAATTATCACTAGGGCCTGATGGTATTGCATGGCTGCTTGGAGTACGTCTTCCATCCCTGTTTGAAATTAAATAAAATTCCTGACGATTATACAGCTACTCCAAGGCGGACTAGGTGTTACTGCCTTTGTAAGTGCTTTCTGCAACAACCAAGGGCCTTACTAACATGCCTAGGACGCCGTCGCACACATGATAGAAGGTAGAATACCCTTCCTCTAAGCCTTGTCGATCGTGGATATCTAACTCGAACAGAGGTCCCTCAGGCATCAACAGAAGGCCCCAAGATCATGATGTCCTGTGTGGGCATCGGAACTTTCACAGGCTCAATCTTCTTGATTGTCCTACTCTTTGTCGCCGGCGACATGGGCCAAGTCGCCAAATCGGCTGCCGGCCCTCTCCTGCAGATACTCATTGACGCAACCAGCAATAAAGCGGGTGCGATCTGCCTCTTGATGTATGTTCCAACTCTCTAGATCAGACGTTGATCTTCCAATGATTTCAGCTGACGAAGAATAGGCTGCCGCTTGTCTGCTTGGTCTTTGCTATCATTAGTGTCATGACTACCAGCAGCCGAATGATCTTTGCATTTGCTAGGTAATTCCTCCTGGGTTTGGTCGTCTCAGGAAAAATGGCTGACTTGTACAGGGACGGGGGTCTCCCTGCCTCTCGGGTCTTTGCCGCCGTTCATCCTACGCTCAAGCTGCCACTCAATGCCCTTATTCTGACCGTCATGGTGGTCATTGCCTTTGGTTGCATCTTCTTGGGATCCACGAGGTATTTCCTCCATTCACAACATGAAAAGGGCCTATAAATTAACCAGCTAGTGCTTTCAACGCCATCATATCTGCTTCTGTCGTAGCTCTCGATCTATCCTACGGAATGCCCATCGCCATCAACTGCCTCCAAGGACGAAAGGCACTCCCAGACAGAAAGTGGAAGCTTCCAAGCGCAATTGGATGGATTGCTGATCTGGTATGTTATCGTCAGTAATATATTTCTAGTATGAAACTAACTCTGCTAGATTGCCCTCTCATACATTATCCTCACTACGGTTCTGTTCGTCTTCCCGCCCTCGACCAAGGTCACTGGGAGTAGTATGAGTACGTTAACCCCTTGCAATAACAATCGTCGAATACTGACTGATGCTATGAGATAGATTACTGCATTGCGGCCTTTGCGGTTATTATCATCATCTCTGTTTTTCAGTGGATCGTCGATGGACGGAAGAATTTCACTGGTCCTCGGGTTGATTTCGCGATTGATGCGCTGGATACTACTCCCAGAGAGGCAGACTCAGAGCAGAGAACCAGCGAGAAATAGTATTGTGCATGGGGGGGTATTTGATGAGAGCAACGGAGTTCCAGTTAAGTCCGAGGGTTACTAGACGTCTTTGTAGCCTATCTTGATATTCGTCGCTGAGCTGCAGGAATCCTCTGCTGTGAATACAAGTTTGTATTTCTCAATAGTGAAAAAAAGAGAACGTCTTTGAATAATTGCTACCAGATCAATTGCTTTCTTGGACTATACAGATCCACAACGCAGCTCAGAAAATATATGGAATAGCCCTACTCGTCTTCCGATGCCACTCCTCCCACTTCTTCCCAAAAGTCTGTCTCAACATCTCCTCCTCATCCCGCACCCTCGTAACAAGAACCCACAGCCCAAAGCCCATAAACGCCGCAGCAACCCAAACCCCAACGCCGTCCCACCGCGCCAAAGTCGACCCGGCAATCCAGCACGCCGGCGCCCCATCCCACCGCACAAACAACACCGTACACGCGACCGAGATCAGCGCCTGGCCTAGATAGCTGGGATGCTGCACCCAGCGATAGATGCCGGTCGTGACGAGCTCATCGGGCGCCGCGAGATGGAAGGTGAAATGGCGGCCGAGACCGCCAAACGCCGACAGGCGCACAAAGGCGCCGATGTAGATTGCCAGTAGACAAGCGATGGTGGTTGAGTTCCAGGTGAAGAGGGATGGGGTTGGGTTTTGTGGGTGCGGACAGAATTGTGATACGTGGGCGGGCGCGTAGTCCGGGACTACTGTGAGCAGCGCGTGGTATGTGATGACTGTTACGGCGGTGCGTCGGATAAAGGTGACGTAGCTGCCTGCCACGAAGCTGATGCGGTCTGTCTTGTGTCGGTCTTTTTGAGAGGGGGATGGGTTCGGTGGCGTTGTGCACATGGCGCTGAGATACCCGGCTCCCACCATTGCGATCGCGAGCAGTGTTGATCCTCCTCGAGTCATGTTGTTGGTTGTTTGAGCGTGTTGGTGGAAGAAGTGAGTTGCTGGTGATATGGAAAAGTGGACGATTTGGGGTCTACGTGGCCCGGTTGCTGATTGCCTCGGCCGAGCGTCGCTTTGCTTGGGATGCGGAGAATGGGGCCGGATATGCGGATCCACTGTAGGGATCTTTGGAAACGCAGTCGATCGAGCGTTGTAGCAATATGAGAAAGTCTTCTCTTACTACTAGTCGGTCTTGGTCAAGTAGATGTTATATGCAGCTGTGGTGCACATCATCTCATAGATATTGACCGGCAATAGAGCATCGATATCAAGAATCCTAAATATCTCCACCTATACCTAAGACACCTCAATCATCTCCTTCCCAGCGTCCAATCGCGCCAAACACTCCTCGATTCCGGGATATGTCCAGCTATACACCACATTCCGGAAAATATCTTCAGGCGTCCTCCGGTCATGCGACTCTTTCGTACTGTTTTGAATCCGTGAAGCCCTGACTCTGCGAACGCGGTCAAAGTCTTGCAGGACAGCCGGCACCGAGGATCGATCAATGTCAGCGAGAGTAAACAGCCGGAAGCCCTCTGCGTCCTCAATGGATTGCGTTCCACCCTGACCCTGATGCGGTGTCATAGCGTGCGCGGCATCTCCGATGAGCACGGTTCTCCCGCGGATGTACGTAGGGAGAGGGTCCTGGTCGCGGAGTTGCCAGAGTTTAATATTGTCGGCCATTCTGAAGGAGAGTAAGCAATCAATGGATCAAGAAAAGTATTTCTGTCAAAACTGACTGGAAGATAGTTCGACATTGAGAACCATAATCGGCGAACGCATGAAGCAGATCCTCTCGACTGCAGTTGCTTGACCACGACTCGGTGGTTTCCACGCGCAGGGCAGAGTCTGGGGCGATGCAGACGGCATTCAAGATTTCGAAGTTGCGGCACGGGTAAAATACAACACAGCGGCGGCTGTCATCCTGCGCAAGATGGATGTCTCCGGTTGCGGGCTCCTTTCGGTTCAACACAGGCCACTCGCCGACGGCTTCAGTGACCGCCGCAGCAGGCAAAGTAAAGCGAAATGCAGAGAGTCCAGAAGGCCGCGCGAACTGGAAAGAGTCTTCTCCAACAACCAAAGGCCGAACCATGGATTTTATACCATCGGCGCCTGCATTTATAGCATTAGCTCTTGAGAACGGAAATCCTCCAAATATGTAGAGACTCACCAATAATCAAATCCCCTTGAAGCTCCTCACCATCAGCCAACCGAACAATCCCCTGATCCACATCAACTCCCTCCACCTTCGCCCCCCAGATAATCTTCGCCGGCTCGCCTTGAATCCCCAATTCCTGTGATGGGGCGGTCGCAAGCCGAAGCAACTCATCCCACAGATCAGCGCGATGCTGCCAATACCAGTCGGCACCTGCCTTACGGGAGACGGCGCTCATATCGGCCTCTTTCAGAATATCGCCTTGCCGACTGAGCGTTCTCCAATACGCGCCAGTGAGTGAGCCTGCCCGGCGCTTGTCCAGTCCCAGTTGCTGCACGACCTTGACGGCCCCCGGCGCCAGCTGGATTGCCGCGGCCTGCTCGTGGCCGCCGGGGGAGCGCTCTAGGACTGTTACTGCGTGGTATTCGCGTAGGACGCGGGCAGAGGCTAAGCCTGCTAGGCCGCCGCCGATGATGAAGACTTGGAGCATTTGTGGTGGGAGGATTCTTGTCGCTGGTGCTGGTTATGAAGGTGTTTATTTCATATTTATAGCTCAGAATAGCTTTTTTTCTCTTAGTTTGAGATTGAAAGTTCACTCACGTAACAGTCGGTTGGCTTCGAACGTTGAGGGAGTGTGGGGGCTGGAATGCAACCATATTTCGATGTTGACGTCAGCTTATGACAGGTCCATGCGATGATCGCGGCGATCAATGTGTTTGTTGCTGATGATGATCGCATATGGTTTATCAAAGGCTTTCATAGGCTATTGTTTGATATCTTGGGTGTTGGGTTAGACAGGATCAGGGCAAGATACATGGCAGATAGGGTTCGGTACGGCTGGTAGATCTATAACTTTATCGGGGCTCGACATTGTCAATTCGATGTGCTCGGTTGGATTGGAAATGACCATTTTTCGAATAAAAACTTGGAATAATACCAGTGATTGTCCAAAATCGAAAGATATCACGACATCACATCCCTGACTAGTGACCGATTTATTCGCAGTGTACTACACGCTTCACCGAGTCAATTCTCGAGAAACAGAAATAACTTGACCGGTCCAGCAACTGAATCGGGAAAAGAAAATCTTTTGCATATGGAATATTTCCATAGCGACACTGAAAACTCGAAGATCAAGTAACCAAGTGGCTAGAGGCCTGTCCGGAAACATTTCTATACTTCCGTCTTGTCAGTATCATAGTAACCAGGCTAGGAGCTGATCAAGCTCGACCGGTTGAAAAGGAGTCTAAGCATCTCCTGACCAGGCTAATGGAAAATTCCATCAATTGGTGGAATATTTTGTCTCAGTATACAAGCAAATACCCCCCTTAACATAGAGGGCATCGAGGAGTTTCTTTCTCGGGGAGCTGTAGATTTGAAATCCTCTCCTTTCCCACTGTTGCCATTGTGCGACAGGTCGTCATCGCTGGTCTGTCGCACAGAAACAACGTTATAGTAGGGTCTGCTTTAGATGGAGGCTGTACAGACCTCGAGATTCCCGACGCGGCCACCGCAGGCTATCAGGGATTCGATTCCGTGTTCTGAAGTGCGACTGACATTCGTCAGCATCACCACTCTCAAAAGCCTCCCAGCAAGTGATTCCCACAAGAGCAGTCCCTCGCTAACAGTTTGTGGCGCTGCCAAGCCACCAATGTTCTCGGCGAATCACTCCCTCGTTTTGATCCGACAATAGCCCGACAGGAGAGGGATGAGAGAGCGGGGTGCTTCGGTTCGTGGGATGCCTCGAGACCACGAAAAGCCAGAGTGGGCATAGGCCATGGGACCACGTGCTGTCTGGCTTAGAAAACTTCATGATGTTTTCCCCAGAGAAGCGAATCTCGACTCCCAAGAATGCGAGTGGCCCATTTCACCGGGGTAAAAACGCCAGAATTAGCTGTCAGTCGTAGTGGGTCCACACGGGACAAGATCGCCACGCTCGGGCAGAGCCGAGGTATTCGCTGATCGAGTGTCTCGCTGGATGCCGTGTCTTTTGTTCCTAGGTCGTAGAATCGGACAGACCGAGCGCTGAATCCGTTCAAGACACCTCGAGGGTCGTACCGACCGGACTCGACAAACCGGGGTCTGGAGATGTCTGCTGCCGAGAGCTTGGTCGCTAATTTGGTGGCGTCGGCTGCGTCTGTGCTCGACGGCTGGGGTTGCCGTTCAGATGCGACATTGTCTGGCGACGGTCCAGGTTACCGTGAGCTACTGGTAGGACACCGTCCTTTGGGTCAGCCGAGCGTCTCACACGACGAGAAAAAAACAAAACCACGGGCCGATTTTCATTGGGGATGACAGAAAGAAACAGAACGAAAAAGGAAAAGAGTAGGAATTGCCGAGAGTCACAAAGATGCCGAGTGGAAAGAATCCCAGGACAAACTTTGCTGGGGCCTCTCCCCCGCGGAGCAGCCCCCGATGTAGGCACCGTCTCCGGGGCCCCGGGGGATGCTCGGACTGGCCCGACACTCTGTTTGGCCTCTTCCTTTTGGGGACTCTCCAGTCTCTCGCGTGGCACAACCCTTCGCATATCCACGGCTGAATGCGTGCTAATTTCCCCGGTTTGCCGGGCATGCTTTGATTTTTTCTTCTTTTAGACTCAATTTCAGCGCTAGTAAAATTTTCTTCTACCATTTCTATGGGGTTTTAAGGCTAGTGTGACTCTAGTAGACATGGCTGCAGTTCTCGTGGCATCCACTTTGGGGACATGCTTATATTCGACTATACCGCGGGTGGCCATAATTGGAATCCACCAGACCCGAGTGGGATGAGTTCTTGCATGGCTGACGGTAGTCTGGGGAGTGTAGTAGAGTGTGTTTGTTCATGTTATAAGCATCTTTCACCCCCCCCTTGTGTCCTTGGTCTTCTTCTCTTACTTCACCACTTCCCATCCTTCTGCCTTTCTCTTTCCTTACACATCCACCCTGACATACAGTGCCCCCAAACCAGTCACCTCGAGTGAGCGTTTGTTGCCCACACTCAGTCGATCTTGTCTATCCTCTTCATAACTCAGTCTCATCCTGTCGCCATGCCTGGTGGTGCGGTTGTCTCTGGGCCGGTGGTCGGCGCCGACGCCATGCGCGAGGCCCCGGTCACCTTCAAGGCCTACCTCATGTGCGCCTTTGCTGCTTTTGGTGGTATCTTCTTTGGCTATGACTCGGGCTACATCAACGGTGTCATGGGCATGGAGTACTTTATCGAAACATTCGAACATTTGGTGGGTTGACCTCACTTGTAACCTCTCGAGCATTGCTAACATTTCATCTGTCCAGGACCCTGCCACCACTCCCAAGAATGACTTCGTCGTTGCCTCGTGGAAGCAGTCGCTAACCGTCTCCATCCTCTCGGCGGGGACTTTCTTCGGTGCTCTCATCGCTGGTGACCTGGCCGACTGGTTTGGTCGTCGTCTGACCATCATCTCTGGCTGTGGCATCTTCATCGTCGGCGTCATTCTGCAGACTGCCTCGACTAGCCTGGGTCTTCTCGTGGCTGGCCGTCTTATTGCTGGTTTCGGTGTGGGCTTCGTGTCGGCCATCATCATCCTCTACATGTCTGAGATTGCGCCTCGCAAAGTTCGTGGAGCCATTGTGTCTGGATACCAGTTCTGCATCACCATCGGCTTGATGCTGGCCTCCTGCGTCGACTATGCCACGCAGCACCGCACCGATTCTGGCTCGTACCGGATTCCGATTGCGCTCCAGATGCTCTGGGCTGTCATCCTGGCCATTGGCCTGTTTATCCTCCCGGAGTCGCCTCGTTTCTTCATCCGCAAGGGTCAGAAGGACAAGGCTCGGGAGGTGCTTGCCCGCATCCGTGGCCAGCCCGCCAACTCGGAGTACATCGAAATGGAGCTGAATGAAATTGATGCCAACAACCAGTACGAGCTGCAGTCGATTCCGCAGGGTGGCTATTTCACCACCTGGTTCAACTGCTTCCGCGGCAGTCTGTTCCAGCCAAACAGCAACCTTCGCCGTACCGTGCTGGGCACCTCGCTCCAGATGATGCAGCAGTATGTTCTTCTCTCATTGTTCAAATGCATTCTAGCGTATACTAACATAGTTCTCTGTTAGGTGGACTGGTGTGAACTTCGTGTTCTATTTCGGCACGCCCTTCTTCAAGCAGCTGGGCACTATCCAGAACCCGTTTCTGTTGACAATGATCACCACCATCGTCAATGTCCTCTCGACCCCCTTCTCCTTCTACGCCATCGAGAAGGTTGGCCGCCGCCCTCTGCTTCTGTGGGGTTCCCTGGGCATGGTGATCTGCCAATTCATTGTGGCCATTGTGGGCGTGACCGACGGAGATAACCCCAAGGCAATCTCGGCCATGATTGCATTCATTTGCATCTACATCTTTTTCTTCGCGAGCACTTGGGGCCCCGGTGCCTGGGTGGTGATTGGGGAGATCTTCCCCTTGCCCATCCGTTCTCGTGGAGTGGCCCTGTCGACCGCCTCGAACTGGCTCTGGAACTGCGTAAGCTCATTTCCCCCTACATCTTCAAGTTTGACGACGTTTGTACTGACAATAAACCACAGATCATTGCAGTGATCACCCCGTTCATGGTCAACAAGGATGAGGGCAACCTGGGCGCAAAGGTCTTCTTCATCTGGGGCTCTCTCTGCACCTGCGCTTTCGTCTACACCTACTTCCTCATTCCTGAGACCAAGGGTCTTACCCTGGAGCAAGTCGACAAGATGATGGAGGAGACCATCCCGCGCACCTCGTCCAAGTGGCAGCCTCACTCTACCTTCGCGGCCGAGATGGGTCTGGACGAGAAGGCAGCTGCTGGACCCAAGGTCACCGAGCAGGAGGTCTAAAGCAAGACCGGAACTGCGCTTTGTTTCGTATCTCAAGTCCATTTTTTTTTCCTTTGCTTTATTCCCTGGCGTCAGAGATCCGTGTCTTACACGGCTTGCTTGCCACGTGTTAATGTTTCATGACTTCTCCGACTCATATACCGTTTATGAGCTTGCATGTACTCTAGCTGGGCTTGATCAAATCGATACGAATAATTTTAGTCTGAGCGTGTTGCCTAGTGTAGCTCGGGGAAACATCGGGGCGTTCTATATATATCAGTTTGCCAGATCAACGGCTTATGCAATTACATGTCTAAGAATACCCATACATGGGACCTTGGGAGTGCGATTCCACTGAATAAAATGGAATGGTAAAAGAATCCCAACGCCCCAAACACTAGCAAATACCAAGAATTGACACGCTTCTTCTCAAACCTCCGGCGCAACACGATCCGATAAGAAAACAAGAGCAATTAGGGCACCGGGCGATTTCCGAGCAAGCAATCGCCAAGACTTGTAGGGGGGTTACGTAACCGTCTTGGCGGAGGCTTCGCCCAGGAGTCTTCGAAATAGGCCGTACCTGCATGCGTGTGAATCATCTTGCGTGTGATTTGACAACACAGTGCCAGGGCTGAGTCTCTAGACATTGAGTCTGTGTCAAACATTTCCACTCACCTCCACTCACCAGGGGGTCGAGATTCCGCTGGTGCAGCCCTGAACGACATCTACTCGGGAAACCCGGCCTCGCCAAGAACGGCGTACGTACACTCCCGCGTAAGTTGAGTGTGCTCCCCTTCCAAGTCTCTTCAGACGACGCCGTCGATGCTGGGCCATGATGTGTCTGTGCATGCAAACTGTTTCAATTGAGAAACGATCAGCGCGGTATGGAGCTCTGCAGTATCTGCCGAGGCCTTGTTTTCTTCTCTGTCTGTGGGTGTCTCCGTGGCGAGTTTGAAACGGGCGTGTCCGGCCATGCTATGGCCGTAGGGCATCAACACCGGCTGTTCTGTTGACTGCATCTCCCGCCTACCACGTCCCGGTCCAATATTGGGAAATTCTAATCATACAGACACCATCAAGATGGGCACCAGCGAATCACTCTACACCGGCCTCGTCATCAATGCAGATCCCTTGGATGACTCCTCCACTTACCGCGTGAGATGCCACGAGTATTGCACCTTGGCATCTCGCCCTTAATTCTCCGCGTGGAGAATCCTCCTAACCCAGCACCTCCTCCGGCCCTATCTTGGCAGGGCGCTAGCGCACTCTGCGTACGCCGCGGGATTCCAACACAACACTGTCTTGTTTTTTTGGCTGCTGATTGTTCGGCACAGCACGGCACCTTCGGCTCCGCTCATCTGCCGGCTTTCCCCAATCACTGATATGCGAATTGCGTTCTGTCAACTCATTGATGGGGGGGCTAGGCGACTGAACTCCGTCGGTGTGGCCTACGGCACCTCCGCAGCGGGTCTGGCAGAGGCGTGCGAACCTGGTTTCGCTGATCAATGCTTGGTTTCTCATTTGTTGGTTTTTCCTAGATGGCTCCATCTTTTGTCGTCAGCTCTTTCTTGCAGACGGCGTCGTTCTATACGCTGCAAACGCTGCGGCCAACCTTTAATATCGGGTTCTGGTCTTTGCTCCGGTCAATGGCTCCAGCAGATCTATCTATAAAAAGGCTTGCCCGGCCCTGAATGAAAGTCCTATCTTCAAAGATATCTTCTCACTCAATAGTTACTTCCACGTCTTGTTTTTGCTTTGATTCACAATGGTTCGTCTTGTTTCTGCTGTTGCAGCTGGCCTTTTCGGCCTCGCTACTGTTGTCGCTGGTCATCCGGGCCACGACGTCCAGGCTGAGGCCGCGGAGCGCGCTGCTTTCTTGCGCAATGCTCCCATTCACGCGCGCAGCCTTGACCTGTGTGCCGCGAAGCTCAAGGCCCGGGGCCATGAGCGCCGCAGCGTGGCTCGTCGCGAGACTGCGGTCAAGAAGCTGCGCCAGCGCCGCGGTCTACAAACCAGTACGTTACCCATAAAGTATACTGCCCTTTCATGAACTTGAAAAACTCAATTGACTGTGATTAGATGCCCGCTTCCTCAAGGCCCGCGACCTGAGCTCCACCCTCAACACCTCGCACCACTCGAACCTGACCAACGTCAGCCCTTCCACCGATCCCCATGTTTTGTTCGGATCTGAGGCGACCTGTATCCTGGGGCCGGATGTGACCCAAGGACCGTACTGTATGAAACACATGGCTCTGGTATAATCTGCTGGGTGTCAGCTAATTCTGTTTAGACGTCTCGGGTGAATTGATTCGCGAGAACGTTGTCGAGAGCCAGGAGGGCGTTCCTCTCTACATGGATATCCAGCTCATCAACACCAAGACCTGCGAGCCTCTTCCTGACATCTTTATGGATTTCTGGCACTGCAACTCTACTGTGCGTTTCTATATTTTGAAATTGCCATGTACCAGCGTTGCACTGGGAATTCCACTGACATTTCTGATAGGGCGTCTACTCCGGCGTCGTCGCCAATGGCAACGGCAACTCCGACGACGAGAAGAATCTCGACTCGACCTTCCTCCGCGGCGTGCAGCCCAGTGACAGGGACGGCGTGGTGCACTTTGAGTCCATCTTCCCGGGACACTACACCGGCCGTGCTACCCACATTCACGGTATGACTGTCCCTTTTCTCATAACTTCCAAGCCATACCTTCTTGTATCCCTACATATTCTGGGTATATTACTAACACGTATAATACAGTGCTCACCCACCCCAAGAACGAAACCAAGGTGTTGGGCAACGACACCATCACCGGCCTGTACACATCTCGCTCCTCGCACGTGGGCCAGCTCTTCTTCGACCAGGACCTGATCTCCGAGGTCGAGAAAGTGGAGCCGTACTCCTCCAACACCCAGGAACTGACCACCAACGCCAAGGACAGCATTCTCGCCGAGGAGGCCGACACCATCGACCCGTTCATGGAGTACGTGTACCTGGGCGACAAGGTCTCGGATGGTCTGTTTGCTTGGATCTCTGTTGGCATTGATCCTTCCAAGGATACTGAGGTTACCCCTGCGGCTTACTATACTGAGGAGGGCGGTGTTGAGAATGAAAACTCCGGTATGGGGATGGGTGGTCCGCCGCCTGGTGCTTCGGGTGCTTCGTCGTCTGGGGCTGCGCGGGCTACGCGTCGGGCGGTTTAGATGAGACGAGTTTGCAATTTTGCAGAACTTTGTCGAATCTAGCATTGAGATGTTGGGAAGTTCTCTTGGATCCAACTATACTCGAGACTTGGTATCGTATATACCTCCAGCAATATATCAATTTGTTCTCCCTATCAAATCACTTTAAAATCCTTCCGAACCTGCCATATAACCCCCACCACTACCACATCTCACCCAAAAAAGGACCGCCGCTTCACGGCACCCCCCGACGCCGAGGAAGTCGCACTAGGTAACGGAACTGACGACTGTGAATGACTAGCCCTAGCCGGGCCCCTCGACCTCGACTTCGCGGTAAGTCTCACCCTCCCACCAGGAATCTCCCAGCCATTAAGCGTGCTATTAAAAATCTGCAACGCAGCCTTGGGCTGATAAAACGGCACCTCATGGCCAGCCCCATAAACCCTCGTAAACGAGAAATTGCCATACTCCCGCGTAACGCCATGCTCAACGCCATCCACCAGGAACGACGCATACCCCGCGCTTCTAAACTCCTTGGAATGCTTGTATTTCGTGTTGAGAGAGATATCCTCCCCGCCGAACCAGTTGCACGTGTAGTCGGCGTCGCCGTAGATCAGGGCCACGCGCACAGGTCGCGCCAGCATTGCTTCGAGGTCTTCGAGGAAATTCGGCCAGACGGCTTCGCCATTCTGTTGGAAGGCGTATTGGATTGCGGGGCTGGTGCTTGTGTAGTTTAGGTCGACGCCGATGGCGTTTTGGATCTTTTCTTTCGTCAGGTATTTCGGCCAGTAATTTGGGAGGGCTGGGTCTTCAGTTGGGTGTCGGATGTCGTATTGGGCTCGGTTGCCGAGGTAGTAGTATGGTCCTTCTGTGGGGGAATTAGAATGAGCATCATGAAAGAAAGGAAGAAAGAAAGAAACACAAGTATAGGTTGAAGGGGGGCTGGAGCAGGGACGCACCAACGGTATCGCGGCATACGTATAATGCTTCGGAACACAGGGCGTAGTCAGTGACTGATGTCCGGTTCAGGAGCTTGTATCTGGTTCTCTGGTCTCGGCAGCCTAGAGCCATTTCATTGGCGAATTTCATGAAGCTATAAACCGTGTCATTGACCTAGAGGTATTTAGTATATATACATATATGACTGGGACGTCGAATCAGAACTCGGGCGATGGTCGAGTAGATAGCAGCAGTTGAAAGAGGGGACGACTTACAGCTTTGATTCCGTGCGTGTTGTTCACAGCAAATTCAGGGTAGTGTTTCATCTAAATGCTGCGGTCAATCAGTCCATTGATGATGCCCAGGGTGTTGAAGTCGAGCTGGACGCCATGCACCGTGCCATTGGCTATCTTTTGATATCTACAATCCCTCGAGAGATTGACATCCGTCATTGAAGTCATAACACATTCAAAACGACTCTCATTGGTATATATCCAAAAAAAAAAAGAACAAGGCGAGCATGGAAAGGATTGGCACCCAAATGAGTAGAATGGTGCGCGCTGCAGGATATCTCAGCTTGTGTTCAGACGGTGCCAAGATGAGGGCTGAGCTGGTGAATTGTTCTATTCCCGAACGGGTACCATGATGCACCCACGCTGCGACTCGCCGACAATGACGCTATTGCACATATAGAAGTATGATGCTGCGCCGTTGACAGGGCTTGTGCAGCTCAGGGGCCAGTAAATGGCTCTTTTTTTGAAAATGATCGATCACGGAGAGGTTGACGTGGTGAACTGCGACTGAAACTAAAAATAGAAAGACGGGAGCACGAAAGAAACCCTAAGATCCTTTTGCCAAAGATATCTCTCAACTTGTATATGGCATTCATGATTTTGCTTCTCTGATATTCTGTCGCTACCTGTCACTACGCTTCCAGACATCGCCAAGCTTTGATCCTCACGATTTGCACCACCTCAGGATAATCTGACAGGATGGTTGAGTCGGCCAAGAGTGCGGGAAGTAAGTGGGCGCAAAGGGCCGAGGGACGCGTCTTCAATTGTCAATTATCCTGTCTAGGCATATCAATTTGCATTAAAATACAAAGCTGGTGTGTCTCGCAAAAACCAGGCCCCGGGGAGACAAAGCCAGTGATTTGTGGGGAGCCAGGAAGGAGTCGAATTTCATGTTGGCGTGGTAAAGAGACCACGGACCTAGAGTATCGAAAGGAAAAAGGCGACTTGTACATCGGGTAGGGCGTTTTCCACCAAAAGTCTGCATATTGAGCCATTTATGTACCCCTGAATCCTGGGGAGTACTATACGATTAGATTTCAAGTAGTAAGTGGAGTTGGGGCGCAAAAAGGAACAGGGCTCTATCCAGAATAAGCCTTTTAGTTTATTAGAGGCTATGCAGGCTGATAGCAAATGGCCCCAGGGCAGAAATGGCTGTTGCTTTCTTCAGCAAGACTGTTACTCTCAATGGATGCCATGGCTAACATCTCAGCAATATGTCCACGGATATGAAATGGGAGTATCTTGCTGGCTATGAAGCATAAATCACGCCACTTCTTACAACCTACTATTGATATTTTGAACCATAGCCTAGGCAACGATCAAATCCATGTCCGAGAGGTGCATCCGCATCAGCGCGGTTCGGCCCCATTATCGTGCTTACTATGGGGCATCCGCACGCGCGGCTTGCTTATCCCTTGTCTGATTCCCCGATTCCCTCCCCCCAAAATGGCGATTCACGTTAGTAGGGGCCGTGGCCCCTGACGTACCATGTTTCTATGAATGGCATCGTCATCTTCGTGCTTGGAGCTATTTATTCGTCGAATCCCCAGGGTTTGGGCTTGGATGCATCGCAGCCACACAAACTTCCTGCTTCTCCAACATGCTCCTTAAATCTTATTTATCCCTTGCTGCTCTCGCCAGCCTGGGCCTCGCAGACAAGTCACCAGGCTGTGGTGGCCACATCCCCTCGAAATTCCCCGAGCGCGGCACCAGCAAAAACCTCACCCTCCCCGGTCTCGATCGCGAATACCGACTCTACATCCCCTCCGGCTATGACTCGAACACTCCGGCGCCCCTGTACTTCTCTTTCCACGGCGCCTCCCGGGACATGAAGCAGCAGGAAGAGCTGTCGCAATTCTCCAACCCCAAATTCAACAAGAAGGGCATCGCCGTGTACCCGAACAGCAAGAACGGGTATTGGCTCTCCAACCCCGGTGCCAACACCTCGCGCCCCAACGACCTGGACTTTACTGATGCCCTGCTCACGCACCTCGAGCACAAGCTGTGCATTGACACGAAGCGCGTGTACTCGGCGGGCAAGTCCAACGGCGGCGGGTTCACCAACGTCATCGCTTGTAACTCCACCGTTGGAGGTCGTTTCGCAGCATTTTCCTCGGTCAGCGGCGCTTACTATGACACGGACGACGTCCCCGGCATTGGCCCCTGCCGCCCGGCCAAGCGCGACGAGGGCCGTCCCTTCCTGGAGTTCCACGGCACGATCGATACCACGGCGCCTATCGATGGCAACACTAAGAAACACCCCAAGTTGCCGGTCATTGATATCCTGCAGGGCTGGGCGGCGCGCAACGGGTGCCCTGAGCATTCGAACCCGCAGAGAAATGAAACCGTTTTTACGCACCCCCTGGTCAAGCATGCTTCGTGGGATTGTGATGGCAAGCATGGCATCGTGCAGCACTATCGCGAGGGCGATAATGGCCATTGCTGGCCCAGCCTCAAATCCAACCCAGACTTTGTGGACAATCGCGACCAGTGCCCCTTGGGCAAGTATGTGTTCAACGCGACGACTTACATCTTTGACTTTTTCGACAAGTATAAGTTGAGCAAATGAGCGACTGGGACATCGCTCATGTTTGCGGATTTCCGAGCCGTTCCCTATGAATAAGTATTGTCCGCCCCTTTGGGCCGGATTGCAGCTGTCAAAAAGGAATCATACATCGAGATAGAATGGACAATTGTGTATTGGTCTTCAAATGTGTTAGATTTAATATGGAGAGCGAACTTAAGTTGCTTTCCGAAAGTTGCAAAGACTGGTCGATGTACACAACTAGGCTCTGTATCTTCGAACATGTGCTAGATTGCATTACTGCAATGCAGCTTGTCGAATTTCTCTTACAATGGCACCTGCTCTATTCTCAGACCCGGGGCGCAGTTGTGATCTACGGTATCTCTACCTCGAACTCAGCATTACCTTACGCCTAACCAGCATCCACATAGATATGCTATGGAAGCCAAGTGAACTCATTTTTATAGACAATGCTATTTGATCTCGGCTGGCAAGTCAGCTGCAATTAAAGAAAACAGGGTAGCCAACATTCGGATTAGGCAACATCTGTCCAACGTCTAACGTGCACCATCTCGCCCAGCGGGAACACCTTCAATCAAGGTCTCCATCCCCGGATCTTGATTCCAGATTCCTGTTATTCGTAGCCCGGCGCTGCTCAGCAGGTCCTTCCACTGGACCTCGGTCCGCACGACGCCAGCGCCAATGCTGTCCATCCGAAAGCCATATGATGTTTGGTTGAAACATGAGTTAGGGTCGTGAAGAAAGTCCATGATGAGAATGCAGGAGTGGTCAGAAGCCATAGCAGCAATCGTGTTGCGCAGGATCTGTCGGCAGATATGATCAGGCCAGTTTTGAAAGACAGATCCGAAGAGGTATGCCCGGGCACCTAAACATGCTCAATCAGCCATTTTGTCATGGGTAATAGGAGGCAAGACAAAACGTAGACCTCGTGTTAACTTACCCTTCAAAGCTTGAGGATCGAAGAGAATATGGCTCATCACTTCGATCCTGGACTCGGAACTTGAAGCGCCCTCGACCACCACGGGGATATCTTGTAATACCATTCTTCCTGGCAAATAGGGAAACCTGGCCTTAAAGGTCCTCAGGTTGTCACACTGGCCGCCGTAAATATCCACTAGGAATATTGTGTCGTTGTATGGGACTCCATGGCCTAGTAGTCGTCCAATGGGGTAGAGCTCAAACCATCTCATCTTTCTGTTCTGATGGAGTGCTAGATTGAGTCGAGTCAGCTTTTTTTTCCATCCGAGCTTCTAATACATCGACCTGGATCAAGTGTTCTCTTCGTGTTATGCAAGGAAGAGACTTGGTTGTTGCCCACGATCTGAGCAACAACAGCAGTCATCTCGTTCGCTGAGTATACATCTTGCGCAGAACTCGAGCAAAAGCCCAGAGAGCTCACAACGGGCATAATATGAGCTGCACATCAAATCAGTGGTTACAAACCTAACGAGCCAAAGAAAAAGATTTACCGATGAAATCTCGATCCGCCCCAGTGCCATCGGCCAACTGCGCAACGCAAAGGCTGCCGCTCACTCCCCGCGCCTTGGAAAGTAGACAGAAAAATCCCAAGATTGATAGCAGTGTGGATCGCGGCAGTTTGAGGGGTCTGTTACTTGTCAAAATTAGCATGATAGGACAACCAAGGTGCTTAAATCCTGCGAGACTAAGTACCTGAGAGATCAGTCGCGACACACTTTCGGGCGGTGTTTCCACCACGCCTCCTAGTTGCTCGATAATCTACAATAGCTCGGCCCGCTCGTGGTTGGAGAGGTATCATCTCCGCGCTTGGCTATCCCGTCCAAGCGGTTGGCGAGTGAGCAGCGGCGTGCTGATGGTCATGTTCAAGACCCAAAAAGGTTGTGGGGGCAAGGATTCCACAAGAGTGAAGGACGAGAGGATTCTACCAAATCGACTCTGATTTCGTTATTTCTTGCTGAACATTTCTCAGAATCTGATTATCTCCCTGGTCAGGCTGAGCGACAATCAGCCCTGCTAATCTCATGTCAGACACAACATACACAAAAGCATACCTGCAGATGTGTGATCAGGGAATATCTTGGAATTCCAACACACAGCCTGCTTTTACTGGTTGCGAGTTCTCGAGTTGCCTTTCGCCTTTGGCCCCCAGCCTTTCAACTCTGGTTCAAACCCGTGTATTCCGCCACAGGTCCCCTGGTCTCCACAGGGTCCACACCTCGGCAGTCAGGGTTGGTTTAAGCTCCGAGGCATTCACAGAAACATGAAGAAACAAGTGGTCAATTGTGGAGTCTTTGATGTGTGTGCACGGGGTGAATATTCTAAACGATGGGGACAAAAGGAAAACAATACGACACGAAGGATTGATCCCAAGCCCTAAAATTGGATCAAGATAAGCTCGACTCATCACTCGACCCGTCTTGGGTTGTGTGCGGCTGCAGGATGCATGATCCAGTATGATCAAGATCAATTGGCGTCAATCTATTATCACAGACTCAATTATGGTACCGGTTTCGTCTGTGGTTTCACACCATCAATCGCAATGGGTTGACCATACAGTGGCCTCGGTAGACAGCGGATCCATCCTTCACTCCACTCTTTATTGTTTACGTGGCCAATAATCCCCGCGCAATAGATGGCCCCCCTGCCAGCACGAGTAAAGTGATCGACATGTAGGATTGGCCCCCATGGCCCCATCCACACGCTCAACCCAATTACGCGATGTTCTTCGGACATCCCGTCGAGCATTGCCTAGACGGACAGGAGGGGTGAAGTCAGACATTCAATAGTATCATTTTATCGGTTGTATCAGCCGAAGCGTCCGGCAAACCGAGTGCATATTTCCTGAACGAGAGATGTAATCAATGACTGATTTCTTGGAATCTCAGGCGTGCAATACCATTGTAGTTATCATGTTTGTAGACTGTCTCTGTATACCACGTTCACAGAGCCAAAAGGATTGAGCGACATAGCATGCAGTTCCTGTGGGATGACAGTGGAGCTATCGGCAGCTTAAACTCGCCGAAGCTTAATCCACGGTTCATGACAGCACGAGTCAATACACAAGACTAATTTATTCAACTCCTTTTTTTGGGGTGATGTACCAGCACGCCGGTAAACCCATGCCGGAGTGGGTAGAGCGGATTGTATGGGCATGGTTCGCTAACCCTCCCCTCGACGGGGCCGTCAACCCTGGGGGCCAAAGCACGGAATCCCTCTCGGATGCTGATATTCAGACAAGAGCCGATAGCCACTTGCAAATAGCTCGCAAAGCCTTGACAACTGTATCTTTAGACTCGGCTCGCGGTTGGCTTCGCAAATCGGCCCTGGATTTACAGTCCAGCGGGGCCCTCTGATCAGCTTGCTTGGCGAAAGAACCACACCTTCTCATAAATAAATGCTCGCTCCATCTACACGGGTCCCTGCGTGGTTGGATCTTCTATGTCATAGCTTGAGGCCCTCCCCTCGCCTCGGTTGCTTCGACTCTACTTCTCTCCGCGTTCGTGATGGATTCTAGTCCGCACGAACAAGCGCCCGCCATGGCCTCGCCACGCCCTACGCCGGAACAGCTCGTTCAAAAATTCGGCAGACTTAATGTGCTCGATGATTTAATCCGTTCGCGGGCGGCCGACGTGGTCCAGGAACCGATCCTGGCTTATCCGAAGTCGCCGCATCATGCGGGATCCTATGAATATTATACAGGGCAGGATCTGGACGGGTTGATTGACAAAGCCGTGCACACACTGGTTTCTGGCGACAGCTTTTGGAAGGTATGCTGGATGGTGGTGCGAGTATCGTTTGCTATACCGAGCACGTCTGCTAACGCACGCAACAGCCCCAAACCCGAAAGTCCACTATTGCGTTGTTGACGTTATCGGATATCAACATGGTAGTAACGTTCTTTGCCCTCAGCCGCCTCGGCTTCACAGTTATGATGCTCTCACCGCGACTTTCAGGCGACGCCTGCGCGACATTACTCGAGACAGTGGGATGCGACACAGTGATTTACGGCGACACGCCCGGCATCCGGGCCACATTAGGCGACATCCTCCGCCACAAGCTGGTCAGCTGCGTGCCAATGATCTCCAAGACATCGCTCGACAACATGAAAGAGACCGAGATCCTGGTTGTGCGCCGAAACCAAAGCGCGCACGACCGCCAGAACCAGATTGCCCTGATCCTGCACTCGTCGGGGTCTACCGGGAATCCTAAACCGCTGTTCCTCAGCCACAAAGCAATAATGACCCATCCGCTTCGCGGGCCGGGCTTTACCTCGTTTAATCCGCTGCCGTGGTATCATCTCCACGGTCTCTCTACGGCATTCCAGGCGATGTGGATGCGCCGGACGGCGTTTATGTGGAATGCTGCTCTGCCACTCACGGCTGACTCTGTTGTTGCTGCGCTGGAAGATGCGCTGCCCGAGTCGGTAGTTACCGTGCCTTATATGCTCCAGCTGCTGGCTAACAGCCCGCGTGGGCTGGCGCTGCTGCGCCAATGCAAGCTTGTAGCATATGGAGGAGCGCCGTGTCCGGATGAGTTGGGCGATCTGCTTGTTGAACAAGGCATCCACTTTGGTAGCATGCTCGGGCTGTCAGTATTCGCATTTTCCTTGTTGGTTGAAACTTTGCTAACAACTCTCACAGAACTGAAGCCGGGCTGGTCGCAGAGTCGACCTCGCGTCCACGCGAAGATAAATTCTGGAACTATGTGCAATTCTTCGAGAACATCCGGCCCTACGTGTGGATGAAGCCCATCAGCGACTCACTGTACGAATGTGTTTATCTGGCTGGCCACCCGGCATTAACCGCCTCCAACTCCGATGACCCGCCGGGCTCGTTCCATTCGAAGGATGTTTTCGCTCCGCACCCAATCCTGCCGCATCGCTGGAAATATGTCACTCGATTAGACGACCGGATCAACTTGGTAAACGGCGAGAAGGTCCTGCCTCTTCCTATCGAGGGGCATATCAAGCAGCACCCGTTAATCCATGAAGCCGTTGTTGTGGGCGTTGGCAAAGCGGCGCCGGGACTTTTGGTCTTCCGCAACGAAAAGGCCGCGCATATTCCGGACGGCGAGTATCTCGAGGCGATCTGGCCGATTATCAGTGAAGCCAATGCGACGGCTGAGCAGTTCTCGCAAATCTCAAGGGATATGGTTTCCCTCTTGCCTATCACCTCGGTTTGTCCGCGAACAGACAAGGGGTCGATGATTCGCGCTCAGGTGAACTTGAAGTATGCAGATGTCATTGATAACATCTACGCCAAGGTCGAGAAAGTCGCAGAGGGCAGCCTTGCGCTTGGAATTAATGAGACGGTGTCTGTTCTTTTGGACCTTTGCCGCAGTGAGCTAGGAATTCCCATTTCTAGTGCCGAGTCCAGCTTCTTCGCGGAGGGTGTCGACAGTCTCAAAGCAATTCACTTGCGACGACTGGTCCTCCGGACATTCAAGCTTGATGGCAGCACCGAAGTCAGCCAGAACATCGTGTTTGACATGGGCAACATTGCCGAGCTGGCGAAGTATATCTGCGCAGTGCAGAATGGAGAGACCATCGCAGTCAAGAGCGACGAGTCGGTGATGACGGACCTGATTGAGAAATACTCGGTCTTCCACCAGCATGTTCCGCAGGCAGAGCCATTGCCAAAGGCAAAGAGCGTCGTATGTCTCAGCCTAGTATTTTCTTCCCCTTCTTGTTTTTGCTATTGCTAACATATCCAGATTCTGACCGGCGCAACGGGTTCAATCGGTGTCCACACGCTTTTCGAATTACTCAACGACGAAACCATCTCAACGGTGTTCTGTCTGACCCGCCGCGCTTCACCGTTGGAAGGGGTGCTGCAGAGTCTCATCGACAGACGTCTTTCAATCACCCCCGCGCAAGCCGACAAGATCGTCGCATTAAACAGTCCGCTCGACCAGCCAGACCTCGGACTTCCAGAAGAGATCATCCACCAGATGCAAGACAGCGTCACTCAAATCATCCACACGGCCTGGCCGGTAAACTTCAACCTACCACTCTCCCAATACGAGCCGCACATCCGAGGCTTGTACAACCTAATCCAGCTCTCTCTCTCCGTCCGCCAGCCCGATCCCGCCGTCGTCATGTTCTGCTCGTCGATCTCCACCGCATTGAACCACTCATCCAACACCGTGTTGGAAGAGCCGCTTGACAGCTTCAGCAGCGCGCTTGATATGGGCTATGGCCAGTCCAAGCTTATCGGGGAGCGGATTGTCAGCAATGCGCGCCGCGCCGGTGCGCGATCGTATTCGCTGCGTATTGGACAGGTCTCTGGGCATTCCAAGAAGGGGCTGTGGAATGACTCGGAGGCCATGCCGCTTATGATCCGGTCGGCGTTGACGCTCAAGGCTCTACCACAGTTGGATACTACTTGCTCGTGGTTGCCGGTTGATAAGTTGGCTGCGACGATTCTTGAGTTGGCTAAGGCTTGTTCTGTGCCGAGTGATGAGTTCAGGTGTGATGTCTCCGCTCGGACAAATGGTCACTCTGTTGCACCGGTCAATGGTGTCCAGAATGAGGTGAACGGGTCTACTCACGAGGTTCATGGGGCTGCCAATGGCATCCACGATGTCCCTAACGGTGTCAATGGGGCCACACATGAGACCAATGGAATTGCCCACGAGGTAAATGGGCCCTCGAACGGTGTCAACGGGCACAGCAATGGAATCAATGGATTCTCCAGCTCCATCAACTGGATCGCCAACGGTTTCAAGGAGACTGCCAATGGTATCAACGGGTCCACCCATGAGACCAATGGAGCCAACGACGTGGATGGGACTTCCTACGGTCTTAATGGAACCACCAATGGTATCAACGGAGTCAACGGACACTCAGATGAAGCAGCACCCAACAGCACGACTAGTCCTACTACAGACGACACAATATACAACGTCTGCAACTCGCGCGAATTCACCTGGTCCGCCCTCTTGTCCAGTCTCCAAAGTAACGGCTTTCAATTTGAAACCGTGCCCTTTGAAGAGTGGCTCCAGAAATTGCGCGAAAGTGAAGCCCGCGGCGAGGAGCACAAGAACCCGGCTATCAAGCTGATCGACCACTACGAGTCCGTGCACGGCCAGAAGAATACATCTCAAGCTCATGAATCTGCAAAACACGCGCAGAAGACTTTCGTCACTGAAAAGGCTGAGCGGGATAGTGTGACGCTGCGGAATGACCGGCTGCGCATTATTGAGGATGGCATTCTGAATTGCTATGCGCGAGATTGGTTGACGCGGTGGGTTGTTGATTGAGTGGGTGGTTTATTTTGAGATTACCTTTTTCCATGTTGTTTCTAATATCCTTGGGGGGTTGTTGTCACTATCGAATTTTTGGAAACGCGTGGTGTTTTGGGTGGGATTCTTGTTGTTTTTTTTTTTCTGGATTCATATAGTGAGGATATTGATGATACTTCGGGTATGTTGTGTACGATTGAATATATTTCTGTTATGTTCATATTAGCTTTTCTTTTTCCAGCGAGAGAGTTCGTTAGTAGTGTTCAACTCCAGGGCTGTAGACGAATGAGGCTGCTTCGGAGGTTGAGAGCGCTTTCGAGGTAGACTCAATCTTATGGCCGCGTCACGCATCTAACACTCCCCTATTATTCCATATTGTATCATTAACTTTTGGTGTTCCTTTCCCACGCTGCTTTCTATATTATTCTATATGATCATATTTACCCGTCTGAACTCATTCAAGAAGACAGGCAGATCGAAGCGTTCCTGCTGCGCGCATAGTCCTTTTGCCATCAAATGCTTCTTAGACTCTGACAAATATACTCCAAATTTCAACCCTAAATGATCTGCAATGCCCGCGTAAGTGCGGCCAGCTGCGGTGTCTTTGTCGCCAGGAGCCGTAAGCCAGTTATAGAGATCGTCACGAAAGTCTGGATTTTGCATGAAAGGTGGTTGGTCGGCCTCTAGCCATGTCAGAGTAAATTCAAAAACTTCCTCCTTGAAGGCATCATATGGCTCTTTGTTCCTGGCCTCTGAACACATATGTCAGCAATTGTACTTCAAAGACTAGGTAGGGGAAGGGGAATAGTACCCGGGCCGTAATAATCATATTGTCCTCTAGGTCGGGTCTCAATTCTCTCAGTCAACTTTTTAGCCACATCCCAATCAATCAAGTAGGTCCACCCGTAGTGTGAGAGGAGGATATTATCGGGCTTTATGTCCCCGTGAACAATCCATTGGTGATGAGCCGCTAATAATGCCTCGCCGACACGCAACATTATCACCGCAACAACGATCACCAACCCCTTTTCAAGAGCCGTAGTTAAGTCGTAAAGGCCTCTCGGCATGACCTGGACCGATTCCCTCGTGTTCTCTGACCAAAACAGCTCTTTCAACGGCAAAACATAGGGACTGACAATTTGTCTTTGGAGAATGCCCCTGTCTATCCCTCTCCCCCCCGAGCCTACCTTGACGGCCACTGGCTCTTCAGCCAGAATTGGCAGGCCCATGCCTTTATTCTTGCTGGTCGGGTAGTACTTGAGTACTCCTTCCCAGACGGCGCCTTGGTTTCCACTCCCTAATTTATGCTGCAGTCGCACCGATCCATATTCTTTGCCACCTTCTTTCATGACATATTTCTTTTCCCCTTTCACGCCGGAGGGTTCTTTGGACCCGAATTGATAACCGCATCGGGCAATAGGGCTCGCAGGACGGGGATCATCATTTCGGTTTTCGAGCAGCGAGTTCGCAGCCAATGCGTTTCGGGGGACGAGCGTGCTTTCATGGTCGTACTGGGGAACTTGGAGCTCTGTGGAGTCGGGGTCTTCAGGGATCGGAATAGACGAGATCGGAGGGATGAGTAACGAGTAGAGCGCCCATAATAGCAGCTGTGTGTTGAAAAGGTGCATTTTGAAAGGCAAAGAAGGCGGGAAAGCTTCGGAAGAGGAGAGATCACCAGGTACACAACGGCATTATAACATGGGAGTTATATATTCCCAGGGGGGATTTGCGAAAACAGAGGAATCTTAGGGCAAATCAGTTGCGGTTCCCAATCTCAGCCCTTTAGTTCTCCTGTGTGGGCTACTTCAGATGCTCGACATTAGAGGATCGTACATACAAGGTGGATCCGGGGTCCAAAAAGGATGCCCCAGGGGGAGGGTCCAAAAAGCCGTGGAATATTCTCAGCTCATCGGTCCAAGGAATTTAACGCGGAAAATAAAAGTACCTCGCGGGTGGTAGGGCTGTTATTGCTTCAGCTACCAAGTAAGACCCACGTCATAAAGTATACGACTGGCTTGTGCCCCTGGAAAAGGGCGGATCGAGCACGCTTTGCTGGTAAACAGGCATCAGAAATCTTCTTCCAGGTCCAGGATCCCTTTGGTCGCACACCTAAATCCCCCAATCTCACACCCAGATCCTTTAATTCCTTTACCTTATTACTATATAAGGATAGTAGTCAGAAGATCAATCGTCGCTTTTTCTCATGCATATTATTAAGTTAAGATAAATCTTTCGTTACGATAGAAGTACGTACCTACACTTGTAGTATTCCTTAAATGCTATATGGAAGAGAAGTGCGCTAGAAGCAAAGGGTACTTAGCGCTGAGTTCAGAAATGAGATCCTCTCTCTTTCTTCTTAATGTAGTAAGCAATAAGGTGTGTGAATTGGAGGATCAGGAGAAGTGATTAAAGGGAAAGGGATATGCGATTAGTCGTGGCCCAAGTTGAAAAAAATTATGCAATCGATTCTCCTGCCGTATGTTAACTATAAAGGAGAAAGGGGCCGCGCCAGCGCGGCCCCAAGCCTAGTGCTTGTCTGACGTCATCTACATTGTCTCCAGAGCTATTTTTTGCTCGAGCGGATCGCAATGCGAAACTCACTATCATCTCTAGTCGCAGGAGAATGATCGCCTGGTTGCATCGTTGGATAGATGGCGGGGAAGATCTTATATCTCGACCAAAAAAAAAAAAAAAAAAAAAATATCTGTAGGTGAGACAAGTGGCAGGAAACGGAAGCAAAGATGGCTTGGTTATACTTCAATTACCCATGATATCGGATATAATTCATTGAAAGGATCTTGTAGAGGCATAGGGGGATTTACGCCCCTTTACGATTTACGAATGGCAAAGTTGACTACACTTAGACTGCATTTTCGAGTTATTTCTCCGAGGATAGTGTCACTTATAGCTGATCTTCTTTGTGGGACACTGAGTTCACCACGGGGTGCTGTACCTAAGTAACTAGCTGACGCTAACGGTCATTGGTTTTCAAACAGTATATAAATAGATCTCGCATCTGCAGCCCGCATATCCGCGCAAAGTACCTTCGCAGGGAAGGATCAAGTTAGAGCCATGTAAAATATCCATGGATAAAAGAAAATTAAAATTAAAAAGTATTTATTGAGATGCGACACGACTTTGCACCCTCGAAATCACCAAGGTCCGTCATGTTTCGAGTTCAAAAAGCAAACTCAAAAAAAACCCCCCTTTTTATATATATACAACTGTAGATCCCTCACACTGATAATAAATAGTCATCTCAACCAAGCAATACAACAGAACTACCCTTCTGCCCCTGCAACCCCCCAACAACAAAGCCCTCGCCCCATCAACAACCTTCATGCGATGTTGATACAGAAACTGCGAGAAAATACGAAGAATGACCGTGCGGTCTCCGGGAGATGACGCAAGACGTCCGACCATATAGAGGGGCCATGTTAATGTTGCCATGGAGGTGGACAAGACAAAAACTCGGAGGGGCTGGTGAATGCGGATTGATAGATCTCGTTCTGTGATATTGATAGTGAGGAAGAGGAGGTATCTCCGGTGTTTGAGGGGGTAGTGTGCCGTACTTTCCGTAATGCTAGTAACCCACAGAATTTATATGCCTGGCAATCTGCACCATGGCCTCGAAATAGGGCTCGGGGAATTCTCGCAAGGGGGTGAGCCATGAGTGTAAATCCTGTGCTAGGTTCTGTGCTTCTTGATTCACATCTTCTTCTAACCGGGTACGGCTGAGCAGGTCTGCTAGGCGGTGCATGAGTGGCCAGAGTGTGCCTGCACACCCGAAGACCGGGTCAATTTCTTCACTGGACTCTGATTCATGGGATATGCTGGTAAGTAGCGGCTGTTTGCCCATAGATAGAGCAATCGTGACATTAAAGTGTTGAAAGGCCTTAAGAAAGAACGAGAAGCAGGGCATCAAGGTACTGCTGCACGAGTGCGAGTATTCTAATAGCTCCCTTGCTCCTTGGAGATGGCACCAGGCATTGCTTGCCGAGTTACCTAGAACAATCTTTGGAGTTGAAGGGTTTAGTGCTCAGCATATATCTTTTTCACGGTGTAAATACACCTCATAGTATATCAAGAGCAAGCTCCCAGCCAAGCCATTCAACCGCGCCATCTCATCCTGATCCGAACGAGACAATTCATCCACGAGGAGATTCAAAGACCGAGAGAGCAACTCAGCAGCCCGCTCGCAACTCTCCACTCCAAAGAGATAGAGATGCGCCGCGGCCACTGCCTCGACAGCACATCGAACCTGGGTAGAACACGCCGCCAGCGGCAGAATATGCAACAGAAACAAATTCGAGACCGAGCTTAAAGGCCGCAGCAACGAGAACGAGATTAAGCTCGCCAGGGTGGTTTGGAAATGGTGCTGAAAGCGTGTTGGCATCTGTGTCTGAATCTGCGTCTGAATCTGCGTCTGAATCTGCGTGCTGCCGGGATATGCGGGGAGCAGCAAGTAAGCCTCGTCGGGAAGAAACGAAGAAGAAGAGGCTGCAGGACTGCCGGCGTGCAGGTATTCTCGGGCGCGTGGCCGAGTCGGGTTGGATGTGATTGAAGTTCAGGCCGGGTATATGCAGTCGGTGCCTCGGTCTCTGCAGATCATGCAGCTGGGTCGTGCTTCGTCACATTTTTTGTGTCGGCGGCGACTTGATACCCCGCTTGTTAGGACATTTTTATTTTCATTGCGACTGGATTGTGGAAACGTCTTACCAGTTTGTGTAGCCTCTTCTGGATCCTTTTCCCTTGGGATGCTCGGGCATCGTGGAAGCACAGAATGATAGATCGATAGCCTTAAGAGGATCGATCGTATGACATCTCCACAGGGAAAGATGGAGAAGATGATCGGCATATCATGTGATGGACTGTTGTATACTCCAAGCCAAATGGTATTATTTCGCGTACAAAAATTATATAGCACCTATATGCAAGACTAGACCGTAGCGGCATAAACAACAGAGCAACCACACAACTTAGAATGACCACCAGACAGAGACCCAGTTCAAGCCTGGCCCTGTTCCCTTTCACTCCGTCTTCACACGTTCATCGCTCTCGTCATGCTGAGAATCCTACTGGTGGCCGCGGGACGAAGGGGGCGCCTCAGCCACGACGCTGTGCGCCTCCAGCTCAGTCGGCCCACGAGGCCCGCGCGCTTGTTGCGAGCCCTCCCAGCTCCAGTGCCCGGCATTCGGCTGCGGCGAGGTCCCCGTGTAATCGGAGGGCGGGCCCTGGGGCGGCGGCGAGAAGGTGCGCTGCGTGGGATCCGGACTGACCATCGACGTGACCTCGTGCTTGGCGGCGTTGCTGTCGAGTTCGCTCTTGCGCTGGTGCGGGTCGCCGGGGCTGCCAAAGAGGGCCCAGCGGGCGGTGCGTTCCGTGCGGCCGTCCTGCGAGGACATCCATTGCCGGTATACGCGATTGCGGCCGAGCACGAAGAATAGCGCGATCAAGATTGCCACGAATGCAACACATGCGATGGCGATACCTGCAATCGCGCCGCCGCTGAGTCCGCCGCCGCCGCCGGAGGATTTGCTGTCGCCTGCGTTCCCTGATGCGCTGGGACTGGGGCTGGAATCAGATCCGGAGTCTGTGGAGCCGCTTCCTTCAGCGGGCATGGACTGGCCGGGCACCAGCATGTACGGGTACTTGAGGGCCTTTTCCTTCTGGGTTTCGAATGTTTGGGAGGAGTTCTGCGGGTGTTAGAAGAGTTTGAATGTCTCAAAGAATGATTCACTTACCGGGTTGATGACGCCCACCATGCCGTTCACGAGGCACGAGTCAATCGCGGTACAATAGAAGAAGGTCGGCTGATCATCCAGTTAGCGTCTATTCCATGCTTGCGAAATCACTTTATGGGGTACTCACCTTGGTGTCATTGACAACCAGAGACCAAGTCGGGGGCTACAGACATCGTTAGCAAAGTCGCAACGTTAGCTCTTGGTTCTTGACTTACCGGCCCCACAAGTTGACCATTATTCTCATTGAACTTGTTAAACTCGCCCGAATAGAAAACACCTTCACTCGCCGGCACACACGGCGACTCGTAATCGGCCTTGACGACCGAGTGATTGGTCGGGTAGAACTCGAACACAATCACATCGCCCACGTCGGCCGTCAGTTTATGCGGCACGTACTGGTGCGGGTTGGACTTGGGGCCGACTTGAACGGTGTGGGTGGCGGCGCCAGACGTCGACGAGGCAGTCGCCGAAGAGCTCGAGGGCACCGACGTGGTGGTGGGCTTGGACTCCTTGTCGGTGGTCTTTGCATCCTTATCATCCTTATTACTGTCCTTGGTTTCTGCCATCGCCAAGGTCGTCAGGGCGAGCGACAGCAGCAGCGGCCGAGCCACGCGCGAGAACAGCATTTTGCCCTTAGGGAGGTTCTCGGATCCGACCGATTATCGTGTTTGTCGCAACGTTGACCGCAGAGCAGAGTGCGGGCTGAGAGGAAGACGAAGAGGAGAAGACGGAAAACAGCGACAAAGAGAAACGCCCCGAGGCCCTTAGCGTTGCACTAGCATACTAGCAATCGCATGGTTTTCTTGTTGGTGTAATTAAATTATTCTTTTTATTTCCTTTTTTCTTTGTGCTATCTTCCGGCTAAAACCTCGACAGGCTCGCGCCTCTCTCCCCGAACAGGTTAATCGTATACAACCTGCTCCACCCGGGGCTCGCGCATTGCCCGCCCCCAAGCCCTGGAGGGACCATTCGGTGCCCTGTGAGGCGCATTTCATTGGACGTGGAATGATCGATATCCACTCAACCACAGAGAAAACACAATCTCGTTAGCTTTGTTAAGAGGTCTTTAATGGGTTTCTTAGGGAGTGGGGGAAGCGAACCAGAAAACCACCAAAACCACTGCAATACAGGAACGGCCCCCTCATGGTCGCCTGTGATCCTTCACAGCAACCGGTCAGCAACGCCATGTGTCGGGCCCCCCGTGGATGGGGGGCCTGTTAGTGAATGAAAGAAGCAGGGATTCTTGTGCATTGCCAAGCGAATTTAAAAAAAAAGAACATCTCATAGGCGAGGGAGAGTTGCACTCGGACAAGGCCAGGGGTGAAGAGAAAAAGAAGCCCCCACTCGCAGCTACCAGCCAAGACTCGCGCTATACAAGTGTACTCGGTGCTCGCCTCGGATGTGGGTGCAGACACTCACTGCTGGTTGATTTTATTTTTATTTTTCTATTTTTTATTTCTTTTATTTCTTTTATTTCTTGCTTTCTATCGAAATTAAACTCGATCCTGCCGGAGAATATGTACACAACTGACTGTCTGAGAGAGGGCTCGGGTTTTCCAGTTAGGCAACCCTCGCCCGAGGATACACCGGATAAACCGCGAGATTGAACAAAGCCTCAAAACCTCCGGCAAACAAAAAAAAACCCCCAGTCTCATCAATCGGTCCAAAACCTGCCCTACAACCTATCGCCCGGGGTCCACAGTTTCATCCACCGGTCATCGGCACTACTTCCCTCATAAAACCGGAGATCCGTACTGACTTGGATGCGCCGAGAGTCCTCATTCTTCGAGCTGGCATGCACGATATAAGGATCGTGGAAGACCACATCGCCAGCCTTGTAGGATGCTACTAGCCACGGCTGCGGCGTGCCGTCAGCGGTATGGTAAGATTAACCGAACGCGTCCGCGTCGTGCGCTAGTTACCTGTGTTTGTTCATGTGCGCGTTGAAGGCACTGACTCGCTCCTCAGCCGACAGAGTCTGTGCCCTTTGCGTGAAATCCTCCTCGATTGCTTGGCCCACTGAGCCCGAATCCGAGAGATACATGAGGCCGCCTCCATTCGCGCTAATGTCGCCCAACCAAAAAAAGACCAGAAAAGAAAAGAAAGAAATGGCAGCAAATCATGTTTCGTTTAGGATGACACCAAGGGCTACAGGAGTCCTCGGCTTACCGATAGGCACCCACGCTGTCAGAAACTCCGACGCCCCCTTTCGAAGAAAAAGCTTGTCATAGTGAACCCCCGTGCTAAGTGCCTGCGGCGCATTATGTCTGATCATCGTTCATTTGAGCAGCATCTCCCGTGGCCACTCCATGACCCCTCGGACAAAGGCTCGCAAGTCCGGATGCTCCAAGAGTTGCAGGTATTCCGGCTGCGTATGGGCGTCGATCATGGTTTGCACTAGCCATCTTCTCTAAGTCTTCTTTTCATTTCGGGGAATGGGGTGTTCTTGGGGGTTGGGCGTAGCCATTGTGCAGGCACGGTAGGGCCTTGATTAGAACGGACGTCGATTGCCATTTTAATAGAGGTAAATTGAAAATATAGTTCAAAAAAAGTTGTTTTTCCATCGACCCCTTATATAACCTTACCATCTCAACATGCTCTTCTATCTCTTTTTTTTCGTTTTGCTCTAATGCCCACGGTTGGACGTCGTTATGACTCGATTCGACTGCCGATGAGCCTGTTCGTGCGGAGAATGGCTCCCCACATACCCCGTTGACTCCAAACCTAGAGTACTCGACTGATCTCATTGGTGCCCGTTACGACAATTAGTTAGTCCCTATTCCTATGGTTCATTATACACCAGAATTTATTTCATATGTTCGGCACATCACCCTATTGAATTACCCATCCTTTTATTATGCACTCGTACTTTGGTAATATCTGCACACTATATAGTGTTTATGGCAAAAAGGAAGGTTACTTTTGGACTCATATCATGGTATCCCTATCAGATATCATCGTCTCGCTATACTAATACTTCTATTATGTTGTCATCATAAATATATACAACCATCGCTGAAACGAAACCGAGCAAACAACAGCCTCTCATCGAGCCATAGCAATATCCTCCTGACCTTCCTCATCCCCCAATTTTCCGCGTCTCTCGCTCCTCCTCCCCATTCCCATTTTCAACCAACGGAGAAACCCTAGCAAAAATAACAAAAGTACAAACACCAACAATAGCCACCTCTGGCAACATCGTCATAACCAAATAAGCAGTCGAGTCCCCCTTAATAGCATTAAACGTCATATCCGCCGTACTAATGAAAACCAGGGAGTAAGCAATCCGCACAGCCAGCAGCGGAACACAAGCCGCCACAGCCGTAATAGCGGCCCGCTCTTCTGCTGCGTAGTCTGCACGCCGCCGCCAGAAGACCACAAATACCCCAACACTGTATAAATATATCACCACGAGTAGGGCCATGCTGGCGCGGCTTTCCGGGGTCGGGTCGAGTGGGTGCGCGACGTGCATCACGGCGACCCAGCCGGCGATGGAGACGGCGATGTCGATCCAGGTGAGGAGGGAGGGGATGAGAAAGATTCGGCGAGAGACGAGGGGGATCATTTTGTTTCTATCGCATCCATAAAACATTAGTTAAAATGTATCTTTGTAAATGGGAAAAGCATTCTCTTTGTGGTGGTCTGCACTCACGCTCGTTCCAGTAGTTCCAATAGCAGGAATATAATCAATATCATGCCCAGTGACTCGCACACGAATATCCCCGCCCACAGTCCGTGGGAATCATTGTGGATGGTGGCGAGCTTGCAGCTTGCGCCGGTTAATCGCAGGAGCGTGAAGACGCCGATGCAGAACCAGCCGATGCGGTGGGTGAATTTGAAGTATATGGCGAAGAGGAGCGGTATTGAGAAAAGTACCACTTGGGCGACTGCGATGCCGTCCCGGTAGGTGAATAGCCCGTCGGCTGCCATATTACCCAGGAAGATCAAATTATCCAGATAGATCAAATTCGGCAATAATTAAACCTGGAGGGTTTTGTTTATAGTTGCAATCGAAGCTGAGGATCGACACTATAAATGCAATCTGAAGTCAACTTGCAGAAAGGCCGTAATCGAGGAGATTTTAAAAGTTGTAAAGAAAATTGAGATACAAAAACTTCCACAATATGAACTCCATGCTCTATTTAGCTCCCACATAGTTCTACTTTTGCACCGCCATGTGTTGATGGCCACAGGGCAGGCACTAGTCCTGCTGTGGCATAGCTCGCGAGATCATGTGATCTGCGGCGCAACGTCCGACCGAATCACGTGCAGACCACTGGACTAAATCGGGCAGGTAGGATCCTCGCCCCCAACACCAACACCAACAGGAGGCTGGGCACTTCCTTCAGCTTTGACCCGGTCAAAAAAGTCTTCTATGGACACCCCCATGGGTGGAGAAAGGGACTCTGGTTTCAGATATCTTTTACGGTCTGAAAAAAAAAAAAAAAAAGAAAAAGAGGCAGCATTCGATGTCCTAAAAGATCAACGCGACAGACCAGGATGGACACCAACAGCAAATCTAGCATCCGGACTGCCACCGCAACGCTGGTCGTCGCAGGCTTAACCACATAGCAGACGAAGGACCACTACTCCTGGTTGTTCCGGGCATTCTCATGGGTATGCATCTCTTGGTATTTCCTTCATACCGGCTCTATGTATGTATTCCACCATATACATAGAACAGGATAGACTAAAGGGGAAATTCTGCCAAACATCAAATTTGGCATTGTAAAGCGGATGGCCCAGCCAGAAAGGCCCAATGCCAGTAAGATATACTGCCCTACACAGTGCGGATCAGTGTCTCCAAATACCTTTCCACACGCTTGGTATCGCTCATGGCAGCAATCACTCCGATATACCCATCAGGTCGGACAACAACCAATGCCCCCTCGGCCGGGTTCACCCCATAAATACCGTAGACATCATCGATCTCATATCCACTATAGAATGACATCTCCGAGTATTCTTTCATCTCGCGTGGGAGATCCGCCCATGTGAATTCTCGCGATAGACGCGGGTGGATAACAACCTGCTCGATAATCGATGACGGGAAGTGGGGGATGATGCTCCCGAGGGCCGTTAATGCATGCACAGAATTACCCTGTGGGTCTAGCAGATCGAAGGATGCCAGACAGAGGATGCGGAATCGGCCGGTAGAGGGGAAGTCTAGGGAATACTGTGGTTAGATGTACTGTCAACACTTAGGGTTATGGTGGGGGTGTCTTACCATCCTGCAGGTCGCGCGGATATCCATCTGCATGCCGCATAAGCCGCACATTCAGCAGTCTTCGACCTGGACGGAGAATGCCCGACAAGTAATCGGTGCCCTTCACGGGGTTCCTATCCGCATCTAGATCCCGGTTGACTGTCATATTCGCGGGATATTCGATCCCACATCCAGTGGTGAAGCCATTGCCTCGACTGAATACCTTGAGAAATTCTTCATGAGTCAATGCCCCAGCGTCATCGTCAGACGCGCCAATCTTGCCCGAGAACATGGATGAGAATGCGCGGTCGAACTCGATTAGCTCTTGCGCGATGGTGTGTCTTTCTGCGTGGTATGTGTCGAGGATTGGGTCTGGTTCCCCGTTGAGAGATGCGGGCGTGAGGCCGTTGATAGAGTAGATCAGCTTCCAGGCTAGGTTATAGGAGTCCATCATTGACACGTTCATTCCTTGTCCTGCCTATAACGGTGTGGAATTGTCAATCACTATCCTAGAGAGATAGATTTAATTCGTATAGAGTTCTTACCTTTGGGCTGTGCGTATGACAAGCTATAACAAAGCTGTTAGTATCAGATAAAGGGCTTGTGTTTAGAATCACATACCATCTCCAGCAATAAAGACCCGGTTATGTCCCTTGGAATCCTTGACCGAGAACCTATCTGTCACTCGCTGGCCGATCTGATAAGCCGCCCACCAGTCCACGGCCCCATCTGCTTTGGGTCGGATATAATACGGTTTGAACGCAGCCGCGGCATTGTCGAAGATGGTCTTTTCTGTGACTTTGCTCCGGCGTGTCCGCGCATCTATGCCCGAAGGACTTTCAGTGCTGTTCATCGGCTGCTGGTCATCATCCGGTGAGACATCGCCCGGTACCTGGACATATAGACGTGTAAGGTAGTCACCTGTGGCGATGCGCTCACGAGGAATCACCATGACCGAGCCAGCCGGAGAATGGATCGCACAGCGACGCCTAATATCAGGGAAATCCGTGTCAATGACCAGATCCACGACGCCCCAGATATGGTCGCTCGACTCTCCCTCCAGCTTGAGTCCCATGCTGCGCCGCACAGCCGAGTGCGCTCCGTCAGCGCCGACCAAGTACTTTGTGCGCACAGTGCGGCGGTAGCCCTCCGTTTCGATGTGGGCTACCACAGGAAACTCTGCATCACCGTCCTCGTCGAGTGTGACGTCTAGGAGTTTGGTATCTCTCTGCACTCCGCGTTTCGAGTAGCGTAGAAAATCTGTTTCTAGTATCCGTTCGATCCGGCCTTGGTGGATTGTCACTTCGTGGGGGTACCGTGCTGGTACAGTGACATCCGGCACGACAGAAGTGCGCTCAATGACTTTCGTCGAGTCGCTGGATGGATTCCAGAATGCGACCTGCATGTTGCATGAGCAAACGACTCGACTCGGGTTATATAGAGCAACAGTCAGCCCAAGATACCTGCCACATCTGACATCCCTCGCACAGTATCTCGTCCGCCAGGCCCAGCGACTTCAGCGTCTCCAGCGTGCGGGGCTGAATCCCATCTGCCTGGCCTGATTTGAGGGTCGTTGGCTTTGCATCGACACACAGCAACGAGTCGTCTCCTAGTCCGTATCGCGCTAATAGCAACTCCAGCATCAGTCCAGCTGGGCCGGCTCCCACGATGACGACTTCGTATTTCTCTGTTTGGTCATCTGGTGAGGGTATCGGGCTGAGCCGTGGCAGTGGGGGAGCGAAGGAGGGGAGTACGCGCAGCTCCCGCGACGCAGCGGCGTGTTCTGTAAAGACAGGCATGGCAATTCTCTCTGGGGTGCAGTTTGGCTGTTCGACTGCGAAGAGGCTCTCTGGGACAACTTTATGTTTCTCCCTTCACAAAATTCCGATGATCTCTGTTGTATGATGGCGGGGATGGAGGGGAACCCATCGCGAAAGCTGTTGCCGATGCGCTGCAATGAGTGGAGCAGGACAAAGGAAGATGCCGATCGGTAGAGTCGAGATGTGGATTGGTGAGATTCAAGTAATCAACAGTCATGGGGCATTTCCGACACGATCCACTTGGCCAGATGGAATGGCTGTCGATCCAGGAACCACGTTGGATTTCTGTGGACTTACCGATCAAACAATCAAAACAAGTCATCTATTGACTTGATGGTAGAAAGAAGTATAGACATGAATTTTCACGATTGAACCACAATCTAGAAAAGCGGAAACTATCCCGAGCCAACGGCTTAACGGAGACAATTGCATGGCAAAAGAGCAGTCCATAGATCCTTATAGTAAAGCAATAATAATCATGTTCCTGGAGTATCAAAATCCTCAAATCGACTGGAAAATGCTGGGCAAGAATCACGCTAATTAATGGCTGTGCCCAATGGAACCCCCCGGTGAACAGCCCCAAAACCTTTTCAACCCACAACCCGCCTCGCTCTTCTCTTCGACTTCTCTTGTGACAATTGGGTTGTCCAGGGCGTCAATCATCCTTAGGACTATTGCAATATTCTTTGACTCATACAATCATTATATACATCTGCATCCGTCTCTCTGCGTTAGACTCGCAACATGCCTGATAAGGATGCCGGCACCCCCCGCGTCTTTCTTTATCGCCACGGTATATCTCGCAAAAGCCCCACACCCCACTGGCTGATGCGATTCTAACAACTCGCAGGCCAAACGGAGTGGTCGAAGAGTGGCCGCTACACTGGAGTCAGTGAGCTTGAACTCACAGAAGATGGCGTCCAACAGGTTCTTGCATCAGGCAAGATGATTGTTGGGTCCGGAAAGCTGATCGACCCGTCCAACATCGCGCATGTCTATATCAGCCCTCGCCGGCGCGCCACGCAGACCTTTGATATTGCATTCAACGATGCGGATAAGCAATCACTGAAGGATGCAGAGAAGGTGTCTGAGACAGACCGGCTATCTGAATGGAACTACGGCCAGTATGAAGGCCTGTTGACGCGGGAGATCCGCGCCTTGAGAAAAGAGCATGGTCTTGACACAGAACGGCCTTGGGATATCTGGAGGGATGGCTGTGAAAGTGGCGAGTATGTTTCCTTTCAAATCTTTTTTGTTGTTGATTCAGGGCATTTCTCATTAACCATATATAGGTCTCCTGAAGAGGTTACAGACCGCATTGATAACCTGATCCAGGAAATTCGCTCCATCCACAGAGGCAACATGCACAGCGAGAATCCTTGTGATATCATCCTTGTGGCCCATGGCCATTTGCTGCGTGCGTTTACCAAGCGCTGGCTTGGATATCCCATGGAGTTCCCTCTCTCTCTGATGCTGGAGCCTGGTGCTGTGGGGGTCCTCAGGTAAGACCTGTCTACACCCATACGTTGATCATCTAGCTGAACATACTGACTCTATCTAGTTACCAACATCATAGCATTGATGAGCCTGCTCTGCTGGTTGGATATGGATTCCCCCTACAAGAATGATTGCTCTTTCATTGTATCTTGCGTAGATTGACCTGGGGTGAGGGCTCACTTATTGGTGTTGACTAGTGTACATGAGAACAGTTTTCGAACAACATAGACATATGAAGACGGGCAACAAGATCACGAACTTCCAAAACAGATCCCGTGATACCTAATCATTGTCGATAAGAAAATAAATTCTTCTTTTCCCCTCTTTTTCCCTCGTTTGTCTTTCCTTATCTTGTGCCTCATCTTGAATCATCCTGAAAACTAGCAACTCGCACCCAGTGATACTTCTATCGTTCCTGCCTGCTTCATCCAAGTCTCAAAACCTAACCGTCATCATGCCGATGCTGTGGACTCCCGAGGCTGATGTCAAGGTATGTTTGAAGCTCCTAAATTATACATTCTTGTGCTCACATTCTATCTCTTTGTAGCTCCTCCGTGGCATCCTCCTCCAGATCAAGGAGACTGGAGTCAAACTGGACATCAAACAGCTCTCGGAATTTATGGGCCCTGGTATGTTCAGTGAACTACACTTGTCTCTCTTTTCCTTTTCCTTTTCCTTTCTTTTCACGGCTCTATACTAACAACAGACTAGAATGCAACGTCGGAGCTGTGAAGAACCGTCTTTCCCGCCTCCGTACCAACGCTGACGGCTCCGTCACTGAGGATAGTGGCTCCTCGGCCCCTGCATACAGCCCACCTAAACGCAAATCTGGCTCCTCTCCTCTGGCTCCTAAGAAGAAGAAGACAGTTACTGGCAAGAGCAACGACACCGGCTCTGAGATCTCCGTCGAGGTTCCTAAGAAGGCCGACTTCCAGGATGACAAGGATGGTCACTAGTTTATCCTCTGCAGCCGTTGCACAGACGTCGATTCTGGTTCGATACTATGAGAGGGGTTTCTTTTTTTCTAGTGGGAACAATGGCTTGTGCTCTCGTCACCGTGTTTTTCAATCTATCCATGGATAGCACAGCGAATGTGATCATTTGAATATCTTTCGTGGAGCCTTCTTCTTCCCCGTATTCTACCCCATATCTTACCCGGGTTTGACTACGTCTAGATTTCGCAATAGGTGCCCGATAAATTCCTTCCATTTGGTGTCTCCATTCGCTATTGCCACTTATTTGTCATCGAGCACACCGGTGATATCGACGCAGTCACGTCCTAAATCTCGGCCACAATTCCTCAAGATAATCCCAGACCAAGAACACAGAAAAGGTGCAAGGTGCGAGGTCTTCAGTAGTCATTCATGACTTCTTCCTTGACAAGGGTCTCGCTAGCGTACTCTCTCTGATTGGCGACATCCTCCAACTCAGGATCAGGCTTGATCTGAACCTCGCTGGCTCCATTGTCATTCTCAGGGACATCCGCCTCGTCGTCGATGGGCGCCTTGGCGGTATTGCGGCGCTTACGGGGGTACCCGACTCAGAGTCGGTGCCGCGCTTGCTGGTCATCGAGAAGGTGACCATTGAGTCACCCGTGGCACCCTTACGATACTTGGACAGGTGCTCCTTCAGGGCCTTGGGAGTGGGCTTTTCATCGCCCGCTGAAGTATGGAAACGTGAGTATTTAAAACAGGAAATAACAATTCTAGTTAGGTTGAAGACTTACGCCAGTTGCTCGCAAGCTTGTCGAGATCAATGTTGAGCTTCTGGGTGGTAAAGAGGGTCTTCCACAGCTGTTGTGTGTTATTAGAATCGATTTGAAAGAAGCAAGGGACAGACTCCGTACAATGTTTTCGTTCTCCTGAGTCCACCGCATTTTGATGGTTAGTTTAGCTTGGATCAAAGATAGAAAATTGATGGTGGTAGATAAGTAGAGGAAAAGCAAGAGTCAGGATGGAGACGAGGATAGACAGAAGAACGGTGGTAAGGGAGATTTTTCGAGGGGGTCGAGCTCGAGCTAGAAAGCAAACACGGTTAAGGTAAAGGTGGTCCAACTATTTGTGTGGCCTCTGCCTAATATCTATCGGCTCTCCAGTTTCGCCGTCCGTTTCCCATTTCCTCTTTTGACTGAACTGGCCTTGTCCGAGTTCAGATTATTTCGATATATACACATCGTCTTACTGACTTGGGAATATATGTATATTACATATTGCTAGTATATTTTGCAAAAGACCATTAAGCCACCTCGGACAAAGCTAGAAGGTTACCTACTAATGTGTCTAAATAGCTTTATATACACTTCCGCGTTGAGATAGCAGGGGGCGAGAAGCTACTATCCTTGATGATAGAGGCGTCAAAGTTGTGACAGAGGCGGTAAAGACAGTTCTTCACAGCTCCGGCGTTGTAGTCTAGTCTATTGTTATATACTAGCTATATCTAGGAATTGCTGCCAAAAAGTTTCCATAGCTGACTATATACCAGGATTCCAAGCAGAGCCTAGCTAGGTATATTATGTGGGAAACAATTTTTTTCGAAATTCTTTAATGAATAAGCGCGGCTTCATTTTTTGAGATATATATATCTATATTCTTTCTGTTACACAGAATGTACCACCATCAAAAGAAACCCGGCAGAACCTCAAACATGATCTTGGCGTGTCAGCTGCCTCCAATGCCGTTTTATCTTCCTAGCGTCATTTTCAATACCAGCCGCATTAGCGCAGTTTCAAGCCCCGGTAATCCCCAGAAGCCAGTCTGTGGAACCTCGATCCAGGATTGGACTATGACACATTTTAAGGCCAACTACATACAAATGTGGAGGTCTGTGGGGAAGGAAAGGGGGATTCCCGGCTCTCGGGTCATGGCGATCGATTTGTTAGTCTCCACAAGTCTCCGTGGGGTTTCCAAGTTCGCTGTGACATCTCTTTAGAGGGATGCTATATTTACTTGTTATGATGTGGGGAAGAAGGTTCTTTCTTTGACATATAGTACTTGTCGTTCTAGTGGGAGAATAGCACTGAAGTATATGTTAATAGTTGAACGGCAACCAATTATTTATTCGCTGATAACTTAGATTGTCATGTGGCACACGGAAGCAAAGCTAAGTCGTCTTTATCTACTCCATAGCGTCTGCGAGTCACTTGCCTCTTTTGGTAAGTAGTTGGTTAAGCTACAGGCAAGACCAAGTTGATATATAGCACCTTCATGGATAAGAGATATCACTACATTTTACTGAAGTATTTGTAATATGTATCGAAAACTAGTAACTTCATTGATTGGCACATTTACGTACACATTTCGGTCCTCCGTAAATCGAGTGATATCAAAGCCCATTGACCGTGTGTACTGTAGTCCGATGGGTTCCAATATTCCCACAGGGTCACCAGGATAGACATAGAGAGAGACTTGGACATTTTAATAAAGTAACTTACTGAAATCAGGCTCTATCACTGAAATTTAAAGGTTGTTTTAGTCAAGATACCGTTCTAGGGTAGGCTGCCTGGCGGAAAAAGAGAAACACAGCGCTGTCAGGATTACGGGAATAATCAGCTATTCAAAATGTTTTGAACAGTGGCAGGCTTTAACATTCAGAATAATACCTAGTCAAGAGGTAAATAGCAGTCATGGCAGAAGCCCTACGCACCTGCCAAAAATGGACAGTCCCGCGATACCTTCCTAAAGATGATCGACCCTATCATCATTCTTCTACCACGTGATTCGCTCGGGTGATCGACCGATGACTCAGCATAACCATACCATACCGTAAGATCGTATGGTTCGCCCGGCCTTCTCCACTCGAGGCATCCTTCCCACCCCCCCAAGACCCGACCCTCGCTCTTGTTACCCCGGATGTTCTCCCCGATGGACCAACATGAAGCCAGCCGATAAGCACTTCCGCTGTACTATCTGTCAGCGAGGCTTCACGCGAATTGATCACTTGAAAAGACACCATTTACGCCGTATGTGCCCCGCCCGAGAGAAGCCTGGAGATGTGCTGAAGTCTGAACAGATTCGGGCCAAAAGCCCTATTCCTGCATCTTCTGCAGTGAGTCATTTGCGCGCTGGTCCGTACGCACCTTTCCGAGCAACCCGTCCCGAATCTAACCCCTGTCTTTTCTTTACTAGTGACAACCTTCGCGACCACTACACGGATTGCGCCAAACGTGGGGACCGCAAGATCCCCGAAACAGGCCAGAGGGGCCGGCGACGACATGCTTGTCAATCGGTAGGACCAACAATCAAGGGGGAAAGCCCAGTCCTCCAGTGCTGATAGCTCTTTCGATAGTGCACTTCTATGAAGCTGCGGTGTGACGGTCAAAGTCCCTGCGGTTCGTGTCAAAAGAGAGGCCTCGACTGCAACAACGAGCGAACCGCCCTTCCCAAGCATTCCGAACTCGACGAAGGCACCCCATCGAGAGACCTTGTAGCTGGCAGGGTGGATTCATCACCGTCAGGGTCGCCATCGACAAAACCCGAAATGTACGAGCAGCCGTCCGATCGCGGGTCGATCAAATTTCTCCTTAATGGCGGCACCGACAGTTTCACGGAGCAATTCCAACTTCCCCCACATGCAGACCGCGCGCGAGGTTTTGTATATCATAATCAAAACGGCCTGGAAGGGAAGGCTACGGGTATCTTCCCGTACAACGTGGAAGATAACCGCACGGGGTATCCACCCGCAATGATCGACTCCGATCCAGCCACGCTCCAGTTCTTCCAAGACACGTTCCTGGATTTTTTTAATGGCCCTTTTGGCGATCCCAACAAAGCCTTGGAAAATCCGTACACCGGTGAAATTACCTATCAGGCGGTGGTCCCACCCGGTCAAGACCCCAACTTAGCCATGCCGGCCGAACCAGCCATTTTCGAACCAGAGCAGCCCTTTGCATTGGCCTTGATCCAATCGATATTGGCACGAGCATGGACCATTCCACTTGATGCCAAAGCCCAGGAAGATCTCACCAACAATCTCAACTTTTTGCTGACAACGGCGCGCATACGAAAATACATTTCACTATATTTTCAATATTGGGATCCGAGCTGCTCGATGCTCCACTTCCCGTCTTTTGATCCAGGAGCTGTTTCCCTGCCGCTCCTGGCTTCGGTGGTCTTTATGGGCGCAATGTACACGACTGATCAAAGGGAGTCCTTTGTAGCCAAGAAGATTCTTGACTTTGCAGAGCTCTTCATCTTCTCGAGTGATATCTTTTCTGCAGAAAATGAAATCGTGACTGTGTTTTCGGGCAATGAATGCTACGAGGATGAGCCCAACGACTGGGTCAAGTTCCAAAACTTCCAGGCCGGGTTCATCATGACTGTCGTCCAATACTGGGCCGGGAGCCGCGTGTCTCGAAATCGTTCTATGGAGAATCGATTCAGTGAGGTTGTCAAGGTTGGCAATATCTTCTTCTGGAAACATCTTAATATGGTGCTAACTATCAGGTGCAGGTTGCTCGACGAATCGGACTGGTGAAGTGCCGGCATCTGCCGAACGACCCAGCCCTAGAGCATTCATGGATTCAAAAAGAGTGTCGAATTCGGTGCGTATCAACCAGACCCACAAACATATTCTTCCGCTGATTGTCAACAGCACCGTTGCCATCGTTTCGCTGCTCGATTGCGCGTTCTTCTTTTTCCAGAACTACCCCTGTCGCCTCACGCATTCTGAGATGGAATGTGACTTTCCCTGTGATGATAGTGTTTGGCGCTCCGAGCATCCATTTGCCGAGCCAAACTTCCGCTTTACCCGTGACCTGACAATCTCGGACGCTTTTCAATACCTCTTTGACGATGCATCCAAACAGGATTCTCCATACCGATCGCCCGAACGGAACACCCTGGACCTGACTGTCTTGGACATGTTCATTCTAATTCACTGTGCGTCAACCCCTTAAAGCCTATTTTTGCGCTTATGCTGACCCCGAAATAGTGTTGTTTGCATTTATCAATACCCACATGACCCTTCTAGGACCTTTCATTCGAAGCCATTCGAAGAAAACCGCTCAAGCCGTGAGTGGCGGTGTGATTGGCAAGAGCCTCATTCCAGAAGACTCGATTCTGGGCGCTATCCGGGCTGCTTTGGGCCGGTGGCGTGACCATTGGGAAGCGCTGCGCAACCAAGTCCCCAGTGACCAGTGGGCTTCAATGGGCTTTTACAAGAACGGATACAACTTCTGGCTTGTCTCGCAACTGCTCATCACCAAGAAGGATGCCGTTGACGTGGTGATGCGGATGGAAGTCCACTGCGAAGACAAGCTAGGCAAGCTGAGGGTGTTGTTGCTCGATGAGAAGGACTAGATCGCTCGGTCATACTCCGATAGACGTGTGTTAGATGGTTTTGGCTGGGGTTGTTTCAAACGGCTTTGGCTAGGGGCGGAGGTGTTTTTTTCTTATTACGGATGGTCGATTGTGTCGACTCGGACGGGATGGGAGTCTTACAGTTCTTGGCGTCACTCCCCTTGGATTTGTTTTATTGGGTATTTGGGTGCTTCATATCTGTCTTTTATATAATAATGTACATAACGGGAGAGGATTGTACTCTGATTTGGAGATGTCATACACAAATACTGGGCTTCTCAATATACCAATGTGGACCAGCTGAAAGATGACTTAGGATCACGAAAGACGATTTGAAAAGTTTCATTGCTGCCTTTTCTGTCGACAGATTACTTTTCAGAGTCTGGTAGATGGGTTAGGCCAACAAGAAAGTTGCCATCTCTCGCATCAACCCTTTTTGTCATTGCAGCTGGGGGGGGGGGGTGCTTTTCTTTCGTGGGAATTGATGTCGGGGGAATTGATGTCGGGGGCATCGGAGGGGATATGTTGGCAACAATTTCTCACTTAATGAATGAGATGAGACCAGCAGCTTAGCTAGAGGATGCACAATTGACGTCCAAAGTGCTCTCTCGTCAATCTATACATAAAATTAAGCGGTCAGCCAGAGCTCTGTCTCCGATATCAATGCAATCTTACATTTGTGCAGGTGAATTCATTATCCCCAGACAGACTTTTGACGTGGCATGGATATTAGAGCAAACCTAACACAGTGAGAATTATACCCTAGAAGAGCTTCCTGGTGTTGTCTGGCATGCTGGACCACTCACCTTAGGACTAGAGCATACAATCCTACCAACCTTGGGATCATACTTGCCCGAAGTCACGCCCTTGATGTTTTTAAAGTGGATGTCTGAAATAGTGAGGTTGCTCTGTATAGCTCATATTGCATCAGTGGTTTCTTCAGTTCGATATATGAAGATTGTAGGAAGGAAAAGAAGACAAAGAAAAAGAAAACATACAGGGTACTCATTACACAGAGTCAGGTTCCGCTGCCCATAGCACTGCGTCACTTCGATCCCGTAGTCCACATTGTCGATTGTCATTGTGTCATAAGTGATGTTCTTGACGCGACCTGGTCCACCGCCGCCTTATAGATCGGTGAACATAGCTGCTGCTCCCCCGGGCCAGACCTTGATGCGGGCGCCATCCTAAAAAGATATTAGTATTTACGAGTCCATTGTCAGTCGGGCAAAACAAGCTGTGGCCGTGGTACTTGCCGATGCATTGAACATGGAGATGTTGTAGACCAGAACATTTTCGACAATGTCGACCTCGGTCTCGTACTGGCCCAGTGAGCCGACGGAGGTTCCGTAAGATCCGTTGCAAAGTAGGTTCTGGACGAGGATCTCGGTGCTGTTGGGTTTGAAGGAGACGCAGTCTGGGAGATTGTGAGCCAAACGCAAGAAAAGAGGAACTGAAGTATAAAAGCCTACCGTCGCCATTGTTGATTACGGAGTTCTGGATAACGACATTCGACGAGCGATAGAGATCCCTATTCCACAAAGATCGGATATCAACACAAATCCTATCTGTGACATGAAAGAAAATACTGACCATCCATCAGTATTCTTAGCCTCATCCTTACTCTTACTATACCCAGTTATATCAATCCCCTCGAACAAGATATTCGACGAATTCGCCACCAAGTGGTACCACTGCGGCGAGTAGCGCAACTTCAGAGGCCCGATAACGCCGAACAAAATAGGGCGCAGGATAAGCGCGTCTTCCGCATAGAGGTCATACCAGACCTGGCCGTTGCCATCGAGCGTGCCGTCGCCGTAGACATTCACGTCCTCGCCGCCGAGATTGAAGAACGTCGTGGCGTTCTGGAATCCGTGCTTGAAGGAGTTTTCTTGCCAGTAATCTGTGTCGTCGGTGAATTTTACGGTTCCCTTGATTTCTAGACCAATGTGGTTGGTTAGTTAGTTGGAGAGGAAGGGAGGCAGGTATAGAATTCGTCTGCATACCCAAGTCCACGTGCTTCAGGAAGGTCAGGTCGAGTGCTTTGCCGATGGTGTAGGTCTTTCCGGCGTCGAACACTACTTTCCCGCCATGGTTGCATTTCTTCAGCGCGGAGAGAATGCTGGCCGAGTCGTCGCGGCCGTGGCCGTGGCTGGCGACATGACATGTCCGGGCCCTGGGCTGGGTGGCAGGAAGAGGCCGGAATGGATGATGCGGTTTGCATGCGGCATCTCTCGAGTGGCTATTTGTCTGGACCGCGAGACTGAGTGAACATAGAAGACCGAGGGCTTGTGTGAATGTAGTGATGACTTTCATGGTGACAGAGGATAACCGGAAACACTGGCTGAATTAGCAAAAGTATTTTCAGGGCCTTGGGACCAATTGTGCTTTATATACTGTCATCCAAGGAAAGATACATCCCTGCTTTCGCGCTAAGAAGCGCCTTGGCTATGATTCCGCGGGGTTCATCATGCTCTCATGCTTGGATGCGGGGACGCGATATGTGGAGAGAATGGAGCTGGCGCGTCCCCCGATAATGGCGTTTTGTGAGCACCGAGGTCGAGAGTGAGTGACACTGTATAGCAAAGACGAGGTGATCAGGGTAGTCCGATAGGAGGAAGATTTACTCTCAAATCCCCGATTGGGGGGAAACCCCGGTTGATCGGCGCGGAGCCAATTTGATCTGCAAGATTTGACGACATTTACAAAGAGGTTGAAGAGGTAAAGAGGTTGAAGAGGATTGAAGAGCTGGAGGAAATGGGGAACATGGTCAAAAAGAGGCAAGTAATTTACCCTACAGTTAGAACTTGATCCTACTGCATAGTTCAACCGCGATGCATAACAAAACAAGCCTCCACTAAATCTATATGTTATTCTCAAAGACCCCAGCTCTATAGAAAGTGAAGTCGAATGTAGGAATTTTGTCCAACAAACTTGCGCTGCTACTTCCATGTCTTTGAAGAGTGAAGGCAGGCAGTATATAGAGCTAGTCCTCGGCCATCTCAAACTCTGGGTGTGAAAGAAACACTGCACAGCTCTACATAGAATGCAATAAAAAGATTAGAAAAAGGAAAACAGGATTGCGTTATATGTACAGCGGGTGTTCCCATAGATAGCGCAAACGTCAGCACCACGAGCCTCCCTCCAGTATACCAACTCGACCTCTATAGTAATTGATCCGATCCATGCAAGGGCCCTCGTGGTGCGCCACATCTCCAATATTCCCCGCCGAATCCTTCCACGCATTTCATCTCTAAGTCGACTTCTCCGCAGCCTTCTTCACAGCAGTCTCTGCCTGCGAAGCCACTCCCTTGGCGGTCTCGGCGGTCTCGTGTTCGAGTTCCTTGGCAGCCTCGACGGACGAGCCTTGCTGGCTGCGCTGCCACATGTAGATCCGGCTCACCTGGACAACACCCACACATCCGAGGAAGAAGTTGACGGCGGCGAGCCTATTTGAACATGTTGAGTTAGCAAAGGAATGCAACCCCAGCAAAGGACGAGGCTAAAGCATACAGAACGTTGCGGGGCTTGATGATCAAGCACCACCGAGTCCAGATGGCGCCGGTCGCCATGAGAGCGCCGTTCTGGGTCAGAGAGAGCTTCTCGGGAGGGCGGTAGAAGTCGGAGACACCGGCCAGGACGAGAGCCCACTGCGGAAAGTGTCAGTATGGATATCCAAGCAATTCCCCCGAATCCCTTAGCGCATAGTATATCTGTGACGCTTCTCGGGATTCATAGTGGGGTGAATACTGCGTCGGAAAGGTCTTGAGGATTTGCGACGAATTGACTCATGATCGTACCTTCATCATGGGAGCCCTGTTGATAAAGCTGGTATTAGCACTCTGCAGGTCGCCAAGGGTGATATCCCCCCTCTCTTGGAAGAAATAGCACTGAAGACTCACCAGAAATGCACGGTCTTCACGCCAACCGGGCCGTTCCAAAGGCGCTGGAAGGTGCTCTGCTGCTCGGCGGCGCCGGCGTCGGAGCTCTGGAAGCGGCGGCCCTGGGCGCCCGACCGGCGGAAAGGTCCCGAAGCATTGCGGAAAGCAAAGCGGGAGTTGTTGAGGAAGCGGAAGCCCAGGCGAGACGACATGGTGATGGGGTTGTGTGATGCGACCACGAAGTTGTCGAGGGAAGGAGGGTCGGTGATCGGGTGGAAGGGGACTTCAGTTTTCCGACGGGCGGAGATACGGTCACCACAGAACAACCACGGCTACTGGACCTCGTACAATTAAGCAGAGAAGCTCTGGTAGGTCCAAGATATTTTTCAATCTATAAAATAATCCCAATAAGTCATTCTATTCTTATCTGCACATATAAAATCCTCGTCCTTCAGAACAGATCCTTGGCTGAGGTAAGCGGCCCTAGTCCCGATCGGGGAGCCGGGCGAATCCAATTCGAAGCGTTGCTCGACGCTCTTGTCGTTGTATATCACCCCCTTCTATCCCTTCTGCAACCATGTCGGGCAAGTACGTCTTCACCAAGGGTCTGAAAGAGCTCCGCTTCCTCTTCTGCCAGTCGTCTGAGCAGAGCGCGGCCACAAGGTTGGTGCCATTCGCCTCGAGAGAGAGAAAGAAAGAGCCCCCGGAACTTGAGACTGACCCCAATGCCAATTGCTCCAGGTCCTTCCTGAACCGCGCCTACCCAACCATGAAGAAGCACAACCCTCACACGCCCATTATGATGCGCGAGGCTAGGGGCACCGAGCCGCGAGTCTTTGCTCGATACGGTATGACCTCACCCGACGAGCTGAACTGAGATGACTACTATGCGCGGCACGCCGCAAGGGAATTGAGCTAATGTGGCGGTTTATGATGTTATAGATCTCGGCAAGGAGTCGCAGGAAGCCCTGTCCGGTAAGTTCCGCTCCCTGAAGGCACAATTCGAACGCAAATGCTGACTTGAATTCCTCCCAGGCCTGTCGGACCAGCAGATCGAAGAGCGCATCACGCATCTGGTGAAGCAGACCTCATGAGCATACCATACATGGTCCGCTTGTTATTTTTCCTGATGCCCTCCCGCGAACTCTCTGTCCTTCTACATCGTGTGTGTCTGTACTCATAGATGAATCGAATGAATCGAACCTTTCAATTGTGTTTTGACGTGCTTGGAAGCAAAGGCATTTTCTACTCTACTACAACGAACTACTGGCATTGGCAAGATCACCAAACCGATACTGCGCCCAACTCATACTCCCCTCTCCCAGAGTCCATAGCCTCTTCCCCAGATCCTCGCCCGCGGCCCCCGCGCCAATGTGGATGGGCAGCAAGTGGTCAAAGGACGGATGAGCCTGGCGCGCATCGGGCCGCTTAAACAGCGCGGCCATGGCCTGCATGCGGTCTGCCGGCGCACTCGTCACGGCCTGTTTCAGCGCCTCGTCGAAGCTGGCTGTGTACGGCAGCGGATGCGGGTTCCCGAAACTAAATTGTAGGTCGCGCAGGTTGTGCACCGCCATGCCCGAGACGATGATTAGGATGTTCTCCTCGCGCAGTCGCGATACCGCTTGGCCTAGACGGTAGTGCTGGATCGGGTCTTCGGTGTCGAATAGCGAGACTTGCACGATGGGGACATTGAGTGGGTTGGTGTCTGGCTCGAATGCTGGATTTTTGTAGGTGGTGTCAGTTTCTAATCACTATCCTCGTTTTCCTTTCTGCATTTTGCAGTCCTTGCTGGTTTCTATAACATACCGCACTTGAAACTAGCCCAGACGCCGTGATCCAGCCCGCGCTTCACTCCCTCGGCGGGAATGTGGGCTTCGTGCAGCATATCCAGCACTTTATGTGCCACTTCCTTGCTGCCCACGTTGGGATACTCTTCTTTATAGTAGTGATCAGGGAAGCCGTAGAAACTTGGGGAGAGAGCAAGATTAGTTCTTGTTTCTCTTCGGTAGGAGTATAAATGGCGGGAATATATGAGAAAGTGAAGGATTTCAACATACTCGTAGATCAGATCTGTCATCTCCGCTGTGTTCACATAGATCGTATCATGGCCACCCTGCCAATGTGCCGAGAATACCACCACAGCACGCGGCTTAACCTTGGTCGTGATCTCGCGCCCGATCTCGGTGAGCTTGCGGTATGCCGGGTGCTCGATGTCGTACATGATATTAGGCTGGATGAAGTCAATACAAACACATAGAAAAAGAGAGAAGAGGCAGGGAGAGATTGGATCTATGTATCATAACACTCACCCCGCCATGGCTCAAGAAATAAACCGGTGTCTTCATCTTCTTCAACGAGGACTGGCTCTGCTTCTCAGAAGAGATTGACCCAGTTCCTGCTCCTGCTCCTGCTGTCGCAACTGTCGCTGTTGTGACAGAGCCCGGAACCGATGCCGATGCCGGGAAAGGACCCGTAACCACGCGGGTGGCGCGGGACGATCCGAAGAGTCGCCGGATGCCGGACAGATTGACGGTGTCGCGTGAGAACAGGGCAATGAGCACGGCTGCAGTCAATGTCACGAGAGAAACAACAGCGAGCTTGCGCGTGCTGGGAGTTTGTGTGCTGCTATTCGCTGCTGGCAAAGAGTGATTTTGACGTTGGTGGCTTGTTTCCGAAGACATGTATATGTCTGGGTTGGTTGGGTTATATGTATTTCTGGCAGAGCAGATCACGAGCCAACCAGAATATTTAATGCCTAGGGGAGTCGCTTGGAATGACACAGAAGAGAAGAGCAACACAATGCAATCATGTAGAATAACGCAGTATAAATAATGATTAGCAAGACTTGACAAAGAAACGGGTTTGTTAATCGGTAGCCGAGCGCAGAAGCCGAGCCGGCGGGTGTGTCAGCGCGGAACGGGGCCGCTGTGCACGATCTATACCCATACCCTTAAGAGGAATTACTTTGCGATTACAAGCAAAACCTCAGTAATGTATGTTGGTAGACACAGATTCAAGTCATAAATTCCAAAACATTCTATAAAATGCAATGCTGAAAGCTCCAGGATATTCGCCCCCATTTTCCGTACCGGTCATATCTCCTCGTGTGGAGTCATACATATTGCACTTGAGCGAAAAACAAAAGCACAAAACAAACGTAGCATCTCATGAAAGAAACAAGAAGAAGATAAAGAAGAAAGAAGAGGATGTCGGAACAGTAAATCGTACAGGCCAGAGCCGGGAAACCCCAACTCTCGAGACCAACACATCAAGCGCCGGTGGCTATTAGGAGGGAGCAAGTAGTATAGAAGCCACTTAGACTGCCTATAAACTCGGGTCGTTGAGAAGTTTAAACAAACACTAAGGAGTACTCGTTACATAACAACACAGTCTCCGTCGCTCTGCTTGCTGACGGCAGAGCGCGAGAGACGGGTCTTCTGCATGCGGCCTCCACCCCTCTTGAGATCCTCGAGACGTTCCCGGGCCTTGGGGAATCCTTGGGCTATAAAGAGAAAAGAGGTTAATATGGGTAGTGATAGATGGGTATACGATTCGCATCCACTCACCTGCTGCACGCCAGTACCATCGTTTTGCATCTTCCAGGTTAGCGGCAATACCAATGCCGACTTCAGTGAAGTATCCCATGGCATACTCGGCCTTGGCCAGACCAGCCGTGGCAGATTTGCGGGCCCACAGGTATGCCTCGGTGTCGTTCTGCTGCAGAATGCCCTCGGACCCGGTTAGGTACCAGCCGCTAAGGGCGAGTTCACTCTGGTGTTCACCCTGGGCCGCAGCTCGCGTGTACCATATAATACTGATGCGGTTGTCGACAGGGCATCCCATTAAGCCATATTCATAAGCGGTACCGAGCCGGAACTGGGAGAATTTGTAACCCAAGTCCGCCGCCTGGTGGAAGAGCTGGCAAGCATACTGTTCATCGCGGACGACGATGTCGTTGCCGCTGGCATTTTGGTACATCAACGCCAGTTCGTGGAGGGCGTGCGGGTTCTCTTCGTCGGCGCGTTCGGCCGCCCGTTTGAGCCACGAGACACCCTCTCGGGGACTGCGGGCCTGCCCTAACAGGCCCTTCAGCGAAATCATGCCCATCTTGTACATGGCCGGAGTATCGCCCAGTGCCGCGGCGCGCTTATACCAGTGAACGGCTTTAAAGGGGTCTCGTTTAGTTCCGCCACCGTCTTCCTGGCCGATCTCGCAGCAGACAGCGACACGGTAGGCGGACTGCGCGTGGCCCTGTTTGGCGGCGGACTGATACAGCTGGAACGCCTCTTTGGGGTCAACTTCCAGTCCTAGTAGACCTTCACCGTAGCAGTCGGCCAAGTAGAACTGCGCATCCGGGTTTGCGATCGACACAAGCTTTTTCACAATCTTATATGCATCCAGTACATACTTTTCCTTGGCCTTGGCTTTAGTTCTAGGGTCGAGTCGGCTGTTGTCACCCACCAGCACCGTAGCTGCCTCGGCCAGTTTCTTGGCGAGAAGAAGCTGTGTCTTTTGGTCTGAGGGATTGCTTCGCACCTGCTGCTGTAGCCGTTGCAGTTCTTCGTGCGTGACAGGCGTGGGTCCCATTTCGCCGGGCGGCATCGGCTGGGGAGCTGCAGGAGCTTGAGCTGGATTTGCAGCATTGGCATATTGTCGTACCGGAGCGGGTCTTGATGATTGATCATGGCCGGGTCGGAAAGGAACTGGATGGTGTGGCAAGGCATCGGGGTTCTGCTGGGGGTCTGACCCCTGGTCCTGTTGGAACGCAGCGACGGGAGAAGGCTCGCCGGGGATATCAAACTGGAAGCCCGCATTCTCGAACTGATTGGGTGTGTTGCCTTTTCGCAAATCGGGATGAGACTGAGAGCGCGGCGCGGGTGTGTCCAGTCCCATCTCATCGATTGGCCCCATCCGCCCAGATGTCGGCATAGCATCGAAATTGGGCATGTCGGGTTCATCATGCGAGTCATAATAGCTATCCAGGAAGTCTTTAGGCGCATATGACACACGGTTGGGTGGATCGGGGGGAGGGGGCATCATCAACGTCGGATCGCGCTCATTTCCGCGGGGCCGCCCTGACCGCAGCCCACCAGCAGTGCTAGGGCGCGGCGGCATGTCACCAATGGCAGGGAGCGGGTAACCAGGGTCTTGATACGTCGATTGTCCCGGGTACAAAGGAGCCCTAGGTGGATCTCCGGACACCGGCATGGTTGCGCTTCGACTCGGAGGTGGCATGAAAGGGCCATTTGGGTCTGTGTACGACCTTTCAGGCCGATCCGGCCTCCCTGCACTCGCGGACCGTACGGGGCCTGCAGGATAATAACCACCTCGGCCCCGGCTCGGTGGTGGCCCGCGCGGGGGCGGATGTCGCATATCCGGTCGCCTTCCATTCGAAGTATGTGGCTGAGGAGGGCCTCGGCCATTGATATCCATGGTGGCCATGCTCTTCTCTAAGCCTCGCGGCGGAGGAGCGCGGCGGTCTTTGGGGGGGAACGAGGGGAACGGATTATCGAGGTTCTCGCCTGGGCCCGGACGGCCTCCCGCTGGAATGTTGTTACTAGCAGTTCGAAGAGGACCGAGGAAAGGGGATGAGTGGATGTGACTTACGAGGCCTTGACCGCTTCTGCGGCGGTGGTCTATCGCGAGGATGTCCGCGTCGACTATCATATCCATTCGGGGGTCGGCCGTAGCCTGGGGCCGGGGGTCCCGGCGGGCGCATCGGTCGTGGTTGGGATCGATACGAGGCCGAAGAGCCAGAGCGCTGGCTGTAAGCCGCATCTTCATAGCCTGCGTCGCCGTACTGATGATCCGCGCCATAACCACCGTCGCCATATCCTTGGCCAAAGTAACCATCTTGTGGGTAGCCCGGGGCTGCGGCTGGGGCAGAGGGCGGATTGTCGTACTGCCTGAGAGGCGGCGGCCTCTGCGCGGGACGTTGCGGATAGGCCATGGCTCAAGGCGAAAGGACCGCGCGCGAGGTCGAGTGGTTCTTCAAAAGGAGGTCTGGAGATTCCACTTTCGCTCTCAGATCGCATGCAAGGGGGGGGTGCTGCAGAAAGTTAGTCGCGACAAATCTCTCCCAAGCCAGGAGGTTGTCGCTCCGTACTGGAGGTTTTCCACACGAGCGAAATCAGCTGAGGGACATGAGACGAGGCAGAATCATCCACGGCTCTAGGGGCGGTCGGGCATGGAAAACGTGACCCTTAAATTACTGTGTCCGTTTGACCCACCCGGAGGTATCCTCTTCGCTGTTTCTCTTGGCGACATCGGGCATTCGAAGAGGGAACGCCTCGAAGTTCCCTGTGCCTGACGATCAGTGCCCTCTATCTCTCTCTCTCTCTCTCTCTCCTCTTACGCAGCCGCGATGTCATCCTATATGTCCCCATGAAACGGCCATGCAATTCCTCTTGGACAACACCCTCAAGGCCCGAGTTCTGAGACCAGACTCTAACGCCACCTAAGCCCAACCCATGGGTCGCAGCCAGCGAATCCGCAGATTCTTCATGCCGCTGATCGGGTGATTAACTGGACCCTGCTGATGGCACTCCACAGATCATGTCATCCACGTGTGTCTCGGGAGAATTCCTTTGCAAGTGGAGTGAGACACTATGGATTTCTCCCAAAGAGGGTCTTGATTCTCAGGTGGAGGTACCCCAGCCGCAGCTACGCCACACTTAACTTAAGACAAGATATCTATAGATCAGTGGATTCCATGTTTTACTCTACACAGATCCATTCTTCTATCGAGATGGGTGGACATACTGGTTGACTTGATGTCATTTTGACTCTTGTCGGAGTGCCTCGTGCCGAAGTGGTTGGCGTCGTAGTAAACACAATAAATGGCATGGTTGTACTTCCATCTTTATGAAAATTGGCATATCTTGCAGCGAATGAAGATAAGGCACCCCAAAACCTGGCATAATCAATTTATCTTCCATTATTTTTTTAATTTATATTTTTAATCATATTGATAGGATTTATTATTAAAGCAGCTATACTATGTTTATATAATTTATACTCCTTTTTCCAATAAGACACGAATTATATATATTGCAAACGGGGTTCTGCTCGAAGGCTGTCTGTCAATGCAGACGGATCGATGTGGGAGGATGCCGGCGAAACCTCAGCAGTTAAGGCAGTCAAACCAGAGAACAGAAAACATCATACATTGCGTAGTGTCCAGATGCTTAATCTACATAATGAATGGATGCAGACCAAGGTCTGCGATGTTAAGCCTGAAAAACCAGGTATCCAGGAGCGGAAAAACTATTAGTCCGGCACCGCCGAAACCCCCACTGCAAGGTATGTATCTTAGTAGGGGCTTATAAAATATGGATATAAGGTCTGCTGCGCGAGCTGAAGTATAGGAAACGAGATCGACAGACTACTACATAGTGTACTTCCAAGGTCACGTGGGTCACATGATTATTTTTTCTTGCATCGAAGAGATTAAATCGTTTTTATAGGTATAGAAGGCGTAAAAATAATTTAAAAATAAATAGGAAAAAAAATAGAAAAAGATAGACCAATAATATAATAAATATATTATTACTACATAAAGACTTTTATCACTTAAGACAGTTATAAGTTAAATATATCATATGATTAGAGGTGTGGTTGAAAATTTGTTATATCGGCGTTGTCCGCGGGGGCCGGTGATTCGAAAATGAATTAGAAAAGCCTTCTGTAAGAAAATGAGGTGCTAATAGCGGAAATCCTGAGGTGTCCCTATCAATGCCCAGAGATTTGGACTTCAGAGATAGCGCCATTTCCGGGGTCGATAGATTACCCTCTAGGCTATAGTATATTGTATCATGGTCATACTATTAAAATTTGTCAACTTTTCCCTACGCAATGTTGTTCTAAGCTCTACTAAAATCTCGACCCATTCCGTCGGTTCTCAAGATCGCTTGAAGGCTTCATGTGAACACGAAGTATTGGCCAGGGTCCACTTTGCGGGGCATTTCTTTTCTTGGCTTATGGTGATCAAGCTGTGGATATATTCGAAGTAGGTGATATAGAGTGTCTTAAGAGGTACTTCCCCTATTATCAAGGCGTCAATAATGAACTATTATCCTTTTTTGTTCCGTAGTGGGTCGATCAGCAGCAGGGCAAAGAACTTGCGGCTGTAAGCGAGCTGCTAGGACAAATTAGAAGTAGGGTATACTAGTCTATTTCCTAGGCGCTATCCCACGGGCGAAGAAAAGGAGCGCACGAACACTATTAATTTCTTGACTCGTGTGTGGATAGTCAGCTAGGCTGCTTCGGTGGTAGTAGCCGAAGATCTTAGCGGGTCAGTAAAGCCTAGATCTCTGCAGTGCTTAGTTTTTATTTTTATTTATATATATATATATTTTGACTGGGACTGAACTAGACGTGCAAAGAAATAAGAATCTTTATATCCTAGCTGTTCTCTCTCTTCATGAGTATCATTCTGCTGTTTATAGAATCTGGTTACACAAGTGCGCATCAAGCTCAAACGCCACAGTCTGATGGTCTGCAGCATTCTCCACAGATGCCATTCCTAGTGGATCATGGAGAAAGCATAGGCCGTTTTTTCGGTCATCCTTCATCCTTGGTGTGTTTCGCTATTGAATCCCCCCTTTAATTGCAAAGCCTATGCTTGATTGCAAATTTAAATCAAGCTGGGTAGATTTGGAAATAAATAATCCACAAACCTACATTGATGGGATCCCACGAAACTGTACCGCAGCAGCCCTCATTATGAAGATCGATCTTGCGACCTTTTTCTTTGCCCTCTTTCTTGGCCTCTTTGTTGGGGCCTCGGAGAAGGTGCTACATCAGACTCGCAGTATTTGGAAACGATCTCACAGACTCGTGAATCCCTATCTGTATATGATCTGGACAGAGTTGGTCGTGAATTTGACATTTTCCATCATCACCTTTCTCTACCTTGGTAATGAGATCCCAAATAGGTAGGCTTTCCCCCCCCCCCTCTATTTTTCCTTTTTCATATTGCAGTCTCTTCTTCGATATTGAGATGTTAACTACGTGTGTGTTTATAGTCTCGGGTTCTTGTTCGGCACTGGTATCGCCTACTTTCCACTACCTTTACGTGTACGATGATTAACGAAGGGTTGATTCCAGTGTTATTATGGTCCATTCAGACGCAGCTCCTCACGCAAATCATTGCCAACCGGGTCGCTTTGATTATGACCTCCCGGCGCCAGGCTCGAATGCTTAAATGGGCTCTGGCCGTCCCGATCACCATCGTCAACATCTCAGTTTTTTGCATTTGGATCCCTGCCCATATGGACAACGCCACCAGCGCCCAGATCAACCTCAACAATATATGGGAACGGGTTGAGAAGGCCTTTTTCCTTATTATCGATCTAGGCCTCAACCTGATCTTCCTGTACCTTGTACGGTCTCGACTCATCAGCGGTGGACTGACTAAGTACTGGCGTCTGTACAATTTCAATGCGGGCATCGTCGTTATATCCACGTGTATGGACGTGTTGCTTCTTGGGTTTTTGAGCTTGCGGAACGCATACGTGTATGTTGCGAGAATTGTCCCCAGAGCCTCCTTCGATTTTTCTTTTTCGTTTCTTTTTGACTGACACGATATGTGCTTGGTGGTATCTCTAGCTATGTCCAATTCGCCCCTGTCGCATATATCATTAAGCTGAATATCGAGCTCACCATGGCCGTCCTGATCTCGAAGGTGGTGCGCAGCAGCTGCAATAACCCACCTGAGGATTGGTATTCGAGCAACCACATCTCCGACCGCTACGCCCATCAGGCGACCTGTACGAGCAACAACGATCACCGAAAGTTCCCCCCTGAAGTTGAGATGGACACGCTGCATGAACTTGACCAGGAATCGCCCAAGGACCTCGATCACCAGCGCCCAGGCATTATGAGAACTATCGTCACAACTGTGCAAGCAGGGGAGGATGATGCCAGTACCGAGGAGTTGGTGGTTAACCCGAAACGCATGACGAGGTGATTCACGATTGACCTGTGGTTGTGGTTGCATGATTTAGTAACCTTGACTTACTACTTCTGTAAATACTAATACATACTATAATCCCCCCTTTTTTTTTCTAATTTCATTTTCTTATTTTCTTTACGTTCTTTATATCTCCCACAGTGATTCTCGAGTCGAGGCACCTTGGTTGTCGAAAACAACTCGGTTGCCCCTGGTTCATTAGGATAGAAGAAGCGTTGCCTTGCGGTTATACATGACTACTATGTCCAGCTGAAAATAGTTATAAGATAAAATATCATGTGTCAAAAAGTTGATTATGTGAGGTTTTGGGGTGCCTCTAGCGAAAATTTTGGGGTGTCCCTATCAACACCCCAGTGCCAATAGTGGAAAACCTGGAGTGCCCTTATCAATACCCTTAGGATAGACATATAGTGTGTCATGATATAGTGAGTTAGGGCTTGTTCCACCACTACCTAAAAGGGAAGAAGGGTGTTATGAACTGCGCCACGTACAGCCACAGCTGCGCCACCCTCCGCAACAAATCAGAGCGAGGATGATTTCGGTGTCTCGGACTCCCATCTGAGCTTCTTCTCTTCAACGTCACTGGGATTTTGTGTCCCTCACGACCCGCTCTCTCCGACTCATCCGGAGACACACATCCAACCATGTCTCGCGCCGGCGTGTGGCTCAAGGTCTTGGGAACGTAAGTGACGTTCCTCGCCCATCCGTCAGGATCCCAGGGCTCATATCCAGTTCCGAATCCGAAGCGGCATTCTCGTTTCCGTCGGTGGCCCCGCCCTCGTCCAGTACATCCGTCCAAGCGACGAGGAGCTCGTCAAGCGATATAATCCGGATCTGCAGAAGCGCAGTGTGGAGCAGGGCGAGCGCCGGGCTCAAGAGTTCGATGAATATGTTCATAAGCTGAAGGAGTGGTCCAAGTCTGATAAGTCGAGTATGTGTTGTGTTTGGGTTCTTACTTTGGGTGATATCATGTGGCTAACGGGTCTTGCTTGGTGGTTTTAGTCTGGTTCGCGGCGCAGGAGCAGCAGGAAATGAAGCGCGCGGAAATGGAGGCCCAGCGCGCGCGGGCTAAAGATGAGGTGCGGGTTCAACGGGAGGAGATGCGGAAGGAGATGCTGGGCGAGAAATGAGGTGTGGCGGTCCAATGAATTGGGTATCTCACGGGGATCATTGCCCAACTGTCGGGAATCGCGCTCACCATTCTGCTCTTCCTTCGTGTCCGTGAGTCGGTCACTCAGTCGGCTGCTTTCCTGCATTCTTTGCTTGGGACAATACCCCAACGACAACCCGGGCGGGCTTTGACCTAGCCTGGTATCCTGGTATGGTATGATTAATCTGGGCTGGACGTTGTACGATATTTTCTGAGGTTTAAAACTCGTGATTGTCTCAGTGAGGCATCCAGTGTACAATTATCCTTAATAGAAGGGCATTTTTCTCTTCATTACTGAGTCTGGAAATATCAAACCGGAGTAATTTGCAGATCAATCGATACTAACTTAGTCTGGTGCCCCCATATTTAGCTTAAAGCACCGAGGAACTCCTAATATAAGTACTGATTGTGGCTTATTCTTTTATTACATTTTACACTATTTTTATTTCAAGGCTCGTGGTGCTGTCAGGCACCCAGTGCATATTGCCCAGAGTGTTACTAAGTTTAGCCACGGTTTCTCAAGCAACTGCGCTCGGTGGACAGGCAGCCACATAACCATTGGCACTCTGAAAGACAAAGAGAAAAACTAAAAGAAAAGGACAGTAAAACTGAATATGAACCGGGGAAGAAATAATACTGTGGAAGTTGGAAATCCATTGGCATGGAGCCAATGGCAGTTTGAAGTAAATTGGGCTTATTTTATTTACTTTCGGCATCATACATCCTCAAACTAGACCCGTCGGATCATGGACTAAACCAATGGTTATTTTAATTAACAGTCGATCAGAACCAACGACCTAGGACCCTTTTCCCGTCTTCCATAATCCACGAACCGGCTGCCTGCGCTGTGCGATCGAGACAGCGCCACAGCTCACGTGACTCTGGGCGAAACCGCCATCGCGGCAAGTCAACTTGTCAGCGTCAATAGACACGCTCCTCTTTCCTGGCTCACTTTTTCCCTTTCGCTTTCCCCTTATCATCGACTTGCATCAAATCGCAGTCTCTCTTCCCCCGGAACTTGTCTTCTGCGTCGATTCCCGTTCTCCAGGCAACGTCTCGTGGTTGGTTGGCTTCGTCAAAACAGTGCGCCCCCCGAGTGCCCAGCCAGCCAGCCTGGTCCGTTCCGACCGTTCACGACCCCTTTTGAAATCCTGAGATTTCCCTCTTCAACGCCCACCATGTCTCACGAACAACCCTATGACCCCTATATTCCCTCTGGCTCCAACGGAGCGCCTGCCTCCGGTGGAGGCAACGCGCAGAATGGCAACCAGCGAACGGCCGCATTGCAAGCGGTGAGTTTCTTTTTTTTTATATCTTCCCATACCTTGAGTTTTTATCCACGATGAAGCCGTGGTCTTTCATTATCCCTGCGGAGGACAGGCCTGGCGGATTCGTTTTTGAGGATGTTGCGGTGGCCGATTCCGGGACATAAGCGCTGACATGCATTTTTCTCACAGCAAATCGACGACACCGTCGGTGTCATGCGCGAAAACATCAACAAGGTTTCGCAGCGTGGCGAGCGCTTGGACTCGCTCCAAGATAAGACCGACAACCTGGCCGTGTCGGCTCAGGGGTTCCGTCACGGCGCCAATCGCGTGCGCAAGCAGATGTGGTGGAAGGATATGAAGATGCGCGTATGCCTGGCCATTTGCGTGATTCTTCTTCTCATCGTGATTATCGTGCCAGGTAAGACAATCCTCGCCGGAAGAAAAAGAAGCAGCAGCAGCTTGCTGGCTTGATTGAGTTTGATTGCGCCGATATAAAGCTAACAGCGACGTGTTTACAGTTGTCCTTACCACCAAGAAATAGGCGACTCATTCCCGTGTTGGTGGATGTGTTTCTTTCGTCTTTTGGGGCATAATGAGAAGGGGAGGGCAAATTGAACCTTGAATTCGTATTGGGAGGATGTGGAATTTCCTTTTTGCTCTTCCACTGTTTCCGAGGTTCTCTCTCCCATGCTGCTCTTACGTTTTCTTCCCAGCCGCTAATACCTCCTGCTGTTTTTTTTGTTCTGGGCGTGTTTTGAATGACCAAATCTCTTTTTTTTTTCACTTTGTCACTGTGTATGCCCGCGACGACACCAGCTGATCCGTCGGGTAAAGATGTAAATGATAGGTTACTTTTCGATGATGCCGTGTTTAAGTATGTTAGCACTTTGACATTCTACCAGAGAGTTTTTAGATTGAGTTTTTAGACAAATGGTCTCGATCCATGCCGGGACCCGTTTATCTACCGAAGTATAAGCATGATCATGGCACCCAGTATACAGTATATTGCCACTCCCTAAGATAGTAATAGCTCCTGTATTCATGGACTTGTGAATTTCTTATTCTTATTCTTATTCTTTCTCTTACACCCCAAGAACGCTATGAAAATGTGTGTCTACAGTACACATGAACAAAAAGAAATAGAAATGGGATGAAATAGGGGAGGAAACCTCACAACACACCCTGCCCCTGCTGGCCAGCAACGTTCGGGGCGATCGGCGTGTCAGGGAACCGCATCCAATCCCACTCCTTCCAATTGAGAGATTCGATGCCCAATGAGAATGTATTGACGGCCTCTCCCGGGATCATGGGTAGATCGGGGTTTTTGATGGCGTGCAGAAGCATGGGCGGGAAGCAGAGGCGGCCGTATTTGGGTTCGTCCTGATCATAGACAAGTTTAGCGGTGCTGAGCAATACCATCTATGGCTTGGGATTTGAGAGACTTACCACGCTGCCGCCGTCATCCCAGTATCTTCCGGGGCGATATTCGGGCTGGAATGATGTCAGTGTCGAAGAATGACAAGGAAGAGAAAGAGCGAAAAGAAAGGAAGCGAATGCATACCCGAATGCCTTGATGTAACAGAATCGGGTCGACCGGGTACCCCATCCATCGCCGGAACAGATCCTCAGCCGTCTGCGTGGAAAACATATAGGTCATTCGGTACCAGAGGTGAATAGATCCCAGATCCCAATTCCAGATACTGTCCGGCTCGCCGTTGATGTTTTCCGGCGGCCCCTTGTTGAAGATGCGGGCCAGCTCCGTTGGCGACCATTTCCCATCCATGTAGATCGGATGCGGCACATGGACCGCCTTGAACCCGTGCAGGAGCGCCCACGATGGAGCCGACAGCTCCGAGCCGAACGCCATGCCATCCAGCTCAGCCTGGTGCATGGCATTGAGAAGCCGGCGCGACACGCGCCACTGCGTAATGGGCGAGGCGCGCCGCGGCGTGTCGCGCGGCAGATTCCACAGCATCCACGGAAACGTCCAGTTCGTCTGGGTCGGATTGAAGATGGGTAGGAATGTGATCAGGTCCGCTTCTTCGCCTACGCCCCATTCGAACTGGTCGTCTTCCGGGTGCGGTACCGGTGGTGAAGGTCCCTGGGGCTGGATGCCCTGCACCGCGACGGGCCCCCAGACTGTCTTCTTGCCTTGCAGGTCTTTGGCAACATTCTGTGTGAACTCCTTCCAGGTCCCGTGCGCACCGGGTGCGTAACAATACGCGTTGCGCTCCCAAAGATGTTTCCGCGGCTGCTGCTTGGCGAACTCGATGGCTTGCTCCAGGAAATGGTACGTGTGACCCATGACGCGGCCGTCGACTTCGAGCTGCCAGTAGTGGTCGAATTCCGGGTACATCTGCGCAAACACCTGCAGCGCCTGCAGGTGCTGGAAGATGGCGCGGTACTCGTTCACGCGCGGGTACCATTGTCGCATCAGCCGCGTGTTGAACAGGACTGTCATGTCGCGGAACTCCGGTGGGATATTTGCCATGGCCCGTTGCACGGCTTCTGGGTCGTGTTCGATATCCAGTTCCTCGTTGTGTACATCCACCAGGAAGAACACTTGGTACTCGGATCCGCTGTGCAGCGAGAGCTCCATAATCAGCGAGCGCATGTACTGCTGGTGGCTCGGGTTCCATTTCATGTCTTCCGATGCCCGCAGGATCACTGCGGACCGCGATTTGTAGGATAAGGAGTCTGGCGGGCTCGCTGGCTGTGGAGGTTTCGGTGAGTTCAACGACATGATGTGTTGGCCGTAGTGCTGGTCCGGCTGTGCTGGGTTGTATCTGCCCGCGTTACGCTCGTAGCACTGCGACTGCAGGGCTCCCCAGTTGACCGCATCCCAGTCGACGTTTCTACGCTTCATGAGACCTGTATGTTCCGGTTCGTTGTCCCCGAATCCGTATGGGCCATAACGACCGTACCGATCTGTGCATACATCAGATCGAAGACCGAGCGCTTCCTGGGATCCAAACACAGGGCGGGGGAATCCTATAGATTGAGAGAAAAGTTAATTATCATTGCATGCCCCTTAAGCAAAGGAAAAAAAGTTTACCTTGTTGAGTTCCCGGATAGACCGACATCATGTCCTCGCTTCTCGTGCGATCTAAGGTTTTCCCACGTGGGCCAGTGCATGGCCGGAAAGTCCCTTGCCATTGCTTGGACCATTCCTTCGAGTTGTATTCCGGGTAGGGGTCAAAGATTGCGGGGGTCGGATACCGGGTGGTATTCGGGCTGCCGATCAAAAAGCGCGTTCCTCCCGAGTAAAACCGGGGCTCCCTGAACTGTAGTTAGAAAAAAAAGATGTAGATCAAAGGCGGGACGAACCAAACACATACGGTACGTCGTTCACTGTGCCCACACCACCCGGCTCGGAGGTTGGATCGTAACTATTGAAATCGCTCGCTGGAATAGCCACATCATCTCGGGGTGGGGTCGGCGCAGCCCTTTCGATCGAGACCGATCCGCCAGGGACTAGACGAAGTTTAAAGAAAAGAACAAAGAAGAAAAGGCTCAAGAAAATGAATTGCCAAGGGAGTCGGCGTAGTCGGCGCATGGTTGGAGAGAGTGTGTCTGAGAGTGAGAGTGTAGATTGAAGGTCAAAAGAGAGAACAAACTTTCTCACAGAAAAGAAAGACCATCATGAAAAAAAAAAAATTGGTTCTTTTAAGCCATTGGCGCCATCTCGGTTCGGACTTATCAACTCCTGAAAGTCCGGGGGGCAAGCATGAAAGGGGACCGAAAACGTCAGGTCCACAGGGCTAGCCGCTAGTTATATGGTTGTATACTTGTATTGTCGCGCCACTCAGTCGAATGCAGCATCTGACTCGTGAAACCAACAATCCTCCAATCCTGTTGGGCCAGGGGAGACACAGACATATGTATGTATGTATGTACTACCCTGGTTATCTGCGTATATGTGCACCTGCTTACTTGCTCTTTATGGAGAAAGCGTAGTGTCGATCCAAGGGAGAAATGGCAAGAATTTACAGTGGAGACAGAGCCTCGCGAGGCTGACTTGACAGGTGTATTCCAGGTTTACTGTAAAAAAAACATTAATGCGCTGATATAGATATTGTACACAATGTACATACAAAGTAATGGCGATGCAGGGCCGCGTCATCCATACAATCGGTTCATACAGAGACACAAAAATAAACCAAACATAATTGGATGTTCCTGATCGGCTGCAACCGACTCATGGAGTTTCAAGGCTGAACTCGGTAAATACCGCAGATCGACTGAGAACTCTCCATGGCCGATCTGGGATGATACTTACAAGGATGTTCTGGATTGCTTTATCATACCAAAAGTATGGTTTGCTATTGTTTCCTACCTGACTCCTAGCAACCTCGACTTTTTTTTTTTTTTTTTTTCATGATCTACGAACACTTTCTGAACCTGGGGATACCCGTGGAAACCCCCGGTCGCTATGACTGGAAAAATCCATATCTTTCCTAACCAAGAAAAAATTCCTGAATCCTCCAATCCTTCCAAGCCTGGCGCCTTAAATCCTCCCAGACAAGTAAAATACCAAAACAGGGGCCAAATAACACCCACGTGCTCTCTGAAGCCCTTGGATCACCTGACTTGATTCTGCCAATTTGCTTTCTCTCCGCCTTTGGCCCATCGCTACCATCATGACCATCGGAAGGACTACCGAAGATATCCCGGTATGAATGTAAATATTGATATATTGTTTTCCTTAAAAGCAGAGAAGATTTGAAATGCATTTGGCTCGATCAACTGGAGGTCAATCTTTGATGTGGAATCACATCCCAATGTCGATCAAGTACACATCCATGGATACTTCCAGCTCTTGATCAATGCTGCGAATAATTGCTTCCCAGATGAAGTGAGGATCAAGTGGATAATAATTCACATCGCAAAGCTGTCTCCAGGCGGTGATTCGTGCAGCATTTCGCTCAACCAAAGTTAACGTGAGAGAAGAAAAAATATGGCGCCAAGACTCCACCGCCCTTCCTCTGACTTTATCGCTCCGAGGGCCGGACAATCACTAAAATCCCTCTTGACCGTCACCTTCCCTCAATCTCTCTATCTGCATTTATCTTGGGGCCTCCGCCTCCTTCAGATTGCGAGACCATTGAAGCTGCCGCATGTTGGTTGCCACAATGCTGTCCCTTCGCACCGCTGTGCGGAGAGCTTCCAGCAAGCCCCTCCGATCGTTCTCCGCACCGCTCACCCTGCGAGCCGGCCTGCCCGCTCGTACGAAGGTGTCGACCTCGTTCCAGAGCCGACCCTATTCCCGCGCCACCGAGCCTCATCTGGCCTCCACCCGCAGCACGGTCGTCCAGTTGCTGAGCAACATCGGCTCGAAGCGAGAGGTGCAGCAGTACCTGTCCCACTTTACCTCCGTGTCTTCCCAGCAGTTCGCTGTCATTAAGGTTGGCGGTGCTATCATTACCGAGCACCTTCAGACCCTCTCCTCCGCTCTCGCGTTCCTCAACCATGTCGGTCTGTACCCCATCGTCGTCCATGGCGCCGGACCCCAACTCAACCGCATGTTGGAGGAGGCCGGTGTGGAGCCCGAGTTCGAGGATGGAATCCGCGTGACGGATGGTAAGACTCTGTCGCTTGCGAGGAAGCTCTTCCTCGAGGAGAACATGAAGCTGGTGGAAGAACTTGAGCGGATGGGCGTGCGTGCCCGCCCGATCACGGCCGGTGTGTTCTCGGCCGACTACCTCGACAAGCCCAAGTACAACCTAGTCGGCAAGATCAACGGCGTGGAAAGGAAGCCCATTGAATCGGCCATTGCGGCGGGCTGTCTGCCCATCCTGACTTCCATGGCTGAGACCCAGGACGGCCAAGTCCTCAACGTCAATGCGGACGTGGCTGCTGGTGAGCTGGCCCGTGCTCTGCAGCCGCTGAAGATCGTTTACCTGGCTGAGAAGGGTGGTCTCTTCAATGGTGATACCGGCGAGAAGATCTCTGCTATCAACCTCGACGAGGAATACGACCACTTGATGAGTCAGTGGTGGGTGCGCCACGGCACTCGCTTGAAGATCAAGGAGTTGAAGGAGCTCCTCAGCGATCTGCCCCGTTCATCCAGTGTAGCCATCATTCACCCTGCCGACCTGCAGAAGGAGCTTTTCACCGATTCTGGTGCTGGTACTCTGATTCGCCGCGGTAACAAGATTCACGTGAAGTCCTCCCTGTCGGAGTTCCAGGACCTGCAGGCCCTGAAGGATGTGCTGGTCCGGGACCGCGAGGGTCTAGATGCTCGTGCGGTGGTCGATCGCTATGTCGAAGGCCTGAAGGAGCACGACTTCAAGATCTACTACGATGAGCCTATGGAGGCCCTGGCTGTTGTGCTGCCCCCGCAACAGGGCTCTCTGATGGCCCACTTGGCGACTTTCACCATCACTAAGGCGGGCTGGCTCACCAACGTCGCCGACAACGTGTTTGCCAGCTTTAAGAAGGATTTCCCCAAGCTGGCGTGGACCGTGAAGGAGGACGATGAGAACCTGACGTGGTTCTTCGACAAGGCTGATGGCAGCTTGAGCCACGATGGTCACGTTCTGTTCTGGTATGGCGTGGAGAATGGCGACGAAGTCAAGCAGCTGGTTCAGGAGTTCACCAGGCACGGTCGGCAAATGTTCGGTGACATCAATCTCGAGTCGCGCCTCCACCGTGCTGCCCAAGCCGCCTCGCATGTCTCGAAGGGCTTTGGCGCGAGCGCTGCCTCGGCTGAGCAGAGGCGTGCGTTTTCCTCGACGACCAATGCTCTGCGCACCGCCAGGGCCAAGCGTCCCGCGGTCGCTGTCAACTCATTCCGGACGTACGCGACCACCAACCCCAACCCCCCTCTCGGTGAGAAGAACGCCTCCAACGCCCAGCCTGCCAAGGTGGCCCTTATTGGTGCCCGTGGTTACACTGGACAGGCCCTGATCAATCTGCTGAATGCCCACCCCAACATGGATCTCCGCCACGTTTCGTCGCGTGAGCTGGCGGGCAAGAAGCTCCAGGGCTACAACAAGCGGGAGATCATCTACGAGAACCTGAGCCCGGATGACGTCCGCAAGATGTCCACCAACGGTGACATCGATTGCTGGGTTATGGCCCTGCCGAACGGCATCTGCAAGCCTTTCGTCGATGCCGTCGACGAGGGTTCGGACAAGGGGAATGTGATTGTGGACTTGAGTGCCGACTACCGCTTCGACCCTAACTGGACATACGGTCTCCCGGAGTTGGTCAACCGATCCACGATTGCCCAGGCCAAGCGCATTTCGAACCCCGGCTGCTATGCCACCGCAGCCCAGCTCGGCATTTCGCCTCTCGTCCCTTTCCTCGGTGGTCAGCCTACCGCCTTCGGTGTCTCCGGATACTCGGGCGCCGGTACCAAGCCGAGCCCCAAGAACGACGTGCAATTCCTCACCAACAACCTCATCCCTTACAGTCTGACCAGCCACATCCACGAGCGGGAGATTAGCGCGCAGCTGGACACCAGCGTTGCGTTCATCCCTCACGTGGCTGTCTGGTTTCAGGGCATCCACGTAAGTTGGCTTGGAACTCGAGCTTATTTTGATGGCTACTAACGATTGCCACAGCACACCATCAGCATCCCGCTGAAGGAGGAGATGACCTCCCGCGACATCCGTAACATCTACCAGGACCGCTATGCCGGCGAGAAGCTCGTCAAGATCGTGGGCGAGGCCCCTCTTGTCAAGGACATTGCCGGCCGCCACGGCGTGGACATCGGTGGATTTGCTGTCGACTCTACCGGCAAGCGGGTCGTTGTCTGTGCCACCATCGACAACCTGCTGAAGGGTGCCGCCACTCAGTGCCTGCGTAAGTGTTGATTTTTGTTTATGTAGTTGATCCTCCCGTTAATCGTTTGGTTTTTACAGAGAACATGAACCTGGCGCTGGGCTACTCGGAGTATGAGGGTATTCCATTGGAGTAAAGGGTTCTTTTCTCGACCAGTTCCCACCGGTCCTTGGGAAGAGGTGGCTTTCTGACGAGAAGTGTTGGTGTGCATTATTCTCGCATGTCTTCTGTCTCATACCCCGCGTGCATCTTATAGGTCGCTATGGGTTGGAGATTCGTGTATGGATGTTGTTTTTTTTCCCCCTTATTTATTATCTGATCTGTTTCATAGTTGACCTTGTTTCGGTCGTATCCTTTTTTTTTCATTTTCTTTCTGTGGATTTCCTGCCCGTGTGAAAAGAGAGGGTATGGTTTTCTTGACGCTGGTGTCTGGTTTCTTCTTCCCCCCTTCCCCCTTCTAGAGCTCCATTCGCCTTTCACACCCTGTGGATTGTCATGTTCAACAACTGCGTCATTTGAAGAGTTAGTGCGAGGTGAAAAGAAAAAGAGCAGGTGTCTTCATTAGAGCCTTTTCCTCATTTGCATGCTGGATACTCATCACTTGATCTTGACCGAGTTCTTTTGGGCCGGTTTCGCTCTTGCTATCCATATATCTTCGGTAGCAAAACATCTATGGACGGATGGCCCAAGTAGTCTCGCCAGCCTCTTAATACTCATCCTAGGGACCTAGGTAAATCGCTAGAGGGGCCTAGTCTCTCTGTAAGTGAAAGAGACAGGGCTGAGTGGAAAAGTAAGAGATGTATACATTGTTGACTGGCGAGGCCGTCTGGGAAGAGAATGCCTGATGCTCTCTGCCCGTCCCCCTTGCCATCATCTCTTCTCTCACGCAGCCTTCCACCCACCTGTCTTTTTCATCCGTCAATCCCTCTTTCTCAACATTAGTTGTCATCATTCCAGCCATTCCTCCTCCCGATGTCCTCTCATCAGTTGAAGTGTGCTTGATGGCCCTCTGCTCACCGGCTCACCAGGATCACTTGAATGCTTGTATGCCCTCAGTTCTCTGGCGACAAGGTGGTTCTTGACCTCAAGCCTGTGCTGAAGTGAGAGCAGAGCACTCTGCCACTTCAATTTTTCTCCCCCCCCCCCCCGGGCTAGCCCCTCTGCCTCCCGATAAGATTTATTCCACTGAGTCCTCGTGCTTCGCTTTTACGTCAAAGCCGTGTCTGCCCCATCGCATGAGTGTCCATCACGATCAGATTCAATACCACTTTCTCGCCGAAACGTGTTTGTCGAAGACGCGCAGAGACCTGCATCGGTACTGGAGAAGGCGAAAAGGATACTGAGACGCGTGCGGACAGCCTAGAGGGTGAATCTCAAGCCACGACGCGAACATGTTCTATAGTCACGAAAGTAAGTTCTTTTCTTGTGGGCCCTTCTGCGCATTGCAAGTTTAGTCCAGAACCCGAGGCTGATGAGTGGATTCTTTTTTCTTTCATTTCTAGTCCTGACGTCGCCGGAGCACGGTGTCGCGACGATCTGGTACGCAGAACCAACACCCCACTTCTATCTGCCACGCACAGCCATGGCAGAATGACATTCACGAGGCACGCTGACCATACTTGGAATATATGCAGGCTCGTTGCCACGCTGGGGTCCAGATCGATTACGAGACGTCTGAACCGAAAGACCATCCTCGGTGTCGACGTGCCCCATGCATGCAGAGTCATCGTCAACCCTGAGGCGCCTATGGCTTTGCGGCTCCAGGGGAGTTTGCTGTAACGTATCTCCCAATTCTTGGCTGTAATTCTGCTCTGCTGACTGGCCCGGTCGCTTGCGTTAGATACGGGGTCTCGAGGGTGTATAACCAACAGTGCGGATATACCTTGCTCGATGTGCAGGCAATGCATGACAAGATGCTCGCGATGTTGAAAGTGATGCCGGGGGGTGGCCTCGATCCCACAGCTGGGAAGATCAAGTGAGTTGACTCGGCGAGCGTTGTTGGCGATGCCTGCAAGGATGCCGTTTTTGTAAATCTGCTCACCGTATCCCAGGCCGAATCAGCTCATTTTACCTTACGACCCGGCTTTTTCACCAGAGACATGCCTTCCCGGCCTGCAAATCAATCTGTCCATGTTTGATACCTCGACGGAAGACACTTCAAACAAGCAATCTGGTTTGTGGTCCGAGTCACCGGGTATCAGCAACTCCGGCACTTCTCAAATCGGAAGTATTCAGCTTGAACTTCCACCAGACGATATTCTTCACGATGTTGATAAGATAAATCTCGACAGTGATGTCGATGGTTCGGTTCAGAAGCGCGGGATCTTCGGCGCTATGTTGAAAGGCGATCTCGGAAATGAAGAAGGTATTCTTCTTCAGCCAGATTTCGAATTCGATGAGCATGGTAATATCGTTGAACTCGGGGGGAGCAGACAGTCACCAAGCAAAAACAGAAGATCCATTAGTGAAGACCCTCTCGCAGGGGCCACAACGGCTGCCAGAGAAGAACAGGTGAGACTGCGATGATTGATTTGACCCTTATCCTTGGGGAAGCTGACAATGTTGACAGCGTTCAAAGATGATGCAGATTGACGAGAACATGGAACTTGCTGGCGGGGACGACTTTATGACACTTGATACTCACTCCAAGGAACTTGAAAATCTCATGCAGCCAGAAGAGCCAGACGAACATGCAGATATTGATCATTCCGAAGAAATGCGGCATCGACACGCCAGGGGCCCTGCCAAAGTAGTCATTACTGACAATGACACTATGCTTCCCAAAACCAAGCTGGCTGAATGGAACGAAAGCTATCTTGCCATTATGGCTCAAGCGCTGAAACAGAAACAGCAGAACAAAGGACCAACCCTGGCAAAGAGAAATGCTGCTTTCTGGGTCTATGGCCAAGGAATCGGCTCCGTTGGGGTCGGATTAGGCGTGCAACGTGATGTACACCCGCTCACACGCTACTCGGGTGAGGAGCTGTATAATGCAGTCTTCGCGGAGACTCGACCCAGTGGACGAAAGCGCACCCACAGCCCCGAGGCCACACCAGACGGACGCCGGATGCGCGCTAAAGATGAACAGGCAGAGCATATTGGCCGCGGGAACAGTGGTCGTCCTGACCTGGACGTGGAGATCGGTCGCCAGGCCCCGTCGAGTGTCTATGACGATCACCCTTCGCAGATGCCATGGAATATCAGCGCTTCCATCCTGAGCTCCCGCCAGAGAAATCGATTCGGCAGTGTGAGCGAGATATCTTCGCGCGGGCGAGGCGACTCTGCTGGGCCGCTGGCTACTCGACCGCGAAACCGTCTCACGAGTGCAAGTCCTCTTGCCCGGCACGGATATCTAGACGGACGTGAAAGACTCAGCAGTCTCTCGATTCCGGGAAATATCGGAGACGAGCTGGAAGATCTGGAACACCTCGATCTGACCCAGTATCTTGAGAATGAGCTGGCGACGGATCGCGAAACCTTGAGCACCCTGTCATCGCGACGGGCGCTCGAACGAGCCACCTCGACTCTCGACCAGGAGAGTTTAAACTTCCTCGAATTCTTCAAGTCCAAGACCCGGGCCCCTTCTGTGACCAGCCGAGCGAATACTCCCGAATGCACCCCGGGAACCCCCATCAAATCACGTTCTCGACTCTTCTTCCCCCCGAGAAGACGACGCGCACGATCGCCACCCAGGGACTCATGAATGTGCTGACGCTGGCCACGAAGGGGGTCATGACTGTTTACCAGGAGCCGTACCAGGATGAGAGCATCGAGGGCTGGGGAGTCTGCTGTTCTTACGGTGAGATTTTCCTGCAACTGGCTGGTATGTGATGGCGCGAAGAGTGGCGCGCTCGCTCGAGACCACTGATACCCACGAGGAATGACAAGGCCGGCAATGGTTGATCGAAGGCAAGAACGCGTTACTATTTGATTTTTATTCTTTTCTTTTCGGACATGCAGAAAACATGGCGGGTGGGTGACTACTTTCTTTTTTTTATGGTTCTGATGCTGTTTCTTTCCAATGCGAATTCCGAGCCTCGAGACTGCGACCGTGACGGAGGCAGAAGACAGCGCGGGCCTGGAAAAGTGACAGTCGGATCGTGAAGCAGACACCGAAAAACAGCAAAACGATCTTGTTTACACATCCCCGGGTTCTATCGCATACTGTTCGCAATCTTACCAGGAACCCGTAAGTCGTAGTTGACAGTATCGTCGACAGTATCGCGTATGGGATACGGTGTCCATCCATGACCACAAAACCAGTAATAGTAACAATACTTGGAAGTATATGAACTTGGAAATGCCGATAGATGTTGATATCTTACCCGAATCCCCTCATTACTTATCCTCTTCTCTTGCTGCATCTTTTCCAAGGGTTCTTCAGGCATTGGCGGCGACGTGTCTTTCCCCTCCAACAGCCAACAGCCAACACCCGACTCGTGCTGGGCTGTGCAGGAACTGGCTCAGCCCGGTGCCCCGAACACACGGGATGGCACTCTAAATGCCCCTGGGGGGTTCTGAGTTATGGCTGGTCTCCGTCTGGTATTTCCGAGTCACCCGATGAGACACACTTGACTCGGAGTCTTGTTAGGCAGCCAATTTCGCGCCTTGTCAGCAGCATTGGCCCAGGGGTTGAGTTCGGGCGCGACAGGCGACATTCAAAGGGAGGATATTAAAGAGGGTAGAGAGATAGAACAATGATTATGATGATAGTAATTATCATAATAATAATAATAATATTATTATTATTGAATAGTAAAATAAATCATTAATGGTAAAATCGTAGAATCATGAAGTGTAAGAGTAAGCAAAATCACGTATGCTCCAGATTACGCAGCGCGCGTTACTCCGCGCCACTCGTATTTTCGTCTTGGTCTTTCGATTTCTTTTCTTTCCTCCTCTCCCTCCCCCCCCTAAAACCCCCCCCGCGTACTCAGTTCCCCCCTCCTCTCTTTTCTTTTTCCCCCCATTTCATCCGGTCTTTCTTTCGCGGTGTCGTCTTTCCCGGTTTTTGAGCTCCCTGGCTCTCCCACCATGGGTCGCACCGTGGACCAGGAGGTGCACGCGGCGTTCGTCGAGTTTCGTGCCAAGGAAGATGACAAGGTGCGTGACTGCGTATTTCGTAATATTTCCAAAACCCACACAAACAACGTTGTCACTAACGTACAAAAACCCCGTTTTGGGATTTCGCGTGGTCTTTCTAGTGTCTCTCCGTCCAGTGTATCTACTGCCAGCAGATCCGCGCAAAGAATACCTCGCGCCAGAAGCAACACCTGCTCGAATGTCCCGGTCTACGGGGTCATCCGAACGCGCCGCAACCCACCCAGCCCACTCAGCACACCCCAAACGGCATCGCGACCAATGGATACCCCGGCACCCCGAATGGTCCGACGGCCGCCGCAGCTGGTCCTGCGGGCCCGATCCCGACCCCGACCAGCGCCATGATGGCTAACGGTGTCGGCGTCAACGCTGTGAATGGTGTTAACCCCCATGCTACCCCCATGCAGACTCCGCTGCAAACACTGCAGAACCGCGCCGCCATGCCCACCCCTGGTCCCCCGACGGCGCCCCCGGGCTCTGCGACGGGCTCACAGCCCTCGCGCCCGACACCCAAGCCCAAGCCCAAGGTGTCGACGTCGAGTCTGCCCGCGCCGCCGCTGGACGACGTGCACGCGGCCTTTGTGGAATTCCGCGCCAAGGAGGAAGACAAGGTACGCTCCTTCCCTATCCCATCTGGAACCATCCCCCATCCTGACTCCCCGGAACAGTGTCTGTCCGTGCAATGCATCTACTGCCAGCAAGTCCGCGCCAAAAATACTAGCCGCCAGCGCCAGCACCTGTTGGAATGTCCCACCTATCTCAGTGTAATGAAGGATTCAATCCCCGCCAATAACCTGCTGCACACTTTCCCCGAGGGTGACGTGGCGCGATCGCTGCAGATCCCAGCGCCCACGCTGGAGCTAGACTTCCGCATGAGTATCAAACTGAATCCCAAGGTGGCTGTCGGCCAAAGTATCTGGGGCCAAAGAGATTGGGTTTCGTTTGTGGGCGGCCAGTGGGCTGGCCGATGGGGCAAGGGTATTGTTCTGGTAAGATGGAAATTTGCTGTAGTTCTGGCTGTGTTTCATGTCTAACACATTCATCCAACAGCCTGGCGGCCAAGATACCCAGATTATCACCAAAGACGCAACCACCAATCTTCGTGCTAGCTACATGCTCCAGACCGCAGATGAGCCGCCGGCCTTCATCATTGTTCGAACAGAAGGCTGGTTGACGGGCGCCAAGGACATCCTGGAGAAGGTCAATGACGCCAACATGGCCGACAGCGTCAACCCCGGCAGCTACAAGTACCGCGTCAACCTGTCCATGGAGACCGGCGATGAACGGTATACGTTCTTGAACACCCTGATGTGGGTTGGCAGCGGCTGCCGAAGAGGCCACGAGGGTAAGTCGATGCCTTTTTTTGGGGATTGGGTCCAGAGTTTTTTTGCTAATATATCGCGCAGTTATCTTCGACTCGTTCCGAATCAACTAGATCAACGTGGATGATAACCAACTGCGTCTTTTCATTTTCTGTTATTGAGCGAGCTCCTTTCTGGTTTTTACTCTTGTTGACGGATGGGAAAATGGTGTTTCTTTATAACTCGTGCTTTGATTTGTGGCTGCGCGGTGCAGTCTTTACGATTGCTCGTTCTTTTTACTCTGTTCTTGTGTTGACCTAGGTGCTGTTTCTGTGTTTTCTGTGTGGATGATGGGATTTTTTCGATAGCAGGGTTCGGACTCGGCTGTTTTCTCTTTGATTTTCTCTTTCTCTTTCCTTTTCTCTTCTGATGTATCTCTTTCAATGACCCGGTTCGATATGGTCTAAAGTGTACGGTATCGTTTGTGATTACTTCTTCCTGTCCAGCTGCTACGCAACCAGAGTGTTTGAATGCTTCGTTTAATCTTTCTACGTTGAGGGAATGCTATCATAGGTTTCTTTTTTATTTGGTTGATTTGGTTTATTTTTCTTTGGCTGCAGTAGTTCACGATTGAAATTTCAGTTTATTTCAGTTTCAGTATGGTTGACAACAAGTGTATCCCTCAGTATGTGAGTATGTGGAGATCAAGGTATGTATATACCGGAACTTGCTGTTTATGTATGTACCCCAGGTTTCTCTGTATGTAGCCGTATCCACCTTGTCGCGTCGATCATTGTGGCGTTTGATACCTTGGTGTATACATCGATGTGGGGTATATGTATGGAGAACCCCGAGAAACAGATCGATCGATCTATTTGCGTATATATAGACAAAAAAAAGAAGCTTGGGATATTTTAGATTGGGGCCAAGATGCTGCAATCCTGTGGGCAATCCTGTAGGGCAAACAAGAAGCTTATCCATAGACCTTGTTGAAATGGGTAGTGTGCAGTGTGCTAATGGGAGGAATTCAATATATATACTTCAACAAAAGATGGGAACTTTACCTAGGTAGATCGTCGCAGATCAGATAAATATACATTAGGTGTATGTACAGGTATACATATCTGGGGTAATTAGATTATACCAGTGGACATACAGTACAAAGACACGTGTTATGTATACACAAAAACCTGCTTATTGTTCCAAGGTTGTAACTACATGCTGTATAACTGTAATATGGAAAGGCCCTTGATTGGCGCACTTCGATACATTACTATATTCCGGAGCGGAAGATAATATATTCCGAGTAAGAAGGCTGATCAATGGACTGAGTCTCCCTCCCTCCCTCTTCTCTCTATTCACTCGTGGATTTAGACTTGATCAGCTAGTGGACACTCCGTAATTTCTCTTCGTGCTACTCATTCTCTCTAGCTTCTCGATTTTGGCACTGGGCGCACCGAAGGCTGATCTCTTCACCTTTCCTCCGATCTTCGGTACTTACTGTATCAGTCTAGATGAATGTGGGCCTCTCTGTATAGTCAGACAATAGCGGCCATATATGTAACCTCGACTAAAACTGCCTGCAGGATTTTGACTGATCCTACTGTCTTCAGAGACTGTATAGTTGGATAGCTACGCACAGCCAATGGAAGTAGAATGTACTCGACATTCGATCTAGCATCTCTCTAGGAATACATGAACGCGACAGCATAGAAAAAAAAAAGACAGAGAGAAGAGAAGAAAAAGCGTATAATCATGATGTTTTCCAGTCAGTGCTGGTTGGTATAGGTTTCAAAAGCCTAAAATTCCCATGTTAGCAACTGGTTCCCTTTATTCCAAGGTCGAGCAGCATCCGAAACTCACCCTTCTCGGTATTGCCTTCACCCATGCTTTTGCTGCTGCTGCTTCCACTCTGGATCGCTCCCAAAATACCGTCCATGTAGGGGGCACCACTCCACTTCTGGTGCGTGAGGACATCGACACCTAAGTCCTTCTCGCGCGATTGAATCAGGCGCACGTACGCCAGCATGCCCTCGTCCTTGAAAGCGCGGGACAGTTCAGTTGTGATCGTGGCGTTGGTGTGGAGGCCGGCGAGAGAGATCAATTGCAGGACAAATCTGCGAGGGCACATTAGTTCATACATTTCCGAAGAATGAAATAACAGTAGACTTACCCATGCTTGGCCAGATCCCAGATGAAAGACTTCAGAGATGCTTCATCGAATCCTTGTCCCATCCAGTTGAAGGACGGACTGAGGTTGTAAACGAGCTTCTTGCCCGGGAATGCTGCGCGCACTTCACCCGCCAGTTTCCCTGCTTGTTCGACGTTGGGATCACCAGTTTCGACCCACAGGAGATCTGCGTAGGGTGCAAACTCCCGTGCACGCTTGGTGGCGGCCGGGAATCCTGCGCGGTAGTGGTAGAATCCTTCACGGGTGCGTGGGCTGTCGCAGGACCAGACAACGGGCGATTTGGTGTAGTCGTTGGCCAGGGCGCGGCGACGAGAGATGGAAAGGTCGGGGTTCTGCTGTGCCTGGGTCTTGTAGGCATTGCGTGCGGACTGGGAGGCACCCTCAGCTTCGAGGTGGGCGTCAACAGCTACATAAGATCAGCACGAAAGATCAGATCAAAAGATGATGGATGCCGGTGTTGCAACGAACCTTCGTCAAAGGTGACCAGCTTGTGGTTCTTGACCCAGTCGAGTTCGAAAGCGTCGATCTCGGTCGGCGAGGCACCCTCTCGCTCCATTGCCTGCAAGGTCTCGGCCAGGGGCTCGACTTCCTCCGTAATACCGAGGATGAATTCGTGGTCGCGTACGTCAATGGCGCTGCTGATCAATCGGCCGCTCTCGGAGTCGGTGCGCGCAATAACAAGATTTTCGCATCCCATTATGTCCCATTGGAAACGTGCAGCGACAAGTCGGTTGATGTGCTCGCCCATTGGGACAAGCACCTTGCCTGCCAGATGACCACATTTCTTGCCGCCGTGGAGTTGGTCTTCGAAGTGAACTGCCGCGGCGCCGTTTTCTGCAAACAGCTTGGCCAGCTTGAGAACGGCTGTCAGGCCGCCATGTCTGTTGAACACAAGAAATGAGCTTTGTTCTCTTCAAAATATTCTCATCAAGACATACCCGGTATCGCCGTCGGCAACGATGGGTCGCATGTAGTCAGTATAAGGAGTAGATTTTCGTTGTTCGGCCGTCAACTTGCGTCGTGCATCCCACTGTTTCCGGTCGTGCATTTGCTGCGCTTTAAACAGGCGTTGGACCTGGTTCGGGACGGTGTTGTAGGGGTAGTCGCCAAAATCGGGCGAGACTTCATTCGTGGTCGTCAGCAGCGACGAGCATGCCCAGCCTGAAATGTACAGGACTTCTTGGTTGGGGGCCTGCTGGGTCATTTGGACAGGGTCAATGGCGCCCACTGTATGCTCGGTGTCAGTCATGACCCATGTCCCAAAATGTTTTTCTCTCGAAGACTTACTCGTATGAACTGGCTGACCGGCCGTCGCTCGTTCATTGAGGAGATTGAACAACTTCCGTGCCATCAAAGAGCTGGGGTATGTCTGTTGCAGGGAGCCGCGCTTGCTCACGACGTCGGCCGCCAAGTACGGTCGTTTGATGCCTTCGAACCGGGGCGAATTCCACCATGCTTCCACATCGCGGATCTGTTGGTCGTAGAGTGCGTCCTCGGTTGCGCCAGCTTTCTCTGAAGTCGACAACAGCTGGTATGCGTCGGCCGGCAACGCCGTTGAGACTGGTCGGACCGGCGGAGATGACATCCGAGGGTAACCGCATGTGAAGGTGCGAAGCGCTGGGCGGGCGACAGCTGGAGCGCGGGCGAATCGAGGGAGGCGACGCGGTATCGAACGAAACATCGTGGGTGTGAATTCGAAATCAGGCTCAGGTAGAAGAGAGAAGGAGAGCCGGAGTGTCTCGAAGGAAGAGGAAAAGAGGGTTGTTTGTCTCAACCTCGGGCCGCGCATTCTGGGGTTCCCCACATCTCCGATTGTCGGTGCATCCACCCACAGAGCACATACACATCAACCACCACCACTGAAACAGACACAAACACACCCACACAGTTGAAAACCCTCCCGAACCACCACCTCCAACAACAACCTCACCCAGCCACTCCACCCGGCCCTCCTACAGGTCCTCCTCAGCCATCCACTCCATGGGGCTAGGGAGGGGCGTGATATCCGTGGGCAGGATATCCGGAGATACCGTCGGACTCGACATGGGCGAAATGTCCATGGAGTCGCTGCAGCCTAAGACAGGCAGCGAGCCAGCACCCTGGATAGCACCCTTGGCGCGGCCGAGATGACCTTGCTGAGTGCTGAGAATCCCAGCCATTCCCTGTTAACACTCAGGGGAGACGGAAACATCACGGCAGCCGCCAGCGGCTGTTGCCGGATGATGTCAACAAGGGAATGGTGGTACATTCCCAGAGGCACTGGTTGCCTATAAGTTAGTGACTTTGTTCTCAGAGTCCCAGAGAATGAAATCAAAGGCAGATCAACTCATCATCCGTAGTGCCGACCGGGTGGAGGCCCAGCCACAGGAACTCCGACGCCAGGACAATGCGCAGGATCCAGGCGTCAGGCATCCCGGGGTTCACCACGAAGACGAGGTGGCCCAGGAGCCCGTTAATGTCCCAGGCGATTGGGACGATGACGGGTGAGGCGCCGGGAACCAGTCCCAGCACCTCGTTGAACAAGCCGTCAGGGCCCCATTGGCTGAGAGATCCCTGGGCGTAGTAGGCATTGGCGAGGGCGAGGATGTCGCCCGAAGCGAAGGTGCGGACAGTCGAAAAGGACTCCATGGTTGATGGCTCCATGGCAGCGTGGAAGAGTTTGTTAAGGTCAAGTTTGAGAACCTAGGAAAGGAAGGTTCCTCTAACCAGAGCCTACGAGTGAATGATTGAGAAGAGCTCTATTGTACCGAGTGAATAGCATTATAGGATGAATAGGATGAACAAGTCTATATAGAAGGCTAGTTGAATCAAGCATCTCTCACAATCAGGTCACAATAGACCAATAGAGCTTTGAGAATAGGGTCAATATCGAATGAATCTAAGAATACTATAGAGTAGTATGAATAGCATATTGAATAGCACTGTGGATAGTATATTAGATAGTATGAATAGTGTATAATAGGATTAGATGAATACCTTGTATTTAGTATTGACTATTCACGACATAATTCTTTATAGTAATTATATTACTGTTTACTACTGTCTTACTATACCTCCCATCGAATTGGATACTCGGGAAACCCTCTTCGGCCACTTGGAGAAAGACATCCCCGCATGCGATTGTTTCTGTTATTTCCAAGTGGTTTGCCCATGGATATTGCAAGACAGAAAAGAGTATTTATCTCATGAACAACTCTACAATAAATCTATTTCGCTCACAATACTCGAATGTCATATCTCATTATTTCATACTTATGCACCCCCTCGTCTCCAAGATCGACAGCCCCCGCATGGGCTTATCAACTCCTCTCGTACCGGGCTGATTCCTATCTGCTTCCCGTCATTCGTCCCCTCTCTTGTTATCTTCTTTCTCGATTTCTTCTCTACTTCTTCTTTCCTGCTTCTTTTTCTTCGTTTCTCAATGCTGTGATCCTCTTGGTAATGGAAACCAGCAAAAAACCATCTCCATCTATTCGTGAGTCCGAGATCCCGGGAAGACCAGCCCCGTCCAAGGCGAGGACTGCGTCTGGTCCCAAACCCAAGCAGACAAAGAGTCGTAATGGTAAGTATTTTGATATGACATGCCATACCCTCAGTCCACTCAGAAGGATCAAACCAAGACATAAAAAAGAAGGAAATCCCCCGAAGACTATACAGAACGCTAACCCGTCAACCAGGCTGCATCACTTGCAAGGCGAAGCGGCTAAAGTGCGACGAGGCTAAGCCATCTTGTCATCAGTGCGCTCGACGCAAAGTGCAGTGTGGAGGATACAAGAAGGATTTCAAATGGCGGCCGTTTGAGGAGACCAACCTGGCACCGGGGAGACCCACTGCCATGACCAAAAAGGGTAACTATATACCTGGTGGAAGTGTTTCGGACATCGAAGAGAAAATATCTAATCCAAATCTATGAATCTAGCTCCTGCAGCCCCTTCTCTTCTGTCGAAGTCGGCTGCCAACTCGGACCAGCCTTTTCCCACTCCCCCGACGACGGAGCAATCGACGTCGCCGATTCGCGTGCAGTCGAATGCATTCCACTCGTCTTCACCCGAATCCCCTCTGCAGAGCTCTCCGGTCAGCCTCAAGAGCTTTGTTTCTACTGAATACCACTCTCTGGATGAGGCTCCGGCAACACGGGAAGATATCTCGGTCGGCCAGACTGCTGCTCCCATCAATGTCTCTCTGTCCGCCGAGTCTCCCCCAGCCAACTTTCTTTCTTTTCTTGAGCCTCTTCAACATTCGCTGTCACTTGCCGATGCGTTCATGCCCGATCCAGAGCTGGGAACCGGCTCGGAATCAAATTTTTTGGCCCACCAGAATACCGGCCCGACCCTGAGTCTCCAGGGCCCAGCTTTTCCCAGCTGCTGGAAGACGAGAGCCAAGATATTGAAGAGATCATCCGAAGATCCGATCCAGGACTGGGACCGTGGAACCTGACTTTCCCTGACGAAGATTCGCTTTCCTTTGACCCATCAAGAATTCCCGACTGCCCCCCGTTGGGACCCGAGAGCCAGGAGATGCTGGTCTTGCGCTATGACAAGCTGACATGTGGCATTCTGTCGGTAAAAGATGGCATGTCCGAGAACCCGTGGCGCACCCTCATCTGGCCACTTGCGAAAGACAATCCCGCTTTGCAGCATGCTATCTTCGCCTTGACGGCCTTTCACTCGGGCAAGGAGAACCCTTCTCTAAGAGTCCAGGGTGTTAAGCATATGCGACAGAGCATCAACTGTTTGATGCAACAGATCCAGAACATGCGAGCCGATGCCGCCCTGGCCACGAGCCTGGCACTGGCATTTGCCGATACCTGGGATCAGCATACCCGGACCTGTATCCAGCATTTGCGAGGCGCGAAGGCGCTCATGTCGCAGGTTCTCACGGCCGGGATCCAGGACGGACTTGGTGGCGAGGAACTTGACCGCATTCGCTTTTTATACAATACGTGGTCGTATATGGATGTGATTGCACGGCTTACTTCATTAGAAGAGTGTGGACCTGAGGATCTGGATTCCTCGGTCTTCCAGCTTCCCAGCGGTGCCGTGCACGAGATCGACCCATTAATGGGTGGCGCAACCACGCTATTCCCGATTATGAGCCGGGTAGCGCGATTGATCCAGCGCGTGCGGAAAAGCACATCGAACTCGGTGTCGGTGGTGTCGCAGGCCATGGAGCTCAAGGCGCTGATTGAGCAATGGCAGCCACCCCGCTGGTTCGAGCCACCTGAAGACCCTAGCTCAGAAGTGCAACACAATATCCAGCTCGCCCATGCCTATCGTTGGGCGACGCTGCTGTACTTGCACCAGGCTGTCCCAGAAATGCCTTCTGAGCCCACCGACGAGCTGGCTAAGCGAGCCCTGATCTTGCTTGCTACTATCCCTCCCACCTCCCGCACGACTATCATCCAGGTCTTCCCTCTGCTAGCGGCTGGCTCGGAGGTCGACATGGAAGATGATCGCAAGTGGGTCCTGGAGCGCTGGGCCACCATTCAGTCCCGTTTGATGCTTGGCGGCGTCGATCGCTGCTTGGAGGTTCTGCAGGAGGTGTGGGCGCGGCGTGATGCATTCCAGGCCGATAAACACCGGCAGGATCTCCTCGGCTCTGGGAGAACAGGCTCCTTTTCGAATGACGATAGAGCAGGGGCCAGTTCGGCAGGTCGTGGGGATAGTTCACGAACATTCAACCGTGTCCACAAGCCTACCAGCCCACCCAAGAGGCCCGTGGAAGCACGGTCGGGGACACGCGCTTCTAGATCCGGGACATCGAGACGGGGATCTGCGCTGTCTCCACTGGAGAACATCGAGTTTGAAAGAACTGTACGAGGCAGGCTCCATTGGGTGAACGTCATGGCAGAGTGGGGATGGGAGGGTAAGTAGATGATCCCCAACTCTCTGACTGAAGATCGACTGACCAGGCTATGATGTGCAGTATTTATTGGCTAGCATGGCCGAATCCCTACTCTACTATGATGGGTGCAATAGCACTCTTCTCGACTTTATGACGCTCAGCGACAGGTGAAGCTGGGGCTTGGACACTAACTTGACGACTGACGATGCAGATTGAACCATTTCCCTGTTTGATTGAATGCTGGTCTTTTCTTCTGTTCGAATCTGTACCTTGAAACCAGAGATATATGCGCCGCTTTCGCGGCCCAGCCAGCGTGGCGTTTCGAGATTCTTTCTTTCCTTTTTTTGTCTTGGTTGATGTGATGGTCTTGACAATAGTGCTTCCTTTCTCCTTTTCGTGATCCAAAGGGTTTCCGTTGCCATTGTGATTTGATTCTATCTGACCATGACTATATCCGATCTAGGTACTAATCTGGCCCAGCGCCCAGCACTGCCCTGGCGATTGTGTTTCCGACAGTCCCTCGACCAGACAGGGGCCAAAAAAAAAAAAAAAAAAAAAAAAAAAAAAAACAACCCAATTACGCAAGTCAGCAATTTCCCTGAAGCAGCACTACCCAAGCCATACAGATTTACCCGAGGTTTGACGACTCTTTGACCCCCTGGCCCCCAACCCCCAACTCCCAACTGCACAACGGCCCCCTAACCTTGACTCGGCCCTAATCGGCAACATCTGCGTTGTCACCAACGTCCCATGGTTGTGGACAAGCCCCCAGCAACTCCGCCAGAAGCAAGCAGTAAATCTCGCTTGATGTTAGCGCCCGGGCACCAGCACCGCATTGAGAATAGCGCCCACGGCAGACCAGGAGTACGACGCCGCAACGCCGATAATGTAGACCCGGTCACCAGCACCGTTGACGCGCTGTGCAGTGTCACTTCGTTGGTGCGCACTCGCTCTGTCCTGGTGCTAGCAGCGACGCAGGTGAAAACCACGTGCTGGGTTGGGTGTTGTACCCATTGCAGGGATGTAGATGCCCGTCTTGAGCTTGCTGCTTGCTGTCTGTGAGCACCATCGTAGAATTCGGTATCGGCGACATATGGCCTATGGCCATGCCCTGACCCGGGATCTCGTGGTACGAGGCCTGGTCGACTAGCTAAAGGACCAATTGTCTGAGTGGCGCCATAGTCGCCGAAGATGGCCATGCAATGTTCTCTTCTGCTTGGTGAGCAAGAAACCACCCGGGAATTCACCCATAGCAAATATTGTGGCGGACAGGCCGCGAACAGTGGTCAAGAGTCATCTATATTTATCTATATGTCTTTTTTTACCCCAAGCTTTGGCCGATAGTTGGGGGCGCATTGGCCATCCAGGATGATTATGCCCTGGAGGTAAGAACTCAGTCTTCTTGTATCGAGGTCAATGCTAATCCTGTCTATATTAATCCCTACCCTAATCTATTCTCAGTGATATAAGAGATGATCTTCCCGCTGCAGGATCTGTATACAGAGATCAACGTCCGCTAGCCCCATTTTATAAAACCTTTAGACCCATTGCCCGGCGGCCCCCTACAAACCTTCCTTTTCAAATCCTTCTTCCTTAGCGCGATGAATGCAGCAATCATCGTCTTAGTTTATTTTACCTATTGACCCACGAAAGAACAAAAGAAAATCCTGTAGCAATAATGAAAAGGGGGCTGTATGTATAGTACAAAAATAAATTATAGAACACCTTCCCATCCAGGCCTCCTCATTCGAGTCCTCGCTGTTCGTCCCCGTCTTGTGTCTTCTCCGTGGTCCCATTTCACCGTCCTTAGTGACTTGGTCACTACATCATTTGCCATTCTTCTTTTTGCATCGGCTGATCCGGAATCCTTCACCATGGCACGCCTTCAATCAATCCTCCTCCTGGTCCTTTTGACCGTGGTCCTCTTTCTCGCGCTTGCAGAGTCGGCCGCCGTGAAATTCCCAGCCAACAGCCTATCCTTCGACGACGAGACCTCCCCCGCTGCTGACGAACACGCCATCTCTCGCCGTGCAGCTCGCCGAAAGCCGCGGGGTTGGAAAGACAAATTCAATCAAGTGAAAAACGATGCAAAGAAACTGCAGGGAGATGCGCAAAAAAAGGCGCAGCAAGCAGTGGACAACCTCGGAAAAATGCCCCAACAGGTGGAACAGGGGCTGGTCGCCGCATGGGACAAAGCAGATATTGAAAACAGGATCTCGACCCTTCCACAGAGCTCTGTGGCCAAGTTTGAAGCGTTCAAGGACAACTCGAAGCTCATGAAGGAGAATATGGAGAGACTCGAAAAGATGGGGGGCAAGATGAAAGACTTCATGGCCAACGTGGACAAGGACGACTTGACCGAAATGCTACAGACTGGTCTCGAAATCACCAATGATATCCTGACCGTCTCATTAGCTGGCGTGACAGTGGCTGCACGTATAAAACAAGGCCTGCCGCCGGATGAGGTTGACGAGAAAAGACTGGATGATGCGTTTGACGCGATCGAGAAGAATTACAGAAAATACTCTCCAGCAAAGAACAAGGTTGTGGCGGTCGAAAAAGCCCAGCACATCCCGGAAGATGCCAGAGTTGTCGAGACCAAATATGTTTTTTCCGACGACGACATCGAGGTTTTCAGGGGGCTGATCGATCTGGCTGTCAATAAAAATGACCAGAGCGCTCGAAATTTGCTGAATAAATGGGCCAAACTTGGGCAGGAGGGGATTGCCGAACGGTTCCCGGCCCTTCCAGCGCCCGGTGACCAACGTGGACTGCGAGACTTCCTTGAGTGGTGCAATGGTTGCGGTCGTTACATTTGATATCAACGTGAAAGGAGAAGAAATAATTGACGGAATATACTGATAGGGGGTGAAGCCAGAGAATGACGAACGGTCTGATGCTTTTCTTATTCTTTGAAGAATCTTATATCTCTTGAATATTTCAGACTTTGCAAGTAATATAAGCGAAATACTGCCAAGTACCTCGAGGATGTAGGGCAGAAATTGGATGAAGGTGAGGAATGAGATGATAAGAAGCTAAAATACTCCAGATCACCAAGGGGGTTTTATCTTTAGTCCTTAGCTACTGCTTGACTGAATGGAGTTCTATATATGCCTAGTCTTCGCTTGGTGCTTATCGCTTTTGAAGTAGGGCGTTTCGTCCGAGGTTCAGCCCTACAACCTTGAAATGCTCTCATCTCCCAAACAGGAACTTGATCCTCGAACTCTGTTAGTCCACCTAACTGGTTTCATAAGTTTAAAGAAATTATACATCTTTTTCGCCAGCCGTGAGCCAGCCGTCTACACTCTGTATCAGGGAACTTTTCCCCGGGGTTACAGCAGAAGGGAGAGAGGCGAAAGCCTTGAACATAGACATGAAGACTATATACCCACGGGCGTATACTCGTTATCACAGAATAGTCCATGTACATAACTGACGTGATGCCAAAAAAAAAAGAAGAGAAAAGAAAACACCGCTCAAACACTCAGCACCGTAGAGCTCTTCCCAAAGCAGGAGCCCCGAAGTGCTGAAGTCCACACAAGTCCGGTGAGAGCGACAAGCTCTACAAAAACCCCGGACCAAATGTTATTCTGCGGCAGGTCATGCATTTCTCCAACTAGTCCTGTCTCAATCAAGCATAAGCTGCTCGATTTACATCTTTCTCACAACCACTTCTTCGCATCCGATCCCAGCGGCATGGGCATAACATCCCACCCAACCGCCACCCCATCAATAGAAACAGAATGGCGCACGGCAGTCATCTCCCCAAACCCAGTCTCGCGCGTCTCCAAAAGTTCAGGAGGAACATCCGTCGTACAAGTATAGTCCGGGGTCTGGAACCCAGATCTGCCCTCAAATTGCCCCAGCGAGCGAAGATACTTCATAACGCCAGCAAGCGAGACATCGACCTGCCACGACCCCCCCCTCGGTCGCCTGCTTGTACAGCGCGGCCATAATCCCCGACGCTAGGAAGTATCCGCCGGCGTGATCCAGCGCCTGACAGGGCGTCGGGCGCGCCGCTTCGCCGGCGCCGAAGTGCTCGGCCTCGGAGACGTTCATCCCAGAGCATGTCTGCACCAGCGAGTCGAACCCGCGTCGCTGCGCCCACGGTCCGTTGGGCCCGTACGCGGACATGTTGGCGCAGATGATCCCGCGAAATGGGAATCGTTCTGCTAGCTCGGTGGGAGAGAGTCCGCGCGAGCTGAGGCTGCCTGGTCGGAAGCCCTGGATGAATACGTCTGCACCGGCTAGCAGCGTTGATAATTCTTCTTGGTCTGTTTCCCTCTGCAAGTCTAGCTGGATGGTCCGTTTTCCACGCCCGAAATCGCGGTCTACGATGGGCAGATCGGGCAGGTTTGGGCTCGTTACCCAGAGGACGTCAGCACCGTGTGCTGCAAGGGTCTTGCCTGCTAATGGCGCGGCAATCACTCGAGACACTTCGAGCACGCGTAGCCCTCGCAGGCATTTGTCTGCGTTTGATCCTGATGCTTGCGAGGGAAGACCGGCTGGTGCGTCGCCGATTTTGTGGAGTAGGATTGGGAAGTCGGCGATGACTTTGGCTTGCGGGAGCACATCCCACTGATCATAGCTTCGTAGGGCGGAGATCACAAGACTTGAGTCGAATGCTGCACTTTCCAGATCGACAGACTTCCAATGAGAAATTTTGGCAGCGATGTCCGCGCGGGTAGCGTCCTGGACACAGCCGAGGAGTTCTTTGGCCCCGTCTCGATGATTGGGGAAGGAGTCGTGCAGACGAACATAGCCATCTGAAGTTTTGTGCAGACCGCCAATATGACTCGAGGGTGATGGCGCGGGACTGTTGGCTAATGTGTAAAGTCGCTCTGATTTGAACTCGACGACAGCGTGTTGCAGAGGCACCGTCACCCTCGGAGGCGCTGTTTTGTTTCGCAGGGCATGAATCTGAGATGCAAGCAAACCGGACAAAGCAATCGAGGCTTGAGCGAGGTGTCCGATCTTGAACGACGACGGTAGACCGAGCTGGTCACCGGTAATATCAAGAGACTTGAGCGCATCTTCTGGGAGTCCCAGGCCTTTCCAGATGTGCTCGACAGAGCCACGAGCAGACAGATGAGATCTCGGCGAAGACACCATATTACGCCCAGACTCGTCCGGGATCTGGATGGTCAGAAGAGGAGCATGCTGTTGTGTACCCAGCGTGTCTCGCTCGCCGGTAGTGCCCTGTTCCCATGGCCGTTTTATGGTGCATTTCCAGGCCAAGGCGGGATCGAAAAACGTGTTCGTAATGATTTTTTCTTTGGAAAGGTGGTAAAGGCCTATGATACGCTCGTTAGTCAGAACGCCTGCCCTTTTGATCCTCGAATAGGCCTCTTCCGAGTCACACATAATATCTAGAGTCAATTCAAAGGGACCGGAGTTCTTTGATCGAATCACCTTAGCGACATCAAGCATCTGGCACTCGCCCTGTGGAATAGATTTTGGTTCTACGGGCTCCAAGGTCTCTGAAGCAAGCTGCAGGCGCGTTGCCTCGTCAATACCTGGGACTTGCTCGTCTTTGGTCGGGTTGTCGAGACGGATATTGGATACAGGGAAAAGCGACACCTCTTCGCTCTGCTCGAGGTCCATCAGATGGTAAATATTGAACCGGAATGCTGGCCCAGCGGCGGTCTCATGTGGCGATAGAGGCGAGGCAAAGTTGCCGGTGGTTGCAACCTGGCCCTTGTAGGGCATGTGCAAGATGGATGCACGCCCGTTGTTCGCGATCGTGTAGGACTTCTCCTGAGACGGCGCAATAACCTCGCCCAAAATCCCAAGCTCATGTGCACTGACCGGAGCAGGCTCTAGCGGCCCCATGACTCCATTGCGGCCGTAGAAGTGGAAGAGGAGTCGGCAGTGCGGTGACTGATCGAGTTCTGGAAACAGTTTCTGCGAGTACTCACGCACCTGGGCGAGGAACTCGTCGATTTGCCCGATCAAGATTGGATCACGAATACCTCCGATGAATATGGTGCGATACCCGAGCTTCTCGACGGCCTCCAGTTTCACTTGGTACGGCGTTGGGAGAAATTGTGCACCACGCACACGGACTGTCTGTTCTGTAATTTGTTCGTACCTGGCCTCGTCAAGGACAAGCACACCTCCAGGCCCTGGGAGGCGATCCGGTCTGGTTTTCTCGTAGAGAGTGTGCGCGGCGACGGAGAGGGGAGTGCAGCGCTCCTTGGGTGACAGGGGAGTAAGATCGAACGAGTCCTTGCGCACGGTGGCAATCATGGACCGGCCTTTGGGGATCGCACATATGAGGCCGCATTCCATGATCTTGCCCATATGCCATGCCACTCCCGGCTCGACACCATGGTAGATCGAGAAAGCAGCGAAGGGTGCAGGGTCGTAGGAACGACCTCCGAGGATAATGTCAGGGTCAGACTCCAGAGCCTTGAGATATCTGCTCGCTGGTTAGCCACGGCTACACCGAAGAATGACAAACAAATTGATCTTACGGATCTGCACCCATCTGCGCGACGATATCAATCGAGCGATCCACGCTGTCGGCAGTCAACTCCTCGACGGGACCACACCCACTGACTTTGTGTCCCTGCACGTGCTCCTTGATGAGTTCTTTCTCCACCCCGGAGCGGATAGTCGCGACATTGAATGAGAGCCCATGCCGACTGGCGATTTCGCGCACCATCTCCAGCATTTCCTCGACATGCTTATCACTCCCGTCGCCTCCGACGGAGCTCACCAGCACCTTGATCTTGCGGTGGAAGCAAGCCTGCAGGATTGGAGTGAGGTCGCGGATATATGAATCACGTCCGCAAGTCATCTTGTTCAATCCCAGCTTGTACGGGCCGCCATCGGTCGAGCCGCTGTCGACGATGATCGCCTTGGGACTGAACGTCTCGATGCCATACCAGAAATGCTCCGGGCGGTAGCCATAGCCACAAACCCAGCATGGCATTCGGCGTGAGGATATTGAATTCCGCCATGGCGACCAATTTGAAGGCTCATTTGACTGTGAGGGAGTTTGCCTCTCTTGTTGTTCTGAGGGGATTTGAACTATTAGAACGCGGAGCGCATAGTGGGACATCGGTATCTTCCCGAGATCGACCATCTCAGAGTATAAACCTGTTATGACCGACAGCATAGGGTACATCTCGCGTATGGAACCTTCTGTGAACTCTGTCCTTGAAGTCAATATCCAAACACCTGAGATGACATCTATGCAATCCATCTCTCATGGCCTCATTGACCAAAACATAACCAAGTACTTTTTATTACCATACAGCTATACAACCCAAGCCCAGCTTGCTGCACATACCCATGCGCTAAATAGTCGGCCTCGTCGTAACTGGGTGGAGACCATCTTGAGCTTCTTCGGAGCCCTACTACTACATCTATGCCAGGTTCATTCTCGTTGGCTTATTTTGTCCTGGGGTTAATTCGTGGGGCAATATTGGTGACTAGCTTCTCGAGATACCCTTATCATGAGACAGCTCCCTTCTCCAGAAACTTAAGAATCTGGTCAAAACCCTCGGGCTCCTTAATCCAATGTCCATCTCCTTCTGCCCCTCTGAATTCCGACCATTCGACATGGGGCATGACTCGACTCAAAGCCAGAGATGTCTGCCGGCCCAGTTCCACAGATACCCACTCATCGTCCGCTCCATGGCCCAAGAAGACCGGAGTTGATACAGCAGACGTGCTCAGCAGTTCGTTGAAACCGGTTGTCTTGTCTTTGGCAATGGTATCCAAAAAGAATCCAGATACTAGTCGCAGGCTCTGCGTGCCAGGACTCTCAGACGACTGCAGTAAATCCTCCAACTGCCGCGCAAAAGGCAGCCAGCCACAAAAGCCAAGAAGACCACCGAGCGGTTCAGGAATCCGACCTGTTGCGACACCACCAAAGAACGTCCACAGAGCTGTAGCGATTCCTTGACTGATACCTCCAAGATAGACACGACGGTAATCGCCTCCTAGCAACTTGACCTCGTCATCCAGAATCTGGAGGATCTGCTCAACGGACTCTCTCAGTCCGGCGACCTGCAGGTCTTGTTTTGCGTGGATGTCATCCAGAGAGTAAGCATCGAACCAGGCGCACATCTCCTCTTGGAACGTGGTGCTCCATCGGTCGCGGGCTGTTGGGAAAACCCAGCGCCAGCCGGGCAGTCGAGTCTTTAGGTTGTCGCCTGTGGAGGTTGCGGATTCGAAGAGCTCCTCGGAGAACTCGGGGCCATCGCTGCCGCGGCCGTGGAGCAAGATGACGGTATGGGTGTGCGGGGTTTGAGGGTCGTGGAATGCTGGGAACTCCATTTTTGTGTTTCGATGAAGAGCAATCTGAAAGATTTGAGGAGTGTGTCCCTTGTTTGCTTGCAATCAGATTAGCTCCAGCATGCCATGTGTATTGGAGCTATATTGCGACCTCGCGCGTCTCTTGCTGTGGTTTTGGTAGGTGAGAACAGGCAATGATCTAACTCTCGGAATATCTCATCGAACCAGAGCCTTCTGGTGCCTCGAAATTTGATCAGTTTCTCATTGCGCTGGCGCCATCAGCTGATATCACTACTCAATATATATCTAACATAGATCAAAAGACCGCTGTTGCTCTCCAAGGGCCTAGACACTTGACAAGGCCACACAGCATGGTCGTTCTGCGCCATTGATGCGTATGTAGCTTATATCCCCAAGGCCTCTCCGTAATTAGGGACGTCAGCCCTGGGTCAGGCATGAATATTGAAAAAGATGATTTGAACTTGATGCCATCTTCTACCAATGCAAGCGCGCGGGAACCGAGTCAAGGCTCTTGTATCATAGGATACGCTGTCCCGCCGCTCTTGAAGTCGCAACAGCTTGGCAGGGGATTGAGTGACGCTTAGGTACTATATGTATGCGTTGGCGGGAACTACCCAGGTAGGCAGCGCGGCGGCTCCTGGACAGAGCCCCTCTGAGGCTCTTTTTCTCTCTTCCCCCCTCTATAAGATGGCCTTTGGTCCCTAGGAATTTTCTGTCGTCGAACTCGAGCTCGTCGAGCGAGCCAATTCCCACAGGGTGCTCGTAGAGGGAGGCGAAGAGGGTGCCGAGGTGGAGAACTTTAGAATAGAATGAAGTCGCTGAAGAGAGGGAGATGTTCTGGTCTATGGGGTAATGGTATAGTCGGATCTGTGCTCTTGACACTCGGTCTGTGCTGGTGATGTACATACCTAGTAAAAAAAATAAGGGTCCTGTTTCCAACACAACGCAGAGAGCTCCCGTGCCCTGTTCTGCGGCCTTAGAAGGGTTTGACAAACCAGAAAGCATATTCTCCACTTGCAGCTCATCCCGATAGCCCTCGAATACTTGGTCGACCACATCAGCGAGCCATCGAATCATGCTGCGAACCGTGTAATGCAATTTGGTGTACTCCCAGGCTCCGGGAAGAAGCCTGCATTCTCCCAGTCGACAATCCCAGTCACTTTGCCGTTTTCTGCAAGAATGTTCCTGGATTTCAAGTCACCATGAGTGAAGACGACTGCGGGTGGAACGGTATGCGACTTGGCCGCGTGTTTCCGAGTGTCATCAGTCATTGTTGTCATGAAAGTCGGACTCTGTTCGAAAACGCAATTCCTCCGACCGGCTGTCAGGGATGCACCAGTCTAGGATCCCTCCGCCCTCGGAGTTGCAGATTTGAAATTTGCTGCCTTGGTTGGGGATCGCTCGTAGCTCGATGACATACCGCTTGAGGTCGGTCACAACGTCTTTCACCTGCACGTCGGTTATCGTATTGAGAAGCTGGCCGATTGGACGGGACCCGTGACATGAGCAAGTAAGAACTATCATGGGTTGCTAGAACATCAATCGCCCTCGGTACGGGTATTTGTGTGAATTTCTCTCCCATGCCGAGGGTATGCGCCTCGGCCCGATGCGCCGCCGGCATTTGCAGCATTGCCCTCCGTAGATACAGCCCAAATGGCAAGCGTTGGATTCTCGCGGAAAGGGGCCATCCATAGAGGTGGGAACCAATCAAGAAGAGCCTCTCATAGATGGTGAGTCGAACGAAATATGGCAGAGCCGTCCATAGTTGTCTGATGGTCCGAAATAATGGCCTGGCCATCAACTAAAAAATTGAGACGTTTGTCTGCCTGGGAGCTCTTAGACACGATTCGGGAATAAGGAGGTTGCAACTTACCAGGCTGGTCCTGTCGTGCTAGCATGTACTTTCCTGCCTCCATCCATGCCCTGATTTGGAAAATAAGGCGTGAAGCTCAAGGAAATTCTTGTGTGGAATTGGGTTTTGATTAGCGGTCTTATCCTCTAGGAGTACCCTCTTCGCTGAAGCAATGGGCATTTCACTCCGGATCCTGTACCGGTTGGTGTTGAATTTATACTCCCTACAAGTTAGTGCTCATGTGTAAACTAATATGATGTTAGCCTACGCTCTGTTTGTGGGCTGAACAGCGTTTCTCCCAGCTCCGGATTTTGAGCCATACCTCGCCAGCCTCTAGAAGTTCGAATGCAGGGATGGATAGCAGCCAAAGATTAACCAGCCTCTCCATCGGCTGTGGGCTCAAGGCAATGATTGACCGTAGAGACTCCACGGAATCTTTAGACAAAAAAAAAGCGTTCATTTGCCCAGAGAGGCGGTTCTTGTGAACCGATGTCAGCTAAGACCGTATAAAATGGAGTGGGACATACATACTCCGACCACAAAATCTGGACCGACCAACACCCGTGGGGAAATTATGTGCACATAACGCAAGCCAGCGTCCTCGGACGATTTAAAGGATATCCCTGTGAGACAACAGTGCCCGCCGTCTCTCTCATATACCAGCCGCTTGGTCTCAGCGGAAAGGCCCGTTGCTACAGTAGGACGAACTACACACACATAAGCCGGGCATGAAAACAAGTATGGTTATTCAAATGTAGTTCTGTTATGCTTACACATGTTGACCAGATATTTCCAATCCGAAAGAAACTCCCAAACTGTCCTATTTGGGGGAGTTTGCGAATTACCACCGACTGCTGTTTCTCGCAGAAAGTAGCGGGCTGCTTCCTGAAGATCTCGGGTATCTGTGAGAAAGGCGCCCAGAATGGACCGGTCAGGATGTGGCAGTTCGCTGATGGCCAAAAGGGCTTGCTTGGTATTGTGGGGAGTGATGGTCCTGGTAGAACAGCTGGGAGGCTGAGCCCCGGATATTGCTTGGAACGGCCATGTAGAGAAATATCCAAAGAAGCTAGCTAGCTTCCTAAATAATTCAAGGTTCGACAGACATCTGGGAAGTATAGGAAAGAGAAATGGGTAGGTGAAAGAGAGGGAAAGGAAACAATGAAACCACGTGATTCCATCCAGACATGATTCACGTGACACCTCAACATGAAGTATTTGGGGCCTAACCGATTTGGGGGAAAAGATCCTTGTTCAGTTATCTTGGATCGAAAAGAAAAAAGTTGAAAGCGGAAGGAAAGACCCAGAGTATAGAACCGAGCTGTGATCAATGCAAGAAACCATTGCGGATGTAGGACATGAGGACCGGAAACAGCCAGATGGATGCAAATGTATGAAGATTGCCCATATATCTTTGAGCTTATCTGACTGACTTGGACACTTCCCCTCATGAAATAATCCCCTCATGACATTTCCCCGCTCTTTCTGATATCGGATCCGCCTGCCCTAAGACTGCCTATTTGGGACATCAAATCCGATCTACTTGCATGATAGGATCGCCTTGCCTTCTGTTCAACCTGAATGCGCTCTGGTATGACAGGAAGCGAATCCGATATAAAATATACCATTCCTCGAGGATGAAGCGGTAGCATGTCTTGCTCTGCGCTTCTACCTCTATAGATACCACAACCCAAACCAGCAAATATTTTGAAAATGGCAACAGCATTTAGTTACCACGCCAAGGCGCAATCTACCTTCAAGCCGCCGCTCATTGCGAACGAAAATGCCTTTCTAGGCGATGTCTTTTCCAGGTATGGCTGACAAGACAACTCTATACTACCTAAGACCTGGCTAGACTATGTCGCTCATACGCTATAGTGACAAGGACAACGCAGAGAAACCTGTCTCATGTGGTTTCTACCGGCTGGAAAAGGGCACCCCGCTGGAGTATGAATACACGTACGACGAGATGAAAATCATCCTGGAGGGCCAATTTGAAATCTCCGATGAGACAGGTCAGAAAGTGACTGCCAGTCCCGGCGATGTGTTCTATTTCCCCAAGGGATCCAAGATCACTTTCACCACGGACAATTATGGCCTGGCGTTCTATGTGGGTACTTTCCAGGTGATAGTTTCTCGGAGGTTATTGTACTGACGACCGGGGCAGACTGGCCAGCGGGCGGAAGGAGCGGCGTGAATGTGACAGGTAGAGCGTCCCTTGAATAATTGAATGGCAATCCATGTGAATTATTGGAATTTTCACCCATTAATTGGAAAATATTGAAATGGTTCTTTTCACTTCGGACACGCCGAACAAATCCATGGTTGTGCCTGGGGCCGTGTTTGGATCATTCCCGATGCGGTAGTTTGCTTACCCGTGTGTGTGTAGAAGATTCAAGCCCATGCTGGTATGATTTGAGAGATCTGGCTGTTCCTGTCTGGAAAATGGAAAAATATTCCTGTGCCCTGCCTTACAACACAGAAGCTGTAAGACACTTAAAACGTCCAACCCCATTGTCCGGGACTTGTGAAGAGCCGATCCTGCCCAGGGGAACCTGCAGAGCCACAAACTCGATCCTGGTGGAGTAGGTTCAGCTGGTGTCGATAAACTCATCCCGCTCTCGTCACCTTCGTAGCCAAACAAAGGCCACTATTTCGGCGCTAGGCGTGCACAGCCTGAGTGTGTATGACGTGGGGGGGGGTAAGTTGCTACGGCAACAGCAGGCGAAGAAGGGGGATCGAGGGGAGAAGGGAATCAAGATCGAATTCGATCTCGGTGGAGTCCATCGGGTGTGAAACCTAGAAATAATAAACATGCTATGAAGCCCAGATACGAAGAGACAAAGCCTCTTTTTTTTCCCGCGCTTTTTCTGCAACCCGACGTGGCGGTTTAAGACTTTTGGGCGACAGGCGCTAAATCGCTTATCAAGGGGGCATCAACAACTCACCCCTCTATCGCACCGCTTTCTCCATCCACGCCTCATCCAACCATGACTGTCGGCATCTCTGAGTCAGACCGCGGTCTACGACTGCCAAACCCTCCTCCACTGTTGCATACACGTTCGGGCAATGAAACCTTTGATCGTCCCACCACGCCCGCCGAGAATGGCTTCACCAGTCCCCCGCAGACGCCCCAGGGCAGTCCCAGCAAGACTCGATTGCCACCCGGCGCGCTCGATCTGCCCAACGTGTTTGACAAGGCTATGAAGCTGACTCCCACATCGCCGTCTCAGACGACTCATAACCACTTCAACCATCCTATGTTCACCAACAAGAATAACTCGGAGGACTTGAACGAGAGCGTCATTCATCAGCGCCCGACCAGCCCGACGCGCCGCGCCAATAAGGAAAACACGCCTCCCAACTCGACTCGCTTGGCCAAGGACCTGGGAACCAACCCGACTCCGGCGGCGCTCTCTCGTCAGGAGCCATACCAGCCCCGCGATGCTGACACGACCAAGCGTCAGGTTCAGCTGCGTGGGCTGAGTCCCGAGGAGATGGAGAAGCTGCAACAGCCCCGTGTGAAGCGTCTGGTCAATGTGACACAACTTTGTACGTGTGAAACTTCGATTCGGGGTGTGGATTGCGTGTACTAATGCCCGACGGCAGACTTCCTCGACCACTACTTTGATCTACTGAGCTACGTCCACAACCGCCAGACGCGTCACTCTCAATTCAAAGCCGCCTACCCAGATCCTCCTGCCACCCCTGCCGAAGAACATGAACCGGCCCTCCTGAAATACCTCGGTCGCGAACGAGCACATCTGCGCAAGCGCCGTACCCGTTTGCGCCAGCATGACTTCCAGATCTTGACCCAGGTCGGCCAGGGTGGCTACGGGCAGGTATACTTGGCACAAAAGAAGGACACGCGGGAGGTGTGCGCGCTCAAGGTGATGAGCAAGAAACTGCTGTTCAAGCTGGACGAGATCCGCCACATCCTGACGGAGCGCGACATCCTGACCGCGGCCAAGAGTGAATGGCTGGTCAAGCTCCTGTACGCGTTCCAGGACCAGGACCAAATCTATCTGGCCATGGAATACGTGCCAGGAGGTGACTTCCGTACGCTCTTGAACAACACCGGTGTTCTCCACAACCGACACGCGCGATTTTACGTGGCAGAGATGTTCAGCTGCCTCGATGCCCTCCATGCTCTCGGGTATATCCATCGTGACTTGAAGCCGGAAAACTTCTTGATTGACTCGACGGGACACGTCAAACTGACGGATTTCGGTCTGGCTGCTGGCATGCTGAGCCCGGGCAAGATCGAATCGATGCGCGTCAAACTTGAGGAAGTGGGAAACACGTCAGTGCCCTTCGGACGACCGATGGAGCAGCGTAGCATGGCCGAGCGACGGCAGGGCTACCGCACGCTGCGCGAGCGTGAAGTCAACTACGCCAAGTCTATTGTTGGATCACCCGATTACATGGCGCCTGAGGTGCTCAAGGGTGAGGAGTATGATTTCACGGTGGACTACTGGAGTTTGGGTTGCATGCTATTCGAGGCACTGGCCGGCTACCCACCATTTGCAGGCGCGACCGTGGACGAGACGTGGCAGAACCTCAAGCGGTGGCAGAAGGTGTTGCGGAAGCCCGTGTACGAGGATCCCAACTACTTTTTGTCGCGTCGGACGTGGGATTTGATCACCAAGCTGGTTGCCGCCAAGGAACAGCGCTTCAAGAACATCCAAGAGATCCACGCCCATGACTACTTCAGCGAGGTGGACTTTGAGCGGCTGCGTGAACAGCGTGCGCCGTTCGTGCCCGAGCTCGATTCCGAGACCGATGCCGGGTACTTTGATGACTTCAGCAGCGAGGCTGATATGGCCAAGTACAAGGAAGTGCATGACAAGCAGCGTGCATTGGAGGAGATGGCCGAGCGCGATGACAAGATGGGCAAGGGGTTGTTCGTCGGGTTTACATTCCGGTATGTTTTTTTTTTTCTTTTCTTTTTTTTGTCTGAGAAGTGCTCTAACTAATTCTGAGTCTAGCCATCGCAAACCCGCCGTGGACAGTTCGGGTCGCACCTCGCCGCGCAAACCGATTGCTACTGATGGCAGCTTCGGGACGATGTTTTAGCCCGCTGGGGGGATCTATTGAGTTTCTTCTCTTCTGATGTTACGCTGGAGCCCCGGTTGACGCCCGAGCTGGATCTTGGTGTCATGGGTCTAGTTGTTCGAGTATGAGTTTAATGGCGCTTTCTGTTTGTGGTCTTGTGTTTTGTGCGTTGATGGGAGTTTTCAATTCGATGCTTGTATGATACATACATAGACCGGGCGCTGCCGGCATGAATGGATTGTATGATTGATCAACGAAGGGGATTGTAGCTAGAGTGGAGTCTGGATATGACTGCACTTAGTTCTGCGGCAGCTGGCGCACCATACGCAGGATCTCGGACTCGCCATCGCCGATAACAGCGCGGCCGTTGACCCAGTCGACAGTCTATAAATTAGCATCGGTATACAATAAAGCATTGAACATAAGAGATAGAAAGGGTAGAAAGAAAGGAAAGAAAGGAAAAGGGAGAGTACATACAACAGGTCTCACAAACCGCCCCTGATCCTCCTTAAACTTCTTCAACGCATCCTCCGCATCGCGCGCCTCTTTCACAAGCTCCGACACCGCATACGTCGTTTTCTCGCCCTGCCCGCCGACCCCGCTGACCGGCGAGATGTAGTCGAGGATGCTGCGCAGCTGGTCCAGCGTCGGCACATCCGTCGTCACCTCCAGCTCGAACTCGCCGCGCTGCTGCCTGGCCTGCGTCGAGTAGTCGCTGGCCTGGTCCTCTGTTGCGGTTTCGGCGGCCGTTGCCGAGGCTTGTTTGAGGATGTTGAGGGTGCGAGTTGAGGAGGCTAGGGTGGGGGAGTGGAAGAGGGTGATTGGGTCGAGGGTTTTGCTCTATTTTTGGTTAGTTTTTGTCTTCTGTTTTGTGTTGTCTTGCTAAGGTGGGTTGATTGGGTTGATTGGGTTGGGTCATTGGGTCATGGTCATTGGGTAATTGGTTTTTAAGCCATTGGAAACGGTGGAAAGGATTGAGTGTTGTTGATAGTGTGTAATTTGAAACGACAAACTTGGAATCACGTACGAAGCGGAACATTGTGGTGGTGTTGGTGGAATGGGGGAGTTGTAGGAGGCAGAAGTTGACAGTCCGCTCGCTGCAGCTTTCCAAGGCTAAGGGGATGATGTCATCCGGTTGCTCGGGATCACCTGTCCACCCGTCCGTGTATGACTCCGACCTCGACTGGGCTCTCCAGGGCTATATAGCCTATGGGCAACTGCAACTGGGCAAGGAGTGATATCTCTGCGAAGAAACTAGACATTAAGATATAATTCCCTGTTACTGATATTCTTCCGAACCTTGCAATGGACATGTATTTACAGCATTGACCCTACCCTTGGTATTTCTATAAACATTGTATAGTTTCTACACAATTTTGATTAAAAAGTGGCCAAGCTTTGCTTCGAGACTATGCTCGATGACTCGATCATACCCCTAAAACACACTACATGCACCAACAGAACGCCGAGGTATCTCAACCAGCCACAAACTATCTACCACCCGAAATTCTCAACATGCAAATATATTCCCTGTGCCCCAGTCCCCTTATGCACTGCCCGCTCGTCACTGAGAGACACCACACTCCGCCGCACATCGTCTGCTAGCCCGCGAGGCCCACAGACAACCACTGCACTCTCGCCCTCGGCCTTCTCCAGGACATTGCGGATGATTGTACGTGGATGAGGACGGCGTGATATCGCTGTCAGATGTATGACAGCAGGGTTTGAGGTTATTTCCTTTGATTCCTCTTCCCGTGTGGCTGGGGCAACATTTCTCTGCTGGATCGGTGCTGCGCCTGCGCACGTACATGCGCATGTGGTGACCTCGTCCTCGTCCTCGATTTGCGTCGTACAGCAGCACCCACCGCCGGGGACGCTGCATTTTCCTGTTGCTGCAGGAGTACTGGAAGCTGATCCTGATTCTGTAGAGACGGACCGGATCGAGACTTTTTCTTTCTCAGTAACCATCTTCTTATCAGAATATGATGGCTCGGGTGCAGTAAGACCCTCTGAGAGCGGTTGTTGAGCCGGTGAAACTGTAGTATCTGGGTCCAATTTCTCGTCGCATGTGATATAGATGCTCACGTCGATTTCCTTGTCGAAATCTGGTCGTGTGCGACGACACTCATCCACGTCTGCCAGCGCTGACTGCAGCTGGGTCTCGAACAAGCTTAGCTGGGAGCGCGACTTAATCACCCATACAAAGCGCAGTCGCTTCGTCGCTGCTAATCGTCCGGTGCGTCTGGATCTCTGCTGTATATTGTCTGTGCTGTCCATCTTCCATGCGGAGACGATATCTCGCAGCAACGGTATTGAGAAAGTCGCACCCATTCCGCCTGCTAGCAGAACGACACTGTCGAACTGGCGCAAGGGCCGCATCGTCCCATAGGGACCTTCGATGAACACTATTTGATTGCAAGCAGTGGGTGTTGTCTCCCCAGCCCCGAGCACGCGGTCATTCTTCGACGCGTAGCGGAAGAACCGTCTCGTCCCGCCATTTTCAGCCCGGACGAAGAACTCGATCTTGTTGTCTTCGGGGAGAGATGCAATGGTAAAGGGGTGGCTTTGCAACGGCACAATGGAATGGCAGGTGAGGAATACATGCTGGCCCGGCTGCCAACTGACACCAGGTTTGTCGATAGTCACCCGCGTCACATTCCCAGGCAAGGGAGTAAACGACGCCGAGTGTGTCCACAGCGAATGCCTGGGAGTGCTAGTTGAATGGAAAATTGACAGATTGGCATATGCACCCCAAGCATATCGTGCAGCACGGTCAAAAACCAACAACCCAATAGGAATCCACACCCAGACCTTAACCTCGCTCGGCACATGAAGCCAGACAGCAACAATAAAGCCAACAAATGTGACCAGATGCTGCAGCACGAACACCTCATAGCTCAGCCGACGGATCGGCGCCAGCGACGCGAGCACGATAAACGTCAGAATACACCAGGCCGCAAAGCCGCGCTGGGTCAGCGCATCGTTGCGCAGCTGGTACGTGATGTAGTCATAGCGGCCCCAGTTGCGGAACCAGAACCCCATGTGGATGGTTGCGGTCAGCCACAGAGTGCGCGCGATCCAGCGATGGAACCAATTGAGTCGCGCGTAGCTCGTCCCGGCCAAGAACCCGATGATGTTCTGTCGTCCTGCCAGCAGGAAAATTAGTGGGAGCTGGCTGATTGCTATGAAACCTGTGCGGTAGCCGACGTCTTCCCATTTCCAGGGGTCTGTGGTCTCGAGCTTGTAGAAGCAGAGGACTAGTACCACGATCAGGTTGGCTAGGATGATGAGCACGGGGCCTAGTGGTGGGAAGTGGATGGTATGACGCCTGATGGTGAGAGGGTGAAGTGTGGCGTAGCTCACTTCTCGCGTCGTTGCTGTGACGGTGGCATAGGTGCTGAAGAAGAGTGATTTCGGCTTGGCGGGAGTGAGGGAAGAATCGTGCAGTCTGTCGATATTAGCATCTGGTTCGTAGTGACAAGATAAAGACATACCGATGTTGAGCAACGGCATGATTCAACACATTCGCCAGGGTTGCAGCCCCGATAGCGCTCCCCACGACGGCCCAGTACATCTTCTGCAGGTAAAAAAGGCTGGGGACACCAGCGCCCATGGACATTGCGCCCATCGGCATGCCCATTGACATGGACATGGTGTTTCTGAATTGTTCACAATATCTAGAAGTCCAACAGTTCGACAAGTCTCACAAAAGTCATGACATTGCTTATCAATAACCTGCTCATTCAACGGGCCAACGAAAATCTACTCAAATGCCGCGGTGGAGCCGGCCATGTGGCCCGCATCCGGTAGGGCAAGTTGCAGAATGACATGTTTGATTGACTTCTTCAAATACTCTCTTTTATCTTCCTTTCTACGCATTTCAACAATTCAACAGGGTTTCTCTCGGAAGATGAACAGCATGGACCATTCCATGAGCCCAGGCTCAACGGGCAACATGAACTCAACGAGCGCCGGCTCCATGATGGTCTTCACCAACGCCCACGACACGCCGCTGTTCTCTTCAGCCTGGACTCCATCATCATCAGGGAGCTACGCCGGCACTTGTATCTTTCTCATTGTCCTGGCTATGGTGGACCGCGGCCTCATCGCCCTCAAGGCCGTCCTGGAGCGCCACTGGCTGGCCGCTCACCTCAATCGTCGCTACGTCGCGATAACCGGCAAAACCAGCGAGGCCGGGCGCATTGACACAGACCCGGATGCAAAGATCGCCTCGCTGGTCACGGCGCAGGGTGTCGAGGAGTCGGTCAAGGTGGTGCGCAGTCTTTCCCATGGACCGATTCCTTGGCGGTTCAGCGTGGATCTGCCACGAGCCTTTCTTTTTCTGTGCATTGCAGGGGTGTCTTATTTACTGTATGATTTCCTCTTACCCTCCATTGGCTATTAAACCATGCTGATGGCGTGCTAATATTATGCTGATGCTATCAGGATGTTGGCGGTCATGACGATGAACGTCGGCTATTTCTGCTCGGTGCTGGCGGGCGCGTTTCTTGGGGAATTGGGCGTGGGCCGGTACATCTGGAATGAGCATGGCCATTGACGGGCATATCCCTGCATTCTTCAATCCGCATTAGGACAGCGAGCAGAAATGAGCATATTATCCAACTATCTTGGGACTAGCGTCTCGGGTATCTTGTATAAGGGTCCACGCTAAACTAGAAACAGACCCTGACGGGGCCTAATGAGGTAATTGAATCAAAAGAGTGTTTTTGTTAGCCTATTGGAGCTAGTGAAAAGCTAAACCCTCCGAAACCCGCCGGTATACACACTCTATAAACCTCTTATTGTTCGATTTCCCCCTTCGTAGTAAGCTACACACAACTTCCAATTCTATACAATCTTGAAAAATACCTTATTTACTATGAAGTTCTCCCTCCTTTCCCTGGCATTTCTCGTGCCCTTGGCCGCCGCTCACTTCCGCCTCGACTACCCAGAAGCACGCGGCGAGAATGAAGACCAAATGCCCAATTTCCCCTGTGGCGGGTTCTCGCAATCCTCGAAGCGCACCCAGCTCCCGCTCTCGGGCTCGATCCCCGTCGCGCTGACAATGAACCACATCCAGACCGCCACGCAGGTCCTGCTAGCCCTGGGTAATGACCCGGGGGATAATTTCAACATCACCCTAGTGCCGACCTTCCGTGTGAGCGGGCTGGGATCGTTTTGCCTGCCGCATGTCGCCCTGGACAAGAGTCGGCTGGGCACCAGCCTGACCGATGGAATGAATGGAACTATCCAGGTGCAGACGAGCGGTGACCCGACCGGTGGTCTATATTCTGTATGTTTTTCTTTTTTTCTTTTTTTTTTCTATTTGTAGCCCTTAGGTTTTGTTAGGGGGCTTTTTTATATGCAGATACTTACCATCTTCAGTGCGCCGACGTTCAATTCTTTTCAAATGCCACCTACCACGAGCCCTCTTCATGCAAGAACAACACCAATATCGCGGCGACATCTTTCTCTGGAGCGGCGGCCCAACGCAATGCTAATGAGTCTACTTCCGAGGGCCAGCCGCAGGGCGGCTCGAAGGGCGGCTCGACTACCTCCATGGGTGGTGCCGCGCCTTTGCAAACGGCGGCCTGGGGTGTTTTGGGTGCTGCCATCGCTGGTAGCATTGTTGTGCTATAGACAATTCTTGGTCATATAGCTGATGGAGCTAAAGGATGAAAAAAAAAAAAAAGATGGTATGGTTCATGATTGACGATTTCTAATTGATACAATGCGTGGACACACCATTGGATTGAATCGAGACTGGATCTGGTATCTCTGTACTTTTCTAGCTAGCCTTCTACAAGCTTTCCACGCTTCGTGATATAAAATATAAAAATACCCTACTTCAACCAACATCTTATTTTGTCTACGCAGAATCACGTGTTGGCAAAGTATTAGGCAACAATCCACCTGACTCAGAGTGATTCCGATAAATCAGGGGAAGTCCCTTTTGCATCAACAAACTTGAGAGAAAACAATAACATAATATTGCGCAACTTTGTGGCGGTATGGATCAATTCGAGAGGCTGCGGCCAGTTGGTGAGTTTTCCATCAGAGACTCGGCACGCCCCGCAGCAGTCATTGACTTCCACCTGGCCACTTGGAAAAATACTCGACCTCGCGTCACCAAGTCGGGTTTTATCTGAATGTTGCGGTGTCCGCAACATATGTTCTACCACACACTTTCACTCTACCGGTTAAAGACTATGTCTACCGAGCATGCGAGGCGCTCATTGCAGAGCATCCATCGCTGTCTGCCATCCCGGTAGACGACGATACGCAGCAGCCTTATTTTGCACGGCTGCCCGAGGTCAATCTGGACCATGTTGTGTCCTTTACACAGCGCCAAGCAGACTTCCCAGGCGTTCATCCCGGAAACAGTGATCCAGCGCCGGACCTCGACCTACAGGCTCTGCTTGAAACTCAGCACAATATACCATTTTCTGCCTCCAATGCCTTCTGGAGGCTTTGCATTCTTCTCAGCCCCGGGGCCAGTCACCGCTTCACTGCAGCCTTTGTATTCCATCATGCCATTGGCGACGGCAACTCGGGAAAAGCCTTCCACACAACCTTCGTGCGGGCACTGCACGCAGTGATGTCCACTGAGACCAAGTCCCTGATCAAGTCGCCCCAAACACCTCTCCTCCCCAATATTGAGGCTGTTCACCCACTTCCGCTGTCTTTCTTCTACCTGGCCAAAAAGGTCTTCCAGGCGAAGATTTGGTCTGGGGGCAGGGAACCCGGTCTCTGGACCGGATCCAAGATCCAGCCGCCCTCGCCAACGCACCTACGCCTCGTTCCATTCCCCAAGCAACTGGTTGAATCATTAATCAATCGCTGCCGCCAAGAGCGCACGACTATCACTGCAGTCCTGCAAACAGTAGTAGCCCGATCACTCTTCGCGAATCTCCCCGCCGAGTTCTCACGACTCAACTGCTCCGGCGCCCTCTCGTGTCGGCGCTGGCTCCCAGACATCATCACCGATGACTCAATGGGCGTCTGGGTCCAGGACTACAGCGAGACCTATTCCCGCGACAACCTCGCTCTTCCCTCCAACACATCCTTCCCGTGGACAGAAGCGCAGCGGTCTCGCCAGACGATCGAGGCTGCGCTGGCTCAGCAGGGTAGAGATTGTGGCGTGAATCTCTTGAAGTTCGTCAACGACTTCCAGCAAGAACTGTGTCTGTCGAAGCTTGGTGTAGATCGCGACCAAAGCTTCGAGGTCTCTAATATCGGTGTTGTGCGCTCCGAGTCGGATCCGTCGCGCCCAGAAATTCGGGGGATGGTTTTCTCTCAGTGTGCTGGTGTCATTGGTAATGCTGTTCAGGTGTCGGTTGCTACGGGTGGTGATGGGTGTTTGGTGCTGGCCTTTTCGTGGCAGGATGTTGTGGTTGAGGATGAGCTGGTGGATGCGGTTATTGGGTCGGTTAAGGATGATCTTTGTCTGGTGGCTGGTTATGAGTAATGTGGTTGTATGGTTTTCCTTTTGATATTGTAATGTTTAACAATGTGTAGTGTGCTTAGAATATATAGTGTCGAGAATGGAAAGAAAGCATATCAATTGATCCGCGTAAAATATCAGAAATGTACAGTCAGCCACCAGGGCATAAACGTGGAAAGATATCAGATATAAGTTCAGTAATGTGATACCTTACAAGTCAAATAAAGGGACTCCCAGATCAGATAGAGTGGCAAGTATTTAACAGAAAACCAGAGCGGCTTCAATTTTCCAACGAGAACAATTCTAGTCAATTCAATAACATATCACACTTCGCTACCATATTCTTTTAAAGACGTCTTAGACTTATTCGCACTTCTGTGATGTGGTGAAGGTGCTGCACTTCAGACCATCACAGCACTTGGGACCAGATTTCAGGAAGGTGTTGCACTCTTCGCCCTCTGTTTTCAGAATGAGTTAGTAGTATATCTTTGAAGTGTTTCCCACTGGGGTTCAGTGTTTTAAAAAGGCTGAGACTTACTCTGTGAACAGCTACGCTCTTGAAGAGGCGTGTCAATGGCAGCGGCATTGGTAAGGGCGGCGAAGACGCCGAAGGCGATGAAGGTGAGAAACCTCATATTGTACTTTTGTTTTTAATAGATTGTTCTTGGTAGTAAAGTAGATGGTAATGGAGATTCTCGGGATATAGATGAATTATCCTAGGAAATAACCTAATACTTATATTTACAAGATATGTACGCACAAGGGCATCATCTGCCCTAATAATGAGCAACTCTCGTGAGGCATTTTTGTCAATTTGGGGTAACTCTAGTGAATCCCTTTTATTTGGCAACAGGCAAGCTTCGGAGATAGTCTCGTGGGGTGCCGAGCCTCCAATAGATGTACGGCCAGTAGTTCCACACGGGCGAGGGGGCGAGGGCCCGATACTGATGAAGGATTTCTACGTCATATCTGGGCCAGAGAAGATCCTATCTTTTGGAATTCTACTGTAAGGTTTTGATCTCTAGGCAGATAGATACTATCAAGCTCCACGTCATCGCTCTGGCATTACTATAAAAAGATCTCTCATACTTCAACCGAACTAAACCCATAACCATCACAGCTTAGTAAAATTATAGCTCAGAGATAATATAGCTTACTTCAATAATCTTCAAACAGACTGCTAATATGCTCTCACTGGTGCTTTTACGCTGACCCGACATCCTTCCAAGGTTAAGTCGGTCTGTGAATCGACCCCAAGATCGGCCCCAACGTGCAGCCTTACACTACACAGCCTCGCATTTGCTCTCGAGAACCTACCTTGATCAAAGTGGACCGAATCTGTGGGGCTGAAATAGTACTAACAAGCTGAAGAGTACTGCCAAGTCTACTGTAATTGGACCTTTCTTACGATGTACTGCCAGCATTACAACACTTTATTGTAAGGTTCATCAAATCTGACTTTTACCAAGCTATACCTTGCCCTTGGCAGCCTCATAGTCTCTTCAGAGAATCATAGAACCATAAAATGATAAAGCTGAACCGCACTAGAAGGGGGTGGTGCATAATCCGTGAAAGCAGCTTTACCGGTTGTGGACGTTGCATGGAATTAGTTCTCGCCCCAGTGCGTGGGCTTCGGATCAGCATGTGCAACATCCAAAGTAACTCGTGCGAAGATTTTACGCTCTGGCGATCATCTGCTGGATGATCGGGGCAGCAACTGCATCCCCACACCTTGGCCCCGACTTTGCCCAGGTCTCCACTTCTTGTGATACACGCCCCGAAGCCCCGGGGGTCGACAATCTCTTGCCAATTTGCCAAAATAGGCAATCCAAGCCTCTGAAATAAATATTCTTTGCTTGTGATGACCCACAGTGTACAGCATGACTCGACGGAGAATTCTCAAAAGCGATGTAGTATGCTTGGGGCTCGTAGTGCGGCCAGCCAGATCAGATAGGGGGCCCCAGATGCGCTAAGGAGATATGGTTCAGCGAAATACATAATTAGCCATCGAAAAGGTCATACTACTTCTTCCAAGATACCAGCCGGCCCCTCCACTCCACTGGCAATATAGAACTTCCAGTCTTCGCCAACGGTAGTGCAACCAACCAGTAGAGGCAGGTCAACAACACGCGTACGTTGTGCATATGTCCACATTGGTAATCCCGTCATCCATACCTCGAGTTGAAATTGTGCTTTGACCAAATTCCCATCCGCCGCTTTGATCTCGATACCAGGGCCAAAATACGTTTCCCGGAGTGTGGATGCGAGATATGGCTGAAGTATTTTCCTGGAGCAGCAGGCCCCGCTTGTTCATAGTCGGCTTTCCAGGGATCCACGGGTAAACCAACCACTAAATCGATCTTGCGATTGTATGTATCACGGGCCGTGTAGCGAGGCTGATACTGAGGATCACCAGACTCTGTCTGACTATAGAATATGAGTTTCTGTGAGCAACAGATAGGCAACACGATGTGTTCAAAGCATCCCCGCACTTACATGTTCCAACATTCCAACGGCAGTTCAGCGATGGCTCCCTCCAATAGCGGCCCTGCCACCTTTATTAACCAAGAACCTTCGCTGCGCAGTTCAGTGGCGCATTGGCATGATGAGCTGGAAATCTTCCGAGCCACCCCTTGATCTTCATCTTGATCGCATTCGGAATCGTGTGATAGATTAGCAAGTAGCTCTCTCGCAACAAGACTCCCAGGGTCGGCCGATTCATGCACATAAACAATTCGGGGCGTGGCAGCGGCGAATTCAGCTTTCACGCGAGTTGGGCTGGATGAGCGTGATCTTCCACTGTGTCTGCTTATGGCAGAACTTGAGGGCGCGGATGATGCAAGGTCGTCGGGTAGGCGGGCGGAAACAGAAGATGCGGTTTCAGAAGCGGGCTGGCAAGGCCTTTTCACGGGATCTGGTGGCATCAAATACTTGACCTTGGAACATGATCGTCTGCGCTTGTACTGCGCTGCCGATGTTTAGGGAAGGCGCCAGGTTGCTGGCTGGTTTCTCCAACCGATCAGCATCGGGCGGGGCATTATGCACGCTCCTTGCAATGTCCTCGATTAGGGACTGAATAGCGGCGTTTTGCCCAGCACTCATCGGGATTGATGGGATGAATTATGGTATACACCGAGGTCCTGGTCTGATGGGCGCGTGGCAGATGTCGATTGAAAAATGACCTTTTCCAACAACCACTATATATATATATATATCACGTGATTGACATTGTTCCACTATTTTTTTATTTGGATTCTGATTGCAGATGTCTGTCAGAACCTTTGAAATTGTCAACGAAATAAGGTGGGTCTCATCCCCTCAAAGAAAGAATTAGCAGTAGGTATTTTCCGCTGAAAATTGACCTTGGCAATAGCTTCACCAGTGTGCATAGATCAATAGGCGGTGAGGTCATCGATAGCCTCAGCGGCAGAATTGTGGGGGAGGGGAGACAGCTTATCCACCATTATTCTTCATTCTCCTTGAGCTCATTGTTGAATCATCCTACCATGTCTCACCGCGCTCCGTTCGTCGTCCCGGCGCTCAAGAAGCACACCGCCACCGTGATCATGGCCCACGGGCTGGGTGACAGTGGCGCCGGCTGGATGGCGCTTGCCCAGAACTGGCGCCGCCGCGGCAAGTTCGACGAGGTTGCCTTTATCTTCCCCAATGCTCCCATGATCCCGATCACAGTGGTATGTTGTATGGCCTGGACAATTCTACACGATGCATTAGCTAAAGACAATCGCCGAGGATAGAACTTTGGTATGAGTATGCCTGGGTGGTACGACATTGCTAAGCTGGGCCGCGATGTAAGTACAATCCCCTCTTCTTTAATTTCTCTCATTGTATCCATTAGAAGTTTGTAAGCGCTCATTCTTTTCTCTTTGTTTTCAATAGCTCGACTTCGAAGAGTCCCTCCGCACCCAAGACGAGGCCGGCATCCTGCGCTCGCGTGAATACTTCAACACACTCATCAAGGAGCAGACCGACAAGGGCATCAAGCCCTCGCGCATCGTGCTGGGCGGGTTCTCGCAAGGTGGCGCCATGTCCGTGTTCTCCGGTCTCACGAACAAGGAGAAGCTGGGCGGAGTGTTTGGGCTGTCATGCTACTTGCTTCTCAGCGACCGCATCAAGAACTACATTGCCGAGGACTGGCCCAACAAGAACACGCCGTTCTTCCTGGCGCATGGATATGATGACGAGGTCGTGCAGTTTGACTACGGCGAGCGGTCGGCGAAGATGCTGAAGGATCTGGGCTTGGAGGATGTCTCGTTCAACAGGTACCCGTACGTTGTGTCCTTGATTCTCCTGTTTGGTTTCTTCATTTGGTTTTACTGACTCGACTGCTAGTGATCTCGGTCACTCGGCTGACCCCGCGGAGATTGATGACTTGGAAAAGTTCCTTGAGAAGACTGTCCCGCCCGAGGGCGACGGCCAAGCCTCTGCTGGGTTATGACTTGACGATAAAAATGCCGCGAATGCATCATGGGGACTGATCGTGGTGCTCGGGGTCTTGGTGCTGCTTTTGGCGATTGCATGGTCTAGATATCAGTCTCGGTCGGAGTCTGCGCGGAAGCAACAGTAGACGCAACAGTAGGTTTGTGTTTACTGCCTTTCACATTATATCAATGCATTTTTTGATGTAAGGCTAGAGGATTCTGGTAACCCTCTAGTATACCGACAGTCAATTAGGACCGGCCTATGAGAAGTCTCTGAATAGTCTCTGAATAGTCTCCTTATAAGCACTCGCTCTCCTTTTGGTATCCCCTCTAACTCATCACTGCTCGCGGGGTCCTCATTGCTCGCGCCACCGTATCCTCAATAACGCGAACCATCTCCTCGTTGCTCTTCATATCAAACGGCACCATATGCTTCGAGCCGTGGTCATAGAGCGCCGCCTTCGACGGCTCGCACAGCGTATAGAGCTTCATACTCTCGGGGTACAGCGGATCTTTCTTTCCTACGATGTGCGCCGTCGGGATCGTGATGGCATACGTGTCCGGCTGCGGCGCCAGCTGCTCGATCCCGGAACTCTCGTACGGTGCGCCGCCGCAGATTAACACGGCGGCTCGGAATAGCGGCGCCGTCGCCGGGTTGGTTTTGTCGTGGTGCACCAGCATCGCGGCGGCCAAGGCTGCGCCTTGCGAGAAGCCCATCACGGCGTCGAAGGGACCTTCCTCGGCGAGGATGCGGTAGATGTGCTCGAAGGCCTCGGCCAGGTGGGATCTGGGGAGGTCGGGAGAGCGTGGGTAGTGGTTGTGAAATGGGCCGTCGACAATGCCCTCGAGCTCTGTGGGTTGTTAGAATCTGTTTGTTTCTTTGTGTCTTCTACCTCCCTCTCTTTCGAATAAGGGACATGCTCCGCTCGACATACCCTCTTCAACCTTGGCATCCATCTTCCCGTTCACAAACTTGAAGCGATGGCCCTTCTTCTCGAGCTCCGCTCTCAGCCCGCCTGTTTGGATCTCGAAGATCTGGCGGGGTCGACGTGATCAGTCGGGAGTGTTCCAAACATGGGCGACTGCGACTTACTTCGCTGTTTGTGCTGGCGCCATGCAGACAGAGGAACCGCATTATGATGATTTTATGGTTCTTTTCTTTTTGTTATCCGCAGTTCAAGTGGAAGAGGAGATCAATTCAAGCTGAGTGGGACGAGGGAGACGCCGTGGAAAGTAGTCCGACTTCAAGCGTATCACTCGAGGGGAAGGGACGGTGTTTCCCGGGCGATCAACTTGTTTTTCCGTCGCCTCGAAATCACCTAATGCCTTTAGTGCGTTGATCCTTACTGACGGCCACAGCAGTCAATAATGGCCGAGGCGACGGCAGAGCATGCAGACAATAGACCCGATGCATGCAGGGGGGCGCGGGGCTGAACAACGCAGCATTTTCGCCTCGACATCGCAGGACATGTGCACTTATTGTACCTTATCTGATTAAATGCCAGCAGACTCAAATTCAGTGATTATGATGAGGCTGGTCAAGTAAAGAATGATCCTCATTAAGTGCTGATGCCTCTGTTATATGGATACCCCGAACTCGCTGAACTCTCCGATCCGATCCAACTCCACCTCGATCTACAGCATATCTGTTCTTTCTTATAAAATGACACGACTCCATTGCAAATATGCCATCGCAATTCACAACATGTGAGGCATGCAGAAGGCGAAGGCCTGTAACCACAACTGAATCTGCATTATCAGATCTCCAGGCAAAACTCTAGACATGATAGTCATCTCATGCAAACCCATATTGAATGACATGCGCAAAGATCCTCACACCCTCTCCCAAGTCTTCCTTGAGTGCTGCTGCGAAAGTCATCCGGAAATGAAGTTCATTGTTTGGGTTCTTGTTGCAGTGAAACAGTCCCTTGGTAACCGGCGCTCCATTTGCCAGCGTCGTAAATGATATTTTGGATTCGAGGTCGTCTATTTGAATTTGAATATATTGTTTATCGCGGTGACTCTCTATGCGAGCATGTTTTCTCCAATCCAGGGTAATCCAGAGGAATGCACTTTATGCCGGTTCAACCCAAGCGCAAATCTCCTTAGGCAGGTATCGATCACACGCCCTCGGCAATATATATTCCAGCGACAGATGGTCAGGCCAGGAGAAGAAGCCCCGGTGACCCCAGCTCTCTATTTATGCTGCCTCTAGACTAAATGGTATAAATCAGGTCTGGGATAATGGAGCCTCTTGTACGTGTTATAATACTAATACAAAGATCAATATACATATAGTAGCCACTCTTTTTTTTTGATTGATTAATTTGTAAAATTAATAAACCCGCAGAGTTGATATCTACATCAATACTAATAAGGAGATTTTCTGCCAGATAAAAAATGGCGTATATCGTTTTTTTCGTGAGTGCCGCTATTTACTGCCTTCGGGGTGTCGGCATCCTTTGTGGCTCCGAATGTTATGCGATTATCTTCATGCGACATCCTTCGTGGACTCTTGTGCCCGCCGTCATGACACATATAGCCAAAAAAATTACAGGATCTTTATTGGAGCTCGACTAAGTTGTCTCTGTGTACCAGACTAACGATGCGAACAAAGAACCAAGCGATGCCGCTAGTGGAACTCTGATGGGCCCCGAGAGGATCACCGTGCTCATAGATAAAAAGCCCGATCGTCGACCAAGGGGGATGATCGTTCTCCATCTACTCCCATTCGCATAATGGAGTTTCGCGACCTTGCTGCCACCGGGAAATTCATCACGTACAGCCTGCGCCATCCCCTGGAGGGATGGTTGAGCTTTGGGCCGTCCCTGAACGAGGCCACCTTTGGGTTGCTGGGCTCCTCGTTTCATCCGGATCGCGATATCGCCGATCTCAATGGGAAGGTCGTTTTTATTACAGGTGGTATGTATAATCCTTCCCTCCCTTCCTTGTTTTTGATGGTTCACACATCTCCGCAGGCAATGCCGGCCTCGGCAAGGAGACCATCCTCCAACTCGCCAAGCACCGGCCAGCGCGTATCTACCTCGGTGCGCGCACTGAGAGCAAGGCTCTAGAAGCGATCAGGTCAATTAAGGCGGCGCTGCCCACTCCCGTTGAAATTACATACATCCCGCTGGATCTGGCATCCTTCCGATCTATCCGCGCGGCTGCCGCTCAATTCCAGTCGGAGAGCGACCAGCTGGATATTCTCATCCTCAATGCGGGCACAATGGGTAACCCGCCGACCAAAACCGAGGACGGGTTCGAGGTGCAGCTCGGCACTAACCATGTCGGCCATTTCCTGCTCACCAAGCTCCTGCTGCCCACCCTGCAAAGTACCGTGACCAGCGCCCGTGCCCGCGGCGAGGACCCCGATGTCCGGGTCGTGAGTGTGTCCTCAGTAGGACACGCCATTGCCCCATCCTCGTTCGAGGAGCTCACTTCTACGCCGTCGCTGCTGGCGGCCAGCACCTGGACCCGCTACGGCGCCTCCAAGGCCGCCAACATCCTGTTTGCTTCCGAGCTGGCCCGTCGGCATCCCGAGATTCTGTCTGTCTCGGTGCATCCCGGTGCCGTGGATAGTGACCTCTATTTGCATGCTAAGGCGCTGGGCCCGATGGCTAAATACTCTATGACGGCGGCCTCGTCTTTGTTCTTTCGCCGCACTTCCACCGGCGCTTTCAATTCCCTCTGGGCGGCCACTATTGCACGAGACAGCATTGTCAATGGCACCTACTATACCCCTGTTGGATACCGTAGTGACGGCACTGCGCTCGTGCAAGATTCAGAGGTTGCTCGCCAACTCTGGGATTGGACCGAGGCCCAGGTTGCTGAAAAGAGCACATAAGCCATTTGATATACAGTCAGATATCATTCTTGTGAGATAGCTGCTACATATTGAAATTGTCTATGCAGCCCAGGGGCATTTTGCTCTGGTGCAGGGGACTGCAGGGCGGATGGCATCATGATGATATCGATCTCCATCACAATGCTTGCCTGCGGGAGTTCCTGCGTTTCCTATGTTTTCTAGACTCGATCTCGATTTCCCCAGACAAGTCTCGGGCCCTTGCAGAGATCTTCTCCGAACCGCCCGAGCCTCCAGCATGGGCCTCATCGTTGTGACAGGCGGCTCCGGCAAAGCCGGCCACACGATCCTCAACCTTGGACCTGGTGCCACTGGCACACCCGACCGTGTACACGCTAAAGACAGACCTCAGCGACAGCGGACAAGTATTCAACGCCCTGTCCAGCCAGTGGACACTGCGCGAGCCCCTTCCCCGAGGGTCTCCCACCACGACCCGACGCCGTCATCCACCTGGCCGGGTACGCGCGCAACATGGTGCCAGACAACGAGACCTTCCGGGTCAACACACAATCAACCTACAACATCATCGAGGCAGCCTGCAAGCTAGGCATCCGCAAGATCCTCATCGCCAGCAGCGTGACTGTATACGGGGTCGCGTTCGCACAGGGCGACGTTGAGTACCCGGCGTTCCCGATCGACGAGGACCTGGTCATCAATCCCACCGACACATACGCACTGGTCAAGCTGTGCGGCGAGCGCGTGGTGCGCGGCTTTGCCGCCCGCTTCGGCGCCGACATCTATATCCTGCGCACCGGGCGCGTCATCGAGCCCGGCGAGTACAACGAGGAGATCTTTTATAACTATGTGCACGAGCCGGTGCGCTGGAAGGCGCATGGCTGGTCGTATACCGATGCCCGCGATCTCGGCGCCATGTGCGAGGCTGGACTGCGGACATCCGGGTTGGGGTTCTAGATGTTTAATGCGACTAATGACTCCATCACCAATCTCTCGCCCACGGAACAGTTTCTGCGCCAGCAGTCCCCTACCACGCCGTTTACTCGCGCCATGGATCAGTTCGAAGCGCCCTTGTCTAATGCGAAGATCAAGCGGCTGCTTGGGTTTCGGGAGAAACATCCGTGGCGCAAGTATTTTACCCCTGTGGGATAAGAAGTGGGTAACGATGGAGTAGAGGAGTGATTTTTGGTAAGATAGACTCTTTTTTCAGGTGTGCAATCATAGACTTTTCTTTTTGTTGCGATATGGTGCTGAGTTGTGCTGGATAGCTGCCCCGCTGCGTGTCGAGTCGAGGATGGACATCTCCGGCAATGTAGGGCTGTCCGACCGAGAGAAGAGTAAACCATCGTAGTTCCTGGTCATTGTAAGTATTCTCCCAACCACCGATGTAGGCCCCAAGTCATTTCATGACAGGCGCTCGGAACTGGGTCTCCCCAGACAACGTTAGGGTTTAGCCGAGCAACGCCCACAATGGCCACCAGCGCATATCACCACTCCGTGTGAGAGTAAAAAGTGGCACACAAAATACCAGAGGTGCAGTTGTAGATGATTCCATCGAAGAATAAAAAGCAGACCGTAGCCAGCGTCCGCGTCGTCCAGCGGCGGCTTTAGCGAAAATCCGCATTTGTAACTCCCCACACAAAACTCTCGGCGCATCATCGTCTTCCCTGAACTTCGTCTCGAACTCTTCCCTTCCAACCCACCTTCTCTCACCCACCTCGTTTTTAACACTCCGTCAAGCGGTATGTAGTCTCGACAGTTGAACCTGCGCCGATTTTTTTTTTTTTTTCTTTGGACTTCGGCATCATCGCCTTTCTTCTTGTCAACACCCACGACCAAGAGCCACTCGGCTAACTCTCTATCTTCCGAATAGGCGACAACCCCCCTCCCCGACACCATGGATCAGGCAAAGCTGGCTCGCATGCAGCAGAGCGTGCGGATTGGTACGTGTTGTTTCTTTTGCAGAGCTTGAGATGGCAGGGCATATACTGGAGTGGAGCTGGGTGCGATTCGAGACTGAGTGTCGTTCGGCCTGCTCTACTCGTGCTGGAATTATTTCAGGGGATATTGCGTTGAATTGCTGGATTGATCGCTGACTTACTCGTCTGGACAGGGTATGTATATCTTCTGTCCATGTTTTGAACTCGCTGGCCCCCAATTACCCTCGACTCTACCCCGCGGAAGGCGATACAACAATTCTTTCTTTCTATGTCGAGTCGATCCGAATGCAGAGTCCATGCTTGAATATTATAAGCCAGTGCTTTGCGAGTGTATTTGCGACGCACGGCTGGTCATATGAAGCAATTGGAGCTGCTACGATGAGGGGAAGGACTTGGACAGCAACAATCCCACATTCACCCATTATCCCGCGCATTTTATCTCGATATACTGCACTTCATCGATCCAGTCACTAATTATATTCTCTCCTCCCATCAGAGGCAAGGGCACTCCCCGCCGCAAGGTCAAGAAGGTCCACAAGACCGCCGGTGCCGACGACAAGAAGCTGCAGGCCACCCTGAAGAAGATGAACGTGCAGCCCATCCAGGCCATTGAGGAGGTCAACATGTTCAAGGAGGACGGCAACGTCATCCACTTCTCCAACCCGAAGGGTGAGCAGTCCCCTCCTTCAAATATTTCAGCAACCACCTCCCAGAAAACCTGGACACCTTGCACAACCAATCTTGCTAACGCAATTGCTTTTGATTGTTCCAGTCCACGCCTCTGTCCCCTCCAACACCTTCGCCCTCTACGGCAACGGCGAGGAGAAGGAACTCACTGAGCTCGTCCCCAACATCCTGAACCAGCTCGGCCCCGACAGCCTGGCCTCGCTGCGCAAGCTCGCCGAGAGCTACCAGAACATGCAGAAGACCCAGGGCGGCGACAAGAAGGACGACGACGAGGACGACATCCCCGATCTGGTTGAGGGCGAGAACTTCGACAACAAGGAATAAATAGACCCCAGACCCATGAACTTCCGAACTTATCCTACTTCAAAACTATGGTCGATGATCAAATGAATTGTATTTGCGTGTCCTGGCTCTCTTCCTATTCCTATTCCTATTCCTATATTCATTTTCTATAATTCCGAGCTCCATGCCATAGACTTTGATGGCCTGGGAAGACAAGTATCAAGTTTTTCGGGATGAACTATTCCCATGAACAGCGTCTGGGGATCTCTGTACTGGATAACTTCAATCGGGTCATGAGTTTGATGTCTACATCAATTGGATATGGGAATATCGTACACGCGACAAATCCAAACGCCTCATTAATAATCCTTGGTATCCATTCGACTCTCGTATGCCGGGCTGCGCCCTCGACACGAGCATGCACTGCTCAGCCTGCCGATCTGGAAGGGATCCGACGGCGCCGACAGCCAGGCGGGGTGACAAGCGAATCGCAATACAGCGAAACATGTCTTTTTGTTATTTTTTTCCCTCTGATAGGAAGAACGCCGATTGGCATCTCGCAGCATCCAGCTCAAGACTCCTCGTTCAGTCCGCATATATCCGTGCCCAGGACCTTGTCCACCATATACCAGAACCTCCAGTATGTATTTGACTTGTCGTAGTCGAAGGAACCATCCTCGCGCAGTTGCGGGCCGTCGCCGACGATGTCGCCGGTGAACCAGCTGAGGATGGGGATCGAGCGAAGGACGCGCTCGGTGAGGGTGGGCTGCGGGGGAAGCGCTTCGGCCAAGGGGCGAAGCTTAGTGCGGCGGACCGTGGGGATGTGCGTCATGAACTCGGACTCGGGCTTGGGCTCGGCGGTCGGGACACTGCGTGGATGGAGGGAGGACGAGCGGTCGAGGCTGCTCGATACGCCGGTTGCTGTGGCGGTTGCCGAGGTGGCAGTGGTCGTGGATGAATCCATCGAAAGATCCTCTTCTGTCTCGGGAACATCGGCGACGCTTGACAGGTTATTCATGGCAAAGGACCGCGGCAGTGTCAACCGGTCCTGGTCCTTGCTGGAGAGAAATGCGGTGGAGTGGGAGGTGGTCAATGTGCGCGACGTCTTCGTGCGAATCTTGTTGGGTGCCGCCGAGTCAGCCGGGATGGGCGTATCCTCCGCCGGGCCGTGGCCATGGTAGAGTTCGCAGTAAACCATGTGCCCGTCGATCTCCTGCGGCGAGTAGAAGCAGGCGCGGTCGGCAGACGAGGTCGAGTCAAAAGTGACTTTGATCCAGTGGAACCCGCCGTCGTAGCGCTTCGATTTGCGGTTGGCGTCGGCCGACAAATTCGCGCGGATGACCACATCGCCGCCGCTCAGCAGCTGTGCGTACTGTGTAGCCGAGTTGGGGTCGCTGCGCGGATAGTCCTCGCAGATCAAGCCTTGCGAGATGCGCTCGTACTTGTCGATGACCTTCCACTCGAAATCCTTCGCCTTGTATCCGTAGAGCATGCACTCGGTCGCGACCTTCTCGGTTTGCTTCCGGGGGTTGTCCAGACTCGATGACGACGATGACTTGGGTAGTCCGTGTACCTTCTCCTCTTCCTGCTGCTGGGAAAACAGCCGCCCAAATTCGGCCACATTGGGGTTTTCGCGTTTCGCTGGTGTGCCTGTCCGTGTCCGTGATCGAGCGTTGTCGTATCGTGCATTCCTCCTCTTGCCAAAGGGCCCTGTTTCCTCGGGTGGTCGTCGAGGATTGCGAGATTCACTAACGGCGGGTCAGCAACTTGAAAGCAAGCAGTCGAAGGGACTATCCACACACTCTTTATAAACATAGCCCCAGGGCAAAAGGTTGCCCTTCTCGTCTCTTGCGCGCTCCTCCGGTGGTACAGCGTGGTACTCCATAGCGAAGGGCACACCGCGAAATGATCACCAGAAACAAAAGGAAAGCAGCGGTTGCAAAATAAACGGTACGAAAGACCGATGATATACCACGAGGGCCGAGGGTGGTGGAGTGAGGGAAGAAGGCGAGGGCTCCAAAACTTTTGGTAAACACCCGTTCGCCGGGATACGGGTCACGTGAGATTATCACATACTGTGCCAATCGACTGGTCTCAGCTTCAAGATAACACGACTCTTTGTATCATATTTACATGATTATTTACAGGGAGATTTCGAGCTTCTCCTTTATACACCTGCCAATACCCACCTAGGTGAATACCGGATAGCCTCGAAGCTGGCACTTAATCCTGCCGCAGGAAAGTGATCCCTCCAGCATGGCTCTCCAGGCCACACACCTTGCCAAACTCACCCACCTCTTGATGTCGGCGGCGCACATACTCCTCGAATTCACCAAGCGGACAAGATTTGCCAGGGCCCGACTGGCAGTTTGAAAGCGGCATGACCCTGTCATTGATATTGACCCGGAGGTACACTTCGCCACTTGTCGAGCAAGTGAGTCTTTCGAGCGTGACCCTTGCGCCCATGGGGAGAACGGGTGAGGTTCGCCACACTCGATCTGTCGCCACATGTGTTGTTGGGAGATGATTGTCCAGGTCAGACAAGAGCCCCAGAGCCGTGAGAAATGGGGCGATATCCCCATCGTGGACACTTGCATCTTGTCAGCCAAACTTTCAGACAGCAACGTTCACAATGTATGCAGCATGCCACTTACAAGCTCAAAAAGAAAGCCCCGGCTTTTGGGCCAGAGCGCAACAATGCGGTTGTGGCATTCAGCCAGAGCCATCCCATGGCGCCCGCGTATGGGTTGCCAGGCCCAGCACGGTAATAGTGGATCAGGTCTCGAGCATACTCGAAATGATGCCAGTCATATTCGGTAAACACGTCACACCATGGACTCGAGCCTCGCACCATGGTCTCAAACCCACACATCTCCTGCATGCTAAACACCTCCAGGTTCGTAAGCCGGCCCAGACCAGCATTCCCTTCTTGGTGGGTGAGTCGCTCCGCAATCGCGGGGATATACGCTTCCTGGAAGCGTGCCAGCATATTGACGCCGTAGTCATGGCCATGCTCGGTATCCTCGAGATACTTGTGGCACGTATCACCCGGCGTGAGGGTGTCGGCCCCCTGCTCCGCGGTCTCTGGGATGATCTGCAGCTCTGCCTTTTTGCTTCTTTCCCAGTCGAGCCCAAAGAGTCCCGAGGCGAAGTAGCGGGCCGTGTCAATCACCCGTCCCGAGTCACTGGCCCACAGTCGCGTGGTGGAATCGGGGGGGATTAGCTGGCCATACCGCGTGCGAAAGCGGACACCCGTCGTGAAGGCTCCCAGCGTGCCTGCGTAGGGACCGGTGTTGGTCAACTGCCCGAAATCCCTCGCAGGGTTGTCGGTGAAATAGGTCCAGTTATTCAGGAATGCTAGCGAGCCATTCAGGGACAGCCCTGCATCTCTGACTCGCTCCAGGAACTTGAGGTGACCTGATTGGAAAATGAGTAAACCAGATTCTTGATTTTCATAAGACGTAAATATCTATACAAATGGGCTCACTTACGGTTTCCCGCAGATTTGGTGGGATATCGTTCTGCATGGCGAGCCATCTAATGAATTAGCAAGACCGCCAAGCAGTACATATCAAAAAGAAAAAGATAGCAATAGAGAGTAATAGAGAGCATACCAAATGCACTTGGTCAATCGAGTATCCCTCAGGAGGCGCAAGACTCAACGCCTCCCGATCTCCATCATTCTCAATCCACGGCCCATTCCCTCCCAAATGACGGAGATTCCACTCCTTCAGCTCGGGGGGTGTCCCCAGCCTGAATTGAGATGGATGGAACCATGTACTCCAACTGCCCACATGGGGAGAGATCGGAGCTGCGTGAGCGCTTGTGGATGAGGTGATTGATTCAATGGCTGGAAACGACCAGGACCCGAGGTTGTAGAAGAGAATCCCCAGGAAGACCGCGAATAGGGGCAGGGCGACTCTCAACACGGACCGAGTGAAGCTCATCGTCCCAGAGCTGGAGGCAGCACTATGCGTACCGCATACATGGACGGAGTACGTGGAGACACATGAAGTTGGATCGTGGGGCCAACAGTAAGAGTGGCTTGCCAAGAGTGATCGTCCTGGCCCGGCTTGGTGCGACGTTTTCGGTTTAGATGGTCATTGTATGGATTGTTTTAAGTGTCTCTCGTGGGAAAACAATATAAAGCAATGATGGTCGTGCTTGAGATGATCTTTATCTATACACACAAAGTGAATGAAGCTAGGACGGACGAATTATATCTAAACCCCGAAATCAAACCAAGTCTAGTCGTCCTTAGGTGCTATAGCGAAAGCGCGGGTTCCGGTCACCCAGCTCCTCGATCTCTTCCTCCGAAAGAGCCGTGATTTTCTCGTCTTCCAACCCTTGTGCCCTGCGCTTGTTGATCACCTGGAGACACAACCACATAACCCCATACAACACGCCCGCGAATCCCACCAATGCCAGCGTCACGGCATTGCCGCGCACATATCGCGGGGCCTCATAGTTCTTGTACAGAAACGGCGACATGACCCCGCTGACATTACCAAAGGTGAGCTGTAGACCCGTGGCAAAAGTTCGTTTGCCATACCGGGGGAGGTTGGTGGGCAACCAGGCGAGCGGCAGTCCTACAACCACGTAGAGACCCAGGGCGATCAGCAGAGCACCGAAGTAGTGGACCCCCGAGGATGAGTCCGAGATCAGGACCCCATACCCGACGACGGAGATGGCACCGAACAGACACACGAAGAGCGCACGGTGCTGGGTCCGATCGCTCAACCAAGCTACAGCCAGGTACGCAATGGCGCCCAGGCCATAGCAAGGGATCGTCAATGCCTGGACTTGAGGAACGGACCAATTCCCCATTCCCTTGATGATCGTGGGCAGAAAAGTGCTGTAGCCATAAAGCATGGTGTCGACGCCGAACTGGCCCACGGAGAACGCATAGATCTTCCAGTCCAGCGCGCCCTCTTTGACATCTGCCCAGTGGAATTTCTGCGCCGATGGTGTCTGGCCGACATAGCGACTGCGGCGCCGCGCAACCAGTGCCTGTTCTTCTTTATTCAAATAATAAGCTGTGTCGGGGTCATCCGCCAGATAGAACCAGGTCACCGCGCCCAGCAATACGGTCGGGATGCCCTCTAAGATCATAATCCAGCGCCAGCCTCGCAGTCCACAGATGCCGTCCATGAACCCGATGCCGTAGGCGAGCAGCCCACCGAACGCGCCCGCGATAGCGGCACTGCTAAACAAATAGCCCGTTCGCAAGGCCAGCTCGCGTTGGCTATAGAAGAGTGTGAGGTAGGTGATGAACCCGGGGAAGAGTCCGGCCTCCATCACCCCCAGCAACACGCGGCACGCAACCAGGCCGCCATAGTTCTGCACAATACCCGTGAGGGTGGCAATGACGCCCCAGAGCACCGAGATGACCGCGATATACCGCGATGGTTTTAATTTCTTGATGACGAGGTTTGAGGGGACCTCGAAGAACTAGTGGGGGTCAGCAAGCCCAAGTAATGAACCCATGGCGTTTGACATACACAATATGTCACAAAGAGGATAGACACGGCCACCTGGTACTGGTCCCCGACCAGCCCAAGGTCTTCTTCTAACCCATATAACCGAGCATTGCCGATATTCACTGCCGGGGTAAAGGGTCAATTCAATATCCATGGAGAGGGAGATCTCCCCCACGCACCTCGATCCAAAAAGCTGAACAAATACAAAAACACCACGACGGGCAGGACATGCAAGTCGATCTTCCAGATCAACACGCGCTCCCTCTTCTCTTCGTCCAGCGTCGGGGCCGACCTGACCTCGTCGGGCTCCTGGCGTGGGTCCCCCACCTTGGGCTCAACGTGCCCCTCCATTGCGAGAAATTGGACGAGTGCAGCAGCCTTAGCGATCCAGATGCATTGTCTGTGTATCACTTTGGATCACAGAGGGATAGTGTAGTATCAAGGATCGAGGTATATCGCAGAAAGAAAGAAAATTTTGGTTTAAAGTTGCCAAGAAAGGCCTAAGAGAATGCGGGATCGTGCCGAACAATTTCCAATCACTTGAAAATCAGTTCGAATATCCAATACCCCTTGTTTATTGAATTATTTGCTTGAAATTGAATGTGGTTGTGTTGTGAGAATATTTGATATCCTCCATCCAACCTTTGTGACGCAAATCTTTTCATCTGCTTCAAACATCTCATCGGCCCTCATGACATCGGGAACCCACTCTCTCAACACCGAGAGAGTTGTCCCTCAGTGTTTCTGTAAAGCAATGTGAAGGTCTTCGGCGTGTACCTCGATAGGACCCCCGCCCACTTCGCCGTCCTATCCGATATGACTCACTCATCCTCATCCCTGCTATCGAAGGAATGCACGGCCAATGGCATTTTTTTCTCTCAGATGGCGCCATCTATCCCTGTGGAGCAATACCAGAACTTCTACGCCGGTGACTCTGTGATCCTCGCGCTCTGCTCGTAGGGGAGAAGCGGTCAAATTTGCCATCGAGCTCGTTTGCTGCATGGCTCGCGTCGGGGAGATAGTCCTCTCCTGCACCTTGCCCTCTTTTCCATCTCCAGAATTGACTCTGGCATTAGGCTCGAGACAATGGACGCGAGCAAAAGCCACAATGGACCCAAAAGCAGAAACAGTGGCGATGCAAAAGAAAACCCAGCCAATCTCTCGAATAACGAGCCCTCATTCGTTGCTTTTGAAGAAAATGACCCCGAGAACCCGCTGAACTGGCCCAGGGCAAGGAAGTGGACTATCACCTTGGTGGTCTCTCTGTCCGTGTTTCTCATGCCACTGTCTTCGTCCATTGTCGCACCCGAGCTGAGCACCATCCAGGACGAATTGCATATGGGCAGCTCTCTGGAAGCAGTCCTGGTTCTCTCGACGTTTGTCCTGACCTACTGCCTCGGCCCGCTTCTCCTCGGTCCGCTCAGCGAGCTCTTTGGCCGGGCGGCTGTGCTGCATTCGGGCAATTTGTTTTACCTCGTGTGGAATCTCGTGTGTGGCTTCGCCCGCAACAAGGGTGAACTGCTGGCATTTCGTCTGCTGAGCGGCATTGGGGGAGCCGGCGGGCTGGTGGTGAGTATATCCCCCGCCGTGTCTTGGCCATGCAACCCTGACAAGTTTTCACTTTTTCTGTCAGGTTGGCGCAGGCATCATCAGTGACTGTTTCCCGAAAGAGGAGCGCGGCTGGGTCATCGCCATCTATAACTTCGGCCCGGTGATCGGCCCGTCTGTCGGCGCCGTTGTTGGAGGCTTCATCACCCAATACACGACCTGGCGCTGGGCGTTCTGGGCCACCTCGATCTTCGATGCAGCCCTGATTGTACTGGGCCTGGCGGTGATGAAAGAAACGTATCCGCCCGTTATCCTGGCGCGAAGAAGGAAGAGGATGCTCCAAACAACAACCCACGCGGCATTGAAGACACCATATGAAAACCATGACAAAACCGTCGGCCAGCTCTATCGCAACTCGCTGATCCGACCGCTCCAGCTACTACGCGTGCAGCCCATCGTGCAGATTCTGGCCCTCTTCTATGCGTATCTGTACGGACTGATGTACCTGGTGCTGTCGACCTTTGCAACTTTATGGGAAGACAAGTACCACGAGCCGATTGGGTCCGGCAGCCTCAATTACTTCGCGCTGGGGATCGGCTACTTCCTCGGCTCGCAGATCTGCGGGTTCTTCGCTGACCCCATTTACAGGGCGTTGAAGAAGAAGAATGCCGGCGTCGGCAAGCCCGAGTTCCGGGTGATCTTGATGTTCCCAGCATCTGTCTTTGCACCAGCTGGACTCCTTTGGTATGGATGGAGCGCGCAGGCAGTCACCCATTGGATTGTCCCCGATCTGGGGATCGGTCTGTTTGCCTGCGGTGCGATGATCTCCTTCCAATGTACCACAGCTTATCTCTACGAGGCCTTCACGCTGTATGCGGCCAGTGCCACGGGCGCTGTCTATATTCTTCGCGGGCTGGCTGGCTTTGGGTTTCCTCTTTTTGGGCCGACCATGTACCAGGCGCTGGATTATGGCTCGGGGACGACGGTGCTGGCTGTGGTGGCGGTGGTCCTGGGTCTTCCGGCACCAATGATCCTATGGAAATATGGGGAATGGCTTCGGGCTCGCAGTAGCTATGCGGCTGGGTGAAGTTTCGTTTCAATTATATTAGACGCTTGTATGTAAACAAGCCTTGACCAGATTGCCGGAAACAGTAGCCAAATGATGGGCCGAGGTCCACAAGGTGACTCCACTCAACCTGCTGCATACCCGCCCCCGGAGATGCTTGATTGCTCCTCCATTCATTTCATTTATAGCCCAGATCAAGTCCACGGTATCCCTCGGTATATCCAACACCATGGCCAGCAACTACGGCAGCTACCAAACAGAAATCTACGGCAAGGGTGCCCTGATGGGCATCACGCCCAGCGTGACCACCGATCCTCGCCTGCTGGAAGAGCAAGCTCGGCGGTCGATGGGATTGCGATCGTTCAATTATGTGGCAGGCGGGGCGGGCGAGAAAGCCACAATGGACAGCAATCGACTAGCATTTCGACAATGGAAGCTGTAAGTTTTAGTGTGCATCATGTTTTGTACAAAGTCCGTCGGAACTGACCACGAGCTCCATAGAATCCCGCGGATGATGCGAAATGTCGGTCCAGAATCCCAGGAAACGTCGCAGACAATTAACTAACCATATACTCTTTTCATTCCGATAGATGGACGACCAAGATGTGACCGTGGAGCTCTTCGGCCAGAAATACGACAACCCACTGATCATGGCGCCCGTCGGCATCCAGGGCATCTTCCACGAAGACAAGGAGACAGGGCTAGCCGAGGTATGCGCCGAGGTCGGGGTGCCGTACACGATGAGCACAGCCAGCACCTGCCCCATTGAAGACGTCGCCGCCGCCAACCAGGACGGGAAGCGCTGGTACCAGCTGTACTGGCCGCAGGACAACGATATCACACTGTCGCTGCTGCAGCGCGCCAAAGCGAACGGGTTCTCGGTCCTGGTGATCACCCTCGACACCTGGTCGCTGGCGTGGCGGCCCGCCGATCTCGATAATGCCTATATCCCCTTTGTCAAGGGGACCGGGTGCCAGGTCGGGTTCAGCGACCCGGTCTTCCGCGCCAAGTTCCAGAAGGAGTCGGGTACAACGGTCGAAGAGGATGTTGTAGGTGCCGCGCGCGCGTGGATCGGCGATGTATTCTCGAGTCGGCCGCATACCTGGGATGATTTGGCGTTTGTGCGCCAGCACTGGGATGGCCCCATTGTCCTGAAGGGTATCCAGCATGTGGACGATGCTAGAAAGGCGCTGGAGAGTGGCTGCGACGGGATTGTGGTTTCGAACCATGGCGGTACGGACACTTTCCACGGAACCTCCATCTTGGTCACTCGGCACAAGGCTAACTACTTTCAGGTCGCCAGGTCGACGGCGCCATCGGCTCCCTTGATGTTCTTCCGGAGATTGTCGATGCCGTTGGCTCTCGCATGACGGTGCTGTTCGACTCGGGGGTTCGCACCGGTGTCGATGTCATCAAGGCGCTGTGTCTGGGGGCCAAGGCTGTGATGGTGGGACGGCCGGTGATCTACGGGCTTGGTATCGAGGGTCGTCATGGTGCCCGGCAGGTGTTCCAGGGCTTGCTGGCCGATCTCTGGCAGAGTATGGGGCTATCGGGGATCCGATCAGTGGCCGAGTGCAACCGGCGCCAGATGCGACGGGTGCAGCATGCAGGCGATGCGAAGGCGATGATGTAAACTTGAAAACAAGTAAACAAGTACATGTAGATATTCTGTTGATGCCTGGTTTCCCACTCAGCAGGTTCACATGTGAAGATCGGCGGATGACAACACCTTTCGCCACGGGTTCGAGTGAAGACTCGCAGTCCACGCTTGATTTCACGCTTGATTCTATGTCTCGATCAACTCCCCATGGCTCATCATGAGTTCCAGGCTCGTTCCTGACACAAGCGAGGACGTGGTCGCAGAGGCCCACGTCCCCGCGACGTCGGGCACCACTCTGCTCCCCCGACCCGTCGCGTCATTAGTCTCGCTCCTCACCCAGTCCACCTCGCTATCACTTCGAATCGGTACATTCTTTGGAGGTTTCGCGCTAGATAGTGCGCGTGCGACCACACTCACCGGCCTCGAACTCAGCCGAGCAGTGATCGAGGGCATCTTGACCAGAGCGGGGCGAGATGTAGCCATCCGGTCCGGCGATGATCATGGCAGGGCCGAGGCTGAATCGCTCCTTGAACGAAGTGTAGGTGTTGCCGTTCTTTGTTTGTATGTACAGTCGCTGATCATAGAATAGTTGGCAACCCTGCATACAACCGTGACCTCGGCGTCGTTCTTCGCCGCGGCAACATTCCACCTCTCGTCCACGACTCTCTCATCGATCGCCAATTTCTCGCAGGCGCTTTTATCGACTCTCGATGCAATCCTGGGATCCACCGAGTCCTCCAGGGCTATTGCAGCCATCATCACGCTCATCCGACGCGAGTTCCGATCCGTGGACGATGCTAGCGCCGAGAGGATTGGTGTCGGCGATCTCTTGATAGGCTCCGTCGGGTTCGCCTTGCTGCAGCGTTGGGGCAAGAAGAACACAGAACGACACATTCGAGAAAATGGCGGTGATGAAATCGTGTGGGATGTTGTTATTTTGGATAACGGCGCCAGGGCCGACGTCATCGGCGCGCACCAGATGCAATCCCCGAGGGCGGGCAGCCTGACTTGACAGAGCCTGAGAGCGCCTCGTTTGTGATGCCTGGTCATGGCGAGGAGGCCTTTGATGCTTTTCAGCGTCGCTCGAGCATTGCCGACACTCTCGGGGGATCGCGACTCTCGCTGCCCTTGGATGGCCAGCAACAAGTTTCCGATGAGGATATTCACTCCTATATCATGAGCCAACTTCCTCAGGGTTGCCATGCTTCAGTGCGGTCTGAGGTTTTGACTGCCCGGACTATTACCGTGGATATTTACGACGACGATATGGCTGAGATTGCTGCGCCTCCGGGTACGACGATGATCGAGGAACGATTCCACCACGATCACGAATATGCGGGCACTGGCCTGCCGGACTACCAGCATCCTCCCAGGCACACAGTAGTGTTTAGGACGGCCTTTAACAGATCCCAAAGCACGCAGCTGCGGCCTCATGACATGGCCATTGCCAGTCCGCTCGAGTCTGAGCCTTCACTCCCGGAGAATTCACTAGGCGCTGGACAAAACAACAGCCTTCATAAGCGAGCACAATCTCAACCTGAGACTTCCAGTAACAGAACCATCAAACAGCGCAATAACTCAGGCCCCGAGTCTCCGACTGAACGCCCAACTGAACGCCCAACTAACCCCAAAACTGCGGCTGGGAAGGCCTCTTTCACTAGATTCGCACAAAGAGTGGAGCCCGCTGGTCCGGAAAAGAATGGAAATACCAAGCGCCCGCCGCCAAAGAAGCCTTCTGAGAAATCACCGGGCCCATCAGGAGCCGCCAGCGCGCGTCAGCCCGTCAAGCCGGTGAAAGGCTCCGCCTCTGTCAAGGAAGCCACTCCGAGGGAGATAACCAATCGTCCAGCGACCAGAAAGAAGGTTCCCGAGGCTGCAGGCTATCGACCTACCACGCCCGTCTCTAACCGCGGTCTGCGAAGGTCACATTTCCCCAGCTCTCCTCAGAAGCAGTCTCCGCAAGCACTTAGGAATACAACATCTCGCGATACCAACGACCCTAGCAGTTCCAGACCGAGGTATTTCGCCATGCGCGAGAAAAGCCAAGAGTCTCTTCTCACTCATACCGACACGTTCTCACGCCGAGGCAAAGACCTGCGTCCTGGATCGCCGGCCACAGCGAGGACCCATGTTCGCAGTAGCAGCTCTCTGTCAATGACCAGGTCTGAAGCAGACGGCACAATGTCTGCGAATGACAACCGCCCTAGTTCATCTGCTCTCCATCGACGGTCGCAATCCTACACCCCCAGCATGTACTCGATGGCTACGGCCGGCTCAGAAACCTCGCTGTTGCTTGCGCATCGGCCCCGGAAGAGCGCGTATGACGACGGGGAGACCATCCGGGCGCTCAACCGCGATGGCTACGTTCCAGGGATCTTCCCCGAGCGACACTTTGTGCAAAGCATCCGGCGGTTTTGTCGGTTCTCGTCGGCGTCGTACGGGTCCAACGCGCTCAAGGTGATGGGAGTGCCCAAGGACACGAAGAGCCTGCCAGCGAGCGGAGTCGATCGACACGAGCACAGCGCGTTCTCCCACCACGCAGGCCTGCCCCCTTCAACAATTCTGCTGTCGTCGTTTGTCGACCCGGCTGGCGGATCTAATGCCGCCGGAGAGACCGAGAGCGGGTTCCCGCTGGTGCACTATCTTTCGCTCGACCACGACTCCAAGGCCGTGGTGCTGACTCTGCGCGGTACCTGGGGTTTCGAGGATATCCTCACCGACATGACCTGTGACTACGACGATCTGGAGTGGCAGGGCCGGTCGTGGAAGGTCCACAAGGGCATGCACGCTTCAGCCAAACGGCTGCTGGGCGGCGGCGGCGCCCCTGTCATGATCACGCTGCGTGCCGCGCTCGAGGAGTTTCCGGACTACGGGGTCGTGCTCTGCGGCCACTCACTAGGTGGTGGCGTCGCGGCCCTGCTTGCAACCATGATCTCCGAGCCCAACACCATGCCCATTGGCACGTCCTTTGTGACAGCATCGTATCAGCCCGCCATAGACCCACGACTCCTAACCGCAAACACCGACACCAGCGACGCCAGCGATACCATCCCAGAATCACCCCTAGCATACACACTCCCAGCCGGCCGACCAATCCACGTGTACGCTTACGGGCCGCCAGCAGTGATGTCCCCATTCTTGCGCCTCGCAACTCGCGGCCTAATAACAACGATCGTCAACGGCGACGACGCCGTCCCGAGTCTGTCCCTGGGAATCCTGCACGACATGCACACCGCCTCGCTCGCCTTCAAGGGCAACGAGTCCGAAGCCAAATCCCACATCCGGCAACGACTTCATGAACGGCTGCGCCAGAGCATCATCCACAAATTCTACGTCAACCAGCCGCCGCTGGTCGTCAACGCCGGCGACGGCGTCGGCGAGGACGCCTGGGCGTGGAAAACGCTGCGGCTGCTGCGCGACGACATGTGCGCCCCAAAACTCATGCCGCCCGGGGAAGTGTTTGTCGTTGACACGATGCGCGTCTTGCAGCGCGATGCCTTTACGCCGGTGCCGGACTCTGCTGGTGATGCGTATCCGCGTCTGGGCCGGCCTGCGACTCGTGTGCAGATGAGGTTCGTTAGGAATGTTGATGCTTGGTTTAGGGAGTTGCGGTTTGCGTCGGGGATGCTGAGTGATCATAACCCCGTGCGGTATGAGACTGGACTTGCTGCGCTGGCGCGGGGGGTTCTGAATGAATGATTGGATGAGGTATGATGAAGACATGAGTTTGATGATTTCGGGTATATGCCAGGCTAGTTCGGTTTATTTCGGGCTTGGGACAGGGTTGATAAATTTACAATAGACAGCAATGTTACTACATGATACAATCAGATAGAAGAGATAATATGATAAGAGTTATACATTGAGGGTCGTCATAGTATATGTATATAATATCAATGCATCAACCATCTCATCCCATCTATATCACACAAGAAAGAAAAGAAACCAGAAAGATCCGGGGGTATCACCGCGAAACAGCAAGACCGACAACGCCGGACCAACACCTAACAAAGCAGAAGAGAACCACAATAAAACCGGTTCCTCGACAAACGAAAAAAAAGAAAAAGAAAAAGAGAAAAAAAAATCAAACAACAAGAGCAGCAGCAGCAGGTCGTCCCGAGTGACACCCCCGCTCATGGCGCTTCATGTTACTGCGCACCGAGAATGCCTTGCCACAGCCGGCATGCGTACAGCGGAACGGCTTCTCGCCCGTGTGCGAGTGCGAGTGGATGCGCAGCGACGACGGCCGCGAGAACGCCTTGTGGCAGGTGCGGCAGATGTAGCGGTCATGGTTCTGTGGGTAGGCTGCCGTGGAGGAGGGCGGGAAGTAATGGTGGTGTTGCCAGGCCGGAGTAACTGGAGAGATCTGGGCTGGCGAGGAGGAAGACGGTGCCGGGGCCTGTGCTGGTGCCGGGGCTGAGGCTGAGGCAGTGCGTTGCTGTGGTTGTTGTTGTTGGTGGTGGTGCTGTTGTTGGGGAGGGGCAGTGGGCCCGGATGCTTGAGTGGGTGCTGGGGCGCGGGATGCTGCCGGGTGTGCGTGCTGGCGCTGCTGGTGCTGATGATGAGGCTGGGGCATCGGGGCGGCGGGCACTTGCGTGGCCGGTTGGAAGGTTGCCGTAGCCGGTGGCCGGCCGTAGTATATGGCAGTAGCCGAGGGCGTGACGTCAACGGGCGACGAGTACGATGACACACTGGGGGCCGGCGAGGCGTAGGGCGCCGCGGCGGGCATGTGCGTGGTACCCGGGCTGGACAGGCGGCGAACTGAGTCGGGCTTGGAGGAGCTTAGGTCTGTGGGCGAGGTGGCTGCGCTGTGGCCCGAGCCCGAGCCCGGCCGCAGGGGCGGCGTGGGCGGCAGGCAGACCGAGTCATAGGAGTGACGGGTATCCCGCTCGCGGTGGGATGTAGGAGAGAGACGTTGGCGTTCTGGAGGATGTTAGATACCACACAAACAAAGATAGAAATAGAAATAGAAAACACATAGGATTTTAAGCATCATGGAATGTACTTACTGGCTGCATGCTGCGCACCATCGGCACCCTCGAGCAGAGTCGAGATTGAAGGCAGCGAGCACTTGGGCTCGTCGACGGGCGGTGACAGAGGCGGCTGTGGCGAGCGCTTGTAGGGCCCGGATTCCTTGGGAGTGTAAGGTGCATAGGCCTTAGGGCCCGGGGCGCCATGTGAGAGAAGGCTGGCGAGATCCATGATGTGAAACGAGGATCACACACAAGACAAAAATAGAGAGTTCTTCAAAGACGATTCAAGAAGAAAGGAAAGAAAAACGGCCAGTGGGGGGGAGACACACGAGGTTTATAGAGTCGGGCGGTTGTCGATGATCGGCGGGCGATGCTGCCGAGTAATTTACGATACACGAGAAGGTGAGACAGTCCGTTCCAAAGCTTAATCAGATGAAAAGAAATAATAATAATAATAATAATAAAATACAAGAAAATAAAAATAAAAATAAAAATAAATCGGAGATTAACGGTGGGCCACGCGAGAAAAGAGTGCTCAACAGGTCGGAAAGACCCCGATCCACCTCGGTTACGCTTAGTGCAGATCCTCCTGACCTGTCATGGTCAATATGTTCAGTCTCTCACTGTCTCTGTATCTCCAGTTTGATCAAGATGATATTAATGCTCGCATTCTACATGTATATATGTAGAACTTCCCTATATACACACTTATCTAGGTTTATATATGTAAATCTTAATACAGACATCGAAATACCCAAATAGGAAGGTCTCTCATCGCCGCTAACCCAACTGGGACATATCCCCGACACCCCCAGAGCTCCGACTTGCCTGGGGGGGGGGCGCGATTACTACGATCCTTTCGCTGACTCAAGATCCGAAATACTGTTGTCTCTGAACGCTGAACGCTGAACCCCTTATGTTTTTTTTTTTTTTTTTTTCTCAATTTTAGTCTTGTTAGAATTCTCACTAAGTTTTCAACAGTTTCAGACTTTTCTTCATACTTTTTTTCTTATAATTTTTCCCATAGTTTTCGCAGTATTAAGTTTGATTAAGTTGGCACTGCTGGCAAAGTTTATATCGGAAGACGATCGGCCCTAAAACGAGTATGAGACACGATCTGATCGGCGTTCTGGAACAAAGAGCTCTGTATCGGGGATTGGCCGTTGTGGATCGCCGCGTGGACGAGGCCATTTAGCCATTTTGGAGGACCGAGGTATATCTAGGTAGATATCTGAGAAGGCATTGAATATGACCTTGTATGAAGTGTCTACAGTAATGCTGCTTCATTTAGATCCATCCATGGATATTTAAATGATCATGAAATCTTGGTATGATGGTATGGCTGTTTATCCATGAGACTGCGTTTCTATTCTTGCATCCACGCGAGCATGATCCACGGGGCCCGGGCGATCGTGATCTCCAGTGGCAAGTCGGCATTTCGTCGGTATTGGTATTCCGGGACCAATGATTGTCCTCCCCACGATGGGGCTTCATTTTACAGAGTTTGAGTCTGTTGACAGCTTCCTCTTTGGTATATCCATAGTACAGTGCTTCTGCGTCAATAATACCCTGATAGATATATATCTCAACATTTGATGATTCATCCTTCATTACATGATAATATATCATTATATTTCAGAGAGTATACAATTCCCATGCAACCACGTTACACCCGTTTGGGCCATAGCCCCGGGTAGACGGCCTCAGCCGCGATCGCTTGGGCCCCCGGCGATGGCCACGCGAGTGTCTCAGGCCATGAGCAGATTCTTAGGGACACAGTGGGGCTGCGCGTCAGCAGGGTTTCATCCATGGATCGACTTGCCAAGGACCACGCGTGAAGTTTCTCCTTGCGTCAAAACACATGGCACTTGCAGATGCTCATTATCCGGTGGACATACTGGAGGTGTGGTGGGAGTATATAAAGTGGATAGCCTCAACATTGGGTGATCGGCAGATCTGATCGGGAAGGTCAATAACGGGGATCTGGGGCCAGTCGTGGAATCCTGCCGAGGATAAGATGTAGTATAATATAAGAGATAGAATATAGAATATAATACGGTACATAGATGGTAGATAGTAAATCACTGGATAATTGAGAGGTCGTATGAACGGGATGCATCCATCCATCGGTTTATGGATGTACCGACAAATCTGGCACCAAAGCCGATGCGCATCGCAGGGGAACCCGTCACTCTTAACCTCCTTCCTAATTGGGGGATCGACCGGGTGGATCTGCTTACATATATATATTATACACATCCGTTACGTATATATCGGTGAATACCGTTTATCCGTGTATTTTATTTAGGGGCGACCCGACTAAGGGGACACAACCGCTGGCCATAGCTTCCCCATGATCGCCCGTGAATCGCTAAGCGATGCCCGTTTGGGACATGTGGCCGATGCGTTCTTTTATTTTTTTTTATTTATTTTTTATTTTTTCGTATTTCTTTTTTTCATGCACCAAGGAAGTCTTGTGCTGACCATCCCATCTAACTAGGATTCATATACTCAGGGGGCGTATAGGGGGGGGGGGTGATTAATTTACATGGCCCCTTTTTGAGTGCCCTGCCCTATTATTAGGGAGTGTAGCCGAAGCCCTGAGAATGGAATGAGATGCACTTGATTCATCCCTGAGGCATTGACCCAGTAGATGCTATATTATCAAGTAACAAGGGTTATACTGGAAGGTTTCGAAGGTTCTACCTAGAGAAGGTTAACAGTAGAAAATTATTCATCAATTGAGTCTAGATTCAGAGAAACATACTTCATCTTTAAACCTACCTATAATCACCTGCTACAATAAGCATGCCAGACGAGCGGTGATCGACGCCGATCACCCCAAGGCAGATCGCGCCCGGATTCTCGTGTCCACAGCATCGGGTCCAAGCCCTGGCTTATACGGTAAAATAGAAAAGAAAAAATAATAATAATGGGAGAAAGAAGGGGGGGGGGGAAACATTAGGGCCCATTCTAGGGCTTAGCTGCGCGGCAAACGTCCGTGGTGAAACACTCCCTCGTTCGTCACAGCGGGATCCTGCCGAGCGTCTTTTCCTGTCTGGGAATAACCCCCGGCGATCGGCCATGCGCATGGCATGGAACCTGGTAGATCCTTGTCCTGTCTATAGACAGTACTTATTAATCTACACATACTTTACCTAGGGAGCTACGTATGTATCTACATAGGTATACCCCACTGTGATCATTAATGCCGCATGCTTATGAGTTGAAGTGGGTTAGGGTTTGGGATTTTTAACGGCCTTCCTAAACCAGTAGTTCTCGATGACGGCCCCCTATGGAGATCCTCGAGTCCTGACAATCTCAATCTGTTGCCCTAAAACTACCTAGAATACTTGCCGAGGTCCTGGAGGATCACGGATTGCCCTAACTACACCCCAAGACTATATGACCCTTTTGCTTATTGAGCGCTGACTCAATCCTCGCTAAGATGCCCAGTGTATGCTTTGCTCCACTTAAACCCACGTTACACTCCACTACATGGCAGCGGGTCACCTTCCCAAGGATTTTATCCCACTTCCTGACTGTACCTGAGTAGAACTCCGGTCTACATAACCGGCTAGTTGTTGTATGTATTATGTGTAGGGCCGAGAATCATGGCAATCACACTCGGTTAGCAAAGCTCGGGGGGAGAGAAAGCCCCTCGGTCAGTAGCACTAACGGCAGATCCTCGAAGATCAGTTTGATTGACTCGTTTAGCGGTTTCATATGTCGGCAATGGTCTTTTCCACTCCAATAATACCAGGATCCTCTTCCCCCCTGGCCCCCTCAATTCAGCAGGGATGTCGACGGCGAACATTCTACTTGCAGTAGTTGGGTCTCTGGACGTGTTATCTCTCTCGTCGAACCTTAGGTGTATGTACTCTCTGAGTCGGTCATCGTCGCAATACACCCGCAGTAGATCATCCTACGGTTGCATTCCCGGCCAGCGGGTGAGCGGGCTCATCGCCTGCGGATTGGACCCCTCTGCGTCGGAATTCCACCATTTCTGGCCGTTCGGTGGTGGGTGTGGACGTGCACGCATACGTCTTACATGTCTATCGTTGGATGAAGAGTATGTAGAACCCTGCAGCACGGTGGTCGGATCCGCAATTCGGCCGCAAGGCGGTTGCTGCAGGTTGTCACCTGGCCGTCGAGATCTGAATGTACTGTATTCTATTCTCTTCCTCCCCGATCGTGGCCGAGATTGTGTGACGCCGGCTGTGCGACGCTGTGATCGAATCCATGCACACTGGGCGCGTGTTCTTTCTCCAACCTCCAACACTGTGACCCTTTCCCGACCGGCTTCCCCAGCCACGTTCTTGGCGCCCGTTGCGAAATTCCACCAAGCAAAGCGGCTGGTGGAGACTGTGCGTGCGCATGGATCGGACCCCAACGAGGCCCGTGCAGTTGCTCTCTCTCTGTCTGCGTGTACATATGTGCCTCTCTTTTTGCGAGTCTAAATCTGATCCTTCTGAAGATGCAAGTCTGGATCATCAGTATGCATCATCTCACCCCAAAACATGAGCTATCACACTTCCGATAGATTTGCTTTTTTTTTTCTCGTTTGAGAATCCTGCCTCGGGGGCCAGCCCCAAAATGGAGACCAAAAAAAAACGAAAGAAAGGAAGAAAGCCTCGGACCCTCGCCTCGGACCTCAGTCCTAAAGGAACCAGGAAGCAAACCGGTCAGACCAGGGGGGGGGGGGGGGGGGAGAGGCGACGCCACAGATCTGCGCGTGCGAACTCGGAATTCCCAACACCCTCCCGTTTCCATCCTGGCATAGGCTGTGCGTCATGGACGTTACGTTCCAGGATTGCGAGAAGGAGGGAGGGGCGGTGTGAGAGTAAGGACTTCAGCTGGACACGGTCAACGCCAACCACGAGGCAAATCCTATACATCCAGGATGTCCATGTCCAGGATGTCTCCATGACCCATTGGTGCATTGACCAGGCCCGGAAAACCCGTACTCGCATTTGAAGCATCGTGAGTGGCCAGCGCGGATATCTGGGATCGTAGAATATCGGGCCTATGATCCTTTGAACTCCACCGCGAAATGAGGCGCAGTGTCGATCAGCCCTGTGATGATTATTCTTGTATGGTGTTGGAGTGTTGAGTGTTCTCGGGGGGACCATCATTGTGCATTATGTGCCACTCGAACAGATGTCCGAGGGGAAAAGAGACAGACAGACAGAAAGGAACTGTGTAAGAGAGAGACTGAGAGATCACCCATTTAGAGTTGCCCGTAGCGAGAGATGCCCAACGTCGCCCAACGATTGGCACGCAAAACCTCCGAGGGGGATCTGCGGAAATGCCCGGTGATCTGCATGACACAGACGCGGCATTTTGCATCGCTTGGAGGGATGTAAGGGAGTAAGAAAAAGTAAGAAAACAGGAAGAGGGGGGACCTCCGATCTTGCGTATTTAGTCGTCTGGTCCGATCCACGCATGGCATGTGGTGCATATGGTGCATGGTACATATGGTGCATGGTACATATGGTGCATTGGAGTAATCGGGGGTCATGGATGTAAATCCTTCGGGTGGGTTGTTTAAAGAAGTTTCTAGCCCCCTTCGGATCCCATCGTCGGCTAAAAAGCAGGAAGGGGGCCAATTTATGTCAAATCGACAGGTAACCTTGTATATCCTGCTTATACTCTGGTATTGATTCATTCGTCTCCGACTGCCGGTGCACAGACTCCCGGAGTGGCCGATCCTGGAGCCTCAGTTATTTACTTATTATTTCTTTCATATTGACAATACCTCCATCCCTGATTTTGGTTGCTCGGGATCTGCGCGAAACCCTATGTACACCCGTAGACTGATAAACCCGATCACTCCATCAACTCCAAATCCAACCTTCCATTATCTGCTCCATGCTCCACCAGAAACACTGTTCTGTAGGCCATTGCGTTGCCCACCATCCCCTATTTTGACCCATTTGAGGGGTAGGTGGCTGGCGAATCTCCAGAAATTCCCTCAGGCGTAAACATCCACCGGCCGGCTTGCGGTCGCTCGCCCCTTGCCGTTGCCCGTGGGTCCTCCACGCTGCTCCGCAATCGCCCTCATGGTGCGAATGGCCTGGCCAAAATCAAGCTGCTTGTAGTTCTCGGGCATGTGCTCGCCACTGTAGATGCAGAGAACCTTCATGCCCGGCTTGTAGGCCAGTCCGTTGAGCAGCTTCGGGGTGATGAGGAAGTATTGCCCTCCGCCGCTGCAGTCCTGGGTCTCGCTGTCGTGACCGTCGGCCTCCGAGCCGCTCGAGGCACAGGCAATGTCCACCAGTCGCTCGTGGACCATGCGCTCGTTCCGCGGGTCCATACCCTGGTTGATCTCGTCGACGACGCGGAAGGGTGACGCTGAAAGCGATTGGAGTGCCATCAAGTAGAATATTGTGCTGACTGCGCGCTCGCCGCCCGACTGACGATGTGAATCCAACAGCGACAGACTCTCGTGGTCGCGGAACTTGACATGGATCTGGATGGACCACTGGTCAAACTCGCTGCCCCCAGGCTCACCATTGGGACCCGGCTCGTCTTCTACTTTGTCCAAGCTGACCTGTCCTGCACAGCCAATGCGCGCAAACGAATCCGAAAAGGCATCGCTGATTTTCTGGATGAGCGCATCCAGCCGCGGCTCCCACCTGCTCCGAACCTCATTGATACCTCCGTCGAGATCTCGAAGCTTGCCGTTGAAATCGGCGAGCTTGGACTGCAGCTTTTCGATCTGCCGTTCTCGCTCTTCGAACTCTTTGATCATGTTGCTGCTGCCGCCGTGGGTGAGCTCCAGACGTGCCTTTTCAGAGTCAATATCGGCGTTGAGCTTATCCATGTCGTACTCTCCCAGAGTCTCGAGCATGTCATTAGCATCCGGTTGTTCGGCCGCCGCTCGAGTGATCTGCTTCGCTTTCCGCAGAAGTTCTCGTCCTTTCTCGCCGCCCTCTTTGACGTCGGCCAGTGCCTTTTTCACTTCTCGGCCTTTTTCTTCCAGCATCTTGGCGCAATCATGATTGCGTTCTCTCAATGTCGCAATGTCAGACGTTGCTTCCAAATACTGGATCTCGAGTTTCACAAGCTCCTCATAAACCCGACGAAGCTCTTCCACGGCCTCCTGTTTTGGGTCAGAACATCTTAAAACGTAAAACACAAAGTTTCAAACTATGGGACCATACAGCATATTCCACGGCGGCCTCGGCCTTCTGGATGGCAAGGTCGTCCTGTTCGTTGCGGATTTCACGGACTCTGGTGCGGACTTGCTCGAACAGAGTTTGCAGATTCTTCATCTTGATTTCTTGCTGGTCTGCGATGGGTTAGATGGTTCATTGTAGAGGGGCTAGATGCACATACTTATCCTTTCGGGGATAGCACGATGCTGGGTATGTGCCGTTTGCCTCGCAGCCTTCTCTTCCTCGATTTCTTTCTGCAGGCAAGATGAGTAAATCAAAAACTTGAAACATTTGGTTAAAACGTACTGTTTCTTCAGTATTCCGCTCATGAGCGCTGTGAACTTCGGTCAGCGTGGCTTTCTCGCTCCGCATCTTGTCTGAGACCTCTGCCAGCTGCTCTTTCCACAGCTCGATGTTCTCCTGGTGTTGTTGCTTGACCGAGGTATCCACGGGCTTGGACGTCCACACTTGGGCTGGTTTGACCGGCCGAACGCGAGTCGATGTGGCGCTGGGGCCATATTCCCTACGCCGATTGACTTGATAGCTGTACTTTCCAGAAACCCAGGAAGACAGCGACCCGCTCTCTAATTCAGCGTACATCTCGTCCGAGATATCCTTTAGCCCAACAGGCGTCTGGTTGAGCCGGTTTTCGCTACAGAGCATGGCAAGAACCGGCTCAGGCCCGCTGAGAAGGTCTTTGGCCCATGCATCGAACCCGAGCCGGCGAACTTCATCCTCCGAGAAAGGAGACCTCAAGTTGCCGAGAGGAATGGAGCAAGTCCGGATGCTGACATCGTGAAGCTGCAATTCTCCTATGAGCGCTCGTTGCAAAGTCCGGAAGTCCCGCCGATTCTGTGTTGTGAACGCGAGGAAATCCGTCTTTTGAAACAAGGACTCGATGGCATCGGCGTACTTCGGGTCATTAACGGAGCATGTCACCACCGGCGGACCGAAGACCTCCTGCTCAAACTTGTCTTGATTATTGAGGACCCATCGATAAGCTTTGAGCGTGTCAGAGGATGCTTGCTCCAGTTTTGCCTCTTGCTGTCCCGACTGCGAGTCCAAATTCCTCAGCAGACGCTCGGCTTGCTCGATATTGCGCTGAAATCCTTGGACTTTTTCAACCAACGGACGCCGCCGATCCTGTATTTCTCTAGCCTTGGTCTCGAGTTCCCGCTTCACGAGTCGTTTTTCTCTCTGGGACGAGTATCAGCACAAAAGCTTGCTTTCAGCGGTTGTTTCTTGCCTGCGATGCAACGTACCAATTTCTCATTGAAATAATCAGGGTCAAACTCCACTGCCTCTTCATCCAATTGGCGTCGAAGCCTGCTCAGAGTTTGTTGGACAGAGGTTGCCTCTGATTTGTGCTTTTGACCGGACTTTCTTTCGGCTTCAATTTGCAAATTAAGATCATTGATCGAGTTTTCAAAGTTTTCAATCTTCTTTCCACGCTCAGAGGCCTTCTCGGCTGCTTGATCGACCAGGTGTTTTCGATGCTCTCTCACAAGCTCTAGCTGATCGATATAGTGTTTTTTGCCCGTGACGGCTTGCAAGGCAGGCTCGAGGTCCGATTTGAGCGCATCGTACTGACGCTGAAACTCGACTTTGGTAGCCTTCAGTGCCTCATATGTTTTATGGAAATCTTTATACTCCACAATGGGACGTAGAAACTCGAAGATTTCGATCTTTCGCTTGATTTCGGCTCTTTGTCGCATCCGTTCAACATCGGCTCTCTGCATTTCTTGCCGATTCTCCAGGTTTGCCAGGACTTCCTTATCGGCCCTGTTCTCGATCTCGAGTCTTTTTTGTTCTGCTCTCAGTCTCTTCAAACCGTCATGCCACTCGATCATCTCGGGGCCAGCTGCCGCCCTTTGCGTCGAATGGAGAAGCTCAACTGGCGTGAGTGCAGCAAACTCAGCGACTTTGTCCTGGGGAAGAAACTGGCACAGGTTGTCCACCTGGATTGCGAATGACTGCGAAAATTTAAGCGCCACTGATCGTGAGACGGGCTTCCCATTTATAGTAAATGAGCTTTTGTTGCCATCCCGCTTGATCGTCCGACGGATCACAGGGTTTGCAGAGACCTTCGGTGGTCCAGCCAGTTCGATCTCAATCGTAGCCTCGCGACAGCCGTGCTTGACGAACTCGCCCAGGTCCTTGGCACGTCCTAGGTGCTGCCAGTCACATTTTCATTAGCAAAACATCCTCGTATACTCGGTCAAGCTATGATAGCACCGTGTGTCATACCGCAGGACCCCATCCCAAACCCAGACATATCGCACAGACCAAAGTACTTTTACCCGTTCCATTAGGACCAATGACCATGTTCAGTTTCGGACCAGGTTCGAACTCGGCGGTGTTGTAGGTCACAAAGTTGGTCACCTTGATGCGCCTGATCGCACCGGGCTTGTAGCCATCAGGCCCGAGTTCATGGTGAACGGCCACCTGTGGTGCGGGTGCTTGGGTGGAGGGCTCGGGGGTGTCGGTTTCATCGCTTTCCTGATCATTTTCATCTCCTGTCTCCGCATGCTCATTCTCGGCGGGGCTGATGCGCGGGCGTTTACTGCTCGATACGTAGGAGGGGTCCGGAGACGCGGACTCGTCGCTATCTTCATCGTCTTGTGGTCGACGTCGGCGCCGGGGGCGGTACTTGGGGACACCATAATAGAGGCAACCCTCGAGCGATGGGTGATCACCACTCATGCACCGATCGCAGCAGGTTTGCGTCGAGTCGTTGATAGCGCGGAGAAATCAAACGCGGACGCGTCTTGCAATACTAAAACTGGTTGAGGTAGGCGGTGAGAGCGCGGTTTTACGGAGGCTTCAACTGTGGAGACGCTGCATCTGTCTCTCCCAACACGCGAGATGCCGAATGCTCGAAGGCTGGTCTTGACGGCTGCCGTCACCTCAATCACTATTGCAGGCACCCTGTATGGAGCAGGCCTGAAGACAAACAAAGAGATATCCGAGGTATGCATGAGACCATCTTCGGACGGACAAGCCTCAACACCGAGACTTAACGGTACACGCGATGAATTCATTTGATTCCTAACACATTGTTTTAATTAGAATTCCCGCAAGCATCAGGAAACTACTTTTGACGAAAAGCTTGCGGCTCTTCGAGGCATGCGGTCCAATTTGACTGCTCGGAAAGGCATGATCGAAAGTCAGATTCGAGATTTGGATGCGAGGGTGCAGGAGAAGCAAGAGAAGGGGATTGGCGGAGCCAACCACGAAGAGCAGCACAAGGGACGTTGAATAGGAGTTGCTTTGAATGAAGACAGGGTAACCACCACGGTTACGATCGTCAATCGACGGCGGCACAATTACGACCATGCGGCCATGCTTTCTTCGAACCCAACCCTTGAGCGACACCACTTGCCTGCTTGTTTCAGCTCAGCTTGAACTGGGTTCGACAAATTGTGGGGCCTCCATCAACTCAGGCGTTACTCTGCGAGAGCAACATCCGCCTCAGATTTATCTCGTGTCCAGTTACGACAGCCAAATAGGGGACCATGTGGAGGATATCCTTGGTGGATTAGGAGAGGAATTCCTCCAAAAGATAACTCGGCATGATACAAGACATGAAAGAGAAGCTAGGGCACCGGTATGACAAGCCATTTGCTTCCCATGGGATCATAAGTTTATCTCTGCGGTGACTGATCTGCATGATCCTCTCAGCAACCTTGGAAGAAGACAAGATATTCGGAGTGCAGCCATTTGTTGGAACTGTTGGAATAGCTTCGCTACCTACGGTACAATCATAAACCTTGTAGCCAAGCATGGCAAATATCTGCCTACTATATATGAATGCATCACAGCTACAACAATGAAATGTATATCAATTGTTCATATATCCTCGATATTTGCTCAGGCTCTACTTCCCATCACCGAATACTCCAGGAAATTAGGCACCTTGTGCACAAATTTTGAATTTGAAAAAAAAAAAGTGGGGGGTTCCTTCGGCATTATATATCATCCTCTTGAGACAGCGTGTCAATGGAATGAAACCAACAAAAGGAGGAAAACCAGCCGCAAGTGAGATAAACATATATACTGTACTAGCTTTCTATTTCCAATGCCCGTAATTAACACTCGTTAGATCGTATATAACCTTTGCTGCCCACAATAACTGCCTCCACCAACAGTAGCTCCATGATCATGCATCCAGATTCAGATTGTCCAAGAGCATATCGAGTTTCTCCAGTAAGATCTGGTAATTCATTGCGTCTTCAGTGAACTCATCATCCGCAACGGCACCGTCCAATGTCCGGATTTCACGAGCATGCTCTTGCAGTTTCTGGGGCTGCCTTGCCGCGACATCGCTGATGTTTGTCGCCTGGGCGACATCCAGTCGATCGACTCCATCTGTGATTTTCGCCACATCCTCTAAGGGTTGATGTGCGTCACCAGTTTCCGGTCGAGCTGGCTCTTCCATCAGCTCGTCGAGGCCCGCATCGTCAAATCGCAACCTAAAGCGCTCGCTGAGATAAAACCGGATATCATCCAGCAACTCGATCGAGTCTGTTTCCTGACGGGCCTGGATGCGAGATGCAGACTCTTGGATGAGTTCCGCAAATTCTGACGTGTCGATATGAGCTTCCAGTCGATATGCCAGATACCGAGCTGCAAACTCCTCCAGGCGTTGAACGCGGGTCAGCCAGGCCGCGCGAATGATTGCGTAGATATCGATGTCGTCTTCTTCCGTGGTGCCCCGAGTCTTCGCAGCCTCGGCTTGCGACATCCCGCCACTTCCCAGGGTGCTGATCACCACGGCGGCTTTGGTTTTCAATTTCTCGATAAAGAGCATATCTGCCGCAAACAGGACATCGACTGCAACGTCCAGTCCGAAATCGGCTCGCTCCGTGTACATAAAAGTTAGAATGATCTCCAGCACCTCCGGCGAGCAGTCGACATCGATAATGTGCAAATGATCCTTGACGTAGGCCTCCCGGAACGAGGATGAGAACATGGCCTGGAAGAACTCCGAGCGCAATAGCATTGCCCGGTGACATGGGAAGAGGGTCGACCTTTGGGCTTCACATGCGCCAGACTCCGCCGTGGCAGATGCTGGACCGATGGGCAGTGAATTGGATGTGCCGTTGTTGGGATCTTGGGGATTACCAGCAGTGTCGTCCGCCTCTTCGGGAAGCTCATCAGCCCTCAGCAAAACATCTGCGAAAATCGCATTGTTTCGATCCCATCTCACGTCATTCACTTTGGCAGTGTCAACCACCACCTTATTCCCGAGAACATTCCGACGGAACCATTCTTCCAGCTGATCTCGGCCCTTGGCCAATTCCATGGTTCTCCTTTGCCTTGCAAGTCTCCTATCCCCGCTTTCGAGGATGCTGTCCACGAGGCTGTGAATCTCCAGGTATTTGGAGATCTTGTCGATCCCCGCAAAGACCTCGGATTCGGTGAACCCGGTCCCAGGACCACTCCGCAGCTCCCGCGGGGCTTCTCCAAAGTAAAGGTATTTGATAGCGGCGCTGAATGCCTCCGGAGGGGTTGTGTTAGGAAGTTTCCATGTTGTGGTCTCGGGAGCGGTCGCCAGTTTGGCCTGGAAGTAGGGCGAGCGCGCCGCGAGAAGGAATTTATGGAGGTAAAGAGATTCGTCGGCGGCGGTCACAACAATATCGGTTGTTACCGGTGATTCTCGCGTCAGAAGCGATGATATATGAGCCGCGAGTGGCTGCAGCGGATCGGTAGATTTGGAATAATCATATTCAAGCAACAGATTGCGTATACGGTCATTCAGCGCGTTATAGAGACATCTGATGGAAACCCAATGGTTAGCCCTGGTTGCCTTGAGGGAGAATATATACACACCTTTCACCTTGGAAAGTGTCTCGCTCACACAGTGAACCGGACTCGAGCAGAAGCTGGACGACTTCATAGTGCCCGCACAGACTCGCCTGTTGGTGGGGAAGTATTACCGTGAGGGATTGTCCCATATATTTTGACATTTGACACTGCGACAAAGGCAAAACTTACCAGAATTAAAGGTGTATAGTCATACGGATCGCGGGCATTGACATTGACACCCTCGGTGATCTTCTCCTGGCAGACTTTCAGATCGCCCTTACGGCATGCACTGCATAGGTCACGGAACGGCTCACTGAGGTCGAGGGGGTTATCGTCCTTAATGGCACCCTCCTTGATCAGCTTTTTCTCGTTATGTAAGCTGATTTCCAGCTGATCTTTGCGCAACACTGTCCGTTCGGCCATTTCCAGTCGATATATATTATACCTTGCCACTCGAAAGTGGGAGACGGCTCGGCGGGACGCGCGCGATGCTTATCGATAAACGTCACGTGCAGGCGGAGTTAGGGCAAGGTGGTTAGCACGGCACTTGTTATGTTTACGAGTGGCTGGGTACATGAACTATACCAAACTGTGTGCAACAAGACTTTTGACGGCTATTACTTTTCAATGCAAAACTTGATTATTTTCTTTTACAAAAAAGTTCCCCCATCAAGTGTCCTCATTGCCCAGGAGATCCTCCGCGCTGACTCATCAACGTCACCCCGAGGGGCACACCGCCTGCCCAACTGGCTAAGCCCCATGTCTGCGGTTGCTCAGCAACAACGATCGCCCAAACACCGTTGCTAGAGAGAGCTTCTACACTCCGAACCGTTGGTTACTTTTCTTCTCAACTCCTCCACGACCAGGGACACCGGCACCCCATTTTTGATGCACATTAAATCTTCCTTTTTCTTTTCTCTTTTTTCTCTTCTATCCCTGTGATTCCGTTGTCTGGTGTCCAGCAATCTATAGCCATGGCGATTGCTCTGGCTGAAGCAGACAAGTATGACATCTTGGAGAAGATTGGTAAGTTAGGGCTTGATCAACTTCCAATGTATTGAAACTAACTTTTTCTATTCAGGATGCGGCTCCTTTGGCATCATTCGCAAAGTCAAACGGAAAACAGATGGATTCGTAAGTACTCGACTCACAATGACACCCTGCAGGACTATCCCTTCTAATACCAACTAGATCCTCTGCCGCAAGGAAATCAATTACATCAAAATGTCCCAAAAAGAACGGGAACAATTGACCGCCGAGTTCAACATCCTGAGCTCCCTTCGACACCCGAATATCGTCGCGTACTACCACCGGGAACACCTCAAGGCCAGTCAGGATCTATATCTGTACATGGAGTACTGTGGCGGTGGCGATTTGAGCATGGTCATCAAGAATTTGAAGAAGACAAACAAATTTGCCGAGGAAGAATTCGTCTGGCGCATACTCTCCCAGCTCGTCACGGCCTTGTATCGCTGCCACTATGGTGCGGATCCGGCCGACGTGGGTTCCAACATCCTGGGCCCGGCCTCCAAGCCTTCGGGTCTCAAGGGAAAACAGGGGCAGGTTACCATCTTACACCGGGACCTTAAGCCCGAAAACATCTTCCTCGGTAGCGACAACACGGTCAAGCTTGGTGACTTTGGTCTATCCAAGCAGATGCAATCCCACGATTTCGCATCAACGTATGTCGGCACGCCTTTCTACATGTCACCTGAAATCTGTGCCGCCGAGAAGTACACGCTGCGCTCGGATATCTGGGCTGTGGGCTGCATTATGTACGAGCTCTGCCAGAAGGAACCCCCATTCAACGCCCGAACCCACATCCAGCTGGTTCAGAAGATCCGGGAGGGAAAATTCACTTCCCTCCCCGACTGCTACTCGCCCGAACTCAAGAATGTCATTGGAAGCTGCTTGCGGGTTAATCCGGACCACCGTCCCGATACTTCTTCCCTGATCAATCTTCCCGTCATTCGCCTCATGCGCAAAGAGAAGGAGGTGGTTGACCTCGGCAAGACATTGCGCAGACGTGAGGAAGTGGCTGTTCAAAAGGTCCGGGAAATGGAACAAAACCTGGCCAAAATGGAGAAGGAAAAGCAGCAGATCAAAGGCGAGATTGAGAGTACTGTTCGCAGGGAATGGGAAGTCAAGGCACGACTCGAGATTGACCGACAGGTGCAAGGCGAACTGGACCGCCTCCGTAAGCGCTTCGAGTCGGAGGTCCAGGAAAGAGTGTCTATCGAGGTCGAGAAATACAAACAGAACGGCAATACTCGAGAAGATGTGTTCCGAACGAGTACTCGAAACTCTCAGTCCTCGCGGACAAGCGGCCAAAGCCGCCGATCTTCTAGCAACGCAAGTGATGACAACAACAACACACCCCCGAGCACTCACCCCAGTCAGCCGTCGCTTGGATCGCCCACCTCAAATGGAAAGAAGCAGTTAAAGGAGAACCGCACTCCATTCTGCCGCTCCAAAACGGTGCTGGACTCACCGGTTGATGTTCAGATGGCCGAGCCTTCGCCCATCTCTATTGCCTCTCTCTCGCTATCTCCTCGCCGGACGTCTGGAGCTGGTGGCTCTCGAAACATCTTCGTCGAGGGCGAGCGACACAAGGGGAAATGGGAGCCGACCCTGGCCTACTCTGATGATGAGGATGACACCCCCGACCTGCCCTCGCCTACTCGACCAAAGGTGAAGCCAGACCCTCTCAAGGCACCCCGACGACCCCTTCTTCGCCAGAACACCGCAGCCCTGATGCAAAAACTCAGCACCCAGCCTGCTCTGTTCCCGTCCAATGGAACCCGACTTCCCCAGGCATCTTCTGGTGGCCCGTCCCCTTCCCATTCCCAGTCTAGTGACTGCCAGGGCATGAGCGAAAGCAGAGCCACCTCTCCTCACCGTCGCCTGTCGAAGATCCCGTCGTCGGCGAACTTGGCTGCCGATGCCGGGTCTCCAACCCGCAAAAGCGCTTCCAAGCAACTACCTCCCAAGGCCAATGGTGGCGGCGAGGAAATGTTCAAGGCTGTCATGCAGCGCAACATGGGTGGTCGCACGCTAGTGGAACTCGCTCAGGCGAGGGCGGGTGGCCGTCCTATGGACGAGGTCAAGCGATGTGCCAGCGACTCTCGGGCCACTGCTCCGACAAGTCTGAAGTGCTCTGAACGGGAGCCGCCGGCTATCTGGGACCCTGAGCGGGATGAGATGCCCAGTCCCTTCTTGGCTCGTGGAAAGAAGGTGATCCGCAACCTGCGGTGATCTTTCCGTCCCTTTTTCTTTTTCTTTTTCCTTCTTCTTTACTTTTTTTTTTCACCCTCGATTTATCTTGTTCTGGAGCAGTTTTCTATCGATGGCGTTTTCTTTGGTGTTTTCTTTTCTTTTTTAGGGGGGGGGGGGGGGGGGGGAAACACTCTAATCTTCGATCGTCGTTCGCTTCCCTCTTCACTTCTTGCGCATACCTCTTTGTTCTCTGCCACGGAGTTCGGCTCGATACTGTTGCGTTTTGGGAGCATTCTTGCCTATGCAAGACACGGAGTTGGATGCATCTGCCTTTCTCTGTGTTTGGCTTACCCACCCCCCTTGCACCCCCGACTCGACTGATTCTTTCCTTTGTGATGCCATGATGCCATGCCTTGATCCACCTGGGAGGAGATCTTTTTTTCTGTACATGATCTTTTTGTTGCATCGGCGCGTCTGCTGGTGGTTTTCTTCTTCCTTACTTGCTTGCCCTATCATCTTGTGTGTCCGGGCTACTGCCCTTCACAAATTGTTGACACTTTTCGATTTTTATGCTTCTCGCATTGCCCTCATCCGGTGTGTTTGGGATTTCCAGGTTGTCTCTCGTTTGGATAATACCTTTTCTTCTTCGCTTTCGCTCTCTTATCTCTCAATTGGGGCTTGGTGTTTGGTGGTTTGAGACTGGGTGTTTCTTGGGCTTGTTACTTGCGTCTTTTGTGGATGTACATATCGGATTTTTCATGAAGCTGTTGTCTTCAAATTTGCTTCTCTTCTCAGTATAGTATAGCCACGGTAGAAAGCCTGTTAAGCTAGTCTGAAGGGTATTTCTGGACTTGCTAGGTCTGTCGGTGGCATTTTTGCTCCAGCGTTATGGGACCCAGTCCAGCTGCTCTCAGATCAATCCTCTAAGTCTTTCTCGTTTTGTCCATGAATACAGTGCCTGGTTAAACATGGTCTAAACCAGCGTACTTCCAAAGTTGTTATGCTACCTAGTGACTACCCCGGTGAGGGCGAATAGACCGGTAGACCTTTGCCTCTGGTCTTCAACTGTGAGGCAGATACTGATTTTGATACATAAAGCGCTATATTGACTTAAAACTGGATCTCAGAGATCTTCATCTTCAACCTCCTCGATCTGAACAGACTTGAGCTCCCGGTTAAATCGCTGCTCCTCCTCCTCTAGTGACCTCTGATCCTGGCCGGTCCCAGACGATGAACCACCCTGTGGATTACTTGTCGTGGCAGCAGCACCGGCTTGATACCCAGCCTTCTCCAAGCGATCCATTTCCTCGGGCTCCAGTAGTTTGCCCTGCCCGCGGACAGAGTCCTGTTTCATCCTCACGGCTGCCGGCACGAATTTGTTAATGGCCTCCTGGCGAAGATCACGGATCTCGGGCTGTGCCTCGTAGACAGTCTTAGCCTCCACGGCCGGCGGTTTAGATGGCAGCGCATGCGGTCCACGATGCCCCGGTGCTTCTTGTGAATCTGCGCCCGCGCCTCGTCGGCGATGGTGCTGTTGCCGTGGAATCGGCGGCGGTGTATCGCGCGGCATGGGAATCCCGCGCACACTTTCATCCGTGTCGCTGCTCTCGCTTTCCGGCGGAAACCGCCCACCATCTGAACCTCGCCTCCGCTTGCCTAGCACGCCGTCCCCTTCTCTGTCTCGGTCTCTACCTCCTCCCTTCCCGCCGTGATGGCCGCCTCGCCCGCCATGGCCGAACTTGGGCGCTTTGTCGCCCAGCGCTTCACGTGCCTTGTATACTGCGCGCAAATCCCGCTCCAGCGCCTCGAGGATCTCCTTATCACGTGGTCGTAATCTCTGTCCTGATTCCTCGGCCTCTTTGAGGTCGTTGATCTGTCGTTGGATTCGGTCTGGGTTGCGTCGGGCCAGTTTCTCGTTCCGGCGTGCCAGCGCCTCGGCCTTGTTCTTTTTCATGCTCTTTTGTTTGTCTTGCTTCCGCTGCGCCATCGCAGGGTTGACCGATCGTTCTTTGTCTTTGGCCATGGTGTCTGGGCAGCGGTACCTCTCGCTGCTTGTGTTGAACTAATCCCGCGATTTCTTCAACTCTGGCTTGCGCGTGGTAGAGTACAAGGGTCTCTTAGAGTAAGAGAGTCGAGAATTCGATATGTCTGGTATTCGGCGGGTTTTCACGTGAAGGGCGTAGGGGAATCGAAGGTGGCGGTTGGCGAATACCCACACGCGCAGTGCGGAAACGCCGGCACTGGCGGAGTCTGGGAGGCTGCGATGACCGGTGATCCAAGCGCCGGTCTTGGGTATTTAGTGGTGTCGATTCGAGTCAGGCTGTTGGGTCGAGACCGCACGCAGGAGGATTTCGGACTGGACGGGAAATGATGAACGTTCACGGGGCAAAGGAGTACTATCCCGTGCAGAACAGGCGCGCGTTTCTTGCTGCAAGCCCCTCGTAGGTGCCGATCGACTTGAAGTTGCTTCAGCCTCACGGGTTAGGCAGTGGAGGTTGCAGGGCGAAATTGGGAGTTGGGAAAACGGGGGAAAAGCTAAGGCGGAGTGGAGAGAGCTATCCATGGTACGCGATGGAGCCGATCCTATGTATACCCTAACATCTGGACATTTCTGGATAAAATATACAATATATACTAAGCAAACTAACAAATACGTAAGAGCCTTTAATCTCGAAATGCAGATATGGCATTCCCTGGTCCATAGTAGACACAATCTATATCGCCCAAGGAATCAAAGCAAAACAGGACATGCCGGGGAATATCATAGTCATCAGCATAATAACACGGAGAAATTGGATCACATCAAGACCAGTGATATTGCTTTTTCCCTTCCCCCCTCTTTAGTGTTTCTCTGGATCCTTTTGGGGGCCCGAGGTATCATATTCGCAGCCCAACAAGGTCAACAAATACAATTCTATGTGCATGGATAGAATGACTTCTGATATATAACACACATACCCCCAGAATCCTTCCCTTGACTTGACTGGATTCAAGAGCCGCCAGTTGCCGCCGATTCCAGGCGGTTCACACCATCACCCTTCTCCGCCTCATGCAAAAGCTCTCCCACCCCATCCGATAGTCGCATTCCGATCCCACTGCACACAGTCTTTCGCAACTTGCCAGTCTCTCCCCCCCCTTCTTCCTCCTCTTTCAACTCCTCCCGTCCACCATGACCCGCGGCTCGTCCGGTCTCCCATCGAGTTTGATCGGCGCTTCGTAGACTCGCGGTCGGAGCATGTCTCTGCCGGGACCAAATGTCCGTCTCAGCTTCGATCCCCGATACCTCGCTTGGCCTCACCTCCTCCGAGATCCAGATCCTTCGACAACAGCAGCAGATCGCTCTGCAGGGCGGCCATGCCGGCAATGGGGGTTCCAGGGGCAGGGGAACTGGAAGAACCAGCAACTCCAGCTCGCGCGCGACCAGCGCCGCCAGCAGCCAGGGCCGCTTGTTGCTGGATCCTATGAGTCTCCGCGCGCTGTCGCACCAGTTGGATGGTCTGCAGGCCCAGATCAGTGGCCGCATCGAATATGTATGTTTCTTTCTCCACTCCCTTGCGTGCTCGTATAATGGCACCTCGTTTTGATTTTTGATTTTTTGATTTGTTCTAAATCACTTCTCTAACCCAATGTCTAGCTCGAGGAACAAATGCAACTCTCCATTCAGAATAGCTACGACCGCGCCGGGAACGTAATCCGCAATGCTGATGCGGAGATTGCCCGCACCCGGTCGATTCTCGCCTCCATCGACGAGCTGGATAATGAACTGGCCAAGATTGCTCATATCCGCGATATCGTCAAGTCTTTCCGCGGTCGAATCGAGAACTTGGACCATCGCATCGACCAGAGTTCTCGCCGGCGCCGCTGATTCAATCCCTTATTCCTCTCCCAAACCGCCCGTTTTGCTGGACCGTGACAAGTAATCTTGTCCTATAACTTGATCTCCCAACCTCTTTACCGTCCGAATATTACATGCCCTTTTGCCCGACTGCTGGATAGTCCTCTCGATACACTCCTATATGATCTCGCTCCCAAGAAGACTCCGTTATATATCCACCCAGTCCTCGCGGACACGCCGTCCCCAATACTTTGCCTTTCTTTGTTCGTTTCTTCTTCTGCACCTGGCTTATGAATAATCGGTTGAAAGAACGGCATACTTGCCCCACGGCACCTTCGGGCTGGGTGACCCCATCCACCCGTGACCTGGATGGGCGTGCAGTGTTTGGATGGCGCTGGAGTTGGATTTCTTTTGACTGCTCGGGTATTCATTGCTTGAGCCCCAACTTGTGATGACTACAGTGACGATGGATCTCTTTTCTCTCAAATGTTGCTTCGAGTCCATACACATGACCCTGTTATATTTGCTTTGTTTTGATGCGTTTCGACCCGTTGCTCTTTCGATTCCCCTCTCTGCATGTTCATGTATATCCATTTAGGTTGTCTGCTGTCTCTTGATCAATTCCCATCCTTGGGGTGACTATGGCCATGCTTGTAGTGTTTCGCTGTCACATTCGGGGTAATTCATCGGACCTGAGATATCTGCCCAGGTAAAATTCCACAAGCACTTATTCGTCGCCCAGAATTCCCCCGGTCCTCCTTCCGCGCGCCATATGAATAAGCTCCGAGGGTTTCCAATTCTGATCCACTCTCTCCCCTCGTGCAATCCCAAGTCCTGGTTGTATGCGACGGCTGTCCTTTTCAATTTTCTAGTCGCCAGAAGACACGGCTATGCTGAAGGTTGCTTCAGCCCAGCCGCAAAACTGAGATAGCAGCGGACAACTCAAAAGGTGAGTCTATCGGTAGCCGCCAAGGACACATGCCGCAGGTTGTGGTTTCAAGAATCAAGCAAAATCATCATGCCTTGCTCATGCAGAGTAGCGCGTTGAGTAACTGACCGACAGGTTTCATGACTTCTTTAGTTGAATTGGCGGCTGTGACTCCTTCCGGCGATCCACCAGTTTCTTCCCACGCTTTTCGGTCTGCGGAAATCGCTTTTCAGCTTTGCAAACAAGACAACGGACAACCAAGACATCAGCCCATGGCTTCTTGCCTCCATGACTGGCATTTTGAATCTCATGGGTGCAATTGACCCCAGGCGTGAGAAGGGTATCACAGCGTTTGCAGAAGGATCTTTTCAGGGCTCTCGGCAGTCGGATCTGGGTTTTCAATGACACACCACGCATCTGGGAGATATAAGCCCTAGAAAGATTGGCTGATGGGGCTTTGGCAGTGTGCTGGGTAGCAGCCGGCGTTGGCTCGATAGCCTTGTCATCACTGAGTGGCACGAGCTGGGCTGAAGCTAAGTCACGGGGCTCTGCGTCATTCCCTGGTTGAAATCTGTGGGCATTGTGAAGATAGGTTGCTGCATGCTGCAGATACTCCAGGCGAGCTCGGATGTGGCTCTGCGTATGTTTGGCATCTTTTTTGCCCTTTGCTTTGGCCATGATGTTGAAGACGTTCAGTCGGTCGGCGGCAGCAGAAAAGCTCCGAAGGACGCTAGCCCTGAAACGGTGATGCTGTCTTGCACGTGATCTGCCCAACTCTTCATCCCTCGCCTCCTCGCCGACCTGTCATCTCTCCAGCTTAGCTTCGTCGCCTCGTCCCCTACGATCAGTCAATTCCACGGGACTTTGGTTGATAGTCCCATTCTCGTTCATATTTGCTCCTTGGCCCTTCGTTTCCACCCTAGTTCCCCATACCCTCTACTCACCCCCCGGCGAGAAGACCCGTGACAACCACAGCTTCACGACTTGACACCTGCCATCATGTCTCACGAGGAGGATCTCATTGACTACTCGGACGAGGAGCTCCAGACCACGGCTCCCGCAACTACTGCTGCCCCAGCTGCTGCCAATGGCGATGCAGACAAGCAGGGTGACCTGACCGTGACTGGCGGCCGCCCCGACAAGAAGGGCAGCTATGTCGGCATCCACTCGACCGGTTTCCGTGACTTCCTGCTCAAGAGCGAACTCTTGCGTGCCATCACCGACTGCGGCTTCGAACATCCATCGGAGGGTTAGTCTAACACATTTCTCCCACAAGCGTTCCTCCATTACTCCAAGCTCCAACGTCCGTCCATCTCTGCGTGAATCTCTTCGGTCGGTAGTAGCAGTCGTTCTCGAATCTGCAGACGGCGTGAGACCCATTTGTCTTTGAACAATGGCCTAGCATGGGATCGAGTCATTTTTCCCCCGAAATCAGTGCCGCGGCGGCCCTTTTTTTTTTCCTCGGCCAAAGCTTTAGTCACTGTTACTATCCACGAGAATCTTGTGGAATATGGTACAATGGGTGGAAAAATTGTGCGATAACGATCGCTGGTATCTCGATGTGAGGTGTTCCTCATGTCGTCTGCAGAGCCAGATTCTTGACATGAATCATGGTACTTCACTATTATGGCCTCCAGCCATGGTGATTTATTAGAGGGCATGGTGGGCGATATGGCACTTCCGATTTCGACGATAGTATCACCGGGCGATGGACGGACATTGCGACGCGAATTGTTTTTTGTTTCTTCATCCTTGGGTCGAATACAGTCTAACATCCGCTCCGCCTCCCAACAGTCCAGCAAGTCTGCATTCCAACTGCCATTCTGAATGTCGACGTTCTGTGCCAGGCCAAATCGGGTCTCGGTAAAACTGCGGTCTTCGTCTTAACCACTCTCCACCAGCTGGAGCCCATCCCGGGCGAGTGCTCCATCCTTGTGATGTGCCACACCCGTGAGCTGGCCTACCAGATCAAGAACGAGTATGCGCGTTTCTCCAAGTATCTTCCTGATGTCAAGACTGCGGTCTTCTACGGTGGTACCCCCATCCAGAAGGATGTCGAGGTGTTGTCCAACAAGGAGACCCACCCCAACATCGTTGTCGCGACCCCCGGTCGTCTGAACGCCTTGGTTCGTGACAAGAAGCTGTCGCTGCGCAACGTCAAGGCTTTCGTTCTCGACGAGTGTGACAAGATGCTTGACCAGATCGGTAAGTTGTGCCTCTGCTATATGGTTTAAGATTCTTGCTGATCCCCTTGGTAGACATGCGCCGTGACGTCCAGGAGATCTTCCGTGCTACCCCTGCCGACAAGCAGGTCATGATGTTCAGCGCCACCCTCTCCCAGGAGATCCGCCCGATCTGCAAGAAGTTCATGCGCAACCCTCTCGAAGTCTATGTTGACGACGACACCAAGCTCACTCTCCATGGTCTGCAGCAGTACTACATCAAGCTCTCCGAGAACGAGAAGAACCGCAAGCTGAACGACCTCTTGGACAACCTGGAGTTCAACCAAGTCATCATCTTCGTCAAGAGCACCCAGCGTGCGAATGAGCTGGACAAGCTGCTGCGCGAGTGCAACTTCCCGAGTATCGCGGTGCACTCCGGTGTCAGCCAGGAGGAGCGGTAAGTTTGGCTCTTAAAATGTATCAGCATGGGCAATGACTGACGGCTCTCTAGTATCAAACGTTACAAGGAGTTCAAGGAGTTCAACAAGCGTATCTGCGTTGCCACCGACGTCTTCGGCCGTGGTATCGATATCGAGCGGATCAACCTTGCCATCAACTATGATCTGCCTGCCGATGCTGACTCGTACCTGCACCGCGTCGGTCGTGCCGGCCGTTTCGGTACCAAGGGTCTGTCGATCTCCTTCGTGAGCACCGAGGACGACGACAAGGTTCTGAAGGATATTGAGAAGCGTTTCGAGGTTGCTCTTCCGTATGCTTGACCCATCCCCAAGCTTGTATTGCCTTTGATCGTGACTAACTCTGTTTCTAGCGAGTACCCCGAGGGCGGCGTTGACTCGAGCACCTACATGGCTTAAAAAGTGTTTTCTTCCCGGTACAAAGGCGCCTTTTCCTTTTGATGGTCGCTGGGTGAAAATGCAGCTCGATTCTCTTCTCTTTTCTCTCTCTCCTTGCAAAGATGGTTGTTTCCCTCGGCGTCAACTCGGTTGTGATTTTTTTTCTTGTTGCTCGGGTATTCCCTCTCATGTCTCGTTATCCGAGATGTGAATGAGCCATGAACCCGCACTGTATCTCTCAAGATAGGAATGGAATCTGGATAATTTGAAATGTTCGTCTGGGGTTTGTATTCTGTATTTCCGCGCCACTGAATTCAGTGGCGCTGGTCTTGACTCAGGTGTCTTAGATCTGTGCATGTACTGCGCCTTATAGGACTGGGCTTAAGCGAATAATGAGTGCTAGCGATGATTAATGTCAAAGAGTATTGGATATCTGCACCACTACGAGAGGAATTGGTATTTTGACTGAGTTCCAGCCCAAATCTTGCTATAGTCAATGAAGCCTCGCAAATATTTTCTTTTGAGGAATCCATAGATTCCTGCAGGGACGGCTCTCGTCCACCGTGGGTCCTGCATGCGCATAAATCGGCTGATGAAGTGGTCTATCGACTGGCGTGGGCATTGGTTCGTCACAGGCGATGCGTAGAGTTTTTTCTTGTGCAGGATGCAGTGTCAAGTTGGAAATGAGAAGTGCTGAACAAGAAAAAGAAAAGAAACAAGAAACAAGGTCGGGGGACCACCGCACACCAAAATTCAAATTAAGAAAAATCCAATCGGCATAAACGACTCGATCTTTTGTAAGGGGAACTCGATTTGGTTAGGGAGTATAAGCTAAGGGACCGGGGGCAAGTTCTTTTTTTTTTTTTTAGATTCACATAAATTTCTCCGAAAGGACAGAGAAATTATACAATAAACGACAAACCAACTGTTGGAATCTTCGGCAAATCCTCGCTATATACTAGCCTGGCCTGTCTCTAGTGCTCACTCAATTTTGACCCCTAGCTATGGCGTATTATTAAAAAGAAAGAAAAAAAAAAAAAAAAAACAAGGCAGAGTCTGTCTCGGACCCCCCCAGAATCAAGTAGTCTAACTTTGAAAGGAGTAGACAGTGTCCACCGTGGGGGTCTCTGTTTCGCTTTAGCGTCGAGTACCTCCGTTCCGACTGGCCTAGTCTCTCATGGTAGTTTTCCCTCGGTATTGTTGAGGTTGAGAACGGCGTTCTCCGCATAATAATAATACCACTACTCTTGTTCCTACTGATAGAGAATATTCATGTTCTTTTTCGGTAGGTTCTCTGTTGTTCCCGCGAGGCTCCGGGTTTTCCATCTAGTAAGTATGGAACTAGTTCAATGTATGAATTTCACACGGGGAGTCTCAAGTTCGGGGCAGGCCGTTGCTCTGGGGCGGTTTCGAGCTTTCGGCGGAGCTCTCGGGTCCTTCCAGGATCGAGGTGATCTTGGATGTTTCAGGGTTTCTTGATTCGAGGGACTCTATTCAGTACGTATAATACAAATTCATAAAATAGTGATCATGCTATGTCGCTATTGCTGTAGAATATTATAATGATTTTTGACAACTCTATGTAACTACCCCTATTTCTCATTCCTCCTACCCCTGATAGACATGAAATCACCGATCGGCAGCCCTAATCAGGTCGATCGTGGCTGAGTCGACCTCTCTGGGGGGGATGCTTGCATGATATACCATGATATTCCGTCCACGGGAGCAAAGTGTACATATCAACTTAAGGTCCGAGAACATCGATTATCTGCGTCCGGGCGAAATGCTCCGGAAACGTGGGTTTTGCCAACCACCTGGCATGTGGTGTATTTCATTGATCGATTTCCGGTCGTCGATCACATATTTCTAAAAAAAAAAAAAAAAAAAAAAAAGAAAAAAGAGAGGGCCATTGATTACTGGACAATATTTCATGTTTGCATGGCCCGTGTCTCCACCATAGCTTTCAACCTGAATATCTGCTTCTGTAGACCTTGGTTCTTTAGGGCAACTCCTAGATCACTGGGATATGTATAGATCTACACTTTTTTCTCTCCTATTTTTTAGCATATGACTGGCAATGTGTCCTTAATTATGGTAATAATAATATATTGTTATTATCAGATTTGCATCCCTCTGCAAACAGTCGGCACGCGCGTCGATCATTGCTTGGGTATGCGACAACACCGCCTCCCCCTTCCAAGGTATTTGAGCCGATCCTGAATATCCCTTCCTCCTCCTTTCCGAGAACAACCCTATTTTGCCACCGAGAATTGTGTAATTCTACTCTCTAAGATAGAGGGGAACTCATTGTGTTAGAGACATAGTATTGGGTATAGATTCCTCGAAAGCACAAAAATTATTGTACTGCTGTTGCTATTGTTGTAGGGCGAGGACCTGATCTATGAATCGCACCCGAAATACCACAACGCCCGGGGAAATTCCTGGATACCAGAGTGGGGATATGGCTTGAACCCCCTCTTATCCCGTCGCACGATTGTGCCCCCCGTTTTTTTCTTTTCTTTCTTTTTTTATCAATTGTTTTGTACCTTCAGGTGGCACATGTCCAGCAGTCCAGTTGTCAAGCGATCGGGGAAAACAAAATAAACAGACTGGCACTGCATGTGTACCTGGTTGTATGCTGTGGGAAGTTATCATCACCTAGATCCATCGGAAGTATGTGTGGAATACAACCCTAGATTGATTGATTGGGTATTCTTGAAGTACCAAGGTACTAAATAGATACTCATAGGTACCTGACATTGATGCCCAGAGAGAGAGCTTAGGCTGCAGTATTTTAGTATAGGGAAAAAAAAGGAAAAGAAAAGAAAAGAAAAGCCCAACAAGTACAGACCTTCAGATTAATTATTTGCTATGAACCTCTCATCTCTGTATCTTGCCACCACCAATCCTGTCACGCAAGTGGGTTCCGGTGTGGATAGGATGACAGGGGGGAGATACGCGTCGGAGGTACATAAGTATTGTGTCTTTCAGAGATACTTTGGCTTGGAGACTAAAGTGTACTAAATATCAAAGTCCTCAGAGGTCAAGTTTTTTTTTATATATTTTATGTGGATGTATAGATTTTCTGTGATAACAAGTGATAGACATGCTCAAATCCTAATGGAGACAGCACAGATGCCGATCCACCCCGACGGTTTTTATTGGGGAGAGTGGTCCGTTGACTGGTGCTTTCAAAGCCGATTTGGGGCCCAGAATTATTCTGAGCATAAAATAATTAAAAAAAGGAAAAAAAAAAAATCGAGTCAATTTAATTATAGTACAACCCACCCTGCACTATGGACTAGCAGCATACCACTGTGGCTAGGTGTCAGGCACAGACTTGATTTGCCTCTTGGATAATAATATAATATTAGCATCTAATATATAATAATCTAGTAATCTAGTAATATCATAATAGGATATAATAGATTACCACAAAAAAAGAAGAAAAGAAGAAATCAGAAATGCATGTACGACCGGGATTGCGTGGACACAAAATGACCGATAGCGCAGATAGACATAGTCAATGTAGACAGCCGGATACTCTTTTTTTTTTCTCTTTTTCTTTTCTTTTCATTTTTCATTTTCATTTTCTCTCATTAATTTTCTCTCTAATTCTCTTTCTGAATTTGTGATATCGCTATTCTCTGCATCCGATTCTTATCCGTTTCCGGATTGAGTCTGGCGGGGGATCCACGACCGTTGAAGGCCTCCAGGTCTCCAGAGAAAAAAAAAAACCGTTCTTTTCTTTCTCCCTCACACTCTCTCTCTTTCAATTTTGAAGTTTGTTTCCCTTTTTTTGTTATTTCTTTTTGACGGTCGCGCAGTCTTTTTCCGAATCCCCCAGAGGCGAACAGTGACCGGGAAAGTCCCCCCCCATCGCCAACCTCTCCCATCCTTCTTCTTCCCTGATTACTCCCTCGTTTTTTTCTCTCTGCTTCCCTACTCCCCCCTTCCCCTGTCTTTCTCTCCCCTTTCATCATCTCCATTTTCCATTTCCTTCTTTCTGCAAATACTGGCTTGCTCGTGGTGTTTGTTGTAGGCGGCCTCACGCCTCTGGACCTTTCGACCTGGGTCCTTCCGCCCAACACTTCCTGCCAGATCTGACTATGGCTCCTCCTCCACGCTTGCGAATCCTGTCCGGTGAGTATCTCGTGTCAACCCATTGACACTCCCTCTGCCCACCATGGTCCGTCCTCTAATGCGAGTCTGTGCAGTGGGTGGCAATGCGATTTCGGCCTTTTTGTCCTGGCGACTTCAGGCGACAACCTCCTGCGATGTGACTCTGGTCTGGAAAGCCGGCTTTGAAGCTGTCTCTCAATATGGTGTCTCATTCAAGTACGTGGATCTCGGTGTCTTCTCGAGACCCCCCTGTCGCTAATTACCTGGGATCGACAGATCGAAAGCTTTTGGCAATGAGCGGTTCAAACCCCGTCATGGTATGAAACCCCATCCTGCGAGCCTCCATGTATTCGAGCTGACTCTGGCTTTCTAGTGGTCCGCAATCCTGAAGATGCCTCATCCCGTGAAAACGCCTACGACTATGTCATCCTTTGTGTAAAAGCCCTCCCCGACGTCTACGACCTGGCTGCGGTCATCGAATCTGTGGTCACTCCTCAACACACCTGCATCCTCATCAACACCACGAATACCATTGGCATCGAAACACATCTGGAGCAACGCTACCCAACCAACGTCGTCCTCTCCCTCGTGTCCTCGGTGGAAATCTCCCAAACCGGCCCGAGCGAGTTTGAGCATCTGAGTTCCAGCGCAATCTATGTGGGCGCTACCAACAAGCAATCCGCCATCCCGACTTCCATTCAAAACGATATGGCGGGCGCATTAGCGATGACTTTAAATTCGGGACAAGTCGACTGTAAGGTCTCGGATAATATCAGACAGGAGCAGTTTGAGCGAATGATTGGGTAAGTACTCAATAGGCACCTCACACTCCTCACATACTAACTACCCCTTGTAGCCCGATCGCGTTCCATCCCGCCAGCGTGTTGTTTGAAACCCCCAGCCTAGCACAACTCTTGGAAAAAGTCGGGGTTCGACAATTGGTGACGGGCGTCATTGATGAGCTGCTCGAGCTCGCCTCGGCGCAGGGCTGCTCATTTCCGAGCGATTTCCGCCAAAAAACGATCGAGAAGATGACTGCGTCCGAAGCCCCGATGACCATGTATCAGGACTTCCAGGCTCGGAGGCCTATGGAAGTCGAGACCTTCCTCGGGTCGCCCATCAAACTGGCTATCGAATCCAACGTCCGTGTGCCCCGGATCGAAGCCATGTACGCCATGCTCCACCACGCCAATATTGTGAATCAGACCAAGCCTCGACAAGGGGATTCCCCGCCTGCATCGATCATAGGCCACCCGCCTCCCCGATTGTCCTCTGCGCCGCCGCAACAACGGCCACCGCCACCGATGAACGGTGCTGCTATGCGATCGAGCCGAACGAATTCAAGCATGGGCATTCCCCAGCAGCGACGCGGGCCACCACCAGGTATGATGCCGCGACCGCCGGGTGGGCCGCTACTGCCTCCGGGCAACCGTGTCTCGCGCGATCCGTCAATGGAGGGCCTGGAAGAGTTCAGCCATCTGGTCGTTTACGATGATGCGGAGGGTGGCTTCTCCCACCAAAATGGCAGCAATGGGTACCCCGACGCGAGCCCTGGCCCTGCTGCCGCTGATTTGGCTTTGAGAGAGCGCGAACTGGCCCTTCGCCAGCGTGAGCTGCAAGTACGGGAACAGGAGATGGGCATGCGACGGGGCCTACCCCGCCGTGGACCCCCTCCCAGAGCAGCGGCCTTTGACGAGGAGGATGAAGATTATTTCGACCCAATGGATACCATGGCGATTCCTCACATTGATCCAGACAACGTCGATATGATGAGTATTACCTCCCGTCGCGCAAGAAAGGCCCCGAGTGCCAGTCAGATACGCAAAAACCCCGAGTTCGCCTCCGGCGGCCCTCCGAGCAGCCGGCCCTCGTCGTCGGCTTTTGGTCGATACTTCGGCAGGAAACGCCCGACCGATCGCGCCATGCAGGAAATTCCGGGTCTCCACGACTCTCTCATGGATAACCCGATGATGAGCTACTCGTCTAACAGATACGGAGCCGTCGACCGCAACCAGCTACACGCGGACTCGCGCGCCAACTCCCTCACAACGAGCCACATGGGTGATTTCCCGCCACGTCCCTACCCGACCAGCCGACGGAACAGTCAGTCCCCCGCGACGCCGTTTGGGGGACCGGGCGGTCCACCCGGTCCCCGAATGAGCCGCCCTGTCACCGCCCACGACCCGAATCTCGGACCCCCTGGTGGACCTCATAACGGCCAGCCGTCCCCCCCTGGCAACATGCGTACCCCCGTCCCTCGGTATCCGCCAGGACCCGGCCATGCGATGGGACCGCCGCAAGTTGAGCAACACTATGGGGTGAGCAAACAGTATCCCGCCAAAGGCCCTCCCAAGAACAAGAGTCTGACCGGAAGTGCGAGCGCCAGCGCGGAGAGTGGTGATAGTGGAGCCAGTGCCAACCTGGATTCCGAAGCATCAGCTCACAGCAGCCAGGTGAGCCTCGGCGGCCAGCAAGCCGTTGCGGCGCCCGTTCGCTGAACGAACGCGGCATGATCCCCCTTCATGCCCGACCGGCGAACGACGGCTGAAATGACGTGCCCATTTCACAAGGCTGGGACCGAGTATGGTGCTCATCCTTTGCCCGTTTCGAATGGGCCCTTTGCATCGTCGTGTGTCATTTCACGGATGGATACCCTTTCAAGCCCGTGGAGTCCGGCACCGGTTAATACTCTACTGCTCGCTTTACATATACATGAGGGACATAGGGGTTTGTTTTCTTTCCTCCTTTTTATTGCTTATCTTATTTTCCTCAGTTTGTTTCGGAGTGTCGGGACGCGGACCTGCGTTTATTTGTTTTGTTTTTCTGTCCTGCATTCATACTCATTTCTCCTTTGCGGCATTATCGATTTTATCGAGGCCACTGCGCGAGTCTGGACCAAGACATTCTCATTGTGTTTTCTCTTTTTTACAGCGTGTCGCTATAGCGCTTTGGGGCCACACCCAGCCCTCTCAGTCGCACTATTTTCATCTCCTCTGCATGACTGTACACTACCCGAACCGGCGCATGTTTCCTTTTTGTTGTCCTCTTATCTCCCTGGGCTCGTATACGCTGCCTGCTCTTGTCTTGTGTTCTCATTTGTTTTTGCCCGGGTATTTCCTTATGTTTTTCCTTGCTCTCATGTGGCTGGCTTGACGCAGCCTATCTTGTCTCTGGGGTTGTGGATTGGGCTCTGGCGCATTCCAAAAGGGGTTTAAATGATTCGGTTTGACTTGTCTTGATCTGCTTTGGCTTGCGTGTTTGGGAATTAATGAAGGGAGCAGTGTCCTTCATGCTGCCCTCTGGACAGTCTCGTATCCTTCAGGGAGCGGACGAATTGATAGACCTTTTGTTATATTTTGGGCTATATCCATTGCATGTGCAGTCCACTAAATGTCTAGTCTGTAGTTGATAATTGATCAACTGCTAAGTACATGGACTGTAGCTGTACCGTAGATGATATACTTCGGTCTCGTCGTCCATGACCACGTGACTAAACAAACAACCCTCGTCTACAGACGTCCCACTTGACCAAGACAACCGAGGTATTGTTTACCACCAGAGCAACAAAGAGGAACAGTAACCAATCTCAAACCCAATTCCAAAATGCCTCCCCTCTCAACCCAACACCGCCGCCACGACTCCACCCACTCAACCACCTTCTCCCGCCCCTCCATCCTCCCAACCTCGGGCTCAGGAACCAACCTAAGCGGCGCAGCACAACAACCCTCATTCGGACCCAGCGGCATGAGTGGCAGTGGCAGTGGCAGTGGCAATAGCACCAGCGGCTCAACCCCGTCCATGTCCGCTGCCAAAACCAGGCAGTACGCGCACCTCCACTCGCAGCTGGCACAGCTCAACGCCAACCTCGCTGACACTGAGAACCTGCTCCGCATGACGGCTGTGCAGGCCGGGGATATGCGCTTTCTCGGTGGGTATGTTGGGGCGCTGTTTATGGGGTCGGCGAAGATTTTGGGGGAGGAGGGGGTTAAGGGGAATGCGGATCCGGATTTGAGGGGTAAGGGCCAGAGTCGGGTGGATGATGAGGATGAAATTGGTGGTAAGGAGGGTATCAAAAGGGAGGAGAGTGATGAGGATTGATCTACCTCAAGTCTCTTCTTCATGGTATGTATTCGGTCTATGTCCAGTTGGTTATATACTTGGCATCGACAGTGCTAACTACTGTGCAGACACGATGCAAAGCTGTCCATCTTTGTCTATTGTCCGCCTCTACTCCACCACGAACCCTCCACCGAGAATGATCGCCGGCTCGTCGATGCTGTGGTGTTCGTAACTGTGGATGATTGTGAGCTGCTGTGTTTTCTTCGAGCATATGCCCACCTTGCCACCTGCACTCGATGCAACTCAAACCATCCATGGATCTATCTGGCAGCTGGATCAGTACTCACCTGAGCGTGCCCACACCCCCGGCTTCCAGAATCAATGAGGTGTCCGTCAATGGCTTCCCCGTCCAGCGCATGGCAAAAGCGCGCAGGATATGGCCGTGCGCGACGACCAGGACGTCACCCTTCGGCGCGTCGGGGTTGTCGAAACTGGGGCGGTGGTATTTCTCCTTAATGTCGGCGATGAGCGCGTCGAGGCGGCGGACGACGTCGTCGGGGGATCTGCGCGATGTAGTTAGCGAGCTTAATCCGCCATTGGCCACCATAACCTTTTTCCCGCTTGTTCCCTGTCCCTCCTTGTGATATCCAACCACGAGAAAATACAACACTTACTCCCCTCCCGGACACCCTTGCGTCCAGATATTCCACGGCTCTTCCCCCTTCTCTGCCCGCTGTTCCCGGATTTGTTTACTCGTCAACCCCTCATAGTCGCCGTAATCCCATTCCCGCACGGCCTCGGTGACCTCAACCCGTGCATTGGTCCGGATTTCTTCCTCGGCTTCGGGCTTGCGCTTCTCCTTCCACGGGAGCCGCTCCTTGCAGCCGATCTCCAGAAGCTCTAGCGTGCGCTGGGCGCGGGTGCGGGGCGAGACATAACTATTCATCGGTGTGTATGTGTCAGTGGGCCAACCTGACTCCTTGACCAAACGGCAATATCGAAACTCGACGCATACACATGGACAAGCTTGCGTGGCACGATCAGTCGGTCGTCTCCGACCAGTGCCTTTCCTGTTGCTTGGATCCGCTTCTCGCCGTTCGCTGTGAGCGCCAGGTCTGAGATGCCGGTGTGCCGCCCGTTCAGGGACCATTCGGTTTCGCCGTGGCGGACAATAAAGCAGCGCGGAGACATGGTCTTTTGTACAAGAGTAAGAAGGGGGATGAGAGGATATGTGTTCGTGACTGACTCGGGGTCTTCTGTGTTGGTGGGATGGTTGCGTCACCAATGAGGCTGCCGAGGCTTGTCTCCACAGTTTCTTCCAGGGACCAGGGGATCTGCTGGGGTATGTTACGTAGCTGGGATGTATACAGTGTGGTTCCTTGAGTCTGATGATGATATACCATCCAAATCTCCCCAAGTTGTAGTCGACTTTTTCCTGTTGGTTTTTTCCTTACGGCCATGCTTCGGCTGGCCGTGCTATACTTACTGTAGACACCGGTCTTGGCGCCTGGCGCCGATCCCCCGCTGCCCGAGTAGCAGTAAGGAAGAGAGCTCGGAAGTCATCGAGGTGCACGCGCCATGGCCGATCCAGCATCTATTGTCAGTCTGATCCTAGAGACCGGCCGGGTAATCACCTGCCTGATCAACTATGCCCACGCCGTACAGAACGCGAAAGCAGACTCCCGCCGGCTAAGCGAAGAGCTCTTCGCGCTCAAGGGCATCCTCGAGCATCTAGCCGCGCACGAGCGGGCACCACAGCCAGACGACTCCAAGGATTCGACAGCAGCCATTGACCCCGCCATCCTCTCGCGCACCCTGTACACGACCAGCCAGCTGCTCGGGTCCCTCCTGAAGGATCTCGAAGAACCCGCGACCAAGAGCCAGCGCCTGAAACAGCGCCTGACATGGCCGTTCACGCAGGACCAGTTCAACAAGCACCTCGCTCGTCTGGAACGCGTGAAGTCGTGGCTGATCCTGGTGCTCATGACCGACAATGCCTCTGCCACCCAGGATCTGCACCAGGAGATCAATACCCTGACGGGCTTCTTGCGCGAGGACCTGAAGATCCGCGCCGAGGAACGCAACCTGGCGGAGAACCGCAGTTTGTTCGCCTGGCTGGCTCCTGTGAGTCCCGCTAATGCTCACCTGCGCGCATCCAGGGCCCGCGAGATTGGGAGCGGGCGCTGGTTTCTTCATGGGCATGTCACGCCGTGGTTGTTGACGGGGCCTCAGTCGAAGAATATTTTGTTTCTCGTGGGTAAATGTATGTTTTGCACTGGCTCCGTTTGGTAGAGGTTATCTCTAATGTTGATCATTGGGAAAGCGGGTGCTGGGAAGACCACGCTGTTGTAAGTTTGCTTTTACGCTTCTTGCCGGGAATTGTCTAATATCCTCAAGTGCGCAGGTTGTCGACGAGCTGACCGTGCAGTCCTCCGCCGACCCAGACTCCTCCTTCTCCTTGGCGTATTTTTACTGTGCATTCGGTGATACGGCCTCGCAGGATCTCGTGAATATCCTGGGTTCGCTGGTGGCCCAGCTGTCCAGCTCGATGCCATCCATTTTGGACAGCATCCGGCCTATCTACAACGACACACCGAAGAGCCAAACACACCGGCACCCTATTGATATCAATATCCTAGAGGATGCCATCATCCGGCATTCTTCAGGGTCTAGGCAGGTTGTTCTTCTGATCGATGCGATCAACGAGAGTCTTCATGCTGAGCGTATCAAGCGCTCTCTCTTACGACTCGCCAGCCTGTCCACTAATCTTCGCATTGTCATTACTAGCACGACTGATGTGATTTCTTCCATTCATGCCACTGCCGTGAATATGAATGCCGAGGTTATTCGGAACGATATCGAGGCGTTTATCCATCACAGGTTCAAGCAGGATGAGACACTGGGCCATTTGAGTGCTGCATTGAAGGAGGAAATCAGTACTACCCTCCTCAGCGAGGCTGATGGCTCGTTAGTATTCCATCTTCGCTATCTTGTGCTTATTCTGATTTCTTTTATAGTTTTCGCTGGGCCCAACTCTCGCTGGACAATCTTAGTGCGCAACGAACCGCAAAGTCTATGCGGGAGGCCCTCCGCAATCTACCTGGCACATTGCGAGAGACTTACGCCAGCATCTTGGAAAGAATTGCTCCCAGCGACTGGCTTTTTGCCCGCGAAGCACTGTTCTGGCTCAGCTTCGCCAAACGACCTCTCACGCTCCGCGAACTCAACGAGGCCGTAGTGCTCGGCGAGACAACCACAGTCCTCGACGACGACATGACACTGGTTTCTCCTCATGTCATTCTCCAGATATGTCAGGGATTCATCACGCGAGACCGGACGGGGAAGGTCAACCTGGCCCACTCATCCGTCAAGGACTTCCTAACCTCGGAATGGATCCGCTCCTCTCGCGTGCAATACTTCAGTCTGGACCCGTCGACCGCAGACTCAACCATAATGCGCAAGTGCCTTTCCTACCTCTGTCTTGAGAACCTGCGCTCGGGGTACAGACCCTCGCCCATACTCGCCATGCAGCGCCTCCAAGAATACCCATTCCTGGAATACGCCGCGCAGTACTGGGCGCTGCACGGTGCATCGTGCAAGTTCGAAGACCGCGATCGGCAGATGGTCAACCGCTTCTTTGAAACCAAGCATCTGCCGCAGCGCGGCAACTTCGGCGCCTGGGTGCAGACCCTGATCCCGGAGGCTGATATCGCGCATATCGAGACCACGCACCCGCTGTACTATGCTGCGTCTTTTGGGTTGGTGTCTGTCGTCCGCGCTATTCTTGACTCGGATCCGGATATCGATGTTGATGCGCCCGGCGGTCGGTTCGGATCTACTCCGCTGTTTGTGGCGTGCTGGCGCTCTAACTATGAGGTTGCTCGGCTGCTCCTCTCTGTGGGGGCGAATCCTAACATTCTGGATGCGAGCTCGGGGCTTACGTCGTTCTCGCTTGCTCGGTTGAAGCGGCATCGTCCGCTGGCGGGTATTTTGGAGACAGCCCTGGTCAAATAAGGGCTACACAGCTGGGATTAAGCGGATATAGGTATTTATATTGATGTGAAGCCGAGTTGGACAAAACATTTCTCCCTCACATACCACCCTCTTTTCTTTATTATCAAAAGGCACCGGCCAATATACCATTCTTTCTTCGATCCAAACCCAACAAACCCAACAAATCACGAACAAATCACCTCAAAACTCGCAATCATAGTATTCTTCTCCGCAACAGGACTACACTTGCGCACACCATCTACCCGAACCATGCCAATTCTCGCCCCAGACGTACAATTGTCATCCCGGAATATATTCACCGTGCACCGCCAATCAATATCCACCGGGATATACGCCAGTGCGCCCCCGTTCAGGATATCCGTGCGGCATTCAGACGACCCGTGGCCTGTGTAGATGCCCTTGGGGCCCGTACACTGCCGGTTCTGGTAGAGGTCGAAGTCCCAGGTTGTGGAGTGTTAGCTTAGGTCTGGGCTTTTTTGCTTGGGATTTGGGGGAGGGGGTTGCTCTGGGTCAAGGTTGTGCAGACGAGAAGAAGCAGGAGAATGTTGAAATTGAGGGCTGCGAGGAGGAATATGGGAGTTTTTAAAAGGAGAATTGAAGTATTGGGTTGATATGTGGTGCTTTGATGCTTCAATTGAGCCTACGAAGACCTGAATGAGGGTAAGTTGCTCCATGAGCAGTCTAAATACCTTCTTTTCTTTGCTGGCTAGTAGCGTAGTCATGACCGTTGTGCCGTATTTCTCCCATGGATCTAGTAGATTCACCTCGGGAGATGGTTGGGCCATTATTCCTATTTTATATGGAGATTACTTGTTCAAGGTCTGAATAGGCTTCTATCTTAATTCTATTTGCTTAGCATCTACCCTTTGCAGTCTAGGCTCAGTTTTGCTGTAGAACTTGAGATTCATAGCCAAGTCCTATACTAGCTCTGGGCGTGGCCTCTGAACCACGCTTTTATGATACATCTATACCAGATGCACCTTTTCAATAATCAAGTCTGATCTCGAAATATCCTCCCGTACGATTCCTCCGATCCAGTCACAATGGTCGTTTCTATAGATAATCACGTGACATTTATCAAACGCACCGACGTTGTCAAGTCCCTCCCAACCATGATGCAAGATTAACCAAACTTCAAAAAACTCCCCTGACGGCTTGATCAGACTGCATGGAATATTTTTCATTGGCATGCTGACTGCCACGTCGATGGGTAGCCAATCTTCAACCCATGGCGCAGACAATCCCAACCAGTGCACACAAGACAATGTGATCCCCCGACATCTCATCCAAAACACCTACAACCAACTTCATATCAAGTATGCACACGATCTGTACGAGTGGTGGGTTGAAGAGACCGAGCCCAGCAACAAGCATATCTCCGAGAGCCTGACAATCGCCGCATTCCTCATCGAGCTCTGGAGAACCATGTACGGCGCATGCCCAAGCCTAGAGCAAACTTCAACCCCAGAAAAAGAAGAGCATATACAAGCACAGAATTTCCCCGGATTCGTTGACCTAGCATGTGGTAACGGTGTGCTCGTCTACGTGTTGCTCGTGGAAGGCTACGCAGGCTGCGGATTTGATGCCCGGCGGCGGAAATCATGGACGCTTTTCCCGGACTGGGTGCAGGAAAGGCTACAGGAAGCGGTTTTTGTGCCCCATCCGTTCATGGAAGTTTTCAGAGCTTCGCCTCTTTCACGGGAAATCGGGACGGATGTCCATCCTGGAGACTTTTCAAAGGATACGTTTCTTATATCCAGCCACGCGGACGAACTCACTGTGTGGACGCCGCTTATGGCTGCCTTGGCGTGTCCTATGTCACCGCTGCCGTTTCTGGTTATCCCATGCTGTTCACATGCCCTTTCTGGATCTCGGTATCGGTATCCCCCGCCGAAGCGAGAATCTCAAACCGCGAAGAATGGAAAGAGTGGTTCGGTGGAAGCGAATGAATTCTTACCTCGGTTGTTGGGGCAGGACTCGCAGCCCGCTGCGGGGGATCTCAGGGCGCTTCGGGCTGATAAAACCGTTGAGAAGACTATGGACGGGATGCCGAGCTCGATGTACGGTTCTTTGACCGCGAAGACGATGAGCGTTGCCGAGGAGATCGGGTATGCCGTTGAACAGAATCTGTTGCCAATTCCAAGTACACGGAATATGGGTATTGCGGCAAATCGCCAGCAGGTCACACGACAATGGAGAGAAAGGACCCAGCAAACAAATATGGAAAAGAGTGCGTATACCGGAGTGGATGCTGTCGTGCAAGCAGTCAACGCTGTGGTTGAGCGAGAATGCTCCCAGGACGGGGGTGTCGAAGCTGCTGCTAAGATTTGGATTGAGCACACCAGAGGCCTCCTTCAGGACCAAGGGATGGCAAACCGAGCTCATTAATCAATCTGGATATTCGTTGGGATCGTCTTGATTGCCCAAATTTAGGTGTGCTTATCATAAGAGCCCTTGGCGGGCCGTCGTGTATACTTCAGAATAGGGATTCAGAAAGGAAAGAATTAATATACAGGTAATATGATGCCCTCCAACTCCGTATCTATCAGTTTGGAGATCAACAAAAAACGCCATGCGCAGGTCAAGAGTGAAGTGAAAAGCCATGCAAAGTAGATACAGGGCCTATGAGTGAAAGCCTCTAAGCAGCAGACTTGTTCTCCGGATTGGGATCCACATGTCCCTCGCGAGAACTGCTGTTCTCACCGGACTTGTCTTCAGTGTGCGACGTACTCTTCGAGGCCGATTCAAATTTCAAGTTCTGCGCCGCGTGAATAGCCGCAGCCGCACCGCCGAGTCCAGGACCGGGGGCTTTAGAAGCAGCATGAGCCGCGGCGTTCTCCCGCAGTCGTCTCATGCGCTCGGACCGGCCCTCGCCTGGGAGACCACACCAAACCGGCTCGATGGAATCAGCCCGCCAGTTCGTGCGGCGGCGGCCGATAGCGCCGTGTCTGGTGGGAAGCGAGGTGAGAGACGCGCCTCCCACACCCGACTCGCCCCACATACGCACGCGCTGCAGCTTGCGCAGCTTAGCCAGCCCATAGACACAGACGACCGCCGTGAGAGCGAAGCAGATGACCGAGACACCACCGAAGCCGAGATCAGATTCCTCGATGAAGTTCTTCAAGTTCATGCCGTACAGGGCTGAAAACAGAGTTCCCGTTGCAAGGCCGAGTGTGCCAATGCTGAACTTGAGGTCGAGGAGCATGAGTGAGTTGCGGTTGGCATCGAGAATGGCCTTTACTCTATCTGGATGTTAGATCAACAGTCCTCTCTTCAATCCGGGATCAAACTAGAAGAGGAAATGGCATGCTTACACTTCCTCGGTGTTGCGAATCCCCGTCACCAAGTTTCCGCTGGCCTGGACAATCTCATCGCACACTTTGTGATACGACTCAAGCAGCATCTCGACCTCCTGGTGATCCTGCTCTTCTCGTCGCTTGCCATGGGATCTTTCGGTCAGGTACATGGCTGCCAGGTCGTCATCCGCTTCCAAGAGATCATCAATAGCATCCCGGACCAGCCGGGCTTTTTGCTCAAATGTACCCAACTTCTTGGAGTAGATCAAGAGATGCCGGAGTTTGTCGCGGTCAATATCCTCCTCCAGTGCACGCAGAACGCGCACGACGGGATCCCTCACCCCATTAAATTCCTCCTCCAGACCGGCCGTCACGCTGATCAGAACTGCTTCAAGTGCGCGAAACTCGTATGAAAGGGCCTGGCCTGCTTGCGCAGCCTGGGACTGTTTTTGGCGTAATTTGCCTTCCAAATCATAGATAAAAAGCGACTGCATGTAGGAGTCCGTCGACCCATACGCGTCAAACACAAGAACTCGATCAGCCTTGATCAGCACACGAAGATGCAGCAGGTTGATCAGGATGGCGCTCGGGCGAACCAGAATGTGCGGCAGAGTCGATGAGTCGATCTTGCGCAAATCTCGAGGAAGAAGACCGTACTGTTGTACACCACCACTTTCAGCAACTGAAACACTCTAGAGGGCGATCCGCGCAATACCAACCTTGGCAATCAGCTCCAACTTTCGGAACTCCCCGTTCACCAGCGTGACATTTCCATTCATATCAAACTCGGTGCATCGGATTCGCAGCTCGTTCGATGCCTTGGCCGCCAGCCCGCGGCCAATATTGAAGATACCCTCGGTTCCTTCGTCGATAAATGCCGGACCGTGACTTCGGGAGGGTTTTTGGTCGGCGTTTTTGTTCCGTTTGAGGTCAAAAAGCCTTCGGAGGAGCGGGCGACTTTTGGTGGATGCATGTCGCGAGAGAATCAACGGTGGCGGGGCCGCTGATGGCGACGGGGATGAACTAGCCCGTTGCGGCCTTGGGCTTGCGATTTGAAAAGTTTGCGTGTCAAGGACTGTACAGCCCCGCGGAGTGTCATGGCGTATCCAGCTCGAAGCTTTTCGAGATAGCCCCGTCGAAAAGGTTTTGCCACGGACCAATGCGCGCTTCGGGCGCGCGCATGCTGAGGGCGTGGCCAAGAATCCGGACTGGGAGTGTAGATACCGCAGAAGTGACGCAGAGGGCGCCGACGGCTTCAGCGGAGACAACATGTCCCTGGACGTGGTCGTGGGAGAAAGCGATGATCTCCGAAGCGCTTTTTTCCCACGCGGCGGAACAAGGTTGATCCGCAACTATACGCCGCCTCGTTTGTTTTTCTTTCTTTTCTTTCTTTTGCATGTTGATATTTTCAGGGGAATGATCATCATGATGACTATGGATGGGTAGATTGATTGTGAGCAGAGATTATGCTTTCCTACGAGTCTTGAAGCGCCCAGTCGACCAAGAATTCGCGCTTCATCTCCAGCTCCTCCTGGAAGCCTTTCAGCCAAAGCCACTGAGCCTCAAGTTCATCATAGTTGGTCCGCCACAACAACTCCCAGGGGTTTTCTGAAAGCCACTTCGTTCTGCCCTCCTGGATCGCCCGTTCTCGGACATTCATCAAATGGGTGAAACGCAACCTCAGAAATGCGACCGTGCCGCGGTGCAGCCTGTCATGTGCGTCGTCAAGAATCGGCTGCAAATCTACTAGCAACTGCCTAATCTCAGTCCTGTATTGATAGGGTGCAGAGCCCACCCTGTGGGTGAACAAGCCGAAGCCTCGTTGGAGGTAGTTCCCCGTCAAGCCCAAGTCCACATTGATGATGCAGCGCAACCATTCCATCAGAGCCTTGCCCAGCTCCTCGCGGCCGTTCGCTTGCACAAAACAGCTGTTGCAGTGCGCATTGTCAAAAAAGGACTTGGTGAACGGCGTGCGGTCCCAATTGCTATATCCTTGGGTGGGCTGCCAGTGCGGGTATAGTTCGCCTATGCGGAACTGCCGTATCTCCTTCCAGCGTTCACATCGAGGGCACCGAGCCTGGTACATAGTCCAGGGCCTGTCGCGGGCTTCTTCGCGGTAGACCAAAAACACGGGTGGATTGGAGGCCGGTCTTTCGGTTTCCAGGAGCTCCCAGAATCCAGGAAAGTAGCGGTCTGTGAGGGTAGGATAGGAAATGGTCCGGCTGGGCACAATCGGGAATCGGGCCGTGCCTCCATACCCGTCAGGTCGTGGTCGACGAATCTGGTTTCGTTGGTACTTGCACTCGTTGCACCGACGTAGATGGCGCTTGAACCCGCAGCGCACCAGCTCAACGGCGAACGCTTCCGAGTCCAGAAGAGCCTCCTCCTCCTTCTCTGTTACATCATAGTAGTCCCATATCGTTATGTCCTGGAACGAGGTCATGCCGCAATCATGAAACTCCTCTAGTCGCTCGGCTCGCCTGACCGGGTGAAGATCCCACCTACTTCGAGGCCCATTCCGCATTGTCGCAACGCCATATCTCTGATGTAGTAGGCGTGCTTCCTCTTTATATGCAGATGCCTTCTTGAGCTGCCGACGCGCTTTTCGAGAATTGTGGTGCGCAGTCGACTCCCAACTCGTGGCAAAGTTGGCCGCTCGGGAATTTGGGATAGGCTTGCGATAGCCCAGACGGAGGAGAGAGTGGTTGTCAAACTCAATGTGCGGAAGCAGGCGAAGACAGCCGGCGCAAACCCAGCGCATTGCCTCCCATTCTTTGCTCCCCCAGTCCGGAGTGAGCTGGTTGCCTCTTGGGCGAAAGTGAAGGGCCGGCCCGCCCTCCTTCTCGCGGGATTCGAGAGCGAGCAGTCTTTCCACAAAATTAGGTCGATTGGGTTTGATGATGCGGCGGAACTGTGAACTGGTCTGGCTGGCAGATATGAGGCCGATGGGGTCCAAAAGACGAAAAATGGAGCTGAGGATCTCCACCGGCAATGTGTCTAGTGATGGAGGTGCCATTATCTGGTCCGGAGTCAGTGTAAATCTTTGGCCGATGATAGCGGCGAAGTGGCAGTGTTATGTAGTTGAGAAAAAAGAGTTTTGGATAAAGATTAGACGGGTGTTCAGGTCAAGACCGAAGATTAACTAACCTAAAGGATAGGACAGACTTAAACAAAAAGACGGATAGATAAAGAAAAAAGAAGATGGGAAAAAAACATACAACAGCCAGGATTCGCTGGTGGTCACCCAGCCAACTACTAACTAACCGGCGTGTGGCTTAAGTACGGCTGAGCGAACGGGAAACCCTGTTTTCCACACCCTTTGGTTATATGTGCTAAATATGCACTCGTGAGTAATCATACGGAAATCAGTGCGAAAATAAAGTGGAGCTAAGTTATAATAAAACCTACCGCAGGTAGACACGTATGTTCGCTAGGATCAGCTAATTATATACATCCTAAATTACTTAGCCAATTGCGCCGTACGTATATAGTAAATTGTAGTCGGTGAGGCAGAAGACCGGGCATATAGGTACCTGCTTCCTTCTGACCGAATGGCCTTCTGGCAATAGATCGTCCAAATGGAAAGATGGGCGTAGCTGAAGGTTTAAGAAACTCGAGTCGTTTCCGGTAAGAGCTGCATCCAGTGATACTGTAAGAATAGCCCCGATGACACCAAACGAGATATCTCCAATGAGACGAGGCATAGCAAGCTAGTCATCGCGATTTTGGACATATTTTGCCACAATTTTGGATGGACTTTCGGCAGTTTGTCGAGTCGCGAAACATATAGGTTTTTTTTTTTTGTCACGTACGAAACGGTTTCGCTTCCTCTCACTTCGTTTGTTTCAGGGCATATGAAATATTTCCTTTCGAATGTAGACTTTGGTATTCGCCCTAGAAATCACATTCCTATTTCAGGCTTAATTGTATTCACCCCAGTCCAAGTGAATATCCCAAGGGACGTCGACCTGAAGATCTACCCCCTTTATCCCCTTAGACACAAGTTTGTACAATAGATGGTTAAGCAAGCCGTCCAGACCAAGAGCCGTGGGGCCCCCTCTCAATGCAATCATCTTCAGAGCCCCTTCCATATGATGTTTCAACATCCTTGTATTTTTCACGAATAACTGATCCTGTTAGTAGCCAAATATTATCTTCAATTTTGAGGCACTTTACCTCATCATAAGCGAGCATGATAGCTTTGGCAACTGTAGAGTCACTAAAGCAGGGTGCCTCGTTTGAGATTGCGTCTCGGAGTATTTTCAAGCATATACCTTTATAGTGGAATGCTCTTTGAGTAAAGATTTGCTGTTGGTGTGTCTGTGTGTAGGTCGCAGATAAGTGACGGCTTGATAAAAGAAATATTATATCGAGCAAACTTGCATCGGCGCGTGCGAGTGGAACCCAGGTCTTCGTCAAGCGCTCACAAAACCTGATCGTGGGTTCATCACAACGCATAAGAGGAATGATTGCAGTCACGTCAAGAGGGATGTTAGTGGTGATCGCTGGTAACAGTTCAGAATATACATACAGTGATCAAATAACATTTCCTCAATACGTTTCAAGGGTGTCGCAAAGCTCATGAAGGGATCGCTTCGATCCGCTGACAGAAGGCTCACCAGCTGGGCCTTGGGAAGTTCCTTCAGGGGGCCTTGCTCGATGCAATCTCCGACTGAACCACTTTGCTTGATGGAGGCTTTCTGGGCTTGGTAGTGTATTGTTCGGAGACGCCTTGCCTTGGCGTGCGCCGTGCGAGCAGCGTGCGAGTGGACCAGTTTCCGTTGCTTTGAAGCTGATCTGGCAGCCTCTTCAGGGCTATTGGATGATAGGACAATGAACTGTACTCTTGGCGGGCCCATGGTGCCGTAGATTGAATGGCTGATGTAGAGTTAATTCCAGTGTCAAGACTGTTACAGACGACAGATATTTGGTTCGTAAGGGCGATATTAAGCTGAGTATTTTCTAGAGCCAAGGCGCTCGGCTGCTCTGAAATTTCACGGAGATTGTGAGGAAGCTTAGTTGTCAAGTCAGGGATGATAAGACCTCTTCTAACTCCGATGAGCTGATGGCTAGTGCTCAACGACAGCAAATTAAACCCATCCCAGTCGTGCCAAGACTTACACCTTCCCACGACGGTCAAGCGCTCGGTTCTAAACAACCATCCAGCGGCTCGTGTGAACTCTCTACACTGTGTTGATTGCCAGCAAGCAATTATGAAAGCATTTTTAACTCGGCGAGGCTGGACTATCTAACAACACGGGGTTTAGGCTCTTAAGTCCGGCCGCAGTTAGGGCCCTGTTCAAAACCCGAATAACTACCATTCAGCTCATCATAGGGCGAACAGTGATCACCAAGGGCCATTCACATAATTTTGGCGGATACGGGTACTTGTGAAAGCTCAGTTAATAATCAAAGATCTGCAACCCCTGTTACCGCAGGCCATTGCTTCTGGGAATAACAACCGCGCTTCCTTAGGTCATAATGTCTTTATGAAATTATGCCAAAGGACACATCGACCTCCTACAAAATAGCCAAGAGCTGCTCCTTCCTGTTTGAGACCTTGCTTAAGTCCAGGATACGGATTTTGTTTTGGATATTCTTCTAGAACAGAGCAATGGTCGGGGTTAGGACGGCCATCGGACAGACCATCGACTCGACTTTCACCTATAAAAGCCGGCAATTCCAGGACAACTTTCACAACGTGTTGATGTAATATTCACCAACGGTCTTACCGACGATGGCTGGGACAGTTATCATCACTGGAGCCAATGGCTCTCTGGCACTCGGTTTCGTCGAGGCTCTCCTCTCGCGGTATCCTCAGCTCACGCTCGTCGCTACTGTTAGAAATGCATCACCAGAAAGAGATTCCAACACTATGGCGCTTATGAAAATCATCTTCAACTATCCAAACTCCAAGGTCAACGTGGATGTTCTCGATCTTGGCCAGCTTGCCAGCGTACGCACCTTCGCACAGAAAATATCTAGCCAGGTTCTTTCGAAGAAGATCCCACGTATCTCAGCCATCATTTGCAATGCGGCTACATTGTCACTGGAGGGAGGGCAGAAATTCACGCGGGATGGCTTCGAGTCTACCTTCCAAGTGTGCCATCTATCACACTATCTGTTGATCTTAAAGCTGCTGGAAAGCATGGACCCTGCATTGGGGCGTATCGTGATGTTGGGATCGATCACTCATTATCCTGAGAAATCAAACCCAGTATCATCACTTGGTCCATGCTTCCCCGAAAACCTGGAGGAGCTGGTCAAGCCAACTCCTGATCCGCAATCGCTCGTCCATGATCGGGGTTTCCAACGATATGGAACCGCGAAGCTGGCGAACGTGACATTGGCTCTTGATCTCAACGAAAGGCTGAAGAAGGTATGCATTTTTCTCCATGAATGCTACATTTGCTCTCTGACTCTTGCTTAGGATTCTAAACTTTCAAATGTGACTGTGACGGCCATGGACCCAGGCGGCCTTCCAGCTTCGAGGGCTCAGGCAGAGCAAAAGAAATCTACGAAGCGAATCATGTCAACCATCAACTTCCTGATGCCAGTTCTGAAGCATGTGACCACTGCTTTTCGAACGACAGAAGATGCTGGCCGAGAACTTGCTACGGTTAGCGTCGATCCCGCGTTCCATGGCAAGAGGGGATATTTTGTCGGCCAGAAAGAGGATGCTCCAGCGGCTATTAGCAATGATGTCAAAATGCAGGAAAGGCTCTGGGCAGCGTGCTGGAGATGGTCCGGGATGAAACCGGAAGAGACAATTCTGCAAGACTATGCTCGTGGGCTGTGATGGGATGTTCATGTGCAGTTCAGGATGGAAGACAATCTCTTTTATACCAAGTCCCGACATACATACGTAGTATGATAGGTAGCTGCTGATCGATAATTGGAAGAATTTTAACCTTGCCTTGTGTTTCATTCTATAAACCACCACTTGCCCACACAGCTGTTGTCTCACCAGCCCATCCTGCTTGACGATATCCGTATCCGTGAGATGAAAATGCCATGAGCCCTGGTGGTAAAGGGGGCTTCAATATACCGATTTCAGCATCCTTCGAAGGCTCTGCTTCATGCAACTGACCCAGCGCTCTCTGATGACCATCGAAATAACCCAGAATTATGCTAACACATTAGACACCAACGGAACAGGTCTCTACACAGGGAAACGTTCTCGGGGACGGCCCCATGAACTGAAATGTTGCCATACAGGTCCGCCAAGCTAAAGGAACTTGTGGAAATAGTGGGGGAAAAAACCGGAGTAGAGTGAGACCAATTCAGCCTCCCGAGAGAACAAGGCAGGTGAGAGGGTCAGAATGAGAGGTTGATTTTGAGAACATCTTCAGTGTTTTCTGCAATTCCCTTCACTTTGAATTAGGGTCCAAGATCGGGATCGTAGGCCGTTGAAGGTATCGACTGTAGTGACGACTGGACTCTTGGTTCTCATTTTCATAGTCATTTTAAGATTTGTTTTTTCTTAGGTTGCATGCAGATCGCATTGTTCTTCATTGTACGGGACAAACCAAGAACACACACAAGCAAGACGCGAACACAATAAAAATGTTCCTGTCGATGCTATCAAGGCGTGGCGTGCCGTCAGGAGGTACCACAGCGCACCCCTTGAAAACCAAAGTGTGGGTGAACTGAATATTGAGTGCCAGTACTCGTTGCAGCGGATAAGCAGTGTCTGCATCTATTATGAGTGCTATGAGGTATCAGAGGGTGTAGTGGAAGGTCACAACTATAGGTGACAAGGCTGTTGGGAGTCGGGATACGGAAAGGATAGCAATCGCCGTAGTGAAATCTTGGTCGAAAACAGTGATACTTTGCTTTGAGGTGTCCAGGAATCTGCCGTAGACTTTAAACGGTATCTTCCCCGAGTCAACCCACAGATCCAGCATAGATCGAATAGAGGCATTTGAGGGAATATCAACAACTTCCTCGCGCATGGCACAAGTCGGGTCGTGAATTGCGGCGACCAGATCATCCAATTTTGCCAACCAGAACATGCTCGACATTAGCCCAGTAAGCCTGGCATTTGCTCCAAGCTCGAGATCGATCCATTCTGCGATTTCGTCTGGCAACACACCTAGATACCCGTCTCCTTGGGTCCAAACGGGACGAAGTCCAGCGGCGACAAGCTCGTCTGGGTGTCGTTCAAAGTTGACCCTCTAGCCCTCAGAATAATCCAGTCATCGGCCTATTGGTTTGTCCCTCTGCAGATCAGAATTTGGGGCCAAAGGTAAAAATACTTATCATTGGCTATCCCTTCAGACTATATATAGAGTAGATATAGAGTAGAGTACATTTGTGTTTAGAGATGCCGTTGAGTTCTGCTGGCAGAACCCTTCATCGCCTTCCTGACCGACTCCACAACGGAGATAGTAAGCAAATAGGCAAGCTGGCTCCTTCAACCAACAGACTCTCTGTCTTGGATTCTTCTCTTCCGATGCCCTCTTTCCCTGACTTGTGGTAGTGTGCTTCTTCAATTTGTGATCTTGAATCTCTGAAAGACTCCTCCCCTCACATTTCTCTATGATGACTTTTGGTCTCTGGTATCTTCTCATCTTATTATGGGGCCTTCAGGTTCCATGTATTTTAGGCCAAAGGGTAAATTGGTATGGTAACCTCTTCATGGGCGTCTCGCAAGGGAAAGACGGAAGTTGTCATGGCAAGAAACTTCTACGCGACATAAGGGAAACTGGATTGCTTCTAGATGTGGCCATCACGGTTCTACACACGTTGATTCAAGGGCCCGTCCGCAACGACCGGGATCACATCCATTATCTGAACATGGCATCTGCAATGTTTGGCATCAGTTATGATCTACGGCAGGATAAGAAGCTACAGGTCGTGAAGGGTCAGAGTCAATTGATTGATGCTAAGAGTGAGACTCCTAATCAGATGCGCCATAGTACATACTGATTTTTTTTTTACATCTTTAGAATACTACGAAGATGCCAAGAGCCTATTACTTGCTAATCGGTCAGAGAAATCAAGGTGGAAAATTGAATGTGGCGACAAAGACTTAGAATGGGCCTCGACTCTAGGGGATATGGAAGTCAAGAGCGGAAAGCCAAACCCCGAATCTCTTAGTAAAGCTGTATCAGAGCTTGCTGGAAAAGAGGAGATCTCGCACTATCAAGGGCTTTTCTACTCTAAGTTTTGGTCGCCGAAATCCCTATTCGGCAACTATATATGGAAAAGCACGAAATATTTACTCCCGGACAAACCTGAAACTACGAAGTCGGGTTTCTGTGCCTCTGAGATAGCCATCACATCCACAAGTGATGTGAAGATAATGGCGAAAAATTATTTGACTTTGTGTGACCCATACTTTGCTAGGCAGAGTCTTACTTGGGCTCACAGCCAAGTGGGAGCCGTTAATTCCCTAGATAATCTTCCTCTGAAAGCTGGAATCCTACTACATGAACTCATGCATATGACTTCCCTAAAAGGTCAGTGGAAATTGAAACAGGGAAAAGAGGCAAAACAAGACGGGTCTTTGCTAACAAATTCAATAGTTATTGATGAGACTGCTACCGGAGATGACGGGAAGCAGCATCCTGCGCAAACATGGTCAGGTTGTCGGGCGTTGGCAAAGGAAGATCCCCAGAGAACCGTCACGAATGCAGATACCTATCATTATTTCGCACTAGGGGTCTACTTCGTGAATGTCAACTGGTGGCCGGAAGGTTATGAGGAAAATGTTGGCCGCTGTTAATAATTATTACTCTCTTTCTTCACCCTAAGTCAAATATCGTCAACTTTGTAATAGGCCAGGGCCTGGCATAGGTCACGTACAGATAGGCTGCGGCACGAACCGCAACCGTTAACCGCAGCTTTGTAAACATTCCATGACTTCCTGGTGACTGTATAAAATTTGTAGTTTTGCTCGTAACCGCTAAGTACGTAGTATCTCTGCCCTATATCTTTCGATGAAGATGCCTCTGTCTTCGTGACTGACGGCATCATAGTCTTCTTCTACGTCGACGATATAATTATCACCAGGCACAAATCTGTACGAGCCAGCCGAGATGAACTTGTTTGTAAGCTTGCAAACACTTGGGAGCCACGAGAGATCGGGAGTGTGAGGTGGTTTCTAAATATTTGAATGCTAGCCAAATTTCTTACAAACCCAGGCCCAATACATTATGAGGCCATCACAGTCATCATTTATCTCATCTTATACCTGCTTTCTCGCCCTTCAGTATCGCGGTCTCCCTTCAACTATAGTTGAAATCTCTGGCGACGCATCATTTGCTGACAACTTTGGTAGGAAGAGCTCTTAAGGCTTCCTCTATAAGCTATATAGTGGTGCCATCGGTTAGAAGGTTACCAAGCAGTCAGCAGTCAGCACGTCGACTACCAAAGCTGAATTACTGGCACTATTCAGAATCAATCAAGTAGTGGCAACGCTTCCTCAATGGGTTGGGATTCGAAAACAACAATTCAACTCGCATCTATTGCGACAACCAACAGACAGTCGACCTGCCATCAGAGGGACTCGCCATAAGTATACCAAGCTCCGACACATCAAGACCACAGAGTATTGGAACCGTCAATCTAGAATATAAAATTTCTGAAGCTCAATAGCGATCTATTGATTGATAATTTTATCGATAAATACTAATATAACTAATATTATATACTTAAAGAATGAGCATATATATAGAGACGCTACTTAAAAGAGCTAATTAGCGAAGCTCTGAGCTACGAAGTAGTCTCTACGCTTAGATAGTATATATAGTAGAGTAATAACAAGATAATTCATAGTGATAGCTATAACTATATAAATTAGGAATTCTATTGGGAGTCAGAGAAGCGTAGATTTCTTTGTCTACTCACATCGGGTAAGCCTATAGAGCTTAGATTGATTATAAAATATAGATATATATTACTAACTACTTTACTGTATTAAGAGAGACGAGACTACTATAGAGAGAGACTAGAGGTTTGGGTCCTATTATAGGTACATCTAGTTAATAATAATTAATATATATACTTAGATTACTTAAGAGTAGCAAAGTCTATAGAAGATGTTCGCAAATTACAATATAAATAGATCACCTAAGACGCTCTTAAATCCAGAAGTCAATCAACAATCATGATATAGAGTTTAGGGCGGCAAGGGTACTAAACTAGAAAAGAAATAAGAAGCATAAAAGAAAAAGCAATATATACAACAGCCAGGATTCGCTGGTGGTTACCTACCTAACTATAATAGGGTCCAAAAGTCTGGGTATAGTACCCTACTTTAGTAAAATCCATATTCTAACCCCTTTTTTCTTTTCTCTCTACTATAATAAATATATAATATTTTAGTACTAAAATTAATATAAATTATAGGTAAAATAATAAATTATCGGAATCTACTCGCGTAGCGATTATTTTTGCTCTTAAAAATAGCTTAAGTCCTACTAAAATCGCTCGTAATTTAAATCTTAGCTATACTATAATTTATTAGACTCGCGATCGTTTTTAGTAATATTATATTTTTAAATTATCGCCTAGAAATAGTAGACCTTCTAAGATTAGCGATTAGACTATTTAATATATCTATTAGATAACCTATTAGAACCTACGAATAAATTATAGAGCCTTTAAAGCGAATATCTTTTATTTACTCTCTCGATTAATGATTTAATATATTTTAAAAAAATATAGACTTCGAAAATAAAAAAATAAAAAACGAATACTTTTATTAAAATTAATTATATAAAAAAAAACATGTTTTTATACGCGAATAGATAAGTTTTTCGGATTAAGAGAATCTAATCTTTTTTAACGAATATTTAGTCTAATAAATATTAAATTCTAAGGTCTAATTTATCTTTTAATTTATCTCCGAGGCCTACTAAAGTAATCTTATAAACCTCGTAAATTATAATAAAGATATTTTATAGATAATTTAGGCTAAAATCTAGATTAATAGCTAAATAAAGATAATAATTATAAATTACGATAAAAACGTATCTTAGTAAGGTTATATTACGAATTTCTATCTCGATACTCTTAAAGAAGATCTTTTATTAATATATAAACTATACTCGATATTCTAATAAAATAATATAAAGATTTATATAATAGAAATCTTATAAAAATAGTTTAAAAATTATAGGATTTAGGTAATCGATTAATCTCCGTATTTATTTAACCTTAATTTTATTAAACTAATATAGCGACTTCTAAAGATTAAAATTCTTTAATTATACCCTTAGCTAGATAAGAGAAGATCTAAATTAGATTAGGAGGTCTTTAAAAAAGCTATATATAAAATATAGGAACTACTTAATTAAAACGTTATTAATAACTTAATTCGATTTATACCTTGTAGAATAGCTGCTATACGCGTAGTAAAAGGTTGGTATACTAGATATTGACCTATTTTCTTTATATATTTAGTATGAATTTATATTAATTAATATTAGGGGAGTTATTTAGTTTTTAATATAGTAGGGTAAATCTGAATTATAGAGTGTACCTAGACCTGGACAGACCCGCGGACAACCCATATAGGTCGACCCATGAGTCAGCCTATAGGCGGGTCGTGGGTCAGACCTCTTGACCCGTGGGCGGGTCAAGATTTTTTTGACCCGTCCCGCGGGTTAATAGGTTAATCTATTTAATCTATTTAGGTAGATACTTTGTTAACTATATAACTTTTATAAATTATATTATTCTTAGCTATATTTTTAGGTATTATATTTATTTTAGTTAAATAATTTTTTATAGTAATTAGGAGAATAATTCTTAAAAAGTAATTCTAGAGAATATTATTTTAAATATTAATCGATTTTAATTTTAAAGCTTATAATTATTAAGTACTTATGGGCGTTTACGAACCTTACTAGAAATCCGTAGGAGGCTATAATTATCTTTATAATTACTTCTTAACTTTTTTTATTATAGTTAATAAAGTATATCGATTATAATTATTAGATCTATAATATCCTTCTTCTTATTATTACTAATTAGTATAATCTCTTTATAAGTCTTTTAGGTCTTTTTTTCCTTTTATATAATTTCTAACTTATCCTACTCCCAAAGCTCTTAAATAAATATAAGCTATTTCTCCTCGACTTCGAATTTAGTAATATATATAAATATTATTAGATCTTATATAATAGATATATTTAGTATCTCTTATCGATAATAGTAAATATTATATATAGAATTAAATAATCACTTAATATTAATATTAGTAACTAAGATTAAAAAGAGATTATAGGTAAGGTTTATAAATATAGGAAATTTATATTAATAATTCTTTTAGAACTAATAGAGTAGGATTAGGATAGTACCTAGATAGAGGATAGATTATAATAATTAATATAATATTTAGATAGATTAGAACTAATATCTTTATTAAAACTAGGGTTCTAAGATAGGCCTTAAAACCTTAGTTTTAATAAAGGTAGAAAGATAGAAACTTAATAGATTAGAATTAGGGTTTTAAGCGATTACTTAGAACCCTAGTTTTAATAGAGGTATATATAGAAACTTATCTTCTTTGATATACTATATTATCTTAGATTAGGAGCTTAAGATAGAAGAATCAGCTATTAAAAATATATTAAGCTTATTAGTTTAATAGGACTATTTTATTTTAGATAGTGATTAAAAGCTTAGAATATTATTAGTTTAGTAACTTAGAAACTAATCTTTAAGACTTCGCTAATATTAGATACTATAATCTATCTAAAAATAGTCTTAGTTTTTAATTTAAAAAAATTTAATCTTATATTAAGAGGCTAAGATAGTGCTAATTATATAGATATTACTAAACTTTTTATTATTTATTATAAAGTAATACTCACGGAGTTTATCTTTAGCTAATTTAAGGGCTTAATATATCTATTATTTCTATTTAATCTTCTTTTTATTAAGCTATCTAATTAATCTCTTAAGATAATTAAATAGTTTATTATAGATAGTAAAGATAGTATAAATAGTAATATCCTTTATTTTTAAGAGGACTATAGTAAATTAGAAAAATAGCTAGATAATATTAAGAAGGTAATCGATCTAATACTATTTATCTATATCGATTTTAAGATAAAAATAATTATATTTAGAGTAAAATTAATTAAAGACTAATTATAACTATTTCGTACGCCGGAGTATTAAAAAGGTTAAATTCTATCTAGTTTAGATATCTTAAATTAGAATTAATCGAGGGTAGTTAGGCTAGAGACTAAGGAAGGACTCCTAATATTAAAGGTTTATATTAATAAAGATTATAAGGTTTCTAATCTAAAATATAAAGTAGGTTAGTATTTTAACTAATAAATAAGGAGTATAGATATATATCTTTATAAGAGTTATTATAATATCTTATTTAGACCTGGACAGACCCGCGGACAACCCATATAGGTCGACCTGTGGGTCAGCCCATAGGCGGGTCGTGGGTCAGACCTCTTGACCCGTAGGTGGGTTAAGATTTTTTTGACCTGTCCCGCGGGTTAATAGGTCAACCTATTTAACCTATTTAGGTGGATACTTTATTAACTATATGACTTTCATAAATTATGTTATTCTTAGCTATATTTTTAGGTATTATATTTATTTTAGTTAAATAATTTTTTATAGTAATTAGGAGAATAATTCTTAAAAAGTAATTCTAGAGAATATTATTTTAAATATTAATCGATTTTAATTTTAAAGCTTATAATCATTAAATACTCGTGGGCGTTTACGAACCCTACTAGAAATCCGCGGGAG